ACATGGCGGCTCATTCACTTTGATTCAATTGAATAGGAAGGATATGTGTTTCATCAGCTCAGTTTGACTTCATCAGCTGTAGAAGCCCACACTTAATGACAACATTTCTTTCAGGTGTGAAATTTCCATCAAATATTTGAGCTCTTGCTGTAGTTCATACTGAGCCTTGACAGAGTCCTTGGATTATATATCTCAAAATGTAATAAATGAAAAGTGAGAAAGTGTTGTGAAACTTTAAAAAACCAAATCACACTGCCCTGATCTTTTAAGTTTTGTGTTTATCAGATTTGCAGTAGTGGAGTACAAAATCTTTTACTCACCAGCCAAAAGATTCATACTTCCACATCTTTGTAAATAAGGATAATGCAGTGGCCTTTAAAATTTACTCTTCTAGGTTAAATGGTTGTGGTTTTACTATCAGACACCATTAAACTGGATTCTCTAACTCAGTTACATGAAGAAACTGCGCCTGTGGTGAGAGCCAAATTCAGCAGAACAAAACAGATTTCATCCTGAGTCCAAGTGCCAAGACTCTTTTCATTCAGCTGAAAATAGCAAGCCACTGCTTACGCACATCTCCAGAACATAGTTTAGGCAACTGAAGGATTTGGGTGGGGGTGATTTGTGGAGGAGGAATACAGCCACTGAAGAAATGCAGAAGAGTTTGTTCAAACACATGAAAATAATGAATCAGGAAGACACACAAAAACAACTGAGTCCAGCCAGGGAGTCAAGTTACTCTTAATACTTTAATCATCGTTTTCAAAGTTGCTAAAAAATTAGATTTGTTAAGGTTTAATGAGAAAGACAATGAAGTTAGGTCAAACAAAAATTAGTCCCCATTAGGAAATGATTTTCTTAATTTGGTAATGTCTATCAAAATAATTAACATCCACTCAACATCAGTCCATGCTGTTCGTTCATACGCTCTTTTGTGCCTGACTTGGACACATGAGGAAGAAAACAGACCTTCGAATGACCTCAATGACCCCATTTGAAGAATGCCAGTCCTCAAACTGTGGTGAAGATTCAATACCAGACTCACACCACAGAGGGCAGTATGTTTTCTTTTCCAGCTGCACCTCAGAGGCAGATTTATCCATTACCCTGATGTCTGTAGTTCACATAGCAACATTTAGTGAACCCTGAAAGCAATTATGTAATTGACTCATATTGCAGTATATTTCTTGATTAAAGTGATTATTTGGCTGCCTTATTGTAGAATTTAGTATCTTCTCATACTGCATAAAATGAAAGGCAAGATAGCCAATGAATCAGGAGGCCAACCACACCTGTCCACACCAACTGAGAGAGGCAGAGAGCAGTGAGAAAACACTGAAGTTATGAGGAAGGGTGTGGACATTTAAGAGCCGTTGCCAAAAAGTTGCTGTAAAACCTGTGAGGCCATCCAAATGCCGCTGTATCAATGTATTTAAAGGATCCCAGTAAAATGTTCATATCATTTTAAATTAGTATCTCTGCTAGTTTGATAAATTAAATTTCAGTTTTATAAATTCAGATTCAAAACAGTTTAATGTGGTTTTGGCAGTACCAGTGTTTGGTTAGGTTTAGGGAAATATCAGTTTTGGCCATTTACAGAAAGCCTCCCATTTCAATGTATCTATAAACATCTAAATGTAGATAATATATCATCTTTTTTTTTTCTTTTTTTCCTTCAGACTTTTTTTAGTTAATCTTTATGTAAGCAGATTTCTGAACCTCACCTAAGTAACTATTTTCCGATGGAAAGTAAAGATGGTCAATTTTTTCATTTCCTGAAAGAGAGGTGAAAGTTATTGCTGTGCTTTAATGGGGGCTTTCGTTGCAGTTGTATCCTCACCGACAGACCAGTAACAAGGTACACCAGGGTATGCTTTTTTATGATTCATACTCACAAACATAAAAATGAAGACTCAGTCGATAAAAAACTTTCTAGAACACAGTTTTGAAAGCTTATGAAATAAGCAAGAGTGTAGTACTTGGAGTCATTTTTACCTCTGGTATTAGCAGGACCCTGATGTTTCATCTCATAATTTATTTTAGCCATTGCCTTATTTGTTACACAATCCCATCCACTAGGATGCTGTGGTACCTAATTGATAAAGGCAGGAAGAATAAAAGGATAAAATTGCTCTTATATTGTTATTCTCATCTGTAAATTTAATGAGTTTGGGGATTTTCTGTTTCACAGTCTTGCAAATGTTTAATGGTCAAAAAAGTCCCATTTAAATTTAAAACAACTTATGTAACCTCCTGTGTTTTGACTCTGTGTGGTAGCAGCCTCAAAGTCTGTCAGAGTCTGAGTTTATGTGCTCATGTTTAAGCAATAATGGAAACATTTTCACATCAATATTTCATTTCCTTGCATGTGTTTTTGTATATTTGTCTTTCTTGAATATCTATGATGTGTTATATTGATTTTTTTTGGTTGTTGTTGTTGTTGTTAAAGATAGAAAATTGTTTCTAGGTATTTTCCACCCTGATGGTCAAAATCAATGTCAACAGTGAGGCCTCTCTTGCTATGAGGAATACTAAGGAAAGTGAGTTAAAAAAGAGAGGCAGCTCTTAAGAAAGTGTCAGGACATATTTTGAACTACTTCCTACCTTCAGTTTATACCATAGTTTTTGTGTTGCCACAGAGAAATATTACCCAGGAAAGGGAGACAGGCGAATTTCTCTGCAGTTACCAGTTCTGCCTCTATGGTTGTCTTGACAACTCAGCAGCCTCAAGCCGAAGCCTGCTGTGCTCACCAACACAAACAGTTATGTCATAGAGAAATATATGAATGTTGTACTGCTCCCCCTCAACACATATACACAGCGTCTCTCTTCATGCGTCTGTATCACTCATACTGGGTTTGTTATTGTCTCTTATTCTATTTTTATACCAGCAGAGAGAACTCCAGCACAGACAGCGTGCTACACTGGAAAATGAGTTTATTCATATCATACTCACTCCTGTTTTTTTCACATATGGGTCCATTCAGGGTTTATTTACAGGCATTACTCATGGCAGTGCAGACAAATGAGACAGATCTGTTTTGTAGGACTAGATGTTGATACCACTCATTAGATACATACTTGAGGCACCGATGAGACTCTGTGGGACTGTCAATTAAGTGATGGCATCTTTTGGGTTGTCAAGTGGGGACCCTCCTCCTTAGGTGTTTCACTGACAGGCCCACAACACCTCCAGAACATCAAAAGCAGCCCTGGTGGTAAAGTTCGCCCTAAAAACCTCCATCTCCCACAGCTCTTTTGAGGAGATCTTCCTCTTCTCCACTCCTTCCAATACCATCCACTGCCCTTGCTTTGTCTGTCCTACAGCTTGTGCACACCTTCCCATGTCCTCTTTCCGACATAGGCCTACCCCCTTGACCTCCAGCTTGTGTCTCTGAGGTGGGGTAGCTTGTTCCAGGCTGGTGTCCTGGCCCTGAAAACCCCACCTGCACTTGGCCCCAGTGGGGTCCACTTCCTCCCCGTGCAAATGGATGACTGGAATCCAGTATCATCATCTCCAGCCTGACTTTGGTGCACTCGTACACCTCTGCTAGACTAGACTAATCACCAGTTTGAATCTTTTTCTTCTTCTTCTTCTTCTTCTTCTTCTTCTTCTTCTTCTTCTTCTTCTCTTTCTTCTTCTTCTTCTTGCTATTACGCACAATTTTATTTTCAGCTTAAATAATCAAAAGCTTGGAAATGTTCAGATTTCACTAAAAGTGCAGGAAAAAAATGGACAAAACATTCAAGGTCTATTTTTGAGTAAAAGCTTACCAGACAAATAGAAATTTTGAACTTTTATTTTTTTGCAGGTCTGTGCAGCTACAATTATGTCTGAAAGGAAACTGCTCTTGTCTAAATGTCAGACGATGCTTCATACAGCAAAAAAATGAACTACATTCATAATTTTCATCCTTTTTTCCCTACTGTCTCAACATTGCCATTTAGATACAAGCCAGACAAAAGTCAGTATTGAACAGTATTTGGATTATTTCATGTGTCTGTATTGTATGTATGAAACTGCAACCAGTTTAAACAGTCATAGATGTTTCTATAATTTCACAAAAATTGTAATTGTATGCAGCATGATATCCCAGTTTGTCACTTTCATTCCTAATAAGAGCTAATAAGAGTTCATCTCTCTCCCAAGTCAACAGGTTTCCTATTCATCATCAGCAGCCCTGTTCACTCAGGCAGAACCCAGCTCTACCATAATTACTGACTACACTGGAGGGGAATAGAAACAGGCATGCAGTCACACACCCAGAGAAACAACACCACTGAGGAGCATCACAGCCCAAAACACTTCTCCACAACTTTAAACGCAGAGCCAGCTGCTGCAGCATCCATCTGAAGTTTCGAAACTTTGAACCAATCATGTCTCAGAGGACGGGACTTTTGTCATGTATGCCGAATAATTTCATCCAGTCAAAGACAGTCTGTTTATTTATCCCTCTGGCCTGTCCGTGGCTCTGCTCAGACATAGACACATGGTTGTCAGAGAAAGCTGTGAACCAAGCCTGGAGACGAACCCTTTAATTAAAGAGCCAGAAAGGGTGGTAGGAACTGAGGCTGGACACTTCACCATCTCAACGCAGTATGGCAGGCCATGTGGCAGCAGGGGACTGGATTTGTCAAATACAGTATCAAACAAATAAGGACACAGAGAGGAAAAGAATAAGGCAAAGTTTGAGTGAGGAATAACTCTTCTCTGGGTGCATTTCCACATTTTTATGCTGCTGTGTTGGATTACTGCCAGACTGAGTGTTTTTGTGTATTTGTTATGCAAGTAGAGCGTCTATCTGTTCTCAGTCGGGAGATCTCATTGAGGGATAGTAACATAAAAATCTAAAGGTATTCCATCTGTTCGCTGATTCTTAAAAAAAAAAAAAGTGCCTCATCATTTTTACAGTGAGTGCCAACAACAGGAATTAATTTTTAATCTGAGATTGTCAGTGCCACACGAGGATGCCTATAAGACACAAGAAGAATCTTCTGTATGGTTTGCATCAATCAGAAGTGTTTTATTGTAACAAGTGAGAGCTACTTCTGATGCATTTTCTGCTTTAAGGAGTGCCTGAGTGAAGTGTTTCACAAAAGAGCGTCATAAATTGTGCTAATAATTGCACCCTTGAGCTTTTCTAGAGTCCCACCTGCACATCTTCGGTGAATGTGAGCCCAAGCCCGGAGATACAAAAATAGATTACAAACTCCAAATATGGCTACTCTTGCTCATCAGTATACAGTGCAGTCATAATGGTGGTGGGTAGTGTCTGCCCACACTTTCCAGCTCCTCAGCACACCAATAGTGATATTAATCTGGTGCCTACAGTAATGGCACAGTGCATGGCACCAGCATGTGCATGTGTTATCCAGAAGCACCATCTGGGGCCGTCAGCTGAAGCTGCCACTTAGCCAGCCAAGTACAGTCACCCTGTCAGGACACTCAAACGATAGGGGCAGGTTTATGTGATGTGCTAAAAAAAAGTCTGAAATGTCTTAAACCAAATGAATTCATTCATGCCTGAAAGTAGGAGAAAATGATTTACATTTTTCTATAACCCATTTTCTGTCTTTATTTGATGATGTCTAAGAGATTTGGGGAAAATATTGTTAGTTAACCTTGCTGTGGGTTTATTCTCTGTGATGCATCACCTCATCATGAGTTTTCGCTGTTTGACTAACCAACACCAGGTGGAGCCAAACTCCACTTCTCAAAACAGAGCAAATCAGGACTGAACAGTGAGAGGAAAGAGAGCAAAAAGTGAAATCAGTGTACTTGCTAATAAGTTACAAATGTTATAATATATTTGACATATCTAACTTGAAAACACACAGAAATAGTCTTCTTTGGAGACATCTAAGGAAAAACATCACCAAGTTTTGGCAGTACATTGCCCTGCTGGAATTATTTACTACAAAAAGATGTCACATCTGTCATTTCATGCAGAAAATGTTACAGAGTCTGATCTACTGAGTGTGAATAATTATTCAGTGTTATAACATGAAAAAACATGTATAATATGACCAAATATTTAAAATACTGTGTGTGTTCACATTGAGCTGGATAGTGAGGCAGAATAAAGGAGAACATTCAGGTTTCAACCATCACAGCCTCTTGATTAGGGAAGGCACGACAATCTTCTATGAAGCCTCTCAGAACCTTTGAGAAAACATGTTAACCTTTTTTTGACATTTCAGAGAAGAGCAGCTTTTTTAAAAAAAAAAACAGTGTATGATTTTCCACTTGTTTCACGTTTAGCCATGATTAAAGCGATGTACTTTCACTTTTGAGTTTTAAATGATAGCCTTGACGAAAAAACAAAAACAAAAGATATTTACAATATAAGGATGTCAGACAATTCATTTTTTTATCGCTGACTTTTAACAGTTAATCACATTTTTAATCACAAAACTTCATTGTTTTTGCATTTCAAAATGTTTTCAAGCCAATTTTAAACAAGGTAAAGCCGTTCTTAACTCAGGTCTTGATTTGGGAATCATATGAATGGAATGAAATGTACTTTATGAACTTGAAATTTGCACTCCTTATTCAAACAGCTACTGTACTGCTACATTAGTGAAGTCTGAAAACATAATAGGGGACAGTTCAGAGTGTTTCATCCACAGGGCAGCCCAGTGAAAACAGTGCTCTGCCAGCTTTTATGCGGTTGCCTGCAATCATCAGTCTGATTAGCTGCACCTGTTTTGCTTCAAACTTCCTATTCAGCCAAACTGCTAAAATACACAACATCAAAACATTTTCAACATGCAGGGAATTAGTGGTTTCATTTAATCCTCTGAAATGCAAAAAATGTTTATCACATAAAATGTGTAGTACAGTTTTCATCGCACACATGCTGCGCTCAGAATACCAGGCTTACATTTCCAATCAGTACATGTGAATGTCCTTCAGGAAAAAAAAGTGACAGCAGCTGAAGCTCATTAACTCTGCCATGATGAAAAGCAACAAAAGCTCAAAATGACAGCCTGAGAAACAACAACACTTCTTTTAATACAAAGAGATACTAAAGGTATAATCTCATGAATACATGATTTGTGACTTAAATACTCGGCGATTTATCACTTTTGCCCTTAATTTTTAAGTTGATTAAAAAAACAGGCAAAAAGAGTTCTGTGTCCGTGAAACAGTTCAAAACACTGTCGCTCTCTCTGTCTCCAAAAGAGGACGTCAACGCGGCACTGGAACAAATTCTAAATGCAGCATGTAGACATACATGCAGAAACAAAGTGTGTCCGAGGCAAATCAAACCCCAAGTTGTCAAGAACTGAAAAAGGTCATTCTTCTGTGTATCTGAACCTCCTCTGTGTTCTTACAATACTTTGTCTGAGTTCTGCAGGCATTTCTTTCAAAGCAAACATTTTACAGTGCCTGTGCAGAATATGTTTAGGACTCTCTTTACTCTTTTGCGTCATCTGGTTCTGGAGCGCTTGACAACAATTGTGCCAGCGACCATGTCATACACAGTCCTGTTGTGCTGGAAGAACAGAAGAGTGATGAAGGCCGGGAAAAAGAAGGCAATAGAAAAGTTCTTGTTTAAGGCTCGGACAGTGGATCTGTGGAGACAGACATGGACAGGGGTTTAAATACAGGTAACGCTCACAAATTTCAAGATTAAAATACTTCAAGATAACCTATGAACCAACTACTTACGCAGACAGAGAGACATTGGTTGCTGGCATTACAAGCACCCTGTTCGGCTGAACCAGAACTGACGAGTCACATGTAACAACTCTCAGTCCTACTAGAAATTTCCCCGGAGTGGCTCCTCCTGCTCCCCAAATGCAAACAATCTGAGAGGAGAACAGAGTAGACGCTAATGAACAACTGCAGAAGCTTTTCCAACAAGTTAAAGGGATATTCCGGCATAAAATTAAGTTAGGGTCAAACACATCATAACACAGAGTTAGACACCCCATCGAAAGAGGAATGTTGCCGACCACTTGCTTCTCTAGTTATACCAACTTAAGTAATGACTGCAGATAGCAATACAGAGAGCCACGCACTCAACCAAAACGCCACTCTATAGCCACAAATAACGCTCAGAACAGCTCCTAACTTCATCAACAGGACATATAGGGTCCCAGCCATAGTACTAGCCACCATACATCTTTTTAGCTTTGCCTAATTTCTTTTGCAAAGAGACTAAACACAACTCACCCACTCTCTTCCAGTTACAGTAGGTGCTGTTCTGAGCATTATTTGTGGCTATAAAATGGGATGTCTAACTCGGTGTTACGATGTGTTTGACCCTAACTTGATTTTACGCTGGAATGTCCCTTTAAAGTTACACAGTTAAGAATAATAACCACTGTTTCTGGATAATACAGTTTGCCTAAACCTTTATTTGCTTACCTCATAAAAACACACTAATATCCGATACACAAGCGCAACGAGCATCATTTTCTGTAGCTCCTCCATAGATGTGTCTTCATCTATTTCCTCCACGATGAAATGCATAGCAAACTTTGAGACATCTCTAGAAAATGAAAGATTTTGAATGGAGAGAAGAGTCATTCAGTTAGGTCAAGTAATTGTATCAAATTAAAAGCACCACTATTTACAGAAATAAAAGGAACTCACTTAATTCCACTGAGGTGCATAATACTGATGATTATGGTCGCTTTGATGAAAAACAAAATGAAGAAGTCCACCATCTCAGCCAGGAGTCTTTGTAGGGGTGAGGGGATACTATACTCCCGACCTGGTGAAAATAAGCATAAAAGCAGGGTTCAAATGAAACCCACCTTTGGTCCATGAACATGTTACTCCATCGCCGTAGGCAGATAACATGCTGTTAGTCTCCACCCTGCAGGGAAGACTTTACCCATGAACTCAGAAAGACATTTAATGAAAGACTCAAGAGCTGTACAACTGTTGGGTGATAAGCCTTCAGATTTCAGACCCCACTGAGAGTGGTCAGACAGTCTAATGTGGTATTTAACAAACACAAAAAAAAATTTCTGTTGTTGTTTTTTTTTGTTTTAATCACAGTGAAAAGATAATCAGTTTATGTCAATCAAATCTGCACAAGTACTGGAGTCATTTCGTTTAAGAAGCTGGGCTCTTTTTGTTTAGACAAATAAAAAAACAGATTATTGATTGAAAAACTCATCCTTTAATAAGCTGCCAACTTTGCAATTAAATCTTGCAGCTCAGTAATGAAGGTAAATCCTAAACCTGGGTCAGGTTTCTTGAGATTTAATTACAAGACATCTCGTCAGCTAATGTTGGCCCTCCTCATTTCTCATGGTGCCTGTCTCAGCATCTCCCAAGTTTTGTGATGAAACCTGTTTTATCAGCAATGGTGATGCTGAAGTTAGCACCTTCAACTTATTACAGGGAAATTTTTGGAGACCAGGTCCTGAGCCAAAACCACTATACCTGTACTTCTCAGATCTTGACCAGACAGTCCACAGACTCTTTCAAACCCAGTTTCAGATGAGGTGAAGAAAGCAGTGCATCTTTTTTAAAATACATTTCCAAAAATCGATTTAAGGTTTCCAAAACAGTGTATTAAAGAGTCTATAACCTCTCTATAATGACGTGTCCAGGTCTCAAAAGTCTGCATTCTGTGGATGTGGATTAAGACCCCCAGTTTTTACATTAATGGGATTAAGGTCTTATGAATCTGAAACTGTGATTTAAGAATTCAGTAGACCCTATTGCATGTCAGGGATAAATAAAGTGCATTTTATTGTTATTATGAAAGATCTGACAAGTTTAGGTGTAGGGGAGAGTGGGGTGAGATGAGCCATTTTTTATATTTTGGATCACTACATCAAGGTAATCATAGTTTTGTCTCTAACTTGTGTATCTGCATATATTTCAAGATGTTGTTCATCCCTGCAAACCAACAGAATGAGTGTAAACGTAAGTGTCTTGATAATATAGCATGCCAAAAAAAAAAAGTCTCCTATGGTCAACTTACCCCGTGTATGGGGTAAGTTGACCATAGGAGGTGGTGGACTGTTTTGCTAGGTTTTTGACCTCATGTTGTAGCTCATAGATAACACAACTGATGTATAAAACACATTTAAGATGATCTTTTTTGGGTCTGAACACAATTCTAATAAAATTTATGACAGACTAAATTCACTTTCAAGAGTGAAAAATGTTTTTGTTTTTTTAAATAAATGTCTAACCCCTTCACCTATGTGCTTCTAACCTTCACAGACTCCATGAATTCATGCCCATCTCCTAAATATTTGGTCACATGATCAATCTCTTTTACCATTTCCAAGCAACAGGGGGTGGCTCAACTTACCCTTTGGCTCAACTTACCCCACTCTCCCCTAGTGGGTTATCAGGATCTCATTTTGTTTTTTAACCTTCCCCATAACAGCTAAATCTGAAGCCACGAATAAGAACTTCTGAATCATCTTTTGGTATTGGGACTTTTGATGGTTTAATGATGCGAGTTATTCAGCATTTGTTGACATGTAACTGAAGATCTTGCTCAGGGAGCAAAGATGTTGTGGTCAAATACTGAGTGTAGTTGACCACATCAAGGAACAGTATGAAGTACATTTTAACCAATGTGAAGCAAGACCGTCCGTTGCATTTAAACGACCTCCAGAGTTTTTTCATAGTCTCAAACGAACAGAACCGTACCTGGTCTTTGAGCGTTTCCGTTCTCCTGCGGCTGCTGCTGCTGCGGCGGCGGCTGAGCGGTCACTGCAGCCCCGCCTGCTGCCTCGCCTAGCCGGCTGTTCGGAGAGTTTACGGCGGGTGGGTAAGACGATAATGGAAAGGCAAACGGGCTGTTATACCAGTTTGGAGTGTTAATATCAAAAGCTGCCGTCGGTGCCCCACTAGATGACTGTAAATAATATGGACAGGACATGGCTGACGCTGCCATCCAGCCCTGCCAGTTCACATATCCTGTGTAGTATTGCCACATCCACGCCTGCAGTTGTTCGCAGTATTCCGCTGTGGCACGGCTCTGGACGGCGTTTTTCTTCCCTTTGAAACTGTTCTTGTGTCCATCTTTCTGGATGACATCGTCTTGAAGTGAGTCAACTTTGTTTGCTAAAGGTTCGTTATTTTCTTTATCGACTTCCATGTTTGTGTTTTTCCTGTCCGCCATGTTTGCTGATGGCGTCACGTCACGTACGACGTACTCTGGATCATCATATGTGGATAATTTCAAGTTCATGTTATATCCAACAAAACGGGCTTCAAAAAGTACTTGAAAATGGCCTTATTAATTTAATTTTCATTTACCTTTTTTAGAGAGCGATGTGTCATGAAGCTCTTGGGTTTTACGTGAAAATATGACCCCTCGCACCCCCCTTGTTAAATCGAATGGTACGGTCTATGTTTTGTCTGCTTTTATTATAATTTACCACAAGATGGCGGCAAAGAGAGGGGTGGATTGTGGCTAGATTATGATGGAGGTCCTCAAGTTCATATTATATAATGTTTTAACTCTAAAAATTACTCAAAAACTATTTGATGTCCTCTCTAATATCACCCGTAACTTCTTGAAAAAATAATGACAGTTTCTACAAACAGTAATGCACTTTATATCTGTAAACCAACTGAAAACCTTCAAACCTCATTTGCACTACTGTAAATACATCCAATATTGCACTACTACATAAATTATGTCATATACTTATATTTATAGTCTGATTATAGCCTTCATATTTATATCCATATATATAATCTGTTCATAGCCTGTACATACACCACTATAGCCTGTGCATACTTATAGTCATAGCATATTCATAATAATGTTACCTGTGATATACTCATGTATATATCTCCTTCATACCATGTACATTTGTAAATATATTTATTCTTGCTAAGCACCTCTGGATGGATGCAAACTGCATTTCGTTGCTCTGTACTTGTGGCATGTGCAATGACAATAAAGTTGAGTTCTATTCTATTTTATTCTAGCGGATGTAAACATCTTTGATCGGAGCAAATCCATGTAGTATAAGGTACACATTTAGAGAATTTTTAATGCACTACTTAAGCCCAGTTATTCAAAGGTTTTTCTTATTATAAAAATTTAATCAAAAAGTTCTGTCATTAGGCCCTTTCCTAGAATAAGTGCATTCAACTTGGATCATGCGCATTTCCCAGAATTTAACTGCTTTAAAAGGTGTGATTGAGTTTAAAGGGATCAAACCATTTCAAAAGAACCTAAACCTATACACAACCCTTCAATCCCTAACAATAGGGTATTCAGGAATCTAAAGTGATTTAGGGTGAACTTAAAGTCCCCACAATCCCTCTCAAGCTATGTGTGTGGACAAATACTTGGAGACAACTCATTTTATGATCAAAAATAAGTAGTTCATTCTAAGCACCAATATTCCTGGAATTTAACGATATAAATTAGGACATGGTAAAATTTCTGAAACTGTGGTCATATGGCATAGTCTTACATAATGTGGCACTCAAGACAAGGGATCAGCTTTTCATTAGTCAGTACGCTTTGTTGCCCGAGCACCACCCAGGGTCATAATATTTCACTCAAGCCTGGAAATCTTTGAAAGAATTTGTACCTCAACCCACTGCCCTAAAGAACCCTAATTAAAACACATTACGATCACTTGATTGAACTCCACGTCTGAGACAAGAGGCTTGGCACAAATGAGGGGGTCACTGCTCCGGCCACAAGCAGAGATTTGGCCTCCCATTCACCATTCACCCACCTGCTTGTCACAAGAGGGCTGCTCTGATATCAGGACATGTTACTTTTCTTTGTTGGAACAAAAAGGCCCTTGTAAGCTTCTTGTGCATGTCTGATAGCCTAACTTTAAGACTTACTTACAACTGACTGGTGCCCTAATGCCCTAACTTCAGCATTCTTGCCTTCATAGTCAAGCTTTTCCAGTAATTCAGTTAACTAAAACTATATTGAAAATCCTAACAGTCAAACCAATTTAAGTAGACTTAATGAAAACTTTTTCAATGAGTGTGCGAAAGTATAACATCCAATGAAAGCCTGAGTCACCCGTTTTGTCTTAGCAAATACAAATGTCACCCCAGGAACTGCACTGTTTTAGTCACACTCATACACAACAACAGACTTCAGCATCACAGTTGAGACTTTATTGGCATGTTGTGGGCAAAAGCACATCGATTTGGTGTCTTGATGGTCCCAGGCTCAACGACCTAGATGTTCAAACAAATTAAGCTCCCTTTTCATAGGTCCTCACTGCAACAACATCATCCATGATACATTTCTGTTGAGACAGCATTTAGAAAAAAAAGTTACTTATAGGACACTTCTCTAAAGGTTAGATGAGGCTGCTCATGAAAATAAAAGTATCTGATCTTGCATGCTCTTCACTTTCATTATCCCAATTACTCACAGCTGTCAGTTTCCCATCCTGGATCTCTCGCTCTAGTGTAGTTTTCTTCCCCTCCCACGCCTGCAGCTGCACAAGTTTACCATTATCCAGGGTAAAGGTGGTCTGAAATCACATCAGCCGGTTAGACTCGTCACATAGGAAGAAGAAGAACCGAAAATAATAAAATGTGTGACCAACCATTGTTTTTCGACCGTCCGCAGTGGTCTCTTCAAACTCCTCGTTTAGCTTAAACTTGATCTCTGTGGTCTTGAAAGTGGTCTCAGACTTCATTGAAATCACGCCAGAGTCGTCCACGCTGATCACCAGGTTTGGCTTTGCCATGTTGCCCATTTGTCGAGTGGCGAAGCCCACACCTTGAACACAATTAAGTTGAAAAGATATTTAAAATGCTGTTAGTTTGCGAGGCTGAAACTGCTTTGCACGACTTTCCTGTTTGTTTGCTGAACCTCCCACACAATATTTGAACCCCTTTAACAACAGTTTTCCCAGTCCCTCACAATGTAACATGAATTAAACGGTACTTTACCTATTGCCTTCATGTATTCATCAAAGTTCTCACTGGAGGCAAGGGTCCAGTTTCCAACAAACTGCTCAACCATGATGATGAAGAAGCTGAAACTCCACCTGTCACACAAACTCAAGATATCAAGGTATCCCCTCTCCGTCTTGAAGTGCAGCGAGAGACTAACACGCAGAGTAAATTACATATTTCAAGCCTGGTCGAACACGTGCCTGATTTGGGGATAACCAATCAAGAGCAGTGGCTTCTGTTGCCCTGGAAACCAGTGGATTGGGGGCGTGTCAAAAACTGATTCTCGACAGTGCAGTGAAGATTTGGGGTTTTGGTCTGCTGATACAAGCATGTTCATTTGGGGAAGTGAAAGTTCATCTTGGGGTTGAATGAAAGATTACACGTTCAGCTTTATTTCGATCCTTATTTTATTCTGATAAAACAGAAAATATTAAGAACAACGGAGTAGGGAGGCTGTTAGCTCATTTTTTTACTCATCTACTCACTGCACATACAAAATGCAATCAATGTAACAGTTACTTTCATACAAGTCTCTGCTGTTTTATAACATTATCATTTGCTTATGTCATGTCAGTCAAAATGAAACATACTTACGAATGCTGATTAGTCATTCTCTATAAAACTAATAGTCCTCATTTTATTGCTTGAGTCATTACATACAAAATTGTTGAACTAGTTCTCAAAATCTGTCAAGCCGATTTCATACATTTATTTATCTTTTTTTTTCTTTCCTGAAAATGTCTCCTAAATTGAACAATTGCTCTCAGGTGAACCTAAGCTTTAACTCATGAGGAGGTGTGTGAAGCATTAGTTGTGACCAATGACACGCCACCCATGAACCTTCACTTGGCAAGCATATATAAACCAGCAGGACATAGTGTGTACCATTTCTACAGTTCTGTGACACAAAAATGGAAGGTCAGCATCATGGAGGAGGGGTGAGAATGCAGGGAGGAAGGGGAAGGGGACAAAACAGGGGCAGAGGAAGAAGAGGTGAGGTACATAGGCGAATCCCTGATGAAATTAGGGCTATGCTCATGGACCATGTTGTCAATCACTGCCTCATTGTGGCTGAGGCTGGTCGACGGGTGCAACCAAATTTAGGGAGAACCACTGTGACTCTTATGTTTGCTCTAAGTAAGTGACTGTGATTTTATTTATTTATTTTTCTGCACAATGCTGTAGAATTGCAAAGAGCATAAGCCGTAAATATGTGAAACATACATCTGTCTTGTATTCAGTTACCTCACTAAATACAGTAATGTGTAACGTCACTGTAATTTTCAAATGGCTGTACAGGTAGTGTAAAGTGGTTTTTCTACCAGCAGATGGCGCCTGAGAAATACAAATGGAAGGTCTTAACCCTAACATGAGAGTATTTTCACACACGCCTCCTCCCATGCCAGGACTAACTGTAACTCCAGATCAAAGTAGCACAGCTTTGATACATCTATATCAATTTTATGTGTATGTTTTAACGTTATTACAGCACTCATTATGAATCCAACATAAATTGCCTGTCACCTGACAAAATCTGCAAATTGGTAATTTTGAAGACTTTCTGGTTGTCCCCTAAGAAAACTGTTCTTCCAACAACAAAGCAGGACAACATATCAGCTGATGTGTCCAAAATAAACGACACAGTCAGGTACTGACCCCTAATGGTCAGAGTAACATATTACAGGGGGCTGTGCCTGACAGTATGCCTTGGAAAACAAGGGTATTGAACAACACAGAACTCAGAGTACAAAATCAAAAACTGTATTCCTTTCATATTGCTGTTGGCATTTTTGGTCTAATTCAAGTCTTTCTTTTAAAAAAGGGGATATGTCCCAAATAAAGGGTCATTAAGTACAGACTTCACAACTCTGCAATAGCTGGGCGATCTTTTGTTTTTGAATCATATATTGAATAAAAAGCACTTTGTATGAACTCTAGTGCAATGTCAGTGTCTGCGGGGATATTGCTTTGTTATGTAATCCATCAAACAAGAGACAAAGCCAGTGCATCCAAATTTATTTTGTGTTGTCTGTTGAATAAATATAAAAGCTCATGAGCACCGCTGGTGAATGTTTGAAGGAGTTCAAAGAGGGAAAAAGGGTACCGGCTGACATGATGAGAACAAATCAGATTCAGATCAGATGAATTTCCTGAGACATTTTTTCTTCTTCTTTTCCTCCTCTTTTGCTCACCTCACACGGAGCGTCGAGTTTGCATTTGAGTCCTGAATAAGTCTATCAGACTGCATTAAGGAGCTGAGTTGTACTTTATAAAGCTGCACAGATATGATCTGTCGATGACCTCAAGTTATGAAACTTTAATGCTCTAATGCCTAAAAATAATGGTTTGGAAGTTGTTGCAGGTTTTGCAATGTAAATTCCTTATGCATTTATAGATTACCTTTGCACACTTAATGTGCATGGAGTTGTGTTTTGTAAATAAAAGCTACAAAAATATATTTGAAGTTGAAGATGGTGGCATTAAGAACCTTGTTACAACCTCTAATTCATTATAATCTGAGTGTAGTTCACATAAATCACTTACACTTCTTTGTTTTTATCATAAATAACAGTTTCTGGTCATAGGGAGAGGTGAAATGTCTTCTTGGAGCTCATTTAACTTGTACTCCTGGCCTCCTGAGGTGGACTCTCGCTTTTATTACCCTTGATCTGAGCTTGATGCACCGTGCAAAACAAGTTGCCATATGTCTTCAATATTAGATTTCAGGTTACATATGCATCAATTATTCAGTCACATCAATGACAAAACAATAATGATGTGACTGTCAAGAGCCTGGGCTATGATTAATCATAAAATGTTATTTCTGATCCGGTAAGATGTTTACTTTTTGTGCCACCCGGGGTTTCTCTGCACACATGCAGGTGCCATCTAGCAGAGGCCGAGCCCGTAATGAACATGAACTCTGGCTGGCAGCCCCACAGAAGTCCTCTCCTCCTGGTTTTCATCAACACTTCAGCTCCCATTGATGGGAGAACAGTGGCCATGGACAAAAGCTGTATATACTGTACAAACACAGCTCTGAGCGGCAGCACACTGACTCATTCTTCAGTGTGTGTGAGAACGGAGGGGGACCCCTTTCAGCTCCTTTGTGTTGGTGTCTGTCAACAGTGTAGTTGGAGGCAGAGCCCATTGTGGCGGCCAGTGTTTCGTATTGACACAGGGCCTCGCTCAGCTTGTTCCCAGGGTCCAACCTGAGGACTCATGAATAATGGAGAGAGGATCCTCAGGGCAAGGGGGAGTTCACAAGTCTAAGTGAGCTTGTTAAAAACATACAGATTCATATAGGTACAGGTAAGAGTACGCTCACAACTGATCCTGTTGATGGTGACCTTCACGGTAATGCTGAAGCTGACCATCTGGAACTGTGATCACCGGGCTGGCAGAGATGCAGGATAGGATGAAACACAGGAAATTTACATTCATCTAAATATCACCTATTTCTATATCATGTTTTTTCATCTTAGAACACAAGTCCTTTTTTTTCCAGTCCTATCAGTAATTGTCATTTGTATTCTGGGCAAGCCATAGCCCGAGGAAGGGGATTCACTCTCTCAATACAGTGATTTGTGCAAACTTAGTATTGCCTATAGAGCTGGACTGGACTGATGCTTCTCTGTGTATTTATGATCAAATATTCTGTTGTTGAAGGGTTTTTCTTTCCATCCCTTCCTCTATTCCCTCAAGATTTAAAGGAAAAATCAGGCCAAAGAATTGACCATATTCCCATGAACTGAACAAACATTGTGACCCTTGCTGCCCAATAAAGAAGTGTGTATGATTTATAGCGTCTCATAGCACAGCGTGGTTTAGAAGTATTTTGATCTAGAAAATGGGGATTTAGTATGTAGGCTTTGTCTGGTTAAACTGGCATATAACCACTCATAAGGAGCTGTGTGTAGTAGACACAGACATAAAGATATTAAGACCCTAACTTTACCCATCAACCTGTAAGAAAGACTGAGGACTGGCGGTGCTGACTTTTCTAACATTAGCCAAACTCAGCAAACCAACATGACAACATTATTTAAGTGTTTTCTAATCTTTAGACTTGTTGGTTAATTAGAAGTTAAATACCTGTTTCAAAAAATAAATAAGTAACTTCAGGATGTCCCCAGTAAAAGTCCAAGAGCATTGCCTAAAGTCAAAATACAGATAAGGCAAGCATTCTGCCACATCATCATTAGGAAGTGATTTGAAGGAGGACTTTTCTAGTAAGCTATATTACCACAGTGATGATTTGTACAGGTATTCAACCAATTTTGTAAACTCTTCACCCTGAGCTATATCAGAAGAAAATGTCGACTGATCACAGCAAAACCATGGCCAAGTTGATGTTTTCTACCTAAAGTCTGTCGCACCTAATAAAAAAAATAATATTAACCTTCTATTGCCTTTTGTATCATATTTGATACATACTTCTATATACTTTTTTCAAATCAATATGATCAACAAATGACTAAAAAACACCTGAATACAGTCCGATAAATGATTTTTAAAAAATGTCCTCTTGTAGTTGATCATTTTACAGAAACATCTAATGTATCAAACGAGATAAATAAATATATTTGTTAAATATTAAAGACATTTTGATTTTTTGGTTTTCAGTAGTAAGTGAAATAAACATTTCAGCTCCAAAAAAATTGAATTTTCTAGCCATAATTTGTGGTGTCAGGCAGAAAAGGGATAATTCAGTCTGAGCTGTTGGATAAAATAGTTGGTTAGGCCTTATTTTGATCTGAAAAGTGAGTCAAAAGTGTGTGTGTGTGTGTGTGTGTGTGTGTGTGTGTGTGTGTGTGTGTGTGTGTGTGTGTGTGTGTGTGTGTGTGTGTGTGTGTGTTTGTGTCATAATCATCACTTCAGGGCTGTTTCCCAGCCCAGCAGATCCCTAACATCTGTTGAGAGGCTCACACGACCTGAGCGATGCACCCTCTCCACTCTGCCTTTTTACACGGCTACTGCATGAGGGGGAACCGGAGGACAGGAGGGTGCCGACTGTTCTGCTCAGCTGGGATGAAGTGTTTGTGTGCGTGTGTGTGTGTAGGGGAGGTCAGAGAGGTGCCTCTTGCTTGTGTGCTTTGAGCTTTTTCATGCTTCCTGCTTTGATCTTCTCCCTCATCCCTTCATCCCACACGCTCCCTGTGCCTCGGGCTTCTGGTTTGCAGCACACCGACTTAGGGGAAGGGGAGAGATGAAGGGTGTGTGTGTATGAGGAGGGGAGGCTGCCTTTCACAGAGACACTGCTTCTTCTGTAAGTACAGAGGAGAGAGGTGCAGGGAGAGCTACCCATGGGGCACAGCCACTGGGCGTAGAGGCCAGTAGGCGGAGGGTTCACCAGGAGCTAAAGTGATGCATACTGTACAATTCTCTGCTCTTCTTTTATGCTCCTTTAGATCCCCCAACTGTGGGCTGGAATTCTTGTGAAAAACGGCTGCGGCAGTGCTTAGAGGGTGGCCTCCTGACCCCTCGCAACATGGGAAAGTGCACCCCTCAGCTGGTCGTTATATAAAGCTCTTCAGAGTCATGAGAATTGCGGATAAATCGCTCGGCTCGAGGCCTCTCATGTGTCTCTTAGTCTCACATGGAATGATTACTTTCCTTTGGGTCAGTATAATGTATCTCTTTCTGCTAATGCTCTGTATAGGCTGCGATCAAAGTGTTGCCATGAAATCAAAGTGGCAAGAAGGGGAAAGTCGTGGGACAGCGTGACAGTCATCAAGTAAATTTGTGTCAGAAAACAAATCCTTATCCCTGTTTTTGCCCCCTCTATAGCCTGATAATCCCTCTGTATGTGCCCCTCAAACACACACACTCAGTCCCACCTGCTGAGCCCAGAATAAGAGACACACACGTAGACACACACACAGAACAGCACCCCTAATTGAAGATTAATTTGAAAGGGAAAGCACTTACTTCTATTTGGACATGTGGTAAGTGTTAGGCCGTGACAATTAATTCAGCCATGTCGACAGATGACTGCTCTTAATATTTTATGACAACTTCAGAGGGAGGCAGGGAATCTGGAGGGGTTCTGCTGTGCGGCTCTGTTGCCAAATAACCCGCACATTTGTTCCCTTCAAGTCGATGACAGACATCATTAATATCTATGACATCTCCCTGGTAAACTGGCAAGTGCTCTCCGACCTTTGCTGTCAAATCAAATCAACTTTGACTCACATGGGCATGAACAAGCAGAGGAGTGAGTTATAAATATAGTTCTTTTTTTCCCCGTTTTTGCAGGCAATTATCACCTTAGAGTTTGTATTTTGGATGAAGACTGGGGATACCCTTATTTGGAGACACAATATTATTTAGTAGATATAATGTACAGGGGCAGATAGAAGACAAACATGTGGAATAAACAGTTCGACTTGGTGAGATTCTGATGCATGTTTGTGTAGTGGGGGAGAGAGAGAGAAACAGAGTAAAGGGGGCTGTGCTAACAGGCTTTCTGCAGATCACTGGCAGTTTGACTGCAGTGGAGAGTAATGGGGCTGGCAGGGCGGAATCAATTACTGGCCACAACAGATTTTCCCACAGGTCGGAGCTTGGGAAAGCAGTGCTTTACTGCAGCAGACAGCTGGCACAGAGCATCCACTGGGAAAGGAGCCGGCTCGCACAAAAACAAATCTCTGCATTTTTTTTTTCTTTGATAATCTTGTGACACGACAAAATGTGGCCGTTTTCTGTTGCTCGTTTGGGGTCTGATGGGACATGATTTTGGAGTCATTTTAACCACATTTTATCACCAATTTTTATTATCACCTCAAAATCAATGAGTGACCTCAAAAAATACAACTACCTCTAAACATTGATTTTTACTTAGAGTGACCCGCTCTGTCTTCTGCCCTACCCAACACACACACACACACACACACACACACACACACACACACACACACACACACACATACACACACACACACACAAAGCAGAGTAAAGGTAATTTTCTACAGCTTCATTTACTTTGGGGCTCCTATTATGAGTGCCCCCGAGTTTCCCTTTGCATGATCTACAGCCCGTGACACATTTCATTTAAAGCCCCCAAAACAACCCATCCAACCTCTTATACACAAACACATAAACATATACACACTCTCTCTCTCTCCATTGATATGCAAACAATGTTTTTCCTGCGGCAACACAATGTGTGGCCCCAAAAGCAGCTCATGCCGTGGTCGTCCTCTCTCTGTGTGGACATCACGTGCTGCCTCCTGTAGCGCTTATTTGGGAACAAGTCCTGTGATCTGCCTTCCCTCTATTGTGGACCTGCATAAGTGAACTGGTAATGGGTAGCATACTGGTAAATCTTGTGAACAATGTAGTTGTTTGGTGGCCCATTGTAAAGGAGCGTGTACCATTGTGGGGAAGCCAATGCAGTTGATTTTTATTTATTCAAGAGTGACTCATCCAGGTTGAAGGCCAGCGGTTTTCTGACAGTCAAAATCAGAGATCAAAGTATTGTTCGAGTCTGTACATCCTGTTAATACTTCAAATCTGACTCAAGGCCTTGTAATGGACTGCTGGTAAATGGAGGCCGGTGTTAGTATAAGACCCATGGAGCTGCCCTCAACAAGAAAAAGATAAAGTAAATAAATATATGTTCTCACTAAACAAAAAACAAGGAAGTCTACATATCCTCCCTGGCTTCACCTAACCAAAAGGCACAGGGAGAATGGATGCCAACAAAGGCAGGAAGGTAAAGAATGAGAAGGCGGGGGTACTGCAGTCAAACAGTGGGAATGGGTCTCAGGCTTGGTCTGGTCCCTGCCCAATATAGCGCCTGGGTGCTGGGAAAGGGGCAGGAAGCTGTGGCCCATAGGATAACATTGTTGTATGGACGGTGTCTGGGAGACATTTCCCTCTGTCAGATGAGCTATTTAGAAAAAGCATGGGTGGCATTTTGTCTGCCTTACATAATGTGTCACAGCTCATGTAGATCTGCAGGTAAGGCAAAGACTTTCTCACATTCACCAGATTCATGGAGGAGACATGAGCTCACACACAGATACACAGGTCCCCCCTCTCTCCCCTGACATGCAGACTTGACTGCAGCAGTTGTTGAATGACAGGTATAAGATGTCAGGATGGTGTGCACACAGGATGCAGGCATGGCTGCGAACGTCGCTGCTGCCGACAGCCCCAACGGTTGACATAGTAAATCAATCCTGATGGGAGGCTGGGTAGGACGGAGGTTGGGGGGGGGGGTTCCAGTGGGACTGAGCCGGCCTCTGTCAGACACACTCAGCCACTCAGCCAGCCAGAGAGAGAGACTGTCGACGGGTGGGAGAACACTCGCCGGGAAGCGCTCACACGGAGATTGAGTTACCACGGAATTAGATCAGGGCTGTGGGAAACAGCACCTCCTAAACACACTCGCACACTTTCAGTCACACACACATATAAACACATGCAGACGCACCGGCACACACTCAGGCCGCTCTTTTGCACACACAAAGGAGTCACCAAGGGAAACCTGAGGGAAGATTGAGGAAGGCAGCTGGGCACACGCCAGTTTCAAACAAATGCTTGCTTATACCTCTTAGCTTCCTGGCACTGGTTTGAGAGTAGTTCCTTCAAATTGGTGCCCAGTTAGGCCTACAGTCAACAGGCAGATTGGCATGTTGTACCTGGTATTTAATGGGAATATCATCTAGAGAAAACAAAGCAACTACATACAAAGGAGCTCAAACAAGAAATGTCATAAGATGCGTATCTATAGAAATCAACTAGAAGGAGCTTTTTCAAGATGTAACGGTGAAAGGTCAAGGTTTTTGCAAAAAGATCCCAATTATGTTTAATGGAGCACAGGAATGTCAGCACTAATGTGAAAGACCTTCACAGTCAGGTGTGAGTGGAGTGGTTTGTGTCTGCTTAATGGAGACCACATGAATCTGCTGGTGTTGTGGAGCCGGTGGCACTGTAGAGCCCTATTACCATAATCGTATCATAAACAACACAGAAGTGATCCCAAATACGCTCAACAGAGCTGTCGGCAGAGTGTCATGGGAAGGCTGTGGGTGGTTAGGGGGCAAGGAGTGGGCTGTAACTGACATGGTTGTGGGGCTAAAATCTGTCCTACAAGCAAAAATATCTCCATAAGTGAGGAGAGGTACGGATGCCCTCGTGAAAAAACTCTGTCCTAAAAGGGGGTTTCGGGTCTGTGTGTTTGTCCAGCTTTGCTGTTTTACGGGGATTTCCTTTATTTTCCATGGTTAGTTCAATTATTCATGTCACTCCTGGGTACAAACCACTACTGAGGCCCTGTTTAGAAGAGAATGGCCCCATCAAGAAGGTTTAAGTCTTCACTTTTAGTTCATGCGCAGTAAGTTTCAATAGAGCAGAGAATGCAAGCAAGCAGTAAGACAATGGCAAACGTAGCAAAACAATTTGCTGAAAAAGAGTTAACAAAGTCAGTCAGGTCAGGAGCACAAGCGCAGCTCAGTACTCCACCATTGTTGTTATTGTCCTCCTACTCGTGCACGGTCATTTGGCTGTAATTGTGATACACATGCCTGAATGTCACCAGCAGCTGAGCTGAGCTGAGTCTTTAGCTTTTTCTAAAAAAGTAGAAAGGGACTCTGTTCATCAAATGGAGTTTCGTGAATCATTCCACCACAGAGGGACAACGAAGGAAAAGAGTCTTGCAAGTGATTTGGGGCCCGCTGTGATGGGAGCACCAGGCACCTATCATTTGCAAAGTGTAGCAGGCCAGTGCGAGCAAAGACCTGGATGAGAGATTCAAGGCAGGTAGGAGCTGCTTTTGTTTATTTTGTAAACAGGAAGTAGGGTTTTGAATTTGAGTCAAGCTGCAAGAGGGAGCAAGTGGATAGAGATGTGCTGTTTTGAGTTAAGTGAAACCCAGACAGGCTGCTGCATTTTGGATCATCTGCAGAGGCGTGAATGTGCATGCAAGAAGGCCTAGTTACTGTATGATATTACATGAGCCTGCATCAGTAGCCATGTTGCATGCTTTGATAGGTCTGATCCTCCTGATGTTGTAGAGGGTGAACTGGCACGACTGAGCAACTAAGACCACATGAACGTTGAAAGTTAGCTGGTCATCAATCATGACACCCAGATCCCATGTAGGCAAACTTCCCCCAAATGACAAAAGAGTCATTTGGTGGTAGTTCTAAAAGATAATATTGCAGCCATTACATTAAGCAGTTTTACTGTGGTAATACCAAAAATGATTGAACCTGTAACAATTATTTAAGAGTTATACAGAAATTTTCTGCCCCTGCTGAGTTTTATAGATCGGCCTTGACTGAGTATGAGAGTAGAGACATGCATGAAATGGGTGAATGAAGGCAGGTTTTTTAGTGAAAGTGTGTGCTGACAGAAAGGATGAGAAGACGGGGGTCTATGTGTGTGTGTCAGAGATAGTGTGAAGGCTCCTCCACACTCACTGCATCAACAGAATGACTGAAGCTTGCACAATGTGTCTGTCACCACCAAAAAGCCCTCTGACATTCTGGGAACAGCATGTTGGCCTGCAGTTGCTCCCTGGAATCAAAGTCTCATCTGCACTTGTCTAGCTCCCACAGCACAGAGTTAACAACTGACCTGACGGATGGAGCAGAGAAACAGCTGCCGCTCGACAAGGTACTGGTATGGAAGACGTTAGGGGGTCACGCTCCCAATGATGGCCTTAACAGACATGTCTTCATGCAGGAATTACACTGGCCTCTGGTGCTGTTGTTTCACAGGCTTCACATGCAGACAGACACTAACTGCTGCTTTAAATCCCTTCAGGATGTTAATATTTTAGTCACGTGAAAGTTTAAGCTGCATATAACTTTATCTTCTTATCAGGTTAAAAGCAGAATTACTTCAAGCAAATTGGAGCTCGAGCAGGGAGACTGTTCATTCCCATTCATGCTTGTCTCTGTCCTGGTTATCAGCTAACTGTTCTTAAACTCTTAAACCAGCCAGATTCAGCCTCAACCTTTATTAGCCATTTATCATTTTACTGTTGCCAAAAACTCTGATCTGATTTCCTCTGTTTACAATCATTGTTTAAAATATTACAACTAACTTAACCCGTCACCCCAGTTCATGCCATTAGTGTCCAAATCCAGCTTCTCAGTTCATCCTACATCCTTTCTACTGGTCACTTCTATCACTATTCACAATCACTACTACTGGTGTCTACTCTTCTATCTCATCTTGCTCTCAGTCTCTCTAGCACTTAGTACCTGAAGGCATTACAATGGGGTCTAACTATAAAAGCCTTTGCAAAAGAAAATCACTCAAATATTTTCTTTACTTACAATATTAAAGGTTTTCTCACAAAGAAATCTCACCTTATTGAAATGTACTTAGACAATAAAAATAAAGGTAGTAACTGTCTTTTAAAGGCTTCTGGGAATCAGAGTTTTATTGTATGGAATAATTACCATTCACAACCAATGAGGTTGAGCACTTTTTAAGTAACCCTTGCTTTAATAATGGAGAGTTGTAATCTAGAGCAAGCTGCCTTATTTTAATAAACAATTATACAATTTGTTTTTAAATCAAGAATTAGTCTGCACCGTAACCTTCAAGTCTCATATTGAAATATTGCCAATGCAGTGAAGTAGAAGGTGCCTAACATGGAAGTCCTCTAGTAATGAAAACGGTCGTAAAAGTGCAAATATTTCAATAATGTTGTATTCTATGGCTGTATAATGTTTTAATATGCATACAATACTGCACAAACATATGCTTTGTATATAGATATATGTATTTATAAGCAGTATTGTTAGTGTCTCCTTCTCCCCAACACACGCTAGACAAACAGCCAGCAGGGATCAGTTACACAGAGGAACATAAACATTTAAAGCCCCTGTGTTTTATATAGTTTGACCTTTGACTCCAGCATATTAGTAAGGTCAAAATTTTCACACCTCCCGCAGACCACCCTGGCTCTCCATGCAGAGTGAGTCAAGTTTGTTTAGGATTGTTTATGTTATTTTATTATGCTCATAAGCAAAACATGTATGTGTGCACTGGGTCCAGATTGAGCTTCTGAAAACATCAGAGTTTCTCTTTCCCACTACAGCAGCAGCAGAGTGAGTTTTTTTTTGTCATCCACAGAGGATGAATGACTCCCTGGGAAGGAGCCCCTGCGCCAGTCAGTTGACCTGTTTGCAGTGACTGGGGCGGAGGAGGTGGTGGTAGGATGGGGGTGAAAGGGGGGTTTCCTAGGAGAACCTGGCAACGCTGACTGGCTAATGTTGGGCCTCCCGACTGATCAATGCTGTTGTGGAAGCACACAGCTGACAGCAGACAATGAACAACACACTCGGCTAATAGGCCGTGTGTCCTCCACAACACCAAAGAAGAAGAGGGCTCCGGCTGTAATGGGGCCTGTTGCTCATGAACTGGGGGCTCAGCAGGGGAACTGGGGGAGCTGAGGCCAGGAGTCCATCGGTCAGACAAAGCTGCCAAGCTCATTTCTTCATCGGGAATATGGATTAAAAATCAAGCTTTTTAAGATGGCATTATGTGGATATCCTGTAAAAATAACATTTTTATAATAAATGTAGATGTAAATTCTAAAGCAGGTACAACAGACTGCATATCTACAGTGGCCGAGAACTGCCACTGCTGCAAATAAAAAAGAATGCAAAAAAAGAAGTCACAACGGAAGTTACTGATGCAAAAAAAAAAGAAAAGAAACTGAAGCCTGCTGCAAATAAAACAAGAAACGGTGCAGATAAAAGAAAAAAACGGACAGAACAACAGAAGTTAACGTAAACAGTGGAGCTGCAAAAAAAAAGTTACTTATTGCTCAAATAGAAAGATGTAAAAAAAAAAAAATAGCTCCAACGTAAGTGAGCTGCCGGTGACCAATAATGATGATGCACCGGTGTTTTGCCATCAAGGTACAGAATATAATGGCAAAAAGACGAGCAAAGAAGTCAGTGGAAAGGTTTTAGTTTAATTTCGCTTTGTGTCCTTTTCAATGTGGTTAGGCCATATAGCGCCTGAGTCAATATGCAGTTGAACTAAAGCTAACACTACATCTGCATCCTCCTGTTCAACTTCATATCGACGACATGGCCTGACCAAATGACACATTGAAAAGTTTACGGAGCAAAATTAAACAATAACCTTTCCACCTACTTCTTTGCTCATCTTCTCGCTGTCATCTGAGGTGCCTAGATCATAAAATACCGGTGCATCATCATTATTGGTCCCCGGCAGCTCACTTTTGTTGTGGCTTTTTTTTTATTTGCATCCTTTTATTTTCACAGGAAGTAACTTTTTTTCCATTGCTACTTTTTTTGCATCACTAACTTACATTGTGACTTCTTCTTTTTTATTATTATTATTTTTTCCTTTTTTCTTTTCCAGCAGTGGTAGTTCTCAGCCACCGTACATATCTATCTTTAGAAAAACTACTAACAAAATTTTAATAGTTAAAGAGAAAAAAGAAGGGAAAGTGCAATCCAAAAACTGAACTGGTAAAACACAACAGATTTAACATATTGCTGCTGGCCACACATACAGATGTACAAACCAGTCTTCATACATTAACATGCAACATGAAAAATAGCCAATCATTTTATCATCATGTTGTCTAATGTTGATTTAAATCTGAAGTTTCTGCTCCCTCTTCATAGATTTCCTTTGGGATTCTGGGATTGCCCCTAATTCAGTTTTTGTCAAGCATACGTCACTCAGAAATAAACTCATTTCTAATAGGCTCAAGTATAAACGACCACGCCCATTTTATTAAACTGACCACGCCCCTCCGCACTATGTGAAAAGCTCAGAGCAGGGGCAGGTTTGAAGTGAAGACTGTCTCTGCTGTCAATGCAACACTGGAGCTTTCACTGTGAGGACTACTGTGTGCCACCTGAAGCAAAATGAAGCGGAGCCATAATTACAGTTCATCTGACAGCGACCTGGACGACAATGTCGAGATTGAGAAGGATAGTTGCGACGAAAATGGGTGCGTTTTTATATCATGATGTTTTTAGGAGCTTAAAGTAGCTATGTACTTACAGCTGAAACAAAATCAGATATTCTAAGTCGTGTTTTGCCTTTGTTAATCTATTTTTCTTTAAATAAAAAAAATAATTTCCTCACCCTTTAGTCAACTGGATTCCCACGGCTCGATGTCTCCCCCCACAACAACCCAAGTCCAAGCCAGAAAAAGGCGCAGAGGGGTAAGAAAACTTCTGGTCCCTGCTGCTGCTTTATCTTCTTCTTGCTTCCCCGCCACCTATAGCCTAAATTTCTCTCCATTTGTTACCCATTTATAGATTATTGAGAAACGGAGACGAGACAGGATCAATAATAGTCTCTCGGAGTTGAGGAGATTGGTGCCAAGTGCGTTTGAGAAACAGGTAAATTGATCATACTTCCAACCTCTCCTTGGAGATAGTCTCTCTTTTTCCATTCATATTTTTCTCCTCTAGAAAGACTCTTGATTGTATGCTGATATTATTCTTTGTCTATTTCTTTTTAGGGATCGGCTAAATTGGAAAAGGCAGAAATATTGCAAATGACAGTTGACCATCTGAAAATGCTTCATGCATCTGGTGGAAAAGGTAACAAATCCTTCCTTTGGCTTCAGATAGTAAATAAAATATGCAATCACTTAAATCAGAATGACATTATAGGGATCAGTTCCATTTCTGACTGTCTGACTGGGCTTCCTGACAGGTTTGTTCGAGGCTCATGCTCTTGCCAAGGATTACCGCAGCCTTGGATTCAGGGAGTGCCTGGCAGAGACGGCTCGCTACTTGAGCATCATAGAGGGTCGAGAAAGTACAGACCCTCTCCGAGTACGTCTGGTGTCCCACCTCAGCAACTATGCTTCCCAGAGGGAGGTGCATGGACTGGAACACTTAGCCTGGGGCTCTGCCTATGGGACACCCCCAGCCCACCTCCCACACCCACTTCTCCTCCAGCATCCACAGGCAAGGACACCTGCATCCAGGAACACCAGTAATCCACCCTCCTCTTCCTCCTCCCCCTCCACCTCTTCTTCTTCTTCTTCTTCCTCTTCTCCCTCCACCTCCTCCTCTGCCACAGATGCGTCAGGGACATCCAGACTCAGTGTGATGCCCCCCACAGAGTCCCTCAGGGTGCCCCCAAGCAGCTCGTTGGCTCTAAGTCTGCCTTTGCCAACATCTAAGCTCTCTCCCCCTCTCCTTTCGTCACTGTCCTCGCTGTCAGCCTTTCCCCTGTCCTTTGGTGCCTTCCCTCTGGTCTCCCCGACAGCTCTTGGCACGGTGAGCCCCTCCTCCACCCTGATGAAGCCTTACAGGCCATGGGGAACAGAGATTGGGGCGTTTTGAAGCTTACGACTGGACTGAAGGCAACAGCTGAGCTGTGCCAGGCAGGATAACCTGCCTCCTCTTTTGAATAGCAATAAAAACAGGAACAAAGCAAGTTGATTTTATTTTATTTTATTGAGGATGGAGAAAAAGAGGTGCTGGTCAGTGTGTCATCCCTCCTATAAAGAAGATGAATTCCTAATGACTGATGTTATTCATTGAAACTGATTACTAATCTAGATGAAGTGCACTGTTTCTGCATTGAGAACTGATTGTGAAACATGGGCCAGAATAGATTTCCTGTGAACACAAATGTAGAGGTATTATTTCCTAGACCACTCACTGACGCTTCTGCATTTGTTAAGCCTGGATATCTATTAAAAAAGTAGAGTTACTGAACCTGGACTCCTTATTTAGAGGTTTAAGAACCCATGGAAAAACGACGCATATTATCTGTGCCGTTTTCTGAGAGCCAATTCTGCTGAATCTAAAACTTGTACTCTTTTGTCAGTTTGTAATATTTTTGTATCAATAAAATGAGTTTAAGTACAAAAATTATTTGATCCAGAGTGTCTTCTCCTTTGCACTAATCATGAGAAAAATTTGGAGGTTTTTATGGTATCATTGTACTGGTTCAGACTATATCAACCCAGATGACATTTAGTCTGCAGGTCCATTTCTGCTGCATTCCCAGAGAAGTTAATTATGACCTAATAAGACCCAGTTATTGACTGAAAGGCAATTCCTCTGCTGTGTGCCAGGTAAGTAACCAGATCTGGGAGCATTGTTGCCCTTATGAATACCCAGGAAATCATTAAGAGCTAGAGGAAATCCTTTACAATGTTGGCCTGACCTCACCAACCTGGGTTGGTCTGTGGTGGAGACAATACTGTGAACAGGATAAGGACATTGGAGGAAAGCAGTTAAAAAAGCTACAACAACACACAAACAGCTGAACCAATAAATCACTGTTTGGCTGCAGTTGGAGTTGTAGATTTTTCTTAAAGGCTTTAATGCATTACTTTCTATTTTTTAATCTATTCTGACCCTTTTAGGCTTTAAGGAAGGGCAATTGCTGCTTGTGATTTGCTTCTTGAGGGCTTAAGTCATATGCTATTAATAATATATTAGACATTATGTCCCTAAGTGCTGGTAAATTACCTCAACCTTTCTCTGTGTGAATAGAAAGTGCTTTAAGATAATAATAAAACGAACATGTTTCCCATAAAAGATTTGACATGTATAAACAAAAATGCAGACATGTTTCTGTTTTCGTACAACTTACTGTGCATACATTTGGCTTATAGTGAACTTTTGCCCTGCTTTCTGTTTGGTTTCTAAAGCTCTAAAAGATCTGACACTACCACCTAGTGGACAAACTTAGTCTCTTACAGGCCAGATGGTTGATAATAGTCTCATTATCTTTGCTCAATCAAACCTTCAGTGTAAGATGCAAATAATCATCACTATGATAACCAAACAGTGAAGAGTGATGACAAATAAACCGGAAGACGACTGTGATTCTCAGGATGTGTAGATAACTGGTTCTTTTATTTGGCAGTTTACATTTTCCCTCCACTTTTAGCACAGAAAAGTATTAGATGGTGCATGCCATATGTTCACAGAATCCCAAACCTTTATTCAGCAAAGCTTTCACAGAGAAATATATGAAGGGAGAAACACAAGCAGCAGAGGATGCAGGCAGATATCAGTGATACTGAATATTAAAAAGAGACTAGTTCAGTGTGCTGAATGTAAAGCATCCTGCATCCATTCCCCATCTCACCCCCTTAAAGAGAGCAGAGGCTAGTGATGCCTTGTGGTTAAATCCACAATCACACACACCCACGCAGACGCATGTTACGTTTGCACTAGCGATATCAAGGTGGGAGCAACAGCAGGTACCAGTACGGTGTCATAACATTCAAGAGATTGATCCCCTAATACTGTGTGGAGCAATGATTTGGCTAAAGATCTCTTCATTGAGAAATAAAGTTTTCAGAGTAAAAGGGGATCTGTAAGTGTAGAAACAGTTGCTCCCGTTGGCCAAAGACATTCTTAGTAACAATAAAGCACCTATCAAGTTTTTAGTCAAGCTCGTTTAAAGAGGAAGTGGACGCTTTATGAAACTGTGTTGTGTTTCCATTTTTGGCATATTCTCGAAATCCAAGCGTGCGTGTTGAAAAGAGTATGCGTGCGTGAGGAAAATACAGATGGGATACGTTGCTATCTTGAAGGTACCGCAGTCTAGGTATACACCAATCGTAATTCTTCGCAAAGACACAGAAACATCATCATCATCATCATCATCATTATCGTCATGACATCATCAGGAAACACTGCAAAATGTCAGTCAACAGCCAACTCACAACACAGAGTTCTTTCACAAAAAAATGGTTGTAGAGTCAAAATTTCAAGAACTGAAACATTTATCAATCACAAACAAAATGTTTGAAATCATACAGAGCAGTACAGAGAGTACCTCACCTACCACCATAGATAGATAGATAGATAGATAGATAGATAGATAGATAGATAGATAGATAGATAGATAGATAGATAGATAGATAGATAGATTTTAAGAAAAGAGTATTTACAAAATAAAAGCCATATAATTTTCTCTAAAATGAACAAATCCATTCAACTCTCAAGATGAGTGTAACTGATGCTTGTATCCACTGATAATACTGATAGTAGTGAGTACTGGTGGTGTGGTGTGGTGTTTTGTGATGTGATGGTGAGGTCCTTCAAACCTCTTCGCTGCCAAGGGGCGGGTGTTGGTACTGAGGAGGGTGAGGGTGGGACAAGGGGGGGAGGGGTTGGGGCTTGTCGGAGAACGTTGATGGACCATGAAAGTCAGGGCTTGTGTGGGGTTCATGCTGTCAGCTCTTCTCTCAGCTCCTTGTTCTTGCGCACCAAAGCTGCGTGTCTCTCCTGAAAAGATAAAAAAAGTGAGAATAAATCAGGTAGAGTTCCTCTCTTCTTGATTCTGTTGTTGCTGTTTTTCTCTCCAACAGCTACAATGTGTACGTCTTTACCTTCTCCTGTAGACGCTCGAGCATGGCTGCCAGATGGGCGTCACGGTTCTCCTTGATCTGATCCATCTTCATTTGCAGCTTCTCTTCAGCCATCTTGCTAAAGTTGCTGTTCTCCTCCATGGCCTTCAGCAATACATCCCTCTCATGCTCTCGCTTCTCTGCCAAAGCTCTCATTACATGAGCCTCTTGGATCTAAAAATTTAATTCAAAAGTTATATTAAAATAATCACATACACTCAGTGGTTTTGAATAGCATTGTGTCTAAGGCCTTATTTGTTGACATCATAAAAAGCAGCCAAAGTCATCCAGCTGAAATATTCACCTTCCTCCGCTCTTCAGCAGCCTCCAGTTTCTTCTCAATGTCCTCCAGGGAGATGTCCCGCTTGGGGGGTGAGGGGAGGTTGTGAGCCACATCTGACACCGGAGACAGAGGCTTGAGGATCACCTCAAAGGCCTGACCAGAGGCCCGCTTGTTTATAGGCTTCACCTCCATGTCTGTGAAACCAAAAATTATTAAGAAAAAAGAAAAACCACTTTCCGATAACACTGCAGCTCATGCCAATAACACCCTTGTATTGTGTAGGTGAGTATTCAAGCTCAAAAATCAGGTTTAAGCTGATCTCTACCTTCAAACTCACGCACGAGCTTGTTGCGTGTCTCTGGGTAGAAGCAGGAGCAGATAAGGGAGAGGACAGACAGCTCCTTCATCTTCTCTTTGTACGCTGTGGGAACAAAACCACACCATAGCATCTTCATGAGTGCCTCCGTGTGACACCATGTAAAACAGGATATTTAATACCAAGCATGCTGTCAAAAAAACTGTTAATAAGCTTCAGATAATTTCAAATAGAAAAGTTACAACTTCAGGGAGTAAAGTCTGATTGTGATCTGTTTGATGTGTAAAACATACACCTGTCTCTTGCTGCTTTTTAATTAAATTGTGAGTGTAATATAACAATATCATAAATATAATATTGAACAAAATCAAACCACTTCAAGTCTACCAAAGAGATGAGTAAAATGGAGGACAAACATGATAAGTATAGGTATTTTTATCTCAGCTGTTGTCTCGTTATGAACCAAACAATAAGAACAACTTATATAAATCTGTCTCACCCCTAACTTTCTATTATGTGTTGTTGTCAAAGCCTTCAAAAATGGCTGATAATCTTGACTTTAACACTTAATCTGACGTAAGAGTTGTTTTTTGTTTTTTTTGCTGGTCCCTTGAAGACTATTTTTAATCTTGTCTGAAAATTTCTCACTCTTTTCTGTGCACACTCTACCTAAATTTGACTAAGTGCCCGGCTGACTGCTCAGAGAGAGAGGACTACAGATTGTCAGTGCTGCAAAGGCCAGTGTGTGAGAATGCCCCTTGCTGCAGGGCTGGCCTGCCTCCCACCCTGCCATGCACCTGTCTCCTCGGCTTCAACTCTGCTAACACCATGTACCATAAAGCAGTCTGTCTGCACATTCTGATGTACTGTGCTGTACTGTCAGCAAATATGTTGCCTATTGAAGAAAACCATCGCTGCTTATATGTGCAAAGATGCTATATGAACTCATAAAAACATGTATGCTAATGCCAGGCCTAGAACAATAGCTATCTATCAGAAGAGATGAGTAATTCTGGCTACAGTATAGATTCAGTGCTAACAGCAAAATCATACTAAGCCTTGTTATTTTATCTTACAACAGTGGTGTCTTTTTTGGGTATAAAAACAACAACAACAAAAACCTAACATCTATCACAGCTGGTGATGCACCTTTAAAGATATAAAGAAAGCTGTAGACATGAATACCAGCACCAATCCCAATGAAATAAACAAAGCAAAGAGCAGCTTCAGGACAAATTCAGGACTCAAAAGCACCTTTGGAAATAGCCAGTCACAGTTGTGGAGGTTTGAATACAGCAAAAGTGAGATTATTGAAGGTCTCATTGCTTCTCTGTCGGCTAAACGGTGAACAGCCCAGCATCTTGGGTGGGGTCCGTCTGCATTATGCTGCATGTTGGGGCCGCTGTAGCATGAAGCGCAGGTGCGGCGTTGTAAATAAAGCTGTCTGCAGCCGATCTATACTGACTAATGAGCCTCTGCTACACATTTAAACATCCAAACAAATAATGAAATGGAAGAGAAGGATGAGGATGCATTAAAGAAACCTAATGACGGAGGATGATGGAGTTATTCTTGCTGTCGTTATCAGACCCTCGTGCCGAGACAAAAGGCCCAATGTAGATGGAGAAACGTCAAGATGAGTTTTAGTATCCCTTTTTAAACCAATAATAACATTTCTTAAATGAGGGCTTTACAGAATCACCACCAACAGCAGGTAGACAATACCCGGCCGACTTCGAGAAACGATCCGTCACAGTCCATCCACCCACCCATCCACCCATCCATCCATCCATTCACCTGTTTTCTCCCATCATGACCAGTCTGAAGATGCTTACCGGTTGTTTTAGCCATGGCTGATGGATTTTGTCTCTCCGCAGAGGATGCGTTGGCTCACTTCAGGTGTTCGGTGATGCTGCTTAAGGCACTGAGTCAGCGAATAGACCGTAGTGTAGGAGCGGATCGCAGACAGGAGGTGGGCACGAGCGCGAGCGCGCATGCAGACCCTCCCCTCCACCCTCACGCGCGCGTAGCGGTTTTCACAGCGTGTGATCGTGTTGGAGACTGAAAGTTGGCGATTAAGAAAGAAAAAAGAAAGAAAATTTACAGTAATGATTGAACACTGTAGTCAATATCTTAAATTGTGAGCTGAAAATACAAAGAAAAGACGATGTTTTATTTTATTAAAATGAAAAAATTAAACTAACTTAAGGACACAGGACAAAGAATATTCACATCGTACATTTTTATACTTCTTCTAAGCCTGTATTTACCTGTTACACACCTATGTATCATACAGGCAGAATACTAACCTATTTTACAGAGTAGGGGAGAGTGGGGTAAGTCGAACCAGCCCCTGTTGCTTGGAAATGGTAGAAGAAATTGATCATGTGACCAAATATTTAGGAGATGGGCATCAATTCATGAAGTCTGTGAAGGTTGGAAGCACATAGTTTGATTAGAATTGTGTTCAGACCAAAAAAGGTCATTATAAATTTTTATTCATTCTATTGGTTTGCAGGGATGCATAACATCTTGAAATATATGCAGATACACTAGTTAGAGACAAAACTATGTTTGCTTTGATGTAGTGATCTAAAATATGAAAAATGGCTCATCTTACCCCACTCTCCCCTAAGCAACTCCATTTGAGTAGACTTTTCTGCTACAAGTCAGCATTGATCATGCTCAGCATTAGTCAGACAGATATCTATCCTTTTCCTAACAATTGACTCTGCGTCAATGCACGTCAGTGTTAACTTACAAAGAGTGGCAGTGGAGTAGGGAAGCATGGGGTAGGCTGAGCCACCCCGTTTCTTAGCAACTGAGCCCATTGTGACTGTCATGAAGTAGGCAAACTTGGGTATGATTTTTACACAGATGAGGACAGAAAAACTCTTGCAAAGAAAAAAATGAGAAAGGTCTTCAATTTTAATATCAGCTGTGAGCAAAACCATCCAGGTCTGCTACATTTCAGATATTGATTTACCTGAGAAGGCTGTAAAGATATGTGAATAATTATGCTTGATGTTTGCCTGATTTATGTACCAAGCTGTCCAAAATGGTGGTAAGGGAAAGGGGGAGCTAAACTAAAAACCAACCAGAACTTTAAACCAAGGAGACAAACTATTTACTTAAAATGTCTTAATGTAGTTCTTATTTTTTGTTGTAATCTCTGGTAGGTTATCAGTATTAGCCAGGATATACTACACACAAACAGCTCCGCCTCTTGTCTTCTCACGCCAAAGTTATATGTACGTATGTGTTTGTAGAACGATGTGAACTTGTACAAAATAAGACAGGACACAATAACACAAATGAAAACTTGATAAAGCTTTATTTAAATGAATATATCCTGGAAAATTTTAGTTAATGTTGAGGTGGTGCAGTTTGAAGGTAATAAAACTTAGCACATTACAGGGGACTGATTCTAAAACCCAATATTCTAGATGGTACACATTTTAAAACAAAGTAAAGCATCATTCAGACCTTGATCATCAATATTCTCATTTTGATTTTAAAACACTAAGAACATTTCAGTGAAAGTTGCTGTGATTTTGGCATGGCACAGTTTAAATCACAGATGTAGCAGAGGTCAAGGTTTCAAGTTTAATGTTTAAGACACTACATGTATCAATCAGAGGCTGCATTTAATAAGACAATAGGCTGATACATGTATATTTTTATGCTAAGATGGACTGTATTTAAGTTTGAACAACAACAAAAGTAAAGGTAGTGCATGTTGGTTTACTGTGATGGTGAAATCTATTAAGTGAATGTGTGTCAAATGATAAATAAAGGTCATTGCATCAGTGTGAAAAACTAAAAAGCACTAATGTGTCAAACATGTCAAAGATGTGATAAAAAATATGTTCAAAGCTGCTTCAGTGCACCGTGTTTTCAGCGTTTCACGGTTCAAAGAGTAAAGACATCATTTTGATTATTTGTGTCTAGTCGCTAAAGCACTTAGTTACGTACTGCTTTGGCATTCAGCTGCTTCTTAATGTAGCAGCCAACCAGTACTTGAGGACGCTGTTGGTAATCGTGAAGAACTTCACTGGAGCTGCTCAGCTGATCCCCCTTCAGACGGTCCAGTAGAGTCACACACACCACAGCCGCTTTGCACAAAAAGATATGAGCATTAGAGACACTGAAACTTTGTCGGCTTTGATATATTGTAGTATTACATGCATGCAGCATTAATGCAGTATTATTTACCACGGAGGCCACTCAGTTTGCACATGGCAGCAAAAACCGAAGACTCCATTTCAATATTGCAAACCCCTGCTTCACCGGCTCTGTTGAGGTAGTCTTGTTTATCCTTCTCAGAGTAGGAGCAGAATGCACCATCCAAACGGGCTTGTCCTGGTGTAAAAAAATCAGATATGGAAGAAATACTGCAAGATAGCAACAATAGCACATGAACATGTTGTATATATAATGTAAAGCATAAGAGTACTCACCCTCATAGAAATCCAGAGTACACATGGTGTTGCCTATCACTGTGTCAAACTGGTTCAGCTCTTTGCTGCACTGTAACAGCTCCTCAGCCAGGCACTGGTCCAGATCTGTGTTGCGCACCACTGTCTTTCCCAAGATTACCTGTTCAAACTTTGGCAGGAAGGTGGCATCGACAGATTGCTTAGTGACCACTACAGTGCCAGGTTTAAGCCCTTGAAAAACAGAAATGGATTACGAGATTAAAAAATATATACATCTAAATGCATGAGATAGCATACTCTACTGATATTCACTTTAAATAAGGCAATCATTATGTTTACTCTTTTTAATTTAGGCAAAGAGAGCATTTTTTTGACCTCCTATTTACCAATGTGGTCATTACACATATGGACAGTAAATTCAAATGTTTGCCACAAACATACAAATTATTTCAATCCTAAATTTGAGAAGGTGAAAAAAAAACTTTTGGGATGTGGAAAACAGAAAAAAAAAATTATCACTGCCATATCAAAACTAAACACAAAAAGATGACTCAAAAATCTAAGGGATCTTGGACTCCCTCTTGTGGTACACGAATAATATGGGTTCTTTGGGTGAGGTAGGCAAATTCTGAGTTTGCTGTTCAGGGGAAGCTGTTTAGAGTGAGTTTGATCATGCTTGAGGAGGTCATACTAAATCAGTCATGTGTATGGTAAGTAGTAAAAGGCAGAGCAGGACTTATTTCACATATTCAGCTGGAAATATGAATACAGGCCAGTGTTTTTATGCTATTTCTATGAAAAAGACCCAGAGGTCAGAGCTGCCCATGTGACTAGAACTAAAACAGTTTCCCTCAACTAACGGTTTCCAAACTAAAAGCTTTTCACTCAACTTGCTCTCTGAAATATCCCCTAGGAATTTACTTAACTTTCAGTGAAGACATTAAACAACACTAAGAGCTATACACGGGTCAAGAAATTCCTTTTAAACAGGTTCATTAAGTTCATTTAAAGAGTATCAAGTATCATCTTGTATACACATGTTTGATTGATGAATGATCAGAGCATAAATAGGGAACTTTGGTAAAGTGCAAATATGTCCAATTTAACTTACCTATTCCACCAGAGGTCCCTATACGGATAATAGTCACATCTGTGCAATGTGCATGGTGGAGGAGCTTTATTAGCTCATGTAACATTATGGCGATGGACGGGATACCCATTCCATGCTGGAAGATAAAATTCACATACGTCAGATTTTTTTCATATCTATGCAGTTTTTCAAGTGCACCGTAAGGATAAGTGTAATATTTTGTACAGCATTTGATTTAAGAATAAGATTTTGTTCTTACATACACTGACAGAGAGCACAGGGCCAACTTTGTACATAGCATATCTGTCTGTCCCGGCACAGATATTCGGGTAGTCTGATTGGGGATCCTCCATACCGAGCTCAGCAGCAATGTACTTAATGAATGCTTTCATTCTCCAGGGACTTCCTCCAACACACACAAACTGAAAACACACACACAAAATGAATATTGTAAACTTCTGAAATTACAATAACAAAGGATTTTTTAATGAAAGACTTAAAAAGATCAATACTTTGACATCGCCAAACATCGCTGGTAGGTTGTGTGTTCCTGTTCCTAAACTGAAGTGGTAGAGGATGTCATCTTTCAGCAAATCCAGGTGAGGATTATGCACACAAACAGGACTGAAGGGAGCACAGGAGAATTGAAAGAGTCAGTCCTGACCTGATAACCACACTGAATTTCTAATTTGTTACTTTTTTTCTCATTAAGTGCATACATATTTCTTTTTTCTTTTTTTTTTTTTGGAATAATGTTTTGGACCATTTGTTCTAGAGCATTCCAAAACAATGTGCGAATGGTGCTTATTAACCCCATATATCTGTACCTGCATTCAGCTTTTATAGTAGACTAAGTAGTCAAAAAGCCCTCCTGAGTTACACTCTGCTTTTAAAAAAGTCATATCAATGTTCAGTTTTAATTTAAAGATATTTTGATACCAGTTGGTTTGAAGGCTGCATGTTATATACCACATATGTGTATTAAATGTGACTTATTAAGAACAATTAGTATCTTAATGATGAAGGTAAAATGGCCCACATAAGAAAACACAAAGTAGCCTGAGTAGTCTACAACTGTTTGAGGATAAATGACTTTAAAAATCAAATTGTACTGAATTTGATGCATTTAACACAATAACCCATTAAGGAATATTTATGGAACTTATTAGTAAACCATAGCCTCCTAATAGTCTCATAATTGATATAAAACCAAAAGGTCTTCCTCTTCCTTAAACAGGAAACAGTCCATGAATGCACTCCCAGTGATTTCCTAGTTTTAAAATTTACCAACACTTTTATTGTGGTCACGTGTATCGTACAGAAAGCTTTCTTTGATATTAAAACATTTTTTTGTTTAAATATGACTGAGTCTGGAAGAAAACATCTAACCTGTCAAATGTTGAGGTTTTCGTTTCGTCCTTTGGGTCCATCTTCCTGATACAGCTGTCCACACAAAATGACCCAGTGACCGAGGACAACAGCAACCTCCGACGACACCTGAACGTTACAATCAAACACACACGGAACAACTGATATAGGTGAAGTTAGGGTGGATTCACCTGACCTACAGCACTATCTCGTATCAAGTTTCACTAAAAAGACACCTTTTATGGTTGTGAACATAACCCTATTCGGACATCGCATCACAATGCCCCCACTGCCTCTATCGTTTAGAGCGGAATTAAAAGATAAGTGGTCAAGATTTAGCTTTCATGTCGCTATTTATACAATTACAGTCAAAGCCCTATGTAGCTACACTAAGAATAGATGTTACCTCTGGAATTCTGCCGTACGACCGCAGTTTCCTCCTTTTCCAACAAATTAATTTCGCTTTCTGACCATCTGACGTAGACACCGTGGGGCATGGGCTTCGGTCGACGCGACGTCACAGCGGCGTCACATGCGGAACATGACCACGCCAGGAGGTCAAAATGCGGCTCTGTTGTGCCTCCTGTCACGTACTTCCAATGACTTCCACTGAAATTTCACTGAATTGTAAAACCCTCTGTGGCTTCATTAGGAAAGTTGCATTACATTCTGGTGACACACCTCTCCACAAAGCCTCCTCAATAACAGTCTGAAATTTCATCATCTCAAACTACATAAAACTACTGCTACAGGTTAGCAGCCTAATACAGTAGAGATTGTGTCAAATTACATTTATTTGGACATTTATTATAAAAATTTTAAGTAGGGGAGAGTGGGTTAAGTTGAGCCAAAGGATAAGTTGAGCTAAATAGGGTTACATTTGTTTTACACATCAATTGTGGTATCTATGAGCTACAACATGAGGTCAAAAACCTAGCATAAAAGTCCACCATTTTAGTTTAGAGGACTAATAAAGTCATAATAGTAGTTCTGGGGTAAATTGAACCCGTGACTCAACTGAGAAAGTAAAGAAGTCTGATGAGAGGATCAGAGTTTCAGTTCAGATTGTTGAAATGTTTTACTTTTTCTTTTCAAAAATACAGCTGTGAATGTTCTGAATCACTTAACGGAATTCTCATGTTAAAATGGCTTTTTAAAAAACAGCTTTTTAACAGTTATATGCAATAATAATAAAAAGAGTTATTGTACCAGTTGAAAAGCGTATAATAGATAAAAATACACAAAGGGAGGAAGTGAGTGTTATTTAGGGAGAGAGAAGGTGAGGGAGAGGTGGAAAGTGGGGGGGTAGTAGGGATACAGCTCAACTTACCTATGGTCAACTTACCTCATACAAGGGGTAAGTTGACCATAGGAGACCACTTTTTTTGGCATGCTATATTATCAAGACAGTTATGTTTACACTCATTTTGTTGGTTTGCAGGGATGCACAACATCTTGAAATATATGCAGATACACTAGTTAGAGACAAAACTATGATTGCCTTGATGTAGTGATCTAAAATATGAAAAATGGCTCATCTTACCCCACTCTCCCCTAATGTGTAAAATTAAATTAATTTTGACATTTATTACAGAATTAATTTTGTTTAAAAGTCTGTACACTCTACTTGTGAATCTGAAAACCAACCACAATAAGCTCAAAGAAGCTAAAATTCTAAATTTAACACAACAATTGTGCAGTATTGAGCTATTTTGTATTGATTACACATTTTTTCACTGTTACAGCTTTAAGTTTAAATTAAATATCTGCATGAAAATGTCAGCACACAAAACTGTTGAGCCAAGCCATTTTTAATAGGCAAAGAAGTGAACACATTTACTATGATGTGTTATATCACAGTGCCGATGTTACTCAAGCTAATGCTGCTGATGCTTGACATCACTTTGGTCCTTGTCACATCACATGTTTCTTTTATTACTCCAATTTGTTGATTGATAATGAGTCAGCCCTTTTAAGGTATAGTGCCCCACTCTCCAAAGCAGAACATTTCCACCACAGCAGAAGAGCCCCTATAGATATCTTATTTTTAAGGCATTTTTACAAAAGATAAATACTTAAGGCAAAGTCTTACAGAGCAGAAAAGGCAGGTAATACTTACTAGAGAATGATGTAGTGTTTGAAATTATTTTACAACTTCACTTCAAACTTTAAACCAAATAATACACATGCAAATAAAAAAAGTCACAAGTCAAATTCAAATCACCAAGAAACGCCTGACAAAGCTAAAATGTAAACACTCTTTGGGGTAGTGAACACCAGTGCATAATACTCAGGGTGTGTAAAGCTGCTCTTCCATCCTAAAAACAGAGAAAAACATGTAAATTGATTTTTTTTTCTTTTACACGTCACTATCTAAATGTAGAAAGATACAAGTAATTTAACTCAGTTTAATATATTCATTCTTGTGGTTAACTATACAGTTTGGCAGTTCTTGTAAGAATAACAAGAGCTAACATATTGGTTGTAGTTTAGATATGATGTGAAATACTAAACATTTAGAAGGGAAATATGCAATTTGTTGAATCTTTTTGACCGTCTTATTTGCTAGAGTAAAATTAACTCACATATCTCCATTTCCCCCGTTCCACCTCCTTTTATGAAGTTTAATGTGCTTAAGATCCCTCTGTCAATTTCAAAAACAGAATTTAATCCAAACAGTGCTATTGTTTATACACTAGGGCTCAATATGAAACTCCACTTACCGCCTCAGTTAAGACTACGGGGTGCTCTGGGAGGTACTCCGGTTTCTTCCTGGCCTCAGGACAACTTGCCAGACCAATCAGAAAATCTCTTGAATAAGATATTCTTCCTACAAAAATAATATGTGCAATCTATGTAAGACTAAAAATCAGGTAAATACAAACAAGAGCCAAAAGCAGGATGTTGCTCTGACAAGATGCTTTTGTTCAACCCATTCTGTAAAAAAATTAAATGAATGAGTCTGTCTCCTACACATGTAACATTGAATGTGCATGACAATCTAAGTGTGATATTGGCAGGTAAGCACATTCAATCTTTATGGTGACCAAAAATACCCTGTGCTGTTCCTTCTCTCTGCTTGTGGAGGTTGACAATCTTGTAGAACTGCTCTATCCCAATATTCGTCTATAAAGAAAAGCAAGAGTTAATTTTGTATGACTCCACAATTTTAAAGAAAGAGTTTAAATCAAAACAAATCTGAAGATTAGTTAGAAATGTGTGCTTTATAATTATCATTATACAATACATCAAGAAAAATGTAGGTGTAAGTTGCGACACTGAAACAGTTTTCTCTTGGGTTTCCATACCTCTTCATTAATTTCCTTGATCATCGCCTGTGCACATGTGGCGTTCAAATTGGGCTCTAAACAAAGTTATACAATTAAAATAACAGAAGGCCATTAAATATGAAAACAGCAATATCAAATAAATACTCAGACCCATTCTTATAAATTTCACCAACTGAGACAGCTTACCATTTTCAACTTGGATGCAGCGACGCAGAGGTCTCGCAGGCTCCAGATGTTTTTGAAGGACTCTTCTCCTGGATACCTCCATCCTGGTGTCAGTGAGATTCGAACATGTTTTAAACCCATGCAGTCTACAGGAAGTGTCTAAGGTAGATAAATGTGTAAGGGATGCCATGCACATGACAAACTACCCATAATACACTTATGATGTGATGTGTTGGCACTTTGTTGAAACTAGCTATGCATCTGCTGAGCCAACATCTCTGCTGACCTCACACTTTTCATGGGTATCTGTCTGTTAACAAGTAATTTGGCCTTAAGCAATGGCATTATCTGATCTGTTGCATAGCATAAACTTAAACAATGGAAGAGGATAAAGATTTGTAATGTAAAGTTTTTCTTTTTGGAAAAAAATGCACAATAAATGAGTTCATTCCATATCTCATTTATACGTGTTCATCATTTATTCCAAATTAGTTTTTAATTACAAATATTTTTGAGTTTTACATTAAGATTGAATTTAACATAAACTATGTTTTCAAATGGCCTTTTCAGGCAGTCCAAATATAAAGTTTGTATTTGTACAGCAAGTTTAAGAGGCTCCAAAGCTGTTAATTTCAACATCAAAAAAACTTAAGTGTGAGAAATATAAAGTTGTTTTTTTTTTTTGTAAGTTGAATGTTTGAATTTGGGGATGAGCAAAGGTTAGCTTATGATGCCAGACTTTGACCATGTGTACTTGATGTTTTTTTAAAATAAAGTTTGATTTTGTCCCTGGACTTAATATGGGGTCACATGACTGACATAAAAGGTATGAGGCAACAATTACAAAACTTAAAAAAAAAAAAAAAGAAAAAAATAGTTATCTGCCTACAGTTTTACATGGTCATTTAGTAACACAAAAAACAAAGAAATATTAGGTTTAAATTAAGAGAGCAAACGCATGGGAGAAATAGACATTTAGCAATCACTTCACAGGGATGTTCAGCTTTGGGTTTGTTAGCATTTAAGCTAATTTGATCAATTCAATTTCAAGGGCTTGGGTAGCATATTCAACACGTTTAGGAGCGTTAGATTGGCAGTTAAGCAAACTACTCAAATATTTCCCACTTTTGAACTCTTGTAGGTTTTCTTTTACATTTTCCAATCGCGAGTTGATGTTCAGAGGCAACTTGGCATCACATGAGGATGATTGTTGTGTCTCTGGTTCACTTGTTTGATGGCAGACATTTGTAGCAGCCATACTCCCAAAGATCACTAACTCTGCTGTCCTCGAATGTTAACGGTTCTCTTCGTTTGACACAAGTTTGTCAACACCCGTAACTATGGCCCGTGGTCTGCTCATCTCTTACAGGTAGATAAAATCAGATTTTAGACGAAATTGAGTTTTATAGTTGATAAATACAACTTGCAAGATATTGTTTTTTTTCAGTCTAACCATGTCGTTTTGTTCGGTTCATGACGTTAGCATTTATAGAGACAATCAGACGATTTGTTGAGTGAATCTTTTCACTGTTCAAACAGAGTTTATGTTTTATTATTTACCTGTGCTTTTGCTCGACTCCCTCAGCGTGGTTCTCTGCCTCTTGCTTCAAACGATGTCCTGATAATCCAGAATGAATCACAGCTTCCGGTAGCATATCTCCAAAATAAAACACATCCTCGATAGTGCGTGTGATCGTAACTGCAGAGTTTTGGAAACCAGTGGCTAAATTCGGATAGTGTATATGATCAGCATGACAATCTTGGTGCATATATATATATATATATATATATACACACACACACATATTTTTTTCAACAAAAACCATTGCTAAAAAATACACACATACACATATATGTATGTGTATATGCACATGCAGCACACACACATATATATATATATATATATATATATATATTTTTTTTTTTTTTTTACACACAAATATATATAGTTCAGTATTTATTGTGAATACAATATTTTCTGGACACATTATACGACTGGTTCATTATGATACTAATCAATAACATACCACTGATCTGGTGCTAAGGATGTGACTTAAGTGTGAATTTGTGGCCTGCCCTCTGTGAATTCAACCTAGGATGTTTTACTCACAGTAGTAGAGCTTAAAAATTAGAACTTAAAGATAAAACACCTACATTTATTCAGTGTTCAATTTGGGGTGTTTGGTAACATCAGTGTTTCATGTTTGATGTTAACACATCACCTGCCACTTGGGATATGTTTTTTATTTTTAGTTATCCTTTGAAGGATACCTTATAAGAATTTACAATATGCAATGTTTGTGTGGCACTAAAAATGTTACTGTACCTATGTGAGTTTGTTTTTGATTCACAAGTCTCCATCTACAGGTTTTCTACCAAAGATAAGTACTGTATAACTTAACTTTATATTCATTTCACTCGTGAACAGTAAATCAACACATATGGGTATGCATTGGTCATCTTTTAATAGATTAGCCTGCACTGCAGAAACAGATGATTAAATGTCAGCAAGCATGAGTTTGTTTGCACCATGTGCCACATTTCTGAGAGAAACAGTCGGTTTGAGTGGAATGTGTTCCTTTATAACCACAACTTTCAAAAAACCCACAGGTAATAAAAGTACAAACACCGTCACATTGTAAGAAGATGAACAAAAAGATTTCCATGAAAAAAGTGGAATTTTTAAAAGTACTCATAGTACGAAGACTAATTTGTGTACTTAATGTCTTAAACAAATATGGCATAAAAGTGAAAAAGCACAGCAGCTTAATTTACTTCACAATCAAGTAAAACCATGCCACATCAAACAGAAAAAAAAAGAAAAACAGAAAAAATGCTTGTTTCCTCCAATCAACTTTGCCTCGGTCAACTGCTTAAATGTTACTGTTGTCCTCTACTACAGCATGGAAGGTACCATGAAAAACAAGGTCGCATTACACGAATTGTAGCTGTATTCTTCTTGGACCTATTGGTCTTCCACTCAATTCCTCAATTGCTTTCAGCGCTTCCAGGCGGGACTCAAACACTGCAGTTGCAGAGCCTTTTGGTCTTCCACTTTGGTCATACTGCAGTGAGACAGATCCTTGGATGATCTGATATCCATAGCAAAAGTCATAGATTTCTTCTCGTCTGATTTGGAACGGCAAGTTAAGTAGCTGTACACAGGTGGGGCCATCAAAATTCTGTGCTTTAGCATTAAAGCTGCCCTGACCACCATTACCCCAATCTCGCGCAGCATGTCCACCCACCATATAGGAGTCATTATCCAAACCACCATGGGTTGAAGCACGTGTGTAAGGTATTGGTGAATCACCATCCTGAGAAATCCTGTAGTCAGGATACTCCGGGTCACCTGGGCGATAGGATGACATATTGCTCCTGTCTGTGTAGTGCTCTCCTCTTGGCAGTGGATTTTGTACACGCTGCTCTTGCATCACTGATGGCTCAAACCCCAACTGCAGCATCTGGGACCGTGAAATGCATTTCAGTATGACTTCTGACCCAAGAAACCTTTGTCCATTGAGAGAGAGGGCACTCATAGCCTCTGTCTCAGACCGGAAAAGAACCAGAGCCTGTCCAACCCCATCACCATTATGGTCACTCATCACAAACACCCTGTCCTCAGTGATATCAAACCCAAGGAAAAAGTCCATGATCTCCACTTTTCGCACATCGAGGGGCAGATTTCGCACGAGCAGACACAATTTCTCAGCATTGTGCGCATCACTGGGGTGAGCTGGAGGCCTCTCCAGAAATCTGGCAGATTTATCAGCAGGTCTGTCACTCATGCCCTGAGATTCCAGCAGGGTGATCATTTTTTCTCTTGAAATTGGACGAGTGTAAACCCATCGGTTCTGAAATAGTCTTTTTTCATTACTCAAGGCATCACAGTAGTCTCGCAGACTCCTGAACAGTACAAATGAAGACCTAGTTCTTTTGCCATCACTGCCCATGAGGTGAAGGATCTGGCCATCTTCAAGGTTAGCATTTCGAAAGAGCTTTTTTATGTCTTCTTTTTCCACTGTGTAGGACATATTTTCCAACAAAACACAGTACTCTTCATCTGAAGAAGAAACAGACCTCTGAGCCACAGGTGACTGGGACCTTGCATGATGTTGTGGATTTCTCTGACTGCGAATTGGAGATCTATCCCTTAAAAAGTTGTCACCTGTGTTGCCATCAAATGACACACTACCACCAGCCTTACGCCAGTCCTCTGCTGTTGATGGAGAAACCTCTACATACCTTGCCCTTATGTACTGTCTATCCCTCTTCAGACCTTCATACGCATCCTTAGTGGTTGCAAATTTTGCAATACCCTTCCCGTTCTTCGCACCATATCCAGTTTTAAACAAGATTATGTCATCAACTGCTAAACCACTGAAAAAACTCAAGATGTCCTCTTCGGTCACTGAGAAAGGCATTCCTTTTAGAAACAAATACAGGAGGTCATCATTGGTGCTTGAAGGCCCCTTGTGCTGTGAGGAAGTGTGATCCAATCTGCTAACGGATCTCCTGCCCACCTCAGAGTCCACAGATCTTCCAGCACGTCTTGAATTTTCTTCTAGTCGCCTCTTTTGATCAAGCTCTACAGATTTTGTACTTCTCTCGAGCACAGTTTGCATTTCTGCTTTACTGCTCAGAAGCAATGTCACAGGCGAACCTTTAATGCAACCCAACGACCGCGTCATGGCTCTTCTTGCATCTTCATCCGAAGCAAAGATAATGAATGCTTCCTCTCGCTCCCCACCAATAATATGCACCCCTCCATCCGGAATTTTTAGGCCAGTGAAGAACTTGCGGATATCCTCAGAGCCCGCTGCGATACTGAGTCCCTGTAAACGGATGACGACTGCCATACTGATGCACAAACAACAGCACCTGCAGACAAAAGGGTGTAAGACAGAATTATTTCCAACAGAAATTCTCTCGGCCAGTGCCAATGTCCTGGTATTTCATTGTAACACCACTGGTCTGGCGTTGCATTGTGAGATAAAACGCATCAGAGATAAAGGAAACCATCTCAATTCGGCGTCACTCCCAAAACACACAATTCCCAATTTCTAATACATGTCTTTTCATAATTTCCTTTTTCTTCCAAACAGGACTTTAACTTTGCAACACAACATTGGCACCAATCAGATATTGATGAAAAATGTGGAGAACTGACAAGTATATTCAAGGCATGGCAGACCCAAGCAGTAACCTTAGTCTTGATAAACAAAGTCGATGTGGACATGCCAGTTCCCTTGGTGACTGCTTAAAGGGATACTCCGGCGTAAAATTAAGTTATGTCAAACACACAGAGACACCGAAGTAGACACCCCATCGAGAGATAGATGTTGCCGACCGCTTGCATCCAAGTTATACCAACTTTAGTAACAACCGCATGATTGCAATACACAGCGGTCCAGGAGCCACGCACTGAACCAAAAAGCCCCTCTATAGCCACAAATAATGCTCAGAACAGCACCGAACTTCATCAACAGTACATATGGGGTCCCAGCCATAGTACAAGCCACCAAACATCTTTTTAACTTTGCCTGATTTCTTTAGCAAAGAGACCAAACACAACTCACCCATTCTCTTCCAGCAGCCACTGGTTTGTACAGAGACTTCAGGCGAGTCCATTTCCACAGTGGGGTGTGCAGCTCAAGGAAGAACATTCATGATCATTACTTGATCATTCTCTGAAGTAATAATCATCATATTAATCATTTTGCACTGCAGGCGCAATAGTTCTTCTGCCTTAGCGTCTCAGTCTGATTGCATTTCCATGAAGAAATGATCATAAATGTTCTTCCTTGAGCTGGGTCCGATGCGACTTCCAGATAATTCAAATTTCATCAGGAGCAATTTCAATTGAATCACAGCACTGGAATAAAATCCCACCAGAAACAGCAGCTTCAATATCACCATATTTGCTGATTTTGAAGAACAGGTTGGGCATGCCACCCCAAATCAAGTTAACCAACTACTTAAGGAATCATTTTTCATTCAGCATTTGCACTTGAAGATAAGAGAACACCAACTGTAGTCCATATTATAATTAATCACTCACATAAACACATTTCCAAAGCAAACAGATGTTAACTTCAGAAATTAGAGCCTTATGCATCGAAAACAGGTCAGCTCCCAGAATCCAAGGCAGAAGAGGTCTAATCAGAAAGCACATTTTTATGATTTTCTGTTGCCGTACTTGTGTTTTAAGCATTACAGAGACAGTAAAAAAATGCAATAAGATGATCATTAATTTCACTGAGCTATCTTGTTTGAGACCTGCCAACCAAAACTTACAACAAATTACGAATGAACAAAGGGAACCTCTTCTTGTAAGTGGGTTAGAACATTGCAGCACAAAGACAGCTTTATAAATCTGTTCCACATTTGCTCTTGTGACCAAAAAAAATCACTAAATTCTCTTCCTCTGGTGTTGGATAAGACCGTCACCACCTCCGAGGCAGCCTCCATGGACCCCACACTTCGAAAACCAGTCAACTAAAATCCACTTCAATACCTCCGATTTGACCAGGTTTCCCCCTAGACCGTCCACACACTTCAACCAAAGATCCAAAAAATTGTTCCTTTGACGTTCAGTTGTCAAAAACCACAACAGCAATGGGTGCACATATTAACCTCATCCAACACTAAAGCTAAAACAAAGCTCCGTGAAATCTCAAACAAGATGAGGGGGGGCCGTGGAGCCGAGCGGGCCTTTAGCTTTAGCATTAGCTGCTTTCAGGGCCGACGTCGGCTCACGAAAATGAGAGCCTCCTCAACTTATAGCATGAAAATGTGGCGACCTAACCAATGATAAAACTTACACAGGTGCTACAGCACAGTTTCTCGAGTATTATCGAGCGTTTCAGGTGATAAAAGGTCAGATAAGTTTCACTTCGTATAGATCTCGACCCGTGGTGTGTCCGTTTCCGCCGGCGCCTTCTTCTTCTACGCTTCCAAATTCCGTCTGCTGGTCTGTGTGAAAGGCGGACAACGCCATCTGTTGTTCTAGGGTATATGCATGCGACATACAAAGGTTTATTGTCTAATGTCCAGGGACAACTATACAACCAACTGTCTGAATAGGTTGAGGCATTTTAGAACTAATTGAGAACTACTTATGAAGAACTACTATAGCATTATGATTTAATTCACTATTTTTTTGTAATATTTTCAGACAACACACAGCAGAAGTTAACAATGAAAAAAAACAAGAAATGGAAGCCCACTGGAAATAAAAAAAGAAAAGGTGCAGATTTGGAAAACACACACACACACACACACACACACACACACACACACACACACACACACACACACACACACAACAGAAGTTAATGATGCAAAAAAAAAAGTTACTGTGAAAATAAAAGGATTCAAATAAAAAAGCCACAACAGGAGTGAGCTGCCAGGGACCAATAATGATGATGCAGTGTGTCATTTGGTTAGGCCATGTTGCGCCTGAGTGCAACATGGCCTATGAAGTTGAACTGGATGATGCTGGTGTAGTGTTAGCTTCAGTTCAACTTCATATCAACCCAGGCTCTACATGGCCTAACCAAATGACACGCTGAAAGGCACATGAAGCGAAATTAAACTATAACCTTTCTACTAACTTCTTAGCTCGTCTTCTCACCGTCGTCTTCTGTGCCTACATCATAAAACACCAATGCATCATCATTATTGGTCCCTGGCAGCTCACTTCCGTTGTTCCTTTTTTTATTTGCATTCTTTTATTTCCGCAGTAAGTTAACTTTTTTTCCACATCCCTACTGTAAAATATCGTTGTGTTTTCTATCTACTTTTTATCTGCACCGTTTCTTTTTTTTTTTTTTTTTTTTTTGCAACGGTCTTCAGTGTCTTTCTTTTTTAATTTATTTATTTTTCCATCGATAACTTCCGTTGTTACTTTTTTTTTTTTTTTTTTTGCATTCTTTTTTTATTTATTTTTTTTTATTTGCGGCAGTGGCAATTCTCGGCCACCGTATTAAAGTGTGTCTCTGCTCCTGCCAAAGAGTGCAGAAGCCCATGTTGTCCACTTTTCCTTATCAAAAATTGTAAAGGAAATATCTGCAATACTTAATAATAATAATAATGATAAAAAACAGTTACTCAATACCTTCAAGTCATCATTTTTATTCAAGCCCCTTATGCAGTGGTCGGTACATCTTCTAGAAAAGCCACCATGACTCAGGTGTTGTTTATTTTCAGACAAACTTTTGTGTATTTTAACTCATATTTACTGCTCTGTAAGTCTCTTGTTACTGTGCGCTCCAGGGTTCGCGCCAGCTATACACCCTCATCATGTGATGTTGTTGAGCCCAGCAGCAGCAACAGCAGCAGCAGAAACACTCAGTGTGGATCAGTGTGTTTGGAATAAAATATATTAAAGAAATGTGCACTGACCCTCAAACAGATCCCGTATAACTTGAAAGCTTGATCGAATCCAGGCACTTGGTAGAGCCGACCTTTTTTCTAAAAACATTTGTGTTGTCCTCTCCTCCTAAAACTCCTGGCTAACTTACCTGAGCTCGTGTTAGCTCGATAGTACCACATCCACCCAGGCTGGAGCTCGGGCGCAGCAGCAGCGGCGGAGCCTCCGAGCCGACCATCATTTCCGACAGCCCGTATGGATTTGACGTCGGAATACATTGTTGCTTGATGTTTCTAAAAGAGGCTAATTATAGAGGATTTTGAGGATGGGGAAACATTGGGACCTGGAACACTTTCTAAAGTGAGTACTTCTTGAGACAACCATCGACTTAATTTTGAGTTTATCGAGGTAAAACCGCCTTCCACTTCACAAAACATCACTAGCTAGCTTGCTAGTAACGCCGGGTACTGAGGCTCTTATAACTGGTTCAACAAAACAACAAAACGTCTAGGTATACCAAAGCTCTGATATTGGATTAACAAATGAGTCCGCGTTCCAATTAATTCGAGAAAGGTGATTTTTTACGTCTCCAAACATTTCTGACACATCAAAGATCGATATAGTAGCCCAGAAGTTAACCGCAATGTTAGCCTGCTTGGTGCTAACTCCAGTGCAACGGTTAGCTAACTTAGCTAGTGTTGATGCAAGTGGAGCTTGTCAGGTAGTTGTTATTTTAATTTATTTATTTTTATCTATTTTATTCAATCTGTCCCGTAGCTTCACATGACATTAAATTTCACACACCTCCCAGCACATTGCTATTTTCTCGACAATAAAACAACATGAAGTGTACATGGCACAACATGAGCTCTCCTTATCTTTAAAGATGGCCCACTCTCTCTTAGCGTTAGCTCAGCCCAGTTAGCTCAATGTTAGCCTCTTCATATCCTTTATATACCAGCCGCGCAGTGAAATAGCTCAGTAAATGTCATCTCACATGTGTGTTCGTACACAAAGATGTCGTATCGCAAGACGTGTGCGCAAATTCTACCAAAGTAACTCACAAAATGCGTCAGTCTGCATCTACATCTGCTCGTTTTCATAGTTGGTCATGTAAAAACATCCTTTTAAAGGCCATGTTTTGGCTGCATCAAGTCCTCCCGCTCAGGCCATGCTTTATTCGGTTTGCTTGTTGGATTCAAACAAGTCTCTGCGTGTTTTAACCAAAGTATTGATGTGTGCTTTCACACTTATCTTCTTCTTCTGAGGGACAGCCTTTGTTTTCACCAGGCCACTCGCCTGCCTCTATACTTGTCTAATAATGAGATGCATGTTCTCTCTACTCGCCCTGCATCCATCTTTTTCATCTGTTACCGACCACGATAGTTCTATTTTTAACCCACACGGCAACGTAATCTTTCGCTTTTGTTGTGGCTATTTTAAAAAAAGAGAGCAGGGGAGAGTAAAAGACCACTCTATGGAGGAAAATGGAAACCTTTGTCTTTGAGCGGACACAATTTGGCAACTGGTTTCTGTGCCACATTGCAGCGATAGATAACAGGGATCCCAGACAGAAACGCCTGTAGAACTAGTTATTACCAAACGGTATATAGCTTTTTTAAGCCACAACACAGTGTAGATAGAAACGACATGTCACCAGACCTTCTATGTCTTGCAGTGTATTGTATTAAAACAAAGGTGTAATCTTGTATGTGCAGGTTAGACCTCAGGTGTCACTGATGTCAGGTTAATAAACTTGCTGACAGACTGACTGTATGCTGTTTTGGCTGTGAGAAACCGGCTTCATTATAACTCTGTCTTGACTTTTCTCTTCAGGTGTGGCGTCACTTTGGAGGGCTCATTTCTCTGATTTGGATTATTCTTGGCCAGCAGCATCTTCAGGCCTACTAATCCTTAAGGAGTTTCTAAATGGACTCTCTGCTCAAATCTGAGATCAGGTACAACTTTCAGTGTCTGTTTTGTTTGGTGTAATTTGACATTCATCCTGACATGATTATAGTCACCAAACAAGTGTAGCTTGTGCTGCCAGTCGAGGCCTAGTAACACATGATTGTTTGTGCTCTTTTAGTTACCAGACATTTGGCGTAAACATTTTGGGTCTCATGTTTGCACTTCTAAGATATCTGATAGTCTTTAAGCTCCAGAGGTCTACTTAGCATTAAGTGTAATATAGCCACAAAAACCATTGAATCAAAAGAAATAGTTTAATCCTTTTCACTACCAATTCATTACGGTGACATTTTTACTAAAATAAAATGTCTCAACCTTTTTGTCTCAATGCTTTTTATTTGAGGCTTGAGGTTTCAGGTTTTTACTATAAGCTGGTTGTTAAGGCTCCTCCACAGCAGAATTTCTCTGCAGAAATGTCTTCTTTTGAAGGTCACAGAGGAAGGGAAAAATTAAATCCTGTAGGCTTTTATGACCTAATTATTATCCCGCACCCATATTGAGCCAAGCTGAAGGAATCCACACTCTAAAATGGGTCAAAAGAATGAACAAATACATGTTATTCACCTTCATTACATATTGAATTTTTTCATCTTTGCTCTTTCCTTTGTGATTGACTCTCAGCTTTTTAGTTGACTCTCTTGTTGGAAAGGTTTCCAGTTTTTTGTTGTTTTGTATCATTTTGTTATTGAATGATTATCACCATCATTGTCATTTGTTATTCTGTGGTTCACAGTTGTGTTCTGTGGGTTGTATTGTGAAAGTTTAAGCCACAACTGTAAAGCCTGCATAGTGTGGAGTAATAATCCAGAGTACTTGACCTAACCTATGCTTTATTACTACCAGATAAAAAGGGATTTATGAATCAAGTAGAAAATTAAAAGCAATCGCTTTAGATTGTGACTTGGTAGAACATTAGATAAGGCTTTAAGCTACACTACAAACATTAGATGTCTTTTAACAGAGTATAGATTGATACATTTTTAGAAATGACTTCAAAAGAAAATGGTTACGATTTTCGATCATGTTTGTTTTTCTTGAATTGTCTCTCTTTTTGGGGCAGTGTACCAAAAATAAGAATGTAATAACAGGTAGAAAGGCAAATCGAAAATCATTACCATTACTCAAGAACTTTAATTATAAAAGCACCCAGATAATGATCGTCTCATTAGGATTACATTACAGATTGTGTTTTTTATATCTTCAAAATTATAGTTGAAGAGGCGGATCATAAAATTTCACTTAACTTTTCTGTTTCTTCTCAGATGAAAAATGCATTCATTATTTTGTCGCTCGGTTGACTTTGTCACATAATTGGTTGATGCAGCTTTGAATGAACAATCAATATGCTAATGAACACAGTCATAAGTGGTGCTTTCCCTTGTTTATCTGACAATCAGATCAATTACATTAGCATCAGTGTGTGTCAGTATTTATATGATAATGTTTGATAATTGTTCATTATCCCCACAAACCCTTCAGACAGTGGAAAATACTAACAGAAAACATGCAAACTGAGTTTTAAGAATTTGGGGAAAGGGGAGTTAGGCAGTACACACCGAAAAGAGCACAACTGGCCCTACAAAAGATGTTTGGATCTTGAAGGTTGTGTTGAGGAAATCTGTCATTTATCCTCTTATGGTTCCATGTAGTGTCACATGAACTATGTAAATTGATGTCTTTCTTTTCTCCCCTTTTACTGCTGCGTGTAACTACAGAGAGGAGGGGAGTGGTGCCTCTGTAAGTATCAAAAAAATCGATTTTTATTGTATTAGTTCAGTTTTGGTATATAACAACTGCTGTTTTAAGTTCTTGATTAAAAACAGGTGAAAGATTAATTTGAGTCCTCTCTTATATTGTAGGTGAAGGTGGAGGGCCTATCAAAGGCAGCGCTAATTAAAAGCCTGTCACCCAGAGTCGTGTTGTCGAACCATCTCCTGCCTAAAGGGACCAAAATGAAGGTCAACCTGGAGGATCAGGGTCGTCAGAAAGTGTCCTTCAGTTTAGCACAGACCAAGAAGCCACTGCAGAGCCTCTTCTTCATCCCCCCCAGCCCTGAAAAGCCTGTGGCTGAACCTCCCTCTGCCTTGCCGACCTCAGACCGAGGAGGGCAGACTACAGACAGCAAAACTGAGCAAAAGCAGAAACCCACGGTGCCAACATCAACAGCAGAGACGCTTTCTCAAACACCACTCTCTTCAGCTACTAGACTGAAAATTGACTTAGCAAAGATGCATTACAAGAAGCAAATTCTCAGTGTCTCTGTGACAGAAGAGAAGCCGACTTCTGCCGCACCAAGTGAGCCACATTCTGCCGGCTTGCAGGTCACGCAGAAATCAACAAGCACGAGTGAACCTACATTTCCGACACCCCAGCCTCATAATGCCATTAGTGTCTGCCCTTCTGAAAATGCTTACACTGAAACCTCTGAGACAAAAGTCACCCCAAACCTCAAGAAGCAAGTTGCGTCCTCAGGAAAAGATGGAGACAGTTCTAGCAGTACTGAGCAGGACAGTAAAGTAAACAGAAGGAAAACCAGGTCTCAATCTGATAGTGCACCTCCTGGCTCAGAATCTGATGGAGATTCTGCCCAGATGTCTTCCAGTCACAGATCAGTTGACTCTAAAAGTAAAACAAACTCTGAGAGCAGAAGCAAGGAGGTAAAAAAGTCTTCCTCTGGATCACATGTGGAGGAAAAAGAAAAAAGTTCCTCAAGGCGTTCAGAGAATCACGAAAGGTCTTCAAGTTACTCCAAATCAGACAGAGATTCCAGACACACATCATCACGCTCATCTAGATCTGACAAAGACCGTAGAAGGTCAAGGTCCAGGTCACGATCTAGATCCAGAGGGTCCCGAACAAGCTCATCTCACTCCAGATCAGAAAGATCTCGTGGCGACAGAGGATCCCGATCAGAAAGGTCGTACTATCATGATTCTGATCGTAGATCACACAGAAGTTCTCCACGCAGAGAAAGGAGACGTTCTCGATCTCGCACTGACAGACCTCGGGACAGTTCAGACTCAGAGGATGACCACAGGAAGACCAGGACAAGGATGAGTGACTCTGGTAGATCATCTGCACATACAAGCTCACATAAGGAGTCCAAATCATCCTCCTACTCAAAATCAGAAAAAGTCTCTAAATCATCAGATTCTCCCCATTCCTCAGAGTTGGATAAAAAACAACAACCGTCAAAGTCTGAAAGGACCTCAAGCAAGCGACCGCCAGACTCAGATTCTCAGCGCAAGTGCTCACCAGACCAGGACTCTAGTTACCGCAAATCCAGCTCCCATCATAAGTCTGAGACCAACAGCAAATCCTCTTCTTCCAGTACGCACACCCACTTTCAATCATACGAGAAACGCCAAAAAAGTAGCTCAAGTGACTCCGACGCGGATCATAAAGGAAAATCACAGATCCCTGAAAAAAGCCCTGGCTCGGAGGAGAAATGTTCAAACTACCAAAAGAAAAGCAGTAGGTCAGACTCAAAGCAGACGACACCTCCGAGATCATCTGTGAAAAACAGCGGACAGGACAGACAATCAACTAACGCATTTCAAAGTCCTGTCAAAGCACCGTCGACTGCAAACACCACAGAAACATGTCTTTTAAGTAAAAAAGAGAGATTGGATTCCCAACAAGATGGAAAGGAACAAAGTAATCAAGATTTTAAAGAGATTGTCTCATGCACTGATAAAAGTCTACAAGATCTGTCATCCAAGAGAATAGAAACAAAACCAAGTCTTGAAGTGAATACAGAAAATGCCTCAGCTATATCCTTGGGTGCCTCCAGTGAAAGCCAGAAGCATGTGAACGCCTGCCTGGAAGACTTGACTAAAGTGAAGGATAGCTCTTCTCCTGATAACCAACAACATGTGAAAACATTTGCAGCTGTAACAAACTCATTATGTAGTAAAGAAAGTGTCATGTGCAGCCAGGACATGAAAGTTGTCGACTGTCTACCGGGGCCACAGTCCTTACTTCTCACACATGATGCCCAGCAGAACACTAAAGCAGAGGTCGTGGAGCTGAAAACGGCTTTAACAGTCAACAAGCAGTGCGGCACAAGTGTGGCACTTCAATCGGATTTAGCACGCCTTGAATCTGAGGATCAGCTGTCTCTCCAAAAGCAAAATACAGACACCTTTAAAAGGAGCAGCAGTGGCACCAAAAAGTCCAGATGGGATATCGTTGGGCAGGACAACTTAGAGAACGAGCATTTACAAAGGACGCTTAGTGCAGAAATTAAACCCTCTGTTAAAAAAGTGATCTCCGTCAAAAAGATAGAGCTTTCGGTAGAAAACAGCCAACAAGATGCTGACGTGACAGATATTAATCAGCAAGACAATGAAACACATTCCAAAGTGGTGAGGCAGACAGAGATCTGTAAGCAGGAAGTGGACTCCGACAGCACATCTATGGTTGATGTATACAAAAACCAAAGTGAGCCTTCACAAGCAAGCACCAGCACTGACCACTGTGACTTAGAGAAAACGAACACAGACGAGCCTCTGCATGTCAACGACGCAACACAGGTCCAAAAAGCTTCAAGCATGCAGAGCTGGAACGGAGACGGTTGTGAAGAAAATCCCAAGATCAGCGCTCACAAAAGCAGAACGAGTAAAAGGACGTCGCTCAGTCGGGATGCGTCAGGAGGACAGAGCGAGGCCAGTGACAGCGACAACTCAGAGTACGACTCGGATTGTGGCGAGGCTATTAAACGATTGCACTCTGTGGTGGTGGTGCCAAAGAATTCTACTCTAACAATGGACGGCCAGGACACAGCGGCTTCCCCGTGCACTCCAGTAAATAGCTTAGAAATTCAGCGGCCCGATTTCGCAGATAACCTGGATATGAGTGAAGTCCCCGAACAAAGACAGGGGAGTCCCTTTACTGCATCTGTGGAAACCAGTGGTCCATGTGTCGGTGTGAACAAGCCATTCAGTAACAGCATGTTGTGTCAATCCCAGAGTAACATGGTTGATAGCACCAGTCACATAGAGGGTTCCAGCTCCATCAGTGCGCAGCCTCACATCAGTCTCCACGGAAACACCACAGATCTTACCCCAAATCTTGATAACTCAAGGCAGTACGAGGGACACGAGCAGCAGGATGTACTCAGTCGAAGTGAAAAGGTGTTCTCCCATTACAGGCACGATGATTTCTCCGGTGCAGATCATATCAATGACAGGAATGGTTTTAGTCTGGGTTGGGATTTTTCACAGCCAGAGCAGCCTAGTAGTACATACCAGCAGCCTGATAGCAGTCATGGGCCTCAGTTATCGAACACTAAACTCACAGGAACCCCTCCCACAGAGCAGGGGCACATGCAGAGCAATGCTTCCTGGAACCATGAATCCACAAGTATGTATATGAGCCGAAAGCCCTACCACCCTGTTCATCAGGATCCTGCTGGTGAAATCCATCCTGACTCCCTAACAAATGACCACGATGACTACGGCAGGGATAAACTAACCAATCTTAGTAAAATGTCTGCTGAGTGCAGTGGGATGAACACGCCGGGGTCATCAAGCTTTGTGCAAGGCCATGAAATAAGCAGCAACAGCAGGGGCTCCACAGTGCCTGACCCCCCTAGGGATGACATTTTCAGACCCCACAGAGGCCGCGGCCCTCCCAAGAAGAGGCGTCCAGAGATCGAGTCCGATTCAGACAATGAGGCAGAGGCTGGGCCTGCTGGCAAGAGGGAGCGGACAGGAGATGTTGAAATCTCCAAGGATAGTAATATCAAAGCGGAGGTTCAGCGCCCGTCACTCACTCTGCAAGACTTTCAAGATGCCAACAGATGGAAAGAGCACGCCAGGTCCAAGAAGATGCCCCCCTACTTTGATTTGATTGAGGAAAACCTGTATCTGACTGAGAGGTAGGATGTTGTTAAGGCTGATTCACAAAGAGTTAACACTGTGAGTTGTTTTTAGCTTGAGCATTAAAAGATTTTTTTTTCCTTTGCAGAAAAAAGAGCAAATCTCATCGAGACATAAAGAGAATGCAATGCGAGTGCCCGGTGCTGCCCAGAGAGGAGCGATCAAGAGGAGTTTTAGCATGTGGGGAAGACTGTTTGAACCGGCTGCTGATGATTGAGTGGTGAGTTATTATTAATTAATTGGTGAGTGGTGAGATAAAACTTACAGCACAGGAACGGCACATTTTTACCCACGTTTACAAGGTTTCCGGGCAACTTCTTTTGATTGGAAACAGAACTTTTGTTAATCCTCAAATAGGAACCATCAAGTACAAAGGAGTGTGTTTTTGGTTTTGCCTTTTTTTTCTTTTTTTAATCTGAACAAGCTGCTAGTAGCTATTCGCTAGCTCACTATAGAGAGTAAGCTGGTTATAAACTTGGAAATCTGTGTCGCATGTGTCACGTCATCGTGGCAGAGCTCATTATGTATGTGGATAGAATCAAACTCTGTCATGATGTGGATGCACTATCAGTCATTTAAAGTACACAGCCCAGACCAATAATTGGAAGTTGACCTTAATTTAACAATAAAGTATGTCATCCTGGCCAAAAAAAGGATCCCGGCCACTAAATAAATACGTCTTCAGTTAAGTAGACTGTTTTTCAGATGGGGATTTACAATGATTAGATTTACCAACATACTTTTGAAACTTCCTCAGCAGTATGAAGCATGATAACAATCTGCTGTTTTCCTTTTAAAACCTGCAAATTCAGAGTGTTGAACTTGTGGAAAATATAAATTAACACCTTTAGAATAAAAAGAGTATTTGTATTTGTGCTTCTTTACAGCTCCTCACGGTGTCTCAATGGAGCCTACTGCTCTAATAGACGCTTTCAGATGAAACAACACGCAGATTTCGACGTGATCCTTACCGAAGACAAGGGCTGGGGACTCAGGGCAGCGAAAGACCTGATCGCGTAAGATTTTCAAAAGCTTTGAGCACTGCAATAAAAAACTGTATTTGCAGAAATTTTTATTTAAAAATAATTCTGGGTTATTTTACCAGGTTAATACCTCAGTTTTCTTCCAGTAGAAGACTTTGTGGCGAATATGCTCCCAGTATGCAACCCTTGTGAAGCAGTTAATTTTTCTTATTACAATTAATGATGACATTTCCATTTCAGAAACACGTTTGTATTGGAGTACTGTGGGGAGGTATTAGACCATAAAGAGTTCAAAACCAGGGTAAAGGAATATGCTCGCAACAAGAACATCCACTACTACTTCATGTCTCTAAAAAACAATGAGGTAAGTGATTACATCACGAGTCATAACTGCTGTTTGAATGGCTCGATGGTCGGTTTACATTGGTTTGTCTTTTTAGATCATCGATGCAACACTGAAGGGGAATTGCTCTCGGTTCATGAACCATAGCTGTGAGCCCAATTGTGAGACCCAAAAGGTAAAGTGGAAAAAGAAAGGAAATCATTCACACTGTTTTTGGTTGATCTCTTTGAAAGCTTTAAAACCTGACCAAGACTTTTCCCCCCTCTCTAGTGGACTGTCAATGGCCAGCTTAGAGTTGGGTTCTTCACTACCAAGGCTGTCACTGCAGGAACTGAGCTGACGTTTGATTACCAGTTCCAGAGATATGGGTACAGTTTGTCATCATTTTTCTTTTTCTTTTACATTCTGAACAGAGTTTCTGCTGGAAACATTTCAAACAGCAGTATATGTTCAAATAAACAGGGTTACAATGAGCAGCTATATCAGACCTTCCTTTTTAGAAAAGCTTTTCCAGGCTGATTTTTTATTCTGACTGTTGTTCTTTTTATTGGTTGTTTTTACGATTGCCTTTTACTGTTGTTCTTTTTATTTGTTGTTTTTACTGTTGCCTTTTACTGTGTGCACTTTAATGTCATAAAATTATTTTTATTATTATCATTATTTTTGTATTGATGTTTTGGCTATAATGATATCGCCTTTGTTTGGTCTTTTTTTTTTTCTGCAGCAAAGAGGCACAGAAATGCTTCTGTGGGGCACCCAGCTGTAGAGGCTTCCTGGGTGGAGAGAATAGAGTTAGTGTTCGGGCAGCTGGAGGGAAAATGAAGAAAGACCGCAGTCGAAAGAGTGCTCTTACCACGGTCAGTTCTTACAGCCATGTTTCCAAGTATGTCTTGTCATTTGTTCACACCCAACAGGGAGTGAAGTGAACATAGGAGCCACAAAAACTAAAGAAACAAACTGAAAAACACAAATGATCAGGGTTTCTACAGCCAAAGAGACATCTAACGTTCTAATGTTTATGTACATGTAACACAGTCTCTCACCAGCTTCATAAGAACGGTGTAATGTTTAATGATGTCATGATTTTGCCCTCCTTCAGGTTGACGAGGAGCTGGAAGCGTTACTTGAGAACGGAGACGGTCTTTATGATGAGAAACAGGTGGTGTCTCTCTGCAGACTGATGGTGCGAGTGGAAACCATGGAGCAAAAACTCATCTGCCTTAAGCTCATACAAGTAAAAATTTTAGGCTTTTTTTCCTCCTACTTGGTATTTGTCATCATTGTTTGCAGACCGTGATAAGGTGTTTTTGTGTTTTACAGAATACCCAAAATTCATTATGCCTAAAGCACTTCCTAGACCATCATGGACTGTCTTTGCTGTGGATCTTCATGGGGGAGATCTCTGAAGCTAAAGGGAACAGCACCAATAACATCAAACTGCAATTAGAGGTAATAGAAGTAAAACGTTTTTACATTACAACACCCACAATGAGTTTACATTCCACTGAATAAGATCTTGAGAGCTATATTTTCTTCCCTGATAATTCATCATTCTCTTCACAGATCATGAAGACCTTGGCTGTGCTGCCTATATCCACCAAGAATATGCTTGAGGAGAGCAAAGTCTTGACTTTCATCCAGCGATGGGCCCAGACTAAAGGTCTCCCTCAGCCAGCAGAGATGGACGGTTACTCCAGCGAGAACACTTCCCGTGCTCAAACCCCCCTCAACACTCCTGATGGTTTCTCCAACAAAATGGGACCCGAATTGGAAGGAGACCCTTCAAAGCCTGCTGTGTACCGCCGCCTTAAAATCATCAGTGAAAACAGCCTTGATAGCGCCTTATCTGACGCTAGCAAAGCTTCTAACGGGAAAGAGGAAGATGAAGAAGATGATGATGAGGAAGAAGATGAATCCTCCCATGAAGGCAAGCAGGTGAAGGCAGACCAGTGTGAGGCTGTAGATCCGGCAAAAGAAATGATGGAAGAGTCTGTACAAGAGGAGAAACAGGAAGAAGGGGATGTGGGTTTAAGCGGTCAGCATCAAACTCAAAGCGGTGAGGTTGAACAAAATATGGAGGTGGACTCAGAGAAGGAAACTGAAGTGAAAGAGGACAGCAGCAAGGATCAGACCAATGAACTTGTGGAACAAGAAGAGCCGAGTGAAAAACAGGAGAGTGTGGAGGAGCAGACCGGTCAGGTAGTGGCAGAAAAAGCTGAACTGGAGGGAGAGCAGTCTCTCTTTAAAGTTGAGGAGCCAGAGAAAGACTCTGCTGTTCCAGATGTAACTGATCCTCCACCTGAGCAGCCCTTAGAGAATGAAGAAATTCAGACAGACGAACAAGAGGCTCAGAATCCTCCTCCTCCACCTCCCCCTCCTCCTCCACCTCCACCTGAGAGTGAGGCAAAACCCGGTGAATCCCCCACTGATGCTGCTCCAAGCTCTGAAACCACTGAAGTGACTATACCCCCAGAGGTCACAGCGCCACCTGTGGACCCCTCAGTGATAGGAACTCCCTCTCAGGATGAGGAGGAAGGTGTCTCGGATGTGGAGAGTGACAGGAGTCAGGAGACCCAACTCAGTGCTCTGGACATAAGTGGCATGGCTGCCCGGCTTCTAGACAGCTGGAAGGATCTGAAGGTGAGCTCAAAAACGGCAAACTCTAAAGACTTAATTAAACGTGCTCTTAATAATCTTTATAATCTGATAATCTGCTTTTGTCATTTCAGGAAGTGTACAGAATACCAAAGAAGAAAGAGGTGGAAAAGGAAACAAACGGTAAATTCAGTCAAGAATAATTTTGTGGATTATTATTTTCTAGTTCGACTGTATCTGATCAGAGTTGTTTTACAGATCGCAGCCGAGATCGAGACGCAGCTCTGACTCCGCGCAGAACTTCTGGAAGCAGAGAACGTGAAAGGGAGCGGGAGAAGGAGAGGGAACGGGACAGAGACCGGGATTATGACAGAGACAGAGATCGAGACTGGGACAGAGAGAGAGACCGGGACCGAGAACGTGAGCGGGACAGAGACCGCGACCGAGGCTCTGAGAAAACTCCACGCAGCTCTGAAAGACGGAGGAGACGCTCAACATCACCACCACTCTTATCCTACGAGAGGAGCCGACGCACTGAGGAGCGGTAAGAAGGCCTCTGATAGTAGGGATCATTTTGTAAGAGTGGTTAAAGCACAGCGTTTGTTAATGGTACTGTTGTGTGTGGTTGTCTTGTGTTTTTTTAGGTTTGATTCATCAAACAGCAACAAGACACCGAGGGGAGTCGGTGGCAAGGAACGCAACAAACTGTCAACAGAGGAGCGCAGGAAACTGTTCGAGCAGGAGGTCGCTCAGCGTGAAGCCCAGAAACAGCAACAGCTGCAGCAGCAACAGCAGCAGCAGCTTCAGACTCTGGCTTACGACCCTTCCCTCGCCTATGCCTCCAGCCCAGGCTTCATCACCTACCCTCCAGGATATCCCATCCAGACCTTTGTCGATCCCTCCAACCCCAATGCAGGCAAAGTCCTGCTGCCCACCCCTGCAGTTGAGCCCACTATGAACTATGAACAGACCCCTCCTCAACGTCTTATCTCAGACCTCGGACTTACCTCTCCATCCTCCACTTCCCAGACCACCCCGGTTTCTAATCTCTCTCAGCATATCACTACCGCTAACCTCACCACCACAGACACCCAACAGTACGCTCAGCCAACTGTAGGAGCCCAGGATGCAGGTGTGGCTGTTCTCTCTGTGCCGGCCCAGGCGGCCGCTCAGGTGCAGGGCCAGCAGAGTTACACCACCCTCTGGGATCCCACCACTCAGCAGGCAGTTACGGTGCAGACACAGCCCGCGCAGCAATATGCCACAGCTCCAGCCCAGGCTCAGACACAGACAGCCATCTACTACCAGGGTCAGCCATGCCAAACCATCTACAGCATTCCCACTGCATACCCTCAGGCAACCACCCCTGTTATACAGGTAGGGCACCAAAGGGTTAGAACTGATATGATACAGATCAAATGCATGTCAGGTTTGATTAAATTTTATAACATCTAATATGATTTTTTTTAATGTGTTTCTAAAGGCGTACACTGAACCTACAGCCAGCTACCTGCACGGCCAGCCTTTGTATCCTGGTCATCAGCAGGGAGTGGTGGTGCAGCAGGGAGGCACAGTCACCACCATTGTTACATCCCAAACTGTACAACAGGTAACACATGCACAAACTGACCTGTTTCTACAGCTTATGAAAATGTTATTCACATGAGTGAGAGAGGAAGGACGCTGATATTACTGTGAAGTCATGCAGGTTTTACAAAAAAAAACCTGTCTTTTACGGTACACTTATTACCAGGTGATTAACAGGTAATTACCTAGTAACACACCCTACAGTTTTGATATATTTTTTTTTTTAGCAAGACAATGTTCTCTGTCCAGTAGTTTGTTCTTACTGCAGGCACAGCAGTTCAGATAAAATATGCCGAGCTCCTCCTGTCATCTAAATGCTTCTGAATCAAATGCAAAATACATAACATGTCAATACTGTCTAGCTACCAGGTAGGTAACCTTCCATCATCATACAAATTTGAAGCTGAATTGCTCTGTAGTATTTCCAGGATTTTCTCTGCTTCCTGGAACCACCACTTGCGCAGTAGCATTGTACGCATTCGGCGGATGAGTCGCTGTGATAATGCTCGTCTCAAACAGCGTATCGCTACGCAATCTTCGCACACCCATAGGCTGTATCAAGTGTCTATCATAGAAAGTAAGAACCCCAAATAGCTTTTGAAAATGGAGCTGCACATAAAAAAAGAAAAAAAGAAAAACTGGACAGTATTGACTGAGTAGTTATCATGTAATTACCAGATAATATCATGTTGTTACTAGGTAATTACCTGTTAATAAGTGTACCGTAAAAGAAAGGGTTTTTTTTTTTTAGTCATTTTAATGAAGAATGTGTGTTGTGCTTCTTTGGTTTTGAGAAAGTCCTTTTCCGTGGTGTGGCCACAAGGGGGTGTTACATATCTGAATGACTCCACTCTTGAGCTGCAGTTGGTTGGTCTGGTGACAAAGTGTCATTTTAAGATGTGTTTGAACTGAGAACAAACAAAGGAAATGGCTTAATGGGATCCATGTGTTGAGGAAAACTAAATGCAATCATGTTTGACTTTGAAATGGGTTTTTTTTAACTTGTTTTAAAGAGTCAACGTCTTTCAGGTCCAGTTCGAGGTACTAAAGCCACATGGATTTTCTGCTAATACTTAATTTCTGTTTCTTCTTCTCTGCAGGAAATGATTGTTCCCAACAATGTGATAGACCTGCCCCCTCCCTCTCCCCCCAAACCTAAAACTATCGTCCTACCTCCTAACTGGAAAGTCGCTCGGGACCCTGAGGGCAAGATTTACTACTACCACATTGTGACAAGGTTAGTAATACTCTGTGTGTGTGTGTAGAAAGTGTTCTGACCTTTAGAAACCCCCTGTATGCATGATTTCTTTCTCTTCTGTGCATCAGGCAAACACAGTGGGATCCCCCAACATGGGAAGGAAGTAGCGACAACACCAGTGTGGACCATGAGTCTGAGATGGACCTGGGAACGCCCACCTACGATGAGAATCCTTCCAAGGTGAGCTCATTTCTAAAGTGTTTATGAAAGCGTAAACATATGCTCAGCATTAAGAATTTGAGAGAGAAAGAAGGGATGTTCCTTCTGTGAGAAATGAAGGGGAGAAAGCATCCTCTTCACTTCTTCCCAGAAAGTTTTTGCTCGGATGAAAAACATGATTACAGTGTTTGTTTCTCGAGGTAATTGAAGATGCTGCAGCAGTGATTACTTTCAGCTGTGTCTTAGAGAATGAAAAGAAAACTCTCAGCAGGACACCATATTTACCGAGTGTTATGACCTCACCAATGACTCCTCCTCCTCCTCGTGAAATGGCTTCATCAGAATCTGCATGGAGACAAAGAATTAAAGCGAGAATCCACTCACCCAACCCCCTGCTCAGCTGTCTGTCCCTCCGCCTCAAGGCCAAAGGCGAGGGATGGCTCAGCTCATCTCTTCTTCCTCCTCTGCCTCGTTTGTTTTCCCCTCTTCGTTTTTACCCTGACTTTCAGGATAATGGAAACCATCTGGGAGAGCCGGCATTCATTTAACTGTGGTTTCTTTTATATTGGTGGAAAAACACAAGTGTCCCTTTAGTCTTTTTTTTTTCACAAGAAGGAACAAAGTGGAAAAAGGACTAAGAACTGAGTAGGAGAGTGCATGCGTTTCATGTAATGTGTCCCACCAAGAACAGCTACACAGTCATGGACCATTTCTCATTATGTATTTATACTGCGGTGGTGTTCGCATTCAGCATCTTAAAAAAAACAAACATACTTGTAAAGAATCGGAGAGCACTGTTTGTGGATTGCTGGCGCGACATGCGTTCGTGTGAATTGGCCTTGTTTGCTCTTGATCTTCAGCGCTCTTGTGGGTACGGGCTGTCGACTGTTGTCTGCCTGCCTATTTTGTTGAAGGCTGGGGCTGGACAGGCAGCATCCTGCCAGGATATCCCTGCTTTGTGTCATGTGGCAAGTGAGCAGGTGCTGGTTTATGCCCCTCTGACCTTGGTAGCTACTGTTCTGCTGCCAGTTGCCATGTTTGATTGAACTTGATGCACAGGTGGGCGCTGAATGAAGTGACATTAGAAATTACTCCACTGTGTTGTGTCAAAAAGAGACGGTCGAACTGTGATCCTCTCCAGCAGAGTAGTCTGACAAAGACAGGGATTTGAGTGGAGTGAGCTCGAGGCAGGTCGCAGTGGTAAAAGCAAGAGTTTGAGATCTGCAAACAAGAATGCTGACTATTTTATTTTTGTCTTTTGTGCTTTTGTCGCAGTTCTCCACTAAGACAGCAGAGGCAGACACTTCAAGTGAACTGGCTAAGAAGAGTAAAGAGACATTTCGCAAAGAGGTGAGTCCAAAGAGTCAACATTCAAACGTTCTTATGTTCAAAGCTCCACACCGGTACTTATATGGTAGTTAATGCCTTCACACGTTTTGTGCAGGTGTTCATTTGTCATTTTTTTAACAAGTCTTAATATGTGTGTGTGCGTGTGTTCCTCAGATGTCCCAGTTCATCGTGACTTGTCTAAATCCCTATCGAAAGCCAGACTGCAAACTTGGACGCATCAGCAACACAGAAGACTTCAAACATCTGGCTAGAAAGGTAATTTTAAACTCCGAGATGTTTAGAAAGTTTGAAACTCCATCAATGCTGGAAACTTTAGCTCCATACTTTCGACTTCTCTGATCAGAGCAAAACCAAAGCATCGTTCAGCTTTTGACTTGACAGGATTTTCTAAAGTTTTCCTCAAACTGTTGAGCTTTTGCAGTTTCTATCGCCAGTCCGTTTGTTTCGACTTGTGCCCTTGGAAGACTAAAAGTACGTTTTACATGTAAACGATCATCTCAATCTTTTTCCTTCTCGTGCGTTTGTCTTATTTCATTCTCAAAGTATTTTTCTAAAAAGCCCCTTCAAAGGAGAGATTTTTGTTTTTCCACTGTGCTGGTGGACCATCGACTTGTTTATGTTGGGAGTGGTTGCACTGAAAGCCACTTGAACATACCAGGGCAGTGAGGACATTGGCGCAATTAACATTTCGTTGTTAGGTTGTATTGTCTCAAATGAAATGAGGAAAATGTCTCCAAAACTTGTCGATTTTGCATAAACAGTATATTTCCATCAGAATTGACAGTTTTCTTTCCCCTCATCTCTGCCCGCTCTTCTAGCTAACTCATGGAGTCATGAACAAGGAGCTAAAGGCCTGCAAGAACCCTGAGGACCTTGAGTGTAACGAGAATGTGAAGCACAAGACCAAGGAGTACATCAAGAAGTACATGCAGCGATTTGGCTCTGTATACAGACCGAAAGAGGACACAGAGGTGTACTAGCATTAATGGCCACAGTTGCTCTGAGCTAACACAGGCCAAGCACAGATCTGCCTTTCCATTCACTCCTTCTTGTAAGAACTGGCCAGCCTGACAGTGGAGAAGTTTCTTACTTCTCCTCTCTGACTAAAAATTGGACTGCTGCCACCCAAGAAGCTCTCCAGGTTTCTGGATAGAGGAGGAGGAGGAGGAGGAGGAGGAGGAGCCGCTCTCTGGAGACTATAGGAAGCATGAGTGGCCCCAAGCAACCTTAAACTCCAGGTCTGGTGAGTGCAGTGCTATCCGAGGATGACCCTGAGGAGTGCGACAGAGACTCATGTTTTCACTGACTGTTTGATTTTAAGCATTTCTGTTTCCATTGGTGGCTCTTAAATGTTCCTGAGATGATCAACTCGATTCCACTTTTTAATCTCTTCTAGCCCTGAACAAGGATTGCCCTTCTGAATCAACTTTTTTTGGTATCTTATTTATCAGTCAGTTCGTTCTTCTTACTGGTAAAATGAATCCACAACCGGAAAGTTTGGTCCTTCCTCCTTTTTTCACTTCCTTTTTTTTTTCTTGTGCACGCTTCAGCCTCCCGCCCCCCCGTTACTGACTCTGTATCTGGTGCTGCTTTTAACCGGGCTGTGGAGGTCCAAGCTTCCACTCCTCACCCTGCCTTCTCAACCACAAGACTTTGGAGCCTCTGTTGTTTTATGAATGCATGATGTAAGCTGGGGTCAGCGTGGTATCCTTTATGGAAATTCCTACTTTTTCCCATGTCTCCTGCTTTCGCTAAAACCCTCCCCGAGACGGAGGGCTTTCACTCATAGCACACACACAAGGATCAGCCAATAACCAGCAGATTGGCAATGGCATTAAGAAGTGATTTTTCCATGTCTTTTATCAATTTGTGTATAATAACGGGAGCAGGGTTTTGAATGCTTTGTTTGATGTGCTGTTTAGCTTTGTATCCATTTTTCCCCTGTTTCCTGTTCAACCCTTCCCCCCCTAACTCAATACACCCGGGTTTTGTCGTCTTCTTACAGGAATAATGTTGAGCATTGCAGTTTTAACAGTTTCTAAACACCTTGTGAGTTCTCTGATCATTTCTATGTTCTAGTGAGACTGTAGAGACCCTTAGGCTGGCCTTGCTACACTCATTCATTTCCAGGATTTCTATGATTGTTGAGGTAGATTCATTGGCATTAGGTCACAGTTTGTTGCAGCCTATCAAATTGCAGTAAATAAGTTCCAACCTATGTACATTGCTTTATGTGAATATATTGAATAATAGTTTTGGGAATGTTTAAATAAGCAGACACTTTGTAAAAGGACTATCATTTCATGATTGAAAGTGTAAATAGTGTGTGAAACTACCAAAGCTGTACACAGGAGAATAGGGTCAGGGAGCACAACAAGCCCACCCATCCTCACCAGCTCAGCACTCCTGATGCAGCTCCCACATCACAGTCAAACTTAGGTTGCAGCTGACTCACAGCCCTCTATTTTATTTTATTGGTGGGGGAGACTATGCTATGTTTCTCTTTTTGTTTCTGTTTGTTTTTGTTTATTATTATATTTCTATGTACAAAGTAAGTTTCACCCTACTCTATTGTAAGTATTGTGTAAGCACATTGTCATACTGAGTGTACAAACATTTTAAAGATAATAAACTTTTGTAAAATTAACTAGCCAAGGACTTTTGTCTCTGAAGCACTGAAATAGATCACAAGTTCAAACCAACAAGACTCTACCATGAGCGTACGCTTTGCAACAGTGGCAAAGAAAAACTTCCTTTCAACAGGCAGAAAGAAAATAGGCCAAGAACACAAAAGAGAGAGAGAGAGAGAGAGATGGATACAGACCAATAGGAGGCGTGCATATACCGCAGCACAGACGAAAGCGATTTTTAAGCCAACAGTAGTAAAATTTTACAAATAGCATTGTAACTGTAAAAATCATGATCCGGCTGATGATATCTGCAGCAGTGCAAGTCAGGCATTGCTGCAGCGGATTCATCTTCCCCTGCCACGCTCTTGGTTTTAGTTTACTTGGGTGTAAGTCGAAGAGACAGAAACCGATCTTAGAAAATGCAACATGATTAAGTGCTGAGTGCACGCCCAGTCCCTTTTTTAGTCAGCCTCCCTCCCTCTCTAATCGGGCTGAAATCAGGATGAATGCCACTGCAGTTCTGAGGCACGCTGTTCAGCCAGATGTTTGCTGCAAGTCAAGAAAATCAGAGTGATCGACCGCCTTCATTGGAGTCGTTCATGGTTCTCTAAATATAATGGGAATAGTGATGAGTGTAGAGGTGCTGCAGTGCTTCCCTTCTCTCTCGTCCGTCCCAACCCCCCTCCCAGTGTGCGCACATTCCGCAACCCCATGCCTGTGTGCTCCAGACCGCAGTTAAGCAGTCCCGTCTGGAGTATGTGACGGCATGTAACACTGCCTTAGGCCTTCTGAGATGCCTGCTACCACTTAGGACTAAACGCAAAGAGATCATTAACAGATTTGAGTGCAGGGCAGAGCAGAAAAGGAGCAGGAATCAGATTGTACCTCAGAGAGAAAGAGGAAACTTTTCTCTAAAATATTTAAGAAGAGGCTGTTCTTTTCATTTATCCTCAAATTATTAAATACCTCTTAACAGATTTCCCCTCAGGGTTTTGGACAGGAAATGTTCTTATACACTCAATCCCCTGATAAGGGGTAGTGTGTTACAAATATGGCGAGTAAGGGCGTTTGTAATCCATCAAGTAGGTTCACATAACTGTGAGTGACAGGCACATCTGAAGACTGTGGACTTCGTTGACGTTGACATTAATTTTCTTGTTTACAAAAATACTTTCCATTGGGAGGAGGGAAGCTTTGTGTGTGTAGATATATAAAACAGATCCCACAGCACGTATATTGGAAAAATGAAATGATGGTTATTGAACATTTAGGCTTGTTCAATCAAAATCCTCTCAATGGTTTGTTACCATGTACATGCAGTGAAATAACCTTCAACACCTGCTAGCTTGCGAGCATTTTCCCCATTAGAAACCTGATCTTTTTAACCTCTTCATAGGTCATGAGTTAAAATCATGAACAGAATATCCATGAGCATTATTGATCCATTGAGTACGGCCAGTTCTCATCAAGTTTAACTGTGTATCTCTTTTCCCTTGATTGCGAGCTACAAAGCATTTCACCACTCTTCAAACAGTGTCCAGATGTTAGGAACATTTTTCTTTTATTGTAATATAACTTTTTTTCCACCCTCCATTATTGAGCTACTCAAATACACCACATATGTACTCACAAGCAACTGCCTCCGATTAAAATACTTCACAAACGGCAGGTTATTTGGTTATTTATTAAATGAATACAACTCTTACAAACATAGAAGACAAACCATTAGGAAATATATACAAAAAACAAAGATTGCTGGCACTGAAAGAATCACACCATCTAATGATATTAATGAGTGTAACTTGCTCATCATTGTGTCTCGTTTCAGACAAACAGGAGGATGAAATAAATACAAAGACAAGAGAGTCTTTGGAGTTTTTTCTCTTTTTCTGTGAGGAGCCAAACTGACGTAACTTCCACCCACTGTCTTCAAACTTTACACTTCATCACTGAACTTATTTTAAACTTATCGGAAAAACCAAAGTTACATTCCAGAGATGATGATTATTCTCATGATCTCAGAAAGATGTTTTTTTTTTTTTGTTTGTTTTAACAAATTGCTTCATTTTCATGCCTTTCAAAGGGATTCGAAACATCACTGGTGCGTAATATATACCCTTGATATAAATAAATACCAAGTTTGAGACTCTGAAAAAGAACAGAAGAAAGAGCAGAAAAAAAACTTGAGAACAAGGCAGCAGTCTTTAAGATTAAATGTTATCTATCAAGAGAATAAAGACTGGATGCATGGCCTGGATTGCTAAAAAAAAATCTCGCCTTCATTTTCGACATGAGAATTCTGCTTAGTTGGTCATGTATTTCCTTAGGTTGGTTTCCTGGAGTTTTCTTCTTTTCTAGGCATGCACATGAGCATGGAAACTGTCCATAGCAAGGGAAGTCACATCCAGTTGGGAATCAGTGTTATTGGAAAAAACCATCTCATTTTGGCAATCAACTGCAATACCACAACTGTAAGTGGTTTCTGGAGCTGTGATTCATGCAGAAAAAGGCGAGCCAGACTAGAAATGTGATGATCATAATCATTCATTTTACGTTGGCAGTTGCACGCGTAACATTGACCTTTTTTTTTTTTTTTTTGGAAGTAGGGGATACATCTGATTACTGCCTAATGATGTAAACAGTAGTTTTAGGATAGTTACACTCATGCAACACGTGTAAACATAATATCTTGTCAAGTATACTTACCGTAAGAATCAAGATTTGCGTGCATGTAAACAACTTTGCACATCTGAAGTGTGTTTGGAGTCATTGTAGGTCACATCCAACCTGACCAGGTTTCTGCAGAGTTCATTGAGCAAGGCACTTAAGGCTTGGCATCCTGGTTGGTTCTTTCATGCAGATTAATTCACAAAAGGTGAAAAGATGAGTAAGTTGAGTAGAGGAAAGTATTACAAGAACAGTTTGTTCACTTTGTAAAAACTGGACCACAAAGTGTCCAAGAGAGCAAACACAGCCATCAGTGGCAATCTCCAAGAGTGACGAGGGGTTGATATCAGAGTGCCTCTATTGTCAGCTCGATGTTAAGTTCTTCTCTTCAGTCTCTCAGTGTCATGTTCATGTTTTAGGTGCTGTCAGACCACAGAAACACCCTGTGTGGGGCAGTTAAGGCTGGTAACAACATCAGGCCTCTCGATGCGAGCCAGTGCTGAACACAGTAGTCCTAGAGTGGAGCCTTCTTTCTGGGCCCAGTTAGAGAGGAGGGTGTGAGCGGGGGCCTCTCCACGCCCAAACAGATCCAGCTGTTCAGGCTCGTAACCAAGCGCTGCACCCAGCTGCCTCCACCCACGGCTCCCTCCCTCCTGCAGGAGGCGCTCCACCTCTTCCTGTCTGTGAGGAGGAAGGTTGACGTACAGACGGTTGTCCTGCTTGCTGTCCCTTTTGGTGCCTGTTGAAACCAAACACATTATTTGACTACTTGTACCACAAAGAAAGACTGGAAACTTTGAGCAATAATAATAACGATGATATTCATTTATAATATTATCTCATTAATACACAGTAAATGTTCTTGATGACTAAGGTCTCATGAAAGCTCTTTTTGGACTATAAGTTGAATAATTTAGTGGCAGAAATAAAATAAAAAAACACAAACTTTTTGTTTCTGCAGGAAAAAACTCAAATGTTTATATTTCTTAAACAAACAAACTTTTAAAATTACAATTTTGTCAATGACCTGAAAGGAAGTGGATGTAAGGATTACAATTAAAATTAACTTCCTTCTTCTAATGCAACACTTTTTTTCAAGGAGTTTCAAAATGAGACCTTTTTAGTCATCAAACTAAAGTGTAGTCATGTAGAGATGTAGATGCCAGTTCATCGTGGTAGCCATGATCTTTTATAATATTTATGTATTGTGTGCACAGCACCGGTAGTAGCAAGTCAGCTGTTCACCTGGCGGGTTTTGTGGTTGAATGGAAAAGGGGTGAATGGGGAAGTCCTACTTTTTGCTGACAAATTTGTATGGCGACTATCCAAAACAATTTAGCCACCGAGAGGCTGAGTAGGGGAAAACAGTGCCTTGCCCGACGCGCTGGCTGTATAATCAGGCAAAAATCAGGCGAAATACAAGCGGTCAGCAAAAAGTAGGGCTTCCCTATTCACCCCTTCTCTATTCAACCACAAAACCCGCCAGGTGAACAGCTGACTTACTACTACTGGTGCTGGCGTACTACCTCCACCCACACCACGTGACACTCATCCCCGTGTATAACCACACAATACATAAATATTATAAAAGATCATGGCTACCACAATGAACTGGCATCTACAACAGATAATAAATGATCAGTGTCAGCTCAAATCCCAGCCAGTCTTCAAATTTTCTGTGTTTCTGTCCTGCTTTCTTTCTTTCAGAATGACTTTAATGTTGTAACTGTGTTGCTATGCGTCTTGTCTCATAAAAAAAGAGATCCTTGATCTCAATGAGACAAAATGTTCAAAGAAAGCTCTATATGATTATATGCCTTTGTTAAAATGTCTCCTGAAGTTTTTGAAACTTTGTTTTTTCATGGTTTCAAAGTGTTAAAATCTATCGCACCTTTGCTGGGCTGGTTGTCTTGCAGGCTGTGTGAGTCCAGGAAAACGCCGCTGTCACTTTGGAGCTTTTCACCCTCCGGGGATGCTCCCAACTCAGCAGCACGAGCCTTAGAAAGAGCCTTCTTCTGTTTACATGATCTCCAGCTGAGAAGAGCACAGAACAACAATGTCAGTTTAGCTAAATGCAGGGTGACGCTTCATACAATATTATAATGAGAATTTCCCTTCAGGGATCAATCAAAGTTCTTCTTATCACATCTTAATATCATTACTAAATCTATAAAAGGAGAGTGCATTCACCATTTGTAAGCCACATAAATGAGTAGACCCAGCACCACAGCAGCCAGAACAGACACATAGACCAGGATGTTGTTGCTGCCTCCCTCGTCCTGCGGGGTAAACTTGGGTGTTCCAGGAGCTGGACTGGCTCCCCCCTCAGTTATCACCTCGTCCACACCAGGCCAGCTCGGAGTGCCACGGGTCCCATCAGCCCCATCCAGAGGAGGACGAGACAGAATGTGGAGTTTCCTATCTATAGTTATGAAAAAAAATATATATACATGTCAGAAATCATTACATCTGCACATCAGAAAGACATCTGAGCTGCATCTATTAGAGCCAGAAATAATTCCACAGAAGTCTGCACGCCTGCCGTAATGATACCCTCAGTCATCCCGCTACCCTGGGGTTTTGAAACCTTTCATTGCCCCTGTTTCCAGCCTCATTCTGCCTCCTGCGGTCTGCCTATTTTAGGATCAAACACCACAAGGTACTGTCCTGACCTCTCTGGGGTCAAAGGGTTGTGACATATGGACCTAGAGCATGTACAGCTGACCTGACTCCTGGAGAGCAAGTGGGACTGGTTGTTAGAGTCAACAGCCTCACTCAGTGCTCAGGTTCTTGGGGGCAGTTAACCTAAAGACCTGTCAAGCTCTTAGAAATTGGATTGCCGCACTTATACGGGCTCTTTTTTCACTCACGCTCATGTTTCCCATCTCAGGGTGTTACAGAGTGTTCAGATGAGGTGTGGATGCAGGTGTTGACCACATGTCCTTGTATTCTCAGAGACCCTCCCACTCGCCACCCGTCTCCCATTAGCTCATTCTTTTATCTTTTACTATAGCAGCTTTCGCCTGCATTAGATCTTAAACAGATGAGGCCTGAACTATCCTATAGTTCCCCTATTGTAAGGATAAAAGAGTGCACAGGTCCATCTTTGATTGGTTTCCAACTTCTAGTCTTTGTATTCGCACCCAAAGACCTTTAGAAAAATACATTAAAAAGACAGAGCTGTTTGTGAAAATAGCAAAGACAGCGAAAAACTATTCTAGTGTAATTTAACTCGGGGATATATTCAATTTTAAATGCCCATATTTCCTGTCGGCAAAAAAAAAGTGTAAGCTCGTTTTTGTTTATTTTAGTTTTTGGGATAAAAATCTGAGCCATTGAGATTAAAACCTGGAATCCTTAATTGTTTGTTTGTTTTTTATCAGAAACTGGCAAAGATATTTTGGTTTGTCGGGTTTGCTATTTTTGATCTTTTTGATTTGTTTAGAGAGATACAGTGCCTTGAAAAAGTATGCATACCCCTTGAACTTTTTCACATTTTGTCACTCATCAACCACAAACTTCAAAGTATTTTATTGAGACTTTTTGTCATAGACCAACACAAAGTAGCACATAATTGTGAAGTGGAAAAAAAATGATACACGGTTTTCAAAAATTTAAACAAATGGTGGCAAGACTAATTTTCAAGACTTGAAAACTGCTGAATACAAATGCACACCACACGTTTCGTGTTTTTATTTGTTAAAATTTTTGAAAACCGTGTATTATTTTTGTTCCACTTCACAATTATGTGCTACTTTGTGTTGGTCTATGACAAAAAAATCTCAATAAAAAACTTCTAAATTTGTGGTTGTAGAGTGACAAAATGTGAAAAAGTTCAAGGGGTATGAATACTTTTTCAAGGCAATGTAAGCAGATCAAAACAATTAGACGGATAAAAACAATCTCTCGACTCGTCTCATTTATTTTTGAGTTATTCATAAGAAACATTTCTCTGTACAACTCACCCATGCAGAGTGTGTCAGAGTTTGGCATACAGGGTCGAATCTCCACTTCACTGTCTGTGCACTGGGTGCAGGTCAGGCAGGGTTTGGTGCTTAAGTGCTCTTCAGAATAGGTTCCAGGGCCACAGATCTCACACTGCGTGTCTCCTTTGGGACCGCACTCTCGGGTAGCACCCTTACCCCGGCTGCATTTGGAGCACGGTGCGCACAGACCATAGGCGCTTAAAAAGAAGAAGCCATTGTCACATTCGCATTGTGTGTCTTGGGTGGCTGAGCAGGACGCTAGCATGGGGACGCCTTGCGGACACTTTGCACAGGACGTGCAAGCATCAAGGCCTTCGGATGAGGAAAATGTGCCTGGGAAGCAGAATTTTAAACAATCAGCACTTGTTTTAGAGTTTAAATCAAAATAATTTTCAACCCTCTTGGCCAGATGACGGAGAAAATAATCAGACAGGTTCAACATCTACATTTAGTGGTGTAACATCAGATCACAATCACTTACCCTGTGGGCATGGCATGCACTTGGTATCCTCTTTCCCACACTCTTTCTCCACTCCAAAACCTGCAGGACACAGACTGCAGCACTGCCCTGACTCGGTGAACTTGCCACTGTCGCAGGCATCTCCAAGAGTAACCTAAAGTAAACAGAAGACACAAAAAATGACTCTGAACAACGGAAACTCTATCATACAAGCCATCTTTAATCAGTTGTTTTTTTTCTTTCATATTGACACAACAGTGACGGGATTGACTGCAGAACTTAAAGATAAGAGTCGTGTTAATTGTGGTTAAATAGTCAGTGATGGTGCAAACAATAACATCTACAAAAGTTAAGAGCACGCGCATGTCCTCTGTTTTTATACAACATGTTGAAAAGAAATCACACGTCTCATCTTTCAAAATTAAAGGAACAGAGAACCAGCCGAACTAAAAGTGGCCCTTTATTATCTTTCTATCTGCCTCTGTTTTCACCCTTAAAGTGCTCTGGGTCCTTATCTGTAAGTGGGTAATGGAGAGCCCAGCTTTGCTCATGACATGGGGGATAGATCGGACATTCCTGACGGCTTGTGCAGCAGGGTGAGTGCCTGACAGGATTGGCTGAATTTAATCAGATGGCTTTAGACGAGTGGAAAGAATAAGACAAAAAAGGGGTAAAAGGAAAACATTCAGCAAAGGAGGAAGGAAGAAGTAAAAAGAGCCTCCACCCACACACTTGTTTGAAATCAGGGTGAATGACAGTGTGTGTGAATACAGTATGTGAGTGTGTGTTTCTTGACATCAGAAACAGGAGGATTGGGGATATAAAGGAGACGGTTCCAGCCCCAGGCAAGGGTGTCAGTCATCCAAGGCTGCTCAGTATGCAAGTGTCTGTTTGGGTGAGAGGGGGGTCCTTTGAAGTGAGCAAAGCCCTGCAGGTGTGTTTATGAAGGTCAGTATTTCACTAACTCCCCTTCTCCTGGCTCTGAAGCACGGCATCTTAAACATGCACGCATTTAAAGAGAGATTGGGCTGCTCCGCCTGAGGGCTGACAAGAGCTAACAGATGTCTAACAACTCACCTCCTGCAAAGGGGAAAAGTAACAACTAAACAAGCCTCTGATGTCTCTCTTTGTCTCTGAAGTCTGCCACAGACACACAGGCAGCATGTGTGGACCTGTAGAGCGGGCTTAGTGGATTACTTTTTTATGAACACCAGGTTTGAGATCGAAAACTTGTCAATACTTTTGAATCCTAATTACTAAGAGATGTGGATGTTGTTGTTCGACCCTTCGCTTTGTATTTCTGTGCTGAACAACCACCATAAATTTCAGGAGGAAAACCTGCTCATAAATGCAGAATAAGTATTTTTTATAAATTTTGTCACATCTACACTTTAATGAAAAATTTTTCATTAAAATACCAGATTACGGTCTAACTGGATTCCTCGACTGCTTGTTAAATAGGTCTGCTAGAAACAAGACTACAAACACCATTCCAATCCCCAAACACTGATCTGCCCTGCGCTGATACCACAGGAGGAATGGCCTTGAAACAAAGCTCGCCTCCATCCAAAAACAACAGCCAGTTTTACTGCCTAACTCACACAGCAGCCTGATGATATCTGAGCAGCAACCACAGATCCCAGATCAGGGGTATTAGTCTGACGGGGCAGTAGGATCCAGCACCAGAGGGATGTTTGGCTGGTGCTGGCAGACTGTGACAAAGCCCGGAGTGTAATAACTCACAGCACAAAGGCTTCCTGGTCGCTCCTGTCGGCCCTCTCTGCAAACGCTCGCTAACCTCTCCCAGCCTTAAATCTATACTATAATAAATATTTAGTGACAGTGGCTCTGTCTGTTTTATTTTTACCTCCAGCTTAGATTTCTAATGTTTTACAGAGCCTGGTGTGAGGAGGTCTGGGCTGGTGGAGGTCTGTAAAACCTCTAGAGAGGGCTGATGCAGCTCAGACCTGGAACTGTAAAAGCCTGGCAATTCACCCACTGGTGCCCGGAGTGTGATAAAACCATATTTTTTTTCTCCCACTGGAGTGGAAGTGTGAACAGTGATCCACTCAGTAGAGGAGTGACTGAGCTTTTATCATTAAATGGAATAAAATAAAATGATAACATAGATAAAATATTATGATTTAACATTTAAAATTACCATTTAATATTTAGTTCTTACAGTTACATGATATTCATTATTTGTTACAACAAAATTAATATGACAAAAAAAAATGCTTGAAAAATGCTCTTAAGCTAATTATGGAGAAAGCACAACTTTATTATCAGCACTCAATAAAAACTCAGTAAAATTTGTAGGTTCGTAACAACTATATTTAAGAAAAAAAGATGGTATCTAGTAAGTATTCTATGTTTATTTTTTTAAAGGAACAAATAAGGTAAGCAACTTTAAAGTAGCAGTCTGTAGCTCTTCTTCTTCTTCTACTTGCTCCACTTACTATAATCACATGCTTTGCGTTTCTTTAACTTTATTCTGAACTTAACTTATTACAGTGGACTTTAATCAACAGCTGTTAAACCTTTTACCATCTAACTCGATTAGTTACTGCTCCCACAGTATCCAGCCTTCTCATCATTTCGACCTCTAACTTAAATGCAAAGTTTAATTTTGTTTAAATGCACCAGAGAGGATTTGGCCTTATCTGTGACCCTGGGGGCAGAAAGTCCAAAAACAAGGAGGGCTGCAGTTGCTTTTTCCATTAAGGTAAGAAGCCACAATCTGCAGGGATTCCCCAGTGAGAACAGAGGGACCACCGAGGAGCACTGCTTTCAATGGGGCTCTCAACTCCACGGCTGCCGGAGTTACTCAGTCAACAGGGATCACACACACACACACACACACACATAAGCACACACCATTTCAGCTTTTCTGCGCCTGAAACATTTCCCCTACCCTTTTGAAGTGGGACCATAGTTGAAGCTCACAGGCTAGAGTTTCCACAGTTAATCTAATCTGCGTGAAAATAAACACACAAAAGGATGCTCTCACCCTCTCGCCCTGTGAAGAAATTGACCCCGTGAGCCTTTACAAGCTGATGGTAGTAGCAGCAGACAGAGGCCTCTCAGCAGAGACAGCCTGAGCTGAGGGAAAGTAGTAAAAGCAGCTCATCCCTGCCCCTCTGATGACAGTCATCAGCGCACAGGGGAAGAGCAGGGACAAATTAAAGGATGTAGGTTTCTCTCTTTTCCAGGCAGAGTTCTCCTAAACCTACAATCCTGAATCAAACAAGACAGCGTTAACTATTTACCCAGTGCACCAAAGAGAAGTGGGTCGAATCTCCAAATAATCCTCAAGTTTGCTCCGCCTGTGAAATTTTGAAGTATGGAAATTCAAATGACTGTGGTAACAAAGCGGAGCCCCCCTCAGACAAACACACACATAACCACAAATGGGAGAAACTGATGATAATTGCTTTGCTCCGGATATCCAGACCCCTGCAACACAGAAAGCTAGTCAACTTTTTTTTTCTTTTTTTAACCAGGAACTGCCGAGAGCGACAAATGTGGCAACTTTTACAGTAAACTACTAACAATAAGAGTTAACAGAAGAAAATCTGAGGCAGATGTGTCCAAATGCTGTAAGGCTTTATCAGCTTTTGCACTGAATCTCCCGGTGAGTCATAAGAGAATCATTCGAGAGCATGAATGATAAGTATCAGTGAGGTGGAGGACTCTCTGAAAGCAGCCTTAGAGTCTGTGTGTTTGCAAAGCAGATCAAGATCAGCATCATAGATGTCCTTTTGATTTCAACACCCTGATTATAGGAAGGAGATACCCATCTTTAAAGATCTGAAGTTTATCTCCACACTTTGATCTTTACCAAAGGGCTGTGACTCTGGTGGGCATGTCTGGACACAGCTGCAATCCTTAAAAGACTTTTGGTGGTGGATGTGTCAAATTATTGTCTGCATCTGAGAAGACAGGGTAGTTTTTTCAGACTCATCGAGCCTAATAGCACACTATCACCCATCTTTGAGACTATAATTTGTCCATAAAATCCATCATTAATCCTACTGTGGGTGCATCATCTGGGTAATTTGTCTGCTCCTGTGTTCCAGTTTTGTCTGATGCTCACTCTCATATTTTAAGTTTTGTGGACACAGTCAAAAAAAAAGGAGTGGGAATTTTTCCTTTCAGTTTGGAGACTTGTATCCAGATGCCCCCCACCCACACACACTCTTTCTATTGTTATTTGCCAGCCACGGAATGACAACTCATATTCACCAATAGGAGCCATGTGATACACAGCCTTAATGAAATATGGCTGTGGTGTAATTCAGATTTCCTCTGGGAACAATGGGGCTTCACTGGACTTCGTGGTCGAAGTTTACAGCAGTAATATGATCTCATGTGCTAAAGCTGGTGAAATATTGAAGTAAAAACCATCATGCAGGCTTTGGAGCAGTAAGAATGAGTGTTGTTCTGTTGGTGAAAAAAAAGTCATTTTCTGTTGCTTACTTTTAACAGCAGAAGCGCGCAGATGCCAAACAGTCTCATGTCTCCAGCCTTAAGGAGTCCTCCTCGTCTTCGGGTACACGGATTGGTGCCTCTTGAGACCCCCTGAAGAAGTTTTTCAGTTGCGCACAAAGCCTCCAGGTCAACTACTCTTAAAAACGTGCAGGAGCAGACGCGTAACTTTACTTCAGTTCGGTAGTTAGCGGATGCTTTCACGCATGAGAAAGTGCCTTCAAAAAAACAGGCTGTGTGCTCCACAGGTAGTGCCAGTTACACCTCGGTAGTCGTATTTCCTTCTTTGAACGCATTCCCTGCTGCTGCCGTGTAAGTTGACACAAAGTTTCCTCTGTTTCAGCCTGCAGGATGAAAAGTGCACTGCCACCTCTCCTGCAGCTTTGCAACAGATGAGACAGGAAAAGCGCCCGCGAGCTCTCCTGGGCCTTTTCTCCACCCATCTCCTCAGCTTTCAGAGGAGCTCTCTGATTGGCTGCATCCCTGCGAGGACCGACTGTGTCATGACGCTGTCACTTGAAATTTGATTTGTTTTTATTTACTTTTTTAAATATATGTGGAATTAGAACAATTTTACATTTGTTCTTAATTCAGGTAAATTCTTTGCTCGTGAATTGATTAAAAGTATACTGAAACGTTTAATTCAACTAAATAATCTACACAGGGGAGAGTGGGGTAAGTTGAGCCACCCCCTGTTGCTTGGAAATGATAAAAGAAACTGATTATGTGACCAAATATTTAGGAGATGGGCATCAATTCATGGAGTCTGTGAAGGTTAGAAGCACATGGGTGAAGGGGTTAGACATTTATTTCCAAAATTAAACATTTTTAACTCTTGAAAGTGAATTTAGTCTGTCATAAGTTTTATTAGAATTGTGTTCAGACCAAAAAAGATGATGTTAAATTCGTTTTATACACCAACTGGAGTATCTATGAGCTAGAAGGCAAAAAACCTGACATAAAAGTCTATCATTTTAGCTTAGAGGACAAATAAACTCACAACAGTAGTTCTGGGGTAAGTTGAGCCAGTGGATCAATTGAAAAGTAAAGAAGTCTGATGAGAGGATCAGAGTTTCAGTTCAGATTGTTGAAATGTGATACTTTTTCTTTTTTCTTTTCAGCTGTGAATGTTCTGAATCACTCAAAGACATTCTCATGTTAAAATGACTTTTTACAAAACAGCTTTTTAGCAGTTATATGCAATAATAATAAAAAGAATTATCGTACCAGTTGAATAGTGTAAAATAGATAAAATTACACATGAATGTGAAGAAGTGACTATTTAGGGAGGGAGAAGGTGAACTTACCCCATACGTGGGGTAAGTTGACCATAGGAGATCACTTTTTTTGGCATGCTATATTATCAAGACAGTTATGTTTACACTCATTCTGTTGGTTTGCAGGGATGCACAACATCTTGAAATATATGCAGATTCACTAGTTAGAGACAAAACTATGATTGCCTTGATGTAGTGATTCAAATTATGAAAAATGGCTCATCTTACCCCACTCTCCCCTATGTGCTGCAGTGTATGTTCTCAACCAAAGTGAAATGTTTTTATTTGCTGGATTTATTTATTCATATATAATTCTTTAATATTTAACCATTTAGGTCACAGAAAAAAATCATATTTGTCCCTGACAATGATGACTGAGTTGCAAAAATATTTTAATGCTGTGTCCACAGCTAATAAAAATAAATCTGATGGTATGTGAATCGTTTGAAACCCTATACTTAATTGAAAGTAGTGCAAAGACAATACATCATTTTAAAACAAAAATACATATTGTTTGTAAAAAAAAAAGTATTGGCAGAGACAACAGACCACTGTAATCTGTGATAGCTTTACCACAGATACAGACACATCTCCTGATTCTGTTGCTGTTTACTTTACTGTACACACACATACTGGCTACTTGAAACATATTGGCCATTAAATATCTTGGCCTCTTTAATTTGCACTGTTCACTTTCACTCTATTTCATTGTATGTCACACCAACACTCTACCTCACGCTTTAACAGACAGCCCTCACTTGGTTATATAAACTAAATGTACCTCCACTGTTCATAAATGTGACCATAGGCTCAGGAACGACTCCACTGTGTCTAAATTTGTTCTTATTCTGTACATTATAACTTTTTTCTAAAAATATTTTAGTTTCTAATGTGATTTAAATTGATTGTATTTGATTTGATTCCATTTTGAAAAAAGGACCTGTATGTATTAATGTAGTTATTTTCTAAAGTTGTAAAGGTGTTGTTTCTGTACCTCCTTGTTTGTCACAGATTTGAATCAAACAAGAAGCTCTGAGGAAGAGAAGCGTTTGATCTCAGCAATTTAAAAGATTAGAAAACCAGCGCAGGCTAAATGACACACATTGTAAATGTAGTGAATGCATGGCAGGGGGCCTGCAGACTTCAGAGGAAAACAAATGGAGAGATCTCTCAGACACAATACTACTTACACTTCAAAGTCTGCAGAGGAATGAGGGGAGACAGGGGACGCTCCTGCTCTGATAAAACTACAAGCCGAATTTCAGTCACAAGAAATCCTCTTTTTTGAGGATGACATCAAAGCTCCTGTGAGGAGTTTTCAGCTGGAAACAAAACAGACTGAAGACTGAAATTAATACTGGTGCAGATGACTTACACAAGCACACAAGAATTTCATCACTCAGGTCTATAAATATTTTAAAAACTTCTCCTTATTGTTAACAGGTTAAAGTCCTAAAATACATTTTAAACAAATCAGTGAAAGGAAAATGTTTTTGATACATAAGAGCAAATATTCAACAGAAATTAGACAAATATAGTCTCCCTCACATCTCTATTCTGTGCTGTCCACGTCTTCATTATTTTGCTGCTGGTGCAAAGACTCTGAGGGTAATTTTTCCTCATGGTAAGCAGGGTGGGAATGATAACACAGCTGAAAAATGAAGAAAAACATGAGTCGAAGAAAACTGAACCAGAGACAAGAAGAGGGAGAAGGAGTGATGTGAAAGAGGCCTGAGGTGGCTGACAGAGGCCTGTTTGAAGGCTGTTGTGGTTCTTGAAAGGATCAACTTGAACAACACTTAAAGTGCAGCATTTCATGACATCCATCCCCTCGGCCTGCCCCCATGTCCCGAGGGGTCAGAGGGGGAGACTGCCGATAAACGAGAGTGAGGTGTCGTCCCCTCCCACCATTGTCAGAGGAGCCACATCAGAGCAACTACAACCCTCCTCACCCTCCTTCCCCACTTCCCTTATTCACTGTCCTGTGATTTCTGTTTGACCAGGGGTCTGGAGGTCAGTTTTATCACCCGCCTTACCCCTCTGAATTGTTCCCTCGGAGGTGTTTATGAGGAGCCCTACAGGATGTTCGGCCCACCAGGAGATCAAAGCCTGCTCTTCATGTTAAACATGCTGTCACTCACTATGACCTTTTCAACTCCAATAGGGCGAACATCACAGACGCACGTGAGGCTGGGATTACTGTAGAGGAGCTGGAAGATCTCCATTATGGCAGTGGATCAGTTTCCTTCCTGCTGTGGTTCACACACAAGTACAAGAGCTCATTTTTGTGATAGAGGATCATCCTCAGGATACTGACAGAGAGGAGGACCCTCTTTAAATCGACTGTGAAGTCTTCTCTTTTGGCACAAATTAGGACGATTACAGGAGGAAGGATGAAGACACTTGACAGCAACTTCAGATACAAGCTAACACATCAGAGAGAGAAAAGAGATAATCACAATAAGTGAAGTTATGTTGAAAGCTTAAACAGGAACTGTCTGTTTGAAATGATGTTGGTGTTACTTAAAAACCTCATGATTGACCTGAGAAGATTGTGGCGCCTGTTGGGGCTCCATAGTTTAGATTAAAAACTTCTTTCAGCTTTCCTCAGACAGATGTATAATTTACAAATGCAACTTGACAAAAGTTAGGACACTGTCCTTTTGTACAGATAATCTCATTTTATGTACTCTAGATGATGAAATCCCCAAATTCTTTGTGATTACGCACTGAAGGCTATTATTCTTAAGTTGATGTATTTGCTTACTCAAATAGAGTGGTGAACATTATCTCTAAGAGCCTCTTTAGTGACTATGCTGACCTGAATTTTAGTCACTGTCTGGGTGCAGGAGAGAGGTGTTTTTGACGTGCTTTGAGTATAATCCAGTGTCCAGTCCGAGGTTGTTGCTGAGTTATATTTTTGCTATTTATTGATTAAATAAAAAACAAGCAAAAAAAAAAAACACAGATACGTCCAACTTACTACAATGGTGATGTTCGTGATGAGTGTGAGAGTGGTGTCAGAGATTAGCGGTAAAACATGAGCTCTTACCGTTCCCTAGATCACTGCTTCACCGGTGTCTCCTTGTAGCATTTACCTGCCTGTTCACCTGAAGTGCCCCTTGTGGTGATTGAGCAAGTAACAAAACAAAACCCCAAAAATAATATAGATAAAATGGCTCCTACAGCGTCTCTTTAATGATCTTTTTCGTACAGAGTCATGTAAGTTAACTTTTTTTTAAAATCAACCTAAATGTTCCTTTTTTTCCCTTCCATTTTCCCTCTTTTTCCGAGTGTTTTGTTGACTCCCTTTTAAATGTGTTGCTGGCATCAAATCTATGTGCATGCTTTCACTGTAAAAAAGTTTTTTTTTTTTTGCACACTTTTCAAGTACACACAAGGTTTCAATGATTAGAAGACTGGTATTTCTAAAATTTTACAGTCTCATAATACAAAAAGATATTTATTGTCTCAATGTGCAGATTTTGCACCATTCAAAATAGAGAGTAGATCAACTTATGCCAAACTTCAGCGATATCATTGCACTAAAGGATATTTCAAGTATCACTAACAAAGGCAGAGTGATTGTGTGTGCGTGGTGTTATGGGTACTGCATTTGCCCAAATCCTTCCCTTTGTCTCTCTCTCTCCTGTCATCAACAGCTTGTTCTAACCACAGTAAAAGAAGCAGACAGGAAGTGAATTCCTCTGAAGCTCACTCACAGACTCTCAGCGCTCATGTGTTTCGCAGTCATCAGATGTTTTCAGCTCATCATGAACAGAAAAATAGCAGCACAAGAAGTACAAACAACCGAGGATTATGTGCATCCAGCCGACAATTTTACTGAGTTTATTCACGACATTTTATCCACCTCCGAGTCGTGTTAGAGCAGTAAGGTGTGTTTAAAATCGGTTAAAACTTGACACACGGTGATCTAACATGGAAATAAATGATTGAAATTCAGTGTTTATACATGGCTCAAAGACACAAGCTGAAAAAGGCACTTTCTGATCAAATGAAACAGGGATATAGTCATGTGATAAACAGTGTGTGCAGACACATTTGTAAAGGCCTTTTATCCTCTGTGTGTGTGTAAGGCATCTTCAGGCTCTTCTTGTGAGTTTCAATATATTCAAGCTCCACGATCATGAAAAAAAAGTCATTATATATCTCACACTGAACGATCAAAGCAATCATTTCTGTAACTGTAAAGAGTTTACATTGCTTAGAGCTGAAAGGATAGCAGAGTTATATATTGTGGTGCACTTCTGGTGACAGGATCAGTGAATAGGTTATACATCGGTTCACTAGTGATCAGTTTACCCCTGGTGTCTTTCTTTACAAAGTCAACCCTCTTGTGGTATTTAACAGTATTGCTCTATAGAAATCTCAATCAACATTTACAATAGTTTTCAAGTGTCCAGGAGTTTTTTTTAAGAAGGTGCCATCGCCAATCAATGGCTTTGGGACATTCAACAGCGCAGGGATCACAGCTGTTCCTCTGGCGAGAGAAGAAACAGAGTCCGCAGAGTTCACAGAAGTTACTCTTTTCTAAGTGTAGCGTGAGTCACATCCCTGAAATATGACTCACCGCTTCAGTTCACAACCTCAAACACCGAGCTCCACCTCCTTCCGCTAAATAAGGTCACTCTTTGGAATGATGCTGATTAAAAACATTACACAGCTATATTTGAAATACACAATAAAATATCAAATCATTAAGGAATAAAGAAAGTGCTAAGTGTATAGTTTCTCTCTCAGAGAGATCAGTGACTGAGGCGGACAGTTTGTCTCTCAGCATGTCAAGGAAGGAAGGAAGGCCACGTTTAGTCGAGTGAGCATCTCAGTGGTGCAGGTATGAGTCCTCAAAGGTCTTCAGCCATTACTCATCCTATTTCCCAGCATTCTCAGGGGGATTGTATTCTGTTTCACCTGCAGACACCTGAGAGATGCGGCGTGTGCTGAAGAGGCGGCGTGGGAATTGTCCTGAGTGGACCTGAGAACAAGAGAGAGGACATGTTAATCTTCACCTCAAGGGCTAAAACAGAGATGTTAGACTTAAGTCTCTCAATTATCATTTAAAAAACCTGGTTTGCAACAAGTACTTAGCATATGATTACCCACCTCCCCTCCTCCTTTTCACACATACAAACATGCAACACAGCCACACTCCCACATCTTACAAGCGCTGTATCTCCTGGTTCTCACCTCCTCTGGCTTCCCTGCCCCCACCACTATTAACTTCCCATCCTCCAGTCCCACCAGGATATGGCTGAACTCTTTGGTGACAGATACACACCGAACAGGAACCTTTAAGGCCAGAGGCAGTACTGGAGCGTCCAGGCTGTCAAAAAGAAGACGTTAAACTAAGAGAAACACATTTACAAACACAACTCTGAATTCATTTTGCAAACTGACTGGAACTTTTCAGCTTTGTCTTTTCTTTGCTTCTCTACCTGTATAAATCTCGAATGTGGAGGTTGCCCTCGATTGTTCCCAGGATGATGTACTCAGACACCAAGTGGAGAGCGGTCACCTGCTCCTCCAGGGTGGAAGAGGACAGCAGACTGCCGTTCACAGAGTAAACATGAATGGAATACTTTCCCTGAAAGATGAAGCAGAAATTGGGTGCTTAGAAAACATGCTGTGAAACTTGTTTGGGCTTCTTTCCTTTCTCCTGTTTATTTATGCGCTGTGCTGAATGTACCTGTCTGTGGATGTGTTCCTCCATGGAGGTCTGAACCACTATATGACCCTCCATGCCAACCTGAAGCTCAGAGATCTGTGCAGGCACACAGCTTTCACCTGGAGGCCGCAGTGTTCGCAGAAACTGGCCTCGTCGAACAGTGTGCACAATCACAGTCCCGTCCTGCAACAGAAAACAGCAAGTGAGGGTCAGTATGAAGGTCACCGTTGCAACAAGACTGTATTTTGTGAGTTGTGTTTTCTTTTTGAAACTGCATGGACGCTCAGTTAGCTGTTCATTTGCTGTTTTTTGCTACTTTTCAAGCATTTTAGCAGCTCAAGTAGACTAGAGCTCCCTACGCTGCAGCCAGTGATCACAGATTTTATGATGATTTCAATACTTTACTGGTAAACATGAAAAACAAAACAAGAGTCATCTACAACTAAAGGTTTTCCTTGGTTGATTTTATTGTTTTAATCCCCAGACAAAAACAGACACAGGCTATAAGACAAAAACATCTGTGTCTTCTACCTTTAAATGTTCGTGTTCTGTGGTTGTTTTCTGTAGATGGGAATCACAATCGATCTGCTAAAAAAACTGTATCACAGTTTTCTCAGAGGATTTTCAAGCAATATTTCAAAGCATTCTGGGTTTTTAGTTTAACCCCGGTTTTGTACACTACCACTAAACTTCCGAACTCAAACAATTAAAGAGATATAAAAATAAAAAGGCCTCTAATACAGAAATGTCAAAACTTGCTTCAAAGCATATTTCTTTTGTTCTTTCTTTTCAAATGCACTTTGGTGTATAAACAGCTTAATTAATCTAGAAATTAAATAAATCAAAGCTTGATTATTGAGCTTTATCTGACAGGACAGATGGAGGAGGAGAAGGAAACATGGACAGAGAGTCGGGGGAGTCACACAACAAATCATTCTGGGACCAGAACTAAGTCGCTCAAACATCCCTCTGAGCATTTTTGGTCTAGAAGAGGTCTAATAGACATCTAAATGTAGCCTGGACAACCTGTCTAAAATCAGGCTTCTTGGAGATCAGTTATGCAACTCACAATTGCTTTTTAAAATAAATAGTTATCAAATAATGGGTTAAAGTGCAACATCTAAATTCTGTCTAAAAATATACAGAATCAAGACAGTTGAAATTAGATCTAAAAAACACTAGACGTCTAATAGCCGTCTATTGCTCACAGTGGATAGGGCCCCTGTCCCACTGACTGAGCCATACCTACGCCACATAAGTAATAAATTAAACAAAACGTATTCGTCTTTCTTCCAACAGCTAAATTAACACCCACTTTAAGTCACGTCTGTAAGAGTGTAAAAAAGGCAATTTTGGCAATGTTGTTTCACCACTTAAACTGACAACTACTCTAAAGTGATTTTAGACATTAGAAAATAACTTTAGAAATAATTTGTCTATACGCTGATAGTCTTGTTTTCATTTCTAAGGCCATAAAGATGCGTTAGTATTCATTTCAGTCTGTTTCATAACCAGGAAATATTTTGTAACAAAAACTTCAATCATGAAAAAATATGTAAATACTGTATGTACTGTATATGTAAATATGTGGTCCACTTTCCAGCTCACCTTCGACCCTGAGACAGCCATGTCCAGTTCAGTGCTGATGGCCACACATGTGACCTCTTGGTCGTGACCACAGAGAACCTGAACTGGCCGAGGAGACAGGCCACTGGAGAAGCCACCCTGAGTGGCATAAAAGAAGGATCAGTGGTGTTATAACTTTAATGGCAGCTTTAAGAAATTCATTCAAATGTGTTGGTGAGCCTAGTAGAGGTTGAAGGGATTTACCTGCTGTAGAACCTGCCACACAATACAGGATGTGTCCCTTGAACCAGAGATGAGGTAGATGCCACAGAGATCCAGAGCCAAGCAGGTAACGACATCTTTATGTAACACAGAAATATGCAAACCAATATTTTACTGATGCACAGAACACAAATACTTTATTTGCAAGTGAAATATGATAGAAAAAACTCACCAATGTGTCTGCAGATCCTGCCCACTAACTTGCCCTTTCCCAACTGGGTGACTCGCAGACTGCAGTCCCAGTGTCCACCACTGAACAGCAGCCGTCCGTCGTTGGACACCACCAGCACCTTAGCACTGATCTCCATCCCCTGAGCAAAAGGTCCTCTCAGGAAACGTTGCGTCCTGTTGGGGAGATAAAAGCCAAGTCAGAAACTAGAGGTGAGGGCGAGATGTGGCCTCAGTGCTGAGATTTATTATCTGCACATGAAGAGACCCAGCATTCAAACAGTTCTAATCCTGTTTTACTTCATGTTTATGAGATCCACAATCCATGTCAAGGTCAGTTTACAACAAAATCCATTCAAGCTAAATTCAGGTGGTTCAACAGATTTGAAGCTTCAGAGAGGAACACTGTCAGGACAGTTTTATGCATCTTTTGGCATATATAAAATGTTATCATGCATCTGTATGTTTTCTGACTCACTTGGGATTGGTTATGTTGGGGTCCTTGGTGAAGGTGAAGTAGTTGGTGATGTTTTTGTCATACGGCAGCCAGCTATGTGTCCCTATCAACCCGTTTGAGCTCACGGTCACCTGGAGAGAGGAAAAACTTCCACAATCTAAGAATGTTCTGACTTAAGATTGATTTTCATCATGACTATGTTTTGTATGTGAGGAAACACACCAGGATATCTGAGCCCTGGATGATGAAGGAGCGGTTTTGGTTCTTTGGTACCACTGCCTGGACCAGAGGGAGGCCATCGCTTACAACCTGAGGCGCACACAAACACAGAGATGTAACAAAATAGCCATGATGAAATAACAGGAATTGAAAGTGATTTTTTTTTAACCCACCTCAACGAATGGACGGAGTTTTGAGAGCTGCTCAAAGATATTTGGGGGCAAAGTGTCTAGACGGGCCAGCCGCCTTGTTGCGTTCTCAGCCGACATGCGAGGAGGATGAGGTTCCTGGTGGCACATGAACAACGTGTTAAACAATAGCCAAGCAAAGGTATCTGTGACTTTGTGCTTGTAACCTCTTTAAGGCCCTCAATGTAAAAGTTTTATGTCTTTAAAATTCTTGGTCCAAACTAAAAAAACAATGATTACATGCTCATATCAGACAGAATACGTGCACACCTTGCGACGTGTATCAATGCAAAAAAAGAACATAAAGCACGGTCAACAAAAATTACAGCTACCTAGGCTCACCTCTCCACCCCAGTGCAGGTAAGACCGCCCCTTATATAAACTACCGGCTCTTAAACACAGTGCCCATGTGACCCAAACACAGGGAAACCAATAGCAACTAGACAGAAGTAACTGAACACAGGATAACTGATAAGCAAAGCAAAATTATGGCTCCTACGAGTAAGAAGAAGAAGAGGCCGGGATTTGATTTAGAGGTTGTACCTTGAGGAGCTGACAGGGCGTCTGCCCAAAGTTGCTGATGATCCCTTCCAGGGCCTTCCGCTCGGTCTCATTGACGATTGCATCCAGATCAACTGCACCTGCAGAGAAACAAGACGGGTTAGTGAGTCGAAATAAAGATGCACAAAAGCCACGCTTAATAGAGTTTGAGGACATAAAGAGCAGCAAAGAGGACTTTAAGATGAACTGGCAGCAGCTAAATCAAGTCAAACATTATGACTTTGGCCTTACCCTCGTAGGTGCAGTAGTAGAATACATTGAGAGCATTCACTGCCTCCTCTCCTCTCTGCTTGCATCCAAAGATCAGGTCGATCCACTCATGGAGGTGACTGGACACATGCTCACACTCCTAGAGTTGAATATGATTTTTAAATATCTTACAGAGCTGTTTCAACACTGTGAAAAATAGCTTGATTTAAAAGACTGAGTATGTGGACTCACCAGAGCTTTCCTGTGTTTCCTGATAAAGTCCTCTCTCGATGTGGCCCAGGGAGGCAGCAGAACATCTGTCACCGCCTCCTGAGACATCTGCAAGTGCCCCAGATCAAAGCCTACAACAGAGGTGGAAGGCGTACATGAGCTTTTCCGATTCAAGACTTGAGGTATTTCAGCGACTTAGAGGCAAAAATCTTTGACATCCCACCGTTCATGTTCTGCAGGAACTCTGGGAGATAGAAAAACTCTGGGATGAGCTCTTTGACATCAGCTGGACTCTCCATACGGGCCTGCCAGGCAGCTGCCACAGAGTGGAACTGTCTGTCCGCACAATCGAACCTAAACAACCGCAGGATGCGCTGATGTGAAACCACATTCAGAAAAACTGGGAATTTGATTAGATATTAAAACCAGACAGCGTTCCCACCTGCCACTCTGCAGCTGAATATGCAGAGTCGTGAAGGGCTCCATGCGGATCATGTAGTGCATGACTCCTGCTGCATTCGAGTAGTGTGTGCCATAGTGGAATTTATCAATGGTGCCAGTCGGGTCCTCAAAGCTCTCATACCTATGGAACAAAAACACAGATTGAATGACTTCAGGATTGTTTTTTTTTAGCTGATATTAGTGCAATTAATACAATTTCAAATCATAACACATAATTGACCTCACAGTAGCAGTTTCACTCCTTCAGATTAAGAAATACTATAAACTCCTGCACATGCATGAAGAGTGTCTTAATCCAAGAAATGCATTTTTTTTTTTAAAAGCCAGCCTTTTAAAATCCTTCGAAAAGATAACTTCATTCCAAACACTTAAAGGTTTTTGCAGCATCCGATGACAGAGCAGTTGAAGGGCCAATAGAGTCATGCGAAATGATAATTAGGTATAAATCCAGTACGGTTTATGTGAGATATGCCTTCTTTGAGAACCTTTGCTAAAATCTGTGGTCATGATTAATAAGAGAAGCAGGCTGATAATCACTGGGGTCTTCGTAGTATTTCCTTTTTTATGAAATAAAATTATTATTATTTCTATTAAAGTAACGACTTACTTTTCTCTGACATTCTGTGCATGTCGAGGGTTGACCACACCTATGGGTTTGGACAGGTCTCTGAAAACTGACGGGTCCTCCAGATCCAAAATAGGGGAGGTGTAGTCGCATAAGATCCAGGGGAACTGAGAGGAACCACAGAAAATAACTTTAATTTGATAGTTCCTCTCATGAAAAGTGCATCACCAAAAACAGCTCTTAAACACGAGTGACAAACACTGTCAAGGCAAAGCACTTACCACAGGATACTGCGACAGGTCATTGTAGGTTCGTCCAGCGATGGTGTTCAGTTGCATCAAATACTCAAAATTTGAGATTTCTCTGTAAACCCATTTCTGTACGACACAAATAGATCAGGTAAGTCTTAAAAAAAGGACAATTCACAATTATAACTCAGCTTTATGAGGAACTGAATAAAACCTGTGTCAGTCCAGATGCCTTCAGCAGCTCTTGTGGGGAGCGAGAGCCAAAGTAGAAGAGGTTTGGGGGCCGCAGCCCCAGGATCCTCGAGTACACTTTGTTTCGTACCTGATAGAGCAAACATGAGTTTTTCAGTATTTTTTTTAACTATACAAAGCAGCAGTGGAAGTTTTATTTCGACTTAAGTGACACCTTCTTTTTGAAGTTGATGAAGTAATGAGCCTGGTCTATGAAGAACAGCTCCAGAGCAGATCGCCGCAGGTTGTAGCGCCTCAAGTGGACTTCTCTGAGCTGAGTCAGAGGCCTCTTGAAATCAAACCCGATTCCTAAAAAAACAGATAGTCAGCTTCTGAATGGACTTTTTCAACCAAGTAAAAGATGACGTGTTCACAGTTGCATCTTGTCTTACCTTCCTCAGTCTCTTCTTTCTCACTGCTGCCATCGTAGAAGTAAAGATGATGTGTGGTGACCTCCAGACGACCTGGCACTACAGCCACGATAGTTATGAGTTCACAGTCTTCAGACAAGACCAGTTTTTCTTTTTGGCTCTCGTCTTCTCCCTCCGCCCTGAAAGCATGAGAAAAATGTAACCGTATACTCGATTTGCACATCTTATACAAGCAAACACAACAATAACATAATATTCAAGGAATTTCCAATTATTTTAATGACTGTTTGGTGAAATTTTGCACATTAAAACGTTGCTTTGTTCACCTGATGTTACATTTTTCTTTGTGTCATGTGAACTAAAATTACAGAAACTGGGGACTTACTTATCATCCAAGAAGACAACATCCTCTTCTCCAAGCTGATCGTCCTCCATGTCGCTGACTTTGGCTTCTTTTGCAACGGCCACATGGAGGGGCTCAGAGCTACGGGGGCTGTCAGCTCCTGAAAATCACACAAACAACAAAAACCATTGTTCTGTTTGTTCTGCTACTTAAAAGGCACGAGGTTTGCATGAGCTACAATATCCTCTTTATACCAAGTGACATACCCATGTTGTCCCTCTGGGCACTAGCCTCACTGTGAGGATCGTAGTTGTAGTTGGGCACAAGTTTGAGACGCATCTTTGAATAAGTTTCTGCGCCTGACAGCTTCAGTTTCACCTCTGGCTGAACTCTGTGAAAAATATGGCAAAGAAAAATGAAAAACCAAACCAGTCTGGGCAATGATCAGCAAAATTCCAGCATAGTTTCAGACAAAACCTTACTGTTTGTTAAACTTTGAAAAAGATATTTCATTGTTGTTTGTTCTAAGGGTGATATTATCGAATTTGTCATATAAAACCTGAAGTAGCCATACCTGATGGCCCACGCTCCCCTCTCACTGGTCAGGAGTCTGCGGAGAGCTTTCCAGTGCTGCCACACCACCCCCTGCTGGCTGGAGATCTGCTTCTGACAACTGGAGTACCTGCTGTTCTCACTTCTGACCCGCTTCAGGTAGGGGTCCACGATCACTTCCTGCTTCCACAGAAAAAGACACAAATATCAGATCAGCTATGCAGAACACTAACACAGAATATAATCCACGTAAATGTTTGCTGAATTCAGTCTAAAAAGCTTTATAACCTGAAACTTATTCTTGCTGTCTGATCTGTCTTTGTCCCGTTTAAAAGCTGTACTCATCAGGTCATCGAAGCAGGAGTTCCAGAAGTTGGACATGATGTCATGGCTTCTTCCAAATGTGTCCAGCTCATACAGCTCCATGGTGGGCTGAACCTAGATGCACATTTTGAGAAGGAGAACAGAAAAACCCTCGTACAATTAACAACAAACCAGTGGTAAAGGACTTTTTTATATACAAAAATAAAACACTTCGATGTTTAAATTAATATTCAGTTATTTTCCATTAATTTATTGCCTGGCTGTTACATATTTAAGCCATTCAGTTGTATAAAAGCACACATTGAGGGAACATCTTTAACATCCCTTTAAAACATACAGTTTATACATCCTAAACTGCATACTGCACACCCAGACTTTACCGTCATGGCAGCCAAATTCATACCATACTGGCTAATGCATCACAGGATCTGTATACAGAGACAATCTTAACAAAACAGATTTATGATTATGGACTGTCATACACAGCCGTGATAAAACCATCTTTCAGTGAATGTTTTGCTCGTCTGGTGTCTGTTCATAAAATATGTCAGCTTGAGGTTGGAAGATACACTCATGTCTACTTAAAACACATTCAAGGGTCGGCTTAGAAACTCTTGGGGTTGAGTTTTTTCTACCTTTTTACTCTAACAGCATCTCGTAAATTTTGGATTCGATTTCTTAGCCACCCACGAGGATTTAAACTGATCAGACTTGGAGACAGGCTGCAAAGCGTACAATCTAATGTGACTCAAGCAGCTGTATCTAAGAGAGGATGGTTTATTTTATTTCACTTGTTTAGTCTCACCAAACGCTGAAGAGGAGATTCTCCAGATTCCATAAACTTACGATAAATTCAACCTATTTTTAAATACACAATGTCAGCTGGACACTGACCTGCTGTTGGAAGAACTCCTGCCACTCCAGCGTGTGGCAGTAAGTCTTCAGGTCCTGGGCGAAGGTGGCGCTGCCATTTGTGATGGGAAGGTTTGGTAGAAGGTTCTGGAGGGCGACGGGGTCAGCATGCTGGTCCAGCAGCGTGCGCACAATGGGGACCAGCTGGGTGAAAGACTCTGCTTTTTCACAATTGTTGCCGTCAATTCCACCTCCTGGCCACAGGGGGGAGCCGAGCTGCCCGAGCAGGAAGCATACCTCCTCCCAGCTTAGACACAGCACTGTTTGTAGGAGACTGTGGAGCTTCAAGTAGGCCATTTCACGCACCTGAAGTAGGGCAACAGGGAAATCACTTATTTGGCCTTTTTACAAACAGCCTCAACATACAGCTCTTAAAGAAATATACTGAACAAAACAACAAATACTTTAAAGTGATTAAGTTTTTCCAGTCCTGCAGGGGATTGACACTGGACCTATTTAATAGCATTTAACCCTCACATACTGTTCGGGTCAAATTTGACCTGTTTTGACTTTTAACAGCAGTAAAAACACCCTAAACATCATTTTTTAAGCTTGAAACTTGATGACTTTTCCTGAAGTTGCCCAAAATACAAGAAATTAATTTAAAAATATTCATGTGTATTTTTGTTTATGTGCTACAAATTTTTCCCCTCTAAGGCTGTTACGGGTCAAATTTGACCCGTATCTATATTTAGATGGATTTTAGATCTAGCAGTGTGGGACAAGTGACAAACAGTAACAACAGTGTTCATTATAAGGTTTGTTTTTCAAAAAGATATATTCAAATCATTATGAAACTATCATTACCTTGACAGAAACACACACAAACACACACACGCACACAGACATACAGTCACACAGACACACCTAGACAGAGGTCAAAATGACCTAACTAGTCAAGAGAACCTTCTGTGACAGAAAGCTGCTCTGTGAACTCTTTGATGGGGCAATTTTTGACCCGGAACATACATGAGGGTTAGATTGCTTCATTCTCATGTTTGTGTTATTCTATCAGCATGTTTGACTGGAATATCAAGATAAAGCTGTTTTGGTGTAGTGGATGAAAAGAATATGATAAATGATAACGCTGTCTAAAATAAACTGGACTAGAGGGACGCAGCAGCATAAACTGAAGAGCGAGTACTTCATAGATGTGTGTAACAGTATCACTCGGGTGAATGTTATAACTACATTCCACTTCTGAAAATTAATAATCACTCTTCTTCAGTAGCATTGGGCTATTTCCATGTGAGTCAAAGCTTCTATGTCAGGAGCAATTGAGTTTAATTTATTCCAGACTTGACATTTGAAATACAAATGGCTTAAGGGGAGCTGTACCACTTGAGACTGAACCAGAGATGTGATGGAAAGCTCTCATGGTCAGCTCATTTATGACTGCTCTTTATCCCACAATCCCACAGCAGCTTTAGATTCAGTCATAATTCAGAGAGGAGCTGCCCTTTAATACAGAAACACTCCCTCGGAGGAATGCCTGCAGCGTCTACGAAAAGAGAGCCATAGAAGGACTGGTATTTTTTACGCTGGTGTTATCTATGTGATGATCATGTGAAATAAATAACATGAACTCCTTTAGATTTATTCTCAGTTCAGCTACACATGTGTTGGGTTATAAGAGACTCATAATGGGGGAAATATTTGGCAGTTTTGGTTGATATATTCGACTGGGTGATGGAAAAGTTCAGTTGCTGACCGGAGAGTGATGCTGATGAATGTAAGCCGTGATGATACGTAGGCCGATCTGTGCCATTTCCTTCAGTTCGACGTTCCCGGGGCTGCCAGGGGTGCTATGCCAAGCCTGTAACCTGTCCAGCAGGTTCACCACCCCCTCAAAGATCTGCAATGCAACATCAACTGTTAACAAAAGGCTCAAGAGAAAAGGCTAGACCTGTTTCCACACCTTGAAGCATCAACAACAACCTACAGCCATTCAGTACATTAAATACAGCTTAACCTGCGTTTTAAAAGGTGATTCAGAAGTCACCTACACCCAAGCAGGACTCTCCACCCTGCAGTCAGAAAGGACAGGAATATTTCCCCTGATACTGAACGCCAACTGAAAACAACCACACCTAGCTGCAAATAGTGTAATGTCTTCAGCCAAAGCATTAATATCAACATAATACTGACCTCAAACCACCTTAGCATCTGCATCATGAAATGTTATTCCTACATATATATATTTATATCTATCATGTGTGTAACTCATTTTACAATATTTTTACTAACTGTGATAAAACTTGTTTCAACATGAAACAAAGAAAACAATCTTCTCTTTGTTGCACCTGGTGTTTGAAAACAGGACATAAAAATGACGGGACGTTACGTGTGAGCTGTTGCTCTGAGCAGTGAGCCTTTATTTAATTCTGGAGTTGTTCAGATCCCACTGGGGTTTATAGAGAGCAAATCATATTCATTAAGATTGTGTATCTTGTTTAGTTATTCCACGAAGATATGTTTGAGCTTACCTATGGCTAGAAAACAACTAATAACGTCATGCTAATTAGCTTCCCCCCAACGCTCTTTTTGCTAACTAAGCTAACTAAGCGAGCTAACATTTTTAACAGGCAGGAGAGTATGGTCATTTTAATAATTCAACTCCTGGCAAAACTAAAACATGTTCCTGTCGACTCTCTGGTCGACATCTTTCTTTGCTCAAAGAATAGATCCAGAAACCATTTCATCTCCTTTCATCAAATCTTTTTAAGTTGACGCTCTTTAACTGAATGGGGTAACTTGAAGCCAAAATGTAGTATGAAACTTTGGGTGGAATAAACCATATACCTTTTCACTCCACAGCATGTGGTTGTTTGTTCCCTCAGCAAACAGGAAGTCCTGCAGCAGCCTGAGGAGGCGAACCAGGCTGGGACAGAAAGGCAGAGACGCTCCTTGAGCCTCCCTCAGGTCTGATAGAGATGACTCCAGCATCATCTCTAAGAGGCTGGAGTGAAAGAACAGCATTTTAATATATATCACCCCTGGTGTGAAATGATAGACACTGAGAGAAAAGACAAAACAGGTGTGATTCAGTGTTGTTGTTATTGTTGCTTTGTGTGGGACAGCTTCGCTTCATTTCAAATCTTTGTTCCTGACCTGCGTTTGATTTCGTCAGGTGGACGGACCAGTTGGGAGGAGGAACCAAGTTTGGTGAGAACAGAAAAAACCTGTCCTCTCTCTCTCCACACCACATCCTCTGTCCCCTCCACCCCGCTGCGATTCCACAGCACAGAGAAGATTATGTTGGTCAGCAGGTTGCACAGCTCCTCCTCAGGGGTCTGCTAAAACACAAACCAAACTCAGCACCAAAGCCAACTACTCTCATAAAAAAAAGACTTTTAATGAGAGTTTTCCTGGTAAAATCTGAGCAGGAGGACTGGTACCTGTGGGTTTGATGTGTTGGAGATTGTATCCCCAGTGGGTGGATCTGTCCCATAGCTGGTATCATCCAGTACGTTGGACAGACTGGAGCTCTTCCTTGGTCTGAGTGGTGGAAAAGGTTTGCAGTGCTCCAGAGGAGATGGTGTGTTTGTCAGACTACCTGCAGGAGTGTGTGGTCCAGTCTCCCCCATTCCTCCTAGCTCCAAATCAAAGGGTGATGTACCGAAAGGAGAGAGGGGCTGATAGTCCCTCCCTTCCTCATCAGGACGAGATGAAGTGATATCAACCGCATTGGAGATTGAAGATGAGTGGCTCCCTTGTTCCACAGAATCAAAGGATTTAGAATGAAGTGAGCCGGTGAAGTTTTTTAGCGTGCCTCCGCCTCCGCTTGGAGGTGACTGGGATAAATCGGAGAATCCCTCAGATATGTCCCGCCGACCGCTCTCATCCTCCTCATCCTCGTCTTCAATGTCCTGAGAGGTGCGGTAGTTCAGAAAAAGGTTGGTGTTTGCGTCCTCTATGACCAGAGACTGCTCCCTGCGTAGCGGCGGCCGGAAGTTTGGGTCAAAGGAGCTGTCGTTGCCGGAGTCCGTAATCATGGTAGGACAGTACTCATACGACTCTTTGACATAGAGTTTGGTGAGAACATCCTGCCAGCCGGGCTGCCGAGCGAGCTGCTTCACGTATTCCTCATTGGAGTAGATCAGATGAAAGAGCTGGAGAGAAGTAAACAGGAGAAGAGCTTGTTTTTTTTATGACTGAGAAATAAACACGATTCAGATGACAATTCAAATTCTATGTATAAGCAGACTGACCTTACGACAGACATCCAGACGGACAGTGAGCTCTGCCTGATGTGACAGAGAGACCACAGCCAGAAGGTCTCTGAAGCTTGGATTTGCATCTGTGAGGCAGCAGCAAATTAACTTTAAGTCTGTGGAAAACTTCATTGCAACACTTTCCACTTGCAACTTTAGCACCGAGTTTATGTCAAATTTCTGTAATTTGTTTATATTTCTATGTGATTTAGGTTTTAGTGGTGGTTAAAAGCAGCTGTTGATTTCCAGTTTCAATAAATCTGCTCTACATTTGCAGCAGAGTTCACATAAGTCATGAGTCATTCATTTAGTACAGGAAACTTACTCTGTGGTAACACTTTTTTTTTACATGCCAGCAAACAAATCTCACTTTGATGCACGTTCAGTTGATTTTAAGATTGAATCCACTTTGAATTTACGTGGAACAAATCAGCACCGTACAAACGCTGTAATACTGTACCAATTCACCGATGCTAAATTACAAAGCTCATCTAAGAATATATCAGCTCAGGACATCGATAGGAAAACAATCTCACATACAATCAGACCCCAACTGCAGATTTAGCAGGTGATGTGGTCGATAAATTTGCTTGATTTATATAATTTATTTAATTCTAAAGAGAAAGAACAAAAAATTCCAGCTGCTTCAACACTCAAAAATGTCTCTTGTTTTTCTTTAAGTCTAAAAAGCCCTGAGGTATGGGCACAAGATTGCTTGAGAATTACCTGTAGCGAGGACCTGCTCATACAGACACCGTACTGTGGTCATAGTCACTGGGATGTTCTCAAGGAAAAACACCAGGCCGAGGTATCCAAAATCCTTCAGCTTGATGCGCTGTTTGTTCCGTTCAGAGACACGCTCACTTTTGAGGATTTTATACAAAACCTGTGAACTCAAAGAGATAGTGTAAGTTTTTTATTTGAATAATCCTACCTCAATTTCAAAAATCCTGGGATGCTGAGTAAAATGTTGATCAAAAAACCCTCATATTTATTTCAAATTGTAGTATGATAACTAATCAGAAAATTTAAAATTGTGATTGTTTTATGAAAATATTTACTCATCTGAACTTTGATCCCTGCAGCACATGTCAGAAAAGGCAGGGCAGGGACAATAAGGCAATTAAAAAGTTGTGCAATGTTGAAAAATAAAAACAAATAGAGGACCATAAACCAACTTGACCTGTCTACCGTCCCCACCTTCAACCCGCCGAAAACATTATTAAGTTGAATATACCACAAAGGAGACCCTACTGTTTAGCAGCCCGGGTCCTTTATCAGGTAAGAGTGGGGACTGATGTAAACAAAATGTGCCAGTTTTTTAGGGATGTGTTGCTGTCATCTAATTTAAAATGGGCCAAACTTTTTCGTAAACGCTAAAAAATTTCAGTTTCAACATTTAATTTGTTTTCTTTGCACTTCTTCAATTTCATATGGGGTTTAAATGTTTTGCACGCCACCAAATTTTGTTTTTCTTTAACATTTTACGCAGCATCCAAGCCTTTTTGGAACTGGAGTTCTGCATTACATGATAGTTTGCTGTAAATGAAGAAGTTTGTTCTCACCCTGAAGACTCTCTCTCTGGCCTCATCGCCAAAGCTCTGAGTGAGGAGCAAGCAGTACAACTGCTCCACGCCCCACTCAAGCAGCACAGCCTGCACCTGCTCACGAGGAGGGCTGCTCCTCAGCAGATCATACAATATATCCAAGGCCCTCACCACCTACAAGAGAGTAGGATGAAGAAGTTTTAAGAAACGTGGATCAGGAAGGATAACGCAAAACAGAGTGAAAGGACAGAGATGCCAAAACATGAGAATGTGGATGATCACTGGGGAGAAAATTCAGGGATGGAAGATAAAATTTCACTCTGAAAAGGTCAAATGATAAGTCGCTGTAGAAACCAGATAAAACATACCTGCTGCTCCTCCCTGGCAGTCAGGACATAGGCGAGGAGGCTGTGGAGCTCTTCTGGTGTAGGAGACTTAAGGAGCTCTTTCAACAAGACAAACAGAGAGGTCTGGATTGTCTGTTTTTCATCAGACAGAGAGCTGCCGTCCTTCTCCACACTGTGGACAAAAATATCAGTGGATAAATAAATGAATAGTTCTCTTATAAACATATGATGATGTTTTCAAGACTAAAAAACAAATTTGCATATACATATTTCTTTTTTGAAATTCAAACAACACTGTGCATCTCGGGGGCTCACCTGTAGTATGTGCGAATGGTATCCAGAATATATTGAACCCCATACTTCCTCTTCAGGCGCTGCTTTCCTTTGTTTATCACAGATGTCAGGTACTGCACATGAGCTTCGGAAGGAAAAGAACACTTTTGTCATCTCCCTTTTGTTTGACATTTAGAAATGTCAGACCAATATGCAGGCTTCTATTGAAGAAGTGCACTCATTTACAAAAAAAAGGTACAAAAGTGCAGCTTCAGGCACAGGATAACTCCTAATCTCTGTAACAGCCTGAACTGGAGGCTCTAATGTATTCAGTCTCTGCTCCACAGCGCTTTTAAACTGCATATACACATAAAAGAGACACAAACATTTGTCGGTGCTCATGAAAAGGTTCACAGGTGCATTACTTAACATCACAATCTGCTTTTGCCTTACCCAGACACACGGCGAAATGGCTTTTAGTCCAGATGCGGAAATCAAAGAGCAGGTGCTGGTATAGCTGCTGTAGAAGTAAACTGTTGCCCTCGCTGAAAACCTGCTCCAGAAGCAGCTGACATGCCATTAAAACATTCATGTCCATCATACTGCCGGGAACCTGCAGCAGAGGGAGCCAAGAGAACAGAGGGGTTTGAGTGGTTTGTGTTAATGTGTGTGTGTGTGTGTCCATTAACATAAAGACTCTACTTTAAGAAACACTAATAGACTGATGAAGTGTTTTTGTCGAAGTTTACACTCTGCTTGTCTCAGTCTATGCCACTGTCAGACCTGGCAACCCATGTGTGATTGTTAAGACACAGCTTCCTTTCAGGATGCTCCACCTTCATTTCATTTATTTCAACATATCCTGTAAAGCAAAAAAGCATGTGGTTGCCGCACAGACATGGCACCAGATTGGCTCTGATCTTCAAGAGTTGCAGCAGCGTGACTATACAAATGAAATCTACTCTGAAAAAAAGAGAAGAGAAATAATCTATCAGGAAAAACCGAACAAGACGGCTTGTTTGGTGGCTTGAGACTCACTTAGCAGCAGTGCTAGTAACATATTACACTAAGAACAGAAGTGCACCACAATTGTTCAGACCTAAATCTAGTTTTTCAAGTTCAACAAAACGTTTCAAGCAACAGGTTTTATCGCTGAAATCATATGTTCCCCGGCTGCAGAGACCACACAGTCTGGCTAACTCTGCATAAATTCCCCCTCACAAGCATGTGATCCTGTCATTCTGAAAGAGACACTGCTGTTTCAGAAACACCCTACCTATTCATTACACAGCAATTACGCTGCATTAATACAAAAGAAAAGGTCAACTCAACACTTTCAGATGCTAATAAGTTCCTCCTTGCTGAAGCAAACTGATGTGCGGGTTACTCACTTTGCTGAGCATAGCTCCCATGATGCTCGGCCCGTGGCAGTGCAGAAAGCCCTCTTGATTGACAGGATGATGATGAATCAGGTTTTTTACCATCAATAGGAAGGCGGCAATGCTGTTTCTCTCCATTCTGCCCTCTGAGAACGAGCAATAGAGAAAGTAACTTTTAGGAATTCCTGTATGACTCTATCTTATTTTTACACACGTTGCACTTTGTTGACATAATCATGTCTCATGAGACGTGATCACTCCAAGGCCAAGGTTCATCTCCCTTTTGTGGTTACTGTCTGTTCCATCAACTGATAGTGTTTATGTCTGAATTTGTGCTGAGGTCAACAATTCTGCATTCATGACTAGGTAAGCCTATGTTGTTGCTGACATTTACCCTATTAGAAATTTAGTAACAATCTATGCTCTGTTTTTGTTTTGCTGTTTATTTTAGTATTTGCCGGTTTGTATGACTGATTTACACTTCCTGGTTATTCTTGCATCATGAATCATGAGTAAGCTCTGACTAACTGTGATTCAAAACAAGTCTGAACTTCACAAGAATATCAGTTTTGGAATTTGGCACTTATACAAACTGAAAAAGGGAACTAACATCAACACAGTTACACTTTAAGATGCATGAGAAAATGTACTCATGATACTTTGAGGCTGAATTTGCAAACTATTTCTACCACCACTTCAACTCAGTGAATCTACAATGATTAATGGAAATATCTGAACTAAACATGACCTGACCTGCAGACTTGTTCAGTGGCAGCAGCATGGCGGCACGGCCTCTGGGGGAGGTGAGCTCGGGTCCTAGCAGGTCTGAGATCTCCTGGCCACCATTGTAAGCATGCTCAGCCTCACACACCTGCTGAAGCAGGGGCAGCAAAACCCCAATGCCCCCCACCACATGTACGACATCCTGCAGGGAAAATAAAAGAATACATCCATACAAACTTTTGGCATTCTTTCACAGAAATCCTATTTGACCACAAGTTAAACTCAAGATAAGGACTAGACAAAAAAAGAGAATAACAGAACCAGCCAGCATCAGTTTAAAGCACTGAAATCATGGAATAAATGTCCAATCTCGCTGTAATTTCAAGTCACATGCAGTGTGTGATATCTAACCTTAATGTCCCAGTTGACAACCCTGTGTCCTGTCAGTCTGCCATCATATTGGTGATTGGGTGACAAGTCCAGACAAATCTGGCTCTTGAAGGCCTGAAGAAAACATGTATTGAAAGCATTGTTTTGGTGGTAATGCTAAAGACTTTAATATGATAGCTTTGTCATCAAATATTAGTCTTTGTCTTGAGTTTCATTCGGTCACCTGTGGAGTGTAGTAGAGCAGAAGTCTGCTGTTTAGATCAGACAACTCTCCATCAGCTTTGAACAAAGACACGTGATTGGGGCCTGTGATGAAGAGAAGAAAACAATGTAGGTCAGAGAATATGCAAACAGAACCTCAGTGTTTTCTTTTCACCGATTGTCTTTTCTACTAGAATTAGAAACACACGGCATGAACAACATTTGCATTGCAGCACAGCATGACCAACCTGCAGCATGCAGACTTCTGGTCTGTGCCGGCTGCAGAGCCTCGTGGCAGATGAAGGCGGTGCCCAGGAGCCCATCTAGAGACGTGGGTGTTCCCCACTCGGTGTCCTGCAGTCCTGCTGGGATGGTGTGCACTGGAGAGTCTCCCAGAGAGCCCCAGCGGCCTCCTGCAAAGGAAGCTGGGAAGGACTGGGAACGGCTGAGGGAGGGAGCATGGGCAGGGAATGAAAATTCAGGTGATGTTGCAGTGGAGGTGGATGTGGGCAGGTTGGGGGAGGTAGTGGTGGTAGTGGTACGGTGGCCTGCGGACCCGATGCAGCAGGAAGTAAACGGCTTTGGGAAGGAGAGAAATAGAGGAAGTTCGATTAAAAATAAGGAAGTGGAGTGTAATAATATGATATCTTCACAACTAAAGAACGTTAGATTCTAGTTTCACTTACCTCGCTGAAAGATGGAAAGCGGAGCTGAGCAGTTTTGCACTGCTCACCATCGATGTAGATGGTTACAAGGTTCTGACCAAATGGGCGACGACCTGGGATGTGGACTATGGCCACTGAATGCTGTGTTTGGGATGATGATAAAGAACAATTTACTTCTTATATACTGTAACCACATTTCCCTTTGAAGTTTAGTGTTCATAGTACAATCTTGTTTTTCCCAGACAAAGAGGAGAAAAGCTATCTCCAACAAATCACAGCTGTAATTCAACCACACCAAATCTCAAACCTACTTTTCTTTCGGGAGGTACCTTCAATTTCCTCCAAAAGTTATTCTCCAGTGTCACAAGCACAGACAACACAATTTACCCACAATGGTTCATGATTTCCTCCTTGATTGAATCTATTTTTACTGGGGCAAATGTTAGCCAAAATGTTTGCTTCTCGACACATGCCCAAACTCACCCAACAAGAGTCAGCCAGTGGGCGCTCAGGCAAGGGCACAGCCATGTAGTCTTTCTTAGTGCAAACAGCAACAACAAGCACACCCTCCATGGTAAAAAAGGCTTCCAGACCAGTTCCACTTGCTGTGAAGAAGCTTTACAAAAGAAAAAATATTTAGTGTCAATATGAACAATGCAGCCATGTTTACAAAAGCTTTTCATTCAGTGTATTCTTTACCTGTAGAGCTGCTTTCTGCGTGGTCCTTTTCCCATGTCATGCTGCGCCCCGTTACTGGAGTTTGCAGTCGGTTTCCGGTTGTTTGAGAATTCTGAGGGAAACTCCTTGTTGAGGCAGAGCCAGGCGTGAAAGGCAAACCCACTGCCGGGCCACCGTTGGACTGTGGGTACCATAATGCCAGCCATGGGGGGCGTAAGGTCAAAGTATTGCAAGGCACTGTCCTGACCCTCTCTAGCAGCCATGGCAGAAAGCACTCGGATAACGGGAGCACAGTATGGGTGCACTTTCCCTACAACAGCACCATTGTCCTGATCCACCCTGAGCATTCTGAGCAGGCTCTTCAGCTCCTCTGGCCTAAGACACAGAGAGCCCAGGTCCCGCAGTAGGCCAAGCAAGGCGTCTGCACACTGTCTGTCCAGACTCTGGGGCTGTGAGAGCACCTGCAGCAGAGCTCCCACCATGCCTGCCTCCACAGCCACAGTGCGACAGGATAAAGAGCCACCGCAGACAGCAGCCAGCCACTGAGCCACCAACAGCTGCAGGTCCCTCTGACCCGACAGGTCAGGTAGCCACTGCAACAGCAGCAGCAGAGGTTGGTCATTACTAATGCCGAGGTGGTGGGCATGGGCATGCTCGCCCTCCACTGCCTGGAGACAAACACAGAGAAAGCAGAGATAAGGCAAAGACAGGGTCCATAACTTCAGGTTTACGGGCAATGCAATTAAAACAGGAATAAGGTTATTAACAAGAGGAAATTGGCTTCTTCAATCTCTGAGCTCATTGGGGATAATGAGGAAATATGAGTTTCACCATGTTCATCAGCTCCTGCAGCAGCCTTTTAGTGGGTTGACCTTGACTCTTCAGCACATCAAACAGCTGGGGGTAACCAATCCTCTCTTTGAAAACCTCCTGAGAAGTAAAAAGACAGAAATAGAGTGAAGAAAGCTGCTCCGTTGGGATTTCTAGTTGGCACACTTCTATGCATTAAAAGGGAATACAATGAGACGTCTCCATCAACTGGAAAACAGCTTTTCTCATTAGGCAGAAACAGGAGTATGACAAATATACGACCATTAAAGATCACATTAGGCCTTACCTTAGCGGCAGGTGAGTTACTCATTATAGCTGTGAGGACACCCAAGGCATGGACTGTAATACTGTCTGGCCCTCTCTCCAAAACCTATGACCAAAAATTAGTAACGCTTATTATAGCAAAACAGACCTAAAATTGTGCATGGTTATAAGGTGACATCCAAAAAAAAGGTGCAAATTTCAGCCACACATGACCAAACAGGAGAGTTTTGTACCGATTATCTGAAAAGTGCAGAAGAAAGAAGCACACCACATTTTTCACAAACCACAAATTATTGGAGCAGAGTGGGTCAAAGTAAGTGAACTGCTGTACCAATCACCAAACAATCCCTCCTTTGTTTATTACTGATAGGTCCCAGCATGCAAAAACCAAAGCCTTCCACCAAAAAAACAAGAATGAGGAAACCCCCAACTAATGCTGGAAATTAGGCCATATCAAAACCCAAGGTCAGGCCAGGTCCCAAGACAGGTTTTTCATACAAGCATGACCAGTCACATAATACAGCAGCCAAATTTGAGGAAGAGAAGCATGACATGCAATGAACGACACAAGTTTCATGCATTGCAAAAAAAAACAACAACATACTCTTCTCGCCCAGTGTTGTCAACAGGAAATTCAGCCTTTAATGACGATTGATGTGAAATACCACGACCAGACAAATAAAGGTCAGCTCAACCTTTTATAAAGTGGGTTCAGGCTTTAATCAAACTGCATCCAACTATGTACGAATACATGCCATAAAAACTGGCTGTGAGTAACCTGATCCAAGACGTGACAGAGGAGTTTTAGAGAAATATCAGTTGTAGCTGACAACCTTCTTCGTGTAACCTGCTTTATTTACAGCGAGACATCCTGTCTAGGAACTTCCTGTTCAAACAGCTCAGAAAAGCTAACAGGTGTATAAAAGGCTGAGTTTCCTGCTGACAGACCATTTTTTTACACACCAAGCAAGGGGGAAGTACCTGGTCCACTTCGACCTCTGTGAGTAAACATGTAGTGAGGTCACTCACAACCTCATGCTCTGGCCTACACCTTTTGCTCTGAAAGAGCTGCAGGGGCGTATGCATGCAGGCACACACAACACAAAAACAGACAATTAGACAAAAAAGTCAGCTGTTGGAGGTAATTGACCATGTTCGCACATATGTTACTTTCCGTAAATTTCGTGTCTTGATGGTTACAACAAAGAGAAATAACATCAGCCCTCACTTAAGAAGACAACAAACTGAAAAAAAAACAGGGGTGAGTGGGGGAATCCAGCCTGCTTTAATTAAAAACAAGGTACTTTCCTCCTTTTTTAGGAGGTTGACATACAGTATGAAAGTTTAACATCCTTTCTAAGATCAAATTCTAACAATAGAACATATTGTTTAGTTTATGTAATCGAAAGCTAATCGTTGAGAAATGTTACTATCTTTAAATTTGCTTAATATTTAAGGAGAGTTAAACTGATAATAGTTTTTTTTATGTTGCACTTCCAAACTGGCATGGTCTTACAACACTATAGCATTTAAGTTTCCCACTCTGAGCCTGACCTCAAAGGAAAACAGCCGCTGTGTAAATGTTGTCAAACTGAGACAGGCCGTTGTCTTTGGAGCTGCAGCTTAAATCAAATGTTGTTGTAGCCTTATGAAGCAAATTAAAAATGTATATCTGTTGACATTTAATGTTTACCTAACAGAAAGAGGATAGACTACAGTCATGACATTGGGCAAAAAAAGGGAAATAGATATAGCTTTTCATAAAGGTGACAGACAGGCAGATTGACTGAAGGACAGAGCAGGGAGACATGTTTGAATGGACTGAGCTCTGACCTTGCTGTTCTGTACGAGCCTGAGGATGTGTTCGAAACAGTTGTTGTTGAGGAAGATTGCTTGCAGTACTGGTCTGTCAGGGCACTGTAGGATCTCAGGAACAGCAGCTAAAATTTAAAGTAGAGATTTTAAGTCATCGCATCATTGTCACAACCGCAGAATAAAAACTTAAGACTTATTCAGTTTTCTTACTTAACATCTGGCTCTGCAGGGAGATCAAGCTGTCCTCCCAGCTCTGCCTGTCTTGCTCTTCACTGCTTGGTGGACGATTCCAGTTGAGGAGCTGGAAGAAGCTCTCCAGTACTGTCCTGATCTCCACCTGTCGCTCAGCAGGACTGCTGGAGTGCAAGAGGTGGATCATTGCAGTCAAGCACTGCAGGGTCAGCCGTGGGAGCCGTGGATCTTTCGGTTCTGTAGAAGACCGGCAGCACCAAGCTCGCAGGACAGAGAACAGATCCTCAACAGACCGAGGACTGATGGAGAGAAGGCCGTTCTTCTGAAAGTGAAAACAAAGAGATTCCCCTGTTGTCAGTTTCAATTAGTACTTGTCATGTATTTGTTTTTCACAGACAGTGGAATAATTACTGATGGAGAGGGCTGATAAAGAAGTCGACCTTTGCTCCACTGATGACAGCACCCTGGAGGTGAACCAGTCGCAGGGTGAGGAGCTCTGGGATCTGCTCGCTTTCCTGAAGACTGTCTGTGAATGAGTAATCAAGTAAAGAGGTAATGTTATCTTTTAGAAGCTATCCTTTTGTAAAAATACAGAAAAGTTAAAACAAAGCTTGCAAAATAGCATCTTAATAACGTGTAGTTTTGTTTTGTTCCTTGTCTGTTGGGACTGAATCCTACCCCTGCCATTTTAATCTAATAAAGATCAAGAGGGAACAAAAATAAAAATTAATAGAGTAGCAACAAAAAAGTATAATATTTTATCCAAATATTCCTCCTTGGTTGTTCAGTATTTCATGAATAAGAAAAAAACAGATCAATCCTAATCAGCAAAGTATTTCAAAATCGGCTCTTAACAAATAAAGCTCGTATGAAAGAATAATCCCCCAAAATTAGGACATACAGAAACTTGCCAAAAGTGCGATTGCCCCATTTGTTAACAGAATAATTATGACTGATCACAAAGGCTCCTGATATTTGAAATACCTCGGCTTAAGCAATGTTACATTTATAATTTAAAACTAAGTTATAAAAACCTAAATATCCGTCTCACTGACCCAGAAACAAAAACAAAGAATGATTTAAAAGGTAGTTTGGAGAAATCTAAAGGTCAACATTTTTCAGGTCAAACACGACCAACCTAAGCTGTGTTTGGACAGTGGTGGGAACAGTTTGATTCTTGTGGTATGTGAGGGTGGTATGTCAGGGTGATGAAGGGAGTGTCTTACCATGGAAGAGAGCAGACAGCTCCTCTGGCAGGGCCAGTGGGGAGAACTTATACTTGTTCCTCTCCAGCAAGCTCACCTCCTCTCTGAGAACACACAAGGCCAAAAGGTTGGGCAAGATGTTAAATGCATGAGACGGTCTGTCAGTCTATGAGGCTGGATTCCACCTCCTACATATTCACACAAGTAATCTGCAGGGTCAAGCAGCACACACTCACCCTGCCAGGCATCTCCTCCACGTCTGATAAGGGTCAAACAGACTCTCACACAGCACAAGTCCGTACTGCACAACCAGCTGCAGAGATGACTGCTCCCCTTGTCCCTTTTTTAGCTGTCAAGACACAAAACAGTGGTTTAACACACATTATACACCTAGAACTCATCTTCATATGTATCCAAAACAAAATATTGTTGTTAAATGAAAAGAAGAAAAACTACACAAGCACTTCAATTTTTACTGTCAACATAGTCTCTCTGCATGAGGATGACAAATACTGTAAACAAAATTCACTCTGCATCGGTTCACTGTTCCTCTAATGTCTATTACATTCCAGTATAGCTTGGCTGAAATGGCACTTAATAATCCTTGTGTGCATGATTTACTGGGCAGGCTGTGGAGCCAAATCCGGACATAAATAACAGGATCTGTGTCCTCTTATTAGCTTTAGTTTATGCTGGCTTTACCTGGTCCAAACAGAAATTCAAGAGCTTGATGGTTTCGAAAACAAAACCAGGAGTCTTGTCTGGGTCAATGTTCTCCATGTTCCTATAAGAGAAGAGGGAAAAAATGTAATTTATATTATTAATTATTTTATTAATTTATTTATCCTACAGTTAAAAAAAAGACACTGAATGTACCGACTCTAAGGGGCCACATCCTGACAACTACTCTCAGGCTCTTTGCACAATCTGCGTTGCATTCGTTGGAAAATTTGCAGTTCTCCTTTTCCTTATGTAACATCTTACACATAATATGACAACATTTTGATGATAGAAATAACAATGTGTTCTGTCAGTGATTATTGCCTGATTACAATATGATACTCAAAGCAGTATTACTGCATGATTTAGTATAACTATATGTTGTGTTATCACATCTGTGTGGCCTCACCTGCACACAATGATGAAGAACTTGATGAGTAGCAAAGGATGAGGAATGCTACTATTTTGCTCGGTGCTGGCGGTGAGGTGCACCGCACTGTGCCATAGCTGGGTGCTAAGGAACAGCAAGACCTCCCTGGGGAGCAGGGGCACCTCGGAGCTGCACTCCTCATGCCTGGGTGGTTAGAGGAGGAGGAGGAGGTGGAGGAGGAGGAGGAGGAGAGGGGATAGAAGGCAGTAGTTGAACAGCAAAAGACATTATTATAGGGGCTGTGTTTACACATAACATAAACATGCCAAAATGGTATCTCTACAGGAGGTCAAAGGTCATCCTGCTTTGGGGAATTCAGCCTGGTGGGAGCTTCTGGCTGTGTGGTTTTAGTAAAATGAATAACTGTTACTACTAACCTCCGAGGCTCCAGCGACTGCACATCAATGAGCTTCTCAAAGGATGCCACAAATGCCTCCAGCCACTGCTGCAGATAGCCCACATCTTTCTGCAGAAGGGAGGACACCGAATGTGAGCCCATAGTGTAAGTTAAAAACATGTATCCAATGGAGCACGCCTGTTTGCTAAACAATCAAAAACAAAGTTGAGCATTTAACTGTAGCACATTGTGGCTGAAAAACACGACTATGACTAAACCATATGACCTGTTTTTGAAACAGGATGTTGCAGAGAGATGTAACACACAGAGAGGAACACATGAGCCAATTCTTTCCTTTTACACAAAAAGGAGGTTCAAATCACATCGTCCTTTAACACTCATTTCAGGCAGAAGTTCAAAATACGTCAAAAAAGTTCCAAGATGCAGCATTCAAAACAACCTTTTACGCACAAAAGAGTCTCGGATCAGTGTGTGCTTTGTAACCTTTTGAGACAGTTTCAATTGTACACGGATGTTTACATACAACATCCATTATCACAGCTGTGATCAGTTTTTGCAGCACAACATATCCTGCCACTCTTCCCCTTCACATCACTCTCTATCTTACTTTGACTAAATAACAACAATTGAAAACTGCAGATCACTAGAGAAACACACCATCGTCCACAACCATTCCTTTAACTTCACCTTCAAACTTTATTAGTAGAGCACTTTTCATACAAGAGGAATTGCAGCACAAAGTGGTTCACATGTTAAAAATATCCCCCCAGCCCCCTGAAGATTGAGACAAGCGGTGTTATCAAACGCACAACATTGAAAAATGCTCCTTTTTCTTCTGTATGATGGAAGGACTTGTAGATTTTCATTTGCTTGATATGCAAAAAGGCATTATCTCTGACTTTTCCTGTTTCACACAGCTTTGATAAAAGCAGACAGTTCTAGGGACAACATGAGACGTTTCGTACTGGCTGAGTCACTATACACAAATAACATCTTTAACAGCACATGGTACAACGATCAACCTAGCACTTCCCCTTAACCCACAAGCAAATGAGCAACATACATCGTGATACAGCTGATGCAGCCTACTTTGAAAGCAGCAGAGTGACAAACACCACAAGCACAGATCTCCAACATGCAAACAGGAACTTCACGCTCCAGTTTAATGCCTGCCTAATGTGAATCTAATTGTAACAGTTCCTCCATTCATAGAAATGAAAATCTACAGCAGTAATTGATAGAAAGAGTAGTATCAGCAGTAAAAACATAGTATATCCATGTTTCCTCTCATGTTTTATCAATGTTAAATGTACATTACCAACTGGCATTGACTTGTGAGCCAGTCCATCTCTCATTGTACGCAGCTGAGCAGGGTACCAGGTTCCAGTGAACCTGGTCTCAGATGAGCCGTCAGTGTTGTACCCCAGCAAGCAGCTCAGAAGCTGCACATCAGTCTCTGACTCACTCCTCCTTTGTCTTCCAACGCCAAACAAGCTACCAGGAAATGACATGTCAGTTTAACCGAAGCTTATTTCCTTTCCTTGGCGTCCTCGTCAAACCCTTTCCTCTTTTGGTTGTGAGCATAAATGAAAGAGGCCTCTATTAAAACTTCCCACAGAGGACAAAACAAGAGAAAATGCAACACAACCATGATGTGAGAGAAATAACTTAATCACCCGAACTACAACAACCCTAACAATTTTTGACATCAAAATGAGAGCATAAAATCTCGAAACTTGCATAGACATAGAGCTAAGGACCGCCAACATGCTATTTTTTGACAATCAAATACTTGTATCAGCAGTGACGATACAAAAAGTACTTGCAACACCCTTAAGCTCAGTCAGGCTGTCCAATAAAGAATCCTGTGGTTGAATTACTGGAACCTCCCTTACATTACAAAACAGCAATCAGTTTTTAGAATGACTCTTCATTACCTCGGGCTATACGATGAGGCCCTGCATGGTTGCATCACTGATTCTGTCTGCAGAGCTCACAATGTACAAGGATATGCACAAATAGGGGTTAATTACGTGATGCAATGTGAAATCAATAACAGCCCTTTGTGTTATAACGAAGCATAAAACACGACTGCTTCATTGTTTGTTTGTATGAGAAAGGGAGGTGTAATTTTCTGTTCCCTGTTGTTGCCTGGTGTGTCTACGTACCCCTAAAACTGCACTGGCTTGAGTTATTAGTGTCTAATAAAAAAAGAGAGATCCCAGATAGGAAGTGAATCTTGTTGAAGAATGAGAAGTAAAACTAGGAGGAAGTGTTTAGTGTAAATGCAGAAAATTGTTCAGACACCTGGTGAAGTTGAATATGCAGCAGAAGCATTTCCTAAAACTGTAATTTGCACAGCTGTCACTCACTCTTAAAACAAAATTTTGCTCTGAGGGTTTCTTCAAAAGGATAATCTACAGATCTGATGACACCAGATTAGGACAGATGTCACAAACCGAGCACAAAATACCGATTAGTCTAAACTCTGTCATTTATCTCTGTCCTCTCTGCACATGGCCAGGCAGCTGTGCCTCTCTATGCTGCTTGGCATTCTGCTTTGCTGCGGCTTTCTGCACAAGTGAAAGCAAAGAGCACTTTGATTTTTCCTGGTTGGCCCTTTCTGTTGGTAAACAGGGGAGATGGAGGCGCACCAGGGAATTCAATCACAGTGCTCATAGGAGAGTCACAGTGATGCAGAGATGATGATGATGATGTTGTTGTTTTGGTTACATCCCTCGATGCAGATCGTGAATCACATGAATCATAGCTTAATCAGTAAATGAGACACATAAACAACGATGATTGATGGCACGAGGACAAAAGGAGCTGAATTGGCTTGTTCTGTCTTCAGAGCATACAGGAGAGGTGGTTTCACAGCTGTGTGGACGGGTGGCAGTGGGGTTGTCACTTTGGTCCATTTCTTCCTCTGCAGGCTTTAATTAGTCGCTCCAACAGTCTCTCAAGCTAATGATCACAGGATAATCACAGTCTGTTTCCCTGCCAGCCTGATAGATCTCTGTATACACACTGTGATAAAACAGCAAGGAAAGATGCCTCTGCCTTTTTTTTACTTTCATGCTGACTTATGGTGTCTAAAAGATTTGTTTCACAGCACATTCAACACTGTCTTGACCACAAATGTTCAGTGCAGACTGAAGCTTTTTTGTTCTGTCACTGTGGTTTTTTCATTCTCACTTAAAAATCGCAAAAATCATCTTTGTTGACGTCTTAAAATAGCTTGTTTTTTCTATTTCACAAAAAAACCTATCAAGGCAACATTACACAAATAAATACAAGACGCCAAGTCTAGAAATTTGACTAAAAAATGACTGAACATGTTTTGCATTGATGCATTTTTGCACAAACTTTGATAGCTGGATTGAAAAGTAAGCACGGTGGAGAGAAAAACAATCCATGACTTGTTTAATTTAAATTCAGTTGAATTGAAAGTGAAAAACTCATCAAACAATGGATTCACTGCCTCTTGTTTTTGCTTGGTTTGTGTCAGACTTTTTGCCTGCAATGCATCACTGAACAAAGAATAAGAATGGGTATTTCAGTAATTGCTTTATGACTATGCAGACTTTACATTGTGGTGACTAACTGTCAACACTTGCCGTTAAAGTGGTCCAAGTATTTTTTTATTAACTTTTAATTATCAATAATTGCTTCATTTATCATCTCAGTAAACACACACAGAAAAGCCAAAGTTCCACGCACACAAAGAAAATAAAGCCTAAGAAAACCGATGAAACTCTCAAAGTGGAGTCCAACTGTGTTTCTGTATTATGACTTTGGGGAAAAGAACAAGCACATCAAAAAATGACAGAAAAGATGAGATGAGAGAGAGGACATGTTACCCTTACAGTGATTGTATCAGACCCTTCTGTGTGTGTGTGTCCATATCTGTCAGTCCTGAGCGGTTCACGATGGTCTAAAGAACTTTCTCAGATGTGAGATATGGAGGCAGAGGGAGAGATTTTAACTACAGCAGATAAAGAGAAAGGCTTGTTTTTGTTGAGTTCAGTTTGCACGGAGCAACACTTGGTTTAACATGCTCTAAACTTCTAAAAAGGGCAATTACTGAACAAACATCACATGACTATCATTCAAACACAGTTGCTTATAGATTATGTGATGAACAAACACATATATCTGTTATAATGAATACCTATGCTGTGGTCTTGACTACTACAAATAACCTACTCCCCAGCCTGTCTTTATTGTTCTTTGCCTGCTTGTTTGTTTAATCGTTTGCACAGTAAATGTCTCATTTCTGTATGACAATGGCTTTTCAACATCACACAGCAGTCCTGAGCCCTCAGCTGATCTCCAAATCTTGCACGGGGCGTGTGATTTCTTGCACAATTGGAGGAAGCTGAGCTCCTTTATCACAGACAAGCCTGTACAAGTTTGGTTTTCTTACTGCAAGAATGATGGCTGAGGTATTTGATGTACTGAAAACATGTTAGATTTATTTGTTTGGATACTTCATGACTATATTATGGTATACTTTGAACTCCCATATACATTTTGATAAATACTTTTGCGGTTGTGCGCTGACACTGCCGGGTTTCTCTGACATAAAGAGGTAGAAGAACCTTGAAAAGTCTGAACAACTGCTGATAAACTGATCAGAAGAGACACTCACTCAAGACTTAAATATTTACAGGCAGGCAGCTGCCTGGGTGTGTTAGTTGTGAGTCAAACAGAAGGAGTCAGGCCCTTGCCACAAGTAAGTAAAGTCTTGTTTACAAAGACTAACAGAAAGCCTATTAAACAAAGCTCAGGTCTTTGGTCCTGTTTGACTCTTTCAGAATGCAAAAACCTAGTGCATGACAGGTCAGAAAACCTGTGAATCCAAGATAGGACGTGAGCAGTCGGAAAGAGGTTATTGTCTGTGTCAACTTGACTAACAGGCAGCAACAAAAACAGTGCACACAGTGGCATGTTGGTGTGTAGAGGAGAGGCAGGTTATTGTTCTCTGAAGCGGTTCTTCTGCCTTTCTGCAGCCTATTGCAATCCTCTGAGTCACATAAGGTGGTTACGTCTAATACAAGGCTCAATTCCTCAGCAATCCCTCAACGAGACTATAGGCGGGTTATTTGATCACACACACAAATTCGGTTTCCAAGAAAAACTTGGAAATCTCTGGATGGTCTTTGCTGAGAAATATATCAAGATGTAAAGTTTGTTGCTTGGGATTGGAGGGCAACTAGAGGAAAGGAACAGCAAGCCAGGGGGCGGATCAATAAGGAAGTGGTCTCATCATGCATGGGGATGCTGGACAGCTGTCACAGTCAGATTCAAGGAGTGCACACACACCCACACACACACACACATACCAGTGACTCCTTTTAGCAGTGGATACAACTTATTTTACTTTGGCATCATAAGGAAGATTAGGCAAACCTGACATTCAGCAGCAGCTCAGAGGACAAATAACAGGGTTGATTAGAAAGTCAATTCATTCACCACAAAAACCATTTTCATAGTGAATACTTTAAGATGTGATACACGTATTGTTCACTTACGCAGGTTGTTTTTAAATTCCCTTTCTTCCTATTCAAAGCTTTTGGAAAGTTTCCCAAAAAGGATTAAGTCCAGTCCTTAATTCAAACAAGACTCAATAGAGATTTGTGATGAAATATGTCCTAATAACCTTATCCTGATCAACAAGCTCTGTCATCCTCAGAAGGGCGCCTTCATGCCTCTCAGTGAGCACACACAGCGCATGCACGCTTGGAAAGAAGTCACATCTTGTTTTTTTCTGTCCTGGGGCATGGAAGCAGATTGCATAGACATGAAATAGTAATACTTAATTTATTCACAGACGTCCTTTCCTATCCTCAAGAGGAGACATTACATGAAAGGTTGTGCAATAACCATTTGTGCTTAGTGTGTTGGACTATTAACACCACATAACCTTTATAGTTATTGCTCAACATCGAACAATTGATAGACGGATTGAAATATAAGTTGACTGTGTAAACATTTGTCTTATTTATTATTCAAACTAAACTTTTAGGCTATGAAGAGCTGTACAGAAGCAGAATAACAAGTTCAAGATGGTGAGAAAAGGCTTCTCTCTTGAAAATGAAAGACTCTAACAGCCTTGTGTCAACTCTACTGTGGTTTGAATTTGGCTTGTGAAATGAGGACAAGAGACAGGGAGGAACAGGAACAGGAAGTAGCCTCAGCAGCACCTGTATCGCAGGTACAGTCAAGCACATTAAGTGGGTTAACATGCTTCAAACACTATTATGACCAACTACATTTAGTGACTAAAACTTGAATTATAAGTGACACTTTCACATTGATAGGACGTGGTTTTCTGCTCTAGCACGCGCAGAGTCCCCTCAGCCAAAAGGTAAATACACAGCTCGTGCACACACAAACACGCAGAGGCAGAAACAGAACCGACTTCCTTGTTTGACTGTTTCTAAAACCAACAGAAGCTGTCGCACAGACCACGTTAACCTCTCCAAGATGTGGTTATCGGCTTATTTTGTAACTTCAAGCTCAGGACCTGCTGCAACAACAGGTGTCACCGTCAGCTCTTCTTCCGCACTCACACTCACCTTCGTGTAATACAACATCCACAGCTCATACAGCCTCTCTTTCGATGCCATCCCGCCGCCCTTGTGGTTGTTCATTCTCTCCTTTTGCGTTAATAGTGAAGAGTTAACGTGAAAGCCACGGCTGTGTGAAGTTGTTTCCTCAAAGCAGCAGGACGCGGTACGCTCCAGTGAACCATTCCTGCAAATAATCCACACACACAAAAAAGTGCTGTCCGTCGCCACACGCAAAGTTACCAGGGAGGTGTGAAAAAGCCAAATATGCCAGTGTGGCTGTGGCGATCACTGTCGGAATAGTAGAACCAGGAACAGAAATGCGTGGAAATGCATGTCTGGAGAAACACCCATGTCCGCGTTACAGCGAGTCTGAAGCTGTATGATTCCTATTGGAGAGAGAGTTCCCACGGAAGCGACACATGCCATCCGCTCAGAAAGCCAGAAGTGACTCTGTGTTGTTCGCGTTAACACAAGGTGGAGGTGTACTGTCCTGCGTGCGCAAATGCACAGCAACTTGTGACTGAGTGTACAAACAAGGCAAGAAGACACAGTCAGGAGTTGATTGTAGATTATGCTCACATGTAGGATGATATTCTTAAAGATGCACACACACATGAGCAAACACAGAGATGCTGGACAAACTAAGAAGAGTTACTTTCACTCTTGTCAGCCCTGTTACCATAAAGTCAATCCTGTTGTTGTCATTAATTTGATAAAAATGTTAAAAAATGACAACTCAAATGGGCTTTCAACCTTTACCATTATAGTTTAAATTACATTATATGCTAGATTGAGCCATTTTTCAACATTTCTCTTCTCTTGAGACATGTGATTGCAATGCAAAATTAGAGTATATTTGATCATCTGAATGACAAATATCTAATTGGAGAAAAAAATCAAAAAAATTAAATAATCTCATAGGGAAAAGAGACTAAAGAACTGCTAATATATGTACCATATGTTGCATATTTCTAATTTGAAATATTGTATTTTGTTAAGTTTATGTCGGTAACAGGGTTGACAGGATTATGAAAACAGTCAGGAGAAAAACGGTTTAAAATATGGAATAACACAGCCTGAGATGGCACTATAACATTCTTTGATTCCCGGGTACTTTAAATTTAACAATTAAATATATTTTCAATTTTAAATTTTCCTAATTGAAAAGGCACCGATTTCATGGAATGACCCAGTTGATCTCTGGCTGTATGAATTCATGAAGATAGGGTTCAAAATGTTTTCATCACTACAGAATTGATATAAAATTTTAAATTAAAAGAATAAGGAGGCCTTTTTATGCAGTTTATGAAGCTTTTACTCATTAAACCAAGCAACAATCTTTGAAGATGCTGTGAGGAGTTTTTAACTAGTTTAGAAACAGACCAAAGTTACATAGATCTGCCTCTCTATGGCCTTTAAATGCAAACATACCCCTCAGCAACAAGACTAATTATTCCCCTGTTGTCATTTTTTATGCCTGAAACTACTTAGAGGAGGTAGGTGCAGCACTATATGATTAATATCAACCTGGAAAAAAAGTCTTTGTTTTTTACCATGACAAGTACTCACAATGAGTGATACACTTCAGTGTTGAAATCAACAAAATGAAGATTTTGTATTTCACATGTACAGGACAATAGGTAATGTGTACTATGGGGTACCGGAACCAAAACAAATCGAATGTTACATACTGGAGCTTTATTTTCAAAACGTAATGGCTTCTCAGAGCTGCTGTAATGAGGTTTTAGTGGTTTGACTGACAGGCTGTTGTTTGAGGCGTTCAAGGAGAGACAGGGAATATTGAGAGAAAGGAGCAGCATGCAAACAGGTGGTCATGGCTGGGAGTGAAACCAGCAACTGTTGCAATAGTGACTATCACCTCAGTATATGGGTTGTGCGCTTACTTGGCCAAGGACACCAGAGCAGTTTTTTTTTAACTTTAGTTTTACTTTTTTTCAACAGTAAAGATTCTCTATGACTGTCAATAATTACATGTATAGGAATGAATTTTAGTTTATTTCGTAAGCATGAAAAAGTCCTTGTTGTAGCCTTAATGTCATTTTCTCTTTTTCTCCTCCTAGTAATTTTGTTTTACCCATTTCTTTTGGAGATACTAATGTAATGTAAGGGTATTGGATAGTATTTTTTGTCAAAATGTGCTTCTTGAATATGTAAACAACTTAAATGAAGTAAATATGTATTGCTTTGATCACAAAATCAACACAAAATGGAAATACCTCACAGGAGCTTTAATGTTTATCATTTTATGGCGGTGTAAAATTCTTGGTCCTGATTGATCAGAACCCCACAATAACAGATAACACAAAAAAAAATCATCTGCAAAAGCAATACCAGGGAAAATCTGATCACACATGTCATATCAAATCAATCTCTGGACAAAGTCTAGAGTATGTCACCTCAGCCAGGGCCATAATCATTACTTTCTATTACCTACCTTGGTGAACACTGCAGCAGAAAAGCTTCTGACAATCCTACCACAGTGAGTGAGCAAAACCCCACTGTCTTGTTCACCCTGTCAGGATTCTAATTTGCATAATGATCTGTTCATGATGAGTTAAGTCTTGAGGGTTTTGTGGTTATGGCTATACGGTAGGCTAAAATATTGTATGTATTTTTTTTATACATATATTGTATTCCTGGTGTTTTTTAGGTATTGTGGTTACTGTACTGATGGGTCATTTATATATATTTATATATATCTTTTCCCATCTGTTTGGACAATAGATCAAAAAAGGATCTATCATCTCTTGATTTACCAATTATCAGATGGACAAGTGTGTAATTTATCCATTTATTTAGTCATTTGTTTGTACTCTACAGAGTTATGATCTTTGACCATGTAATAATCTTTAACAAAACCAGGTCTGTGTCACCAAACATTAAAATATGTCATTATGGACACAGGGAAGCTTGAGGCAGCTGTATTACCATGGTGATGGCCTACATTTCTAAACAGGGCCTGACTGTGGGACTATCAACAGGCGGGCAGTGTGCCAGTCTGTACATTTCCCCTTAATGTATAGGTCTGTCAGTGCACCATAATTAGGTTATAACAGGCGACACAAATTAAACAGTCGGTACTCTGAAAATTAAAATGTAAAGTATGAAACCAAGAATCATTCCCCTACAAGTGTATATCCAATCCATCTAAGCTTGTTTGGAATTTTGAAAATCTAATTATGCAAAGTAATTATTGTATGTAAGATAATTAAGCTTCAAATGTAATAAAATCTTCTCATTTTTCACGTAACTGCGTATGAAACACAACAATATCACATGACCCGGCCGAGGCCAATTCAATCTATGTGATCGACGATTGATCTGACTGTCCTCACTCAGGACGAGCAATGGATGTCAGAGTGAAGTGAGCACCGTGTGTGGATAAACATGGAGAAAAATGTTGGGTCACTACAGGAGCAAGCCCTGAAGAGAAAAGAGAGACTGAAAGCGCTGAGAGAAAAACAACAGCACGTAAGTGTATTGTCTAGTGGTATGTAGTTACAATAAGACGAAACTTATCGGTAAAACGCGTAGTTTAGTGACTAACGGTAGCGTGAGCTAGCTTAGCTCATTGCTAACATTAGCATCCTGATGTAGTTCAATCAAAATTCTGAGTGAAGATTTGGCCTTTCTTCTGCAAGATTAAGTACCATTCATGCCGGGATGAGAAAAAATTAAGATAAAATGACTTTTTCTTGAGTTTTGAGGATATCAAGTTCTCTGTTTCGTTATTCAGCTTACAACAAACAAACGCCAATCTAACAATAAAGTGAGGTAACTTTGTAAGGATCGATTTTTGAGAAAATAATCCAAGGCTTCTTACCAACAGCTATTATATTTTCAATAAAAAAATAACTACGTATACATTGATACCCTTCGATAAGTGTTACTATTGTAAGATGAGTATTAGATGTTGAATATTTCTTAGATTGTTCCCTAGAAGAGAGTTTCATAGTCCTGAAGGTTGACTGCCCAAACATTTCACCACAGACACATTTTACTAAACCCCAAAAACATGTTCGAAAATGCCCCAAATTTTCATGAGATGCATAAAAAAATCTCAACATTTTTTGCAGTTTTACATCCACTTCAAAGTTTTTGGTGTTCATTAATTTTTTGTGTTATTTGTTGGTGAATGTGTAGTTGAGTTTCAGGGCTGAAACAGTGATTTGTGTCTGTATCATCAGCTTTTACTTTACAAATATCTCATCAGTTTGGCTGAAAGAACACGGGCTTTAATGTGGCCTATATGGCAGGACCTCTGCTGCCTTACTGTAGGGCTGGGCGATATGGGAAAAAGTTTATCACAATAATTTTTTTCATATCAGTTGATATCGATATATCGCACGATTTAACAGTACTTATTGGTAGCATGTCTTTGGCGATACAATAAGCTACCGCATTGGTGAGGTCTTTGTGTCTCTTCAACGTTTTGTCATACTGCGTTGCGTTAGAGAAAGCAGACTGAATGGTCGGCTGTTTCAACTGCACGGGCGCCATGGGCTCCTTTCTCCACTCGGTGTTAGTAACCTTTTGCACTGTGTGTGCTCTGCCATGTGGCACTGCTTCAGCTGGTGAAAAAGATTTGAGGTATTACCGGACTTCGCGAGAACATGGTCTCGACATAATTTGCAGCGCACATTACTCTGCTTCATGTCCGACCTCAAAAAACCAAAATACCTCCACACCACCACCATTTTTATGCCAGTGTTGTCGACAATTTCGTCATCTGTTGAGTCTTCATCTGCAGTTCTGCCGGGGGTAGCACTCATTTTCTTTTTTTCTCACTGACAGTGCTGTTGGCTTCCTGTGTTAAAGTGCTATGGTTGCATGTAGCTGCAGCCTGCTACTACGCAGTTCTTTGCTACTTGGTTCTAATTCAACACATGATTGGTTCAGTGTGAAACGGACCCAGGGCAACTCTCCTTTTTATCGGCTCTTTGTATAGTCTACTTAAACACAGCAGAATGCGGGCTATCGAAAAGCATATTGACTATGTTTTATATTGATATCAACGGAAATAAATTTACCATTATATATTGTTATTGTTTTATCGCCCAGCCCTACCTTACAGTGAATAGAATTATTTAACAAGCATCTAGCTTTTGTTTAGTATTGAATGAGGAAAGTACAGCTTCTCTTAGAAACACCGCAGATGTGGGGCAGTCTCTGATAAAAGGTCTTTGAATATAATGGAACACCAAAATGTTTTTCATTTGGGGGAATTAAGGAATTTGTTAAAATATTTAGGAAACCTTGTGATTTTGTGGGATTAAAATAATCCAGGCATTTAAGAAGAATATAAAACCGTTTTTTAAAGTTTAATTTTCACAAATGTTTGACCTTGAAATGACTGAGTTTTTAAGGTGTGTTTCATGTTCTCAATCATCTTGGGTTGTGGTTCAGTTTCTTAAAACCCTCAAAAGTTCTCCAAAGGCTGGAAGAAGAAATACTGAAACTAAAAAAATTGACTATAAGACTACAAGCTTCACAATATACCAGAAATACAGTGTGGTGGCCAAAAAATTCATTTCAAGTTTTTGTTCTCTTTGCACAACCCAGTCTACAACATTGTTTTGTCCATTTACTTCCAGGCTCTGCAGTTAAAATCTGAAACAAAAGGTTCTTTTTCTGACTTACAATTCAAGTTTTTTATAATATCCAACCAGAATAAGTCATCATCAACAGAGCAGCATCCCTGAAGTCATCATCAGGACAGTAATGTAAAAAAAACAATCTTAAACTGAATTTTACATAGATCACATAACAGACTCTGTCCTCCTCAGGAGCAGCTTTAAATCTGTTGGTCTCTAAATTTAATCGGGACATTCCTGAATATAACTGCACTCAGAGCGACCTTTGCCTTTTGGTTCAATCATGATTAACACAAAGTTCTATAAAATAACTCTTCTTTATCAGACAGTAAGTTTGAAGTTTTGGTTTGTGTCATGTCAATAGATCTTTTTTTTATGTAAACAATAAAGATTTCCTCTTAATGCCCTGACTATTACAGTTTCACCTTTTGTAAAACCTGAACAACATTTTCACTCAGTAAAGATTAGTGACATAAGTTAAGTGAAATAGTTCTGATTTTATCCACTTTTTCAAAAAACATAAAACTACAAGAAAATAACACATTTGAATTGTGGCGTGAATCTGCCAGACATTTACTTTTGATACTAGAATTGGCAACATAAAATTAATGATAACACAGAGACAGTCAGGGGATTTTGAGTTTCTAACACAAGCGGTAAAGAGCATCCTGTGCCACACAGTGGATCAGAGGTCTAGATGACCTGCCAGTAAATCACATTTTTTCTCTTCAGTAAGAAAAAGGTGAATGTTTGCTGCCGTCTTTTTGAAAGATGATCAGAAATACGTAAGAAAATATCTAACATCAGTGAAAAAAAATGCTCCTTTCCTCTCTCTCTCTCTCTCTCTCTCTGTCTCTCTTTCTCTCTCTCTCTCTCAGTTAAAGCACAAACTACACAGTCACTCTCTTTCTTCCATGTGTTCATGGTATGAAGCCTGTTCAGTGTTTAGGCCACTGTTTTGGCGCGTAGTCCACTCTGTGTTTAAGTAAGCTGACGTTGAAAACAGATACACTGGCTTGGCTAACAATTTTTGATCAATGACTGTTGACATTCCTGAAGCCCTGTTTTTTTTTCCTATTGTAAGGCGCTTGAGTGTGAGTCAGACTTCTGAATTGTTCTAGCAGGTGGACAGGAAGCCTCTTCAGGAAAATGCAAGTTGGGAGGGGTTTGATATCCATTGTTGCCACTTTTCTCTTGGGCTCAATATGATCTTTTCTGGAATTTCTGCTTGCTTGTTCCATATTTAGTTTGCTAACATGCGGGCAGTTATGTGTAGGTTAAAGTTCAAATGCTTCCGGCGTAAAACATCAGCTCTTTTTTAAAGCTATTCTTGAGACATAAAAAAGTTTGATACTTTGTCAGGGTGGTCTAGTGTGTGATCTCAACTGCTGTGTCACTAACAGTGTCTATACAATGACTCAGTGAATCATTAAAGCAGAGTATAGCCTTTAAAGCTAGCTCCTCATTGAAGAGTGCTGTTTATACAGTGAGAATATTGGTTAGTTAACTTGTTTGATTTTCTATTAACAGGGGCGAGATGACGATGAAGAGCCAGACAAGAAAAAGGCCTCACTGGAGGAGACAACTTCAGAGAGACACAGGTTGGTTCATCACAGCACCCACAGAAATAGCTGTTGTTTATTTTCTTTCTGGGCATGTCACTTCTTCTGTGATCATTCACTGTGACTCCTCTTTGAGCTGCGACTTTACAAACAGGACTGAAACTGATCTGGAAGTACATCATCACAACATTAGAGCAAATATCTGTCCTTATCTGAACACCATCTTTTTGTAACACAGAGCATGTCTCAGTTCAGGTTGTGACAGTGTTTACACTAGGTTGGATCACAGCCCTGTGTTAATAGCTGCTCAAATATCCTGCAGCTCACCCGACTCTGTGTTACTCAGTAGGAAAGAAGCAGCCATCTTTCCTGTCCTACAGGACCTTTTTTCCATTGTTTATATTTAATGACTTTGAACTGACAGCACCGAGGGAGTGCCGCTGTTTTTCCTCCAGTTCAACAGGACAGGTCTCTCTTATGAGCATGAAAATAGCTGTGGAGGTTTAAGGCCTGTTTTTGACTGTAGAGATAAAGGTCAGGGTTGAATCGTTTTTTAAGTTTGTGTTTTTTTAAGTCAAGACACTCATTTGTAGCAGGACGAGAGTTGTGTGTCTTGTGAATGTATTCAATTTCATGAGCGGTCAGATGGCCTAACTAAACCATGAAGGAACACAACAATCAGCATGTTTAAGTTATTCAATTTCAAATAAACAATAGTGAACATGGCAGGTAGCTCAGTATCAAACACTCAGACATTGCTGCTGCTCCTCCTCTGGCCCAGTTCATTGTAAACATTTTAAACACACTTTGACCAGCGATCTGAATTTATCACCCACTCTCTTTGATGTGGCAGTTTGCTCAGAGTGGACGTGTGTAAACACACTTAGCGTTTGGACGTGTTCAGCCAAAAAACTGAAGAAAAAGGAGTGATGTCAGACTCCAAAGGCAGAAAACTAACATGAAGAAGTTGCTCATCCTTTCCTGGTCATTAGTCATGGTGGGACTAAGGGAGATTTTTTTAATCCATTCTTCATCCATTTTAAAGAAATTAAAAATCTTGACATTTACCAACAAGGTCTGAGAAATTAATTTTTTTTAAACTGCTGACCTTTGTTCATCATTCAGCATCTGCTGCATGTTCTTCTAACCTTCCCTTTATGTCCATAGTGAGAGATTTTAGATGGGATCTATATTTCTAGTGGCCTTGATATGTGTAAAAGTTTTAAATACTCCTTATTTACTACCATACCATAATTACTGCAAAAGGAATAAAAAAATTTAATGTTATCTTGCACTGAGAGCCAAAACATGTCCCACAGAGGACTTGTTTTTGATAGAAATATCAATTCCTGAACAAAACATAAACAACTCGACACTGAGCATGGATTTTTTCTGATTGCCTTTGGTGTTTTTCAGGCCTTCACCCTCATCACCTCTTGCTTACAGTCACTATATTTCAAAATACAGCACAAGCCATTCACTGCGACAGTGCTGTGCTGAATGCAGTTCATAGAGTTAAATTTGGCATATAAAAATAATATCTATGATCACTTAATTCTCGTCACATTTCTGTTTTGAATTCATGATTTAAAGTCATTTTATGAATAGAAAATTCCCACCACCAACAAGTTCAAAGGCAAGAAACCATTCAGAAACTGTCCAAGGTGAGCACAATTTATTAAACGCTGGGAACAATTGGGGTCACAAAGTCAGGGAGCAAATGATGTCAGATTGATTTGCCAAGTTTTGCTAATATTAACTGGTCTAGCACCCCCAGTGTTCAGTACTTCTAGCGTATTAATATCCACATCTATGCAGGTTATGAATTGCTCCAGCCCAGTGATTGCATGTTAGTTTAACCAGACACAACCTACATACATTTTCAAGTTTACATACCACATCAATGCGGTGCCCTCCAGGAACACCAGCTGTCTTCTGTGTGTTTTTACATCCACATGTTCATCATATGTATCAAAGCATTATATAGCATTATAGAAGTGTTTATTTACAGGAGCCACAGCCCCGGCTCGTGGTCCATGTCTGCACAACAGCTCTGACTTGACATACATGACTGACATTTTAACCTCACAATAGTGTAAATATTAACATTTTATTTAGCCAGCTACTAATTCCTGCGCTGACGTGCAGGGGTGACAATATTTAGTTGTTTTGTCTACTAAACATTGTGATATAGGAAAGCTTTCTGGCTGTCATAGATGAATCAAAATGATGTAACAGACTTTTTCAGGGGCAATAAAAGTGGAGTAAGAAATCTATTAATGGATGAGGTTGCTACAGACTGAGCAACATTTTCAAGATTCAGGAGATGTGTAAACTAGGAGTGGACCTCGGTCAGAAGGCTGAACATGACCAGCATTCCTACCCATACCCATACAAGGCATGGGTCTGTCTGTTGGCAGCAGGGGGTGTGATGAATGTATCAGCGGTGTATCCTCTCAAGCTTCATTGCAAATGCATGTTAAGCTCACAACAGCTGATAACTGTTTCGGTCCGCGCCTGGTCAGACAGTAGTTTACCTCCGACTCTGGACTTTATCTGTAATCTGCAGCGATGTCAGCTGAAGCTTGCCAAGAATTCCCCTCTGATGAGATGTGATGAAAGACGGCGTAATTCAACATCAAGGAAAGCATTCCTCAGCTGTTTGCTGCAAGTCTGTGTCCAGGCGCAGGTGGAACATGTTAATCAGACGTGTTCATAGGGAATAAAGAGGGACATTATACCAGAATCCCTTTAGACATTAGATCTGCAGCTGTGTAGGGTATCCAGATGGTCTTTTAGGCCTGTTTCATCTCTGGTGGAATATGTTTGCCAACACTGCCCTCACCTGGACAGTCAAAGGAGTGTGGGGTGAAGAGTGAGCCTTATTTAAAAGCTTAAATTTAACTTGTTAGTAAAGTTTGTCTCATGTTGCTCTGTGTTTCTCTCCTCAGAGAGCTGAAGTTGAGGAATTACACCCCAGAGGATGAAGAGCTGAAGGGGAGACAAGTACCGAAAGCCAAACCTGCATCAGGTCTGAACCCTCCAAAAAGCTAAAAAAAAAAATTATAATTTAGATTTTTTTTTTTTAGTGCCTTGTTTTTAAGTGCTCCAGCCATTGTAATTTGATTATACTGCTTCCAGGAAAGTGCTGCACACCTCCTATCACTTACCACTATCTAATATTGTTTATGACTTTCTTTCTTGATTTGCAGTGGAGGATAAAGTGAGGGACCAGTTGGAGGCAGCTAATCCAGAGCCCATCATTGAGGAAGTGGTAAGTGGTCCTTCTTGTTCAATGTGATAACTTGTGTTGATGAAGCATTGGTGTCGTGAAAGTTGTCTCATTCTTGTGTTCGTTTCCCCCAGGATTTGGCAAACCTTGCTCCTAGAAAACCAGATTGGTAAGACTTTAGTTTTGTTTTCGAGCATGTGTGATGAATAAAATCATATCTAATTGAACATAATTTTTACTGACTGTATTATTTCATCTGAATTCAGGGATCTCAAACGTGACGTGGCAAAGAAACTGGAGAAGCTGGAGAGGAGAACACAGAGAGCCATTGCTGAGCTCATCCGTTAGTATTTCTCATTTTTATGTTTTCTCGCTGAATGTTCATAACACTTCAGAGACAAGCAAGTCTGAGCTGGGTGTGAATTATTAGGCTAATTGCCTTGTGGTCTCCAGACTCCACCGAGGCTTGACGCCATCTGATAACAGCTGTGGGTGTGATTCCTGCACTGATGTGTGATTCACAGGCTAAAAATAGCTGTGAGCTTTCAAGGAGAACACAAGCCCATTTTTACTGTTCAGATTTTCCTTTTTTTGGATGGGTGACAACAAGTCCTCATAGTTTCCATTTTCAAATGTAAAAAGTAACTTATTTAACATATTATGGTGACATTTAACCTTGAACTATGAAAGCCTTAAGTGGACATTCATCCAAACATTTTATTAACATCATTTTCCTGTGGTAATGTCAGTTATTTCCCTAAAGGGATATTCCGGCGTAAAATTAATTTAGCGGTCGGCAACATTCATCTCTTGACGGGGTGTCTAACTTGGTGTTACGGTGTGTTTGACCCTAAATTAATTTTACGTCGGAATATCCCTTTAATCTTTTGACTTCATTTCATATGAACTTGATCATATCCCCTAAATGGGCTCGACTTATCCCATTAGTGTGCGCAATGTCTGGCCTTCCTACCACGATGACCAGCCAATTGTTTTGTTAAAGAGGTCAGAAAAATATCCCAATATTGTGAAATTGTACCTTTGCTATCTTGACTTTATAAGAATATAAGTCGAAGTCTGAAGGGACAGCTACTTTTGTCAGCTGTCATCGATCAGTTAGGGTAAACTCAGAAACAGCATTGCAGCTACATTTTGTTGTAAATCAAAACACTGGAGAAGAGGGACTTTGCTTTCCTGTCAAAGGACTGTACACACTGCGTTTGCTGTCAGGACAACAGGGATGCTTGCTTGTAGGGTCGTATTATTTGTCTTACTCCTTAACAAGAGTCATGGTTGATATGGAGCACCTACATGTAAATCAGATGACTGGAGAATGAATGAATAACGCTGACTGTGATTGTTTGTTTCTTGTGTCCAGGGGATCGTCTGCGGGGCAATGAGGAGGAGCTGGCTGGTGTTGTAGGAGCAGTCGGAGTGGGGGGCGGAGACTCGGACTGAAATTGAGATGTGACAAGTTGGAAAAGAAAGGAGACCACCGAGGGAGGGCCTCCTTAAGAGGGACTGAACTGTCACACCTGTGCAGAGCCAGTCGCTTCTGCAGGGTGCAGTGATGTTTTCTGTTTGATTTTTATATTCATTTTGTGTCACTGTTTTACAGAGCAAGCTGTGGTACACTCTGTGTGCGTTATTGATAATGTGACCATCAATATGATGTTGTAAATTTCATATTTGAGTAAAATTACTTACTTTTTCATGTGAATGACTCTTCTTTTTATACTTGATGCCACTTTTTGAAAGTCAACTTAAGTCTTCCATCACAGAAGTTGTCATTATAAATTCACACAAAAAATAAAATTGTGCAAAAAATTCAACACAGCAGAGAAAAATCCCAGTAATCCTAGGAAAATGTTACTAAATTACCCAAAAATGAGCAATACATTCGTAAGATAGCAACAATATCTTAACAATTTAACAGTTTAAATTAAGATAATATATCATATTATCCTTTTTAAAGTATATTAATTAACCAGACAGTAAATGTAAGGGAGTGAGTGAAATAAATACAAATGTGTTAAGTTGCTTCCAATGAGAGCACAGACACTTGTTAAATACGTCATATTTATTCAGAAAATGACCTGTAAATTCACTCTCTAATCATCATGAAGTGACCTCTACATTACTTACTGCATCATTAATGTCTGCTACACTTGAATCAAAAGTTCATTGATCCGTTTGGTGATAAATAGAGGAATGGTGAACAAATAGCAATGAGGTTTTTTTTTTCTATGACATTCACATGTGAGATCTATTGCAAGCATCTTAACACCTGTTCTCAAACTAGACCCTCCTTTCACGATAAAGTGCATCTTCGATCTATGTAGGCCCAAACGGTTCCCTCAGTAGGAGGATATTGCACTGTTTGTTATATTAAGACTCTTACATAAAGGCCACCTGATCCATTCAGAAGCTTTCCTGTTTCCCAAAAGGCTGATGAACAAAGCTCCAAAGAGAAAGAAAGAGTGTAGTCACCACCGCCTCTCTGAAATTCACAAAATAACTACACCAATATGTGACTCAAGTGACATTAAAATCTTACATAACTGCCTGTACTTGTTCTATGAAACAGACTTTCCAACAAACTACAGCTTTAAAAATATACAACACTAGAGATGAAGCCCACGAACTACAGATATTCATAGCGAGATGATTCAATACTGCAAAAAGTCAAGTGTTGATACTGTCGGTCTGGAAGCTTGTTAAGCCGGTCTGAACAAAAGCCTGTTAATACTGCAAGAAAAAGCGTCAAAAGGCTGAAAAGAATCCTTGACTTTGGTATTTCATGAAAGGAAACTGACACATTGCAAGTCAAGGGAGTATTAAATCCAAGATCTAGTGAGAGTTGGAGGTTGTTTTGGCACTCGTAGAAGGATGAATCCTCCTGCATGCAGGTTATTTCATGATAAAGGGATGTCAGGAGCAGAAGATGGCAAAGAGGAGGCCAAATCCTGCAACACCTACCTAAAATCAAAGGTTGGTGAACCTCCTCTGCAGATTTAGCCCTTGAGCTGGTTATCTGTTGTCCTTTTGGATACTGTAGGGTTATGATTGGTTAGAAGTTTGAATGATAATCTAAACAGAGCACTAGGAAGAAGAAAAGGCTGATTCAGTCACACTGTCCTCCACCAGATTCAATCTTCCTGGCTGCAGGACCCAGCTCCACCTTACACACTCTCTGGGCAAACTTCAGGGAGCACAGTGTCTCTCCCACGTTACTCTCCAACGCAGACACCTTTGGCAGAGAAAGACAACAAAGCTGTTGAAACTAAAAACTATCAATTTTAATACTATATGTCCCACATCTAAAGCTTTAAATCTGTTTTACCTGGACCACCATGACAGTCTTGCTGCCTTTACCCAGGGAGTCTTGTAATAAGTATGTAAGACGTGAGTTCCTGAAAGGGATGTGAGTCTGCCGAGCTCTCAGTGCCTGAATGACGTCCCCCAGAGCCAGCAAGGAGCGGTTGATATTCTGGGCCTCCTTTAGCCTCTCTCCCTCCGCACCAGACTTCCAGACCCGCTCAGAGCCAGCAAGGTCGACCAGGTTCAACTTGCCTGAGGACAGAGACGTTTGGATTAAAGTTGAGATGATGACTAAATCCTGATCAGGAGCTTTCATAAAAACTTTTTAAACAAAGCTTCAAAGCAAAAAACAGGGTTTTTTTTTAATCGATGTAAATCCCAGACCTGATTTCATTCAAATTTGTGATATGAGAAGCTTTCCAAATAAATGGATGTGTCACTGACCGGTGGTTTTGGATCCAGAGGCGAGGTCAGTGCCCTCAACTGTAATACAGAGGAGAGCGTGGGAGCGGGAGCTGTGCTGGTTCATCTGAGTACCAAAGGTGATCCTGTTCCTTCTGGCTTGGGCTAAAATCTGTATTAATACAAGAAAAAGTGACCATTACTGATTGATAATTCCTATTTTGACAGGCGTAGATGATTTAAAGCGCTCTGTGTCACCTTCTTGATGTGCTGGAAGCTCTTCACCCCAATGACCCTTAGGCCTGGCACATGCAGCTGTCCCGTCCCGTCTGGGTTGATCTTAATGTCCAGTTTCTCTCCATCCTTACTCAGCAGGTCTCTAAGATTTACCAACAAAACAAGCAACGTCTCTAAACTGTAAATAAGAGGAAAAAAAAGACAGAAAATAGGGGAGTGCAGTACCTTAGCACCTCGTTGTAGATCTCCACAGAGCTGACAGTGACGTTGTAAGACCACATGTCCTTTCTCTCCTCAATCACATTGAAGAGTTGTTTCAGCGCTTGCTTGTTGATGCCTGGGTTTTCTGCACTGCCCTGAAAAACAAGATTAAAGATGAAAATATTTCGCCTGCAGTGAACATCTGTGTACCATCACTCTACGGCTGCTCTGATGCAGTTGGACTAAACTCAGCACCTCCATTGTATATGTTTTTCCTGAGCCAGTCTGTCCGTAGGCAAATATGCAGACATGGTAGCCATCAATGCAAGACGTCACCAGAGGCTCAATCTCCTGGAAGACCTGAGAAAAACAAGCAATGAGTTTAGGTTCTCCTACCTTTGAGTTTTCTGTGAATGCTGTTTGTGTTCATACCTCTTCCTGAGTGGCCTGAGGGTGGAACACCTTGTCCAGTTCAAAGATCCGATCCTTTCCTTTGTTCAGCACGTTGAGCGAGGACTCGTTGTTGGGGTCTGTGGTCACCACCACAGACTGGCCCTCCTCACGCTGGTCCTCTTTCAGCACAGGCTTCACGCGGCACAGCACACGGATGTTTCCTATAAAAAAAGAGGCCGAGGTAATGAAACAGGTTGTTCTGGGGGTGATTTTTGTTTTCTTTTACCTTTCAGCTCCACCAGTTGCTCATGGTACTTCCTACGCAGTGCAACCTCCTTCCTGTATTTCTCCAAAAGGTCTTTGTTGGCTTCAGACATCTCGCTGATAACTGCTGAAATCTGACGAAGACGACAAGTAAAGTCAGAAAACTGTACTAAGCACGTTGATTGGATCAGATCGATCATTTATCACGAGTTGTTCATTGATGTGGATGTACACACCTGTTTTTTTGCGTCATTGATGGCTGATCCATAAAAATCGGAAAAGTTTCTAATCTGGCTCCTCAGGCTGGTGTAGTCTGTTTTCATGGAGCGTAAAGTTGGAGGAAGTGCAGTCAGACGCTTCTGTAGGCCTGACAAAGAGAAAAAACCACTTGGAATCTCACACTTCTCTTCTTGAACAAATACACAGATAGTTTGTTTCATTTAGGATGTACAATATTTGCCTTTTTTTGCAGCACTACATAAAAAAATATTGGTATTGCTCACAAAATCAGTCAATTAGCTTAGCTTAGCCTGAAAAGTGATGACAAGTCCAGGACGTCTATCCAGTTTGCCAGAAAAAGTCTGGCACAACTTTTAATCCTTAAGATTTTTCTCCCTCTGTCAGGAATCTAATTATCATCACAGTCTACTCCCTATTCAATACCCCTTACTACAGAGTTGGTGTGATTTATAGGTGCTGCTAGGTGGATTTTGTGACCTTAGACTATTGGTTTTCCTTCCAGTCTTCTTGCCAAGCAATGCTAACCAGTTGCTGGCTGGAGCATCACGTGTTATGATCATCAAGCAACTCTTAGCAAGAGGACTGCATGTAACCAATTTTCACGAAATGTCAAACCTCATTTTTAATTCATTGTTTTGCAGAAAAAATTGATTTCCCAGAATGCTTATTGACTGTCACTCACTGAAAAACTGCTCCTGCAGGTCCTGAAAGTGCTCGGCTGAGCAGTTGGCAGCAGCTCTCACAGCTTCCTCCTTCTTCTCCTCCAAATGGCCGATCTCTTTCAGCAGCTCCTCTCTCAGTGTGCTGATCTCTCTCTCATACGCCGCGATCTGTAATAAGGTTGAGCACAGCAATATGTCAGTGCATCATCTTGACGGGTCTAATCTGTGCAGGATTACTGCTGTAATGAGATCATCAGTCAATGAAAATGGATTTAGTTTGTTAATTCAGTTAGAGGAGAGGAAATGTCCTTTCTCTGTCTGATGTTTTCTCTTCTCTTTAATCAGGTTTGTGGTTCATTGGCTTCTCTGGACTTTCTCAATTCTGTACTGTTCATTTCTAAAAATAAAAGATGGTGGTATTTAGTGAACAATTGGGGATTTGTTGCCATTTTACTTTCCTTAGATTGCCTACTCGTTTCCCACATGTAAATGAAACAGTTAGTCCAGGTCACATTTTCCTTGTTTATTTTTCTTTTGTAAAAGAAACCAAATGCAAAATAAAGACAAAGGCAAATTCCGACAAATGGCGACGACAGGATGATGATGATGTAGATGAAGATGATGATGGTCAAAAAACTGTTTGCTCCTCCAGCTATCAACACACCTGCCACTAATTGTGTCTTCTTCTATTTATAACAAACCAAACTCAGGACTTCACGCCACCTGGTGTGGCACCAGGACAATTACAATTTAAATAGGTTACAAAATACAAACACAAAAGGAAAAACAACAAATGGCTTTGACAATAGATGTACATTTAATGTAACTATCGAGCATTGTTGTCGGAGGCCCAGATTGAGGAGGTTTATGTCTAATTTGTAGCCAAACAGATTTAGTGAAATATTGTATCTCCTCCTTTAAAACCCAGGCATTAAATAAAGTATATGTCAACATAGAACAAATGTATTACTGCATGTTTAATTCAATTCCATCTGCCTGTTTGGGTCAGTATAATTGTGTCACCTTTTTCAAGAAGTAGATATGACGGACGTACGCGACATTGCAAGAGTTGTATTTCTTACCTTATGCTGCAGATTACAGCTATGTTCATCTGACTTCCTGATTTGTTCCTCGAGCTGTTTGCAGCGCTCGTTCTGTTTGGACAGCTTTTCAGACAGCAGCTCATTCTTCTGTCTGGCTTTATTGAGGTGCTTCAGTGTCGCAGGTGATTCCACTTCAACGGTCTTGGTGACATACTGACAAGGAAAAGAGTCTGATTAAAATCCTCCAAAATAACACTCTAAAAAGGATGCTCATTCTTTTTTTTACCTGGACCACCGGCTCCTTGCTTCTCTCTTTGTCCAATTCCAGCTGCAGCTCCCTCACTCTGTCGTCACGTTTCCTCAGCTCCTCTCCTCTCCTCCACTCGCTCTGTTCGCTGTGACGCTCCAGCTGTGAAAGCTGCTCGGCACGCTGTTGGAGAGACATCTCCAGCTGCTGCACTCTGCAGCGCAGGTTCTCGTTCTCCTAGCAGAGCACGTAAGAAAACAAGTAAATAACAAGCGTTTGGATCGGCAGCTGCTGATGGATAACAAAATGATACATCTGTGAGCTCTCAGTCATGCTGCTGTGTCTCGCCTTGATGAGCATGCTGCTGGACTGGGATGGTATGGCTGACAGCTGCTGCAGGAGGCCCTGGGTCACACTCAGGCTCTGCTTCAGACTCTCATTTTCTGCTGACAGACACAGGACTCGCTTCTCTGAGTCTGTGGCCCCCTGAGGAAAACAAAAGTTCAGCACAGAGATGAGAATCAGGATTGCTAAAAAGATGTTTTTTATGTACGGATCTAAAACTAAGCTGTTACAAAAGGCACGATGAGTTCTTTGGTATTCCAATGACATAGTGTTTCATTCAGTGGGTGTTTTAAGCTTTGCTGATAACACACTTGACAGAAGACTAAGTCAACAGATCACATCACTCACCGCTGCTGTTCTCAGTCTCGTCAGCTCCTCTTCTCGCTCTTCGATGCAAGTCTTCAGCTCATCAATCTGTGCAAGATATTTTAAAGAATGATTTATAGTTGCAGACTTGGTTTGAGAAAACAGACACGGTGAAGCTCACGTTCTCCCATTTCTGTAGCAAATGCAAAATTCTGTCACTCTTTTTATTCAGAGGGTCTCCTGAGATGCTTTTTACCTTTGCAAGAGAGACCTGGCTTTAAAAGCAGTTAAGAGTAGATCATATAGAGTCACATTAAATATTTACAACATTTACATACATGTAAAATGATATAGGACTCAAGACATTCAACATTTATAGAGATGTGCAAGAACTGGATTTGCTTCTGCTTCAATGTTTTCATAACATAAAATTTAATTTAACTTTAACTGACAGTCATTTTTGCAGGATCTTATGATGAAGATTCTCACTGGAAATGAGGCTTTCGTGTTTAAGATTTTGCTATAACACATTAGACCTTCTCCAGAGCGACAGTTTTATAGGTGTCATTAAATATAGAACCTTGTACCTGCTGTTGAAAAGCCTGTATGCGTGAGTGTCTGTCTTTGTTTTGCTGCTCCAGCTCTGAGTGTAGCAGACGCAGTTCTCCTCTCAGTTTACTCCTCTCACCCTGCAGCCCGTACAGAGACTCCACCAGCTTGTGAACTCCAGCTCCTGCATCACTGCTGGACTCGCCTGAAAGGGATGAACACAAATAAAACCCTTTTTTTATCACCATTTTCACTTGGAGTATTGACAGCAGACTAAAACAGTACAACAAAATGAATCATACTCTGTCATCTTTGGACCTGTATTCATGTTACATCACCCAGAAACAGAACCAGCAGCTATCCTCTGAACCTCATCTGACCTGTTTGCTGTATGTAATCTTTTTAGATGTGACTAATCTCTGCAGTACACTTCAATGCTTCTGAGAGTGTGTGTAATATTAATGAGCAGTAAGTTTGCACTTGGAGTTCTTTTACACACCATGTAGTCACGGTGCATTATGCTGGAGTTAACACTATCATTGCTGTGTTCTCCGGAGCCTCACATAGGATTTCTGTAGCCTCTCACATGAAGACTGCGTTGAGTGCAGAATCAAGTTTCAGTTTTATAAAACTCCTCTATTGTTTATCAGGAAGCTGAGCAGCAGCAGCAGCAGCATACCCAACAGCATTTTTATCTGTGTATTCTGCATTAAAGATTTATCAGGTTCTGTCACCCCGAATTTTCATAACAGAGCCCTGGGCTGATTCTATCACCACACTGTGCCGGGTTTGCTGTGTCACAGTGGTTCAGGGAGAGGTGATGGTGCCAGGAACAAAAAAATAAAGAAATAAACATGGGGGAGGGGACGCTACAGCCGTGCATCAGGGGGGTTGACAGAAACGTGCTTGCAAAAAACGTGAGAAGACCACGAGATAAGCTGGTCCGCAGAGGCAGAGAATTAGCTTTGTAGAGTTTTAATACAGCAATTAGAGAAAATGCAAGAAAACTGATGTCCTCCACTAAGAAAAAAGATACAGTGAAAAAAGGGAGACCCCCGAATGGAGCAACATCTATTTATATCTAACAGTGATAAGATCACAACACAGTCATGATGCTCAAATGGAAGAGATTCAGCACATCTAACAGGTGGAGCATCACTCCTCCGCTTAACCCTGCATTTTGCCTCACAGTACACAAACAGGCCAAACAGCCTCCTTACACAAGGACGAGGACTCCCAGCTATTTTTAGCCCAACACAAGTACACGTGGCGCCTTGCATGTGCCCGGTCTTGTAAGTGCGTTTGCGAGGAATAAAACAGCACTCTCAGGCATGTTTTATTCATGACAGACAGCCGCAGAGTCACTATACACACACGCTCATTTTGTAAATGTGTATTTCATTCCTGAGATCGTTGAGGATCAGTATGCATGAGGTCCTCTGCTTACACACCTACACACTGAGAGTCATGTAAAAAGGCCTGGTTTCTATACATTTAAGCATGCTTATCTCAGCTGTACCGGTCTGACTACAAGCACGGATCTGATCTGTCCTAGACTTCATGGTGTTGTGCACTTGTAACCAAGCAGTACATATGCACAGAGAGGAGTGATGTGCAGTTTGTGTGTCTGCTTTAGCCTCCTACTCTGAGGTCAGAGAGGCATCTGGTCACATCTGAAACACAGACATCTAAAGCTTCGCCCAACACCCACAGAAATCTAATCAGTCTGCCGCTCTGATGTCGGTGCCCCCTGTAAAACAAAATCTAATCTTGTGTAAGCCAACAAAGGGGGCAATAAACTCTGCAAGAGACCCTCTAAAGAATTCATGACTCCTTGATAGTTTTAAATAGATTTTGGTGCACGCATGGAAAAAAAAATTCTGGGAGCACAAAAAATTATGAATGTTGTGAAACCCCCGTGGAAATACACCTGATGTGACAAGCATGTGAAAGTGGCTGTCTACATTCATTATCCTCCCAATCCATCTTCTTCTATTAGATGATCTCATCCACTCTAGGTCCTCTCATTGATTTAAATGAAAGTGCCCTGCAGCCTTTCTGCTCCTCTGTCACACCTGATGATCTATTTATGTGTTCAGTTATTAAAACAGATACCTGACCTCTGTTTCCCTCTGATTTTCATCATCCTCACAGCCACCACAAACCAATCAATCCTGCAGCTTAATTACACCCTTCATCCCCTCCTCTTCTTCCTCACCTTCACTTATTGGACTGGGGGTCTGCTGTTGGTTGATGGCCTCCTCCAGGGTGCTGATGATGCTATTTTTGTCCCTAAGGCGCTGTCGGTAGGAAGCACGCAGGGCCTTCATCTGGCGTCGGTGCTGGACACGGTGCCTCTTCAGCTGGACTCGGTACTGGTCTGCTTGCTGCTGCAGGTGCTGGAAGTGAGAGTACTGCTCCAGAAAAGTCAGCAAGTGGGACATCACGGCCACCAGGGGAGATTCGGATAGCTGGTCAGCACAGAAGCACACACGGGAAAAAGTTGGGTTTCACTGCAGATGCTCTCAACTGCATCAGGTGAGCTGCTTGGTTCAGGGGATAAGACAATCTTTTCTCACCTTTCCAGTTGTTTCCAGCTGAACCTGCGAGGCCCTCCTCTTCTCGCTCTCCTGCTTGAAGGACAAAAAGGCAGCCAGAGGGGTGCATGCTGGGATGTCATGACCAGCTTCCTCATCTTCATCGCTCAGAGACATTTCATCACTGTCACTGCTACTGCCTGGATAACAGCACATAGAATAAAGAGTGAAGATATGTGTGCTCCAGTTAATCCATATAAAGCTGATCTAGACTGTATTTTCCTTTTAAACATTCAAACAGCTTTTGTGTTGACTCAGAAAATTCTGAAAAATATCAAAGCACTAACTTGATTCACCATGCCGAACAAAAGCCTTTTTTTCTATTTTGGGGGTGTGGCCATCTCTTCTCCTGCTCCCTGTTTCCATGGAAACAGGTCCTCCCTCCTGAGTGAAGCAACATTCACGAGGGTCAGATAATACCAAACAAGCAAAATATTAATACTCTGCATACACAGAAATACGTACAAAATGCAAAAAAAAAACGGACACCACCACAATATCTGTGATAGAGACGACAGTTTTTTCACTGTCAGGTGGAAGGTGAGTCATGCATGTCCTCCTGCAAGAAAACGGTTTTGCCTACAGAGAACCCCTGAGGGCTAGACATGAGGTGGCTAGACATACATCTGAGGAAGCTCCATACGCGCCCTCCAAGGCATCCTCTTCCTCCTTCTTGAAGACAGTGTAAAAGATGTAGACTAAAAGGGAGTAGAAGGCGTACATCTCCACGCCGTCTGGGTCCCTGTGAATGACACCTGAAATCACAGTCTGAAATCACATTCTTGAACAGAAATTCACATTTTTATGTACTAATATTAGCAAAACACAAACAAAATAAAAGATTATCATAGGGCTAATGATGATATGAGTCTCAGCTTTTCAAGTTCACCATTTTCTTCTACCTCATTCATGCAAAGTGTTTGATCTTCTTTACCTTATCACATATCGTCTCCTCCTTTCTGATGACAATCCAACGTTCCAACCATCTCTATTCCTCTTTCACGCTCCATCTGTGTTTGTGAAAATTACAAATCTCCTCTTGAAGCTCAGTTCTCAGTGCTGCAAAAGCATCCAAGAGCTGTGTGCAGCTCCTGTGACTCCTTCCCTATCTGCCTTTCTCTCTCTCTCTCTCTCTCTCTCTCTCTCTCTCTCTCTCTCTCTGTCTCTCTCTCTCTCTCCTCCCCCTTTGTCCTCCTTCTCCACCTCCACTTTGCTTCGCTCCATCCACAGGCTGCAGCTGCTGAGGGCGAGCATGCTCAGTGCAGTTACTGATTCCGCTGCAGTGGTGGAGTGACAGATGATGCAGAATATTGACAGATTTAGCTAGAGAGGAGGGTTAATAAGGATAACAGCAGAAACAGCTAGAGATGGCTGACATGATATCTTCAAAGTCAGAGACTGTGGCTTTAAGCACCATTTTTATTCAATATTATTAAAGTGTATTTTTATGACCTCAGACATCAACATGTGTGCAAGGACTAGATGTGGCATAGATGTGGAAGAACATGAGTATACAGTTTTCAAAAAACTTGATAAATAATTGATTCAAGTGAGGCTCTTTTAGTGAACACTTTTGTTTGACAAAAACAACAAAATAAAATACTTTTACAATACAATGTTGCCAAAATAAGACATGAACAGAAGACATTTTGTGAGAAAAAAAGCATAATGAGCTAACAGTCGGATAAAATACATCCTTGCTGACCTGTGTGTCCTGAGCTCTGACAAAGGCACTGTCCCACAAGACAGGCTCGCTGCAGCGTTTGCTGGTCGATCACTGCAGCAAAACTGCTGCTGCAGCTGCCTAACACCCCCAAATCCTGAGAGAGAAACTGCAGTGTCCACTGTGAATGTAACAATCTATGGAGGGAAACACCATCGGCAAACATAACCACAGAGAACTTATTGACATGTCAGTGATTTAAACAGATAAAGTCATTTCTGTTTTCACTGGAGGCACGAAAAATCAAGGTAGTTGTTTTGAAAAGTGCATTCATAAGTATGAAATGGGCAGTGAAAGGTTAGAGCAGGGCTAATAACTCAGACCACTGCAGATATTTTAACCGTGATACTGCTGCGGCTGCAATATAAACAGAACCCAGGGATCTGAAGCAGGTGTGTGATTGCTGGATTCTGCAACATCAAAACTGTGAGCAGAGTGATGTGAGGAGAATGTCAATGACCTGAGAGAGAGTGCAGCCGGCCTGACATTTTAGAAGTAATCACAAAAGAAACAGGAGAGTCCATGTGCTGGTTACATCTTAGTTATTATGACGAGCTTATTAACATGAATCAGACACTTGTAGTGTATTATGATAATAGATAGATGAGAACTTGGGTGAAGCAGATGCCACTTTGTACTCTATAATGTTAGTGATGCCTGGAGATGTTTTGTCTCTTTCTGTGATTCTTTCTAATATCAAATCAGAAAAGTTTAATAAAGGTTTAATGATTCACTATAACAAACAAATAAAAACACAATAGTCATATTGTGTTCTTGTGAATCTCTACACAAAAGCATGTTCATTTTGGAGCATTTTTTTCATCTGATATTTTAAAAAAGGTTTATTAATAATTTATTTTAATCTGTAAAATTTGTCTCTTTTTGTCTCTTTTAACTCAAAATACTATTATTTAAGTGTTATAGGTCAAACTTTAGCTTACGCTGTTAATGCCAGTTAATTGTTCAGTTTGTCAATAAGACTGCTTTATTTAGTCCCTCTTTCTAGAATTTTCTGTGTTTCTGCTTTTTTTTTTTCATTCAGTTATTAAGTCATTTGGATCAGGAGTAACATTGAGGTCTGTGTGATGTTATGTATTTACATAGCTTAAAAATGCAAGTAACAATAGCTTTGAAAAATGCATGTAGTTTCCCATAGCATAACATTGTTTCACTGTAGTGTTAGTTTGGTCAAAATAAGTCTTATTCATTTTATTTATTTAAATGTAAAGGTTCAGATTTCCTAATTCCCTCCTTATTGAGAGACTGAACCAGCTAAATTGTTGTTTTTTTTCTTTTGCTAAAAAATAAAAATTATTTGATGAATCAACAATTGAAATGCTATCTCTTTTTTGTGACTGTGAATCAATCAGCTACGTGCACCCTGCACTCTTTGAAACTCAAATAGCATAAGTTAAATACTTTTTCTAAATTATGAGGTTTTTCTGTGTAGTGTTAAAAACTGTCTTGTCAGTTCTTTGTAGTGAGGTCAGCTCTTAACCTCATTTGTTATGAAGTTCATTGAGGTCAAATTGAACCTTCACCAAAACCTTACAATGGCTTTTTGTTAGGCAGACATTATCACCTGGAAGTGCTTGTCAGTCAGTTAATCCATGAACAACAACATATCATCGAGTTCCCTAATGAATGTTAATGTTATATTGTTCAGTGACATCCAACAGAAATGTGTGCAGGGCCTGTGTGGAAGCCCAACAGCCAAACGACATGAAACCTTTCAAAATCCACGTTAGGAGTCCATCAGTGGCAGCCAGAGAAATAAGAGGAGCAAAAGTGTTTGTTCTGCTTGGTGGAGCCACCAGCAATGGGAGGCTAAGAGCCACACTACCCAGGGCCCCTAAAGCGTTACCAGCAAAAAGACACACAGTCAAGCAGCAGGACAGGGAGGACAGGCCCAGGCAGCGTGTCATCACTGTGAGAGCATCAGCTGAGAGCCAGTCACACAGTCCCAGCAGCCCACAGGAGCCACACAGGAGAACATGTGCTGTGTTACGGTCCTCACTGAGCCACAGGAAGTCGAAGGAGACTAGCGCTGGAGCGAGGATCTTGCTTGCCCACTCTGCTTCACTCTGGACGGAGGTGAGGTAGGTGCTGGAAGGTTGCAAGAGGCACAGTGCAGCAGAGAGTCCAAGCAGGAAGAGTCCTACTGATGGAGCTCTATGATGCTGCAGGGAATAAGAAAGCAGAGGCAGTAAATGAGAAATACAGTGCCTTGAAAAAGTATTCATACCCCTTGCACTTTTTCACAAACTTAAAAGTATTTTATCGATAAAAAATTTGTCATAGACCAACACAAAGTAGCACATAATTGTGAAGTGGAATAAAAATTATACATGGTTTTCAAAAGTGTAAACAAATCTGAAAAGTGTGGTGTGTATTTGTATTCAGCCCCCTGTACTCTGATACCCCTAAATAAATTTAGTGCAATCAATTGTCTTCAGAAGTCACCTAATTAGTTAATAGAGTCCACCTGTGTGTAATTGAGTATCAGTATAACTACAACTGCTCTGGGAAGGCCTCAGTGCTTTGTTAGAGAACACTAGTCAACAAAGAGCATCATGAAGACCAAAGAACTCACCAGACAGGTCAGGGAAAAAGTTGTGGAGAAGTTTAAAGCAGAGTTAGGTTATAAAAAACATCCAAAATATCCCAAAATATATATAATCCAAAATGTATCCTATGGATACAAATGCACACCACACTTTTCAGATTTTTATTTGTTTAAATTTTTGAAAACCATGTATCATTTTTATTTCACTTTACAATTATGAGCTACTTTGTGTTGGTGTATGACAAAAAAAATCTCAATAAAATACTTTTAAGTTTATGGTTTAAAGTGACACAATGTGAAAAAGTTCAGGGGTATCAATACTTTTTCAAGGCACTGTATAACATGTCTACTCATTATCTGCCTTTACAGCTGAGAAAAAAATAGTTAGGAAATATTCAAAAATATGTACAATATTCAGGGCAAATTATCTCCAAAACTATGGAATAAACGAATTGAAAACTGAGAAGTAAAAAATGCTTTGTAAATTAAGTTATAGAGCTGTACCTGATTGGTTTAATTAAAAGTTACATCCCCAAATATTTTCTTGATGCTTCAGCAAAATAGAAGCAAATCTCAAAATGTTTATCAAGGTTTCTCATAGACATGGTAAAATTGTTGGTTGTGTCGAACCAACACTTGAACAGTCAAAGATAACTGATTAACATCACGAACACAAAGTTGCACAGCATCCTCTTTTTATCACTATGATGTGAAGGGTATTAGTCATCTATGCGCAATAAATAACTTATTGGTTTCACAAAACGTTTTCGATTGTGTGGATTCTGCTCCTAAAGTTAAGTTCAATAAGTAAATTATGTATAGTTACCAGTTTTAAATGTATTATTATAAATTGGACCTACCTTAAATAGTTTATAAGAGGAATACAGCGCAGTTGCAGATAAGACGACGTCTGAACAGGCTGATATCCACTTACAGTACGCCATTGATCCTGACGCAGACTGACACTACAGTCAAACATTCAACGTAACAATTTTCAATATCAACGCAAAAAGTTACCGCGACCTAAAGTCTCTAAAGTGAACCGATAAACATGCTAGTGTGGTTCTAAATATTGTCCAATACTTGGTTTACTCAGTGCAATGCTGCACACAGATCGATGGGGATGAAATTAAAGTACGAACACTGGCGAGTTTGTTTGGACATGTGACCAGTCCGGATATGGACAGAGCGCATGCGTATGAAAAGATGCTTTCATTGTTCCTCGTAAAGTCTAGAACTTTAACGCTATCGAAACAGAAAACATACCGCTGACGAAAGTGGAATCTCATTTTTGTCAACTATGGGTTACATTTTTCTCCCTGGAAGTATATGTTTTATTTATAAGTGAGACTTGTCGTGCATGTCCCTTTTCTTCGACCAGAACTTGAAATGCATTCATTATCTATGTCAGTTTCCGTAAACCGAGTATTTCCGATTTTACACGAAGGCAGCTTAAGTTCGAAAAGTATGGCCGCGGAGTGTTTGACAACAGCAACAGAGCAATGGATACGGGGAAGATTACAATTAAAACATCCATGCCTCGGTAATATTATCTCACGTTTATTCAAAAGTTATAAAGCTACAAATACAATCTGACATTAAGAACAGAGTCGCAGCGTTTTTCTGTCCGTTAAGTTAACAATTGTGGATAACATTTGAGAGCTCATGCATAGGTGGCTATGCTAACAACAGCCCATACAGTCAGCAGCAATGAAGTCAATTCAACTTGTTTTAACAGGTGATGTCCGCTCACTGAGTCTTCCAGGGACAAATGAGGAGAAGATTAGACATCTGGGAAACTCATTGAATAACTTTGTCCGTCTGAAGTCTCTGGACCTCTCCTATAATTTGCTTGTCTCTGTTGAGGTAAGTTTGAGCTCTAAACTCAACCAGTAACTGACTATGTATGCACCTTTGTCTCCTGTTAAAGTAGCTTTGGGATTGTTTGAGTCATATTATTTCACAAAGCCTAACACAACAGGAATATTTTCATTTCTTAGTTGCTTTTTACAACTCCACATGATTGTACATCACATCCATTTATTCTTTCAAACCTAGAGGGTTTCAGATTTTTATCGTTACATACAAATCCACCTCAAAATCAACCAATCTGCAACTTGTTTGTGTGTTTGAGAAATAAGTAGAAAATGTTTGTGCATTATTTTAGTGTGGGAACATTTGCTGCTTAAAGCCCCCTTAAGAGAGCCCCCTCAGAACAGACTTGCAGTTCCTCCTGGCACAGTAAGCTTTTAACAAACTTACCTCGTTTCTACTTCAGGGGGTCCAACATTTGAAATTGCTGGAAAGACTGATCCTCTACTTTAACTGTATTCCTTCCCTTGAAGAAGTAAAAGTGTTGTTCAAGCTTCCAGCTTTGAGGGAACTGGATCTCAGGCTCAACCCTCTGACCAAACTTTACCCAAAGTACCGCCCCTATCTGGTGCACGCCATGCCAAATCTTCGCAAATTAGGTAAAGTATTGTCATAATGTATTGATTCCCTTAATAAAAGCCTGTTTCTTTAGGAACCAGATTTGAGGTCTGTTTTCATGCTGAGTATAACATGGATCCTGTTTCTTTTCAGATAACTGTTCTGTCAGAGACACTGAGCGAAAAGCTGCTATTATGCAGTTCTCCTCTGATCTGCCTCAGCAGAAGAGCTCTGCTTTGAATCAGGCTGCTGAGCAAAGGTACCATCATTGATTGTTGGAAGCTGGATTTAATGAGTTTAGCTCAACTTAATAATTGAGAGCAATTAAGAGTAGGGATGGGAATTGATAAGATTGTATCGGTAACGATGCCATTATCGATTCTGCTTATCGATTCAATTCTTTAACGATTCCTTCAATGCCTTTCTTTGATTTAAAAAAAAGTAGATGATAGGTTTCTAACGTTCACTCAAAATTATATTGAGTCTCTGATAACAGAATAAGATGTATGAGTCTAAAAATAATCAAACGACAAACTGTTTGTACAGTATTTACTTCGGTCGGTATTAAGTCAAATACATAGTACATTGTTAAGTCTGGCGTGCATTATGCTTATGTTAACACAGGACATACATACCTTACATGCCGTGCTGAGACGGAGCAGCAGTGGCTGACGACCAGTGGAGAGCATCAAATACATGTGACTCCTTATATTTGATGCCATGCCCTGTTAACAAATGTTTAAGCATGTTGCTGGTGTTTCCATCTTTGCATGTTATCACTGCTCGACAAACATTGCACGTTGCGCTGTTATCGTCTTTCTTGGTAAAATGAAGCCACGCTTGAGATAGTTTCTGCCGACTTTTCGTACCGTCCGCCACGTTTTTTTTCTCTGTCTCTGTTCTCGTTCACGTGGACTGGCACTCGAGAGACCGTTTTTCAAAGCACCCGCAAGAAAGGAATCGTTAAGGGAATCATGAAGATGAAATTTAAGTTATGTTGACGGATTGAATCATTTAGAACCGGTTCTCAACAAGAACCGATTCTCGATTCCTGTCCCTACTTAAGAGCACTGAAAAAAATCAGTTTTGAGGGTTTAGAAACTTGAAAATGAAAAAGAATCTTAGAAAAAATGTTTTAATTTGGAAATCATTCTATCACACTGCTCATCTGTCTTTACAAATGCACATCACTACATTTATTTACCCTTTTGTCTAATAGTTCTGCTGTACACTTAACTTTTGCTCCTCTGTCTTTGCCTGTGTTTTTCCAGAGGTAGTAATAAGAGACTGGCTTTGGTTGACCGCATCACTAAGAGGCTCTCTCTTGTGACTGACACAGATGATATTGTTTTGAATTTTGCTGAAAGGCATCAGAGAGATGTAAATGAAACTCGGCCCCCCTCTGCTTCAATTCAAAAGGAGGCAGATGGTAAGAAGAAAACTAAAGAGTGAATAAATAATCTTCAACTCAAAATCAAAGTAAGAGTTATTCTACTTCCAGATTTACATTAATTTACTCTTTTTGTGTCAGACAACAAAGAGGAAGACTCCAAATATTTCACAGAACAGAGAAGTTCGACTCCAATACAGGTCGTATTTACTTTACTTTTGGTAAGATAATATTAACAGTCGATACACTTGAATGATCAGATATGCTCATTATGTGTTATTTCTTTTATAGGAAACTGCTAAATCTATCCTCAGGTATCCTCCAAGGCATTATGGTAGGTTATCTCAGAGTCAAGTAGCAGTGATGAGTTTTCTTTTTAAGGTGGATAGAAATGGTTGGTGCTAGACTTGTGGCTCAAAAGTCATGTAAGTATTTAGACATCAGACAGACCTTTTTGCATGAAAAACTCATCAGTCATCAGCAATTACTGCAAGTGGAAGTATGCACATTTAAAATTTCATTTAAAATCTGTGATGTAGATTTGTTGAATAGAGTGGACAGATAGAAAACAAGTTCATTTTGTGATAAAGGGAAACTGATCAGTGGCTTTCTTTTTCATTGTTAACAATTCATCAAACCACCACTAGATGGTGACAGAAGCCCATTCTTCCTATTAGGTGTTGTTTTTATCATGAGGACAACGTCTCCATCGAAGGTTATTTCATATCATTTTATGATATGGTATTTGTTATTGAACAGATAAAACAGAGTCCAAAGTGCCACATACAAAAGAACAACCTCACGAAAAAAGCTCGACCACTTTCAGCACGACTGAAAGACCAAAGGTGTCTTTTGGCCCATATGTGGAGAAACACAAAGAGGCGCCTGGAAAACAAAAACAAAAGGACAACACAAAACAAAGCAGACACGTAGCCCGGGGACATTTTACCCCAAATCCTGGTAAGAGCTGAATGTCTGTACGGAGGAAATAACATCCACAAATACCTCATTTGATTGTCTTGAAAATTAATGAAGCTGTTTTTTTGTGGAAAATTTCTTTAGATGAAAGTCGCCCTCGCAGTTCTTCATTTATTAATATCCGGCCTCCCAGTCCATATCGACATGGTTCAAATCTGTCTGATCCTTCCAACCCCATCATACACCCCCCAAGGCTGACTTATTCCAGCTTTAACAAGACAGAAGGAGGCTCCAGGCTGCTGCAGCAAAAGGAGAATCAAAAACGGGTGGGAAGTTCTCTGTATATCTACAGCCTGTATCAATATTTGTGTACTTCCTTTCACATACCAAACTATCTCTGATTTCATTCCCCAGGGTAGTTATCGGAAGCCCCTGGAAATGCTCCTCAACCTCGTGGACAAACACTGGACAGGGGAGAGGTCGCTGCATCATAACAACAACTTCCTGTGTGAGTTTGGTTTGGGATATGTGGTATCAGATACAAAAGGCCAGAGATAATAAATGTCCTCTCATCATTTCTATTTTTGGCTCCAGCTCAGGCAGTCCAGATTCTCTCCATGATGGAAAGTGATATTTCCAGTCGGGAGGCCGAGGTCAGGACCTTAAGACGGGAAGTTGATGTACTGAGCTTTCAGAGAGCTGCAAGAGAGGAAGAGCACAAAAGTGAAGTCCGTAACCTCTCTGCTCAGCTTGAGGAAGCTCGCGGTGCAGTTGTGAGTGGACTTTCAACAATATTTGGCTTTTGCTAGCTGTCATGATCACCCTTTGTTTACTTTCTTTTCTCTGATTGACGCAGGGCAAACTAAATGAGCAGCTGAGAATTGTGTTGGAGGACAATGTTGCACTGCAAAAACAACTTATTAAGTTGGAACGACAATACCTCAAGTCTATGATGAAAAGTTCGCCCATGACTCAGATTAGAGGTGGGTGTAAATGCCAGGAGTGAACATTTAGCTGTTTTCCCTCTCATACTCTTCTTTTTTTGTGCTTGCACATCTTTAGAGGCTCAGACAGAAGTGGAGGAACTGAGGAAGGAGATCGAGGGGTTGAGGGAGAAAGTGAAGGTGGCGGAGAGTGTGAAGGAGTTGTCAAATACACTTCAAGAAAGCCACAGGTAAAGAAGATACAACCACGTTAGTGTTGTTGCTGCTGTATCTACTCGCTCACAGCAATCATGATCACACACCCAGAGAATCCTTTCTTGACTGGTTGTCTGTGATTTGTGTCTGTGTATGGCTGCAGGTCCCTGGTGGCTGCTAATGAATGCTTGGGAGCTGAGCCAAAGGGAACTGGGTAACTTTGAAAGAGAATTTGAATGAAGAGACGCACACCAGGATGGAAATATTAAAGCAAAACATCGCTGAAGGACATATTAGCATTGTATCTGCTGTACAATGCCCAGCAGCTAGATTTTTTAATTTATGTCCCTGTAGTTTACATTTATTTTTTGTGGGAATTGGGTCCCCAAACCCTGCGTGTTGATTGCATGTTATATTTGTTTACATGCAGGCTTAGATGATCTAAATATTCACAGGAAAAAGTAATTCATTCAAGAGAGAATTGGGGTGTGATACCGTCAAAGGGCTGTTATTGTAATTCATCATCATGAGGTAAATTTGAGCGAGGGGGTTTGAGGGGATTTTCTGGAGTCAGTTGTGTCTCTCTCCCATGTTTTTAGGTCACTCGTGTCTCCATCTGCTTTGTACGCTGTAGTGGAATGAATGCATGTAGACTCCAGCTGCACAGTGACTTTATTTATACCCCAGCCTTAGGGCTGGAGAGCTGCACGCTTGCACACTTTCCTCTCATAGCCGCTAATGCAAAGACCTGGCAAAGCAGGTTAGAGTGCGGATGCTTTTACTTGAACTGAATGTAGATTTTTTTTTATCTTTATGTGACTGTTACAGGTCAATGATAGGTGCTACTTCACCAATTCTGAAAAAGACAGGAGAATGTAAAATTTTGACAGACACCCTGTAACCTACTCTCAGTACAGGTTCCTGGGTGTGTTTTTTTTATTTTCAATAATGCACTACAAATCTCGAGCACACATTAAGAGGCCTAAAGAACAAGAACAAAACACACTGCATGCACTGGGGCACAATGTTACATTAAGAGTTAATAAAAAAACATACAGTATTGTTCCTCCACATTAAAGGTGCACAGTATTTGGCATTAAGCACAGAAAATAGATCATACTTGAGCTACTGCAGCGGACAAAAACCAACACAACGATAGCTGCTAGTTGATGCACGATTCTTCATCAGCTTAGGCTACAGGTAGTGTGTGACATTTGTTAAACAACCACTGTCACCATGTTGGAAAAATATTCTACAAAAGTATTTTACCTGTTTGCAAATGCTCCCTTTTTCTTGCGCTGTATGTAAGAATACAGCAGTACAAGCCTGTGTTCAGTTGACTTTGTGCTATAGATGACTCACCACGAATACTCCAAATCTTCACCAACAGACAAAGACATTAGCGTCGGAGTAGCTGACTTTGTACATGTACAGGTTCATACATATTGATTTCAAGCAAAATAATCATGATCCTACAGTTTTGATATTTTTTTTTTTTGGCAAGACAATATTCTCTGTCCAGTAGTTTGTTCTTACTGCAGGCACAGCAGTTCAGATAAAAGATATGCCGAGCTCCTCCTGTCATCTAAATGCTTCTGAATCAAATGCAAAATACATAACATGCACAAACTACAGCAATACAGATTAAAAAAAAAAACATAGCCAGTGTCATAAATTAAGCCATGTGGCTATAACTTTTTAGAATATACACAATCTTACCACAAATATATTAGAACTACTGTATATAAATCTGATGAGGAAATATAAGTCAAATGTTAAAAATACAATCTTAGACAACTTTGCTCGTCTGTCTGTGGTTAGAGCTTCTGTTTTCAGCTGAATTGACCAATTTCAAATTGAAAATGCCTGTTAGCATAAAGATCCATATGTAGGTAGACAGGAAAGGATATGAATGACAACAGATTAAGAGAAAAAAGGGGGTTCCTGTAGCTCTTTTTTTCCAAAGTGGTAAAACTAGACCTGTTTTTAAAGGTTTACACTGATGGACTTTCGTTTTTCCACTTTTAACATGTTCACAGAAGTAAAAGGAAATGGCAAAAGTCAAGGTTCAGTCTAATAGTGAACTATGTTAATTTTTTTTTTTTTTAATAATTATTAACACTTAATATAATTATTGTACTGGACTGAAAGAAAATTATTCAAATGACTTTTCATGAAGTAATCAAAACAAAGAGCAGATTTGGTTGGACTTCATATGTTAGGATAGCAGACAAACATCTGACACTTAAAAAGGAATTAACGGTTAAAAGTTATGGAAAATAAAAAGTCTTCCATAATATCTGTGTCAAAATTGTGTGCCAATTGGTGGCAACTCTTATTTCAACTCTGCAAAACAAGTAAAAATGCATCTCTGCGGCTAAATAAGGGCATAGAAAGATTTCCATTAAAAAGTGCAATGTTAATTCATCAAACTGTTGTCCCACTTTTGTTTTTCTTGGCATGTTGTTTCATTTGTGCTTAATAAATATTATAAGGCCCTATCATAACAACAAAGCTTCGTAATTCATAGCATAGCAGTTTCTCTTGTTTGTTCTCCTCAGTGTTTGGCAGTAACTTGCAATCAAACAGGAATGTACCAGCTGGTGATGACTTTGTAAAAATAGATGTAAACAGTATTCCAGTTCTCACACTTCACGAAGAGAGGAACACAAAAAACTCTCTCTCAGACACACACACGTACACACATAAAATAGATGGGTGGGAAAATAGATGAAATCCTATTCTTTTGTGCTTTCTTTGAGAACTCTTTTAATAGAAAACTATCCTAGTAGTTGATCAAGTGTTTATTCCTCATCCTTTGATCTCACATGGGTTTGCCCACTGTGGGTTTATTCACTTTCTTTTCGTATGACCCTCGATGTTTGTATCCAGAGACGTATCCTGAAGTGTCAACTATGTCTTCTCGTCCTGCCTTACCCTTCCCACGCCCAGTGGTGGGATCAAAACGCTCCTTGTGCGACCCTGTAAACTTGGTGGTGTCCGTGAGACGGCTCACGGTTGGAGAAGCCACAGCCCTCTGTAATGACATTTGAATCTTGTTAGGATGATCACAGTCTTACTCTGACATCATGATATGAGGGGTAAGCACAAAAACAGTTTTAAAGGAATGGTCCATTTGTTAAAAATAGGGGTTGACTGAGTTCCTTGTCAGTATAGTAATATGCCCCTTTGCTGAAATTCAGGCCAGGGTACCATCACAGGAGTGAGTCCATCAGCTGTTACAGATGGAGTCAGCTCTGGGACATGATTTGGCGAATTAAATGAAAGCCAAAACTTTGAAGTCAGTGTAAGTTAATGCTCTACTCTGAAAATTCTCCGCTCTTCCTCTGGTGGTGGAGACATGTAAACTGTAAGTCCATGAACAGAAGTATACCGTATCAAAAATGGCTACACTGTTAGCTGTTGAAGAAGGAGACTGAGCTGAAATACTCTAGTACTCAGTCACGTCGATAATGTTCAGCCTTTTTTGCCCTAATTTACGTTAAAATGAGATGCACAAATATCAGCATGTACAGTACATTAAGTGCACAAGGCAAAAGCAAAGTACGTTATAGACCCCATTAGCTGATCAGCACACTGCAGGCCCAAAACAGGGATGTATTACTTCTGAGATTGGTGCAAAAACTAATGGGCTTCTGGCGGCCAAATAATGCACTGAAAGTATCTACATAGTCTGTACACAGTAACACTGACATTAATGTTCAAGTCTTCGTAAAGTCAGCTGACCGCGTCTGTAACAGTTTAAGGCTTAGCTCCTCTGATGGTTCTCCAGATGGTTTCTCAAACCAGGGGCCAAGCTCTCTGGCATCCCCTGGAGTTAATAGATCGACTACTGACAAGTACCTCACATACCCCACTTAATAAATAAAAAACTTTCTATAACTTAATGCTGCTTTGTTTCAGGAAATAAAGTGCTAACAGTTAAGTTGCATAGCAGATAATGATTTTATCATTTTTCAATCAACAAATAAGACAAACAAGCTGTACTTCAAGTCAGAGCAGCACACGGCCAAAACATGACTGTGTCTAGAATAGACAATATGCTGTCATTTCTGCCCACTGTGAAATGTGAAGGTAAAAGACCGCCTCTATAGGAGCTGTGCAAGGCATACACAGCTATGACATTCACTTATCGCTTATCTTTGAGTAAACGATAACGTTTGTCAGATAGCTTACAATTTCATCAGCTTACAACCTAAAACACAGCAATAGTTGGATAATTTGGTTTATAAAGTTCGTAATATTCAAGCTTTGAGTCTTACCGTGACTCCAGCAATGACAGGTGCTTTCCCCTCAATCAGCTTAAAGACCTCTGCCTCTGCATCCTCTCCTGTCTTCTCTTTGTATTTCTTCCTGGCAAGCTCTCCCAGGGCAGTCTTGAACTCATCAAACGTGATGTTGCGACTGGATTTCTTCCTGAAATGTTGGGAGAGAAAGAGCTTCAATACTGGATAACATTTCAGACAGTATTCAGTTATCACCCAAATATGCATCTGCTAAGCTCTGTCTTTATATTTACAGTAGCTTTGTTTCATTAGGAGCTCTTCGGCAGAATTTTAAAGCCAAGGGGACAGACTGTAGTGCACACAGTGGGTAGAAATGACACTCCATGTAGAGAGGATATTCATGTACTTCGCGGGAAATCTTTCACTGTTTGGATTTTGTCAGTGTGACTCAGTGCTTGAACAACTCAACAAGCAGACACACACTGACGGCTGAGTATTTGGAAATCTGACCATCCTCTACCTTAGAAACTCAGCTCCAGAAGTCAGGGCATGCAGCTCTGTTGTAACTCTCACTTTATCTTTATCAGTTCTTTCGCTCCGGTTGTTTAACTGATCACATGCCAGTTTCACTTCCACATTTGAAGTGCATAGTAACACAAACACAAACAACCATTGCTGTGGTGATAAATCACCTAAACAACAGCCATTAAAGTCTACAGTCTCCCTAGGCAACCTGCTGTCATAGCAACAAGTTACAGTAAACAAGGGATGTTTGGGTTTATCATTAATTTGACTTATCCAGTGGCCCTTTTTTTTTTTTGTTTGGACGATCCTTCAGTGATGAACATGTGGGAGCTTCATTCCTGTGCGCCTATTCCATGCTGTCTATTGTCAGGGGAAAACTGGACATCCAGCAGCTGTTCTGTCTGAAATCTCTGTATAAGGCTTTAAAAGTCTCCAATTAAACACAACAGTTGATCTGAGAGCCTAAACAGTAAATCAGTGAGAAAGAAATCAGGTAAAGCGTGAAAGCTAGCCTGCTTATTTACAGTGGTTCAACCATCTGTATTATCCATATGGGCATTTGACGCGGTAGTTGCCTGATATTTTTCATGCAAAACTGCTCCCGCCTACTACTGTGCTCAGTGACAAGGAAACACATCCAAAGTCCAGAAAGTGAAGCCCCCATAATCATGCCAGTAATTAATTAGCCCACACCAGATTCCTGCTTCATCCACTTTATTCTGAAGTGGTCTGACTCCAAGCAGGCGGGCTCGGTGTGCTTCAGCAGACTCCCATGCACACAACAAACAAGGATTCAGTCAACCATTCTGTAATCAGCCAGTGCTCATCAGGAGGTTTAATTCTGCAAAGAGCTTTGACACTGATTAAGGAGAAAGTGGATTTCTGCATCTCTGACATGGCAGCCCTGGCTTAGCCATGCCTTGAGTCTGAAACATCATACATCCAAATGAGCCCCTCCCCCAGTCTGCACGCAGATATGAAACACGCTCTGTTCCGATTATCCTCATCAACACATTAAAGTCTTGTTCATATGCACGCTTGATAACCTTAGACACTTATTAGAGCCTGCACGCCTTCAAACAAAGCCTTCAAACTCACAAACCACACGTCCAAGGACAGAGTGTTAAAAAACAAAACACAGATTCACTGTGAAAAGATTCATTACAAAGAACTTGCCAATTAGCATTTTTCTAAATATTGTCCAGCAGTGAAGCAGCATTTAGATAAGTATTAAACCCAAAGTCATCTTTAGGTTACCTCTCTACATCTTGCCAAGAAAAACATTCACATCTGGTGTTGATGCGGGTGTCTCAAAGTCCAGAAAAACAGGGTTACTAATTTGTTTTGCAAAGCACTAAGGTTTGTCAAGTCCAACATTAGAAACAAGTGACTAGAACAGCAGCACAACCCCTAAAGGCTTTTTCTTGTTCAATGCCTATCATGAAAACATGCAGCGTAAAAGGACTCATTTTTATGCTGCAGTCTGTTTATTTATTTTGCAGAGTTACAGTCTGCAGCCAACACTTATTCTAAATCTGTTCTTTGACTCCATCCGTGATGGTGGTGGGCTGAAGTTGAAAACCAACTCCTGCCAAAGAATTATTCATTTCTGCTGTAAAATGTTTTATGAGTTTGTTTAGTTAGAATTTATGATAATTTACTTTGAATTACTTTAGTGTTTCTTTTTTTTCAACTCAATATCTGAAAACACAAAGGGGGCTTATAGACCCTGCAGTACTGCATGTTTTTAATAGTTTTACTGAAGTACAGTCCCATGTCTTGAATACTGAAGGATCCGCTTTGAAAATATTTTGTCCTTTCTGAGCACTTATGTTATAAAGACAGGAATAAACAGTATTGAACAGAAAAATAACACAAAAAACATCTTGGAACCTCCAGTATAAACGTGTGTATACAAAGTGACTTAGATGAAACTATGATTACACACCAGCAGAAGATGGAAAATCCACTAAATCAATATGAGATTTCCAAGCAGACATTTTTTTTACGGCTTCTCCTGTAACAGGACTGGATGAAAAGTGGCCTCAAGCCAAACTCCTCTATTCTGGTTCTGTGTAGCAGAACAATCTTCATTCAAAACATTTAACCAGCAGGAAAAAGACTCAAAGCTGCTTTGAGTTTAAATGACAATCTCTATAATAACCATGCAACAAAAACTCCACCATATTTTGTATCTCCTTTCTTGCACAAGCTTCACCTCTTGCTGTGTTCAGTTTCTGTACTGCATTTTGCCCAAATTAGAAGACTTTACAAGCTGAAGAGACCCTGACTCTCATCTGTCCACCTGTCCAAACAGTCTGACTCTTAGTTTGCTGGTCAAACATAAGCACAGCTGTACAGATGAAAAGTTTTGCTTCTTGGTTGAAATAATATTGAGGTCACAGCTTATTATTAGACTCTACTTAAATCAAGCCGTAAAGGGTGAATCAGACTAGCCTGGAGGGGTACAGGATGAGCCATGTTGGCCTTTAGTTCTGGCAGCTGTTTGTGATGGACAGCTCAGGCTGAGCCAACTTCATACACAAAACAAAGGCAGCTTACACAATACAGCCAGAAAACACTAAATTCAATAACCACAGAAAATGTGCCTTAGAGTATTTGTTATCACAATTAAACAGATTTAACCAGCTTCATTTGTTTTGCTTTAAATTAACACAGACATCATTGAAACATGTTGTTGCATTTCTAAACACCGTCTCTTTAAACAGATCCACTGATTGAATCGTCTGTAAACCGGTGAGATAAACTTGAAATATTCTCTGCGGTTCAGTCCTTCAGTTCAGAGACAGTCTGAAATATCCACCGCTGTGTTCTTACAACCACAATACTCCCCTGACTGCAGCACTTAAGTGACCTTTTAGGCATGCTGATCTGAGTGACTAAGTCTGTTGTCATCCTCGCTGCTGTCTTAACAGAACACAGTCCTGTGGAGGCATGTCTGTAACGAGATCTTATCTGGCTCAGATGTTGTCAGATTTATTAAGACAACTAAATCAAACTTTTGCAGCTCAAACAATCTAAAAGACTCCGCCACTGACGGCACAATTCTTTTGGATCTTTTCTTACTTGACTTTGCTGAAGACAATGTCCACGTCGGTGAGGGTAATGTTCTTGCCGTCGATCACGCCACAGTCCTTGCACAGCTTGGACCAGTTCTTGCCATGCATCTCCTTGCCAGTGGCACGAGTGTCACCGTGGATGGCGAAGCGACGAAATGACTCTTCCAAAGCGGTCAACTCTACCGGTGTGGATGAGCCCATGCCTCCTTCACTGGTGCCATTAGACTCAGTTGAGAGCCTTTTGGACGTCCGGTCTCTAGACTGGTCATTGTGCGGTCGCATTGGGACTGAGCTCATGTTGGGGTGCTTGGCCGTCTGGACTTTAAAATCATCTATGTTGTCTCTGAGAGGGAAAGAAATACGTCTTGAAATGATCATCCATGTGAGGTGTTTGAGGCAGCTTGGATTACTCATGGATACTAAACTCTTTGGGACTAAATAATCTTTATATAAACACAACTGTGAAGATACATTTAATAACATCACATAGTTTCTTTCAAAACTGCAGGACAAGCAAATAGGTAATCAATTCAACAGATCCAAGGACATCTAATCACACCCTTTGTACTCAAAAAAGGAGAAGAAAAAAAACTATCTTTATTTAAAAATCCTTTTAATCCCAGTCCTTTTCTGCGAGGCTTGCAACGGAAAAAAGAAATTCTGGAGAAAGTAAACATTATGTCATGTCTGCAGGTCGAGACACAGCCTACAACTTTGTCTCTTTTTGTGTAGTCCTCTTGGGTTTCAGGCAAGTTCAAACTGTCCAAAGTGAGGTGTGTTTCTGTGCTCAAGCTGCCTGTGAATGGGCAGATGTGTTTCGTGTTCTGGCGCAGAGGTGAAGGATATAAATAGATCTCGGTGGAATTCAAAGGCACACAAATCAAGATCTGCACCTAACACAGAAAAATCTCAGTGGAGGTTCATGTGCTGATGTGAGGAAACTTACTTTTGGTCTGCCATTCTGGTGCAGGAGTTTGTTTCCTTCTGTGCGGTGCCTGGATTCGCTGACTTTAGTTTTCTCTTTGTGCTGTAGAGGAGATGAGAACGGAGGTGAGGAATATGTTTATACATACAGTGTGTTAGTAAAAGAATAGATAAAAAGGACACAAATCACAATAATGAGCTCACTATTTCTGCCAAACATACGATTACACTCCCTCCTATCACTCTGAAATTATTTGTATTATCTCCGACTTCATGTCTGATCTAGTCTGAAACTCAGCAACATAACAGCATTTCAGAGAAGCCTCTAGTAACCACAACTCCACAAGAAACAGTCTTTGAATTCCTTCCAGATCATCCCCTGCCTGTCATTAGATATTGTTTGTCTTCAGAGACACTTGCTCCAAAAACCACTTCACCTCCCTCCTACTCAAGATGATGATTTCATTTAGCCTCAGATTCAGACGAAGTTCAGGGATTCCTCTCCAAGAACATCATCCTTACCACATCTCTATGTACACACCGGCAGCAATTCGTTAGCTTAGCCTCATAACTTGAACCACATCTAAAGTGCTTATCATCATTCATTGAACTAGATCAACATACAAAGGAGCAAAAGACTGCTGTAGTGCTTTCTCTGCTAAGATCGTGTAACCCTGCTCCACATTGTCAGCAGGTGATGGTGCTCTGCTCACCTTTCAGCTGTTCCCATACTCAGCGTAGCATCCTTGAAGGACGTGTGTTGTCAAAAAACGCTCCAGTAAACACTCTAAAATTATCTACTTAAAGTCTTAAAGCCTGGACAGTTTTCAGACAAAAAAGCAAGATGCAAACCAGAGATGTGCTGTCTGCTCAAGCTACCGGTGTTTCTCAAATCTCTCGAGTCGCCAAGTAAGAGCGTTCACTCACCCCCAGTGACACCATGCGAAGTGATGGGTTTTGTCTCTACGACCTTGTGGCCAACAACCACGACCGTGACCTCGCTAAGTAAGGTTGACCCTCATATTGGTACAAAGTCCCCAGACTGACACAGCATAAGCCCATTATCACTGGGATGTGAATTCTTAAGGGAAAAAAGACGAGATTATTAATGTCCATGAATAATCGCATTCAGGGCAGCACACACTGGGATCCTATTGTCTGACACTTGTGGCTCCTCTGTCCGACCCATGCCCATTTCTTCACACATACACGCAGAGTGACATCGCAGAGTAACACTATTGATGGAGGAGAGTTTGTAGTCATATGTCATCGAGGGCTCAGGCCAAGTCAACCCAGATAGAGGTACTGAGGTTGTTCAGGCCTCAGTCTTCTATTACCAGCAAACATCATATAACTTGGTAAAAATGTAAAATATCCTTTTATATTACACTAAAACGCCACTGAAGAGCAGATGATAAAGGTAACCACTCCAAATGAAGGGAATTTGTAACTTAACCACTGTATGCTCAGTTTTTTGTGTGTCTGTGTGCGAAACTGTTGACTGTTGTTGAATTGTTGCAGTAATACTTTAACGCTGGTCCCCGAGACGACTAAAAGGAGACCATTAATTGCCTTTTCCATGACGAAAGTGTCATGTTTTCTAATGAGATCTAAAGTCATGAAAAAGTATCTAATCTGTACAGTCAGAAAAGAGCTTGGTTGTCATGAAAAAAATCAATTATCAGATTTCCTCACTATCAGTGACAAAAATTCTCTCACCAAAAAAAATGGTATGATCTCAGACTGTATCTGTCTTTAAAAAGAGATAAATCAGAGCTGTAAGAAATTGTTTTTTTGTGGTCAAAAATGGGCAAAATTGATTTTTCTTTGCAGCTCGCAGTGATCAATGGTTGTGCATCAGCTGAATACACTTTATTTCATATTGAAGACCCCCCTCCCAAAAAAAAAACAAGATGTCAGATGAATTGATAGTTAAACTTCATTTAAAGGGCTTCAAAAGCCTTTTTCCACATTTATACAGATATTATCAAATGTGATATTATGCAAACTCAATTTTATATCCAAAAACTCCTAAGAAGTCAAAAAAAGTAGCCTGTAACATTCACACTAAAGGGAACGTCTCACTCTAAAACGTGTAATACCTACGTTGGTCCTCTGCGCAAAAGGTAGTCATTTCACAAAAACGGATCTGAAATTGTGACATTGTTTTGTTACATATGCCAAATCTTTTCTGCTGGAAGACTTTGGCTGGAGTGGGGCAGTTAATGTTATTGGTCTTCTTATCTTTCTGAACCTTTGGCTGCATTGAAAGCAACACTTCTATTGATGATTTTCATTTTTTTGAAGCTCAGATTAATGGCTACCGCCTTAATGCCAGAATTCTCTACTACTCAGATGTAAACAAGCACAGATGACAGGCAGCATCTTTTAGTTTGGCAGTATTTTGATCCAGGAAAATGACAATCAAGTTTCATGTCTACTGTGTCTTGTTTATGTCCCAGGGGCAATATGTACCAGTGAAGGCATGTGAATGTTAACCTGAAAGGAGGACTGGCGGCAGGTGGTGCTAGCTCTGCTAACATGCTCAGCAAGCAAGGTGACTGTTCACAGCTGTTGACCTGTTCTCAGCTGTGTAAAGTGACTCTTTTCAGAGTGATTCTTTACCTTTTGACTGGTTACTAAGTCTTCAGTGGTTTTGATCATTTCTGTTTCACACTCTAGCATCCTTTAATGCCCAAACTGGAGCTCCATCATTGACTTTATTTTTAATGGGGATCCACATCCTTTCGAATAGATCTGCCTCTTGCTATGTGTGTGTTCCTTTGTGTTTCAATGACAGCAGTCAAATCAGAGAGAAACAAAGGAATCTTTTCATTCCCCTCCTCCAATTTGCAGTCAGTGATTTCAAGGGCCTAAGTCTACAGTAGAACAAGCTCTTCAAACCACATCATGTTCAACAGTGAGAAGTCATTATCACTGTCTGAAGAGAGGAACACATACAGAGACGAGAGGGAATGTAGAGTTCTGACAGCTTACTTAATCGTTATCGTTATAGAATATATGGATCAGGAACTATTTAGCTTTATAAAGCTATCTGATAGGGTGATGTTGACCAAATGGCTTCTTTGATATCGAAATGCGACCATCATTTCATTTGTCCAGAGCCTTTTTTCTGCCCCACTTTAAAGCGAAAAAAACGAGAAGCCATTTGGTTAAGGGCAGATCTCCAGAGACAAATCTGCGACTGGATGACAGCATGCTTACATACACTCGCCTTCTGGCAAAACACAGCACAGATGAGTGCTTTAGCTATAAATTGACCCATTTTGAACTGCATCTATTCATAGCAACAATACACTGGAACATTCTATTCATTCTCCAAGGAGGAGATCAGCCAGTAGACGACGACGCGCAGTCTGAAACACTCAAAACAATAAATTTTGTGTTTCACTGTTTGTTTGGCAGATAGTGTAACCTGCAAAATAATGGCAGAGGGTGATGTGATGTGTGAGAGATAGAGAGAGTGGAGAGAGAGCAGGAGTGTTTAACAGCAGCCTCCTCTCCTCCAGCATGCCATCGTAGTGCGTGGGCACACAGAGATCCCATCTGGTTCTTATCTGGATCAAGGTAATTTCCAGTCAGTCAAAGCCATCATTAGCACACTGAAGACCCCCACTCTGCCCAGGACTGACCTCCATCTACAGTACACCATGTCTGTCAGCGCTCTGATTTAAGTAAATAACATCTGTTTTTTTTTTTTTTCAAAACACAAATAGTATCAGTTAGCCATATAGCTGCATAAATCACGCGTCCTTGTATCTTTATTCCGCGGCCGACAATAGTTCAAGCAGTTTCATAATTTACATCTGTTTCATTTAGGTTTTCTAAAAACTGCACTCCTCTCTGGTCTCAGAAGGTTTTTGGCATAAAAAAAAAAAAACATTTTTATGGTCAATAAAAACCAGTGGGTTAGGTCTAAAACTGCATCTGAAAGAAAACATACTGTGGGAAATAAACATTACATTTTTGGTTGTAGTTGTTTGATGGGACTTTGTCTATAATAACACAGATAAGGCAGACATTTCCTTTGCCATGGTCCCAACAAAGATTAAAGATTCCACCTCCTCGAAGCACTTAATCCGACATATTTACCATTTTGAAGTTTGGCCTCCACCTCTAATCTCCTTAAACATAGAAGGAAACTTCATACTGCAAGCTCAACAGACAGCAGTTCTCTATTAGCTGATAGCATCAACTATATTAAAATCCAAAGCCAATCATCTAAAATGGATTTATAGATTGTACATTCTAATCATATATTGTTAGCTCACATACCATTTCTATGTAAAGTTAATCTCCTCGATGACAATGCCCACTAAACTGTCACTATACATCTCTGGAAAAAAGGGATATTTCACCATTTCTGGTGAAACTGCTGCTATAGCCATGCTAATCCCTTCATGGGTCATCATTGTCAACAAGCGTGCCACAACTAAACATGCCTGTATTGTTTTCCTGAAGCAACACAGATTCTATGACGAGGAAAAAGCTTACCAGCTCTAAGTTTTGATGGGTCTGCCAAATGACAGACATGAAATCTGGCCGATCCATCTGCTCTGCAAGGGTAGCAGAACAGATGAAGCAGTAACATATGAATAATTGGTACAAAATGCACTGATTGGAGGACAGAGAGGGGTTGTGGGGCCCCCTAAAAAAACTGTATCAATGTTTTTGAAGGTACAAACTTAACAGTTGTTGGTTGATACTTAACATGCAACACAGGAGCTTCTTGAACTGTTGCTTTACTGACAGGGGGAGTAAGCAAGGGAGCATTTCTATCCAAAATCTGAACACCAGATATTGCTAAATATTCCCATTTCTACTCACTGTACCTTTAACTGCTCTGTGAGTCAAAGATCTTGGCAAGCATTGTGCAAAAGAAAAGCAAGATGTTTGAAACAGGCTACAGCGGTTATTGTTGGCAGCAGTAGCAGCAAGCCAAATAGAGGTATAAAGGCAGAGTGGAGAAAGCCTGGGGGTCCTTATGCAACCCCACATTTAGAGGAATACATGATGGAGCACAAGTGTCCCAGACGTGGCTCAGATGGAGAAGGCCTGTGTCGCCAGCAGCACATTAGCTCTAAACAGGGTCCGGTTTGAGATTCAAGAAGCCAGACTGTGTTGTATTATGTCTCACTTAATAAGTTAAGATTACTCCTCATGTACTGTCTTGGAAATGCCTTCTTATTTGACTGTTTCTCTTGTTCAGGTCAATACGAATGAACAACTTTCCTTTTATCATGTGCAGCTACGACAATGCCATCAGAATACAACACTTCATTCTGCCCACGAACATTTGCTTTATTTTGTCAACCTGACCTGAATGTGAGTCATCACAAACAAAATAGGGTAATTTTCACTCTGAGATTAATTGTTTGTGACAGAACCCGAAGGCTTGTGGACCAATGCAGTGAAAGCTACAACAGTGAAAATCTGGGACAAACTCAGTGAGTGTGTCTTCTCCTCATGCATTCATAATCCAACCTATGGGGAGCAAATGCAGCTATTAAACCATTCACTGAGAGGATATACACATATTGTCTTTGTGAGGTACAAGTAATCAAAATAAGGTGATCTTTTTAGCTCATAAAATAGATTTTAAGTGTTATTCTGATAGGTATCTCATTTACTAGCAGTACAAAACAATCCAAATATGATATTTTTACTCAATTCCTCATCTTTAAGAGCTTAACTCACAAAGACACAAGCCAATAAAAAGGGCAGAATTTTTTTTTTTCATGCATAATTATGTAACTCCTTATATGAGACTTCAGCTACAGGTCTCAGGCGTTGTCAATCATACTTTGTAACCAATAATGGGGGATATTGGAGAGCCCTCAGCTGTGGCTCCCATAGAGCCCCTTTTTAAAACATAAACAGAAGGAAAAAAAGCGTATGTTTGTGTTACTGGAAGTGGCTGCAGCTGCTAGTGTGTCTAACCGAAACATGTTACATAAACCCGCAAATGCCAGATTCGGTCAGAGTCCACGTGATTCGTTTGTTATTGTCAGACCCTGATGCATGTAATGCCACTCCAGAAAATGTCATTACAGGTGAAAGCACTGTCGTGTTTTCCTTTAGTGTCACGCATCCTTGTACCTTTAAATGCAAGTTATGGTGCATTATTCCAATAAAGTGAGCATGCTATGACATAAAATCTGAATATTTAAAGCATCCACAGATCAGCTGGATTTCTGTAGGCTGTCATCGAATTACTCGCGTCAGAAAAACATGCATAAACAATCTACGTGTTGCATCTACTTCTATAGTAACCTTTAATTACCTGGTGTCGAAATCCTTCACCTCCCAGTTCGGTTCACAAAAGCATAATTGCGCGTCGCGGTGTCTTGAAGCCTTTCTCGTCTCTGCTCTGCTCTGTCTGCTCGGTGCAGTCCCTTCGAGATGCTGAAGAGAAACCAGCCCGCTGATTGGCTGCCGCCCTTGTGCGCGAGCTTGTTTTCCTCCTGCCTCGTTATTGTGGGCTGTGGTGGTGTTTCGGTGCTCAGTGGAGCGCTGATAAACAAGCACTAGGAGCTCTGAGCATCTTATTTTAGAGCCCACAGAGGCGGAGATGGAAGATGTAAACAAAGGACAGGAACGGTTGGTTTTACATGGGGGATCTTGGTTGCTCTAACAACCAGCCAATGTGGAGTCATGTAGCATCAGAGAGGCCAATGGTCGCTCACAACAGGAATAAATATGTTTTCTGAATGACTGAGCCATAATAATCCTGTCTTTCCTCCAACGTTGGGAGTCTTGGTGGATTGGTTGGGCAGGAACTCCTCTGAGGACCACTTTTCATAAACTGTTAGAAATCCGCAGGAAAAAAAAGATCTGAAAGTCTCTAAAATTAATGTCTCTTATTCTAAGGCATGTATCTTGTGTGATGTCCAGTGCAGGGCAGTGTTACACAATCAGTAGTAGACTGCTAGCTGGACATGAAGGGCCTGTTATGTAATCCCCATCATCGTTGATAGTTCAGATGATATAGTAGTTCCGAGCTCTCAGATTTTTAATACAGAGACAAGTGATAAAAACACGCATGCCTGAGAGTAAAAGACAGAGCTGAGAACAGGGACAGAGCTCGTCATGATGAAAGCAGCCTGGACTTGAGAGTAATCACTGGATGACATAATTGTCCATCTAAGGCCGCTCCAACTGCGCCATCTAGTGCTTGAAAGTATCCACCACTATGAAATGAAGCTGTTGCAAAATTGGTAATGACATCATGCAATAGGGGAGAGTGGGGTAAGTTGAGCCACCCCCTGTTGCTTGGAAGTAGTAAAAGAAATTGATCATGTGACCAAATATTTAGGAGATGGGCATCAATTCATGGAGTCTGTGAAGGTTAGAAGCACATGGGTGAAGGGGTTAGACATTTATTTACAAAAAATCATTTTTCACTCTTGAAAGTGAATTTAGTCTGTCATAAGTTTGAGGTAAGTAGGGATACGGCTCAACTTACCCCACACACGGGTAAGTTGACCATAGGAGACCACTTTTTTGGCATGCTATATTATCAAGACAATTATGTTTACACTCATTCTGTTGGTTTGCAGGGATGGACAACATCCTGAAATATATGCAGATACACTAGTTAGAGACAAAACGGTGATTGCCTTGATGTAGTGATCCGAAATATGAAAAATGGTTCATCTTACCCCACTCTCCCCTATAAGCAACGTGAAAGGGGACAAACTGAGGATTAATCCTGGGTCTAAAATGCTCATTAATATTCATCAAACTACCTTTCAAAATATAGGCTATAGTAAATAAACTTGGATTAGATTTTATGGCACAAATCTGATAAAATTATGAAATCTGCTGATGTTTTCCTAGAACAAATTTAATGAAAATGAAACCCATGGCTGCAACACTTTATTTGATGCTATGGTGTCATTTGTTTCACCTCTTCCACACAGCTTGAAGCTTCTTTTTGTGGTGGCCATTTGAATGTTTGTTTGTTTTTTAGACATGGCAGACATAAAACACTGACAATAAAAAAAAGCTTGGTACTCAGTAGTACTGAGTGAAACAAACTTGACAAAACAATCATGAAAAGCTAAATAAAAGAAAAAAAACGTAAAAATGGAACAAGATTTGATCTTACTTAACTGAAAAATAACACCAATTTATACAACCATACTCTTTCCTTATAGACAGTATGCTGTAACAGGGGTGAAAATAGTGACTACCATCCTGACACTCTGTCTGACTGAGCTCCTCAGGGCCCTCTACTGGTAAAACTATGTCACAAAACCCTGTGGCAAGTATTCGAATAATATTATTGTATGAATTGAATCTTGCCAATAACTGACTAGACCCTCAGCTGATGACAATATCATCTGACAAAAATAGGTCAGAGGTTAAGGCTTAAAGCCTTTTCCTGATAGAGGCAACTCGAAAAAGCAAAAGCTCCTCCTCTTTCATTGACCTCTGTTATGGCTGGGTTATGGTCCAATTTAGTTGAGGTTAAAATTGAAGGAAAACCCTGAAAGAATAAAAAGACAAGTGTAGTTCGTATCGTCTTGTAAGACAACAGATTGTAGTCTAAATCATTGAATCAAAGAGGAGGCGTAAAAAACATGCATCTATATTTTTTACTTTAAAAAATTAGGTAAAACAGTTGCTGGACACAGTCAGCTTTGTAAAATCAACAATTCATATAAAAAAGGGACAAAGAAGTTTCATTTGCTGCACTCCTTTCTGTCAGGACAATGTACCAACCTGGCAAGAACCTGGCTTTGTTCTTGAGGTAAAATGAAGAGAAGTTAACTCATTTCTGTCAGTAGACTAGACAACCACATAGTTATCAGAGTAAACTCAGGCAATAGGTTTCTGCTCTTTGTGAAGAAGCTAAAACCAGTCTATACTTCCATCCATGTATCTCAGGCCTATAAAACAAAGGTTAACCTGACTCGCTCTCTTTCTTTGTATACACATCAGTGAAATAAAACAATGCTATAAATAATTTCACAATAAATATAAAAAACACAGTTAACACAAACAGATGAAAAGGGGTATAAAACACAATATTGGCTTCAGCTGCACAAAATCGTCCATGGTAAGTCAAGTCCAAAGCAAGTGTTTATGGTCGTGTGGCTCACTTCTTCAAGCATATCTTACAGTAAATTATAAAATGAGCAGGTCCACGAAGCAGAAAGTCCAGGTAAAGTTATGTATCATCTGGAATCATTACTGAGCTGCCCAGAGGATCCTGCACAACAGGAACACTGTCCGCAGACTTCAAACTGACACTCTGAGTCTCTCTGTCAGGCTTCTGGCTTCTCCTTTCAGAGTCCCCTTTTAGAATCAGAAAGAAAACACTCTTTTAATCTAATGTACTGTTAAAGTAGTTCTTCCCTTTACCTTGTGATGCATGATTTTGTATTAAACTTCTGAGAATCATTTTACATTTTTCATGACAGAGTTGAGTGTAGTCAAATACATACTTGTTTTCTCTGTTGGACCATCTGTCCCATAATGAAAGTTGTTCTCCTTTTCTGCTGATTTCTTCAAGTTTTCCAACTGTATCAAAACAGATTCAATGCACATACATTGACTATTTAATGCTTTTTTGATCATTCAAAAGGAGAACTGAGTTGCTTTGCTTACCTCTGTGCATATAGACTCTGAAAGTCGACTTGCGAGTTGGCCTTTATCTTCAAATCTGCAGGAACTGCAGAAAAACAGGTGTTGATTATCTGTTCAGAAATAGCCTCTGTAAGTCTACAAAGAGGAACTGTGACTAATTGAGTATTACCTTGAAGTTTGTGATGACGTTGGTTCACAGTCAGCTGAGCTTGCTTGGTTCTGTTTGAAAGAAAAAATCTTTAACACTCAAATAAATTAACAGGTGAAAGTACAGACATGAAGAAAGTAAGTAAAGATCTCACCTGCGTGGTTTTCTCATCGATTTTTGCATTATTTGAATTTCCTGCTTCAGCGTCTCTGTTTCTGGATTCTTTTTGCCGCTGCATCTTTACATAGTCAAATGTGCTTATGCCTTTGTAAACTGTAGAAGCAAGAGGAGAATTAACACCAGCTGAAAAGAAAAAATAGACTTGAAAAGAGCTTTTTCATGACGGACTCACAGAGGTACAAGTGGAAGCCTAGCAGGTGGATGAAGAGGAGCAGGCAGGTGAAGCTGAGCATGATTGTTATGAAGGCTAAAATAAGAAGACCTGCCGAACTCGTTTTTGTGGGTGCCAAGGGTAAAAACATCAGCCAGGTTTCATTTCCCAATATATCTGTAAATAAAAGGAATAAAAGACCATCAGACAACAAATCACTGCTATTGACATACAATAAAATATGTTACAATAAAAGGAAATAATGAAAAAATATTTTGTGACTCACTGTCAAACTGTGGGGCAGTCCTTAGGCTAGTCGGATCCAGGTAATGCTGAATAAATATAAATAAAATGACAACAACAAGCAGGAAAGCTCCTAGTGTGGCAGAGGACAGTGCGACAAAGAAACACCTGAAAACAGCACACAAAAATATATTCAGAAATGCTCATATCATTGAAACAGAAAGTTGATTTCTTCACTGAAATTTTCTTCTCACCAGTAGTTTCTGCCACCCACACAGGTGTTCAGCCATTTACAATGGTGATCAAAGTCTTCCACACATTTGTTGCAAACTCCACAGTGCTTTACTTTGGGGCCTCTGCAGAAGATTGTTTGTGTTATTACTGCATACAATACTTTAAGTATAGCAAAACAACCAAATCAGAGATGATCATTTTTGGTACATACACCTTGACGTCACATAGATAACAGTGCAGGTCCTGGATGACATGCGGTTGCTTTGCTCGGTCAAAAAGTGGCATTGGGCTGGAATAACTTTGTTTGGCTCTAACACTGGCATCTGCAGGGTCTATAGTTAGAGTAGCAATATGTGTGAGGAGGTGAACTATGAAGGTTATCCCCGTCAGCTGTACATAACAAGAGTCAAGAAAAACAGCATATTTAAAGAAAAATTAGAGGGTTACACAATGAACTAGAATTTCATTATTATCAAGACAAGAACATGATCAAGAAAGAAAAATATTGTCTTAATCCCAATAGATTAAAGAAAAACCTGTATGCCAGATGTGAGGGTCAGCAAGATAAAACAGTGGACAATGGCATCCCACAAAATGGCAAGTGCCTGCAGTTCAGCGACATGTCACAATCAGGCAGTATGCCAGCGGCAGGCAGGCTTGGAGTATCTAATCAGGAGAACATGTAAAACTCCCGCTGGTAGGGCCATAAGGACTCCACTACAGTGACACTTAAGTGTATGGATGGGTACAGGAACTCAGTTTTTAAGACAGATTTCAGTAGAGACAGTAATGTTCTCCAGCAGCCAAACAGTTGCCTTGGTCAGGGAAGGTCTGTATCAAACTGGGAACAAGCTTTACATTCGTTCCATAATTATGTTTACTCCCTGACATCAGCTGATCCCTCCAATCCAGGGGAGTAAACAGGAACTGTGATAAATGGCGTGATAAAAAAGCAATTGTGGCATTAAAAAGCCAGAATGAAATGTGCATATTTCTTTATTTACCTTTTCTAAATACCTTTTCTTTCATTGTGGCATACTGGTGCGCCAGCAATGGGGACACTAGTCCAAAAACCAATGACATGCAGGAGAACTACCAGCATCTGCCTCTGAACATATAGACGTATAGGGTGACATGTACTTACTGCAAACTGTATACAGATAGCAAGGGGACAATTTGACCTAGTGAGTCCCCAATCTTGGGAAATTGAGGCATGTGAAAACTTATAAAAATAAATAAATAAATAACAGAGCTCTCAGGCTGTTGGGTTATATTTTTTGATTCATTCATTTACTGATCAATGTTTTTGCAGAAGCTTATTTTCCCTAAAAGTGGGCATGCTGTTGCACAAAGAGGATCTTATAAGGGAGAATTCTCAAAGTCAGAGTAGAGCCTCAGTTATTTAATCACTGCTGACATCATGCAGTGTTAAACAAGTGACAAAAACCCCACTGATTATGTCTCTGGCTTCATAGAGAGTGCAGAAACAGAAACAAAGTGTGACTGGACCTATACACGCAGCCAACACAACAAAGTCCTTGTCTCATCCAGCAGCACAAACAAAAGTGTGGTAGAGACTATAATGTGGGCTCCATATTCAAATCTGAAAGACCCATTGGTGCACACTTAACGTTCACATACATTCATTCACAGTGAGGCTTCAGCTGTGTGTAAAGGATACGGCGTAGAGCACGTGGTTCCACGGTGGAGGGAGAAGAGGGATGTAAATGCCAAAACTGACTATGGCGAGGTAGCTGAAAAACAGCCAGCCGGCTACTTGGAAAGCCTGAGGTGGCCACGACCAGCCGTTCACTCGGGGAGGCTTGGAGGGAACCAGCTCGTTTCTGCTGCTGCCACGCACAGGAGCTGTGCGCCTTAGCCTTCGATTGAGGCAGTTCATCTAGACAACACAAGGAGAGAATAGACAGAGAACATCAAGTCTCGCTAGAGTAGAGTGAGCTAAATTTGGTGAGGAAATGAGATAGGGAAATGAGTTAAGTATAATGATAGTGACTGTTCAGGCTTTACAAACCTATAGCCTGCCTTGCCTGGAGTTGTTTCAGCTCAGTGTATGGGAACAGGACAGCATTTGTTCATTTCATTAAGAAAACCTCTTTTAAAAAACATCAGTCTTATCGCTCAAATGATCCCCTCTATATTTTTACATCACAAATGTTAGGATACATCCAGGTTATTGCATTAGTATAAGAAAACGTTGCTAGTTAAAGTGGCATTTGTGTAAACTGTGCGTGTCTGAGACAGTAGTAGGTGCCAAACAGAAATGCATCACAGCATAGAAAACAAAGATGGTACTTGTCAAATATCTCTCAGACAACAGCTGATCATGGGTAGACAGATAAACAAAGGGCAACATCCTTTTCTTTGTAAAAGGCCGTGTAATCACATGTTTTGCCTCATGTCTGACACCACAGTGAACTCTGCCAATAGCTTTTGGGATAAATGACAAACGTGGACACAATCAACAATAAGTGGGCTTGAGCGACCAGCCGGTTAAACTTCGATTTATTCATCACAGCTGAAGTCCGAGTGAAACTTTTCACCGGTTACAGAGATAACAAACGTCCTGCTGTTCCTTTAAAACTGTTATGTTGCCTGTTTCCCTCAACTATTAAATCTGTTTAAGCCTTAAAAGACAAGCCATGATAAAAATGACCCATAATAAAGTAGACAACAGTAAACCATCCAAAATTACTTACCTTTCTGTCGTAGGAAAAAGACGACGATAAATGTAAAATGTGCTCCTTTCTAAATAAAAATAAGAGTTTCCACCGCTTGATATCCCATTGTCAGTCAACCTGGCAGGTGCATAATGTTACACCTGTTAAATAATAAAAAAAGGAGTTTAAAGGCGACCGGTGAGCGTGGGATAAGAGAGATAAAAACAAAAATAAAACGCTCAACCGTCCTGGGGGGTTGTGTCGCCGAAAGACGTGAGTCAGAAGTTAAAGAATCAACTCAGCAGGTCGCAGCGGCACTATGGAAACTGATCTACTGCGCATGCGCACTACAGCTCTCCACAAGTGACCCTCCTATTCTGGCTCTTCACGCCAGACTAGGCTTGCTATCAAACTCATGAATTAATCTTCTACGTCCCGAGTTTCCGCAAAACACAAATTGCTCAAAAGTTGTTCCCATGAGAAAAGAGGAATTGTACTTAAGTGATTTAAACACTGCATGATACTTCTGCTTCTTAAATGAAACGTAGTACGGGAGAGTGGGGTAAGTTGAGCCACAGGGTAAGTTGAGCCACCCCCTGTTGCTTGGAAATGGTAAAAGAAATTGATCATGTGACCAAATATTTAGGAGCTGGGCAGCAATTCATGGAGTCTGTGAAGGTTAGAAGCACATGGGTGAAGGGGTAAGACATTTATTTAATTTTTTTTTTTTTCACTCTTGAAAGTAAATTTAGTCTATCATAAGTTTTATTAGAATTGTGTTCAGACTAAAAAAGATAATTTCAAATGTGTTTTATAAATCAATTGTGGTATCTATGAGCTGCAACATGAGGTCAAAAAAGTAAAGGAGTCTGATGAGAGGATCAGAGTTTCGGTTCAGATTGTTAAAATGTTTTACTTTTTCTTCTCAAGAATACAGCTGTGAATGTTCTGAATCACTTAAAGGCATTCTCATGTTAAAATGGCTTTTTATAAAACAACTTTTTAGCAGTGATGTGCAATAATAATGAAAAGTATTATATCAGTTGAATAGCGTATAATAGATAAAAATACACATAGGGAGGAAGTGACTGTTATTTAGGGAGAGAGAAGGTGAGGGAGGGCCGGGGTGGAGAGTGGGGGGATAGTAGGGCTCAATTTACCCCGCTCCTATGGTCAACTTACCCCATACATGAGGTAAGTTGCCCATAGGAGACCACTTTTCCTAGTATGCTATATTATCTAGACAGTTATGTTTACACTCATTCTATTGGTTTGCAGGGATGCACATCTTGAAATATATGCAGATTCACTAGTTAGAGACAAAACTATGATTGCCTCGATGTAGTGATTCAAATGATGAAAAATGGCTATCTTACCCCACTCTCCCCTACTTTGATTTCCAGATTCTCATGTAACTTACAGTAAAGGTAAATATACTCTGCGTGCGTATCACTGCATTATCACTTCCCTATTGTGTCATGACATCCCGCCTCATCCAAAAAAAAGAAACATTGCTCAATTAAAGAAAACTAAGGGGGTTTCCTGCTGCAGCAAGAAAAGATTTTCTGCACACCAACCACAAACCAAGACAGATACTTAAAAATGTTTTTTTTTAGGTAGACAGTGACTTTTAAAGGCCTCTTAGCAGTATGTATAACGAAGTTAAAAGTGATTATCTGCTGATTGAACCACACATTTAAAATAAAAAAGCTCACATTTATTTTACAAGTGTTGCACTTCATTAACAGCATACAGCTACACTACAAACACTCTGTACAATTGTTTGAAGTTGTAAAAACAGGTAAGAAGGTCCTGCTGTCTTCACAGTGCATCAACAGTCCACGGGAGAGTACTCGGTGCTGTTAACACCACGGTAACAAAACGACTGTGTGTGTGGTCAGCTGTTGGCCGCGCTCTCTGACTCCGGAGATTGCAGGAACTCGTAGGGGTCATGAACCATTTCAGACTGGTCCCCAACACCCAGGTGAGATGGACTCCCTGTGAGATAAAACATCACACAGTTGTCACATTAGTGTTGATAACATAACAAGGCTGTTATTTGGTCGAAAGAGATGAATCTTTATAGAAACGATGGAGTAACATTCAGCTGAATTCTCCAGAAAAATCATTTCAGGAGTAACACTTCTTATTCAACAATACATTTTTTACTCCAACTTCTATTTCAGATACCTAGGTGGTGTTGGTCCCTCTCTGAAGCATTAGAAAGAGAGGAAAGGTTGGATGATGGTCTGGAGCCTACTCTGTCCACTTGGGCCTCCTGGAACTCCTGCAGCAGTTTGTCTGCATCATCGAAGTGCTGCTGGCCTTCCTCATTTCCCGGTTCTTTTTTCACAGTTTTACCTGATGATGAAATAGTGAAAAAGACATGATCACTGTTTGACTATTCCTGACAGTTTTAAAAGAGTTAAGGTGATTACATGTCTGTAATGCTCCTAAATACGCTTAACTTACTCTCCTTTCAATACCGCAACTGTGATCACTCTGATCACATTAACACAGTTCAAACTCCCTTTCTTAAGTAGGATTTAAATGTTGCCACGCGGCATGTGTGTGGATTCAGTTAACTACCTAATGAGTTTAGCATGGATATATCCAGAGACATGTCAGGGTAGTTCTTCATGGACATAAAGTCCAGGACTGAGCCACTCTCTCCAAGGCCAGCACCATCAGACATCTGCACAAAATCACAAAGCTCTAATCAGATCAGTTGAACGACAGTTTTTGGTGTATTGTCAGTTCAAACAGCAGTTCCAGCTTACCTGCATGTCACAGAGGCTTGATTTGTTTTCATCGGGTTTCAGCACAATGTTTCTTTTCTGAAACGTAAAGCATCTATCAGGCACAGACAAGGTCACAAAAACAGGAAAACCGCTGAGGATGATGCTAGTAACAGGTTATGTGTACAAATGAAATTTCAGTACAAGGAAAATACCTGTCGGATTTGACTGACAGCTTTGGTGTGATCATCTGCAGTCATCTTGTCCAGAAGCCTGTCGACCCAACGTTTGGTTGCACCTCCACAGCCTTTGACAAACTCCTGGATGCTGAGGTCGAAAGGAAATACATCAGGAGATGAACATGGGGACACAAATTTCCTCTGGATTACTGAAGTCATAGATTTAAGTATGAGAGAACGTTCCCTCTACCTGAGAGCACATTGAACCCCTGTGTCATCTCCATAGGCTGAATATAGCATGTCCACCTCATCAGGCAGAAGGTCTGTAAAGACCGAGTTCTTCTGGAGGCTCTGAACATTATAGGCACTGCTAAGAAACGTGACTAAACAGGCAAGAAAGAAAGATGTAAGACATTTGGTACTTCTAAGTAAAAATGTAGGATAGATCATTTAAGCAACATACAAACATTAAATGCATCATTTGCATCTGAATACCTTTGTGTCTCCTGTCATCTTTGAAACCTAAAGTTGTTAGCCCAGGCAGAAGCTTATTCGACAAAGAGCTGAGGTCCACTTTATGAGTCTCCTCTTCTGCAAGAATATGACAAGAAAAATAAACCACCAACAGATTTACACAAACACAGTTCTGATCTTATGTAGAAAAGTTGTTGAAAAACACTGCACATTGACAACAAACCTTCTGCGTCTGGGTCGAGCTGATTTACAACAGTATACAGAAGAGAACTGTCTGACTCTTTTCGCAAGTAGCCCATCTGAAAACACAGGACAGAGGAACCAAAATTCAAATGATGAATCAACAGGGTCTTCTTCAGAAACATCTAGGAACAAGTATGAGTATACACATTAAATATCTGGGACACACCTTGGAGTTCGGCATGTATCTGTTGATCCGGTCTCGAGCTTCATCTGCAGAATGCTCAACAAGAGCCAGAACGTGCTCCTCTGCTGTACTGTCAGTCAAGCTGCAAGCATTTCCCTCTGGTTCATACAGATAACTGAAATAACAGAGGTATAAAAAGGCCCGAAATTAGCTGATAAGTCATACACTATCAAACTCTCAGCCAGGATCTAACTACTGGGAGTTTATTCCTTGTTGACATTTAATCTTGATATAACAATTAATAAACAATACCTGATGACTTCTTTCATATCTTTGACTGGTTGCTTCTTGGACTTTTTCACTGATTCCACAGGCATTGGGATGATCTCTGAAGGAGGGATATCTGTTGCAAGGTCCTCGTCTCCCAAAATAGCCACCTGTTGGCTGTAGTCCATGTCCTGCATGAAAGACATGCTGCGCTTAAGGGCCAACAGCCGCTCCTGTGTATTTAAAGAAGAAAAAAGGAGCATCATTTGACAGCAGCTTGAATCATTTCCAATGTTTGACAGTCAAAGCTTATGATAAACATTCATATTTTTTATGAAAACCTTTGGATTTCTACATATTAACTCGATATCTATATGTAGGGGGCTGTTAAGTTTTTAAAATGCAGCACTCTTTTGAATCCATTTTCGATGTGGAGGTCCATGCTCTGGGTTACATCATGACTACAGTCTGTCTGCTGTTTGCTCAACTCCAAAATTCAAACAGGATTCATGAAACTTTGCTGTCAAAACCCTATCCACAAAAATGGGAAATGAAGCACTTAAACAGTTGTGTCCATTATCTATTTTGAATTAAGTTAAATGGCATGACAGTTTCCGTGGGCTAAAGTCAAAATGAAAGGGTGGATCGGTCACAACAAGATATTTGTCAAATCAAATTAGCTCATTATTCCATGAGATCTTGTTACCTTGCTCATCATCTTGAAGCCTGTATGCAGAAGTTTCTTGGCAGCCTTGTAATAAACAGTCTCTGGCCGGTTGTACACCATAGCATTGTCACACATCAGCTTAAAGTCCGCCTGAAGGAAAGAAAACAGTGTTCAAACACGTCTTTGTTTTCACACATCTTCAAAATAGATAACTACTATATCAACTAACTTTTGATGAGATGTGCTAACCTTAAATTCAGTTACTGTGTTGTAGTCATTGTTTTGAATCTTGTCTTTCATGGTGCTGAAGTCCATTGGATGCTTGATGATCATTGAATAGCCAGGAGCGATTGCATCTGTCACTGGAAATGCAAAGAATCCATGGGGGTCTTTTCTGGAAAGATGAACAAAACATCATCAGTGTCTCTTAATTTATCACCAACCTGTGGCTCTGTTTCAGACTGCTCTTTTCTACCAAAATGGAAAAGTTTTTTTCTTCTTTCTGTGGTGTGTGACTCTGTTCAGAAAATTTTAATAGCAATATTTATTCAGTTACAAATCTTGTGTATGTGTGCTAACCTGTGCTTGGTTTTGTGGATACTTTTTATCTTCAGAGTAGTGAAACTAGTGTTTACATGTGGTATCAAGCCTGTCAGTCTATGCCTCTAAATCTTTACTTTGCGTTTCTCACCTTTGCAACTGACGTAAGAAATGCTCCAGCAACTGCTGCCGAGGTGTGGACTCACTCTCTGTATTTTGTAAGCATAAAGATAAATACTGAAATTAATACATTGATAATTGGTATTAATTTCAATGCAGTGTTCCAACGGATTCTGATGCTTGACTCAAAACAGGCCCTCTCACCATGTTGTGTCCTGCATGCTCGAACAGGTCTGTCTCCTTGTTGCTCTACCTCCACCTTTACATGAGGGTGAAACTCTTCCACTTCTGGCTCTGACTCGAACCTCTCTTTCTCTTTCTCTTTCTTCTTCTTCTTTTCCTCTGGCTGATGAGATGCATTCACAGTAAGTGACAAAATCACCAAGACTGTCACTTTCATGTACCTTAGCTTGAGGTTAATCTACTCACCTCTAATCCAATGCTTATACTTTTAGACAATGTGAAAGGTTCAACAGGCACACCAGCTCCACTTGTTGCAGCAGCTGCTGCCTCTGATTCATTCTGCTCTCGCTCCCTCTTCTTCCTTTTTTCTTCCTACAGGATGGCGTTAAAGGATAAGGGATAATTTTAAACTTATAGTGGTGAAACACAAATGCAGTTAGAGATTTGATGAAAACGTGAACTAACCTTCCGCCGTCTTCTCTCCTCATCATCTACGTATTTGTCCTTATCCTTTTCTGACTTTTTCTTCTTCTTCTTTTTCTTCTCTTTGTGGCGTTCTCGCTCAAGGTCTGATCGGTCATCGTAGTAGCTGGAGTCATGGCCCGAACCAGAGAGCTCTGTCACCTCACTACCTCCAACTTTGAGCACAAGCTTTAGGGGCTTCTCCAGAGCTTTGTCCTCAAAGTCTACAACAAAGTCAAAAAGGATGGAGTAAATCCCTAAACAGATGGTCATGCTGGGTATACCATGAGTTTTCACAGATTGCTTTATATTTAAAATTTTTAGAGGCCTATCGGGAAATAGCTGCATAGTAGGGGAGAGTGAGGTACGTTGAGCCAAAGGGTAAGTTGAGCCACTCCCTGTTGCTTGGAAATGGTAAAAGAAATTGATCATGTGACCAAATATTTAGGAGATAGACATCAACTCACAGAGTCTGTGAAGGTTAGACGCACATGGGTGAAGGGGTTAGACATTTATTTCCAAAAAAACATTTTTCGCTCTTGAAATTGAATTTAGTTTGTCTTAAGTTTTATTAAAATTGTGTTTATTGACATTCATTCATTATGTGAATCCTGCAGCGTTTTTTACAGATCAGTAGAGTAAAGTAAAGTAAAGTGTTCAAACTTTCCATAACCATGAGTGTCTGCTTCAGACCAGCACAGGACTCTGTTCTGGTGCAGACTGCACCAGCACCAGCTCTGAGGGGGCTTTGCTGTTTTATCTGTTGGTCAAATGTGTGTATCCCAGATAAAAACCTAGCATAAAAGTCCCCCATTTTAGCTTAGAGGACTAATACAGTCACAATAGTAGCTCTGGGCTAACTGAGAAAGTAAACAAGTCTGATGAGAGGATCAGAGTTTCAGTTCAGATTGTTGAAATGTTTTACTTTGTCTTTTCAAAAATACAGCTGTGAATGTTCTGAATCACTTAAAGACATTCTCATGTTTAAAATGGCATGAATGTGAAGATGTGACTGTTATTTAGGGAGACAGAAGGTGAGGGAGGGCTGGGGTGAAGGAGCCGGGATAGTAGGGATACGGCTCAACTTACCCCGCTCCTATGGTCTTATACTTACCCCATACACGGGGTAAGTATAAGACCATAGGGGAGCCCTTTTTTAGCATGCAATAGTATCAAGACAGTTATGTTTACACTCATTCTGTTGGTTTGCAGGAATGGACAACATCTTGAAATATATGCAGAGACACTAGTTAGAGACAAAACTATGATAACCTTGATGTAGTGATCCGAAATATGAAAAATGGCTCATCTTACCCCACTCTCCACTATACACCGAGCAGCCATAACATTAGGAACACTGGGCATTCAAATGCAACCCAACACAACAGTCTGATCCCGTCAACAAAAACCTCTAATTCACAAGCTTTCTGAAAGAAAAACCCCGATGTTGAAAAGTTCAAGTATTCTTTAAAAGCTAAGGGGGTTTTACTATGTTGAGCGATCAGAACAGGTATTCAGGGGGTGTGAGAGATAAACAAATGCCCCCCTGTTATACTGCTCCAATATTGTTTAGCCATCTTAGCTTGGCGAGCTAATAGAAAGCTAACACGAACAAAGCAATGCAGTACAAATAGTAAAAACATGCAGTCAGGTACCATCAACTGTTCTCCACTCTGGTTTATGCTTCTTGTGTTTTTTCCCCATATTCGTGGATTTAAATCCTCTGTGTTGAAGTTTAACCACAGATACTCTTCCCGGTCGCCTATCGTTAAATCTTAGCAGCAAACTGAGGGCGGAAGCGATACATCCAAACAAAGGATGTATTTCCGGTTTAGGAAAGCAGCGCGCTGAATTTGAGAGACTGTCGACTTTCTGCCTGTACAGAACCGTCGAATACATCCTGGAAACCAAAACTACGATTAAAAAAGTCAACATTTCGACGACCTCTATGGTGTACGGTAGGGTTCCAGTTTTGTCAGTGTATCCAAACGTTAACTTTTATCTGTTACGAGTTATTGACGTTAGCAAGTTAACTGAGCTAGCCCCCTTCATTCGAACCGTACCCACTTTAAAATGACCTCACATGTTTTTCTATGGAGCTAACCTATCTACATCACCGATAATGTCGTTAAATGCTCTGTAGCCCCTAAGTTATCTGTAATCTACAGGTTTGCCGGGATGGAGGGTGACGAACCGACAGAGATGGCAAACCAGAAACTGAAGATCCATGTGGAGGTTCATGTGAAATCTCACAGGTAGGTTCACCGAACTGTTCAGACACCGAAAAATTCCCCCCACGCCTGCAGTTAGCTGTCTGTGTCAGCCGCCCCAATGTTCCCAGTTTAAAGAGCTTTAAAGGCATGTAGCATTAACCAAAATAGGAGTGAAAATATATAAGTATAAAAAATCTAAGTATACGTCTTTAATGTTATGATTTGTGTGTGGTTATATCTACATGTATGTCAGTATTTGTGCAGTGTGTGTGTGTGTGTGTGTGTGTGTGTGTGTGTGTGTGTGTGTGTGTGTGTGTGTAGCTGAGAAATCAGCTCTAAAATATGGGGAAAATAAACAACCATGGTCCTCAGTTGTTTAGGTTATTTTTGCACCTTTTGTCTGACTTGTCACTTCAGCACCGCCAAGCTGACTGATGTGAAGATGCATGTTCTGGCTCTGCTGAATCGCCACAGCATGGTTTTTGGAAACTACAGATGGACAGAGTTCGATGAAGACTTCTTGCAGAAAAATGTAGAAACTGTGGCCCTCGTTGATTTGGAGGAGATGGTATCACAGGTCTGTTTCAGTATTTCAGTTTACATTGAAAATTTTCAGTTGTCTTTGCTATGCTATAGAGGAATTTAAAAAATGACTTAAAGTTATTCATTTTTCTTTTTTCTTTTAATTTTTAATCACGTAGCCCCTTGACTTGAAGAGCTGCTCTGTCTCCATTCACATCTTCACTCTCAATGAGGATGCACCCAGCACACTCAGTTTGGAGGATGATGAGGAGCTTTCAGCTGCCAATCACTGGCTATTGCCCGCAGGTAACATTTCATAACATGTGCTAAGGTCATCTTGATCTCATCCGGCTTTTTAGGTTCAATTTATTTCATGCTAAAATTGTACTACAAGGCAGGCTTGGTGTAGGTATTCACTACTGTGTTGATCAATGGCTTGTACTATGTTCAGTGTGACTTTATATGATTCTCAATCCAGAGTATTCTGAATAAAAGTAGATAGACAAGCAGACCAACAGTGACAGAAATTTTCCTCTGATGAGGCTTTACAACTACAAATACAGATTTGAAAACACATTGTACAGGCACTGAACAAAATGGCTGTTTAGAGCTGCATCTGATTTAAAAAAAAAAAAAAGACAGAGAGAGGAGGTTGGGATGAGCCAATTATTTTACTAGGCTTTTTTTAGTGATGCAGTAGTAGTATTTTTTGTGGTAAATGGTGAGCAAGCTGTACAAGTTGGAAATGTTGACAATGAGGATGGATTTAATGAGTGAATGGTAATCCAGCTTTAAAATGTCTTTACTCATGAAAAGGTGTCTAAATCTGTCTGAAACACCACATAAAGCTGTGAAATTACGCTGGATCTGGTGCTCCTTAGAATGAGGACTTACTAACAATGGAGAGAAATAGTGACTAGAAAACACTGAAAAGTTTGTGGTTTTTAGTTGTGCAGAGATGCTTTTCTCAGAAGGGATTTTTACTTTTATAGATTCATGTTTTGTTTTTTGTTAAATCTACATGCCCTCTTGGTTACAGTCATATTTTTTCTACATAAAAGTTGAGATAGCTGGTGTCTTTGTCCTGATGCACAATCTTGTTGGAGTCACAAGGGGGCACCCTGGCGTGAAAAATGCAGAAGTATGTATTATAGTTTGCCATTGGACCCTTCAGATAATCCTGATGAAAAGCAATATTCCAAGCTAATTGTATATGTTTTCAGAATGACCTTATCTATATTTCTGCATTGATGTTCAGCAGTTTCTCCATACTCATTTGGTGTGTGTATGTCTCTATGTACGTATCTATATACTATCTATCTATCTATTTAATCTATATATCTATCTTTGTAACTTTTTTAATCTCTGTGCTGTGGATGCAATAGTATGTTATTTAAATTTTTCTCTTGAGATAACTTCTACCCGGTTTGTTTATTTGTTTACAGCTGAATTCCATGGGATTTGGGAGAGTCTGGTCTATGAGAGTGGAGTCAAAACTCAGGTTAAGAAATGGCTGTTTAGAGATTAAAGAAATGGATCGAATAACTTCCTCACTAATACTCCTAACACTTGTTTTCATTCTTCTTTTAGCTCCTTGATTATGTCACAACAACAATCTACTTCTCCGACAAAAATGTCGACAGCAACCTTATTTCCTGGAACCGTGTTGTGCTGCTTCACGGTACATAACTAATGGGAAACCATAAAAAATAACTATTTTAATTGGCTAAGGCTGCTGCAGGAACAATAAGCGCATTATAAATGATTTATGTCTTTGTGTGTGCCAACATTTAGGACCCCCAGGCACAGGGAAAACATCACTGTGCAAAGGTCTTGCCCAGAAGCTGTCAATCAGACTGTCAAGCCGGTGAGACAATACTCATTTAAGTAAAACCACTTCAGCAGAAACTGCACCTGCTCTTTATGTTTCAAAATCCACTCCTCTGCCTGCAGGTATTCATACGGGCAATTTGTTGAGATAAACAGCCACAGCTTGTTCTCAAAGTGGTTCTCAGAGGTACAGCTGGCACCTTTTATATTGGAAGAGCTTGATTGGAATAGTCTCTGGGGTTATTTTGGTAACTAATAATGCGTCTTTGTTGCAGAGTGGTAAGCTGGTCACAAAGATGTTCCAAAAGATCCAACAGCTAATAGATGACAAAGATGCTTTGGTGTTCGTCCTGATTGATGAGGTAAAACCTGCTTCTTTCATGAGGCTCTAAAATTGATTTCTGGAATAATTAAGGGAGCTGAAAAAAGACTAAAAGGCCTTTGTGTGAACTCTTTGTACCTCAGTCTTCTAAAAGTATTCCTGCTGTGTGGCTTTTTGAAACCCCTCTGTGTTGTGTGTAGGTGGAGAGTCTTACAGCAGCTAGAAATGCCTGCCAGGCAGGAACAGAGCCTTCTGATGCCATCCGAGTGGTCAACTCAGTCCTCACTCAGCTCGATCAAATCAAACGGTGAGGAAGCAAAGTGCTGGACGTATTGTTTTGAATGTGTCTTTACAGTGGAACATTTGTTTTTCTGATGAACTAGTTTATTCCTGGTTGTTTTTTGGGCCCATACTGTAGACATTCCAACGTCGTGATACTGACAACTTCCAACGTGACGGAAAAGATCGATTTGGCGTTTGTAGACAGAGCTGACATCAAGCAGTACATCGGACCTCCATCTGAGAAGGGCATCTACAACATCTACCTCTCATGCCTGGAAGAGCTCATGAAGGTGACAGAGCAACCCAATCTTTGTACAATAACAGTAGATGTTAGTCATTTAACTTAACAGACACATTTGTGTTAAAGACTCCACCTTCATTATTTAAAGTTTGGGCTGATCTGAAAGAAGGGTCAGTATCTTGACATAAGGACCCAGTGCTTCTTATGTCAGCGTGTTTAAGTGCCCATGAACCAACAGCAAGTTATTGCTTCTGAGGCTGGAGAGAGTTCAACAAATCTTGGGTATCTTATGGTCATCCAGCTTCACCAACCCTGACTGAGATGAGATTGTGCTAAGTGGTCCCATAAAGCTGGTTATCAATATGATGAATCAGCCCAGAATAAATATGGTGTGGTAAGCAACATACAATGACCCAAGTCATCATATTTTCCAAAGTCACAACAAATCATGACATTTATAAAACGTAGAAATGAAAAACTAAGTTGGCACAGAAATTAACTCAGCATTTATTTTCAAAAAGAAGGAAGGACTGGCTGAAGAAACACTGTGCTGACTGTGACACCTGTTTTATTTCTTTAAACAGTCACTCTTATTTATTCTTGTGGCGTGTATTGTAGTTTTAGATGTAATACATCCCTAAAGTAGCAAACAGTAACTTCAAGAAGCTACAAATGGTTAAGAAAACACGGTTCAAAGCCGTCCGCATGTGTAGTTTCACATCTAATAATTACAACAACCACAAGCCTCTAATGTTAGCCTTTGTCAGTCTGGCAGTGGTACTTGTTACAGGGTGATATTGGGAAAGCAGAATAAACATGCTTATTTTCTTTTTACCCCTTTATGTATTAGATACAGTTTTGTTATCAGCTTTTCCTCCATCAAGATCAATTTATTTTTCAGCCTCTGTTCAGAGGAAAATTGAAATCAAACCACAACATAAACAAACAGCTAAGGTACCAAAGAAACCCTTTAAAGTGCACAAAAGTTAAAAAAATCACGTGTCTGTCTGTGCTTTGTACTGTGTGATATATGCAGTGTCAGATAATCAACCCTCGACAGCAACTTTTCACCATGTATGAGCTGGAAACCATGGGCTTCAGAAAGAGCGAGGTGTCTGAGCTCAGCCTGAAGCTGAGGAACATCGCTCTGTGAGTACGGCCTCATGTGACGCCATAGTTTCTCTTCTCCTGTCATAACATGTAGTGCAGGTGAGAAATTAGACTTCCAGGAGCTAAAATCTGTTTCCTTCTTCTCTGTCAGAAGAAGCAAAGGTCTGAGTGGGCGAGCGCTGAGGAAGTTACCCTTTCTAGCTCATGCACAGTTTGTCAAGGTAGCTGTTTTTCTTCTCCTCCAGAGTTAAAAATGAAAAGTCTTCATGTTTGTTTGTTTTTTCAGAGATTATTTTTACCTTTTTATAATTTTTTGTCTTTAGACGCCGACAGTTACTCTTGAAAAGTTTCTGGAGGCAATGGACCGAGCCGTGGATAAACAGAGAGAAGAAAAAGCCAACCTGGTCAATGGAGTCTGAAAGATTATAAAAGCCAAACAACTATTCTAAACTCAGTCTTATGCCTTCTCTGACTATATTTTAATAAAGCCAAATGCCTTTGTACAAAACATTATTAATCTGGCAGCACTGTGTTGAATTTATCAGCAAATAACTTTGTTTGGAAAGTCATGAGTTTAAGTCTTTCCTCGGCTAGTTTTGTTGGTGCTACTTGTTTTAAAGACAATATTCAAAAGTGTTTCAGTCTGAACAGTTTGATTGAACCTCAGCGCTTACTTTGTGTTTTCAAATTATATTTTGTTTTGAACATGCAGCCTTAACCTTAAAGCTCTTCTCTCCTTTTGTTCATTTTCATATTGATCACTTTTTGGATTGCACACTCAGCTCAGTCAAACAAAGGAAGGGGTCATTATTGTGGCTTTGCAGACAGAAATGAAGAACAGTCCTATGATCTTGCATGCAGGTTGCAAACTCATTAAGATTCTTCTTAATTGATTCTCTGCAAGTTGATATCTGTTCAATATTGACTTGTCCTGTAAAATCTAAACAGTAATGCACTGCAATTCTTAGGAATGCATGTTTTTGAAATGTTTTTATACTATTGTTGTGAAAGGCTTCTAACAGGTTGACCATCAGCTTAAAATGTCCAAATACAAAAGTTCTGTATTTATGCTAACAACGGTTCCTCTTCAATCTCTGCACTCACATTTTTATTTTGTATATAACATTGTAATAAACAACTTTCTCAGTTCTTGCGTTTACATTGAAATATTTTGGGATTTTAAAGTACAGTATTTTGGGCACTGCTTGGTGTAGAGCTGATGTTCATTTTTCATATGTTTAACTGGTTTCGAATTGTGTAATTTATAATTTATGATGCATAATTATAATGAAGGCAGGGGGGAAATCCCTTCAAGCTTTGATGTGCATTTGGAAACCCAAATTAAATCAGCTGTCGGCTAATTTCTGTTCAAATAACTTTCTTAGTTTGTGCGTGGGGAGAAAAAGTGATTTCATACTATGCTGCCTGACAGTGTCTGCACACGGTTGTCACTAATTTGACCTGGAAACCAAACAGCTGAAAGATTATTGCATTTTGAAATGTAGCAGGCAAACATAAAGTTTACATGAACAGATGAGTGGCTCCATTGTTCGCATGAACATGTTTTGCATTCTGTGAATGCTCTGCTGCTTTGCATGTCAGCTGCTGGATTCAGACAATGTGCCCTTTGTTTGTTGTTGGGCAACAGCTTTTTCACTCAGCTTGAAAGGTGGATCCTGTCGGCTGTTGTGAGTGTAAAAGAAAAGCAAACACAGATTATCTTCAGTCACACGTTCAATTCCTACTCAACCGTATCTCTGGCGCTTTTTAAAGAAAACCTTGACCTTGATGTTTTTCAAACTCAAACTTTTGCTGGTTGAGATCAAGGACAACATTTACTATATGCTCACTTTATACTCCATAATCTAGATATTACAGGATATACAGTTTTTTTTTGAAGAATGGATTTCCCCTGCCTGAAATGAGAATGGATTTCTCATTTCAGAGAGGAAACAACTTTAGTCTTTGTGAATTATATCCTTGATGCCTCAGTATCTCTTTAACAAGTATCTCTAATTGTTTGGCATCCACTTTTTCAAATGGCGATTAAGTTTTTGTGTCTGATGAATAGCTGGAGGAAGCTGCACTTTTCTTTAATCTGATGAATGATCACACAGTAGAGAGAAAAGAAAGGAAGAGCTGTAAGAACGAGCGTGGTAAATAAAACGATAATTGCCCTGTCTGGAGGCCTCTTTTCTCCTTTTTTTGACTGTAGTCGGTCCAAAAGCCAGGCGGCTGTTAAAAGGCAATCACGACAGAAGGGAAGAAAAGTCAAAAGCCTTATTGTTGCATGGTTTTATCGCTGTTTCAAGCAGTTTGAAAATGTCAGACAACTCCAAACCAAACAAACAGTCTTGATGTTTATCCCTTCAACCGTTGTTCAGGTAGACCTACGAGGCTGGAAGTCATGGAATATCAGTGCAAGCGCCAATGGTGATTCACATGAGGTGGGAGAGAACATACACACATACTTATAGGCATGTTTTGAAGAGCAGAGCTGCACATAAACCATGGAAACTTTAGCTCATTACTGGTATAAAAATATACATGTCTTTGAGAGAGGTTATGGTTTCCACTGATGAGATCTTAAAGATGATTTTGAAGTGTCACATTGACTCAAATGGAGAAAAAAAACAGCATGTTTGCCAGTGTAATGATTCACATCCTGTACAAATACACAATGAGAGCCTGTAAATCTTAAGCTGTGCCAGGGCTCCTTTTAGTTCTTCTACAAGACAGCCTTGGATGATAAAGCAAGACTTTTATCCAAGTGAACATTTCCCTTAAAAGACAACTTCAGCTCTCTTCTTTTCTCTGTTCCCTGTCCCGTTTGCTGTCAGAAACTGAAGTTCTGACACATTTTGCCTCCCACATGAGTGTCATCCATTGAGGAAGGATGTTGGAGGGTGAAAGAGGATGATGGAGTAGACAAATACCTTGTAAAGAGGCAGAATTGAGCGAGCCAGGCTGCACAAGGAAATGGTGGTAATTAGGCACGGCAAGAGGGATCAAAGAAAGCTGCCATCAATGAGCTAAATGCAAATGTTGGCTCATCCTGTCAGCCACTGACTGTGATCTGAGAGCCCTGTGTGTGTGAGGAGTCAAATCTCAGACAAATTGACAGGGAAAAAAATATAGCTGTACTCCACATTAATCATGGTATGTTGAGAAACTGGGACACTAAAGCAGGGAGAATAAAATGTGTCTGTTATACCTCCAGGCAGAGCTCCTCTGTTTGGATTATAAAAGATAAGAAAGTTTAGTGCATGGACTGAAATGCTCTCTATGATCGCAGAAGTTTGGAGCGATGACTGAGTGACACCTCCTTTGTAAAAGCTGTTTATGCCTCGATCAACTACAAAAATCAAAGTCCTCTGTTTGAATTTGATCTACATTAGGGTGGAGCGTTTACAAAACACAAACTTCGCAGCCGTGTTTTCATACTGGACAAAAGTTTGCCTTGGTGGATGAATATTCATAACTCTTGGCAGTCGTCCTGCGGCCAGGCCGTGCTCCAACACCCTGCCAAAGGAAACAAACTGTAAAACAGCTAGAGAGCTTTTGAAGTCTGCTGGGTTGGAGTACTGCATGTTCTTCCTGGTTCTCCTCTATAAACACAAGATTATCTTTAGACTCTTTTGTACACATAAAGTTGACTGAAGACCAATAGCTTAATGGAGATAATAATGGGCAGCCTATAAGTGTGTGGTTAGAACATTTGATAGCATGATCATTTATCACGTTATTAGGAATAGCTTGTCTCCATACTTGGGGAAAATAACAGGGCCTATCATTCTGGTTTCAGTCTTTGGATTTCGTCTGGTTACATTTTCTTCTGTCTGTTTTTGTGAAGAATAAGTTTTAATAAGTCTACAGGCTCTCTAACTATATAACTTAAAAACTGATAAATAAGCAACAGAATATTTTCAGAGTCGTCGAGGTAAATAAATCAAGACTTTGAAAAACGTGAATGAAGCCATAATCTACAAAAAACTACACCGACAGAGGGCACAATTTTACAAACAGCGGCACGACCTGCCAAACAGACTTTACCGTCAAGTTTAAGGAAATCTGCAACCGGAAACGGGACTTAATAACATTTCAAAGTAATAGTATACCGAGAACACAAGACATACATGTATTTGTCTTACTTTTAAGGCTAATTTTAGCTTACATGTACATTTCTTAGCAAAGGGCAGCTAAATTGAGAAATTTTTAAACCAACTAATTCCATCCTATGACTGACATGGACAACAGATAACTACTGATGAGAAGACCCTGACCAATACAACCTTTTTGGGATTTGTATAAAATCAAGGTACATTTAAAAGACTGCTAATTAAAACAAAGAATTACTCATGGATAGGGCTCGGCGATAAAACATTAAATATATATAATGAAAGTTAATTTACCCCGATATCGATATGAGACATGGTTAACATGTTTTTCTACAGTCAGCATTCTGCTATGTTTTGGTAGACTATATGAATAGCCAATTAAATGGGGAGTTTTTCCGGGTCTACTTCAAACTGAACCAATCATGTGCTGAATTAGAACCAAGTAGCAAACAACTGTGTGGTACAACCACGGTGATGGCGTGTACATGGCTATGGTTGTACACGCAGCCATAGCACTTTAACACATGGAGCTGACAGCACTGTCGGTGAGAAGAAAAAAAAAAGAGTGCTACCCCCCCAGCAGAAATGCAGATGAATGATCAAAGGATGACAACAATGTCGACAACACTGGCACGAAAATGTCGGTAGTGTGGAGGTATTTTGTTTTTTTGAGGTTGGACATGAAGTAGAGTAATGTGCACTGCAAATTAGGACGAGTACATGTTCTCGCAAAATCTTTTTCACCACCTGAAGCAGTGACATGCCGCAGAGCACATGCAATGCAAAAGGCCACAAACCCAAAGTAGAGTAAGGAGCCCATGGCGCCTGTGCAGCCAAAACAGCTGACCACTCAGTCTGCTTTCACTCACGCAACGCCCTACGACAAAACATCGAAGAGACACAAAGACCTCACAGATGCAGCAGCTCATTGTATTGCAAAAGACAAGCTACCAATAAGCACTGTTAAATTTAATTTTTTAAAATCGTGATATGTATCGATATTGACTGATATGAAAAAATATATCGTGATAAACTTTTCCCATATTGCCCAGCCCTACTCATGGATTAACCAGTAGGCTACACAACAACTGTAGCCGTCAATGGAAATGTCAGGATTACAAAGAGATGCATTATCACAATTATGTTACACTAACACAATTTTAGCTAAACATTTTGAGGTCAACCTTCTTTGTCTTAAATTATATATCTTCTCAACAAATTTTGCTTTTTTTTTTTTTTTTTTTTAACCATTCTGGTTATTTTATTTTGTAAATCCACTCACCGGATATGCTCCTCCTCGTGTCTTATCTGTCTTCACTCTCTGTGGTCTGTGTTTGGTTCAAAGCGCTCTCTTACTCAGTCGGACTGGAGGGAAGTGTGGAGACAGATAGACAGACAGTGAGTGCGACCTGTCTGCTCGGTGGATCCTGCAGCTCTTTTCTCTTCACATATTTTCTTGTTACCGCACACGATCAGCTGATTCGTCAATGAACTCGCGGTTCGATTCCCTGCTTTTGGATGAAGTTGGAGTTTTCTTCCTGCAGAGCCAACACAATGTGACCATGCTGAGGCAGTGACCGTGTTATCCCTGTCCGATTCAGGAGTATATCTGTGTTGATCCAGGGAAGAGAGAGGGACTTAAGAATGGGCAAACTTCAGTCAAAACATGGTAAGACTATCATTGTAACAATTGCATTTTTCTTATAATTTGAGTCTTAAAAAACTAACTATACTCTCTGTTTTGCATCCATGTTCTCTGGTGATCTGAAGCGTGTAAGCGCAGAGAAAACCCTGAAGGTAAACATCAATCATTAACCCGATAAAGAGTCATAATTAAAGATCATGTGAGTCACTACAGAGTCAGCTTTGTATCATAACCTACCTGCTGATCAGTGTGTTTTCTTCGCCTCTCAGGAGACAGTTTTGTTGTAAATGCCTTCCTCCGGAGAGGGATGGAGGAGTGTGAGAGGTACAGCGCGACGGACCACAAGCTGAAGAGCATGCAGGTATCAGACAATTTCTATCTCCCTCTTAAAAAATGCAGGTTATGACTTATTAGAATATGAGTGTTTGATTTTCTGTCTGAATGTGTCTGATCCACCTCTCGTTTGGTGTAAGTTCTGCAGGATCAAAAAGGCATGTTAGTGTGATTGTGTGTCTTTGCTGATGGGATGAGTCTATCAAGCACTTAAAAAGTTGTCTGGTGAAAGCAGTGACACCCCCTCCTCCTGAAAGATGAGCTGAGAGCCTCCACTTCAGGGGGAAGCAATCTCTTTTCACTGGCGTATGTGAAGACATGCTGATGTCTTTGCAGAGTTGTAGCTTGTTGTTTTTTCTGTCATGTCTGGCTCCGACACAACACTGAGGTGGTTATTCCCCTGCCAACATCACTGGATAGGTTATGACAGCTATGAGCCCGTGTGTGTGTGAGAGAGAGAGAAGCGGCTTGGCGCACAGAGACTCCGAGTGGATGGAAAGGAGTCGTTTCTCAGACTGTTAGGGATATAAAGTTTACTCTTGTGGCTGCTGGCATCATGACTCAGGGCTGTGTCTTTTTCCTCGGTGCCTCTCATTCGACTGCGGTTCCCTCTGTGGCATAACATTGCATCACTTCAATTAGTTTCTACTTTTAAGGGTCCCTTAGTCTCAAACTCTCAGACAGAATCTGTGAGAAGTTCACTCAGAGGTGCTGAAGATGTGTGCGGTGGGTGGCTGTAATAGTGGAAGAGTTATAGATTATATCAGGGCCATAAAACGCCCACTCATGGCAAATTAAAAGAGAACTTTACTCTGCTTCAGAGGAAACTGACTTCACACTCCCCTGAAGGGAAACCACCAAAGGCGTAAGTTTGACACTTATTAGTAGGTGGGTCCCACCCTGACTTTTATCAAAGTCAGGCCCTTGATTTATTCTGTGTCATTAACTAGCGGCTCATTCATGAACCAGAGCTGGATAACTATCATAATTGAACCATCGGGATTCCACTTAGAGTTTGTGCTGTCTTTTAGAGTTGTGTCTGATTCAACGTGTTGTTCTTGATATGGATGTTTGGATGGTACAATAATAACAAAGGTTTTGTCTTTACTTTTTGTAGCAGAGAAATCTTTGGTATTCAGTCTACTCCCATAGCTCTGTTTTGAACACATTATTCCAGCATATGTTAAACTATATATAAAGGTTTGGTCTCTTTATACCTGGATGTTTTCACAAGTATTGATTTTTGAGTTTGGAAAACTATGTTTTTGTTACAAATTAGGGTTAAAATGTTGAATGTCCACAGTCAACAAAGGCTAAGTTTCAAATTGTGAGGTAAACGTGTGTTGAAATAAACCAAGGGTATAAACACAGGTTGGTCTGAAAGGTCACAGGAAAATTAAGTGAGACGTACACAAGATTTGCCAGTTGGTGATTCATTTGAACAGAGCACAGTGAATTACAATTACTGAAAAGAAATGTCCTGCTCTGTTTTTTGCTGCTGGGAATTATTTTTTTTTTCTCATTTCCAAACCCTTCAGGTCAGACTTGGGGTCCAAAGTATGATCAGTCTTTTTAAGTGCTGAAACTCCAGTAAATTTGATGATGATGATGACTCCTCATGGCAACAGTAGATGAGACTTCTTGAGTGCTGGGGAGTCATGGGTGGGGTTAAAGAGACAGTAGATGAAATTTATCTTCTTAGACAGGTTTCACCAAAGAAAAAAAGGGTATCTAAAAGTAACTTAATGCTCCTTAGTAAGCCATGATCCTAACTGTGCATTTCAGGTACAACAAATCCCAGTACACCTCCATATATCTCGAAAACAAGCTTCCACTATTATAATTCAAGAGAAGTCTTATTCAACACAGATAAAGTTATTTAAAATGACTGTATGACTGTTCTGTTTTAAGTTCCCAGGAAACTTATAACTACCAAAAAAAAGATGGATCCCCTCACTCATATATCAGGAATCATCTTAACTTCTAGTCATCTGGTGTGTTTGAATGTTGATGCCCTAGTTGTGCGTTTCAGCAGGTCAATAGAGATGTTCCTGTACTCACTCTGCTGTGTCTCAGAGGATAAAATGCTTTTGTATTCCTGTTCTGCTCTGGGACTCTGGGACTACCCATGTGTAATTGTTGTTCCTGCTCTTACTACAACTGCAGTGTTTGAGTGGGTTGAGTGATGGTTTGTCTCTGAACAGTGTCCAAGGAGGAAGAGAGGGAAAAGTTTTTATATGGAGTGTGCAAGTGTCATGTTGCCGCCATCTGTGTATTCTTGTGTTTTCGGACGGTATTCACTCCTCAAAGTGCAGCATGATGCACATATGCCTTTTTTTAAATTGTTTCGCCAATCAAACTCTGAGGCCTGTCCCCCTTTCATTCACACGCTCAGACCTCGCATGAGCAAGGTTAAGAGTCAGACAGACATCTTACTCATAAGTGTGTTAGTTTGAAACTAAAGCAGGGGTTCCCATGCCAGGATATAGAGCTGTTATCATAGATGCAATGAGGTTCAGATCTGAAGGTAACTCAATCATGTGTTATTTTGTCCCTTTTGGCATTCTGTTGTTTAGCCACAACAGTATCTTCCGACTTCTTGCTGCTGCCATGATAGAAAATAATGCAGCTGCACTATCAAATGGCATATTTTACATACTGTGCTCCCAGACGGCCCTATTGCAAAAGCATAGTAATATTCATTTTAGGTCAAACAAAATTAAACTATCACCAAAGTATTCAGGTTTGAGCTATCACTTATGAGTTAAGCATACAGGTGCAGCGAATCACACTGCCGTCAGTGGGCAATTGCATCATGGTTTCAGACCACACAGGTGCAGCAGGATAGCATTTCTTTAAATAACAAGTCCAACAGTCAAGACTATAAATTTCGTTGCATTCATTTGAACCCCAAATCCAGACTCTGGTGTGAATTTCTTCAAATTGTTCATATAGACTTTAAATCTGTTTAAAACTGCCAAAAAGTGGTAAATCATACATTGGATTAAAAGTAATTAATAATTAGAATTCAGCAATTTAATATTTTAATTATTTGACATATTTGTTTGGACATGTAGTCGTCACAAGACTGCAATTTTACCGCATAGTCCTGAGCGATAATGAGCAGGAACCATCAAATTTACTTATGATTTTTTACAGGAGGAGATTGGCCAAACACTTAGCCCTGACCATCCCCCTCCTCCTCATTGTCAAACGGGGGAGTAAGATTCCTGAGCTGTCTGGCTGTGACTTCAAAGTGCAGAGCTGGGAGTTATAAAAGAGCTCTGATATCAGTGGAGCCTCCGAACCCTCACCCCTCTATCTCCTCACCATGTCATGTCCTGTCCAGGGGGAGGGGGTGAAAGCACTTACACAGGCCCAACATCAGTTTGCGCAAACCTGTAAATCTTTTGACAAAAGTGGTTGGTTTTATTCAGCAACTTGTGAATGCTTTGCTGCACTTTAGCAAGAAACAACAAAGGATCAAAGGATGTAAAGACATGTTTAAATATTTATTTTGCTGCAAACTGTGATTCAAGATTGCAGCTGGCACTTTGCCTTGAGTCTGTAATCTTAAAGGCTCAGTAAAGTGTGGTTTGTGTGGTCAAAGAGAGCGTGATTCAGCTGCTCATCCCGGCAGCCCACTTTGACACTTGGTTGCAGGTGTTCAGGGAAGTCTTGAGGCTGGTGTAATATAGAAATAATCTGGGTGAGATCAAAGTGGCAGTCCAAGGTGTAGTCAACCACCCTCGCCCCATAAATGTAGCCAAGTCTGTAGTTATTGAATATGTAATGCAGAAAACTCCTAACCCTCTACTTATCCAAATAATGGAAGAGCTCTGTGAAGGTTCACTGTGTTTCACCTCTGGAAACATCAACACATCAGCCGTCTGAACCTCTCTCAATCTTTTACACACACACACACACAGCCACAGTGCTTCTCTTTGGAGCTTCAAACAGACATGCTCAGATGCCCAAATAATGACAGGCTAATTCATCCTTTCAGCACCATCTTTTGTCTCAAAACTTCCCACAAACTTGGCTTGTGAAGAAGGAGCATGTCAGCGTTTTAAACTCCACCACAAAGACCTTTATTATTCTACTTTGAAAGCTTCATAATATCACACTTAGAGAAAAAAAAAGGGGGCTCGTTTAGGGATTCAGTTGCCAAAAGCTGTAAGACACAAATTTATTTTGACTCACGGAGAGTTACACAGCACTCAAACCTCAATAATAAATTTAGTTTAAGAGTAGAGTTCCCACTAAACTAATTGTAGGCTAATGTTTTTTTAACATTCATTTGGAATCTGTGAATAAGACTTTCCCCTTATATAAAAATCCTCATCTGGTGATCCTGCTCAGAATGGATGTTATGTTTGGATCGTTCTGCCCTCGCACATTTAGGTATATCATCCAGCCGTCATGTTCGTTTTGAGGGTGCTGTGTTTGATTTGGATATGAGGCAAGGATACCTGTGTAATCCTCCGGCTCTGACCCTAAATGACATTTTTTTCAGTACATGAACCCGAGTTTAAAACTGAGGTCATTTCTTATTGAATCTCTTTGTGGTTCCTTGAGCTCTCCAGCAACATTTCCTGACCTTTGACCTCCATGACTTAATCACAAAAGTCAGAAAAAAGTTTTTTTCCCCTTCCAGGAACCACTACAATTTGTTAAGGAGACAAAAAGTTGTGCTCATGTATGTACTGCTTTTGAAGAGACTTGAAGGCATTTGGAGAGTTTGTTTTTTTCCACCTCTCTCCCTCTCTCTCTCTCTCTTTTTTTTTTTTCTTTTTTGAAATTGGCTTCACAAGAAGGCGAGCTGTGAGCCTTCATCTCTGAATGAAAAGCATGTGGCTGGCATCCAGAACAGCGGGGTCTTTCAGCACGGCCCCGGCAGACATCTGTTCCTGGTTTGTACAGCAAAATCCTGGAGCAGGGAGGAGAGGGGCTGTGGTGGAAATGGGGTGGAAGAGGGAGAGGGAGAGAGGGTGGCGGGGCAAGAGGAAAAGAGGAGGAGGAGGAGGAGAGGAGGGGGGTTTAGGGTGTTTTCTTTTTCATGGGGGAGATGTTTGAAGGGATTGTGGGGGAAGGGGCTCATCCTTCTTGCCCCCTGCATTGTTTAGGTGGATAGAGGCTGACCATTGATCTACCTTACCTTCTATTAACAGCTGTTCAACACGCAAATCGCTGACTTTCTTCTGAGTTTGTCGCCAGTTGTGCAAACGTCATCACCTGGTGCGCTGCGACACTCATCACACGTGTAAGATGCTTGTCTTGAACCTCCTTTCTAAGGTGGGAATCACCAAGCGCCCTTGTCTCTCTGTTGCCTCCTGTTAGTTTGTGATTGAATGCCTAAAAGTGGCGCCTAATGGAGTTACACATTACAACACTGCAGGCGGATGAATGTTTATTTTTTCTGAGGATGTTTACACTGTCTCAAGTACTCTGCAGAAGTTTGCTCACTTTCACCCGCATTCTCCTGTGACCTGTACTCGTGAAGAAAGTAAGGCTCCTCTCTGAACATCAGACTGAGCCATCACACCTCGGTTAGTCTGCTGGGAGAGGAGCAGAATTAGCCAAGGGCACCTGAGGACCTTTCCACCACTTAGATATGTTGGTAAAAAAAAAAAACAGAACTTTAGCGCAGGTGTTCACTAAATCCGGGACTCATCTAAGACCCTTAGATTTACAGTTTTTTCTATTTTTAGGGTGTTATGGTTTGAAGAAATATGCATCAAATAAACATATCGCAAACATCCCAAATTTTCCCTCAACGTCATTATGCCTTTAGCTTTGGGGCAGTTGCCCATTTTGCCTAATTGATAACCTAAAAATAGTCTCTTTACAAGTTAAAATCAGTGACAACTGCATGAAAAGATTGACACTCCTCTTCTTTTTGTTTGATTGGTAGATGTTAAGCTATAGCTCACAGCTTAGCCCGCAGCAAGATGGCAAAAAAATTCTCTGATTCAGTAGAAATAATTAAAGAAAAAAAAGCTTTCATGTTTTGTTTGGAACTATGAGACATGTAACTGTTGCCTTGTTGCTGCTTCTGCGAGCTTGCAAGGCATTTTTTAATTTATTGAATTAACTGTCACAGGATGCGATGGATTCCTTGGTTCCCCTCCACCTGTGCGCCAGTACCGCCATTTCAAGGCAGGGTTTTTATGCCCCATTACATTTCATCTGCAGGGACTGAAGGCTTAATGGTGGACTGGTGGGGTGAAGTCGTTCTGCCTCTTATCCTCCTTTTTGCATCGGGATATTTGACCTTTTTGAGGTGCAGTATGTGAGTGCAGTGACGGAGACGGGATAGGGAACTCCGATAGTTAGATAGATAAAACAGATTTGAAATGTAAATAGAGATATATCAGGAGAAGCGATATCATGCCAGAGCTGCATTTCATCTGCATGTATAAAGGCATGAAAAACATTTTAAATAGCTTGTACTGCTCAAAAGAGACATGTATATATTTAGACATGAGGATGACAGTCACTCAGCTCCCTCCACACCTGCAGATGTATTGAACGAGGCTCTTTGCCTTTGGAGCCATCTCAGTCCCATCATCGATGCTTTGAAGTCACTTACTTCTTGTCACTGCTTTTCATGTTATTCATGAGAATTCTGTTTGTGAACTTCAGAGAGATCAGCGTAGCTTCACAGGACCCCATCACAGCAAGTCATCAATCTTGAAACTATGTGTAATTATCTCCACTTCCTGAATGGAGCCTGGGTTTTCAGTGACACTACAAGACTGGGACAAGCATGGCCGCTGACGACAGCAGAGAGACCTCACTTCCCCCTTCACTGCAGGGTGCTAGTGGATGCTTGGGGGCAGCCCCAGTGAGGGTTAACACTGGTCTGTGTCTTTGCTCTCCCTCCCTGCTTGGGGAAAGAAAATACCTGACGTTGGAACCCAGTGCGCTTAGCGCTGACATTTTTGGCAAAGGCTGCTGGATCCTAGTCGTTGTTTGATCTTATGCTTCTCCCAGCCAAGTAAAACACCGGGAGACTCAAAGGTTATTACATTTTAGTGTGTAAGGTATGTTTCCACATAAACCCTTGTTCCCCCCTCAAAACGCTTTAGCTCTTTTCCAAGAGGACTGCATTTCGCAAGCTGCAGAGGAGCCAGGAGAATATCATATTTTTTCAGTTATGGTTGTTGGTGGTGCTATTATATGTAGCACTTATAGGCTATCTTAATTGATTAGATTGTTTAAATTACATTTGCTGCATGTGAAGAGTGTAGGAAGGAGAGAGGAAGACGACATTTTGCAGATTAGAAGGGAAATTGTTCAAAGTTAAAGTGGAGTTTGTCATTTGGACACAGTTGGGTCTATGAATTCAGGCGGTGGAAATCTGAGACCACCTACACAAACGTCAGATGCTGACCTGACATATATTCCACAATAAAGGACAAGAGAAACTAAACAACGGTGTTCAGCGCAATACAATGATAGCTGTGAATGACAGAACATAAACCTTTGCTGTGAGGAGGTCTCCTTTTGTTGTTTGCATGAGAAAAAGCACAAAGACAAGAAAAAATGAAAGAAAAAAGCACTCTCTTTGACATATATGGTGTTTGCACCTTATTTAGACTCTTTGTTCTCTGTTGATGTGTTTCTTTCCCTTCTTTTTGGCACTTGGTCCTTTGAATTTGCTTTCTATGTTGATCTTAAAAAAGTACGAAGCCTTCACGGTAACCTCTGAACGCTTCGAAACTTCATCCTTGCTCCACATTCCTGAACCTGACGCCCTGCTAGGTTTGAGACTGGAGAATGAAACACCACACACCACACACCCTGCATGGCTTCCACCAAGTAGATTGGCACTCATAGCTGCGTACATGTAAGTCATTAGTGTGACATTGCACTACACGCAGATCTGTGGATGAAGAACTCAGCTAAGGTGTCATACTGTCTGTGCTCCTCTGAGGTTTAGGAGTATTGCTATGTTTTGGGTGGTTTATCAACATAATCTACCTCAAGTCAACTTGATGACTTTAACTGTGATCAAAGGTGAACACAGACTAACCACAAAATCCTCATCCTATCTCTCAGCTTCAGACTGCCATAGTCAGAGTTTTATCAAACCCAAACCCAAACCCAGACCCCCGAGGAGCTAGGCATCTTTCTCTCTGCTCTAAGCCGATTTTCCCCCTCTTTAGGACCCCAAGCCTGCACATGTGTAGGTATCGCTGTTACTCAGCTCATAAAACGCCACAGTTCCATCTGAAAGTGGTTAGCTGTTGAAACACACTTGCAGCTTCAAAGCCTGAATCTGGGCTGCGCAGACAGCACAGGCCTGGCCTCCTTCTTCTGCACATCACATTCCTCTCTGATGGGGAATGGCTGCAAACTTGCTTTTGTTACACAAACCTGCTCCCGCCATCAGAACCCTCCATGGGACCCTGTTAGAAAGGGACCTGGTTTATTTTTGTCATAGGTGGTTCATTTTCTGTGGAGAGGAATGATTGCAGAGTGATTCCACATATGTATTTAGAGGAGCTAAGGATTCAGTGGATCTCACGTTGTATATTTATGTACCCAAACACCTTTTGTGCTCTTTCTATATGCGACAGAGAGGGAGGGAGAGGATGAAACTGTGCTGAAAGAGGCCTCTGTTCTCATTTCCTCTGAAAGCAGCCTTCTTTTCTTCCCCCACCCATTTCTTTCCTGAGCCTGTCCACTTCAAAAGCTGACCTGGCCCTGTGTGCCGTGTAACATGTTTACCTAAAGGCTCACTTCAAATAAACAGCAGTTCTCCTTGAGATGCCTGCCCCCTCTCCATGAGAGACTTTCAGAGACACCATCTGTTCAAAAGAAGTGCTCCACAAAGAAAACGCACTCTTCTAAATCAGGATACCGTTTCTTCATGTTGCCGTTGAGCGTCTTTTTCAGGGTATAGCTCCAATACATGCTCACCAGAACTAAACCGCTCAAAACAATGAGGACATGGCAACAGTTTGGTCTGTTAACTCATGAATTGAGATCGTCAGCTTAGCATATCCCCATGGCCGTACTAGAAGTGACCCACCGGGACAAAAAAGTGGCCTAGCGAACTGCTTAAGTTGTCTATATTTTTAATGGCGGCTTTGTTGCATATGAAAGTGCCACTTGAAGTGTCGTACAGACTCACAACCAGTTGGATTAGCACAGCATGTGGCATAGCAACACAAATGTAAACAGACGACAGCATACAAAGAAAGTAATGCAGCTTTCTCACAAGGGGTGGGGGAAAAAATCGATGCACATAAGTATCGCAATTTTTTGTTTTATAACAAGAATCGCAATTTAGATCGAATTGGCATCCAAAAAATCGTAGAGGAATTGAATTGAGAGGAAAGCATATCGTTCTTGTCCTATTTCTCACTAATGCAGTTGTTTTGTTGTAAGTAATCGAGTTAAAACAGCCATCATAGAGGATTTAACAGACCTCCCAGCAGCAGAAACTGTCCTGTGTCATCAGCACTGTGATTGAGTTTTACATAGATGCCACAGATCGGGAAAAGTTTAGAACAACGATGGTTCCTGACCCACACTCCAGCATAAGTTCTCAGGACTTATGTGGAGGACTTATTCCCCTCCGCTTTTTCTTTCCTGTCTATTTAGGGCAAAAATACCCGTTCTTGGTTTTCAGGTAACTCGGGTTACAATGCATCAATCACAGGTAGCCACACCCCCGAACATAACTCCTTTATTTGCCAGACCAAAGATACAAAATGGATTCATTTCTGGGTTTAAGATCAGCCGCCTTACTGGTCATCAAAAGGAAAATGAATTAATGAATATTTCATTTTGGTAAATCATTAAAGAAGAACAATTTGCATGAATCTTCCGCTCGGGTAACACAAGATAAAAATGTGTTTACAATTGACCATTTCACTAAAACTGACACAGTAAAGCAGGTTCAGATCTTTTCTTTTGAAACTAAATATTTATGTCCTTTTCCTTTCTCTGGTTAAAATTCAAAGAATGAAGCACCCTGAGGTAGAGTAGATTTCTCCCGTCTCTTCTGAAGAGTTCTCAGGTATAGCAGAGCTTCACTGCTCTTTTTTTTACAGGTACCTATTTCTTTGTGTTCATAGGGGCTGACTGATCCTATCACTTTAAGAATTCCTGTGAATCTGAATATCTGAACCTTGACCCACACTGCTTTGAGAACTTCTCTATCCTGGCAGCACCTGATTATCTTATAGCTTTTAAGGTATTACCGCACATCGGCTGCTTCCGCTTTTTTGAAGCATCAACGGTCTTTGAAGAACTTTTATCAAACTTATAAGTGTCACACTCAGCGCTTTTAAGTGGACTACCTCCAGACTTACTTTGTGATAAAGAGCACAACTCCATCAGACGTGTAGCTTTATACCTGAGATAAGATAAGAATATACAAGCAGCAGGGCTAAGCTAACTGGGCTTGTGTGTAAGTACTCTTTCATATAGCCTCACAGCCCTGGTTTGCAGTAATTATGGCTGTGAAAGCAGTAACTCTGTGTGCGCTCTGCTGAGCTGCCCTCTGCACCGCAGCCTTTTGATCTCTGCTTGTGCCATGGATGAATTACGTTGCAGAATTTCACACTGGGGAACAGTGTTTCAGACACACACAGCTAGTCTGTCAGGTCACTAAAGTGCACACATGGCAGTCCAAAAGGAGGAAGCACAGATGTTGTAGTCTCGCTGTCTGTGGCCTCAAAATCAGTAAAAAATCATAATTCATGCTTTCCCTCAGAAGGCTTTTAAATTCTTGCCTTGTGGTTTAGCTTTCAAAAGAAATTTATCAGACCCTCATTTCCTCTTATTTTCTCGACCAGAAATGTTTTTTGAGAATAATTCAGTAGAAGTATGAATGAGCGGTGCATGATTTTAGTTCATCAGTAATTGGCTCATGTGCTACTTTCTTTTTCCCTTCATCTCATGTGTTCATTTTTTTAATGGCAAGTTGTTTCTCATATGCCGAAGCATTTCAGCCGGTGGCCCTCTGGCAATGGTCCGATTCACATAGCCAGGCTTTCTTCACATCGTCCTAAGATCGTGGAGTCCCCTCTGCTTCCTGCGCCCAGCAGGAGTGTATTTTTAGGAATCCTCAGGAAAACACTTGGTGTTGACCCTGGGTTGACCCCCTGTCTGGTTCCAGGTCTGTGAGGAACTTCACATCTTGGAATAAAGCCTGTTCTTGCATCGTCTAGAATTCTTGTGGTCTCTGAGACTGGCAGTCCCAACCGCACAGACAAGACAGCGAGTAGCGCGGAGTAAGAGAGGGTTACACAACAACACAGACAGAGACAGGAGATAAAAGAGGTTCAGACACTTTGAATATGCAGCAGCAGCTCTTTTTTGTGTGTCAGATTTAAGAGAGTGTCAAAAACTGTGCAGCAGTCTGGAAAGCCAAGACATTTTTTTTAACCCAAACAATGTTGGCAGGATGGCCTAAAGCCTTAAATATTTCCTAGTTAGGAGGAACTGCTACAATTATGGAAACGAGTGGCGTCTCCCAGGACTTGAGGTTTGGCAAGTGTCACTGAGAATAGTTAGGCCACAGAGGATGACTTATTAGGGGCTCTGACTGTATGCTTCCCTGTCATACTTAGTTATTTGTTGCATCCTTCTGCGCTGAACTCTGTATTTTTGCTGTCTGACTGGTGATTCACCCGCAGGGCAACACTCATACAGAACAACAGCAGCCTACATATTTGCCTAACATGCCTCACAGATGGATGTGAGTGGAGTTCATGCCACATTACTGGCTGGTTGGTCACGGGCACCTCTTATCAGGGTCAGTCATATGGATCTGATCTTCGCTGCGTAGCTTTCCCAAAGGGAGCAGTAACAACTCTCTGATTGTAAAGCTTCGGTTTTGACCCTGAACCTGTTCTTGTCCTGGTGGAAGAAATATTCAGGAAACAGCAGGAAGCTCATTTAACCGACCACAAGTCCTCGACAGCAAGAGTGACTCAGATTTAAATGAGCAGCAGGGAAGTCAGGATGAATTAGAGGGACAGCATCGTCCAAGCTGTTGCAGTTTTTCCCAACAGAGGGGCCACAGGTCAAGCTTTTTACAAGAGAGAGAGGAAAGTTCAGCTAATTAAGATTCAAGTTTGTGTTTGTAAAAGTACATATCAGGTAGAAAATAGATATGTAAATAGACAGATGTAAATGTATCAATAATTGGAGCACTATCTTTCCCGTGAATAAGATAGCCTAGTCTTTCTGGTAAATTTTAGGCATACAGCTAACATTAATGCTGTGTTTGAGTTACCTCAGAAGTCAGATGTCCGAGCTGGGAATGACGCCACACCCGAGTTACCAGTCTTTCAGTTACCAAGTCGGAAAAAAGCAAAATCGGAGGCAGAAACAAGATGGCTACATTTGCAAAAGTTATTTTAACGCTAGTTATTTTAGCTATTTTAAGTTATTTTATCATCCCCTTTCGTAGACGTAGCCATCTTGTTTCTGCCTCCGATTTTGCTTTTTTCCGACTTGGTAACTGAAATGCTGGTAACTTGGGTGTGACGTCATTCCCAGCTCGGACATCTAACTTCCGAGGTAACTCGAACGCAGCATAACCTTACAGTAAAAATGCTAACCACCTATTAGCTTTCGCCACCACATGCAGCAATTGAGAAATGGTAAAAAGTTAAGAAATAGACTCAAAATACATGTAATTTAACTTTTGGAAAATTAAAAATAGAGATGGCTAACTGTGCTGAAAGGAGTGAATAATCTGGGCATACTGTAAAACAAAGGATATCAACTTATTGATAATTGGCCCTTTGATGCCTGAAACCACAAATTATGGCCAGAAAATACTTTTTTTTGGAGCTGAAATGTTTTTTTCACTTACTACTGAAAACCACAAAAAAAAAAAAAAAAAATTCCTTAAAATTTAACAAATATATTTATTTATCTTGTTTGATACATTAGATGTTTTTGGAATCTGATAAACCAAGAGGACATTTTTATCATTTATCGGACAGTATTCAGGTGTTTTTTTTAGTAATATGTTGATCATATTAATTTGATAGAAGTATCATAAAAGTATGTATCAAATATGATACAAAAGGCATTAAAGGGTTCGATCTTATCAGAAGGTATGATAATGATACTCCCCTCTAATTCCAGTTTGTAATCCATTCAGAAGAACATATTTGGAACATGACGTCCTTGAGCTCCTCTCACTGAGCTGTGGGCAAAAGAAACCAGTTTACATGTAAAGCTTGGGCAATGTTGCTTCTCTTCCACACTTACATGCAGCTGTCCTTCCCCAACATGGTTTGTTTACATTTCTCAGTCACCCACAGGAGCACTGTAACGCCTGTAGCTCCACTAGCCTCCAACCACAGAGCCTCGCCCCTATGATCGGCCAGGCCTGGTTTTCAAAGCTGTGACTCAAATCCTTCGCAGCTTAACAAAACGATCAGTGAAGACGGTGGTTGGTGGTTATCTTACAGGTGAGAGCAATTATAACTGACATGTCAATGCGAGATAGACAGCTGGAAACCCGACACTGACTACAGTACACAAAAAGCCGTTACAGGTGAGAGTGATTGTGTTCAAATGGTTTTCATCCAGCGAAAACAGACAAGGTGGAGGAGTGTTTATAAAACCTTGATGGCTGTAACCGACGGACAATTGAAGGGTTGATTTATACTGAACCCCGGGCTACATGAGATCACTGCAGCTGATCACTCTCAAATACCGCTCAGCTGGACACTTGTGAAGAGAGCATGCCTTTTGTGAGGTGGAGAGGCTTTGGACCATAATGGGATTGGCGTAGCAGTCACCTCACCCACAACCTGGCATCCTGAGATCCTCTGTGTTGTTTAAAGGGCCTGAGGAATGTGGAACAAATCCCCTCAGCTCTATCGGCCTGGGCGCGCTCCCCATTGGCCGGGCTTAAGAGCCAGGGGCCTGCGCAGGAGCTTACAGAATTTCACATGGAGGCCAGAAACAGAGGAACATCCTGTTTGAGTCTAACCGCCTGTCTTACACTGGCTTTGATATGCCTTTAACCTGTGCACTTCTCTCTTGTTTGTCAGGGTGTGTGTACATGTTTGAAATCTGGACTGTGGACGTCCTGTCTGGCATCTCGATGAAACCATCTTTGTTCTTTATCACTGTTAAACCTTCTTGTCTTTTGGCTTTCAGCTAGACTAAAGCGGTTATGTGAAGATATCCCCCCTCGGAGACAATAAGCAGAATGATCAATCGAAGCAATGAAAGATGAACTCAAAGTTGCAGCCCTTATTCAATTATTTAATAAACTCTGACAACCAACCAGCATCGTCATGAGACATGCACTGTTACCAGTCATTGATCTCTGAGAGTTAGCTTACGAATGAACAAGTAAAAACCGTTGACTGTATATACTATGGATAACTTGGTTCCACCTTCCGCCAGTGTATGTATTTGAAGTGGAAAAGCTCTCAGTAATTCCGCGTTTTTTGTCCACTTCCTAAAACCAACATTGCGCAACTTAGCATTGTACGCACTCCACCACTTGCGCAGTAGCATTGTGCACATCCGGCGGGAGAGTCGCTGAGAGTCGCTGTGATGAAGCTTGGTTCAAACAGCGTATCCCTCGGGTGAGCTATGCAATCTTCGTGCACCCATAGGCTGTATCAAGTGTCAATTATAGAAAACATGAACCACCTAATAACTTTTAAAAATGGAGCTGTACAGAAAAAAAGAGGACTTGTAATAGATTTCTAAAGTTTGTCCACAGCATCATAAGGATGGCTGGCAGAGGTGGGATTTACGACCTATACTGCAGCCCATCACCAGAGGGTGCTGTTCTCCGAGTGGCTTCACCCAGCGAGGAGGCAGACACTGTACATTCTATATACACTCTATAGTAAAAACATGTACGCTAAATATTCAGGTCTATATATTTGATATGATGAAGACCAGAAATGAAATACAACTTCAAGACAGCATCACTTTTGACTCTTAATAGAACCCAATTTAATAACTTCAGCTGGAGCAGGTCATTAAATATTTGACTGCGTATAACACATGGCGCTGGTCATATAAAAGTCCACACAGTGCCTATCCCATTACACCATCAAGCTCTGTTACTCCTGAATTAAACCAGCATTCCCTCAGTGGTGCAGTCATTCTGTGTGTGGCTCTACTTTTTACGCATTACTTCACTTTTCTGTGTTGTGATACACTGATCTGTGACAGGCAGGCCGTGTTATTCATTTTCCACTCACTAATAAAACACACAAACGGTGTTATGATCACCTACTTCTATGACTTCATACATTGGCCTAGCCCAGATTCATGAGTGTCACTGGTATGAAGTGCATGGCTTCATAGTCTCTACAGTAGCTGTCTGAGAGACAGCTGAGAGGTCGGCTCTCTGTTACATCAGCCTCATATCAAAGCCCACTTTATTGAAGGCGAGCTGATTACAGCACCGATGACAGATGCAGTGGGTCAGCCAGAGATGCTAATCTTTGTTTATGCCATCCAGCAGGTCATAATCAAAGTGAGGACGGGACTAGAGAGGCATGTAGAGTTTAGCAGTGAGTCGTTCCTGATTGAAGAGGGGCGGGTGACTTACCTCTCGCTCTTACATAGACAGGCAAGCATGCTCATCTCTCCACACAGCTGTTGTTGTACTAGGACTGCAGAGGCTTCACCCTCTGATTCATGTCCTGCCAAGGGAGAGGTCTTGCCTCCTCTTTGACCTCATAGAGTGAGTACTGCTACCCTGAAAGGGCTGTATCTGGGCCATCTCGGCCACATGGGGCCGGTCCAAATGAGAGGATGGCATTCTGCTCTGATCTCATTCCCGTCCATTGAGAGACATGTCACTTCATACTGACATTTAAATAGAAAGCACCCTAATTAGTAGACAAAGACAGGTTTTAGCTGTCTGGCAGTAAAAAGGATTGAAGAGGTGAGGCTGCGGTTTTTTAGTCTGAACTTGAAAACAGTCATGTTATTAAAAGCCCTTGGCTCAGTCATGATAAAAGCGCTCATAAAGTAGAAACTGAATCATAAAAAACATGCTCTCTACATATGATTACAGTTTTAGCCAGGCTGAGGCAATAAATCAACTTTTTTTAACTGCATGTAAACGTATGGACTGTGATCACGGTAATCATTCATGAGGCAGACTTATTTACAGCCAGCAGTATAATAAGGTACTATACAATACTACATGGTACTAAACCATACTATACAATACTCTACGATAGTACACTCACAGTCTTCTTGGAGAAATCTGTCTTGAACTGAAGTGCTGCACATGTTCAACTCCCCCCACTATAGTATGATAAATAAAAACACTAAGAAAACAACAGTCTGAATACAAAAAGTGTATATCAGAGGAACTGACATGTAGATCTGTTTGTTTTCACATTTCCACTGAGAAGTGTCTGTTCTGTCGATGCTGAGCCCCATAATTACTTTGACTGGGACTCAAATCTGAGGTCTGATAAACCAAAGAAAGACACCAACTCATTGTTCTTTTACTGTCTCGCAAGAGAAGAGACAGAAGTTGTGCAACCGGCCTTCTCTTTTGAGCGTCCCATATTTCCAGCCCCCCACCACCAACCCCTCATCACTCCCTCTCTCTTCCTCTGCCTCTCTTCAGTATAACCGCTCACATCTGGTTTTGAGTCAAGGCCAGGTTGGTTTCTTCTGGAATGGAGACCTTTTATTTCTCAATGGCCCCTCTCCCTCTCCAGTTTAATACCGCGGTGAAGAGTATGCAGTTTGTTTACGATTTGGTGTCCTTTTCCTCAGTGTTACACAACTCAGTCCTCATTTTCATCACTTGGGAGCCACACAATCATCCCCAATTAATGTCTAGAACTGGTGGTCTTCAAGGTCTTTAAAGTGTCGGTACTTGAATACATTTTACTTCGACTTTACATTCTGGAGAGCTCCGACTGTTAGTCGCCCAGTTTTGGCTCCTGGGACACTCTGCGTTAAACAGAGTTAATTGCTAAGACACTTTATCTGGTTTGGATAAGAAAGCAACCAAAACAACACAGCGGCGTCTCACTTCAGGGAGAAAAAAACACAGATTTAAAAGTATGACTGTTCATATCCTGTTTTTGTATTTTTTCTCCTAGCACATGTTTGTAATTGGATACGCATCCAGGCATCTGATCAAGTTGCTGTTTTATGACCTGAGGCGACAGGAACTGAGTGTTAGCCTCACCTGCTTTTAAAGATTCGAGTTTGGAGTCGTTTAAGTTTTGAATTTGAGCATAAAAACACAAATACAAATGGTACACAGATACAGCGCAGAAGGATTCAGCTGTAGTTGATCATTTGAATAAGAGAAAAAAAGGCTGGCCCTTGTAAAAGAATTGACAGATAATGACAAAAATAGTCAGTGAACTTTACAGGCCGCCACAAAGAGCTACCCTCTTGCTTACAAAGCTAACTGTGATGAAGCGATGTTTGTTTTTATTTTTAAAAAAAACAGCTCTTATATCGCATGGTTTTTAGAATGGACCAAAAGAAGCGTATGTGCTTATATTCAGGAGGTGAGCTTGATGGGGGGATGTGAGAACAAAGATGTGCAGTGTTTTCCAGTGGGAGGATGGGTGGCAGGCAGGCAGTCAGAGAGAGGGAGACTGCTGGGGGATGTCTGATGTCACCTGGTAGGGAGCTATGAAAGCTTCCCCTGGTTACCCTATCCCACATAAAAGTCTGGCAGTAGGCTGAGGCTTTGGGGAAGCTTGGCAGAACTGCTGCATTAAACAGGAACAAACATCACACACCTCTCTGTCTGTCTCTAATGTCGAGGTGTCTCGGAAACAGAATCTGTTTACATGGAGCGCTGTCAGCGCTCATTTCAAAAGCACTGTTTTCAAGACGAGTATCTGGTGTCATATGCGGTTTTCATTCTGTCTTCCCCATTCCTCACATCACACACTTTTTCTATCTGTATATCATAGGTTTCAGGTGTTCTCCACTGGTGGAAAACAAGGCCCACTTTGCTGTAAAATGCTTACACATTTGTCTACAGAGCACTTTGTGATCTGATAGCGAAAGAATGAGAGCTGCGAGATGCCAGAACGCTCTTAATTACACATGTGGTGGGCAGATTTGAGCCCGACACCGTGGGCGATGTGGATGGAGATGCCATGTGTTTAGACGTTAAACTTGCAGACTGCGGTTAGACCCAGCCTGCTCTCTCATTAGCTCCCCAAAAGGATGTAATGAGCATGGAGGTGGAGGTGGAGGTGGAAGTGGTGGAGTTAAGAAGCCATGTGTTCGACATAAGCCCTGCTGGTCCCCGCCTTGTGCACACAGCAAGACATCGCTTCATATCTGAAATTTTAATTAGAGACACTTTTGGCGGTGGGTTGATTGATTTGTTTTGTAATATTTAACGAGTGCCGTCTTTCATTTCAGGTGCTCATACCTTGTTCTGTAGCCTCATGGGAATGAAGATGAGGAGAATCAATGGGTGTCTTTGATGTTTTTTCGTGCTGCAGAACAGTGTGTGTGTGTCTGAGTGTGTGTGTGAACCTCCTCCTCCTTACATACTGCCCTTCATTAAGGGACTGCGGTACAAAGCCAGGGAGATAAAAGCATTCAGTGCGGAAAGGAAACAACAACTTGGCTGCAGAAACCACCAAAGATGGAAACTGTGTGTTTTGTTTAAGGATGCATATGGGCTTGCCTGGTTTTGTAGTGTGTGTGAGTTTGGTGATTAAAGACTTCTGCCTGTTTAGAGCCCAGGAAGCAACACCAGTTGTCTCCACCTTTCCCAGAAGTCTTCTAGTATCTGTTGGAAAAAATACCTCCACCTCTCCCACTGAGTACTGGAGTTTGCAGTAGATAGACTCCTATCTGCTTAAACAAACCACATCCTCCTCTGCTCCTCTCCTCTTATCTGCGTCTCCACTCTCCCATCTTTGTTCTCCTTCTCTTTCCCTCCCTCTTTCCCCCCTTTTTGCTCCTCTCAGTCTTCTTTATTCCTCCCGCTTCTGTTATTCTCTCCTCCTCCTTCTCTTTCTAATACTCCTGTTCTTTTACTGTTTTCCCTCAACGTCTCCCGTGGCCAATTTACAGAGGGGTGTCCGAGCCTTGACCCTGACACTCAACCAGCATCCCACCTCCTCCCTCAGCGGTGAAGGTCAGGGCTAGATTACAGGCTGGAGGTATCATCCTCTGAAGTGAAGAATAATCACGACCTCTGAGACTGTTAAATAGAACCACAGGCCCTGGCGCTGTCATTACTCTCAGAGAGAAAGAAAGAAAGAAAGAGGGGAAGGGGAAGGAAAAGAAAGGAGAGGAAGGGAGGGGGGCTCGTTCACCTAAACGCATGCAGATGTTCAGACTCTGGCTTGAGCCTGGGCTCTGTTGAAGGTACACGGAGTTCTTTTGTTTGCAAGCATCTATCTGTTTTTTATTTGTCTTGTTTCAGTGGGCCTCCTTGATTCAATCTGGTGGGATTTTATTTCAAAGTGTGTGCAGAGCAGCTTAGAGGCCTAAGAATGACGTAAATAAGATGAATCATTTGTTGTTTAAATACTTGTGGTTTAGGGCCTGTGCTGCACTTAATTTTCATTGTTTCCACAATGCAGTTGTAATTAACGAAAGGCTCCGCTTGTGTATGTGTGCGCACTCACGGAGGCCCAGTTGCCTCCGCTTCATCATGCCTGTGCATCAGAACATATGTGGGATGGTTCTGAATACATTGTGGTTCTGTTTTATGCAGCATATAGATTATTCACATATGACAGCTAAGCCCTTTACCCCCTTCTACTCCTTTGTCCTGCTTTTGTTTTACGGCTGTGGAATTGTGTTTTTAATCAGTCCCATCCTATGTGCGTGGAAATTTCCATCTGGCAATTATTCTCTGTTCAAAATAAATACACACATGTTGCTTGGAGCTCTTTGTGAGACTTGTTTTATATAAACCAAACTTCCCAGAGTCAAGTTTTCAATAAGAAACGTGAAAAAAAAGGACTTTTTCCGAACTCAAAGCATCTTCTCTCCCCACCATGTCAAGCAGAACAAACAGACTGGAGAGAGAGAGAAGAAAAGCCCAGGTGATGAAATGTATTATGGGTCAGTTTAATCATTATGAGGGTCAGTTTGAAGGGCTTGGAGGGATATTAAAGGCTTGGCCATGGTCACTGTTGCTGTGTCCCAGACAGTGAAACACAATAAGAGTGCAGATGTTCAAAGTGTTTGGCGGTGCTGGAGCCTCCACCGCTCTCGTTCCCTCTCATCGGAGTAGGAAATGCTTTAGCTGGAACTGTTTGTTTTCTCTCTGTCTGTGGTCTGAACTGTAGATTCACTTACATCTCTGACCCCACCTCTACCCATGTCTCTCTCTCTCTTTTTCTCTTCTTTTCTAGTCCCAGGAGTTTGCAAATGGTGAGCTGAAGGAAGGGCATCTTGCAGATCAACACTGTCCCCTAGAGGGTAAGCGTAGAAGGATGTTGTCTCACTCATTGTAAAGCCACATACCTTAAGAGACCATGAATATTCACAGCTGTACTAAAAGGTTAATGAAACCTCAGGGCTGGTATATATAGATTTGTATTTTAAGGAGTAAGTTTAAGTATTTAGTAAGGTTAAATGCAACTTTTTTGACTGATATTTGAGGTTATTAATACTACTTTTAATTACTATTGTTGGGTAAAATAATACCTAATTTAGATCAAACATGCCTACAAGTATAAAAAAACAACTATATGCACATATGGAAATCTACTGAGAGGCCACAAAGTCCAAAACCAGGATACTGTGGTTTCATTTTGAAGGTATGTTTTGCAAGTGTAGCTGTAAATTCTTAATTCTGCAAGAGTAATCAGTTTTGTTGTGTCTAACTTGGACCCGTCCTCTTGTGTTGACAGTGGTTCTTCCTCCAGAGAAGGCTGAGGGCTGTGAGAGTTACCTGCAGTACCTGCACTCAGAGGATGGAGAGCGGGTGATCCTTAGAGACAGGACCAAAGCTTCGGGGAAGAAACGCATCAGTATAGATGTAAGAAACTATATACCCTGGCAACAGTGCATTGTGGTTGCATTACATTGAAACTTGCATTTTCAAAATGTATATACACAATAAAGATGCGGAGAATCACAGCAGGGTCTAAGTTTGATATTCCTGCGCAGCCCACAGCAGGGAGTTATGTGTTTACTTTCCCACACTCTCCTTGTCCCTTCTTGAGGCTCTCAGTGTCAGATAATAACTGATGGGACTTTGAGTTTGAGCCCTTGGGTGAAGACCTGGATGTTGATTTTTAACTATTCTCAAGCAACATGCAGCAAGAATAAACAAATTAGATCAATAGATGTAGCAATGACAGCATCGGCAAGAGCTGCTGCAGTGGGTGAAAATGATTTAACAACATAGGTAAGAAAGTAAATACATGACAGGAACATCAATGATGTGCCTTTGCTCTGTGCACAGGAAGACCCGTAGGTTTGTTGACACCACTCCCAAACCATAGCCTGATAGAATTTTAGGGCCAATAAAAAATAAATAGATGGTAATGTTTAGACTTGCACATATTGGAAAAACTGCTAGGATTAGTCCTGTGGTGATCCTTCCTGGATCTGTGAGCTGAGGTGATATTAGAGGACCTTAAAGCACTGTGTCTTTTCTTGGTCTTCACACAGTGTCAGCTCTCCATGGTGCCTGCAGCGAGGTCTGCAGGCCTAATGTTTATCTTTACAATTATGACCATGTTACCAGATACACGTGAATTCAAAGCTGCTGCCAAAAAAGTTGTAACTGAGTAGAGCTGTGTGCTCATTTTTTCATTTCTGCTGGATGAAGGCAGAAACAGAAGATCACAGTGGCGAGGCCCTCAAGTCATTTAACGACATAAATTGAAGGCAGCTGACAAGCAATCAGTTTATGTGTTAAAAAAGGATCTATTTCCTACTGTGCTGCCTATTCATCAAGTATTTAAAGTGTCATACACTTGCTTTTCTGCATATGTGGTTAGTCTGTGAATGAATTTACTTATGTAATTAATTTAAAACTCTAATTCTGATATGAAACCAGTTGTGATCGTAAGTCAAGAACACTAATTGGAAGAATACAGGAACTCTTAATATTTTGAAAGATGTTTAAACATGAGCGACTGTGACACTGCTTTCACATGTACTCTGCTGCTCTCTTGAGTTACTGCAGTTGTATTACTTCAAATACTGCTGGAGGACAGTTAGCTCATCAATACTGAAAGATAAAAAAAATAACCTAGCTATGATAACTATCTGTGCTTTTCTAAACTCACATCACAAAATGGTTAAAAAGTACACAACAGAACAAATGGAGGTGGGTAAAATGGTGAAATGAAAACCTGCAGGATTACCCAGTCACCTACAACAGCATGGCCAAAAGATACTAATTTAGCTCAGTTGGTAGAGCAGGTGCCTGTATACATTGGCTGCAGTCCATGCTTCCTGGATGCTTCTTTCATATTTCTTAACTTTTTCAAGCAGTCTTGACGGATAAAAGCAAAACGGAACAAATGGAGGTGGGTATCCATAACTATTAGATAAAGTTAATTCAAGCAAATTCTGATTGAAAAAAATAGAAAGAGAAATTGAAAGGTGGTCACTGACTCTGCTGACCAGATTTTTGGGGTAGTTTTAGACACACTGAGACCCCTCAGGATGTCTTCATTACAAGGCATTATACGTCATGATTTGCCTCAGATATGACGTTGATCAAGTATGACTTTTATGTTTATGTTTGTATCTACAGGACTTGGAGTGTGACGTTTCTGTGGAGGATGACAACCGTCAGGAGTGGATCTTCACTCTGTACGACTTTGACAACAGTGGCAAAGTTACCAAAGAGGTAAGAGGTGTACCTCTGAGTGAATGTACGCTTTGATTACTACCTGCAGTCCTTGATGTACCTCATGTTTCCTTTAGTCTTCCTCTTTCACTTACCATTTTGTCAAAGGTCAGACTGCAAACTGCATCAACTGTGTTTTATCTGTTACTGCAGGACATGTCGAGTCTGATGCACACCATCTATGATGTGGTGGATGCCTCTGTGAATCACTCCTGCAATAATAAGAGCAAGACTCTGCGAGTTAAACTGACTGTTACTCCTGAGCCAAGGTCCCACAGGAGAGAAACAGGAGCAGGTAAATGACAAGATAAAATATCATCCGAACTCAAACTTTGTTTCAGACCCCAGTTAGCTGTTGACGAGCACAGTAAGCTATATCTTTTATGATGTAGGTTTACTTTTGGTTCTGACACTAAAATACACTTCTTGTTTGATTTTGAGGTCAGTTATTTTTGTCTTTGGAGCATCTTAGGTGTTAAATAATCATTTCACTTCACTTTCCTACCTGGCACTTGCGAATAGAAGTGTTTTTTTTTATAGATAACATTTGTATTTAAAGTACCTGGATCATCTAGGCAATTAATTGTTATCAGACCTGTTAAACACTAAGATACAGCACCCAAAATACATAAAAACTTTAGAATTTAAGCTCCAAAATATCTAGCACCCTAAAGGACATTTTCAGTATAGACGTATCTGGTAAATGTTGACAAAAATAAGGAAATTACAAACAAGCTTAGAAGATGTAAAAGCAGCCTCATTCAAGGAAGGAAGTTACCGGACACTTTTCCTAGTCTGATCTCTTGATCTTTTTCTCTTTAGATCGCTGTCACCAGGATGAGGGGCGTTCAGCTGACAAGCGGCTGTCCTCTTATACTAGGTGAGTTCACATTAAGTACCCTTTACTTGTGGGCTGCACCTTTGTGCATCATGATCATGAGTTTTTCATTATTATTATTGTTGTTATTATTTTGTAGCAAAGGGCAGAGCAATGAATCCCCAGTCACTGAAGGTCAACATTACTGCGTGGATGAAAACACTGAGAGAAGGAATCATTACCTGGACTTGGCTGGTATAGAGAACTACACTTCCAGATTTGAAGGTGAGTGAATTTTTAGTGTTTTTGTGCATCTAAATAGACATACTGTTATCTCACTGGCAGGATGAAAGCAGACTCTTTATAGCATCAGTGAAAATAGCAAATGTTTTTTAATCATATATTGAACCTGTGCTTCTTTTCTGTCCATGAGGTACCACCCCGGCCTTCCCGCCCCAGGAGCCTCATGGCCGGAGCTCCCAGAGTCAAAGCCGCTCACGTTCCCAAGAACCAGAAACTCAAGTTGTTCATCAGCGCCGCTCACAGATCATCAGTGACAGCTACAACCCCACAGAGTCTCGAAGCAAGGGTGCGCAGTTCCTTAAATCCCCCAAAGGGAACTACAAGGGAGGTGGGGGTAATAATGGGGGCAGTGGAGGTGGCAAATCCACAAAATGCCATGGCTATCACCCACCTGGGCAGACCCTGCTGCACAGTGGCAGCGCAGCAGGACATGGCGGTCAGGATGTGTACCACTTACCACACCAAACCCAAACCTCGGCCCACCACCAGCACCCTTTGCAATACAGTCACAGCAAGCGCCTTAGGGCCAAAACCCGGGAAGCCCTGTCCCCATCCAAAACCCAGCTGTCTCCTCAGTCCCACTCACAGCAGCACCCACCTGTGCCCTCTGTACTGCCCAGCCTGGAGAGAGAGCAGGCATCTGGTCCACCTAACAGCCCGGGATTTGTGGTTCCTGTGGTCCAGCGTCACGAGCACCACCATCACCACGAACACCACCATCACCACCACTACCACCACTATCATCAGACATGACCGCCCTCAGTGTGGAGTCACTGGAACTGTACAGGACCAACCACAACCAACCAAAAAGACTTGATATCATCCCACCACAATTTCTCACACTCTAACCAGAAAATTGTTATTCTCCTTATTAAGCTACATACATATATAAAGATATATATTATGAGATTAGACATAACATGGACAATATTGGACAGGGAGGATACTTTTCTGAAGTTATTGTTATGGGAAAATATGTGGCACAGTTTATGAATTTGTGTAGATTTTCTGCTGGGACTGCTAAATTGTAACCAATATTAATTTGGACTACATATTCTAGACAAAAAGTAGTGCAGACAAGTCTTGACATTACATCCTTTCCCTCCTAATGCTGTTGGATAAAGTCTATTGAAGCTACTGCCTCACAGTAGGTGTCTTGTTCTGGGTGAGTGAGGCCTTTCCAAAAACATGGATCTCAGGTGTAAAGGTGCTGCTGCTCTCAAGCTTTTCACAGAGGCTTCTCACTTTAAGAGGTCTGAAGTGGACTGAGGGATTTCCTGTTTAGGGTTAGGGGTGGGAGGGAGTATGAAATCACCACTGCCAGTTTTAATGCAAAAATATCTTGCTATGTGTATAAAAAAATCTATATATGTAAACACATTTTACTGTATAATTATTATACTGTATATGCATAAGTTGTCATGGATATAATTATGCATATATGTTTTTGTCTTTTATATATTTTAATAAACGTTATATAGTTCAGTTACATTATTGCAACTGTTTTTTTTTTTTTCTAGTCACAACAAACTTCATCTTGTTATGTTTGCTGCCACCAAGTGGAAGGAAATACAACAACAACAACAGGAGTGCATAACAACCAAAATCAGCAGGAACAGCTACTGTTAACACAGGCCGTGTATAATTGTGCAGTTACTTAAGTGACATGCCTATTTAAGAAAATCAGAAGAGTCTTGAGTGTTTCTATTTAAACTTCTCAGTAATTCTCTGAAAGTGTTTTGGTCGGTGCTTCTTTTCTTAGATCAGGTTATACAGCACAAATTGTGGCGTCAGTACTGGCTGTGCAGGCTTTCCCATCAGTAGATTTCACAATGTGTAGAAAATTATTTTTCCACCTGGTTGTTTTGTAAGTACCAGGAATCCTTGAGCACAGTCAATCTTAAGTGCCGGCAGCATATCTGGCCCGCTTTTGCCAATTTTGGGGGGGTAATTGAATTTAGGGCTCCTGGAAGGTGGGGCCTATAGATATAGGAGTAATTGCTATCATACCTAATTAATATGTTTTGCTACTTTTTTAATGGTATATGTTACCCAAGAATTTGCATTTCTTTCCCCATGAGACATCGTAATTTGTGGTAAAATTATGTATGTTACTACAACCATAACAGCGCGGCAAGTTGCACAGTTTAAGTATCAGAACCCTGAGAAATGATGCATTTCAGTCACCTTTAATGAGCTTTCCATCTAGCTACTCTAGAAGAAAAGTCCACTAAAGTAACAATCCCAGCATGAATTCATATCACTGATGCTGGTCACTGGTTTGTGTCAATCAAGGACAGCCAACAGGTGGCAGCAGAGAAAAAAACTATTGTTTGTACACCAAGTTTAGAACTGTCATTTTTTCCTCGCTTTAAGTCAAATGCTGATACTGTCAAATGCAGATGTTTCAGGTTTCCAATATGCTTAAAATAGCTTCCCTTAGCTAAAAGTAGTATACTTAAAGTTCATTTTATGAAGTATGTTTGAGTATATCAAGTATACTACCGACCAGGTGCTTTTAGTGTACTACAAAGTATACTAATTTAATACTTCTTCAGACTAAATTGAAACATTTTTATTTTAAAAAACTATATTTAAGTACACTCTGGCAGAAAGAAATAAAACGTGTACTAAATTACAAGTTCCAGTATTAAAGTATAAGTGTAAGTTTTAGTATTAATGTACTTAGTCTTAGACTTTTGTTTACACTTTTCAGTATAAGCGACGTATACTTCATCGTACTATTCTTAAGTATATAAAATATAGTTGATAAAAAGTCAACTTCAAGTATACTTCCATAGTTTTAGTATAAAGTAAGTATACTCATTGTAGACTTGAATGAACTACTTTTTGCTAAGGGTTAGGTTGCTTAAAATTGCTGAGCCATTGAGTAGGATACGTTGTGGTTAACAAGCCCTGGTTTTAATATCTGCCATATCACAATGCAACGGGTAGGCTAAGTGGTTCAAGTGGTTTAATCCTGCTAGTATTCGAAAGGGCCTTTTGTCATGATTACTGTGGTTTTAACACATGAGGGCGCTGTGGAGTCGTTTGTGAATGTGGAGTCTCCCTCTTCCCTTCCCACATGGGATGGGCGGCTCCTCATCAGCTCAAGCTCCTCCTACACTTCCACACCTGCACCTGATCAACCTTATCACCACCTGCTTTAAAGCTCTGCACTGAGACTGCTCGTTGGCAGATTATTCCCATATCTACTGTGGTATCTCAACCAGTTTCTAGCGAGTATTAACAAGTTTGAGGTTTCCCTGCGTATGTTTGTGCCTGTGACTAATCCACGCTCTCCTCCAGTGTCTCCGCCAGTGTCTGCCCAACCTCTGTCACGTCTCCACACTGTCCACTCAGAGTCACTCACCTGCGGTCTCCCTAGTCCCACACACTGCCACCGCGGATTTCCTCCACTCCTTGGACCTCACATCACCCTCCTACAACTGTCTGTTGTTTATAAAATCACTTAAAACTTCTGCCTTCGCTACCTGCACCTGGGTTCCTTCACAATCCTCAAAGACAAAATCATGACACCTTTGCCTTCATATCATTTTAGAGATAAAAATAGGCTGTATGAGAATGTCTAGCTAAAGATGATTATGTATTGATTTAAATTCTAGCTGCAGGTTTTTAAATCAGTAATAATAATAATAATAATAATAATAATAATATAATATGTGACGATAATAATATTAATAATAATATAATATGTGACGATGATAATAATAATAATAATAATAATAATAATAATAATAATAATAATAAAAATAAGTGATAAAATAATAATGATAAATAACAATAATTGTAAAAGTAATAAGTGGTAATAATAATAACAACAATAATAAGCGATAAAAATACTACTAATAATGATGATAATAATTATTATAATAAATGACAACAACAATAATAATAATAATAATAATATCAATAATAATCATCATGGTTATTATTATTATTATTATTATTATTATTATTATAAATGACAATAATAAATAATGATGATGACGATAATAATAATAATAATAATAATAATAATAATAATAATAATAATAATAATAATAATAATAATAATTGCAACAACAAAGTTTTTCTCAATGTTAATGCTGTCACAAGGGTTCTTTTATTTTATTGTTTTTAAGAAAGTGTAAGAAAATCAATGCTGAAATTATCATTTGCTTGCAAACGCAGCCATTATATCTAACGTTGTCATCATTACAGATCAAGTTAGGCTGTCACTGTCCTAAACGTACCTGTGACACGTGACCATACGTAAACGCGTCGAGCCTACCTGCCTTCAACCTGTCATTCAAGTTAAACGTTGGCGACAGAGTCACTTCTCCAAAGATGTGTGCCCAATCTTAGTTATGCTTGTTTGTTTTTTCACTCAAATGTGAACGTCTCGTTACTATTAAATTAATCGTCTTCATTGTGTCGACGCGCTTTTGTTAATTGCCAGACTCGGAGAGAGCAGCATTCCCTGCTTCGGTCGTCAGGGATTTAGGGAAGGACTGAATCCGAGCTCCGACTGGGACAAACAATGGCAGCTATGAAAGGCGAGGGGAGGGTCAGCCTAATGCAAATATCCACTTTGTGCGCCTCAGAGAGAACCTGCACCAAACTCTTGTCAACTACCAACAACTTCCCCGCAAAGTGAGTAACAACAGAGCACTTCTGAGCAACTTTGGGTTGCCTGTTTGGTCGGTCGCCGTGTTTTGGAAAGAGTCGAGGAGTAAGGATTTCACGTGGATGCTCCATTGATTCAGCAACAAGTGGAAAAGCGGAAAAGAGACAGCTTCTAGAGACGGAATACTGTAGCATCTCCAAAGTGTGCCAAGTGCACCTGCTGAGGAGGAAGACAGAGAGGTAGGAAATGTACGCTGTTTATAATAGAGCATCACCAAGTAGGTCCTATCGTAACAAATGTGTGCATATATACAACGATCTTTCACATGCAAGAGAAATTTTTCCTGTTTTTTTCTTTGTACATTCATCTCTTTTTTTATATATCTGTGTGTTGAACTTTAAGGAGAAAAACAATCTCTTCGCTTTCTCCCACAACAGTTTTGTCTGTCCCACCATTTCCCTTCTGTGCGGCTTATTTAGTGCTGCTAAGCCTGCCTCAGGAAAACGTGATTATCCTCAGACCATCGATACGCTGGCTTTCATTCAAGACATGCATGAGAAAGGCTTTGCAACATAATAGATCAGTGGGAGCCTGTCTGCTTGTATAGGCGAGGGGCAAACGAAGGGGAATCTCACTTGAATGTTGATATTGTTGGGTGTCCATGCAGAGGGGGTGCAGATAAGAAATACCGATGCAAAATGTGACATTGCTTTGGGAAAGTTAACCACAAAACTTCAGGACAAGTTAAAGCAAATATAGCAGAGATTGCTCAACGCTGAACCCCATTCAGTTTAATCTTTGCAGCCTGCAGCTATTGCCAGCAGAGAGCAAACAGTAATGTAGAGAAATGCTACTGTAAAATCCAGGCATATCCCCCTAGAGAAACATCAAAGCTGACTCAACATGGGGCCTTTATCTGAACAATTGCTCCATTCTCCCCTGCACCCCAACCCTGACCACCCCCACAACCCCCTATTCCTAATTTCCACTTGATTAAGCCCTAAACTGAGCTGAGTTGAATCTGGAGGGAAAATGGTTCACTAATTCTGACTCTCAAGTCCGACACAAAAGAGGACGGCTGTTGTCTGAAGAGTTTTGTCTGCATGATTGAAAACCATCATGTTTGGACAAATGTAGACAGAAGAAGTGACTGTGAGGGAGGGTGACTGACAGCGAACCTTCTGTTTGTCATATCCTCTGGTTTTGTATTCAGCTCCTGCTTGTTTTTTTCTAGTCTTATGATGTTAAAATGTATCGCTGCAATCTGCACAAGATGTCTGATGGACTGTTACCCCTGCTGCCTGATATATTAACCTTCCTCCTATGTTAGCTTTTACTAAGCACCCACCATGTTAAGGGTAAATTACACTAAAAACAATTCTCTATCATCCAGTTTGGTTCTCATCTCTAGGTTACCTTGTTGGGCTTCATTATCCATGAAAATATTGGGCCTTTCTTTGTTAGTATTCCCCTCACACAGACATCTATACTGAATTGATCTCACATGTCTGGACATGCCTTACGTTGTTTTTTGTGCAGGTAAAAACATGGAAAAATGAGAATTTCCTATATCTCACATGATTTGAAGAGGATCTGACAGTGTACTTATGATTTCAGTTTTTACTCTAATTATTAGATATTGATCTAACCGGGTCAACAGCGACCCTAACATGACAAGTGCCATCGTTTTAATAAGAGCATTTTCTAATTTAGTCAATCTAATTTTTTGTTTTTATGGTGTTGAAGTAGAGGTTCCCGACAAAGTCAAAAAGTCTTAATGCAAAAATGCTAATCTAAGTGGTTCTTTTAAGCATTTAAAATCAAAAACGGGTTGGTGCAGACTCTAACACGGGAGGAGGGTTAAAATGTTAATGCACCAGTCTTGCAGTAAAACCAGCGAAACACATGGACATTATGTGCGTTTAGGCGTGAAGTTGATTTGGTTGTTCCTGCACTAAAAACAAAATGTCAGTGTCAAAGTCTGGTGTTTATTATCTACATTGTTGTGCATGTGTCAGATCAATGAAGATGCATTAAAATAGTTAACAGGGAGTTAGTCTGGATGCAGACACTTGTTTTCAGGGGTTGGTGTGAAAACTGCTGGTGCACTTTATGACGTCTCTTTGCTCAGACAGTCGGGTAGAAGTGGCTCTGTATCGTCTGTTTATTCTACCACCAACTCAAATGTATCCTGCAGTTATAGTTTCAGTTTGAAATCAACCTGGCTGTTGGTTTTTCTTGTATTTGTAAGTAATTATCTCTATTGGTGAGTAAGCAGGAGCAGTCTGCAGACAACTGTACACATTCCCTGTCTCGTGGTGAGGTTGCCAGGCAATGTGAGCTGCTGGATTGAGGTTGCTCTATGGCTTTTTTTTGCTCTCTCAGACTGCTTTCTCCATTGCTCTCTGTCTTCCACCCCCCAATCTCTCCTTCTCAGCCCCTCTCTCCTCATCTGCATACTAATAGATGGACTAAAAGCGTATGAAAAACCAGGACTGTCAAACAGATTATTGATATTCGTCACTTTCTAGTGTCTTTGCTGAGAAAGAAGTTTAAGGACACTTCATCTATTGTTATCTGCTGAATTTATAGTTGGCACTAATTTGCTGTGTCGGACATAGCAGACAGTAAGTCTACTACTGTCTCTGCTGTTAATGTTGGTGAATAGGTTTTATTCTGTCGTGGTCCACAAGAGCGTTTTCTTTATCTTTGTGTTACAATCAAAGGAGGGCAGAGTCCAAGTTCAAGAGAAGTACATCATCTTCTCTTGTGACTGTTTTTGCCGTTTTGTGCTTTTTTCTAAAACTACAAAACAGACATTTTTCAAAAACTTCAGCATCCTTATCCCCACAGCATCTGTAAACAAGAAGGAATCATTACTCTGACACCAACTCACAAACAGAGACTTTTGTCTCTTTTTATACATCGTAAACAAGGAAACTCTTAATGACTGTGGCGTTAGCACTTCTCTTAGAATTAAGTGTAAATTCCTGTAGAATGCAGTTATACTCTTTTGTCTTTCGATTAAGTTATTACAGACAAGCAAAAAGCCACATATGAGTATGAAAAGTCAGCATTTTTAGTCATGGAGGGGTTCCTCAATGACCAGATTCCTCTTCCAGATAGGCCTTATCCTCAGGAGACAGGTATAATTAGAGCAATGGAAACAGGAAACACCTCGCCCTCCCTATCGTTTTCTCCCTCCTCCCTCTCTCTCTCTCTTCCTCTATCTGTGTTACTCTCCCTCTTCTCCACCTCTTCTTACTCAGATGTGTAGTTTTTTGGAGTAAATTATCATGTGCAGAGACGTGGAGTAAGACTTATAATGAGCCCTGTGATGGTTATCAGTGAGTCTTACATCCTCGGGTTTACTGGAAATGAGGACATCTCTTGTGCCGGACTTTTTTTCTGAGAGAGCAATTAGTGAGCTATTCAATGAGGACAGTTTGTAGAGATTCTGACCTTTTTTATTGACCTCTGTATTTCTGTTACAAAAAATACTGACAAGTGTCAGCATTTTAAACTAAACTGGAGACTTATGTGAGTCTTAATGTTCTTGAGAAATTCTAGAAATACTAGAATTGTACCTCGACCTCCTGACACGCGACCATTCATACGAAATAGATTATTATTTTTCCATCTATCTAAAAAGGATTTTTTTGTACTAAAAAGTGGTAAAAAAAAATTAAATACATTTTAAAAATAATAATAATAAAATTCTCATGGAAAGGAGGGGATTATTTTTTCTGTATTCCAATGAAGTGTGAAATAAATAATAAAACTGTTTATGCCAACCCACCAAACATCGGATGTCGAAGAGACGTGCAGATCAAGTTAGTATTGGGTCGGTCTATCAAAGACCACATCTAGACATCAGTGCGACGTGCAAAATAGGTTAGAAATTTCGATGTCCGAATTGGACCTTTTTTTAGACGTCGCTCTGACGTTTAGAATTTGGACGTCATCTGAAGACCAAATCTAGACGTCAGCACAACATGCAAAATGGATCCAAGATTTAGACGTCATTATTGGACCTCTTTTAGACGTTGAAATGACGACCACATTTGTACCTCATCGTCGAAAAAATACGTTAAATAGATGTCATTTCAGCGTTGCGTTGCGCAGTGGGAGAAGGCCTGCAGTAATCCAATACAAAATCGAGAAACACAATCTCACATTTCAGAAACTCCTACAACTACTACTTCTCTAATTCTGTGGCACACATCACAAATGTGAGAGGATGAGCAAACATGTCTATTTACAATCATGATTGAGGTCTCTAGTGCGACATCAGCTGTTCTTTACCGGAGTCTTTCTGTGTTAATGGGGCATTCAGCTTGACTTACCTCAGTGTTTTGGCCTTGAGTGCCAGTGATTCACTTTGGGTGAATGTTTGTTTACACACCTTTAGTTGTTCAGCCTAATGTTAGGGAAGTATTAGAGAAGCCTCTAATCTTCACTCTTTCCTCCAAAGATTAAAGACCCTGCACAGACCAGGTGTACAGTTCAGACTAAGGATTAGCCACCCATCCTTCTTCCTCCACATAAGTGACCTGCTTGTGTTCCGTGATACTGCGCTGTGGAGGTGCACAGATCATTTTCAGCTTCTCTTTACTTACCTTAAATAGTCCCTCCTTCCTTGAAGAAAGAAAAAAGTCAGTGTTTTTTATTGATTCAGAGGAGTGGCTCCCACCTTTCCCCCTGCCTGGTGTGGAATGCACACCTGGAGGTGTTTGCTGAGTGGCTCTAGTAATCCACAGAACAATGCAGGCTGACATCTGGTGCGGTCCAAATCACTGGAGGTAGTTTTGCCTGACAGGTGTTAAATTGTCTGGATGCATCAGTTTGATTGGGACCTTTTTGATGTCTTTATTTTGACATGTATGTGTAATCCTTTAATTCTATCATTGATGGCAGAACAGGGAGTCCAGTCCTTTTGAAATAGCAGAAAAATGTCACTAAGTGATGCAGAAATGCAATAATTTTATGTCAGAAGTTTCTTCACACATTGGATTCTTACAGACAAAGAGCTCAGGTATAGGACAGTTGTCTAGACTTTGTTGACATGGCAGGGCCAGCAGTGGAGTTGCACTACTCTCCCCTACGCTCCCCTCACAGTGTACACACAGGAGGGAGATGGGTGCAGATAAAACGCCTGGGTTACGCCCTGCCGAGGAATTGGGATGCCTGGGGGGGCCGGGAAACTTTCTGCCTGGCTGGCCCTTAATATTGTGATTCTCCTCAGTCAACAAAGCTTTGCGTTTGATGGAACATGTCAGGTTCTTCTAGGATCCACTCAGGGAGCTGGTCCTCTCCTCTGGTTAGACAGCTGTCGGCTCCTCAGAGCCTAGAGAGCCTGCGACTGCTGCATGTGTTTTTGGAGACTTCAAAGCAAGAGAGCTGAGAGAGGTGGGGGTTGATGTTAAAGCAATTAAACTTTTTTTTCCTGAGATTTGTTTAGATTTTGTTTCCTGATAATAAGTGAGGTTGCAGTTATTGTTTTTGTCAGATCTTTGAGGCATTTTTTCTCTTACAACTTAGCTTTGCGTTTTGACAGAGAGAAGTTAGCTTGATAATTTGTTACTGAACAACTATAGGACAGTGAATGTAAAAGTCTCTAAAACATTGTAACCACTTGATGATCACTCATTTACACTATCTTTACTCTGAAAATAGTCATTCTGACAATTTCCACCAATGCAATAACACTCAATGTGCATGAGTAGGACATAGTAAGCCACTCTAAGTACTCGAGGATGTATGTAAATGCTTGTTGAAACAGATTTGTGCGTGGGTAATCAGGCAAGTCTGTGCAAGGATGTCAGAATCTCATATCAATGTGTTTGATATAAGGAGCATTTTCCATGACTTACCTGATCTTCTGCCCCGCAGCGAAAAAACAAACTGTAATTGGATTTAATAGGATGCTTCTGCACTTGTGATTGTGGTCATTAAAGTGTGTGAGATCTCTGCTCATCATGATGCTGTTGTAGTGACACTTCAGTGTATTGACTTGATCAGACAGAGCGTGTCCCTTCTCCTTGACTCCATGGCGACTTGTCACGGGGGGGGTTGCGCTGTGGGAGTTGCTGTTGCTGGTGTAACTCGACCTTGCCTCCTCCAACCACCTGTGCTCGCGTGCTCAGGGAAAACACTGGCTTGTGTGTTGGAGTGAGACGTCCACACAGCTGGGGGGCTGAGGTACATTAGGCAGCTATGACAGGTGGCATTCTCCCCCAGCAGCGAGGAGCATGGATATTGTCGGGGCTGTTAGTGTAACAGCTGCACCACGCTTCCATGGAGGTCGGGGTTAAATCTTTTGTTCTGATTAAGACGTCAGGGAAAATCAGGAAGTTCATTTCTAAATCTCAATTAGGAGGCATTTGTTTGGGATGTGTGCACGTCACTGTGCGGATACAGGAGCAGTCTTGCATGGCAGTGGGAGGCCGGGGGTTGGGATTGTACGTGGATGTTTGTGTTTGTGTAGCTGTGTGCATTTGTGGAGCAAGGCAATCAATCTGAATGCTGGAGCCTGAAGTGTGCATCAGCAGCACAGTGTCTGTCTGAGGGAGGAGAAACAGTTTAGGACCAGACCCCTGGGACTGGACGGGAAAGGGCAAAGGGGGCAGTAGCTTTTGAGGTTGATGTGACGTGAGTTTTTGTGGCTGAGGCAGAGTGGTGACTTGTACTTTAGATGGACCCAGCTTCTCTCCAGACCAGTAAGTAAAATACACTCCGTCGTATGTCCAGGGTTATGAGCGTTTTGTTAAATTGTCTTTGGAGGGGTCGAAAAATAGATAATAAATCAAGTTCTGGTGAGTCAGAGTTGGTTGATTAACTTATGTTGGCAAACTTTTCGGTCTGTTTGTTGTAGAATTGGATTGTGGCTATTAGACCCATGAAAATAAACAGTTTGCTGATTTTAAAAAGTATATTCTAAAATCACAAGCAATTTATCATTGTTTCTGAGACTTAACAGATTTACTGATACTGGAATTAATTGTTTCTGGCAGACCTAGTTGGTGTGGTTTTTCTAAGCTGCAGCAAAGCAGAGCTGCAATGATCGGATGGATTCAGCTGTTTTCATAACTTATAAATTTAAACGTCTCCACTGTGTCAAAATTCCTGTGAAAGATTCAGATATCAATGAAGAGTTTAAGAGGAAGAACTGGGTTGAAGTTTGAAGACTTCATCACTGTGTATTGGGTGGCCTGGGTGGCACTATGAGGTTGGTACGAAGTGATGTCGGACCAAGGTGTCACATTCCACAGTTTGGTGTGGGTGTGTGTGTCTGTGTCAGGAGTGACCACCCATGTATTTACAGCAGAACATGTACCTGATCTCAGTTTGCCTAAAGGAATGATACAGTTCAGTCTTCAGTTGTTAAATGTTTCTGTTTACTGGGTGATGATAAGTTAAGTGTGTGAATGTATGTGTGTGAGTGAGGTTGTGTTTTTATATCCTTGTTGGTACCAACTCTTTTTTTTTTTTTGGTTATATGTTTATTAAATTTTTCCAGAAACAAACCAAAAAAAAAAAACATACATTTGGCTCACACACACACACACATTTTGTTTAAATTTATACAGGCGAGAGATTCATGAGTCATCTCATACAAATAAAATTGGTAAGTAAAATAAAAGTAAAATCAATCAAGTGCACATTACCGTGCATAATAGGTTCATATATTCAAAGAAAGGTATAGAAGCAAGAACATTAATTAAATAAGACGCCATTTTTAGGCAGTGCATTAAAAGCTATGATAGCAACCCTCTCATGAGAATGTCAGAGATATTTAAACCAACATATGACAGAAAGGGTTCCCATGTTTTACGAAACGCGTCATCTTTGCTGTATAGTTTACACGTCAGGTCGTCGTCCAGTGCAACATACTCAAGAGGTACCAACTCTTGACTGACAGCCTTTCTTTAGAGGACATACTTGCGTAGAAAGCAAAGTCCTCACTAATAACATGAGTTCCACTGAGCATCTGTGTTCTGAAGTGACATTTTCAGGCTTTACTGGCTTCTGATTGTAGATTTTTTTGCTTACTTTCACAACAAATATTGTAGTCCACTCAAAGACTTTGCAGGAAGTTGTCCTTACAAAGTATTTAAAGTGTGTGTGTATGTGTGTTTTATGCACATCAGAAATAGTCTTCAAAATCTTCCAATCTGAACTCAAACAGCCTCATTGTCCATCATCCTCCTTAAATCTGTCCCATGTTTTTGTTAAAATCAGATATGATGATGAGAAATGACATTGCTGTAGCTCTCATGTCGTCTGACTAATCTGTTCCCTTGATAGCTTTATCAGACGGTGTGCGGCCCCTGGGACTGCCCTATCTGTTTTCACAGATCACATAAATATTGTTTACCACAATCCTGCGTACACAGAGCTATTTTAGGCCTCATGGAAAAACAACAGGAAGAGTTTAATTTTTGCAGTTTGCAAACATATTTGTTAAATTGGAGCCCACGTTTTACCGTCAACAATTTTGCTGCTGTCAGTTTTGATTTTAATCTGCACACATTATAGATAATAGTGTACAAGGCCCACTTATGGGTCCGTTTTGTCTGAAATACAGAGACATCAGCACTGTAAAGTAAGTCAGCACAGATTTAGAGATTAGTGTTGTTTACTGTTTATTCAAAAGCAGCAGGTGACGTAGATCACCGAAATAGAATCACACACTGGTGTTCACAGAGGACATTAATGCCTGCTTTCCTGAACAAGACGTATGAAGAGGGGGAAAAAAATATTAATCCGCTAGAAAAAAAATTCAAATAATCAACTTAACTTGAAATGAAAAATCACTTTTGTGTTTGTTTCAGCCATTTGTACAGGTCTGTACGGCTAACAGCAGAGCTGAGTCTTTGGCTGATTTGAAGAGGACACTCACAGTTTTGGAAATTTCAATGACCCCTAAATGAGTGTTTAAGAAAAATTGATATGTCTGGTTTGACCCATGTTTCATATGTTATAACGGAGCAGGCGGACTCTGAGAACACAAATGCAGCCATGACTTGGGGAGCACAGAAAATTATGGCTCCACTGGGTACGACTCTCAACTCTATTCAATCATGGGTAAATGTGAACCGCTTTTTTAAGAGTAGCTTATTTTCCAGCAGACAGAACAGTCCTTAACCCTATAATGCCTTTTGTATTATATTTGATACATGTATGGTACTTCTATCAAATCAATATGATCAACAAATGACTAAAAAAACAGCTGAATACAGTCTAATAAATGATAAAAATGTCCTCTTGTGGTTCATCAATGTCCAAAAACATCTTATGTATCAAACAAACTCAATATACATTTGTTAAATTTTAAGGACATTTAGATTTTTTTGGTTTTCAGTAGTAAGTGAAATAAACATTTCAGCTCCAAAAAAAGTGAATTTTCTGGCCATAATTTGTGGTTTCAGGCATTAAAGGGTTAGTAAAGTAAGGGTTACCATACTTTACTAACTTTTTTACGATCTCTAAAAAGTGACAGGGACTTAGAGGGTTAGATATAAGTAGTAAAACACTGTGTCCTTATGGCGAGATCCTCAGGGGACCTCTCTTGCAAGACATTCCCCCGCACTTCCTGTCGTCTTTCTTCTGTCATTTTTATGTCCTTTCATTCAAAATCTTAAAAAAAAACAAATCACCATGCAGCCATGACAGTCTGCAGCTTTCCTCCGCGGGCCAAGATTGTAAGGACTCCACTTAAAAATGTGTTTTTGTGGGCACCCCAGGACATTTGTAGACTTAATTTCAAACCGTTTTGATGCACGTGTGGCATGATGTAGGCCAAACTAAATGAACAAGAATTGAAAAGAAGGAAAATGGAAAATAAAAGGAGGGAACAGGAAGGCTCAAAAGAAGAAAAACTGCCCTCTCATACAGTGAAGCCAGCCCAGTGGGACAAAAATTATAGGCTCAGGCATGGCACAAATGTTATGGGACCAAGACGGAGAGGAGTGTATATTTGAATAGTGTATATGTGAGGTATGTGTGCATATATTTATACAGCAAATTATACATTAGATATATACACAAAGCCAAATGTAGATCTACTGTATATATTACTATACATGCTGTTAGTGTTGATAAATTCTCCCGCTTTCTCTCTGAACCACCACAGCCATGTTTGTGCTGCCCACGTGTGACTGCAGCCAGAGACAGTTTGTCCTTCCCCTCTGTCAGCCCATTGTGATGTCTGTGTCTCTCTAAATATAAACCAACCCAATTACCTATCCTCACTGCCGTCTCTGTTTACACAGGGCCGACTTAATATGATCTTCACATTTTCACACAAAGCATGCATTCTTGCAGAGCATGTTTTCCTGAACAAGGATTTCCTGTGTTTGGAAGGAGATGGGAAGGAGCTAGCATACTGTCACTTTACTGCATTCCTGGGATAAAAACAACGCTCACTGCTCCAGCGCTTTTGTGTGTCATGTGAGAGTTTTCAGATGTCATCTTAAAGGAATGTAAAGTAATGAGTTTATTGAAGTCAGAGACAACCTGTTATGAAGTATTGAAGATGTCATATTTTTCTTGTGTACGAGACGGATGTCACACATGTGTCAGTGGGTTTAGAGGCAGCTAAAGGATTGGGTTTCCCCTTCACAGTATTTAACGGAAGACCATTGTAGAGACTGACCTGAGCCGCCAATCCTATGCTGATGTCTTTCTTTCTTTTTCCCTTTGAAAAGCAGCAGAATAAGCTGAAACCCTAGCCCATTTGTATTGTCAGGACAAAGAGAGACCTTTGTGACTGGAGGGGTGGAGGGGATCTGCCGGTGGAGGTAGGGGTGCAAGGGGTCAGGGGGGCAGAGAGGACTGTCAGAGTCCAACCCCTTGCTGGGTGGAGGCTCAGGGCGATGGACAGGTAGTGTTTTCTTGTTTTGTTTTGTTTTGTTTTGTTTCTGAATGATAGCCTGAAGTTGCAGCCATGTGCATTATCACAGCTGGAGGAGGCTTCAGTAGCAGAGCAGCAGCAGCAGCAGCAGCAGCAGAGGCAGCAAGGTGGGGGAGGTTATGATCAAGGGAGGGAGGATGGGAGGGAGGGTAAGTGACGGGGAAGCCAGCGCTTTGCTTCTCTCACGCTCCAACAGGAGTTTAGTCTGCTCCAGCTGCCTGCACCGCAGCACACAGAGAGAAGGGAGAGAAAACGCACGGGACCTGTTGATATCACAGCAATGACTTACAGCGAGGATTGTACACTGGATTCGAACGCTTGGAGTTGATGACATGTATTTTATCTTTTGTGTATTGTTGGGTGCATAAATGCTGTCACTGGCCAAAATGCACTCCAGAGCAAAATCCCGGAGTTGCGACAACTACCTGAGTATTAAGGTAAGAGCTTGAAATCGTGTCCCGAATAGCTCTGCTGTGATCTTGTTGAAGTTCTTTGTTTGCCTGTCGAGAACTTTAGCATTTTTGTTTCTTTTTCTGTGCTGAGGGTTAGCCCTCATGGCTTCCTGGGAACCTGGAGCAGTTGTGCTGTGTGTGTTTATGTGTGTGCTTGTGTGTGCCATGCACATTCATGGGATAGATGTTTTTGTCTCAGCTTGCAGACAGCTGATATTTTGACTCCTTATCTCTAGTCAAAACATAGCACATTGCCTCAATACATTTGTATAGTGAGGAGCTAATGCAGTGGAAACGTTGATCTAATCTAGCATGTTACTGCTTTTATATGACTTCAGTTTGATTCACTTTGAACTATCAGCGCCCATGTTGTGTACAAAAGACTTGTCTGCTATTCTCACATACAGGCCTGTTTATAGCGCTGTGTGTTAACTTTGGAGGCCATTGTAAAATAATTACTCACTCCTCAACAGGCCCTCCACCTGTTGGACATCCTGCACTACTGAAAAGAGGTTATCTCTAGATGGTTTAGGACAACTCAGGTTAATTCCTCACGCATTTTCTTTGAATGTTGGAATTTTATCTGCAACAAAAACCCTTAGAAAATTGTAAGTTTTGATAAAAGTGCTGTTTATCATTTCAAGGCTCAGTAGAATACACAAGTTTGTATCCTCCATGATAAGTCTGTTTCCTCTATCATTCTCCCACTTGTTTTGGTATGCACCAATGCTATATTTACCCTCTCTACCCTTTGTTAGTCTCCTTTGTCTCTCCTGTCACCTCTCATCAATGCTCTGGTCGGTTGAAGAACCCCCACTCACGTTTGGTCCTCTTGTTTGGGTTTCTTTTATACAAAGAGCTAATCAAATATTTGAATTAATTCGAGGTATCAAACATCAATCTTTACGGTCAGTGAGGTCTACCGGGGTTGCTCTGGAACAATATCCTGTAAAAGTTGTTTACATCCTGTCGCGCGGGGTCATTAGTCGCAGACCGACAACATAAGTCATGTCTTTCTGACAACCAGCATGGAAACTTGTCAAACAGTTGAGGTAGTTTGTTTTTTTTTACCTTATTTCAAAGGGAAATTTACAGCTCTCTATCTTTTGGCTTTACACCTTACACAGTAGCCCAAAGCCTGATAATCAACACAGGTGTTAGCTGTAGCTGTAGCAGGAGATAGTCTGACAGACCGTAAAAACAATGTCAAGGAAAATGAAGCTCATTTGCCGTAGATAAGTGGGTGGGCCTGTAGATTACCACCAGACTTCCATTACTGTTGACCTGTCACCTGACAGACCTCACTGTGTTGGTCTGAGAATCAGCGTGGGCCTCTGAGGGTTAAAGTTTATCTGCTGAGATAACATTACAGCATTTGGTTAAGTGTCTTTGTGCAAAGACGTTCTGATATTGTGCTGTTGTCTGATGAAGAGATTGATCATGCAGTCTCTTTGTGATGTTGTTTATAAGTTTAATGCATTTCAGTTTGAGTTTGATATACTCAGGTGACATTTGTAAACTGTTGTGTGAGAAGACAACTGGAATAAAATATGTGCAACATACACTCTAAGCTCCAAAGAATTTGGTTATAAAGGGTAGTTGCAAGTTGCTTATTCTCTGTTATTGATGAAACTCTGAAAGTCTCTGTCGCTTTTGAATACTGTTTGTTTTTAGGTATCCCACGGTCTCTTCTCACTTTCCTCTCCTCATGAGATAGTATTCCTGTGGGTATGGATCAAAAGCTGAATCAAACTGCACACTCAATGCTCAGGTCTCACTAGGCTCCTTTGTTTGCGCCCTGGCACCTGGCAGTGGTGCAGGTCTGTTCAACCTGTAGCCTTTGTCGGCATTGCTGCCTGTGAGGCTGTTACCAGGTTGGTTAGTGAGCAGTCTGTATGGGGGCTCCAGGGCTCTCCTGTTACACTCCCCTGGTGGCTTCATGCTCCACTGGAGGCCTGGTAGGCAGCGCCTTTTGTGTCCCTGACCCACTAAATATGTCAGTGACCACCTCTTGCTCTCGCTCTGTCTTTGTAGGTCTCTTACTCTCTCATTCTCCGCCATAATCCATACACCCCTTCTTTTTCCTTTACTTTCTTTGTTCCTCTACTTTCCTATGTGATGCCAACACTAACAAACATTTGTCGTGTGAATAATTGATATTCTCAGGAAACACCTAAAGTACGACAGCTTTTTTAGTGGCCTACAAACTTCCCCTCGGATTATCATATAATATGTTCAGACCTCAACGATACCCTATATATCTCTATATAAGTGAATCAAGCCTTAGTAATTGCCGAAAGGCTAAAGCCCTCCATCGTTTAGCCGACTTTCTGGTTCTGTGCCCCTTTTGAACAGCTGGTTTACTTATGGCGTAGACAAAACCGTCCCACCTGGAGCTTGAAGCCATTAATTACCACCTCAGCCCTCCATCAGACAGGAGGCTGCTTACAGAGACCTGGCATCAGAAAGGGTGGGACTTCCCAGTCTGCTTGTGTCCTGTCTGAGGGTCTGAGGGCTACACACATTACATTCCTCTGTGGTTTAGAGCGGATGGGGAGCTCCACTTTGGTGGCTATACTCAGGCGTTGTGCTGAGACATGCAGATATGTCTTCCATTAACTAGGTGAAACTTTTTGGAAAAGCTCTTTGACAATGGAAAACCATTTGACAGTAAAATGAAGCATGTCTTGGTCCTGATTTGACAACAACTGCATGAGGGATGTTTTTTGTAAATTATCTGTCATGAATCTATTAAGACTAAAAGTTATGCGAAGATTAACATCATTTGCAGCACAGTTGATTGGCGTGACGGGCCTGGAGTCTAAAGTCGCAGCTGAACTCGGAATGCTAGGTCACATTGAGCCGGCATCTTAAATAAAGCTGCCATGATCTTTTTGCCTGATAACACTTCTCCAGATACCTATATGTGACCGTGTCCATGTTCCATACAGTCTATGATTATACAGTAGTATTAAAACCTTGCTTGAGTGCTCACACACTTCAGTGGTGGTAATTTACTCAGTGCTTATAATTAGCTATTATCTAGAGTTTTTTAATGTGTCGTTAAATATGGCCTGTTATTGTTCCTCTGTCACCTCAGTACAACATGTTAAATGACAGTGAGTTATATCAGAGCTGAAGTTTCTTTTGAATGTGAATTAACTTTTCTTCAAAACACTCCTCCTATTTCTCCCACAGGTCTCTTTTCTTTTTTCCCCCGGGAACCTGTCGAGAAACTCGTTGCAGTGTGCTAACTACAGTATGTAGCGAGGGCTTTCCTCCCATTGTTAGCTTTCCTCCAATAAAACACCATGTTATTCTTCTCCTCCCGGGTGTAACAGTGACTAATGTCCAGAGACATTTTTGTCTCCCTAAAAGCAGACGGGCTGCTAATGGAGGTGGGCGTTTTGTTTCAGGGCACCAGCGCTGTACAGCACATAGCACTTAGGGAGGCGGAGTGCACAATGACCGCCTTGTAGTAGAGTCGTGGCATGTGTACCAATGCGCTGAACTGTACTTGCTCCCCTCTAATTGATGGTCCTTAGCTGCTTAGATAAACAGGACAGATCTTACAAAGGGTGAAACATGGGCTGTCTGACAAGGTGAATTCACAAGGCAATATTTTTCTTTCTATGCATCTGATTTTACACACTTGTACTGTGATGCAAATGCAGCATAGACATTCAAGTAGCTGTGAGAGCGGGATCCTTAACCCCCACGTTCCTCGGTATGGCACACAGTTGTCATAGTGTGGGACTTTCCCTGTCTATCTGTGTGGTTATCATTGGAGGCAGATGTCTCTATACAACTGCTGTTCCATTCGGGAAGGACAGATAGCAGAGGGATGTTTGGCCTTGGCTCTGACAGCTAAGAGGGAGGGTCAAAGCCTGAACCGTGTACATAACTATTACACAAGGTCGACCTCACTCACGACTGCTTGTATGACAAATGTCCCATATCGGAAAAAGTTGTACTGCCGGTGTCAGACATGCTGTTTGTATTTGGTGGGGACAGGTGGTGTCATGAAGAGGTCATTTAGTAGCCAGTGATGACATGGTTGTTATTAGTGGGAATCACTGCATTATCACAACAACTGGAGTCCAGTGTGGACTTTCCAGTTCTGCTGTTTATGTCCGCTAATGGTGACGTCACTCCAACCAGGTGTTTCCCCTCTCTGATGGAAAGACCATCATGGTGGTCATTTCCCGTCACGGTCGAACTTCCTGACTGTCTGGCTTAGCTGAATCATGATCAGTTGATAAAGTTTGTGTGCAGCTTCATTTTTATTTAAATTAGATGAATGTACAGTAAGGAAACGCCTCGTTATTTTGACAGTCACACTACATCTGCTCAGTATTTTGTGTCATAATAACAGTACGGTGTAGTCATATAAAAAGATTTTTTTAATCATTAAAGAATGTTGTGTATAGATTAGGCCTGGACGATATAGAAAAAAAGCATATCGATAAAAAATAAATCATATTGATCGATATCGATAATTATCGATATAATTATTATAATTATTTAACATATATTTTAATTGCAGCCCTGGATGTTTTATGCTATTGCTTAATGACCTACTTTTAATAAAGAACACACAAGCACTGAATTCAAATTCAAACCTTTATTCAACCACCTTTTTTTTTTTTACCACAACTGAAAGTTTTTTTTAAAAAGAACTTAAAAAAAAAAATAAATCAACTTAAGTGGCCTGAGTGACGTCAGTAAATACTGACAAACATAAAGACTAAAGTGACCAGAAAATCTGATAAATAAATATTTAAATAGTCTTTTGATGAAAATAAACAAAACAAACAAATATATAAATAAACAGAATAGCTTTAGGTGGGAATAGCATACTACCAGTTTTAACTGTGTGGGAAACTGCCCACAGCCTGGTGTCTGAACACTGAAATATTTCTCCTGGGGTCGGGAGATTTATTTTTTTTAATTATCATGTGATTGACTTATTAAACAAACTAAGCACGAGAAGCAGGACTTATCCACGCCGGTGTTGTGTCGTAGAATGCACCCCTGCCGAATGCCCCCCTGCTAGTAGCCATGATCCAAATACTCGCGTCTTTGTAAAATATGAGCTCATTTTCTTCCACTTTAAGAAGCTACACCGGAGCGTATTTCCTCCGCACCCTTCTCACCTTTTCAACCCCTGACCCATTTTCATGCCTGAAGCGCTGTGTTTGAGAAATACTTGCGGCCGGGCACTTCATATCGCGGGTCGAGAGTGGCTAGAAGCTGGTCGAAGCCAGGCTTTTCAACGGTAGTTATTGGCAGTATGTCCCTCGCTATGGAGCATGTTACTGCATGGGTGATGTCCTTATGCCGCTTGGACGCTTTGTCGTATTTTGGCAAGAAACGAAGTCCAGTTTGGTCTGCTTCACTTGCTTTGTGCTGGTGCTAACAGCGGTTCCAGAGGATTCCTCCGACGACGACGTGGAGCCGCGGCGCGGCCGACACAGCTCGTACTCCTGCGGGTGCGACCGGTTTAGATGGTAAAACAAGTTGGTTGTGTTACCGGACTTGGTTTTTACTAATTCTCTGCAAATTTTGCAAACGACCGCTGTTTGCTTTTTGTCAGACTTCTAAAAACCAAAACATTGCCATGTTGGTGAACTACTGAAACCTTTTTTCGGGACAATTTCCTCCGCTTCTCCTTGCTGTTACATTATTTCTAATACACGTGCTGTCTGTTGTGGTTTGATAGGGGCTGGGCTTGGTGCCGTAGCGTACCTGGGTCTGCGTTTGTGATTGGTTGGGAGGAAGTAATGACTGTAGTAAAAGCTACATGATAGGCTATGATGAAAAAGAAAGGGAAACTGTGTTTTTCTATCGAACTTTTTATCGACCCGTTTTTTTTCTATCGCTCCACACGTCTATCGATCGATATATATTGTTATCGAATTATCGTCCAGCACTAGTATAGATGTTCATGGGCTCCTGAGGATGATCCCACTCTGAGTATTTTTAATTTTCCTTAAACTGACCCCAAGGTTGACATTTTAAAAACATATCTTGCTGATAGCTGGATTAATGGGCGTCAAATTTGTTGGTTGATATGTATATTTATTGCTAATAATCAAATATTGGCATCAGAACCATGATTTTATACATGCCAGTGTTTTCATTTTGAGTAGGCTAGCAGACCAAGACTCATAGTTTTGCTCATAGCACCTCAGTACCCTCCACAGCTTGGTGGAGCATTTCAGTGAATGCTAGTTTAAGTCTAACCTCTCAGCTGCAGGAGCAGTCTAACCTATAAACAAAAAAAAGTTGTTAAGTATTTCCTGACTCTCCTCACCTTTCTTTCCTTTGAGTAGTTGAATTTTTTCTATAGTGTCCTAAATCAAACCATTTCAATTCAGTTATTGGTTGGCTGTCCTACTGGCCATATTCACACTAAGTTGTTAAAAGCCGATGAAGTGGACGTAACTTTGTTCAAAAGCGTCCCAAGCCAAATCGGTTTAGTGGTTTTATGCTCTAATGTTTTGGGAATGTCTTAGGAAAAATGACTTTGATGTGGCTTGATCCGTCTTGTAACTATGACATATTTAGCACACACTTTCCCCGATTACACACGCCAACCTAATCCAGCTCTTTTGTTCCCTTAGGACGCTGAGTCCTTGGACAACTGTATACAGAGCACTTTGTCAGCTTTGTACCGACCCTTCAGTGCCACTGCTACCACAGTCCTCTGGCAGCTCTTCAGTGTGGTGGAAAGGCAGTACAGAGGAGACGGCCTCCGCTGCTTCATTGACTTCTTGATTCCCACCAAGAGGATCCTGCAGATCATCCAACAAGAAACCTCTGTGAGTTTTTGTTGATTAGCTGCTCCATCGGTTAAAGTCAAAGATATAGCTAAAAGAAACAGTAGGGATGTGCTGTAGTACGGTTGGATGTAAATCTTTTCAAAAAGAATGGGTGAAAACAGGCGACCATGACACAAGAAGGAAAATAATCAATAATAAAAGTGCCTCCAAACATGTCTCAGTGTGTCAGGTCATGCTGACTCTATTACTGCCCTGGGCAAACGTAAATCATGGAATAACACTGAGATAAGACAGCGTGTTTGTGACTGAAGAATGTGTGAATGTTGGGTGTGAATATCTTGAGTGGGAAGGTCAAGCATCAGATTGAGACAGAGTCAAATATTGTTTGGAAAACACGCTGAAAGCAGCCATCTTTCTCTGAACAGACAAACAGAAGGAAACTGTAGTCTGTTTGAAAGGCTGCCACGGACCTTTGGGCCCAAAAGTGAAATTCAAGAGTGAGGGCTCCATACTCAAAGCTCTGAAACTTTAGTCCCCTGTATTCAACTCTACAGTGATTACACTGTGACGATAGCCACAGAGCAATAGTTTCACCTAAGCCTAGCCCCTGAGAAAAGCTTGCCCTGCATGAGAGTCTTTGTGGGGTAGGCAATATGAGAGGCTTCAGAGAACGATCACATCCTCAGTCTTTGCCTTGACATAACAGATGAAACAAGTCACCTCTTGAGATCAGTTTCTGTGCTCTTAGGGTTTGTTTTTTTACAACGTCAGAGTGAAGATTTGTTGTGGTTGCTGTGAAACCAGGCCTGATCAGACAGGTTTTCCTCTGGCTGTACAGTCATTGACAGTGATTCATCTGCTTTGTCCAATGGAAACATCCCGCCTCTGTGTTGGAGTTAAACATGTGTTTGAACACGGCTTTTCAGGTGTCAGTTGTAATGATGCAAGTCGTACCACAGCTGAGCCATGACTCAGAGCAAAATAATCGTTCTTTTTGATGTGAAAAGGTACAACTCACTTCTCTGTTTGTTTTTTTTTCACAGGTGAGGTTCAGAGGATTGTTATTCTATCATGAGGGCTGGCCTCTCTGCATCCACGAGAAAGTTGTGCTCCAGATCGCCCCTCTGCACAAAGTCAGACTAAAGCAAGGAGACTTCTACTTACAAATAGTTCCTCTGGGCCGCAAGACTGCGAAGCTCGTGATAAAATGTTTGTCCGCCAGTGGGCAGGCCATTACAGAAATCCCTGTCGCAGAGAGCATGTATGGCAGCGTCTTCACAGCTGAGTTCCTGCAGAATGTGACACGAGACCGAAACCTGCACCCACTACAGAACTGTCTGCTCACCACCGGTACGGCCGTGTTCAGGACGCCGTGGAAGAACGTGGTCAACCCGCTTTTTGTCAATAGTACATCAGACGCCATCATGCAGGCGCGATGCAGCAGTGGTGGATTCCGCAGCCAGCTCAGCACCTGCAGCACGAGTGGATCCACAGGAACTTTGGACAGCCACCGCAGCTCCAGAGAGTCCCTGCACTCTCAGGGAGAGTCCATCTTCTCTGAGCCCACCTCCCCAAACAGACAGCACAGGGAACCCGACAGTGAGACCGACACTGTCAGCCCATCAACCAGCAGAACACCCTTGATTAAAATTGAAGGACCCACTGAAGAGGGAGGCATTACACAAGGAAGTGAGGATGGAAGTGAAAGGGAGCAAGGACTAGGGTCCAAAATGCTCTCTTACACCACAGACCTCAGCAACCCAGGCCCTCGACGTCGCCTCCCAAGGGATTCTGTAACATTTGAGAGTAGGAGGCTTTTCAGGAAGTCTTACATGGAGGCCCTGCAGAACCCTATGAGCCTCGGGTCCAGCTCTGAATCCATCCTTGAGGAGAGCCCAGAGCACAGTGCTGGACTGAGGGAGAAGACGGTAACACCCGGCAGCAGCCCCGATACCCGGACGCCCTCCAGAGATCTATTATCTCGGAGGCTGGGCAGCCGGGGCTGGCTCAGTGGTGAGGACTCCAGGCCCAGCACACCATTACTTTATTTACAGAGGGGGCTGAGGAGCGCAGAGAGGCGGGCTGAAAGACGCTCAAAGTCACTGGAGAGGACTAACAAGGCAGGACAGGTTAAAGGTCACAGAGAAAGATCCTCTTCCGGAGGCTCAACTAGTATCTCGCCAAAAAAGCTGATGAACGGCTACACGCTTCGTTTCGGGAAGCTGGATATCGAGGCAGCTTTTCCTGGTTCTGAGAGGAGGAGCAGCAAAGAGGAACCAGGTATGTAAGGATGCACTGCAAGATGTTACTGGAAGAAAAAACTTGTTCATTGATAACAGAAATTCAGAAATGTGCTTTGATACTCGTAGGCCTCTGGTTCTTTTACATGACTTGTAAAAATCATATTCAATTTATTGATAAAGTTGTATGTTTGAAGATAGAAGCTTTTAGATTGGACACCAACAGTTTAATATACAACAACGCAGATTAAAACTTCACACTGTTACAGTCAGCTAAAAAGAAAATGTACAGCTGCTCACGAATCAAAGCATCCTTCACAGAAGACCTTTTATAAAACATGTTATTTAATGTTAGTTTCCTGTATCTATACTCTAAGTGACCTATACTCTAAAGTCCACATGTAGTGCACTACTAAACATGTCTGGACATCACCCTTGTGTGCTACATGTGTAAAGGGGCAACTCCAGACAACACCTGGATGGACCTGAGTCTCCAGTGTTGTTGTCATATGGCTTTACTTTTGTACTCTTAATTAAGCTTCACTAACAGTACTTAGGTATTTATTCACTGTGTGGTAATGATAATCAGATTCTTCATAATCAAAAATCAGTTGAGATCACAACAATTAGATAAACATCATAACAGATAAAGACATGTAGCCAAATGCTAATATAGCATTTTGGAGATCTGTTTGGTTTGTTTAAGGAATGCAAAAAATATTCCCTCTTCAGAACCTCAAACGTTTTTTTAGTGGAAGGTGTGTTTTTATCTGTGGTTGACTCATCTTCGTAGTGCGTGACGTGTTGTTTCTCACTCATCGAATAAGACGACCTGAGGGTGTGAAAACTCAGTTTCACTCCTAGTTAGATGATGTGGATATCTCATCGGGGTGTGTATTCATACCCTGCAGCAGGACTGGTTACAACAGTTCATCACGTGGGTGCAGCTCATAGCAGCCTATAACACTGTCTGTCAGTGGTGATTGCTGTTTTTCAAATTTGTATTTCTTGGCACGATTATGGGACATGGTATGGCCCTACCCTGGAAACAGTATCATGATCATACACAGTGTTAACTTTTATCCTTTTCAATCAGATTTTTTGGGATGGTTCATACAGGGTAACTCAGGAAAAACGACGACATGTGAGCACCAAAAAGGAAGTCAGACTGTTTTTAGAAAACATGAATTCTTCCGTGAATTGAAATGTGAAGAAAAGCGTAACTGAATCCTATTTGACACTGCAGCTAAGGTTATAGTATTGATTTTTTAAAATATACTTCAGCTCATGTCAGTTTTATGTTTCTAAAATTACCTCAGAGGGGGTTGTATTTCAGCTGTTGCGAAGCAGGTTTCCCATAATGACATTTCAAAAGCAACAAAGGATCCTGTAAACCCTGTCAACCAGCCACAGGGACCCCAGTGTCCCACAATGAGATGACCCAATGAGTGTTATTTGGACTGGGGGCTGCACTGATCCCAGATAGGTTGCCTCATTTACAAAAGTTTCCTTTGTGAATCAATCAGCCACCAGGGATCCATGGGAAAAAAGCCTTTCAAACTGTCCCCATGTCTTTAAAGGGTCCATTGAGTTCACAAACACAGGACCTAACTTGCACTGACTCACACCACGCTGAAAAAAATGTACTCAGAGGTTTCACATGCGTATGAAATGAGCCGTCAAACAAGCAAAGTCAAAACATAAACAGCATAATCTACAGTATATTGTGTCTCTGTGTAATCAGTTAGTCAAATACCCACCTTCTGCTGCAGGTTCAGCTTCTGTGGTGTTTTAAAAAAAAGTCACCCTCAGACTACACAAAAAACATACCTTCACACAGGACAATACTCAGGAGGGTTTAACTCTTCACTTGTCACTTCCTCTCAAAACAAAGCGTTTTAGGAAACATGCAGCAAACACAAGCCTGCTCACACAGTCCCACAGGAAACACAGTGACGGTTTTGAGGACAAAAGAGGCTGAGCTGGGAGGGTTTACTGTCACAGAACAGAGCAGGACGATACGAGAGGCCTCAAACGGTTTAAAAAGACAACGCACAACAGGTGAACACAGAAAAAAGAGTCTGAAGGCCTGTCAAGGTTTGATGATTATATGAGGTTAGCTTAGTCTTTGTGTGGCTGTTGTCCTGGAAGATCCAAGAAAAAAATACTATCAGCCTCATCTGTACTCTGTTAGATTTTAGCATGCTAACACACCAGACAGACAGAGGTGTTGAACCCCAAACACATTAAAGCTTTACTGTCATTATGAACATGTTAGCATGCTAGCATTAGCACGCAGCTCAAAGCAGCACTTTGCCTAATTACAGACAACGGTGCTGCTCGTATTGCAGTAGACACTCTTATTATATGGTGTTTTAAATGTTCTCATAAAATGTTAGTGTTGACAAGTGTTACAACACTATTATGTACCAGAGATAACAGATTTTAAAAAAGCGTATTTATCAGTAGAATAAATGATTTTACTACGGTCTGTTTGCATTTGTTCTTTTAAGGAAAGATTGTGATATCAGTATGGATTGAAAGTGGAGGAGGGTGAGTGAATTTTTCTACCAAAACCAAAAAGACTAGAAGTAAAAAGATTCTAGATACTGGAGTCGTACTCTGACATTAACACCTTGTACATTAGGCACAGGTTTGTAAGATGACAACGAATGTCTTCAAGCCAGGATAATGCAAACTATGTAAAGGCGAGTGGCAAACATGGCAATCAAAGTAGAGAGGTTGACGCACTTTTAAATGACTAACCAAATATCTAGACCTTTTTTTTAATTGTTACTAAGCGTGCAATTTTTCTTTTTCATTAATGAGATAGTTGATGTAACTATTTCAAGCTTTATTATGCCATCAAAATAAAAAAAGGAAATGAAAACCACAAATTGTTCCTTGGTCAAGGCAAAGTGAATTGATTTGGGCATATGGCTGTAGGGATAAACTATGATGATTCAAATACGGCTTTGTTGGATCAAGTCTGTGAAATGTGGCACCTTTTGGGAATGCCTGGAGCAGCATTCTTGAAACAGAGCCCTGAAGTATGACCAGCTGTGGAGAAGGGTATGAAAAAATAAAAGTCTATTAGTGCCAAAGTTTAGCATGAGTCAGCCCCACTATACACCTGGTCTTTGTGATGAGTCAGTTAGACCACACTGCTAGAGTTCACCCTTCTGGCGACCAACAGACATGAGGATTTACAACTGTGTCAAAAATATAACAAGGTGAAATCATGCTTCTAATTTTGAAGTGTTGTTTTTGCATTTTTGCTTGTTGACTACAAGTTAAACTTGTCTCTACAGGACAGCGTGATGACAGCATCAACAGTGAGATCAGGGGGCACAGACACAGCACAGAGGAGTCACTCAGTCCGAAAGCTGCTAACGGATCAGCCATCAGGCTGGCGTCAATATCACGGTCTTCCTGTGAGAGTCTTACAGCCCTCCCTAAACTGGTGTCTGAGGTCAATCAGGAGCTTCTCACATCAGGCGCGGTGACTCTGCCAGGTAGAGCTATGACACCCCTCATATTTGCCATTTTAAATTGTGTAACCCACCACTCCTCTTGCGGACACTTCATAAATACTTGTTTAGAGCGTTTTTTTTTAAATGTAAGTAAGAATTTTCAAACACACGTGGTCATATGTTATATCTCATTCTAAAATAATTTAACAATAGTTCATTCAAATTATGACATTTCACAAAAATTGTACATACAAACATTTGGTATAAAGCATTTTATCATGTGTGTGTAATGTGTGTGTCAGGAATAACTGTTAACAACTCACTAACAATGCCCACATAGATAATGCAGTGTAACTGTTGTTAACAGTTATAACACATTATAATACCTGACCTTGTAAGTAATAATAAAATGCTTTATAATGTGTTATGATTATTGCTATAAAGCATTATGATCATTTATGAGTGTTTATGACTATAGTTATACAATGCTATAATGTGATTATAACACATTATGCATATATTTATAATGCGTTATAGAGATAAGCGTCAAATAAGGTGTTAACAAATTTTTTTTTTATTTCTGGTCAGATTGTGCTAGAGGGGATTATTCGTCATCATTTCATGGTTTTATATCCCAACATTTAAAATTTAACTAATATTTCTATAACTTTTGAGGACTCTTTTGCTTGGAGTAACCTAATCTAAATATTTCCCCTCTCTTCAGAGACCGATGACATGATAACGCTGAGCTGCTTAAAGATTCTTGTAAATGCTGTGTACATCAGGTGTTGACCCTTGCTGGCCTTCTCTCTTCCAGGAAACAGAGATCGCAGTGGGAGGGCAGTGCTGCAGGTGTGCACCCGATCTCAGGTGTGGGCAGGTGAGAGCTGCACGGTCAGCGACCTCACCTGTTTACTAGGCTACTACTTCTCAACACTGCGGTAAGTTGCACACACCTTAATTTGTCTGTGTCAAAAATAACTCTTGTAAATATCACACCTGCCCATTACGCCTGAGGTGAACTTGATATCTGTCTCATGAAGGCTTTTTAGACTCATTGTTATGGCAATAAAAAATAAATTTATCTAGCAGATCATATACAGCGGATTATATTTTCTGCGTAAAAATGCCGCACTTTTTAAGTTTTTTTTTTTGCATGTTTCAGGAAAGAGAGGCGTGATCCAGGCCTGTCTGTTGTAATAGACAGCAGGAGGCAACAGCCAGTTCCAGCTCTGTTGTCATCTCTGTCTGAATTGCAGGTGAGCCTGTCGTAGAAAATATATAATCAGCCCCTTCAACACACACCCAAAGAGTTTTCAGGCCCTGCCTACGTCTCTGTCGTCCTTGAAGCTTTAATGTCAGGTCTCTCTCAGAGTTATTACACTACAGCATTCCTCACACTCTTCTTATTGTTCTGTGTCTTGGTCCCTGACACTGTTTGGTTTCTTAAGGAGACACACCTTTGAAAGTGTGGTGACTGCAGTTCTAAGACATTTTTGTGAAAAAGGCAGGCCTCAGGGCTCCTGTGGAGAAGCCTGTGCTTACTTGTCTGTTTTTAACCACACGCTGGGAGCAAGTGGGCTGCAGCTGACTCACAAGAGACACATCATCATGTTATAATGAGGAGTTTCTTACTGATGCAAGGATGTTAATTCTTTCAACTTCAAGGCATACGTTTTAAATCCTCCTTAACACATGTCAGACATTATTGAGGTGTTAATGTACATAAAATCCTAACTAACTGAACACTGTTGTGCATGTTTTCTCAGGTATTGGTACCAAATGCACTTTACTCGATTATCTTCCTGGTGGACAAGGAGGCAGCAGCCAAACCTGAGAGAGATATCCACGTACAGGTAGATTAAGATTCATGTTATTAAGTAGTTGGGAGTTTGAAGTGTGTGCACTCTGCAGCAAGTTCACTTTCTAACAATCTTTAGGTTGATTCTGCTGATTTGACTTTTTTATGTGTGTGGTTTACTCTGAATTGGCCAGCACCAGGTGTGGTTCAGCTGGGTGTGCTTTCAGTGCATATCTGTGGTATATGCGCTATTTTGGCACCACTTAGCATTCAAGCATGTAGGGCACAACAAAATGAAGTTCCTGTGTTCAGTCCTTCTGCTGCAAAAGCAAAACTCCACATGGAAATGATTGTTTCCCCTAAAGAATGTCTTTATTTTTTACCTCTACTTGTCGAATTGTGGATTTATTCTCCCATAAAACTGCAAAACATTTACCTTTTAGTAAAAGAACAAAAAGGGGTGCCACTGGCCTAGCATTCGTGCATGCACTCCATATACAGAGAAGTTATGCCTTAAGCGGATGGTTGGGATTTGATTCCAGCCTGCGACTCCTTTCCTGCATGTCACAGCCTGCTCTCTCTCCCAATTTCTTGTCCCATAACCCCGAAATGCCTGAAGTAGGGCATACACAGGAATCAAGGTAGATGATACTACTAGCCTTTTTAACATTGCAAGTTTGTGACAGCGCTGCACTCAAGATCTATCGTCACCTTTTTACGTTTATATTGATCCCACAGCGTAGTGCTGATGTCCTGGTGCGACATTTGATGTTGCATAGATGTCCACCTTGATCTGACAACATGAAAAGGGCGACTATGACGTGTGTGTTTGTGTGTTTTCTTGCTTCAGACTGAGACGCTGTCCTCTCTGAAAGCCTTACTGAAGCACATCGATCAAACCCAGCTCACAAGAGACCTAGAGGGAACTTTCCACTACGACCATGACCACTGGATACTTTTCAGACAGGTGCGTGTGTAAAGAAGTAGAATAAAGACTTGATATTTGAAACATAAAGACGACCAGTTCAGAACGACCCACTTTTCTTACAGAAAATTGAACCATTCGCCAGCAGTTGTAGCGCAGCCATTACGTCCCTTCAGGAGTCCATCAACACACTGAGCAACAGCGGCAACCTGAAGACCTCTGAGGTAAGAGCCAACCCCCAACCCTCTGCAGGTTGTCAGACCTCCTTATTTATGACACACAGCACACAAAGGTTCTGCAACAGCGCTCGACAGAGTTGCACCATCATTGCACCTCGGTTCTCACTTACTGCTCCCTGAAAAGTTTCACTACGAAGACCCCTTTGTTTGAAGTATTCATTTATGTGAAAGGGGGCTGTTTAAAACGTGGCTAAGTTTACGATTTTTACAAGCCGCTGCGTGAAGATGTGCTAACTTTGCTTTTGTTGTCAAACAGGAGGTGTCTGAGGTGATTGAAAAACAGCGGCGTCTTATGAAGCATGTGCTTGAAGACACACGTCTAAACAGGCTACGATTAGAAGGAGGAACTGTCCTCGCCCGTATCAGGAAAGAAGAGGCCTGTGAGAATGAAAACTACAGGTACTACAGGAAGACTCTCCTTTACATGACGATGTTTAGTAGAAGTAAACTTTGCAGTCTTTACAAAACTCCGGCCAAATACACCCCTGTGTTTCATTCAGGATCATATAGTAGTTACACTGTTTTACCTTGTTTACCCCTTTTCTTTGTTGCTCTGGTATTGTTTCCTTATTATTATTATTATTATTATTATTATTTTGTTTTTGATGATTCTTTTTATGTTTTTATTCTTTTTGGTTTTGTTTTATTATGCTTTCTCCCCTACCCCTATCTGTTTTTGTTTGTTTCTGTTAGTTTTGTTTATTATAAGTATAGAATTTGTAAATCAACACCACAACTTACTATGCACATATTTTTCTGTTCACATTTATTTGTTTGGATGCACTTATTGGTTAATAAGACTTTGCAGGCATAGTTAAATACCTGTTTTCTAATTTTTGAACTTTTTTCTCTCTTTGTTGATTCAGAGATGCTGTAGACATGTTAAATGCACTGTACAACCAAGTAGATGAAGAAGTCCACAAACTTGTGATCCTGTCCAACAAGTCTCAGAAACAGTTAGAGAGTCTGCTGGAGGTGCGCAAGTTTGAGGAGCAAACACAACAGGTTGGCACACTCAGTTTCACACTATCATTTATATGTCTCTCTCCAAACAAAAGCTCAGTTAACAAACGAATAAACCGTCTATTTCCAGATCAAACTGTGGTTCAGTGTAGAAGGAGAGAAGCAGCTCACCCCTTTGGAGTCCGTGACTCTGTCTGTGGCTAAAATAAAGGAGATGAGAGAGAGCTTGGACCAGTTTATGGAGGAGTCCGTGGTAAACAACACTCAGATGTTTAAACACACTCCTGTGAATCAGAAGATAAGCAGGCCTGTACTGATTAGTTTTGTCCTTGTCCTCACAGCACCAGCAGAGGCATGGATTGCAGCTGGTTAAAGAGTCTCCTGAGTCCCTCCCAGGTTCTGCTCTCCTCGACTTTAAACAACACTTGGGCTCTGTTTTGGGCAGAGTGGAGAGGAGGAAGACCCAGCTGGACATCCTGGCCAATCTGTATGAATTCTACGACTCAGTGAGTATCATAAACAAAAGTCAATAAATAGCATTGCATTTTATTTCATGATATAGTATAATGTTCAAATCAGGATGTTGAACAATGAAATTACAGACTCTAAAGGAATAATGTTCGAAGAAAGGATGCTAAAAGATGGTTTCACTGTCATACAAGACACCTCACTATCCTGCATTACACTTTAATTATAACTACAGGACCACAGTAAGACTACATTTTGAAAGGGATATTCCAGCGTAAAATTAATTTAGGGTCAAACACACCATAACACCGAGTTAGACACCCCCTCCAGAGATGAATGCTGCCAACCACTTGCTTCTCTAGTTCTACCAACTTTAGCAACGACCGCACGATAGCAATACACAGTGGTCTCAGGAGCCAAGAACAAACCTCAAAACACAACTCACCTACTCTCTTCCAGCAGCCGTTTGTTTGTAGTCAGACCTCGGGCCAGTCCATTATGGACTAGAGCGAGGTGACGCAGCTCAAGGAAGAACATTTATGAGCTGCGTCACCCCACAGCAGTCTGTAATGGACTGGCCTGAGGTCTTGCTACAAACAAGCGGCTGCTGGAAGAGAGTAGGTGAGTTGTGTTTAGTCTCTTTGCTAAAGAAATCAGGCAAAGTTAAAAAGATGTTTGGTGGCTAGTACTATGGCTGGGACCCTATATGTACTGTTGATGAAGTTAGGTGCTGTTCTGAGCATTACTTGTGGCTATAGAGTGGAGTTTTGGTTGAGGTTTGTTTATGGCTCCTCAGATGGCTGTGTATTGCTATCGTGTGGTTGTTACTAAAGTTGGTATAACTAGAGAAGCAAGCACGGCAACATTAATCTCTCGTCTAACTCTGTGTTACGGTGTGTTTGACCCTAAATTAATATCCCATCAAGAGGCATCAAAAACTCAAAAAGCCCTCCTTAATAATCTCTAACTGAGATCAAACTTAAGTTAGTCACTCTTTTACTTCTCTAGGTAAACCAGTGGATGGAGCACTGCCAGGATTACTTCCATCAGCTGAGTCTAGACAGTGCAGGTGTTACATTGTCATCGTCTGTGGTCCAGATCCTTCAGGATTACTATGCTGAGGCCTCCAAATTCTCTGTGGACAACTTCAGCACCCTCAATGACATGGTTTTATCTCTGGAGAGCCCTCAGCAGCTGCAGCAGTGGAACACAGTGTGGCACAAATGTCAGCAGACCAAGCAGCAGCTGGAAGAGACTCTGTCTAAGACCATGGCAGCAGAACCAAACTCCACAGATGCTGATAAACAGATCTCATCAAACACTCCAGAAAAGCAGATTTCAACTACAGAACAGTGTGGAGCTAATGCATGCGTGCTTTTACCTGGAGCGCTTACACCATTGACATTTGAGGACAACAAGCCTCACTCGACTGAGCCTTTCTCGAAAAGCCCCTCCAGTTCGATCTCCTCCTCCACACACTTCACTTTCCCCACCGACTGTGACAGCAAACAAAGGCACAGTCCGTCCATGTTCGAGGACACTGACAGCGACTGCACCATCGACTCCACTATCTCCTGCCACTCAGAGCCCGTCTACTCCGGGGCTGCCCGTCTCCGCAAGCAACCCATGAAGAAGATCATGAAGAAGACCATGAGCTTTGAACTGGCCCGGAAGGACACAGGCCACTTAGACGTCAGCCACATCCACGGCTATACGGGTGTGTACATCAAGGGTTTGGAGGTGGCTAATAACGTGTCGGCAGAGAAGAAGCTGCAGAGACCTGATGTGACGAGTCCAGCGTTAGGACGCAGTCGCAGCATGTCTACACCCTCTAGAGTCCACAACAGACGAAGTGACGGAGATGGAAAGAAACAGAGCAGGTGAGGAAGTGAAATTTGTAACGCTAAGTTTCGTGACTGCTCTCCTGTCTCACACTGTATCTTGTCTTTTAGTAAAGTGCAACACATCATGGATGAGATGATTTCCACAGAGAGGGAGTACGTCCGCTCTCTCAGCTACATCATCGAGCACTATTTCCCCGAGATGGAGCGTCTTGACCTCCCCCAAGACCTGCGGGGGAAGCGCAGCATTATTTTTGGGAATGTGGAGAAACTGTGGGACTTCCACAGTCACTACTTCCTGAAGGAGCTGGAGTCGTGTGCCCACTCCCCGCTGTCCATCAGCAGCTGTTTCCTCAGACATGTGAGTCCAGAAAATCAGTCCGAGAATCCTGAGGCAGCACATGACAGCTAAAAAAACAACACTTAGTGACCTAGAGTAAAAGACATCTTGCCAAACAGCTTTTGAAATCCTGACTGTGAAGGTTTTACTGTAACACTCTTCTGAAGTTGTCCTCAGTACACCCTTGTTGTCTTTTCCGAGCAGCATAATTAATGTAATAAAAAGTCTGCATACCTTTTACTGTAGTCAGTGTCCTGACTTGTTAATCTTGTGCGCAGGAGGATCAGTTTGGAATGTATGCCCTGTACAGCAAGAATAAGCCTCAGTCTGACACTCTGCTCTGCAGCCATGGCAACGAATTCTTTAAGGTGAGTCTGAAAACTGGTCCTGTTTCTCACAGAGGGGCAGGTTCTGGGGTCATCACTAAACCAAGACACAACATAGTCTCTCAATGCTGATATTCCTCCAAAATTTATGAGGAAAGTATTTCTCAATATGCAAAATGTAAAATAAAGACATACAAATACTCTGAGGGACGGAGGATTTAACTCGCCACATTAAGGCTCTTATCAGACTGTTTGACGATACAGAAATAACAAAAATGAAACTCCTGAGCGAGGTCAAATTCCATCTTGTTTTTAAAGCACAAATTCTAGCCTTCTTTTGCCAGTCGGGGTGCTGAGCTTTCACAGTTTGTGTAACCACATACCCTCTACTAAAATAAAGCTTAGACAGATGTTTTAGTTCATTCTCAAGAAGTGTCACCATTGCACAACTTGTCCACCAGGGAGAGCTAAACCGTTTTCTTTTCAAATTTAAAGTTAGAAACACAGTTAAAATCATTTTCTCAATCTTTAATGATGTCAAATGTATTTTTTTTTATTTCCATCTTGCTTTATTATCTTTTAAAACTTTTTAATGGGAATATTATTTAGGTATTTTTTTGAACAGTTCATATACATTTATTTGTAAAATCCAACCAAGTGCTTTTAAAAAACATCACAGTGACAGTTGAGTAACAATAAAAAACATAAATGTTGGAATAAAACAGAAATATTCACTCATAAAATAAGAACAACTCAAAACAGTGCTTGACTCAAATTAAAGGTAAAGGAAAACTGAAAAGGTATAAAAAATTTAGACCCTAAACCCCTTATAAGAAGAGATATCCAACTTATATGTAGTAGATTTTTGTTACACCACACCTCTCCTGTTAGCATAAGTAGCCTTATGTTGTTAGGAATGATGCCTCGGTCATTCCTGTAAAGAAGCCGTCTTCACTGTGTCCCGGCAGAATAAGCAGATGGAGCTCGGGGACAAAATGGACTTGGCCTCTTACCTGCTGAAACCAATCCAGAGGATGAGTAAATACGCACTGCTGCTCAAAGACCTGATCAAGGAGTGCGGTCAGTCCCAGGAGCAGGAGCTAAGCGACCTCCGCACGGCAGAGGAGATGGTGAAGTTTCAGCTTCGCCACGGCAATGACCTGCTGGCTATGGATGCCATTCGAGGCTGTGATGTAAGTCATTCACCACTGGTTCAGAAATCATGTTGTTACAATGACTTGATATGAATTTGATATCCGCTCAAAAAAAATAAATGCTTGACATTATTTTAAGAATTTCTGCTCAGACAGAGTCAATTGATCTATTTTTAAATTTGAAGTCATCTTGTTCTCATTACAGTACATTCAGGTCAGAGCCCCTGCTGAGATGATATTGTTCTTACTGACGCATGTGACCCACCCTGTTTCCTCTCCAGGTGAACCTGAAAGAACAGGGTCAGCTCCGCTGCCAGGATGAGTTCATAGTCTGGTATGGACGCAGGAAATACCTCCGCCACGTCTTCTTGTTTGAAGACCTCATCCTCTTCAGCAAGACCAAGAAGATTGAGGGAGGATATGACATTTACATCTACAAACAGTCCTTCAAAGTAGGAATCCATTGTTCCAAGAGACGATTTTGTCACTTAACACCTCTACTGTAAAGACAATAAATCCAATCACTCTTTTTGTATTCTTTCTTCTAAAGACGGCAGAGATTGGCATGACTGAAAACGTGGGTGACAGCGGCCTGCGATTTGAGATCTGGTTCCGTCGGAGGAAGTCACAGGACACGTTTATACTGCAAGCCAGCTCCTCGGAGGTCAAGGCGGTGTGGACAGCCATCATAGGGAAGATTCTGTGGAGGCAGGCGCTCAGGAACAGAGGTGTTTTTCTCCGCTATTTTCATCTGAACAATGACATGACACTCAGACCCTTTACTTAATCTTAGGCATAGAGTAGATTTGTCTTGAAAGAATACTTGTTTTGGATTTCAGAGCTGCGCATGCAAGAAATGGTGTCCATGGGGATTGGAAGTAAGCCTTTTATGGACATCAAGCCGAGTGACGCTGCTATCAGTGACAGAGCCATTGACTATTTCATGAAGGGGTCAGGTGAGCTCCTCTTGTGCATTTCATCCCTTAAAGCCTATTTTAATATTTTCCTCTGCTTCTTTGAGTTATTCTGTCTTCAGTTTCTAAACCTCTAACTTTTTTTGCTGAAAACACAAAAACTTGCAGACAAATGTTTTTATTAAGAGTTGTACTTTGAGCTTTTTGTCAACACGCCAATTGTAATCTTAGCTAAAAAAAAATAATAACAGAAATGCTGTTGTTACAATTTACTTCCTCCAATTTTGTCATAAAAAAACACAGAAATTTTAATAGATTCTCGTTATTCTTCATCCCGCTCCTGATCTCACAGCTGACTGCGTTCGCCTCTGCCCACAGAGTCTAGGACCAGAGCGTCCATCGCCGTGCCCTCCTTTGAACACGCCACTTCGTTTAAGAGACCTCACTCCACCATTTCCAACAGCAGCACCTCCTCCTCCAGCAGCCAGTCGTCCTCCTCACTGCTGGGCTCGCTCAATCTTCATCTCTACTCCTCACCCACTCACCCACACTCACATCCGTACCCCATGAGCGGTGTTCCAGCCTTCGCCCAGTGGCCCTACGACTGCATAGAGGAGGACGAGCTGGAGCACGACAGTGGAAGCCAACCCTCAATGAGTGGGTGTTTTTCTTTTCCTGATGTAGAATTTGTCAAGTCTGCAGTTTTCACTTTTGCCATAAGGGGAATATGAGGAAAAGTATCTTCGATGATTTTAATATATTTTAGGAAGTACTAAACCTCAAATATAGAAATACATATAAAAATGGTTGTTATAGTTTGAGCTTTTATGTCACATTTATGGAGGATTAGATCAGGGTTTACTGTTAAAATATCATGTCTTCTTTGCTGCTACCACTAGGAGCTGCCAGAGTCTGAAAACTTTTTATCTTCTAATTGGTAGACTGATGAAAAAACTTGAACTTTTTCAGTTCTTGGACTTTTTTGTTTGTTTGTTTGATTCTCATTTGCAGCATTTATGTTTTTTTTTATTATCCATCAGTTACAGAGAGCTTAGAGACGTCCTCACAGTGTAACTCCAGTGACAGTGGAACCAGGCTAAGCACCCTAACCATAGCAGGGCACAACAGCATCATCATGGACTCCTACAACAACAATGAGCCCCCGTCCTTCTTGTGCTCCTCCGCACCGCCCTCCTCCAGAGTGTCTCCTTCGATATTCCAGAAAGAGGAAGACCTCCAGCCCCAGGGCACCAAGTTTATCACAGCAGTGAGTGTCTGGTTGTGTTTCACATTGCTGTCTTCTTTCGAGATGATCTGATGTCATACCACAGCCAAAACAGGTGGTTTCATAGGAGTCTATTTTCAGAAGGACAGTGTTAGGTGCAGCGGTGAAACAGTGACACTTAACTTCATTACGTCCCCCTCTCTCGCAAGTCCTTCATTCCGATTTTAAGTCTATTTGAATGTAAAGGTATAAATACAAATATTTCACCAAATTTCCCCGTTTTTACAGAGATTTACAGAGAGAATCTGTAACATATTCACTATATGACTTAACACCCTTACCTCCTTTTCACGTTTTTGTTAATAGACAGTTTGTGTCCCAGAAAATTTACAAGCTATTCACTCTCTGAAAGAAGGACGTGTTGGCAGTCAAACAAACTATGCAAACACATACTAGAAGAAAATCTATTAAGTTTTCTAAACTGGTTAGGAGACCAGTTCCCTTTTCCTGACAAAGTAGGAAAAGAAAGATTAAAGAAAAATAGAAATTAAACCAACAAGCAGACAAGCAAGTGTAATTTTGTTCTTGAAATTACCGTAATTTTTTTATCAAGAAAAATGTGACATTCTATATTCATACCACCAACTTTTTGTATCTTTATCTTCTTTAAAATACAAAAAAATCAATATAAATTTTTACTATTAATCTCTGTGTCACTGAATAGTTTCATAAAGCTCATAGTGATAGTAATATAGTCAACGTGATTCGTAGAACCTATACTCTCTAAAGCTCTGAGGGAGACACTGTTAAGTTATCATATTATTGTTAACAGCTCCTGCTTTGTGGATTTCCCTTAAAAAAGAGGAAGATTTTTCCCTCCTATGGATAAATAAAGGTTAATCTTATCTTATCTGAGACAGTAGAGGGTAGAACAGATAATAACTGCAAACATCGAAGCTCCATGCAGGTGTTGTATTTAAAGGGACCTGACACCTATAACCCAAATGTAGTTATGATGATCCATTTCTGAAACATCACCAAGTCTGTATCCACGTCTCTTGACAGGATTAATTTAACAATCAAAGTCTTAGTGTGAAATATGTAGTGTATGACCAATCCAAGCTATAATATTTACACTGAGCCTGTTTTATATTCCAACTAGACACACAAATCTGACAAAAGCCAAACAAAAACTGAAGACCTCAGACAGCTGTGCCTCCTTCTCTGTATCACATGTTCATCAGAATGAATGCATGGACTTAATCAGACTGTTAATTATGAGACGGATACTTATTTAGCTCACAAACTTGAAGGATTTTAGGGGTCAAGTGTTAAAAACTAATTGAGACTTCAGCGTCACTCACCGACTTTCTACTGTTGTGTTTTTACCAGAGCAAGACCTCTCTAATAGCAGTAGGCCTCTCTACTGTGGTGTGACTCACAGCTGAGGGCTTTAAGCTCTGTAAGTAACAAATGTAACAACGGGGACAAATCTGTTGTTTTCTTCACAGTCTATTTAATAACCATGAGGAACCCACAGCCTGAGTACTAATCTTTTGTGAAAATGTGTTGTTGGTGGCTTTCCGGTGTGCTGCATGGTGAAGTGTCATTTTCTCATGGCTTAAAGGGCTCTTGTCTCGATGGGTGGTTTGTTTTTTATCCTTCTGGCTGTTTGTCATGTTTTCCTTTGTGTGCATTCAGTGCATTCAGTCGACTTGTGAGTGCGAATTGTGTCATGAATATTTGAATGTCTGTAGTTTAGCATGCTTTGCTACAAGCTTTGTTTGGGGGTTTTGTGGTGCATTGATTGTTCAAAGCATCTTTGTGCATGCGTCTCTGTTTTTGAAAAATTGCAGAACTCCACATATACATTTGTTTCTAATGCTTTAACTGGACTTCTTCATTTTGAATTGACAAAGCAGTCATTGTGTATTTATAATTTATACATCAGATTCATGGGTTACAGAAAAATTAAATGCTTTAGATATTAGATCACAAACAGCAGAGTATATTGTCTGCTTGTTTCTATTAGCCCTTAAATGCCTGAAACCATAAATTATGGCCAGAAAATTCAATTTTTTTTGGAGCTGAAATGTTTATTTCACTTACTACTAAAACCAAAAAAATCAAAATGTCCTTAAAATTTGACAAATATTTTTATTTATCCTGTTTGATACATTAGATGTTTTTGAAAACTGATTAACTACAAGAGGACATTTTTATCATTTATCAGACCGTATTCGGTTGTTTTTTTTTGACATTTGATCATATTGATAGAAGTATCATGAAAGTATGTATCAAATATACAAAAGGCATTAAAGCGTTAGCAGAGAAAAATATACAAACATGTGGAACATTACCGGTATTGTCTTATCCTCCTTATTTAAAAGTAAACAACCAATTGTGATTTTGCCTTTTTAATTTGAAAAGCAAATTGTGTCTTATTTCAATTTTGCTAAAAGTTTTTTGCAATTTTTGCTGCCGTTACACAAAAATAAATCTCTATACTCTGAGATCAATTTTCAGCTGTAACTTTAAATTTGTAAAACTGTACTGTCCACTTTTGATGCTGCTTTTTGAAATTATAACACTCTGCTCAGCTGTCTAAAAATTGTAAGAATTAAAGATAATTGTGACTGTAGCCATAAATTAGCAGGTTTAACAAGAGTGAATAATTCAATTAAATAAAGTGGATAAAAATCATGTTTTAATTTCTTGTTTCTTCTCTTTTTATAGCTGTGAAGTCCTCTATCTGAATGCTGCCTGTGCCGTCATGTTGTCACAGCAGATCAAGGACAAGAGACAGAAAAGGAGTCGAGCGTCTGAGCACTAAGACTTTAATGGATAAAGCACAACAGAAATGGCATTTCATAATGTAACTGTAAATTTGACATTGACCCGTCATTTACACTGCCAGAATGGTACGTCAGCTGTCTGTACATTTGTTTAATTGAACCATTGTAGTAATGAATCAGTGTGTATATTGTAGATGAGTTTTTATTATGTATTCTTTAAAAAGAACAAAAATAACAGGCAGATCAATCCAGACTTGTTTTTTTTTGTGTGTGTTTTCACCAGCTCTTTGTTATGAAAATTTGTACAGATGATTAAAAAATTTAAACGTACTCTTGCTTCATTTCTCTTTATTTTCCATTACAGTTCGACATAAAAATAACTACCACCACTATGGGCTGATTATTGAAAACCAAGATTCAAGTTAAGCTTCCTGTCTGTGATACCAGCCCAAACTGAATTCGGCTGAAAAGAGGTTGCAGTTATTTTCACTGATAACCGAGCGTGAGCGTAAAAACCACAAACAGAGACCCCTGCCTTTCCTACACTCTGAGCAGCACTTTGCGACCGACTGCTACCGTTACACAAAAAGACACAGAGGTTGAGGATGGAGAAGTGTTTTTTTTCTTTCACATGTGAGAAGCTGACATTTGTTGACCACAAGCCCTACATTCTCAGTTTGCATCAAACATCAGAAACAGACCACAGCCTGGCTGAGCAGCAGGGGCTTCAACTTCAATTTAGCAATCGAGGTGGAGCGGAAAGCCGCACTTGAGCTACAAAATAGCAGAAAATGACTCAATGCAATTGCTTAATTTACTGAGAGCATCAATTTCAAGCCCTGTGGTTCTTTGCTGTACGAACACATATATTATTGACAGTATTTAATTCTCAAATATCTTCTCAAATCATCTCATTGGTTTGATCATTGTGATTTGGTGCGTTTCTCCTTAAAGAACCAATAGCAGAGGATTGCTGAGAGGAAAGCTTCGAGTCCTAACACACACAGCTCCAGCACCTCCATCTGTGGAGAAAAATGAAATGAAGTACATTATTTCTTTATTAGTCAATATATACTTTAATATATCTTACCGAATAAATCCTGTAAAATAATCATTTTGTCATATTTTCTAGTGTTACCCTCAGATGTTGTTCCTGTTGTCGATTCCAGTTTGCCAGGTCAACACAAATCAGACAAGCTGAAACTACTGCTACAATGATGCAGCCGCAGTTCACCCTGAGGGAAACCTGTAACATGAACTTTCATCAGTATTTGATTCAGGTTATGTGCACTTTCTGCAGCTGTCTTATTGTCCACGCTTGGATTATGTCGAGTTATACGTACAGGAAGTAATTCTGGATACTTGAATAGAAGGTTGGAAATGATTCCAGCAACGACAAACTGCAAAGGAGAACATCACAGCTCAGATGATACTGAAGACTAAAAAACATGAACAACAAAAGAGTTTGACTCAGAGAAATAGCTCATTGAGGTCAAGCGGTAAACATGTTCAAATCTGCATGAAGCAGTTTGAAGAAAGACTTACCATTATTCCAGTCAAGTAGGAAATCCTGAACATCGTAATGAGGGAGTCACCCATCTCCTGAGTTAAGGCAAAGACAAATCCCAATCCAACACTGACGAGTCCACTCATCATCTGCACGGACTGACAGAAGAACAAAAACACATGAGCAAGTGGGAGCCCGTGCATTTGCCTGTCATGCTGATATCTTCCTTTATGTCTCTGTTAAGCTTCGGTTTTGTTTTGTTCCACAAAGTTAAAAACCCTTACAGTGATGTGCATTAACTGAATGCATAAAACTAAAGCTCAGATGATACATGAATCTCATTTACTGAAAAAATAAAAGTACTAGAAGATGTAAACACATCTTCACACATCCTGAGGAGAGACGGAGGTCTGATCAAACAGGCAGCATACAAAGGTGGTTTGGGACAAACTTCTTCGCAATGGTCTGGCAGTGAGTATGCTCATGTATCCTGGACAACACCTCATAAAATCATATAATTTTGGATTAAGGCTGATCCTTTAAAGGCGAGCCAGGGCAGGTCAGTGATGTGATCTAAAATAAGTTTATCAGAGTTTATAACAAAACAGTGACGACAGATGATCTATAGGGGAGATGAGCGAATAGATTGCGAATCTGTCAATGTGTTTGTAGTGCTACTGCTATGTCACCCATCCAGTGAGGAAAAGGATTGGTCCCATACTTTTGCATCCAGCCCCGCTATAACACATGATTTGGTGCATGATCTACTTCCCATGTTATTTAATTGACAGAATCAGGAGATGAGACCATACAACACCACAGTGCAGTGAAGATAAAGATGTTTTATAACGTGGGTTAATTAAACATATACAGACACATTTTTTTTCTTTAACTATATTGTTCACATGATCTAAGTGCTAAATGACACCCTTGCCTGATAAAGTAGAATACCACAAAACCCCTCTGACCAACCATTTCCTGAGTCCTCAGCCAAAATCTGCAGAGCACGTACAAGTTATTTTGTCCATCCTGCCCTGCTGCACTTTTTATCTCTTTGTTGGCTCTGGCCTGAACTGGAGTGTTCAAGTAGTTTCTGTCAATTAATAGCAGCAAAAAGGAATATTTGATACTGGCCAGCATACCAGAAATGTAGTCTGTTCAAAGATAAATATTTAGTTCAATATTTGAAAAAAGAAAAACATGTTACAAAGTCAATTGAAGCGGTTTGACTGCACACAAATCCCCCACAGTGCTCAAACATCACTCATATCAGATTTAGGGCTTTTAAAAAGGGTTAGAAATGACTCTGTGGTTTGAAATGGAAAATTAACTATTTGCTGTCTCTTGAGGAAACCAGAGTGAGTATATGGGGTGGTTTGAGGTCAAATGACTGGTCTGAAGACACGTCAGCAGGTGGACAATGGCGCCTGGGTCTGAATCTGTGACCCTTTAATAGACAGAAGACCTGCTCTACCACTGAGCCAAAGCCACTCATTTACTGAGTTTACTGTATAAAACTAACCCCAAATGTTAAAGCCTCTTTTTTATAGACCATTTTCAGTCATTTTGCTGATACACAATAACTCTGCTGATCATACTGTAAGTAATCTATGCTTGCACAAAGAGTACTGTGGTCTCCGTACATGGGGTGTCCACTCCACCAAGATGTAGAAATAGCCGCTCTAAAGGACAAAAAATGAATCACTGCCCTCATGTCAGTGTGTTGATGAGAATTAAAGAAACTAATCCCTGGTCTGTTGGCTGCATAAACGTGTTAAATTTCCTGTGTACACCTAACAGATCAGTCAGTCTTACCCCAAGGACAGCAGGTTGTTTCTGCAGCAGGTCATGCAGCGGCCCTTTGACCCCCGGCACCAGCTCTGTAGCTTGATAATGTCGCACCAATGTGTGTTCTCTCCTCCCAGCTCTGTGCAGGTCCTCGTCCTCGCCGTGGATATCCATGTCTATATCTGCACAAGCCATGGTGCCCTCCTGAACCAGAGGAATCATACTTTTAAACAGTAGAAAATCAAGCTCTTTAAGACCGCAGCTGTGCTTTAGTGGAGTGGGACATATCAAAAAGGTGCGATCTGATACGTCAGAAGCAGATCATAGCTTTGACAGAATTCTCTGAATTTTAAAACACTGGAAAAATCTGAGTATGTGTCAACATGAGTTCAAAATAAAGGATTTCTACATTTTAAGCAGGTTTGAATTTACAATACGATACAAAACCTTCATTTCAGGGTCGAGAAGAATCGTCATCTCCGATATAAACTGATACAGGTAAGACTTTGTGTACATTTATATTTCATCACTATCAAACAAACTGGATTGTGTAATATCATATTTCAGCATCAAATAATAATGAATAAAATGTTTACATACATAAGTCAAAGGGCAGTTTTCTGCCTCTACAAATAGGTGCGATGTAATAATCATAGAACCGCACCACATACATGACAGACTAGCTGTTTGATTTTATTCTTCAAACAGAATCGATACCGTTGAAACAGTCAATACTTACACAAAAACCTCTGGTCTTATTGAGTACATACAAAAGCAGATACTATAATGTCTGCAAATTCATATTCTATAACACTAATAAACTTTTTTTTTTTTTTGCAGTCCATTTCAAACAAGATGTCAGATTTAAAATTCTTACCCAGTTGTGTTTGAGTAGGATGTATTTCTCTCTTTCAGTCCGTCTCAAACAAGTGCCACAGTCTTGAGACAAAATAATCACTTCCTCGTAAACACTTTTTAAAAAAGAGGAGGTCACCTCACACCTTAACTTCCTCCATAACACATTAGTGTCTACAAAATTACCATGTCTACTCCTCGCTTTTGTGTAAAGTAGAGAGTGTCTGGTTCAACAAAAACTGACATCTTTATAAATCTATGTTCAAAGGTTAGTACAAATATTAGGTCTTAACTTTTTTAAATCATTGGCAGATTTAAAGTCTGCAAGTTAGGCGTTTGTGGGTTTATGTTTTTGTGTGTGCTGTGTGCGTGTATAGAGAGAGAGAGAGAGAGAGAGAGAGAGAGAGAGAGAGAGAGAACCTATTGACATATTGGGTCATTTCCTCATCAAACTCTTTTGACGCAGTGAGAATTCGAGGTCTGAGTGAACATAAAATAAGAAAAACAAAGGTAAGAAACCATCACCTGAAACCTTGATTTAACAGATTAAACCGCTGCAGAATTGGATTTATGATTTCTCCGTCTTACAGGAAGATGAAGAAGACATTTGTATGTGATGAATCCATGATCATCACCATTCCTATTGGGAGTCTGAGGAACACCACTGAGGGTCATCTGATGCCTGAGAAGTTCAACTGTGTGTACAGAGACTCCTACAAGGTGTTTGCTCTCAAAGGGAAACCTAAATCTCTTGGAGTAAGTTGGGCCGTTTGCAGATCATTACAAAGCTTTGTGAATATAATTTTCTGAAAGGCTGTGTATTTCTCTGTTTCTCTAAGGCAGCTCAGGCTGTAGCTGGGGTGTTTATTCTCACCCTGGGTCTGATTTTTGGTCGGACAGATGCTGGTGTGAGGTTCGACATCTGGATCTTTACCCTGCCGAGCACTGTGGTAAAGAAAAATGCAGATAAATGTATTCACACTGAAAGTAGAGAGTTTTTTGAGAGACCCTTTCAGTTTTATTTATTGGGAAAATAAAATAGTAAACTAATTCTTCAGGTATTTCCACTCTTCGTTTGCTTTTACAGCTGCTGTTTAAGAAAGTTAATCTTTGGTGCACATCTAATCCTCAACTTCCTGTTACTATGACAATGTCGCCGCAGGAGAGCAATGATAGTTCACCATCTCACCCAGACTTTTCTTATATTCTGTCAAAATGTATTATCAGGAGATGGTCAGTGTGTCATTCCTGTGCCTCACGATGTATGTATTTTTAAATATATTTATGTTTTTGGTCTTTATCTCAGTTTGTGGTCTCTGGTATGCTGTCCTATGCTGCTGGACGATTTCCAAACATACATGTGGTAAGATTAAAATATATATTAAGCTATTAAAAAATTACATTTTTCTGAAGAAATTTTAAATTGTTATTTTAACAAAGGTTTTGACCTTTTTGGTTTAAAATAGGGTTATGTATTGTCTAAATAGTGAACACCTTTAAAACATGGTAGCAATGACAGTTTTAGAGACTGGATTTCTCTCAGGATGTTTTCTTAATTGAACCCTAACAAGACTGATTTCTGTGTCTAAAACCAAAATTTAGACGTGCTTCTCCAAACCCAAAATTTTAGTTACAAATGGGGATTGTTCACAACATCAGATTGGAAAAGTGCATTCAACCATATGGATTTTTTAAGCAGTAAAATACAATGAAAGGTTTGCAGTATAACTAAAAGTCATAATTTTGAATAACTAATAACTAATAAGTTAATTTCAGTTAATAATAAAATTTGACATCCTATTTATCATCAGCAATGGAAGCCAACAAAAAAAATTGAAAGATTTTCAGACAAAAGTGAAGATTTGTTAATGAAATTGAAATTATTACATTTATTGATTAGTTTTTGTAAGAAATAATTGAATGTAATGATTTTAAAATCATTTGATCATGGTCTGTAAGAATCAGAATTTGATTTAAAAATGGAAATGGATTTTTCAGGGTCCCTAACAATAATGGCTTGTATGATGTTGAACTCCTGCATTATTTCTGCTTCTTGCCAGACGAAGCTGTCCTTCTCTCTGAACATTATCAGCATCTTCTGGTCCTTTGTGGCTGTTCTTTTCAGTGCAATGTGGTTGTATGATGTGCAAATGCAAAGCTCTAAGAATATTCAGGTAAAAGAAAAAATCCAGAATGCATAAAAGGAATTCCTTTTTGGCTTATTAAAATACAAAGCGTATGTGTTTGAACTTTTACACATGCTCTGACTTTTCACACAGCTCTGCAGAGGGATCAACGGCCTGATCATGACGCTGCTAATTGTTGAAAAGCTCTTAGCTATTGTCTTGACATACTGGTTGAGTAAAGCTGTATGCAGGGAACATTTCAACACTTTGGTAAGTCTGTCTTTGACCAAACACTAACTTTATACAGTGTTCCATAAATAGTGTTTCTGACTAATGTATTATTTTTTACAGCCCATCATTCTGCTGAAACACGCAGAGTGAACTAGAAGACTTAATGGGGCCCAAAAAACAACATCATCAATTTACTCGCAACCTACTTTTTAATCTATATATTCTGCATGAGAATACCATCATCAGAGGATAGGTAATGAGTTTCCAGATTATCTTTTTTTAAATAACCCCCCACTGTGTGAAGAGTGTGCAGAAGACAATGTTTTATATTTCTCAGCATGCAAAGACTGTTGATTCAAACTGTTTTTTTCTCTGTAAAGCATAGAAGCTGTTCAGATTATTTTATATCATTTATTTTAATTTCTCTGTAAATATTTTTGTTCTATTTACACGCATGGGTGTTTAACTTGATCTCTCTCAGCAAAGTTTTATCTGTGAATAAAGGTGATTATTTGACTTGATTGTCGTGGCTCATTTGTCTTCTTTACAATGACAAAAAGTTCTTTTGTTGAACAGTGCTAAAATAATAGGTGTCAATGGTGTCAAAACAGTTCTCTGCAATGTTTCCTGTGTAACTTAAGAGTGTGAGACATTGCTCTCTCTGCTTTCAGTAAAGGGAGAGTGGGGTAAGATGAGCTGTTCTTCATATTTCAGATCACTACATCAAGGCAATCATAGTTTTGTCTCTAACTAGTGTATCTGCATCTATTTCAAGATGTTGTGCATCCCTGCAAACCAACAGAATGAGTGTAAACATAACTGTCTTGGTAATATAGCATGCAAAAAAAGTGGTCTCCTATGGTCAACTTACCTGTGTATGGGGTAAGTTGACCATAGGAGTGGGGTAAGTTAAGCCGTATTAAAACACAATTAAACACAATTAAAATAAAACTTATGACAGACTAAATTCACTTTCAAGAGTGAAAAATGTATTTTTGTTTTTTTTGTAAATAAATGTCTAACCCCTTCACCCGTGTGCTTCTAACTTTCAAAGACACCATGAATTGATGTCCATCTCCTACATATTTGGTCACATGATCAATTTCTTTTACCATTTCCAAGCAACATGGGGTGGCTCAACTTACCCTATTCTCCTCTACCTGGTTAAAATCTTCTGAAAAAGACCCCAGCTGGGAACTAAGGGCGCTTATTGTTTTGGTTGCTTGTGAAACCATCCGCGGCCACAAGGGGGAGATAGACACTCACTAAATCAAGTCGAGTAAATTCACTTTTTCAAGAAGGATGTTGCCTACTAGGAAGAAGTCGTTTCACAACCGAACAACTTTGAGTCACTTCACGACCTTAAAAAGTTTCCTAAACTTCTGGACGCGCATACATTGTCAGGAGTCTCAGTTTGAGGTCTTTAAGTAGAATTAAAAAGTCAGCCTCGCTTCACTTATCACACTTTAAAGTCCTTAACGTGGAGGTCAGAGTGAAAACAATCATTGCGGCACATGATGCAGGAGGGCACGTGAACTCTTCCGCGTTCAGACACTCCCTACAACCATGAACACCAATCAAAACCTAAAGTGAACAATTCCTCTACAATTGTCTTCCTCTCTCTCTCCCTGTTTTTACCCTCTCTGGCTCTGTCTGCCTAGCTGTCACCTCGGCTATGTGACCCTTAAATGTTTATCCCCCCTTCGTGTTGTGTTGTGGCAGGTTTTGGTGGTCGTCGCTGCTGCAGACTCGATCACTTTCTCATGCTAATGTGAGGAACCACCACCACTGTTGTTGCTGCTGCTGCTGCTGTTGCGTCCATCCATGGCGTCCGTTTACGGCGGATCTCATACCCTGAGCAAGGATGATGTGAATTACAGGATGCATTTCCGAATGATAAACGAGCAGCAGGTTGAAGATATCACCATCGAGTTTTTCTACAGGCCGCACACGATAACTCTGCTGACATGCACGGTGCTCAGTTTGATGTATTTCGCCTTCACAAGGTAAGAGGCTCGCAGCTACTAGCGTTAGCACGGTTCGTTAGCTTAGTTAGCCAACAGGGATGCTCTGACACAGCCAGGTCCACACACAGAGGTTAGCTAGATTTTATCATCTTATTTAGGTTTTTATCAGTGAAATTTGACCTGATATAACTCTGTCAGTGCTTATCATTATCAAAAATATCCTTTTTGAGTGCTTGTATACATGTGTGATAAGGTTATTGTAGTGATGAACACAGTGTCCTGTGCTTTCATGAGCTACAACAATGTAACCAGCAGGGAAACGTGTCATAATGTCACATGCAGAATGAGTCTCTGCATTAGAGATCAATATATGCCCTGAAATCAAAAGAAAGTGCAAACCTTAGTATCTTTATCTGCTGTTTAGAAACCTAGAGAAATGATGTGTTAAACTGTTTTAATGATGTGCTTGACTTGAACAAAAGTGTCATGACATTTCTGCCTGTTTATTCTGCCTGCAGGGATGATGGAAATCCTGACAGTAATCTCTGGGTGGGGCTCATCCTGGTTATCTCCTTTTTCCTTGTTATAAGCGTTTTGGCATTTCCTAATGGTGGGTACCAAATGACATTGAAGACATTTTGTTTAACCTCGTGCATGACTTCTAATCACTGTTTGCTCTTTCATGACAGAGAAAACCCTTGAGAAGAACCTTCATGTGAGATATAGTGTTTGAAAAGTAGCAAAACAAACAAGTTTGAGCAAAGGGAGAAACACTCTCATTCAACAATGTCTAACCAGGGTTGCTTTTGCTTGCTGTTGTAAGTCGGTTTCCATCACATGAATTTTAATCTCCCTTTAAATCCATGAACTACATCCAACAGTGGGCACAAGGGTAGAAAAGTGTTCAGGGTTATGTAAGACAATATTATAACAATATGGTTTGTCATTATGATAGGCTTAAGTCCATTTTATCACATGTTTCAGACTTTATAACAGTGCGTCTTCGTGTCCCATACTGTAGGTCCATTCACCAGGCCACACCCAGCGATATGGCGAATAGTTTTTGGTGAGCAGTACTTCCTCAAAAGGAAAATATTGTCATCACTTCGACTTTAAATTTCAGTTTTTAACGTCATGTCTTTTGCTGTTCAGGTTTGAGCGTCCTCTACTTCCTCTTCTTGGTTTTCATCATCTTCCTCAACTGGCAGCAGGTGAAACAGCTCATGTACTGGTTGGACCCAAACCTGCGCTACGCCAAGAGAGAGGCAGACGTCATGGTGATGATGCAGACTCACACACACACACAATAGATATTTTGCATGCTCTTGATGCCATGTCCATCAGGGGATTAGTAATCATTATGATGGGGCTATGTGTGCCGCTCTCTGCAGGAATACGCTGTGAACTGCCACGTCATCACCTGGGAGAGAATCCTGAGCCATTTTGACATTTTTGCGTTCAGCCATTTCTGGGGCTGGGGTATGAAAGCTCTGCTTATTCGCAGCTATGGTCTCTGTTGGACCATTAGTATTACCTGGGAGCTAACAGAGGTAAGTGGGAACTAGATTCCTTTCGCACTAACTAAAACCCCTCCTCTTGCCTCTCCTTCTGTCTTTTCCCTAAAAATATAATAAATTGAGTTCAACTAACATGGTGTTATTGTTGGTTAATCCTGCAGAAGTTGATTGATTTTGGCCATTTTCATCACGATCAAATAAGTAGACTCTGTTGCGTCCACCTCTTCCTTTCCTCTAGCTTTTCTTCATGCATCTGCTGCCTAACTTTGCTGAGTGCTGGTGGGACCAGGTGATTCTGGACATTCTGCTCTGCAATGGAGGCGGCATCTGGCTTGGAATGACTGTCTGCCGCTTTTTGGAGATGAGGACCTACCACTGGGCCAGTATTAAGTATGATCCGGGAAAAGAACTTCTATTTTATGAATGGATGGAATAAAATTATGATAAAACTGTCATAATCACAAATCTTGTATCTGGTATCTAATTGTTTTTTAAATTAAATCTTAAATGCAGATTCACATGCTTGGGAATTTTACATAGCTCATACAAGATTGACGTTTTGCTAATGTTTGCAAATAATTGCCATTTTCATTGTGAGCCAGGTTAAAAGTAGATTGATGGTCCCTCTCTCCTTTGATTAAACAAAGATGTTGAGAAATTCCTCTGAAATAAAACTTTCAATCACATCAGGTGAAACTGAAGTTACAAAGATTTTGATGGTAAATTTCAGAATAGAGAGCCTTATCTAATGTGGTTATGAGCTTCTACTGTTTTTCAAGCTTGTCATTCCTGTTTGGATCCTATGATATACAAATAATTTGTTTGAAAACTGATCTCAAAATCTCATCAAGGTGGAGTGAACTTGAATGATTAATGTAATGGCATTACTTTCATCTGGCTTTGTCTGTTAGCCAGGCTTTATACTTATTGTAAATCTCTCTGCAAGTCATTGTAATCTCCCTCCTTTGTTATTCATCCAGAGACATCCACACCACCACAGGGAAGATCAAACGAGCCGTGTTACAGTTCACCCCTGCGAGCTGGACTTATGTTCGCTGGCTGGACCCGAAGTCTTCCCTTCAGCGAGTGACGGGTGTCTATCTTTTCATGATTATCTGGCAGGTGGGTCAGCAAAAGGAATCCTCTCCCATTATCTCATGGTGACTAAGTGCTGACTAGTCAGGGATCATCCTGTGTTAAATCCAGGGTAATCTAATTGCTTCCTCTGTTGTTGAAACGTAAAACCGGTCTCACACGGATCCATATAATGCACAAGTGTCGTCCTGCCTACACATTCGCAGCTAATCCCCTGGTGAAAGACAGGCTGGATTACTGGGGAGTGATTTATCGAAACAAGACGACCATGGCCTGAGAATTTCATGGAGCTCTACAGTTAAGACTCGGCTGAAGATGTTTGTTTTGAAAGCTGCTCTGTCTCTCATGTAACACATCCATGCAACCCTGTAGTCCTTCATACTTCCTTACTTAGGAAGTTCGCTTTGCTCTTGAGGCTTAAAATAGTAATTAACAACTTTTGATAAGTAGAGTGACAATGGTGCTGAGCTCAACCATGCAGGCTCTGGCTAATAATGCTGCTTCCTTCTTGTTATATTTGAGCTCCGATTCAAGGGGTTTGGACGAACTTCCCTCTTGCATGAACTGCCAGTATTGTTGGTAATTAGCCAAACCAAATGTGACTCTTGTTGCAAGATAATCTCTATCTGTTGCTGAGCTAATATCAACCCCAAAGTCATTTCAATGGGAGTTACAATTGTCGTTGTTGTTTATGTGAAATGTTCAATACCGGTTCTCAGTCCGTTCATTTGTCAGCCAAAATAGACTAGATAGGTCTGAAACCATAATATTTACTAGATTTCCTCACACATAAACTAGCATCTGTTTTTAAAATCACTTTGTGAGAGTTAACTAATGACAGATATAATTTTAGTTTAAAGAAATTTAAGACCGAGAAGTAATTGAATAGTTTCAAGTATCTTCATGGAATGTGACTGAACCAGCGAAGGCACGTGGAAACTCTGAAGCAGTGTAATTCCTCTCGAATGAGCTGATGTCAAGTTTATTTTTAAGAGAATACGGGCACTGCGTCTATGTTGAATAATCCAGGCATCAGCATCAAGATGGTCGTAGTTGTTACTGTACAGGTGTCAATAAAAACAGATAAGGGCTGTTTTTGTTTCAGGGTCACTGGAACTCTGTCATTGCCTAAAAAATTTGAACCACTGACTGAGTAACATCTCACAGTTTACCCTCAAGGGGAAACATCCGCTCTGAGGAAAAACCCACTCCATGAAATTTGAATAAAAACAGTCGAAGGATATCGACAAGTTTTCTGGAGTGCTGGCTCTGCGCTCATGCACACAGGATGTCTTCACCCAACTTAAAGGGCGTTGTAGGATGTTCACATTTATATTAGGAGGACACTGTTATCTAGAAATGCTTTTATACATATCTCTGTCATGTACAGCAGCTGTTCATATTCATAAAAGTATTCTCTGTTTTCTCTCCTACATAGCTCACAGAATTAAACACGTTCTTCCTCAAGCACATTTTCGTCTTTCCTGCGAGTCATGCTCTCAGCTGGTGTCGGATTCTTTTCATCGGTATCATCACAGCTCCAACAGTGAGGTAAACGCACAGCATAGTTTCATTTGTTTAAAAAAAATCAAACTGTTCAAACGGCTTATGTCAGATTGTGTTGACACTGTACATTACTACACACGCTGTCATTCAGCTCTTTGTTATGACTGTTTGCTCAACGGGTGTACAGTAAAAATAGTAACTGACTCAACCTGCAGGTGAACATTTACGTTGTGTTTGTTTTTTCTGCTCCAGGCAGTATTACGCGTACCTAACAGATACACAGTGCAAGAGAGTGGGGACCCAGTGCTGGGTGTTTGGGTAAGTTTTTCCTTGACTACTGTTAGTATTGCAAACTGACCACCAATAGCAGTTAGACCACACCTTTATTTATGCGTAAACTAATGTGTATAGCAGATAACCACATGCTGTGCAGATAAAAGTAGTGCATGTGGAGTTCAGTGAGAAGGTAAAAGTCACACACGGGCATGTTTGCTTAAAGCTTTTGTGTTGCTGTCAACTTGAAAGTTTACCACAGGTCACAGGGTGACTTTGTGAGCTGTTCTGTCCCCTCTCTCACAGAGCAATCGCCTTCCTGGAGGCCTTGGCATGTATTAAGTTTGGACAAGACTTGTTCTCCAAAACTCAGATCCTCTATGTGATTCTCTGGCTCCTGTGTTTGGTAAGATCAGGATCAAAGCTCTGATGTATTCCCCTTCCATCAAAGATCATTATATCCTTTTGCAGTTCATAAAAGTCTTATCATTCTGTGACTTGACTCCACTGTCTATCAGACCACCTTCTTGAAACAAAACTCTGTCTTTCCACTGATGAGAAGTTTAAGAATTGCAGGTTATTGATTATGAATGTTCTGTTAATCATTAAACAGTCTATATTGTGTTTGATCTGCTCTTAGGCCTTCATTACATTCCTGTGCCTGTATGGGATGGTGTGGGTTGCTGAAAATTATGGCCCAAGAGAAAAGGTACTTCTGTCACTGCAAATGTTGTTTTTTCTTCATAGAGGGTGTCAAACTATCAATATTAAAAGGTTAGTGAGGGCTAAAATATAGAGACACACAGACACTATTTGTTGTAACTGGTTGGTTTATGGGATGTTGTTTAAACCCTAATCTAGTGAATGATTACATTAAATCAGAACAAGCTATCATGGAGGTATACCTGTTATTACTTTATTGTTTCCTGGAAACAATACAGTTGATTAACACCATGTCTTTTAGGGGCACGAATCAGATCATTTGACTGCTATCAAGATGAAAATGGTGCCTCTAAAAAAGCTCCTAACCTATCTTCAGAGGTTCTGGAGATATTTCACATTCTCATATGAGCTGACATGCTTTTTTAACAGTTGTGTGGGTCATAATTGCTGGTACACAACAGTGTGTTTAAACAGATGGCTATTAAAGTTCGTTTTTTTTTTGTAGGATCCTCAGAAATGATTAACTCATACTTCAGTGAACCATGAGAACTGTTCAGGGTCAGCTAGCTTCTGTATGTTCCCTGTCCAGCTAATGGTATGTGTGTTATGCGTCTGAACCTCTTCTCCTTTCACAGAGCCTCTCAGAATGTGAAGACAGTAATTACACAGAATCTGCTGGCTATATGTCAGAGGGATTTAAAGGTACAGTGACTTTTATCTCACTGACCGTCAGTCAAGTTTTTAGGATGGTGTTTTTACTCCTTCTAAACTCCTTTTTATGCAAATTTATCTCCACGTGTTTGATGTTTCAGGAGAGACAGAGGCAGAAAACGACAGCCCTACAACCAGATACAGAGGGAGGAGCTTGGAAAAGACTGGTTCGATCAATGGCCTGGACAGCCAGTAGTAGTTGCGGCGTACAGGCAGGATGTCGTTGACTCCTGAACTCTCTTCAAGGAACCCGGCGTGAAGAGTTGCATGTTAAAAGAGGGGGTGGAGATTTCCTGGTGTAATTTGAAGTCCAGAAAGCCCCCCACATACAGAAGAGAGGAGGCAGGAGGGGTAAAGGTCCATGCAGTGTTAGTAGGAGTGCACAGAAGCTTGGACTACAGAGATGTACACTTTAATGTGTGCTGTAGTTGTAGAAAACTCCCAAACCACTGATCGTGTGTGTAAGTGTGTGCGTGAGTGAGTGAGGAGAGAGGTATGTGGCCAGTGAAAGAGAGAGAGAGAGAGAGAGAGATGGCAATTAAAACTGCCAATTCTAGATAAGACTGCATGATCATTGTAGCTGATAAAGTCTAATTTACAAACATTTATCCTATGATACAGTATATCATTGATGGTTAATGTACATTTGACTGGTTTACACCAGCTATAACTCCAGTATGTTGGTCCAACACATTTCAATGTTAAAAAGCCATTCTGTAGAATCTATCACAATAAATGGAGCCTTTATGTTTATTGCACAGAAAGGCTTTTATTGGCATCTGTCATAGATGCTCACTCTTGTTTCATGAGCTTGAATGTGGACAGGATTTCAATGCAAGGAAGCTTTCGCTTGGTAGGATCATTAACTGAAGTGTTTTTTTGACCGAACAAAGCAAAGCACACAGTTTAAGCACTTTTCAGAATGTTTTCTTGCAACTACTGTACATTTTAATGTTTGAGTAATCTGTGAATCATTGTGACTTTAAGTGATTTTACTCTCCTGTCCATCTGTGGCTGCTATCATTTTTTTTATTGTACCAATATCTGAGGGCATCTATTCATATTCCTGCATGTGTTGTAAGCCTGAACCTGCTGATGTGCGGGTGGTTTTATTTTTATGTTGACCTTCTTGTCATGGCATTTGCATGGCTGTGTCAAATCAAATTAAGTATTTCGGTAGGAATATGTTACTAGGGTATATAACACCACACACCAGGATGCCAGTATTGTCATTTTTATGTCTTTCACTGTCATTGTAACATTTTAATTTACCCCTTGTGCCTGTCTGCATGTTCTTTTTTTTTATTCCTAACTTTTCTAGGTTTTTACTGAAGTTTTGGCTTTAGATGTTTGACTCTTCTGTGCTTGAGTGCCGTTTTAAAAATTTATTTTTATTGCTCTGTCAGCATCATCTCAGTACAGATATATCCCCTTAAATCCTCGACAATCCAGACGTTGACCTCTGTGGAATGGACCAGGCTCCAGTGCTACAGTACACACTATAAATGGTACATTGTCTCTGGATGTAGATGTAATTTGCCAAAAGCATTTCTGTTGGAAAGAACTTGTGCTGTTCTTTTTCACTGTGAAATATTGAAACATATTAAAGTGTTTTACATTTCCTCTTACACTGACAGCTGTTTTTGGTGCCATTTCCTCTTTTATGGCTGTTGAAATAGAGCAGCAGCACTCTTACAGTCGACTTTCATCAATAAATGCCTTCATTAGTCATTAGAGAAAAATGTTTGTCTTGGCGTGCTGAAGGCTGTTATAATACTTCACAATAGGAAACCATGGGTGACCTTGCTCAACCCCTGAATAGCGGCCTGCTGCAGCAAAACAGTGCTGGATTGGTTGGCTGAAGAACTGCCCGTCTGAGATCAGATTTCACTTGGTCTGCACACCATGAAATGCAGACGGAAATAGCTGCCTTATGCTGACCTATAACAACGTGTTTTTGAAGGTAGAGCTTGTGTTTCCCAGAAAAGAAACTGCAAAAGGGTCTGATTCCTCTGGCTAAACCACACTGGGAAAAAAAAACTAACCATACAGAAAAATGCCACCACCACACTTTGGCTCCACAAAATGTATGCAGCTGCAATTAAACACCTTGTACCATCCTCATTGTGGTTCTGTTTTATTTCAGCGTTGTCGTTGTAATACCTTTTATGCTAGTTTGTTCTGCTCCCTGTGTCAAAAACACAAGAGAGGTCGTATGATTTGACGTTGTGTTTAACTTATTATCCAGTTGAGGGCAGCACTGCCTCACTGAGCCGCGAAATGTCATGTGACCGCTTGGGCCTAGCACAGAGAGTATAAGTGCGTTGACAAAAATGGTGCAGGCTTCTGCCTTCATGCCCCCTGTCTTCATTAATTTCTCTGTCAAACTGGAATGGTCAGTCTCTATTTTGGTTTCTTGAGCTCTCTACTGCTGGTTTGGGAGGACATCAGGATATTTCAGCCATGGCCAAGAGTCCTTGTCTGAGGGGTTCTGAGGGGGCTCTGAGAGAGATCCAGATCAACTTGCTGGAGTGTAAAGTGTGCTTCGAGAAGTTCAACCTTCAGCAGAGGGAGCGCAGACCACAGAACCTTTCCTGTGGCCATGTTCTTTGTCTGGAATGCATCGCAGCTCTGTCCCACCCTCTCCTGAGAAAGCTGGAGTGCCCGTTTTGTAGACAGCTGTGCAATATTGACAGCACCTCCCCCTGCCAGGTTCTTGTAGACCTGCAGGAGCTGTTGTCTACAACATCTTCAACAGGCATTCACTCGGCCACAGGTCTGACATCCACATCTCTGACATCCACAGCTCTGCAACTCTGCACAGTCTTTGGCGGATGGGGGACTCTCTTCAACCCTACTGGGATAGCCATTTTGGGGGTTTCAGGAACAATAGTGGTGGTGCATGATGGGAAAAAAAGAGTGGTGGTGTTCAGCCCACGGGGAAGGAAGCTTCACAGTTTCGGGCCTAAAGGACGAGCTGTCGGAGAGATTTGTTACCCTGTGGATGTGGCTGTGACTCCCTGTGGTCATGTGGTGGTGACTGACGCTGGGGATCAAGCAGTGAAGGTTTTTACTTCAAGAGGGAACCATGTCTTGACAGTCAAAGACTTCTTCCTGATGCCCTGGGGTGTTGACACAGACAGCTGTGGAAACATCCTCGTCTCAGATGCCCAAGCTGGCAAGCTGTTCCAGGTCAAAGTGGACTATACTCGTGGTCTTATTCTGAATCATGTACCCGCCATTTCAGACCTCCAGAACCCTAAAACAGTGGCCTGCCATCAGGTGACTGGGAATGCAGCAGTGTTGGAGCATTTGCATGATGATAAGTATCCTCCAAGTACTCACCAACGCACAAGATTGAAAGTGTTTTCTAAAGACTTTCACCTCCTCTATCAAGCCGACAGTTTCAGCCTGACCCTGCAGTCCACAGTGAGGCTCAACATGTCAGGAGTGGCCTTTGATGGAGATGGAGGTATTGTTGTGGTCGACTCCAATAAGGGGATTATTTGGAGTTTGGGGAATGTGCTGAGAGGCCTGGACCCGTCTCCTTTAGTGGGAGACCACCTTCTCCGCCCGACTGGACTGGTGTCGATAAAGAATACACTTGCTGTTCTAGACAGTGGAGACCATACAGTAAAGATTTACTCTGCTAAATCTGATCCTTGGCCAATCAAATAGCCCACAATAGGCCAAGACGCCATTGTATTTGTATCTGTAAATTCAAAACAGAGTGCATACATCACCTTTAAATTAAAAAGACATGATTATAATTCTCTCCTGTGTACTGTGTTGTGCATATAGTACCCATCTTTCAAGAGTAGATTAGGTAGACTATCAACCATGCTGAACAGTAACTAGTTCCCAGTTAAGAGATCCCAGAAATAACCTGATGGGTCACAAGGAGATTTAAGAGAAGAGAGAAACATGTTTATTAATGTTGGATGATTTGACCTCTCTGGGCCAACAACCCTGCACGTCATGCAGTTATAATGTGGAAAAAAATCACTAAAATAACAACTCATACTCACATGGTCATAGCCCTGATATTAATAAAGACTTATGAGAGGTGTCACAGCCAACAGACTGGAAACTACTGCTTTACAGACTTTGCTACTGAAGACTTTATAGCCTTAGCCTAATTTCCATTATGGTAATATTGGTACAAGACTTTTTTTTTAATCTGAGTATTTTCCGATACTAAAATAAGTGACATTTTCCCCTCTAAATATTTAAACAGAAACAGCTGAAAAGGATCTGTATTAGGCATAGACTGTATATAGAATGGACAGCATCAGCTTCCTCGCTGGGTAAAGCCACTCTGAGAACAGCACCCTCTGGTGACAGGCTGCAGTATAGGTCATAAATCCCGCCTCCGCCAGCCATTCTTACAAAGTTGTGGACAAATTTTAGAGATTAATTACACAGAATAAACATTTTTCTCCCCCCTGCTTGCGATGTTGACATGTAGTTTCTCTAAGACTGGTTTGTGCTCAAGTCCTCTTTTTTCTGTTCAGCTCCATTTTTAAAAGTTATTAGGGGGTTCATGTTTTCTATGATTGACACTTGATACAGCCTATGGGCGTACGAAGATTGCGTGGCTCACCCAGGGGATACACTATGTAAGCCAAGCGTCACTCTCGGCGACTCTCCCGACGAATGCGTACAACGCCACTGCGCAAGTGGTGGAGTGCGAACAATGCCACTGCGCAATGTTAGTTTCAGGAAGTGGAGAAAAAAATGCAGAGATACCGAGAGCTTTTCGGATTAAAATCTGTATACTGGCAGAAGACGGAACCAAGTTGTCCATAGTGCGTACAGTCTATGGCTGTGTCCGAAATGGATCCCTAACCCCTATATAGGCGACTGTAAGGAGGTTAGCGCCATTTTTAGGGGTGTCTAAAACCTGAATAATCAATTCCAATGCCCCATATAGGCGACTCAAAATTTCCCATAGAGTATTGCAAAATGTCGTGACCATCCGATGGTCACTCACCGGTGGTGGGCATCCTGTCATGCTTTGGGTCTTGCCATGTAGTGTCCGAAACCTCCGTCAACTGAGCCCACTGCATAGTCAGCTATATAGTGAAACCCCTTATGGGGGTTAGGGGTTAGGGATTGAGTGATCCATTTCAGACACAGCCTATGATTGCAGGTTGTGGGGGACATTCAGACTCAAGCCCAGGATATCTGTAAAACCTGGTCACGGCCCTGCTGCTGTAGCCTAAGTAAATATTATTGGCAACAATTCAAGAAGTACCACCCTAAATCAGTGTGTCAAGATGATATCAAGACATTAAAATTTTAATACAATAAAACCTCTTGTTTGACAGACCATTCGAGTCTCATTCTCACCCCGAAAATTATCAAATAAATGTTTATCTCGACATGTCAATGAACTTGTCAGACTGTAGTCTCACTTTCTTGCACTGCCCCCACCCCCTCACTCCCCCGATAAGCGGCGCGGTGCGTAAATCCTCCTTTCCCCCTCTTTGGCAGAGCCGTCTCCAGCCTGCCAGAGGAGAGCAGTCGTGCTCCCAGTGGAAGATGGCGGTGGGGATGCTGTCTGGGGCTGGAGCACAGTGCTTGATTTGCACTAAAAGCGAACACGGGTGGATTTAAAGGACAAAATGAACGTATTCCCGTATCTTCTCCTCGAGCTGTGGACTCTTTTTGGGCTTCTTTAACTAGAGCCTGCTGCCCTTTTTTTCTGGCAGGAATACGGGCGTCTTGTCGGGGATTCACAGACTATACATACACAGACAGGGTGGGAGTGAAAAGTGGACGAAAATGTCGGATTCAAAGGTAAAAGTTGCAGTGAGAGTTCGGCCCATGAACCGCAGGGGTAAGTGTTACTAACACGATGATTTCTCTCATCTTTCTCTCTCTCTTTCCTGTCTCGGCGCAGCCATGCTACGTTATCATAAAGTTTTGATTTCTTCGCCATTGCTGCTTTCAGCTCGAGTTACGAGGCAGGAGTCAGGCTTGAGTTTGGTTTGAAGACGGTGGCAGAAAGTGGAAGAAAAAAGATTTTTTACTTTTCACATTCACTACAACCTTATCTCCACAGAAATTGAACTGAATACAAAATGTGTCGTGGATATGGAGGACAACCAAACAGTTCTACACCCACCACCTTCAAATGCAAAAGGAGAGAACAGGTAAACAAAGCTGAAATACTGCCAACATTTGTATTTTCAGATATAGTTAGAGTAGCAGAAGGAAAACTTTGCTATTGCTCTTCAGCATCACTGTCATTATCTGAGGAGAAATGTAAAAAAAAAAAAAAGACCAACTTTGTACATTGAGGCTGAGTGTGTTTGGGAAATGTCTGGTAAGTGAAAGAGGAGAAAAATGCTGGCTGCACCCTCACTGTAATAACTCTATCCCACCCTGGTTGAAATGCAATCACAATCACATTCAAGTTTAGCATATAAACTGCCTCTCATGTAGGCCTCTGGACCACAAGTCTGACTCAGATGTCTGATATCTCATCAGCTCATTTTCCAGCGCACATGATCTATGTGAAGAAAATTATCATGGCTAAGTGTCAGACTGTCTCCAAACATGAATGGCAGAAGGTGAATCTAAACAAAAATGCTTCTGCTGCTGCTGCTGCTGAGGGCATCATGTCTACCACCCACCTGCAGTAACATGATAATAGGTTATGTCATTGATGTGAAACTTCCAATACTCATCACCTCAGCATAATCATGGCTCTGTAGATATCATAGAATAACTTTGAATCTTGAATATCTGTGTTGAATTTTGAGGCTAGAAAAGATGTAACAGCGTGTCTGACACATGATGACGCCTATTAGACAGAACAGATTAATGTTGAGCCTCAGGCGATTGCTGTAAATCTCCTGAGCTGGAACTAGATCAACGTATGTCTTTTTTGAAGTGCCATGAGAAAAAACTTTATCAGGCACTTTGTCTGAAATTGTTGGGAAGGTGCAGCGGAGGTCAAAAAAAGAAGAAGAAGAAAGTTTGAGTTTTGGCTGGTTGATCAGACTGTAATGAGGAGATGTCTGGAGTGACACAGCATGTAGGCTAATGATGGCTGTAAGCTTGTGAAGTCACTGAAACATACTGCCTCTCAGTAAGTCTCAGAAATGCATCATAAATCAGAGCTGACTGAGTTTTTCAATTTTGTGCTTTTCTGGTTCGTTTGCTTTTCTCTGCCGTTAGTGTCACACATGATTGAACAGCTGACCTGATTACCCACAGGCGCATATACATTCAAAGGACACTCATTTGGGAAACATCCAAGAATATCTATCTTTTCATATCATTTATTTATGGCTAATTCTGTTTACAGACTAAAAAAAGAAAGGCTAATTGTAACAGTAAAAAAACCTGTGTGGGTGCTGAAAGTAAAGCCAAGGCTTTTCCCATGGCCGGCATCCAGCCTTGTTAAACAGTAACACTTTCTCTGCTGCTTTAGTAACCAACAGTCAGCATTAAACGGTAATGGGCTTGCTCCGCTCTGCACATTAACCTGTATTTAAGGCAATTATCAAAATTATCAAAAGTGCCACAATAGCAGAGTTCCAGGCAATTAAACAAACATGCTCAAAGCTAACGTTGGGTAACGTTATGCGGGACAGGATGCTCAACACAGCCAAACAAAAAGCTGTTATTAGTCAGAGAACAAATGTTCTCTGTGTCTGCAGAGTTTTACAGATAAGTTTTCAGTTTTAAGGTTGACTCTTGTGGTTCACTATCTAGAGATCGGAACCTTTAACTGTTCTTCACTGAGACCTGACATTACTGCATTAACAAACCACTATCTTTAAAAAGGAAGAAATCTCAAGCAGACCTATTGGTGATCAATCATCTGACTCAACCAGATGAGTCAAGAATGAGTGATAGATTGACAGAAAGAGAAAAAGAGCAATGGAGACAGAGAGACCAACACACAGCAATGTTATTGCAGAAATGTCCATCATAATTCCTCCAAACTTGGCGTGTACAAGGCCAGTCTTTTAAAATAACTGCAGTTGAATCAATATTTGTTTTCAGGTACTACTTTCAGCAGCCGCAGTGTGACTCTGGTCTTCTGCAGTTATGGTCCAGTTTGGTTTTATTATGTCACATCTCTTTTCTATAGTGTAGTCCAGGCATATAATTACTTGTTAACATTTCAGAGCCGGTTCTGTGTGTGTGTGTTTTGGGTCTCTGTGTTTAGGCTGCCATGGTTTTCTTAAACCATGTAATTTTCTTCTCTCTAGCTTGTGCAGCCACAGAAGGGGATACCCTATTCACTAAGACTGGGCCTTGTTTTGAAGACACCTGTTCCTGTGTGTTGGAAATGTGTCAGATTTGTGGGTATTAGCATGCCAAATATGGCTGCAGAGCCAAGATCATGGGAACTTTTTCTCCCTCATGGGAACTCTCAGGCACTGCCCCACAAACTAAAGAGAAAGAAGAGTTATTTTTATTGTGACGCATCTAAAATAAAACTCTTGCTTGTCCCCTAAGACTGAATATTCCATATATGTAGATTTAAAACAGTAGAAAAAGAAGAAAATAGCAAAGCAGTGTTTGTTTTTTTCCTGGAACCATAATTTCTCTGGTAGTTTAGCTCAGCTCCGAAAACTACAAAAGATGACGTCATTGCAATGAAATACAAAAGTTATGCCTCCAGCGGGATAAACTTGGAGCCGCCTCAATCTTGGATAATTAAATAATTAGAAACTGAAACTATTCCAGATTGAGTTCCCTTTTTAATCTGGCCTTGAGAGACCACACACCACTTTGAAACATACAAGTCACCTAAAGAATCTGATGGTATGAGGGGTTTTCTTTGATGGCTTAACCTCATTCTTTGCACCTTCAAGCATTATAGCAACACTCGTGACCACCCCCCACCCCCTCTCATATTTCCCTGAGAAATGAACAATAATCCCAGCAGTGGGCATATGAAACCTGGATTGTGACTTCAGGGCAACAGGTTAAGTTTCCCAAGCTTTATCTTTCATCTGCCTGTTAAGTTGGCACAAATGACATTTTTGTAATGAGAACCTGGGAAAGTAGTTCTGTTTTCACGCGCCAGCCTGCTCTCCTCTGGGGTTTCCACACAAAGACAGTGGGGGTGGAGAGGTTCAGAAATACCTCAGGCGGCTGTCTGCACAGAGGATGAGTGGTGGAGCATCATGACAAGAAAATACCCTTCCACTCACTCAGTGGGGCCGTACAACCTCTATCATGCCCCAGCATGTCAGTTTGCCCGGAGCTAGACCATCAAGTCTTGTAATGTAATGTAATGTGTGTCTCAGTTCACACTCACAGATTACTTTTAAATCTGAATCAGAGCTTCATTTGTACCGTGTGGGTATCACTCTGTGTATTCTGTCTCCTTCTGAAATGTGTTTGGACTGTGCATCTAACTTTGTTTCTGTTGCTGCGGCTCCACGGTCGAGTATATCATCAAAATGATCAGAGGAAGCTCAGGAAGTTTATCTGATGATGTCTGCAACAAGGCTTGTAATTTAGACTCTAATCTCCTTTTCATTGCTAATGGTACCAAAAGCTCAGCTGGGATTGTCTTCACTATCCACTTTTTTCCAATAATATTTCTGGATTTTGAGGAGTTTCACTAATGAAGTCCAATCTAGTTCATTTATATAGCACATTAAAAAAACAATCAAGTTTAGCAAAGTGCTGCACAGTGCAGTAAGATAAGTTAAAACACACAGAACATAAAACGCTGTCTGAGAATAAAATAAGAGAATCATAATAAAACCACATAAAAACAACGATGGACAAAATGGCATCTTTATGTTACAAAGTAGTGTTTGCCCCCCTTGTGTTCTTGCGTTTTGGGGTTCTTGTATCTGTTTATATTGATTGGGGAATAATAAAGTAAAAAGAAAAACAAAACATAAAAACACCTTAAAAATAAATAGCTAAAATAAAATAAAAACACTGTGAGAGCAAATAAAAATCCAATAAAAGTACAGAAAGAGACGGAGACCACTAACTCTCATCAACTCCTAGGTACCACTTGCACACGCTCCCTTCTCTCTGCATGGTCCATTCTTCCATGTCTATGACTATCTTCATATAATAGAGACATTTTAAAAAGAGAAATAAAGAAATTAATAAAAAGAGAATAGATTTTATATTTTTGAAAATAGCTGAATCATGACTCTGTTTGTCTTTTCTGTGCAGTGAATATAAAGACAGTTTGCCATCCAGGCTTAACTTACCCTGTCCAAATATTGTTTAATAAATGTGCATAATTTGTAGAGATGTGCCAATGTATTGGTGGACCAATATCAGCCAATATCAGCCTCATCAATAACATCAGCACACAGCACTATGAACGAATGCTGAAGCCAGTGTATGTATAAAGTACCCTCCAATATAGTCGAGCCAACTGTTGGTCCAGAGGAGAGGATTTTGGGGGGTGTTTATTCATCTATTTTCTTTTGCTGTTTCCACCACAGTCTTTTGTTGACTTTCATGAACAACCTAATGAGGTCAACACATGTCCTATAAAAGCCTTAACAGGTACCCTCTAATGATGTCAGTCTGTTTGTTAACCTTTATGATAGACAGATGTCAGTGACACAAAAAGAAGTTGAGTATTAGTGACAATCTCTCACTTACTGTTACAGTTTTAGAGGGGAGTTCTTTATACGCCCAAGTCACACAGGACCATCATCATGCTTTCCAAAACAATCCTTTACTGAATGACAATGCTGCCTTGTGCTTTGGCTGACCTCAGGAATGTTCCTTTTGTCTTCCCTTTTGCTCCTGATGTGCAAATAATCAACCTTTCCATTTAACAACATGTTGTTCTCAGAGTCGCTCGGCCTCAAATCCACACATAGGGTTTTATTCATGCATGCTATTAAGAGAAAGTGTTGCATGTCTCTGATGAAATAATTGCTGCTCTCTGTGACTGTCCTGTGTTTGTGTAGAGGGCGGGACATTGTTTACATCTCGATCCGGAATTGAGAAAAGATGGCGTCTTCCTTCTTTGTTGAGCCTGTGTTTCATTACACTCATGTGGCTTCGCATTTTGAGTGCAGCCAAAAAAACCCACTCAGACATTTCTCCTTTAATGACTGAATTCCCCTCTGTATGTTTCTATCAGATGAGGCTTTTCAAGGTGAAGAGGTTCACATGAATACACTTTTTGGTCCCACTCAAACCAGGTTTCCACTCTCTGTTTGTCATGTCTGTAATCAGTGGCTTTAGTGACTTTAGTGTGTTTTGCACTTTATGAGCACGCTTGCGCTCGCCTTTGTGGTCTATTGTCCCGAGCAGCCTCATGGTGAATTATATTGAGATAAGTGACATTCAGCAAGCAGACAGGGTCAAAGGAGGTGTGTCCTGATAGTAAACGTGTCACTCTGTTTCCCATGTGAAGAAAGCCTGCAACATATTGAACAATTTAATGAACTTAACCTCTTTCTGGTTGTTTTTTTCCCTGTGAAACTAACCAGATTCAAGCCTTTAGAGCAGATGTGGTTGGTGTTGTAACTAACACACACTTGGCCTGTAGCCTGCCGACCCAGCCTGTCACAGTTGTGTCAGAAATGCCGGAGAGGATTAAATGAGACCCAGCCTCATCGTATGTTTTGTTGTGAACATGTGTTATGGAAACTTTGCAGTCCACCCAGAAGTCGGTATGAGCGTCATGTGTCCCGCTGATGGCAGTACTTCCTCTCCTGAATGTTTTAGAGATCCTTGGCTTTGGCTTCATTTTTGAATTACTTTGACTCATGCTGCTGGTGGGTTGTCTCGCCTCCATGTTTACTGACGTTACTAAGCGACAGCTGTTTCCTAGAGACAGGAACTTTCTGAAGTTATGTGGATGAGCTAATGAGTGATATCCCTAAGATGCTACTAGATATTGTCATGGGAAGCTAATTTTAGCATTTAGGACGATCCCTGAAAGAGTTCAAGTGTTGTACTGAGAGGCCAATTGAGGTACTTGGATTTCAGAGTGGCTTTCTGTTTCCTATTCAGTGTAATGTTGAAAGCCTTTATATTTACCACACTAAAAAAATAAATAGAGTGTTGAGCAACCATTGGGTTCAGGATCTCACTGTTCAAAATATTTTTTTTTTTGCCAGAGAGGACGGAACAAACTCTTCAAAGTTTTGGCACGTGAAAAGGCAAAAAGATCCTTTTTCTGTCCATGCTAGCACTATGAGCTCATATTCATGGAGTAAACCAGGTTAATTCAAAGAATAAGCATTCCTGATTGGTGAACACCCAGCAAAAAAAGTTTGCCTTGAAATCCATCCACAGTTACTGGACACAGACGTGTTCGCAGCCTGAGGAGCTACCGGGCCCCGATTATCTATCGTAGGGAAAAGTGGAGCGAGACTCTTTGCTGCAAGCCACATGACAACAGAGCTAGTAGCATCATTTGTGAAGGTGTGTCAACTGGAAATGTTCGTGGAAAAAAAAGAGCTGAAGTCCAGTTGACCTTGTTCAACATGACCTTCAGTGGAGGAAGTTGGTTTGATGTGATTTATACTAAAAACGCAGGTTAAAAGTCTGATATGAATCTGATGGAACAGGAGCGTTTCTGACTATGGGATGAGACGGTCTATTTGGGTCCTGCTCACCTACTAATATGCATAATCACCCACTCACCATACCTTATCTTTTTTTTTTTTTAAGTATTTTTTTTGGCAATTTTTTATTTTATTGACGAGATAGTTCGGTAATTTGGGGAGATAGAGAGAGGGGGGAGCACATGCGGCACATGGTTGGGGCCAGACTGGAACCCGTGATTGCTGCGGGGACCATGGTCCCCATATTCGAGGCGCACTAACCTGCTCGGCCATTTGCGCACCCCCACCATACATTATCTTTAACTCAATGTGTCTCTGACTTGATGGTCATAAAAGGTTGTGTTAAGTACGTTTGGGGTTTCATTATTATGTTGTAGATTGTTGTTTGCAGTTCTGCCTGTTTACTTTTTTCACTCAGTTTATTAAGCGGTTTATTTCATACTCATGGCTCTTTGTATTAATTTTAAAAAGCTCAAAGGGAAGAGAAAAGGAACAGCTTAGTGTGCTCAACACAATTTTGCTTCAGGTCTTTTGTGTTCAACTTATATTCAGGTGGAAATGCAAAGATTAGGGGTCTTATTTAGTACATGTATGAACGTGCTTTAACTATACCTGTTTTTATTTCTTCTTTAACTGTAATATTATTGAAAATGCAGGGTTTGTACTTTAAATTGACAAACGTTTCACATCATAGTGTTGGAAGTTACATAAACGAGATCAGTTTCTGCACTCCAGGCACTCCAGATGGTTCATATCTACTGCTGATATCTGACAAGATAAAACTTCAGGAGTTTCAGAAATTGTTTGTGTGTTCAGACTTCGCTGTCTCAGCGGCTTGAATACTGCAGGTCTGTTTCTGTCATCAGCAAGCAAACTTCCTTCAGTGCTGATCCCTGAGTATTTTTGAATGTCCGGTAACAGTCTCGTTCCACAACAGTCACCTTGTCTTCTGAACCACTTATGCGCTTATGCAAGTTTCAAGTTGTTTTAACATTAGGTGTCTTGAAATCCGCCGGGGTTAACAGGTCAAAGGAAAGAGCCACCCTCCTCATTATAACCCTGCTCGGCATTTCGCCACTCTCTCCTTTCTGTGTGTGTGTGTGTGTGTGTGTGTGTGCGCGCGTGTGTGTGTGTGCAGTAGGGTGACCTATGCTGTGCTCTGAGTGGGTGGAGACCAGCGTGTCCTGTTCTAAACATACTGGAAGACCATCTGAAATGTTAGATTGTCGCCCGTGAGAGCACAGCAAGCTGTAACTCAACACCCTCACTTACACACTAACACGCACACACTGACACACTCACACACACACACAACTCTGAGGGAAGGTTGTTCTGAAATGTGATTGTCTGAAGCAGGTCGGCAGCTAAACAGGGAAAGTCACACGTGTGGTTTAATGGAGGTTAAAAGGGTGTAGGAGAGGAATCGCCGCAGCAACAGATCAAGAGGAGGAATTTGGATGTACGGGGATATGCTTGAACAAACTATTTTTGTGTGTGTGTGCACTCCACAGATCACTGTTGTGAATGTCTGCTCAATGGGGGGTGGATCTCATCTTTGTGATTTACATATTACATTTGAGCATCAGGATTATATCAGCAGAAAGCCATGCCAAGCCCGCTGAACCACATCCGCAAATCTGGTGATTTATCCTCCATGCATCGAAAAAACAGAAGAAATCACAACATTGAAAGATTTGAATTGATGTGTTTGGGGCTTGCTCCAAGGATTACAGCACAAACATTAATCCAGCGGACAATTCGAACCCGCCTGCTCTAGACCTATTAGTTTAAAGGTATGTTTACAGATTGCATTAAAATATCGTATTTGTCTGATACTTCCATGAGTGTGGGCGTGTAATGTTGTATTTTTTAGGGAAGGTATATGCTTCAATGAGTGATAACATAATATTAATCCAGCGTTGTGCCTACTGGGCTAGAATAGCTCAGGTTTTCAGTGGCATAATAACCCAGTGGCCTTAATCCGGCTCTATAACCACAGGGGGGATTCCAGCGCAGCTCTCCCACCCTCATACCTTACTTTTGGGTACCAGCGGCATATACTGTTTAAGTCTAAGTTGTAACACGCAGAGAGATGCCAAATTTATGGCTCTGACTTTCAACAAGGAGAAAGAAAAAAAAAACCACAGTCCAGTTCTGGAATAGTATCTATAACTAAAAGTGCAAATCAGGATTTTACAGAGATCCCAGTGTTCCCTGTTACTCTCTCTGCAAGGATATGAGATCAGTTCAGACGAGGAGAATCATTCTGTTGTTGGAGTGTGAGAGGCCAATTTTCCCCCACAGCCAAGTAAAAATCATTCATGGTTGTCCTGGCATCAGGTAGCTGGAGGCGTGGGAGCCTAAGCGTGCCCTTGATGACGCACACTTTGAAGCATGCAGAACCAGCATCCCCCACCTCTGACTTCAGCCATGCCCTGCCGGCTCTGCACTGTCCGTCTGTATCTGCCTCTAAGGGGGGCACAATATGATGCTATGTGGCACTTCTGTGCCATACATGTGTGCCACACACTTGTTTAACCAGAGCGCAGACTTTAACGGGCCGTGCAGCCGCGACTTGACATGCACAATGATTATTAGGCAAATAGCCTGTGGGCTTCATGCATGAAGCATTTGAAGCTGTGCTGAGCGATGTTTGCGAGTGAGCTGCAACCACAAAGATCTCTCAACTGGAATGACCAGAGATGAAAATAAGAAAGGAATTGATTTATTCAATAATGTAGGATTGTGAAGTTGTGTTTTTAGAGTTAAAAAGGGTTAGAAACAGTGTTTTTCTCTTCTAAACTGTGACGGTGTGCTGGTTTGTTTAGCTATATAAAAAGAAATGGAATATCTTTGGGTTCTGAAGCATTGCATAGACTAAACTGATCATTCAAGAGAGTTATATTAACACTGTTTTTTGTGTTTTAAGTTCTCATAGTGAAATCTATCATAAGTAATGTTATGGTATTTATAGAAAGTAGGATTGGAAAACACTGGATTTCTATATGAATAACTACTTATGATTCCTGCAAGTAACTCATAAATGATCAAATCATCTTGGTCTTAACTGGAGTCACAGAAAAAAGGGGACAGAGCTTACATAGTTCCTACAAGTACATGATTGCTGAGAAGGATAGAGGTTTCTCAGGGGATTAGAAAGATCGTGTCTACAGTAGAGTGGGAGAACTGGAGCCTAATACGCGTATTAGTTATCGAATGGGCGGCCCGATCATTGAGATTGAGAGAAAAGAGCTGAAGGAGCGAAGCTAACAGCTTTGTACAAGCTTGAAATCATGTAAAGTTTGAAATACTGTGCCAAGACTCTGTGAGGAAAGAGTAAGTCTCTGAAATCCTAAATATAGCCAGTTTGAAATAGTTCCTTCCATTGTCTTGTTCGGCATACCCTGCATACCAGATTTGGTGACATACTGTATGTACAATCCATGAAACAATGAGAAAAAGTCAGTCAACCACAGCAGCAGCAGCAAAGACCCCGCTCAGTTCCTCTCGCTAAAGGGTCCAGACTGCACGCATTCCATGACTGTATGTCTTTTGTGTCCATATTTAATGTGTCTGTGTCCCTGTCGCTCTCTTTCCGGTCTTGTGTCTGTTGTCCTTTTGTTCTCTGTAGGGATACATCTGTTCTCGGTCTTTATCCACTTCTCATGCTTCACATGGCTTAAGCCGCAGCCCCTCTATTTGTTGTTATAGCTCTCTCATGTGTTTCTTTCATCTTTGACATTTCCACTTTGTCGCAGCAATGACATATAAAAACTGATGAGTTTTTTTTTTTTTTTACCTTCTATGTTTATATTCACTGGGCCCTGGTCAGATGTCCTTGACCTGCACGGTGTGCTGCAGAGAAGTGTCTCTTTTTGACTCCGCTCAGACGTCCCCTGTTCAGCTCTTTGTCTACTTTGATTAAGACCCGGTCTCAGTGGCTGAGTGTGGCCCAGATTCAGATTCAGTATGAACCTAAACCAGGCCCTCTTCTTTTTCACTCCTCTGCCCACTCACTTTCTCTGTATCTGCTCATAATTATAATCATCTTAAGCACAGCTAATAGCTCAAAGGAGAGCTGTTCATATTTCCTATCTGCCTCTTTTGATTTTCCGTATCTTTCAAGAAAAGGGCAGAGGAGTATTTTTGTGAGTGTTGACACAGAGCTCTCTAGGCGTGGTGTTGTTGGTGACTCAGCTCAGCTTGTGTGAGACGCTTTGGTGCAGTGTTTCAGTCTCCCTGAAGCTTCCTGCTCTGTATTAGTTACCATCTGAAGGTGATGTCCACCTCTGTCTCTGTGCCAGGAGACGCCTGCCCTGCAAACGGGATCTGAAGGACAGATTTGTGGACACTCGGCTGGCGTTTGTGTCGTTCTGCAACCAGTTAAATGCATGTGGGGCATTGTGTATTGTAGATTATTGATACCCTTTGGTTCAGGCTACAAACTTGGTCATTGTTCATATGTTCATTATGTTTACCCTCCAACAAGAGAAAAGGGACAATGCAAGACGGGTGTGAAAAAAGGACATGAGTGAAAAGTGTTTCATTTTACCACACCGTTATTCCACTGTAACTTTACTTCAGAAATTTATATCTAACTATATCTCTGCTCCGTGGTGGAGAAGTATGCAAATATTCTATACAGTTGGAAATTTGTTCAATATATGTACAATGTTGATGGAATATTGATATTTGAAATCAGTAAAAAAGAAAATTTAAAAAAAAAAAAAAAAAAAAAAAAAAAAAACACGTGGAAAAAAAGTGGTGTTTTCTCAGCCAAACAGTAAGAACTGGAGGAAAGGCAGGGGCTCAAAATTTAGATGTGATGCAGATTCAAAAGTCTGTAATAAATGCAGCAGAAGAAACAGTGTGTTACAAAAGGAAAAATGTTAAAGTAAAGTAAGAAAACACACAAACCAAAACAACGTGCTGCATATCAAATCATGAGGTTTTCTTGATTTTTAGGCCTAACTTAAATTCTCCTCCTACAGTTTAAAGAGGAATCCTACATAACTCTGTTCTTCGTATACACGTGTATTTTACCTCTTTGTCCCTTGTTCTGGCAGCTGCTAATGCTAAGTGTGGTTTCCCCGACCTGGCCTCCCTGTTAAGTCCACATGCATAAGAGCTATTTACTCAACAGAGTCAGTGGGACATTGAATCCTAAATCTCTTCCCTTCCTCGCGCTTCACTGGCCCAATTATGAACCCCATCACAGCAACACCTTCCACCAGGAAATGCCACTGTGTTAAAGTGAATGAATGAGTGGATAACTGAGTGACAGGGTGAATGGAAAAAGTCACGACAGGAATTTAGGAAATGCAGAAATAAAGGATGTAATCGAAAGTTTTACAAAAATGAAGATGTTAAAAATGTTAACACAGACTATGAGAAGTTCCTGCAGCTGCTTTTACTGAGTGTGAACATGCTCTGACTTCTAAACTGGACTTATACTAACCATTTTTCTCTCCCTTTTTTTCCTGGTTATCCTCGGACCCTTCTGTTTATGATGGATTTTCCCACCCACGCATCAGGAAACAATCTAAGGTATGTAACTTAATCTGATTTTGTTAATCCATCACATCAAAAGAGTAGATGTTTCATGTTTATAGAAACACTTGTTTGTTACCTCATAAACAGAGACTAAAATCATACGTAACTGCACAGAAACACTCTTCCCCAGAGAGGCATCCTGCACAAGTTGATGGACTGTTGTTTTTGTAGCGTTGAAGGCATTAATAGAGAGCATTTTGGGAGTTCGGTTGGTCAGCAGGAGCCGGATAGATGTCCGTGTGAATGTGTCAGCGCTCTAAGATCTCGTGAACACCCACAAAGGCTCCACAATGAGAGAGGGATGAGCGCGGACACTGGGGCAGTGTGTGTGCGCATTCAAAGCTGCATTGTTGGAGTGCACCCCCACTTCCCCCCTTGACAACACGCTGGTGACTAGCTCAGAGATGTTACACACACCAGGGATGGGCTTTGTGCTCGGTACACTCAGCAGCTGACAGAACCGGACAGCATTAGCGTGCATGGTCTCTGGGGCCCATGAACCTGAGTTACCCTGTAATACCCCTCAGCTAGACGAGCACGTGGCCTTCTGCTTAGTGAAATAGTGGCACTCAAATTAGTTTCCCTGCATCCTAAAGGGCATATAGAGGTTGCAGTCTCATCATGTTCAAAAATGTTTCATTTAGAAATCCTAAAAAAAAAAAGGCCTTGTACTTCTCTGCTTCATCATTTTGGTGCTGCTGATTGATAGTAATTGTCCAATCAGGAATAATTTGCCGCACAGTCACACCCTCAGGCTGAACACAGACAGACCAGAGGAGATTGAAGCCCTACTTACCAAACCAGCCCTAATTGGGAATGATGGCACTTTTGTTCCTTTGAATAGCACCCACTCACTTGTGTGGAGTCACAAGAGGAGGTCTTGCTTTCAAAGCATTCAGTGATCTCAGTGCTTCCCATGCTGACTGTGCAACCAGTGGTTTCCCTGGCCAGTCGCCCTTATTATGATTAGCGGAGGCTTCAATTATTCGGGGTATTTGTGCAGGGGGAAAGTGCTGTGGCAGCTGCAGCAGTGCAATGAAAGCCGTAGAAGTGACATGCCGCAGTGTTTCACAGGATGGGAACAACAGCATTTCAAGTCCCACTCTGATCGTTTTTTTTTTACTACCGAAAGTGTTCTCAGTGGTCTTTAAATTGTGATTAAGAAGTTTTTACTAAAAATCGAGTTACCTGCGTGATTTTCAAGGGCTTTTCTTCTGCAGAGCTCTAGCAGATCATTAGCAATTCACCTCTGAGTTGTGGGTGGAGACAGCACTGCTCTGCACACTCTTTTTCACGTTAGCTTGCTGCCTAATATTGCCAGTGTAGCAGAAGTGGCAGATAACATAGGAGCTATTCAGCTCTCGGACACTAATGTCTTTGGGGACACAATGAATGCTAATATCATAATTAGCTTTCTTACGAGCATTGCAATCCGTTTACGCACTCGCTTGTTCTGCGATCGTCCTGTGTGTTTCTCCTCTATATGTAAAGTGCGGCCTGCATAGCGGGGCTCTGGATTGGTTACGTATGAAATCTCACTGTTTCTGAACCTGTCGTTTGGGTCTGCCAGAGATTCACAGCGATTTGAATGACGAGATACTCAGAAAAGCAATTTCGCATTTAGTTTTCTCATGTAGCATCAGAAAAATGCCATATGAACATATAAAAACAAGAAAAACATGATTTTCATCGGAGTGGGTCTTTAAGTACCAGCTATGGATCTTCAACTCAATTCGCCATCATCTGACTGCCTCGTCTGAAGGAAAGAAAATAATCACATAACAGGCAAAATTGAGCACTTTAAAAAACATATTTTGGAGCATTTTTGCTTTTATTAGATAGAAGAGCAGAAGTGAGACAGGAGATGTGGTGAGTAGAGAGTAGGGGAAGACATGCATCAAAGGGTCATGCTTTGGAAATCGAACCAATGACCACTGTGACAAGGGTGTCTATACATGGGCATTTAAAATTGAGCACACAAATATGGGATCGCAGAGTCTGCAGATGAAGAATGTCGAGCTGGTTTGCCAAGGGTGGTTAAAGTTAGCAGAGCTAGCACCACCACCACCTTTGACCTTTCTGTCCAGGTTATCCCTCACATGCCTGTGCTGGTTACACTTTGCTCTGTTAGAGTGGCAACATACCCTTTTAGCCAGAAACAGCCCACATACAACACTTTAGCATTAAGTGTTACATTAGTCAAGTTAGTCTGTGCTTTTCCACACATACTGTACATTTTTGGCACCTCTAGTTTTAGAAAGGTCCTCAGCACAGTCAGTTGTTGAGTCTTAGAATCTAGAGCAGTAAAAGGTAGTGACATAGTCTTAGTAACAGGATTTTAACAGTATTTACAGTAGGGCTGGGCCAATACGCTTCTCTCCCAATTCGATTGTTCTACGATTTTTTGGATTCCGATTCGATTTGAATTGCGTTTCTACGATATTGTCGATTTTCTCGATTTTTAGTCTGCATTTTTAACGCCAGTGAAACAGTTGAATGATTATGATTGTCTACTGACTATTCAAGGAACCATATTTGCCCAAAAAATACACAACAGATGTAAGTCAGTTTTTAAGATTTATTCTTAAATTTGATTAAAAAAAAAAAAAGTTTTTTTTTAAACACAAAAATCGATTTAAAAATTGTTAAACAAAAAAACCTGCGATACTTAAGTGAATTGATTTTTTCTCTCACCCCTAATTTGCAGCATCTTTTATGCTGTAAAAGTAGTCGTTCAGTCAGTGAGGAGTCAGGATTTTTAGACCAGAGGTTCAGTGCTGCTTACCAGAGAGCGTCCACTGTGTGTGCTATCAGCCCAAAGCCCATGCAGGTGCCCTGGGGGACAACAAAGGGTCTCTGCTGCTGAAGTCTGTGTTGTGAGACCTGCATGGAGGGCTGAGAGCCAGCCTGCCATTACCATGGGGAACAGCCACGGCCTGTTTCCTTGGAGACGGGGGTCACCGGGTGCTGGAATTCCTTCTGGGAAGCGCTGACCCTGATTTATGAATTCATTTAACTCCAGCCACTATGACAAATCACGGCGCAGCTAACAGAGGATTTGTGCAGACAGTCATGGCGCTGTCTTAACGAGCATTACCTCCTAACAGCACTCAGTTAGACTTCATCATCCTCACTCACACAAGCTCAGTCCTGCTGATTTACAGCAGGGTGGCATAGAGCAGTTGGACACAATAAGCCTGTTTGAGACGAAAACAACAGTTACAGTAAGACAGCTCAGTTTGTGTTGTATTGTGTTGTGTTGTGTTTTGCTGTGCGTGCCCGGGCAGGTGTGTGCTCACAGTCTCTGTGCTGTCTCTGATGCAGGTGTTTGCTTTTGACCACTGTTTCTGGTCCATGGATGAGTCCAACGTTCCAAAATATGCCGGTGAGTCATGCTTAACACTGAAACTGATCCTGAGTTCATCACCAAAGAACTCGAGTCATGTCCCACTTAAAGACTTCCTAAGCTCTGAGCTGCAGGGAAACTCCCTAGTTGATAGAAGGCTGTTTTTGCATCATGCAAATCAAAGGCATGTGCTTCTGTCCCAATTTGCATTTTGGCTGAACACATTAAATTTTCAATTAGGGTCCAAGAATAAAAACATCACAAGGTTGTGTGCATGTATTACAACCCTGGATGCTTGTATTTTATTATCATATAGTTCTTATGCAGCCGTTTACCCACCCACAGTGTAAATTCAGCTCAGCTCCCATTCATCCTTTCCTTCCATTCATTTCTGTAATTAGTGCTGCTCAGACAGCGTTAGGCCTCCAGTTCCTTTTATGATGTGAGGAGAAAAGTTATTACTGGCAGATAAACATTATCACTGAAGATGTTTTCTTATCATGCCAGCCTGGATTTGTGAAGGAAATGTCACGTCTGAGTCTGCTTTCAGCTGGACAGACATGACAATCTGTGCAGTGAAGGGCTGCCTGAAGGGCCTCGGCCAAGTCTTTATTTAGCTCATTAAACAGCTGTCTCATTCAGCAGGAGCACGGCAGTGAGCAACACAAGAGATTTCTGAACATAGCCTGACATTTCCCACCCGAGGACTCCAGAATACGTCACATTTCACAAATTTTCTCTTTTCAGTGTTTGCACTTGTTGATATATTTTTCTGGATTGTTATTATGCTTCCATGAAGACTTGTAAACCAGACAATTACTAGCTGTTATATAACTACATGTTTCTTCTGTTTACCATAATCTCCATGGTGACCGGTTCTTTGTCTGAAAGGTCAAGAGGTGGTGTTCAAGTGCCTTGGAGAGGGAATACTTGAAAATGCATTCCAGGGATATAACGCCTGCATCTTTGCCTATGGACAAACAGGTAATAAAAATGCAAAAACCATCTGCATTCATTTGAATTAATTTCACTTCTGATGAAGCCATTGCAGGCAGTGATTGAAACCTATTTAACGTGTTAAAGTATAGTTACTCATTGATCTGTCTCAAGTTTTATTAGAAAGTTTTAAGGACAGGAAGACTCGTGTTTCCGATCACACTGGTGAATCACTTAACTCGCTTCCTTCCTCAATCTGAATCACGTTAGCTCATTTATCCCACTTCCTTTCTCAAAGGGAAACACTCAGTGAGGAGACACACCTTTGGAAAATTTGAGGAGGATAGAAAATGTATCAGAACTAAAGTTTCCTGCGTGTTTGAAGCAGGACATCATATTATGGAAGTTAGAGGGGAATGTGACACTATTATTATTATAATTATAACTTCCATTAAATGACAAAATATCTTTTACTGATATATTGACGCTTTAAGTCGATTTGTCATCACAATATTCCCACCGACCTATTTTTAAAATTATGGCTAACACTTTATTTGACACTTATCTCTATAACGCATTATAAATATATGTATAATGCATTATAATCGTGTTATAGCACTGTATAACTATAGTTACACTCATAAATGATAATTATGCTTTATATCAATAATCATAACAAATAAAGCATTTTATCATGACTTACAAGGTCAGGTATTATGACGTGTTATAACTGTTAAAAACAGTTGTATTGCATTATCTATGTGGGCATTGTCAGTGAGTTATTAAGAGTTATAACACATTATAATACCTGACATTTAAGTCATGATAAAATGCTTTATAATGTGTTATGATTATTGCTATAAAGCATTATGATAATTTATGAGTGTTTATAACTATAGTTATACAGTGCTATAACATGATTATAACGCATTATACATATATTTATAATGTGTTATAGAGAGGCGTCAAAGAAAGTGTTACCAAATTTTGCTTCTTTGACTAAATGCAGATCTTCTAATCAGCCTGTCAGCACTCCAACATCAGCCTAAGTACTGTTGTGGGTTTGATTTGATTTCTTTAGCTTGAGTAAACCCTCTGTTAAGTAAATCCTGGGTACACAGTACTGCTAACATGGCTCTAGACCTTTTGAATGATTACAAATGTCAACAGACTGTCTTATAGTTACATCCTTAGGGTTCATATTTTCAGCAAATTGGTTAGAGACTTCAAGAAAGTTGTACTTTGCCACAGTAAATACTTGGACACACTCATGAGTGACTCAACACTGTCCATCCAGGTTCAGGTAAATCCTTTTCCATGATGGGAAACGGGGAGCAGCCGGGTTTAATCCCTCGACTCTGCTGCTCACTTTTCGAGAGGGTCCACAGAGAGGAGAACGAGGCCCACACCTTTAAGGTGGAGGTTTCCTTCATGGAGATCTACAATGAGAAGGTCCGTGACCTGCTGGACCCCAAAGGGTGAGTCTGATGTCATCTTTGTGTTCGTTTGCATCTCCCTTTATGGCGCTGTTGTGTCTAGTAGTCTGTATGCAGGATGGAGACAGAATGATGCGCATAGGAAGCTCAACCCAGTTATTTCCTGCAGCACGGCGGCCAGCGTCGAGCTCTGACACTGCTGCATTCTTCTCTGTGGTCTGATGTGGGTTGGCAGACAGACTGCAGGGGAGAGTCAGCTGTAAAAGAGTGTGCGTTTCAGGGACATCTGTTAGCGAGGCTGGGAGCAGGAGAGCGATCAGAGCAGCCCCGCAGAGGGACGACAGTGGAGAGCTCTGTGAGCTGCAGATGTCTGAGGATGCAGCCAGACTCTCTTTCTTGTCGACTTCCTGTCGATTCTGAAACAAGACGAACGCTCCCTTGTTCTCCTTGTTTCTTAAGCAACTGGATTTTTGTTAAAGAGGCATTTTATAGAATCAAGAGTTAAGGTGTTTGTGTAGCTGATGCATGGTTGATTTCTGGAGTGGAATTTGAGGACCTCATGTGCATCAGCATTCCTCATCCTGTCGAGAGAAATGGGATTACTCTTACTGATCCGTTAGCTGACTTGCAGGCAGCCAAATGAAGACAAGCCTCAATTTTCCCACATGCGTCATCAATCAAAATAACTGCCTGCACTTTTTTTTTCAAAGTCAACCATGATAAGACAAACTGAAACAAGAAACAGTCAACTTTAAAGTTTTTCTGTGCCTCTCTCTCATAGATCTGTGTCTCTTTTTTGTATGTAGGGTGTTAAAGAAGCATGTTGTCAGTATTTATCACTGTTGTGAAATATGCTTATTGAAAACTTTGTCCAAAAATAGATAAGAAATAAAGCAGTCAATGAGGCATCTGTTAAATATTTTTACCAATTTATTCAAGTCCCACATAGTCTGCATAAGGATATTTGTGGACAGTAAAATAACAGCCAGCCTTTCCCTCTAAAAGAGTCCATAAGTTTTTATTGGAGTTTTTTTTTCCATGCAACAACTTGGCTTCAAACTCCTGTAACAGTTTTTATTGCTGTTGTGTTGAATGCTGATGGAGACTTAACTATTTCAACACTGCTTGCAAGCCGTTCCACTCATTTCCACAAGTCGCATCATAAAAAGTGTGCAGGGAAAATAAGGTGTCCTGAGGAGTGGAGAGGAGTTTTTATTGCTGTGAAAGTCATTCTTGTGTTGCATCCAAAACAAAACAAAAATGGAAGAGCTGTTTCTAGTTACCCAGGACACAACATTTCATTTAATCTTTCAAAGAAAAGGTGAAAAAAAAACACGAATTTCTAACAAATTCATTCAAGATATTGTTCATTCAGATCAAGAGTGTAAAGTCAGAGAGGATGGTTGTAGCCGGTCCATGAAGAGAATATGACGATCTGTTGTTAATGCTCGAAAGTATTTCTTGAGTATTACCCAGGGGCAAACAGAAAGGGAATTGAAAAAGTGTGCACTCTTTTTATTTTTGCACACATGTACCTCATTTTGAGATTGTAAATATTCCACCCTTTGTTTTCTTTCTTGTATTAACTGTGTTGCTTTCTTTCCTTTTAAAGGAGCCGACAGTCCCTGAAAGTTCGTGAACATAAAGTGTTGGGTCCATATGTGGATGGTCTGTCACAGCTGGCTGTGACCAGCTTTGAGGTATGTCTGCTGTCACACAGAGGGGAATCTGAATCTATGCTGTATCACAGATTAGACACCTTTTTTTAAAAAAAAATATATATATTTTTATTGACATTCAGGATCAGACATTCCCAATGTATACATGTAAGCATACTTCTTGCATTAGTTGTCTGCCCTAAATGCCAGAATAAAATTTTAGTATTTATCCAAGTAATGGGAAGAAAAACAAACAACCATAACTACAACAAAATTAAATTAAATAAAAAACTATGTATTGGTAGGAAGTGATCTTTCTCATACATCATGGCTACTGGTTTGTGAAAATAAAATCTGGCCTATGAGGTGTGACATATTTGACCCAGTTTTCCCAGTATGATGTGAATTTCTCCAATTTGTACAAATGCTGTTATCTTCTCCATTTTATAAATGTCCACGGTAATGTCCATTCATATATTCAAGGTTGGGCTCTCCTGTGATAGCCATTTCCTGTTAATCTTTTTACAGGCCGTCAGCAAGATACTAATTAAATGTTTAGATTAGACAGTTTTTATCTCATGTGTGTAGACTGTGTGTGATTTATCACATCCTTAGCGATCTTACCTCTGGTTTACACTCAAAACAATAGTTAAATAACAAATCCTCTTGAGTGTGGGGGCCTTACCACACACATTTCTGATGTAGGAATGTAGTCAGGAAGTTTTGTGTTGTTTATGTGCCAAGCCTTGGCAGGGTTTTTTCTTAATCAAGTTTCAACATCTCCACCCTGTTCCTCTGTCCGGTGCTCTGCCTGTTATTAGTCCAGAGGATTGCCTTCAGCCTTGGCTTTACTACCATCTGTGACCCAGCAAACTCACCTGGCACACAGCCACAGGGGGGACACACTGTCTGACTTAACTGTTATCATAATGCTGCGAGTTTTTCTCAGATGTTTCCATTTTTATGCTTCCTCTCAATGTGGCTCCCTAATGACCTTGCTGTGTCTCCTTTAAGGACATTGAGGTGTTGATGTCAGAGGGGAACAAATCTCGCACAGTCGCAGCCACCAATATGAACGAGGAGAGCAGTCGATCACACGCCGTCTTCAGTATCATTGTCACACAAACACTTTATGATCTACAGTCTGGGGTCAGTCTTATTTTGCTTTATGGCACAAAAAAAATAGTCATCTTTCTTTGCTTACCCTATAAAGGTGTTCCCACGGCTGAATGTTTGTTTATATTGTGATGGCTGACAGAATTCAGGAGAGAAGGTGAGCAAGATGAGTCTGGTCGACCTGGCAGGAAGTGAGCGAGTGTCCAAAACTGGAGCTGCAGGAGAGAGACTCAAAGAGGGCAGCAATATTAACAAGTGGGTGTTATTTTTCATTATTACAGGAATGCTAATGTATGAAATCTAATTAGAAAAACTCTTATAGTCTTGTAATGTTGTTGTGTGTTTGGTTATAGGTCTCTCACCACGTTAGGCTGTGTGATTTCTGCTCTGGCTGATCAGTCTGCTGGAAAGGGGAAGGCCAAGTTTGTGCCTTACAGAGACTCAGTCCTTACCTGGCTACTAAAGGCATGACATATATATTTTAATTTCCTTTTTTGTCATAGTGATGAGTGATGGGATAGCCAGATCAAATCTATCAGCTGGCATTTTTTATCTCGTCTTCAGGACAACCTTGGCGGCAACAGCAAGACAGCCATGATAGCTACAGTGAGTCCAGCGGCCGACAACTACGAGGAGACTCTGTCCACGCTCCGCTATGCAGACAGAGCCAAAAGAATCGTAAACCATGCTGTGGTGAATGAAGATCCCAATGCCCGGATCATCAGAGAGCTCAGGGAGGAGGTGGAGAAGCTCAAAGTTCAGCTCTCTCAGGCCGAGGTGAGAGGAAAGGATTGTGTTGACTGATTATAAAAATAATTAGTGAATTTATACAGATACAGACTGTCATGATGAATTTTCTTTTCTTTTTCTCATCAGTCAATGAAGGCTCCTGAGCTGAAGGAGAAACTGCACGAGTCTGAGAAACTCATTCAGGAGATGACCGTCACCTGGGAGGAGAAGCTGAGGAAGACCGAGGAGATTGCCACCGTATGAACATCAGCCAGAATCAGACTTTGAAATCTAAAGTAAAACTCCACTGATCTAAAAGTCCTGACACACTGAGTTGTTGTTGTTTTATTTGTGTTTACAGGAACGCCAGAAGCAGCTGGAGAGTATGGGCATCTCTCTGGAAACATCAGGGATTAAAGTGGGAGAAGACAAGTCTTTCCTGGTTAATCTGAATGCTGATCCTGCCCTCAATGAGCTACTGGTCTACTACCTGAAGGTAAAACACTTCTTACAGTGCGATTATGAAATACTAACGTTTCTCACTTCTAAAATCTGCTGGCCTGCAGATACTGTGGATGGAGTAAGTTGTCCTGACCCCTGTGATATAATGAATGAATTGTTGAAGCAAAATATTGCTATATAAAAAAAATGGAGTGCTGCATTGAGTCATGTATTTGTGTATTTTGTCTGTTAATGAGATTGGCAGAGGGGCCATCATAGAGCAGGAGAAAGTTAGTGCAACAAATATGTATAAGGTTTGCAAGATGTGCTACATGAAAATAAAATACTGTGTAAAAAAGACAAACATAAAGGAGAGCCAAATACTAAATTAGCTAAACAGTTAAAAAAAATTGTATGAATCATAATATATTGTATCGCAATACTCACTGTATTGCAAATTGTTAAAACATGCAATAATATCATATCATGGCCCAAGTATCGTGATAATATTGTATCGTGGCCCAAGTGTCGTGATCCAAGTATCGTTATAATATTGTATTGTAGCCCAAGTATCATGATAATATCGTACCATGGCCCAAGTATCGTGATAATCTCGTATCGTGGCTCAAGTGTCGTGATAATATTGTATCATGGCCCAAGTATCGTGATCCAAGTATCGTGATAATGTTGTATTGTGGCCCAAGTATCATGATAATATCATATCATGGCCCAAGTATCGTGATAATATCATATCGGGGCTCAAGTGTCTTGATAATATTGTATCGTGGCCCAAGTATCGTGATCCAAGTATCGTGATCCAAGTATTGTGATAATATTGTATTGTGGCCCAAGTATCGTGATAATATCGTTTCATGGCCCAAGTATCATGATAATATCTTATCGTGGCTCAAGTGCTGTGCAAATATTGTACCTTGGCCCAAGTATCATGATGCAAGTATCGGGATAATATTGTATTGTGGCCGAAGTATCATGAGAATATCGTATCATGGCCTTAGTATCGTGATAATATCATATCGTGGCTCAAGTGTTGTGATAATATCATATCGTGGCCCAAGTATTGTGATAATATCATATCGTGTGGCCACTGGCGATTCCCACCCCTACTTGGAAGTACATAAGAAAAACAACATCAAGATTGAGCAGCTCAACCTTGCTCTGTTTCTGCTCAAAAGAAAATGACTCTTTCATTCTTTTGTTCTTACACAAAAGGATTCCTATGTTAACATTTAACATATTCAGTGTAACGGAGCATTATTTTAATGGCACTACTTTAACTAAATGGAAATGTTTTAGATCTGTTTTCAAGGCAGCACACATGGGTCAGAAATTTCAACTCTTGTACCTCGTCCAGATGTTCAATTAGCCATTAAGACAAGAATGAGGAACAAAATACGTAAAAACAGAAACGGACAGAATGAAAACATGAAGCAAATGAAGAGGATAAAAAGCTCAGAGGAGTGAGGGAGCATCATGCAAAGTAGGACATGTACAATGCAGGCAGTCCATTCAAAACAACGCCTGACAGACATTCATACAGAGAATAATCAAATAATGTGAAATGAGACTGAGCTTAATCCAAAGAGATGTCATTAGAATGATATATTGGGCAACCAAATCAAACATGCATGCTGATTTATCCATGTTTTAGCTTTAAAGGAAATTTTTGGTGTCTCTATATTTTATACTTAACAGAAAGATTTACATTGCACTTAGATAAATGCAGCCTGTTGTCCAGCCATGACCTTTCCTCCACACTCCGCAGCTTTAATATTCACCAGCTACAGTGGCACATATGTTGCAATGCTCCTTATGTATGCAGATTGGAGTCCAATGAGAGCAGGTCATGGATTTGCAAAAGGCCGAACAGAAACATCCACCAAAATAACTGGACCTGTACGAGTGAAAGCATGTGAGAGAGCAGCAGCCTGTGCAGCACACTAAACAACAGGCCTTTGTCTGGGTTTTGCAGTCCAGCCTTGCATATCAGTGTGGAATGAGTGAGGTGGGTTGGTTCACTGCAGGGTCGGACATCCTCCAGAAGCTGAGATGTTTGTTTAACATCGCCCACTCTGCAATGAGAGGGACATATTTTGATCAGGTCTTTGGTTTTCTGGTGGGATAGACGCCTTGAGATGTAGTAACATATTTTCATTGGGGGTTATTTGTGCAAATGACAACTCAAAACAGCTCATTCAATATTTTTCAAGTTTTAACTCTTGTTTGAATGTATAGTTTGTTATAATATGATATATCTGTAGTCATAACTTCCTTGATCTGTCTTCCACCTGTGTGTAGGAGCGCACACGTGTAGGCGCTGACACGTCTCAGGACATCCAGCTGTTTGGGATCGGTATCCAGTCGGAGCACTGCGTCCTGGAGATCTGCCCAGACGGTGACGTCACCCTCACGCCTATCGGGAACGCCAGGTGAACAACCATAAATCGACTGTTATCACACTGTGTGTCTGTCTCTGTTTATCTCCCTGTTGCCTCTCTCCTTTATGGATGAATGGACTGCAATGTTTCACATGACCTCACTGTGCAGGAATCTATGATCCGAGCTCCACGCTTTGATATCAGAGCCCTGTCTGCCTCCTACTTGTGAAAAGATCACAGTTACATTTGAATTAGATTTCCATGTTTAAAACCGGAGATCAGAAAAAGCCATCAGGTCTCTGCTATAATCGAATTCTCTGTTTTCTACAGGACCTGTGTGAACGGAACAATTATTGATTCCTTGTCGCACTTGTGGCACGGAGATCGAATCTTATGGGGCAACAACCACTTCTTCAGGTATACGACTTGTTTGGGTAGCCTTAAAATTGAGAAAAGTCATCAAAGAGATGAGATGGAAACTTGTTTTTTTTTTTCTCCTCACAGGATTAATCTGCCAACACGAAAGCGGCGGGACCGTTTAAAGGAACTGGAGAGAGCTTCTCCCAGAGAGAGCTACATTGAGGCAGATGTGGAGACAGCCAGTGAGGCCTCTTCTGAGCAGGACTACAGCTATGAGTTTGCCCAGATGGAGGTCATGATGAAGACTCTGGGGAACAATGGTATGATTAAGATAATCTGCCTCCTGCAATCGCTGTTATCCTGTATGCTTTTAAACTACAGCTCTATACAGTATGTGCTCATTTTACGCTTCAGCACCTTCATTTTGTTCCTGCTTACGGACCAAATAACAATTTTTAGGAGTACACCTGCTTTAAGTGATGCTCTTTCTCCTCCCCCTTGTCCCTTTATTGTGGATGAAAAATAGAACTGTTGTAGTTATTTGCAACAATAAGTTGTTAAATTAATCTATTAGAAAAATACAGAGTTTTATAACTAGGAGCAACAGGAGAGGATGTTCATTTGTGTGAACGCTGCAGGTCAAAATGTACGGTACATCTTAGGACATCTTGTCCTTTGCGTGCCAAAGTTGTATTTCTGGCAGACATTTTACCCATTGGGAACATATGAGGTTGACATTGTAAAGTAAGGCTGTTTGTGCTGTGTGCTTGTCAGTTGTGTAGTCTGTAGACACTTACTCCTCGCAGCAAGGTCAGGTTTGGAAAATTACGACATAGAAATTATTTATTATTTATCTTGCTTCGGATAGTTTAGTTTTCTCCTTTTGTAGGTCGTAAAGAGGCTTTTGTTCTCTTTTGTTCTGCTCTATATTATTCTATTCTAACCTGTTGTATTCTATTCTTTTTGTCCTGTTTCTAGACCCTATGCAGAATGTGGTCCAGGTGCTAGAGAAGCAGTACCTTGAGGAGAAGCGGACAGCTCTCGAAGAGCAGAGAATGATGTACGAGCGAGAGCTGGAGTCACTGCGACAACAGCTCTCTCCCGAGAAGACGCTGCAGCACCACCGCAGTAGCAGCGAGCGCCTTGCATTCTCGACGCACACACCTCACAGCAAGCTGCGGCTGTGGATAGAGGAGAGGTTTGTGCAGACACAGAAGCACTGAAGCTCAGACTGCTTAATGTGGTGGCTCTGCTTTTTATATCAGCTGTGTGTCCGTTTTTGATCAATTTCTACTATTATATCCAGAGTTGAATGAAATATCAACTCTTTATTTACAGCTCGCTACTAAATTATATTATTTGTCATCTAAGCAGACGGGGGGGTTTAGTCAGTCAGTTTCAGGGGTTAACCTTCACCTCATTATGAAAGTTCATATGTGAAGCTTAGATCAAATATAGTGGGGAGCCATTTTAAGTAAACTTGAATGCAGCTGTTCTGAAATTGTCCTGTGATGTAACACTTATTGCAGCTGAAACTGGCTGTACATGTCCTGATTCCATGTTTGTGTCAGTGTTGCATTTCTAACTGTAGAGAAGTATTTCCAAAGTGCTTGAAATGGATCAAAATAACCTCCCAAAACTTATTGGAGACAGTAGTATATAGTTTACTGGATTCAGCGCCAATAGTGGTAAACTGACTGAGAATCACAGGCTTTTTTGTTTGCTGTAGTTGTAACTAGTTGGCTTCAGGAATCATCCACCACCTTGCCTCAAGTTTCCTTTCTACACACATTTCTCAAATATTTAAACTTGACATTTTTTGAGTCTAAAGTAAGCTTGCTGTCTCACAATAGTAAACCAGATAGTGGTAAGTCTTGATATTCTTGAATGAATGATCCCTGTTTTTCTATGCTGTCTCTCTCTATGTGTGTGTGCATGTGTGCCTTCAAGGGATGAGCTCTTCCGTCAAAGCCTTTCCCGTCTCAAGGAGCAGGTTGTGAAAGCCAACACCTTGGTGCGAGAAGCCAACTTTTTAGCAGAAGAGATGAGCAAACAGACCGACTATCAGGTCACCCTTCAGATTCCTGCAGCCAACCTCAGCGCCAACCGCAAGGTCAGACTTCTGAGCCTCACACACCATCACTGTATCACCTTACACACTGATATTAAACCTGATTTGAACTGATTCTATTGAGATCTGTGTTAGCTTCTTCAATTCTTGTGCTAATGACAGAACTTACTTTATCTTCTTTTATACAGCGGGGGGCGATAGTGAGTGAGCCAGCCATTCAGGTGCGGAGAAAAGGGAAGGGGACACAGGTGTGGACCATTGAGAAGCTGGAAAACAAGCTGGTGGATATGAGAGACCACTACAGGGACTGGAGGGAAGGTGCAGAAGAGATGGTAAGAAAACACAGGTAAAATAATCAAAACACAAGAATTAGACAGATTATTTATGTTCCCTATTTTTGTCTTTTAGAATACCAAGGCAAACAACCATTACTGTGACCCGTTCTACGAGGCACAGGAGAACCACAATCTCATAGGAGTTGCCAACATTTTTCTGGAGTGCCTTTTCCATGATGTCAAACTGCAATACGCTGTCCCCATCATCAGCCAACAGGGAGAGGTAAGGCAGCAGCATGATAAACAGATAAAAGCGCGGATAAATTATTCATGATACGGCCTCTTATTATTGTTAGGACACCAGATCGATATGAAAAGCTGATGCACAAAAACTGCAAATTTAATTGACTGAATAATGCAAGACTTGAAATGCAACTTTAAAGGTCCAGATGAGTAAGTCCGAAAAATGAAACCCCTCCTCTGTTTAATTTGGGAAGCATGAAGCTGCAGTTGACTGTCACATTTATCATTTTGTTTGCATGTCTCTCACAGGTAGCAGGGAGGTTACATATCGAGCTGATGCGAGTCAGTGGAGCTGTCCCAGAGCGCCTGTGTGGAGGAGACGACTCATCTGAGAACTCCAGTGAGAGCAGCTGCTACGAGGTGATGGACACCAACGGCGAGATCGTCCACATGGCCAAGAGGCTGACCTGCAGGGTACAAGCTGGTTTTGTCTGGAATTGAGCGATTGCAGATAAAGGAGCATTTCACACAAACTCACCCTGATTTTTCTTTTTTTTCTTTTTTTTGCAGGTGCGGATCAGGGAGGCCACAGGTCTACCACTTAACCTGTCCAACTTTGTTTTCTGTCAGTACACCTTCTGGGAGCATGGTGAGCCCACTGTAGCTCCTCCTATGGTCAGCCCAGATAGACCCTCCCCCCGAAGTCCAGATGCCCAGTTTACTGTCCAGTTTGATCATTGCAAGGTACACAAAAAGAGTCTTATTCTTAACTAGGGGTGTCCCGATACAATATTAATATCAGATATCGGCTTGATATCGGCAAAAAAAGGAACATCGGATTATATTGACCTGCATCTAAAATCTCCGATATCAGCACTCCGATACAAGCAGTCCATTCCAGACTCCGCTCTGGCACCTCTATCTAGCAGTGCCCTGATCCAGCAAGCTGAACACACAACAGTGTGCCTAAGGTACTAACAGAGTAGCAAGGAGTAAGAGTGATATTGACCTTGTGGCAGTCGATCAATATTGAAGGCTACAATATCTGTATCGTATCGGAAGTCAAAAAGTTGTATCAGGACACCCCTATTCTTAACACATTAATCTGAAAATCATGTGATTTCAACTCAACCACAACCTCTTGTCTGTGTGCAGGACTATGTTGTGCACGTGACAGATGAGTTTTTGGAGTTTATATCAGACGGCGCATTGGCCATAGAGGTGTGGGGTCACCGCTGCGCTGGGAACGGTCGTTCACTCTGGGAGTTGGACGCGCTGGAGGCCAAAACACAGACTCTCCGAGACCGGTACATTGTCTCCAGATGCAGTCAGACTTTTACATGTGGGCACACACAGACACTGACCTCACTTAACATGGCTGTTATGGGTTCAAGGTGGAGTGAGGTGTCTCGCAGGATCGAGCTGTGGACCTCCATCCAAGAACTGAATGAGCAGGGGGAGTACTCGTCTGTGGAGCTGCATCCTGGGAAAGACATCAGCACAGGGGGAGTCTTCCAGCTCAGACAGGTCAGACTGGCTGACCCACATCAAACTCACATTTAAGAGGATTATTACTGATTATGTAATTCCTATTAGGAGACTTGTTAATGTGGTAATTTGAGAGCTGAATTGTGGGAACTTGTCCAAGCAGGGTCACTCCAGGAGGCTACAGGTGTGTGTGAAGCCGGTCCAAAACTCGGGCACGCTGCCTCTGCTGGTGGAGGCAGTGCTGTCTGTCTCCATCGGCTGTGTGTCCGCTCGCTCCACCAAACTGCAGAGACCACTCGACAGCTACCAGGTCTGTGAACCACCGGTGCCCATTTTCAAACATTCACACATGCTACTTAGACGAGTGTATTGACAAAAATAGGATTATGATTTATGCAAAGCTGATTTAAAAAAAAATGGGGGGAACAGTGTTTTTCGGAACAGTGGACTTGTTTTAGGGCCAACATTATAATGCTGATTCAGCCAAAGTATGTTCAGTCCATCCCTGGTTTTGTGCCATGACTGGTTCATCTGGATAGCTGGCAGCGAGTCTAAAGAAGACCAAGGAATGTACAAACTCATTAGTGCCCGGTTTGTTTGTTCGTGTACTGAATTGACCTGATGTAGAAAAAGGAGGCAATGGTTTGAAAAGCTGTAAGCAGTCACGGAATCTTTTTATCCCATCTCAAATCATGAAAAGAGTAAATTCAGAGGCTGCTCCTTGTTTTTGACTGCATGTGTGACTCCAAAGCCAACAAAAACAGAGGTTTGTTAAAGCTGCTGTGAGCTGTCCTGTCAGGGCTCTTGTTTCTTGTTCCCCTTTGTTGACTGAGTTTGTTCTCTTCTACCAGAGAGAGATGGAAGAAGATATGGATAGTTATCAGGTACCCACTCAGTTTCCTCCTGCTGCTGTTGCCCCCCTCCCCTCTAGATCGTTCTGCAGCATGACGGAAAACAACGGATCATGTGTTTGTGACTCGGCCTGTTGCTGAGGGCGAATGAGGCCAGAGGCAATGGGCCGCGTCTTTACCAACTTAACAAGTGCTCTAATAAACATCTGCTGCACATATGGATGATTTCTGAAGCTCTAATTATCAATCACACCAGCCACTCTTTGGCAGACCCCTGGTGAAAGATACAGTTGTGCCCATGGCCAAAAGTCTGTCTGCCAGGGATCTCTTTTGCTTCCCCCTCAGGTTGCACACACTAATGCTACTGTGCTTGTCACTACTGGAAAGCTGCAGGAATAATGCGACTCATGTAATCACACTGGCATTGCATGGCTGCATGATTTACTGTACTTTGCATGGAGGGAGTGTGCTGAAACCAGAAGCATTGTGTGGTTGACCTGGAGTTCTGTTGGTTACTGGGGGGGGGGTGTTGTTAAGAGGAGTGTGTTCTCTGTGGTTCCCAAGCAGAGTGGTCTGCTATACATCCAGGTAGGACTTTGGGTGGCAGTGGCTGCGAGTTTTTGTGTTTTGAGAACAACACTTAATTTTTTTTCACCACAAATACAAACTGAAATGAAAGAAGTAACTTTTAACGCAGTAGCTGCGTTTACATGGGCACAAATAATCGGAGTAAATTTCCAATCGGAATAAAAATTCATCATGTAAACATGTCGATCGGAAGATTCTGATCCAGTCCAGCTTATTCAATCATTCATTCATTTTCTTACGCTTATTACCGTTGGGGGTCGCGGGAGGGCTTGGAGCCTACCCCAGTATCTTCGGGCGAAGGCAGGGGACACCCTGGACAAGTCGCCAGTTAATTGTAGGGCTGACATATAGAGACGAATAACCATCCACGCTCACATTCACACCTACGGGCAATTTGAAAGTGGCCGGTTAACCTAACCCCACTTATGCATGTTTTTGGGATGTGGGAGGAAACCGGACAGACACAGGGAGAACATGCAAACTCTACACAGAAACGCCCAGACCCGCATTCAAACCCAGGACCTTCTTGCTGTGAGGCGACAGCGTTAACCACTACACCTCAATCCTTAAGAAATTGTATTCCGATCAAGAGGGGTGGTTTATGCCAATCGTTATTCCAAAACATGTCCATGTAAACACTTATTCCAAACGTGACTCTCTTACCTGACTCGGTCTTCACTCTTTAGCCTTTGGTTTATTTATTGAGGCCGGTACTGAAGGTTTCATTATTAACACTCTGGCATAAAACACAACCGCAAGTGCCGTCGTGTCTGCTCTTCCGGTAACATAACAAGGCGTACATACAGCGTGATGATGTCACACCTGCACGCACAGTGCAACCTTTGACAGAACAGTAAAATAAGTACGCGAGGGCGCCATCTAGTGACAACATTTAACAGGGAAAACTCCTGAACTGGATGGAGTGAGCCACTACCGCATTCATCAGTTTGTTGACAGCACAGGGGCAATACAATTCTTCTTCTTCTGCAGTTGTGAACTCAAACAACTCTGCGCACGTCCAAACGCTTTTAATCTGAATATAGCTTGGTGCATGTATGCGCACGTCATGATCGGATTATTTGATTTTTATAGCCATATAAACAGTGGATTCAGATAATTCGATCCCTCAAATTTTTAATCGGATCAAGTAATTTTGCCCATGTAAACGTGTCTATTGAAGTAGAGAATTTGAGACAGGGTTAGCTTTAACTTCGACTCACTAATTTGATAAACAATGTTGAGTTGAGGAGCAGTAATAGTTCCTCTTGAGCCCTGTGCACCCTCACTTTTCTCCAGGACCATTTCACCGACATTAATTCTTCTATCCATGTGCTTTCAGGAGGAAGATCTCAACTGTGTCAGGGAGCGCTGGTCGGAGGCTCTCATCAAGCGTCGGGAGTACCTTGATGAACAAATCAAGAAAATCATCAACAAGCAAGGTGAGTTCGAGACAATATGATGAGGGGTCTGCAGAGCGAAGGCTGTGTATTGTTTGTGTTTTCAGTCCATGTTTGTGTACTACCTGTGACCTTCTCCACTTGTGGTTTGCAGAAAAGTCAGAGGAGGATATTGAGCGCGAGGCCAGACTAGTGGAGCAGTGGGTCGGCCTAACTGAAGAAAGAAACGCTGTGTTGGTTCCTGCACCTGGCAGTTGCATCCCTGGAGCTCCAGCAGACTGGTAAAACACAGCAAACAGAATCACATGCACATGCCAGATTCGATGAGCTGTCTGCATTTCCTCCTGTATGACCTCATATTTAACTCCATGCAGGACCCCACCTGCAGGAATGGAAGCTCATATCCCCGTACTCTTCCTGGATTTAAACGGTGTGGTAGAAACATTCCTCATAAAACTGAGATTTCACGGCGTCCTGTCGAGCTGCACTCACATGACACTTCATTTTTTTGTCACCAGCTGATAATCTGACAGTGAATGAGCAGCTGACCAACCAACATGCTGCAGGCGTTAACTCCATCCTGCCCAAGGAGCATGGGAGCCAGTTCTTCTATCTGCCCATCATCAGACACAGCGATGAAGAGGTGAGCATTGCGTTAGACTTTACTGCCCTCCTGTGGCTAAAAAGAGAAGTCTGTGACACCCAAAATCACTAATTTGATAATAGGCTCAGGAACCAAAGTCATATAAATATTAATGTGACAAAAAAAATCATCTGCTTATGAAGCTTGGTGAGACTTTTCTGGTTGTAGTTACGAAGAAGGGTTTCTTTCATTCACTAGTTTTGTTGATTTTTTTTTATATTCACCTGGGAATCATAATTTTAGGGTTCTCGATGTTACAACTTCATTTGGTGCTGGAAGTCTTCTTTTCTCAGACACGGTTTGTTATTTCAGAGCGTCATGCATTAAGGCGAGTATTTACAGGAGTCCTCTTAAGTGCTGTTTGATGTTCTTTTTGATGCACCAACCAAACACTAATCACTACCCTCTTTGCAGCGCCTAATTGCGCTGACATGTCATGGCGTGCACCGCTAGGTTTATGAGCCAATTCCTGCAAACCCAAAGTTACAACCCATCTACTGTACATGACTGTTATCTATGTCTGTGCACCTTAAGCAGACCTGTATGTCTGTCTATAAGTGACTGTGATCCACATTGATAAATTAATCACATCTCCTCTTATACTTTAGGTGTCTGCTGTGTGTTCCTGGGACTCATCCATCCACGATTCTGTGCATCTGAACCGCATCACGTCTCCAAATGAACGCATTTACCTGATCATCAAAGCCACAGTGCAGCTCAGCCATCCAGCGTCCATGGAGCTTGTGCTTCGCAAGAGGATTGCTGTCAACATCTACAACAAGCAGGTGAACTGGAGGGCAATCCGACTTCATTCAAGGGTGTTAGCTTTTCTTTTATAGTGATGGATTTTATTTTTTTGACCAACTAGTTTTGATTGTTTCCAACAGAGCTTCACACAAAGTCTCAAGAGGAGAATGTCCTTGAAGAACTCGCTTTATTCCTGTGGTGTTACCTACGAGATTGTCTCCAACATACCAAAGGTAAATCTCTGCAGCTGTATCGAACAGAAGACTCTTCATTCATGATTCATTCAACCTTAACATCTTACTCTGCAATCATCTTCAGGCCTCAGAGGAACCAGAGGAAAGGGAAACCCTGGCCCTCATGGCTGCACGTGGAGACAGCGAGGAGACTCAGGATGGAGAAACATACATAGAGAAATACACGAGGGGAGTTTTGGAGGTGGAGAACATCCTCAGTCTGGAGAGGCTGCGCCAGGTATGCTCTGCTTTAACACATCAGAATAATTCAACACAAACATAAAGAACATTCACTGATAATATGACGGATGTCCTTCATCTACTGATGGTCAACTTTGTACCTTTTTTTTCCCCCTGAAGGCTGTGACGGTGAAGGAAGCACTCAGTGCCAAGGGTAGACACCTAAGAAGGAGTATCAGCACACCAAATGTACAGCATGTAATGAACACATCACTCTTTTCACTACCCACTGAAATAAATGTCAGTAGCTGCCAGAAACAACACATGGCTCTAATAATATGTTGTTTCCTGTTCTTCAGTCTTCATGTAGTAAAACAGACCTGACTGGCTGCGAGGATGAAGAGTGTAAAGTAAGTAGACACATTAAGAAGATTACCCCTGCTCTCCATAATTACTCCCAACATAATGAAAACACTCCATCGTAACCTTTACTTTATTGTCTAGGACCACTGTGATCACGGAGACAGCACCAACTTCAATCCCCCAGAGGGCTCACTTTGCAACACACCCATAAAAAGCAAAGAGAATCCAGGTGAAATTCATGAAAATCTACCACAGCTAAACTGCTGTCTTGTGTTCTCGGGTGTGAGAAAGAGTTTGTTTTGGTATGTTGAGTAAGTGTGTAACCTTTATTTTTTCCTGTGCAGGTACAGTTCCTGAGAGTCCAACTTTTTTCAACTCCAGCCCCTTCAAAGTCCTCTCTCCTCAGCCGCCCAAGTTCCTCAAGTCTCTGCTGCCCGTCAAGGAAGAGAACAAGGCAAAGAAAGTGCTGGAAGCCCGGCCACTGCTGGGACAAGAGGTAAGCAGAAATGTATCAGACATCCATCTTAAAAAACATTGTTTACATTTTGTCATCTTCCTTTTCTCATCACATTACATTTTCAAACCACGGTGAAGACATTTAAACTGACAAAGAGAAACCTAACCATCGAAAGCTGCTGTGTAAAAAAATCGCTTTGTTGCTGTTTGACTGGAGAAAAGCAAAAAAAAAAGATGTTGATGTCACCATCGACTGTGTTTATGCCAATGATAGAGCATGACTCACAGGAGCATGACTCCAGCTGGAGATAACCAGAACACGAAATGAGACAGGGCCGTGCTGAAAAATGTCTCATGTCCAAATATGTTTGTGATAGCTGATCGTTGAGATTGATCGTGGCTGTTCAAACCATTTTGACTAACCTCACATTTTTGTTTTCATCTGTGCTTGAAGTGGACTTAAAGAGTTGCGTGTACTTTAAAAAATCAGTCTATGCAGAAAATGGTTCAGTAAATCACAGGCAAGGCAAGTTTATCTGAATAGCACCATCATACACAAGGCAATTCAAAGGGCTTCACGGATACAAGGAAATACATTGGAGATGAAAAGATAGATTGAAACAATTTGATGTCAATTAGACAAACGGCTTCAAATCAATAAAATATTAAAATGTAAAATTATTACAACAGTTGAAATTGGCAGAACAGCAAAGTAGAAGTAAAAGGAATTGATGCTGTAGGAAAGCTGCAGTGATGTTTTCAGCCCTGATTTAAATGAGCTGACAGTTTGTGCACACCTAAGGTGTTCAGGGAGTTTGTTCCACAGGTGAGGGCCAAAGAAGCTGAATGCAGCTTCACCCTGCTTGGTTCTAACCCTGGGGACAACAGGTAAACCTAAATCAGGTGACCTGAGGGGTCTTATCTGAGGTGTAGAGCAAAAAAAAACCTTAAATGTTGGCTACAGGCCACAATAGTATGTAAGTTTTACTAATTAAGGGTCAAGAGTAGAGCATAACTGATATATGAATATATGTTAGGGAATCATTATGGACTTATCACACATTTTTACGTATTGGTATCAATACTCATAGATCTGTGATCAAATACTGTTATCTTGCAGTGATTCATTTCAGGAGGCAGCCTTCTGAGTATCTTTACATATCATATTAAAGCAAGACAGGTGCGAAAGTGCATGAAAAGTGCATGCTGTTTGTAATCTGTGATTATCCTTCCTCTGAAGTTGATCTTGAGAATCAGTTAAGCAAATGTAATGGACTGATGCCTGCAGTGATGATGCAGTCGTAAGTACAACAACTCAAACAACGAACACTTCTAGCACAGCATTTGTGAAATATTCAACTGCATGGCACTAACTGTGTAACTGGCCTGCCCAGCTCCAAGCATGTTTTGTGTGTGTGTGTGTGTGTCAAGTGTGTGCTGTTGTTCTGACCCATCCACAGAGCATGCGCTCATGTGTGGACAGCCCTGCACTGCTCCCCCCTCCCTGCTCCTGGCACCGGCCCAGGGCAGGCAGCGAGGGCCACTGCAAGCCTTCCACCTCCACCCTCACCTCCACCTCCACTCCCACCAGCAGACAGCTCAGCCACACACTGCCACACACTGCTGTAAGTGCTACACACACCAGTGCGCATCTCTCTGTGGGTGTGATGGAAGTGTATCATAGACACGTACACTCCACGATGGGCTGATTTGCCATGACTAGACTCTTATTCTTGGTAAAGTAACTGTGATGCTCTTCGTTCATTCACAGTCTTCATCTTCCTTTATCACATGTTTTCATCAGCTTCATAAAAATCTGTTAGTCCAGGCTGATGCTCCCTTCAGGCATCAGTTGGCATCATGTGTGGTGTGATGTCTCATTTTTCCTGCTGGTGTTGTTTCTATCAGCAGGACTCTGAAGATGAGGAGACAGACTTGGACATACCTCTGAATCTGGATCAGACTATTCAGGACCACAACAGCTTTCAGCCTTACATCCCGGAGGATTTTGCAAACTTTGAGATCTACAACGCCACTCTGGAAGGTCAAGAGGGCTTTCTGTCCTCTCGCTCTGACTCCAAGGGGAGCCATTGTGGAGGTGGGAACGGAGAGAGGGAGGCGCCTCGAAGCCCCACAGCCAGCAGCTGCACCAGTGGCTACTTTTCTCACAGTGCCTCCAACGCCACGCTGTCTGACATGCCCTTCAGTGCCAGCGAGAGCTCTGACCACCTCAGCTGCAACTCCAGAGACACCCAGGATCCTCTCGGCTGTCTTGCTGGAAGAGGCTGCACCCAAACCAAAGGTGTTTCTGCAGGGACTGACACCCAGCAGCCTCCTCTGTCAGCAGGTGGAGTTAGAGATCTGCTGAGCCAACATGCCTCTTCGCCTGTCAGTATTCCTAACTGTACAGACAAGCAGCAAACATTCCCTTTGCCTCACAACTGTGTCCTCAGCACCAGCCAGGAGTTTACTGACTTTAAAGGTGCCGATGATAGTATTGAAGAGGGGGATTTAGCACATTTTACAGGGGGGTGGGAGCAGGGAGGTTTGGACTTCTCCACAAACCAGCAGGAGGAACCGGATAATGCAAAAACATGTGACACTAGCAATCAAAAGACTTCTCATGTCTCTGGTATTATGCACTCATCTGCTCCTGAAAACACAACAAACTCTATGTCAAAATGTCCAAATATTACAGACTCTGCTAGTGTAGCTCTGCCCAACAACACTACCCCAGTCCCTACGCCTGATAAAGTCCAAGCTATGGCTCCATCATCTCCACCCGCGCTGTTATCAATGGCCCCATCCTCTGCCCTGACCACTCGAGCTGGAGGAGAACCTCTTATCCAGGAGCCGGCCCAGGGGGACCTGCCTCATGGGAGTCCCTGTCCCAGCCCAAACCCCAGCAGCGCAGAGCCCTCAGGTGATTCCAGCGGAGATGAAAGCACCCCTGTGGCTCAGCTTCCTGACTGGATGGCTCCTGGGGAGCAGGTGTGGGTGGGAAAGAGGAGAGGAATGGTCCACTATGTTGGAGGGGTGGAGTTTGCCAAGGGGATCTGGGTTGGTGTGAAGCTAGACTTGGCAGTGGGTAAGTTTTCACAGATTTTGCCAAATCTAACTCTCACTTAGTCCTGTGACAGATACTTCTAATTGATGATGTAGTTACAGCTCATTCATCATATGTCAAGTTGGATTTAAAGTGACACCACCATTGCTCAGTTTTTTTTTTCACCAGGGAGAATTGACGAGTATTTTAAATGAATTCTACCAATCTTTATAATGTTCTTCTTCATGTTCCTAAATAGAGAAAAAATCACAGCAGTCTCACTAAAGGGTGTTCTGTTGCACTGAGTATTAGAACAGCCGTGACACTGTCATTGGCTGGGGCTGTGCAGATGTACAGTACTACAGGTGGCACCTATTAGTCAGGGACCAGGTACTTTGTAATGTGTTTTAATCTGAACGTTTCTATTTACCATAAAGCCCGTAAAGTGGGACTCAGTTGACAGCAAACATCGACCTCCTATTTTGAGGGGTGAGGTTGGAGTTTACAGAAGTGCAAAAGAAAATTTTTGGCCAGAGATAAAATCCAAATTTTTTTCTCTGAAAACTCTATTTTAAATTTTTTTATTCAGCCACAACTTCACTAAACTTCACTTTTATAATTTTTTTATAAGTTTTTCTATCATCTGTCAAAACGAAACCACTGAAAACAATGTAGTGCATATGCCAAGCCAGTAGGTGGCGCTGTAACGCTGCCAAACGCTACCAATTCCACACGACTGACTTGCTCTTGCCCTATTTAGCCACAAAATTATCACCTTCTCTTGCAAACGCCATGTTTGTTTACACTGGTGTGTGTGGGAACTGGGGAGTGCTCCTGCAGGAGGGGGGAGCCTACGGTGGCCTGGAGGCGCGAGACATGGTAGAGAGGGAAATCGATTTGATGATTTTAATTTTTTTAAACATCGTTATTATCAAATAATCACAATTTAAAATCGATTAATCGTGCAGCCCTAGTGCTTTGTTGATCCTTTTACATAGAGCAAATCACATCAAATAATATTCACCACTTAAATTTTGACACGTTTGCTCAGGATCTGTCACACAGTCTTTATTTGTCCAGGTAATCTTGAGCTTTATTGGTGCCTGAAAGTTAACTCTTAACTTTGTGGTTTGTGGAAATCATGAAATCTGGGGAATGGTGGTTACCTCCCTGCATGTCCTGTCCTGTCCTGTCATTCAGGCCTCTCACGCCCTCAGGAGCCTAGTATTTCTCAGGCTCTGATATTCAATGTAGAAATCAATTGCATGCTCTTGACCCTTACAAATCAAACATTCAGCTCTGATGAAGCCTCGTGGTTGACTCTCTTTCAGGGAAGCACAACGGGACTGTCCAAGGCAGAGTCTACTTCCGCTGTCCCCCTGGCCACGGTGTGTTTGTGAAACCATCTCGCCTCACCAGAGGACCGCCCAACATGGACACAGAACCCCAGACTGTGATCAGATAGGACCCAAAGACGGACCAGCTTTCTTTTGCATAGCAGGGGCCACAAGGAGGGGTCCTCAGATCTAGTGCCTCAAACCACAGACTGACTTATGTGTGGCTCCTCTTCCTCTATCCCTTTGACCACTCAAGTCTCTGAGCTGATGTATTCTGTGGCTGTTTTTTGCTTTCCTGAAGCATATCTGACCTGTACTTTTAATGAAGATATACCTGATTTACTGTCCACTGAAAATCACTATGCACATATCTGGGTTTTCTACATGGTAATATTTTTGATAGGAAACTTTAAACTGGGAGTCCATATGGAAACATTACTCATATAAATTTTCCTACATCGGTTTCTGAACATTATTATTATGTAATATTTTTGTAAGACGTTGCATCCTCCCCTGAGGCTCATAGTGGAGAAATCTGGGATATGAAGAAAAAGAATGTACTACTGTTAATTAACATTGATATTTACATCAATTTGTTTTGTCAGGGGTAACCAAAGAACTACGGTTCCATATCTGCTGTTATGAGTAATGTGTTATTTTTCTAATGTATGTATGTGGAGATGAATATTCTAAAAGTATATCTGTGTAAAAGTAAAGCTTAGTGCCATATCTCTAGGAGTAATGCCACATACCCTGAACAGAGGACAAATCTGCAAAGCCCTGTGCTGCTTTCAGTGTTTGACTGCAGTTATGATGTTAAATAATCCTGTTGAAGTACTGTAACACTGTAGAGGAAATAATCCCCATCCAGCATGAGACTGTTGCTGTTTGAAAGCTTGCACTGGAAAGGTTTATTTGTGGGTTCAACGACTGTCTTCCATATTGGACTGATGAAATATTTTCCGACTTTAAGCGACTGAAAAACCATTAATCATCACTTTAAACTGGGGTAGCAAGTCTGAGGCCTGAGTATACCAATGCCTTAACATCCTGTTTCCTCCCCCAAGCTACCTATTTTAACTCCATACCGACTTCACTGAGTTTTAAATTAATTGTATGGACCTGAAACCTGTGTGTGTGTACATCATGGTGCCCAAAAGCATTCAAAATGCCTCCCAGAGTTATTGACAAACCAGCTTTTACTTCATTGCAAATCACAAGTTAACAGACCAGTATATGACACTACATGTTACAAGGTACTCAACAATGCACTTTTTTTCTCATGGAGGATTGGATGCTTGGGTAAAGGACAGTATCAGGTTACAGAAGATGGTGCACAATTTGTTAAGAGGTGAAGAGTTTACTTGTGATGGAAGTGGTGAACTGTGGAGCTGTTCAGAATTAACCGTATATCCGAGCTGTACCGTCATATAAATGAAACAAACCCAAGACCTTACTTTAAAGAAGAGAACAAAGCTGCTCTCCCTCATAAGGAGCTGTAAATAGAAATGTATTTGAAGATAGTATTTACACTATTATAATGTACAGAATTGTATTTATAATGTATCTCGAACTGTTTTAATTGGTACAAAATGTTCTAGAATAGAACATTTACAATCAGATTGTTGTTTTGGCTCTTCATTTGGCTTGTTCAAATTTACCTTGTCAGCATGTTTTACTGTGTTTCAAGAAGGTTGAGGAACATTTTACTTCTGCAGAGTGTACGCAGTATTCATTTTCTATAATTAAAATACTAAAAGTTTGCTTTAATATCAACATCCAGAAAAACTTAATAATCTACTATACATAGAACCTCACTATCTCACTCTAAATAGGACTTCTGTCCATATCTGGAAAAACAGAGAAGACATTTGAAGTGGAAATTCAATCAGGTGTTCACACATTTTTACTTTAACTTGTATAATTTATGAGTCAAAGACATCCTGCCTGTAAATACGATATATAGTGATTAATTTTTTTCACAAGAAAACTACTGAAATGGCTTTAGTATTGTAGCCAAGCATTGTCCACATACAAATATAAAAGTGGAGTCCTTTTGTAAACATAAAATTATTACATATGAAATTTTTAACCACTTCCTGAAACCCATAATCATCTGTTTGTTTCATTCCAACTTAAATCATTATATATAAACAGAACTACAGAGTGGAGTTAACTGATTTGCACATAAATTAAAATGCTTTCAGGAGAAATTAACACAACTCAGACCTTTCATGACAACCAAACTGAAGGTGAAGTTACTGATAGTGCACCTTATCACATTCTATTCCCTGAAAGAGCACCTGAGAGGACATTTCATTACATTTTATCCACTAGAGGGACATTTAAAAGTCACCTTTTATTCTCCATAAAGGCACCCTGAGGGCACTTAGTCAGGATTTATCTACTAGAGGGGCATCTTCAAAAGCATTTTTCTTCAAAGTGTTTTCACTGAAAAAAGCACCAGAGAGGAAAATTTTTCATGTTTTATCTCCCACAGGGGGCATCCTTGAGGGCATGTGTGCAGCAATCACCCCCCTTGTCCCCCCTTGAGGGCACTTCTACAAATGGCCATACATTATACATATTACATAAAATAACTTTCCATTACACTTGTTTTGTAGCCAAAAAAATCCCTTTACTTTGGCTCTCTCATTGGTCTCTGGCATTAAGTATGCTGAGACATATGGAAGTAAATCTGTGCCATCTGATTTTGAATTTGAATTTCTAAAGCTGAATTTTTTTTGCATCAAAATCAGACTGGCTTGAAACTATTAAATATCAAGCATGCATTTCTAATTTTACACTTATTTTGTCACAATGATGAAATAAATTCAGTAAAAAAAAATCAGTCTCTCAAAAGATTTGTTTAGTAAAAATTCAATTAAAAAAAAAAAGTTAAAAAAAGTTCAACATAAAAAAAATTCAATGTCAAAAACTTGTGTCAAACAGACTGACTCAACATCTGGGTAATCAGGGAGAGCAATCAATTCCTGGCTCAATCATCAATCGTCCAGCCAATCAGATAATGCTAGATTGGTCATGTGACACCGACCCAAGTGGAAGATTGAGGAATCGATTGCTGATGTTGAGTTGGTGTGATTCACACAAAATTTTTGACACTGAATTATTTGATACAGAAACTTTTTTTATGTTGAAATTTTTTTTTACACAATTTTTAAGTCAATTTTTTACTACATGAATATTTTGAGAGACCTGTTTTTTTTACACTGAATTTATTTCATCATTGTGGAAAAAAAAGTGTAAAGGTCCTTACATACTGGGAACGACGCAAATATACAATGCAAATTTACGAAATATTCTGAGACGAATTTTGACTATACATATCAAGTGTGATGCGATTTTGCGACTCTCCGGGGGGAAAAAAGACGTGTCTCGGGTGGAAGCGAGAAGACTGACACAACACCAGACTGACTGTTTTTCAGTTCTGATTAGACACTAGTGTTGAGATGGCTGTCTGTCATGATAGCATGTACCGAGTCGGGGCCAGTACCAGATAAGTACATGAAACTATAATCCATAAATGTAAGGTAACAACCGAGACCTAATGGTGCTGTGACAGCTACGCAATTGAGTTTAGATATACCGGTGAATCTGACATCGCAACAACACGAAATCTGATTGATCAGATGTGGACACACAGTATGCGAAACTTTAGAAAATTCGACCGTGACACGTAAAAATAAATGCAGCAATATCGCAAGACGGAAAAACGTCGCTTATGTGAACGCTTGTATTGACAGGAAAACGGGTTAGAAAAAAAGTATTGACGTCTGAAATAATCACACGAGGCAAATATAGGCTACGACGCGAATTTACAAAATATTCTGAGGCGAATTTTGACGAGCTAGACTATACACATCAAGCGCCTTAAGCGACCTTAAGAAATAAAAATGTGTGCTTGAAATTCAATGGTTTTTAAATTCAAAGTCTGATTTTGATGCAAAAAAAAAATTCAGCTTCAGAAATTTAAATTCAAAATCAGATGGCACAGATTTACTTCCATACAGACATAACATTTGTGTTTTTCTGAACTCGCTGAGTGTCTGCCGCTGTTTTGGCAGCTGTGTGACAGTAGGTAGCCTGAACATAGTGTGGTGGTCTGGATCTGGGTGGAGTTAAGTATCTGTGTCACACTAGCTGGCAACTGGGAAATCTCCCGCAGCAAACTAACAGGTGTCGTCCTCCTTCAGATCCACAGTCACATCACATCAGGGGGGGCGCCTGTCTGTTCGCCTTCATACTCTCACCTGCGACTGATCTGAACGCGTTTACTCACTCTGTCTGAGCGTCCAGCTTTCTCTACAAAACTTTTAATTTATCACCACAAATGATGCACTCGGCGCAGAAAGATACCACGTTCACCAAGATCTTTGTGGGAGGTCTTCCCTATCACACGACCGACTCTAGTCTGAGGAAATACTTCGAGGTGTTCGGAGATATCGAGGAAGCTGTGGTCATTACTGATCGGCAGACCGGGAAATCCAGAGGTTATGGATTTGTAAGTAACTCTGGGCAAGGTTAGAGTTGCCATTTTAAAGTTGCTCTGTCTAGCACGTGCCCAGTCAGGGATATAATGACAGAGGGGTCTGTGTGACTGTTTCCTTCTCTGCTTGACAGCCTGTTTTGAGTGACTTACCTGCTACTTACTCGGACAAACAAGACTTGAAATCATTTAAAGTGTCTCAAATAAGACCTGTCTTCTCAAATGTGGGCCTTAAAAATCTGTGTGGCTGTTAGCTGTGTGGTTAGGTCAATGGAAAATATGCTGTTTTTTTCTGTTTTCAGGTGACCATGGCAGACCGGGCCTCTGCTGACCGAGCATGCAAAGACCCAAACCCTATCATAGATGGCAGGAAAGCCAATGTAAACCTGGCCTACTTGGGGGCCAAACCTAGAGTCATCCAGCCAGGTCAGGACCACACTTCTAGGATGAGACTCAGATCATTAAAGACACAAACCTAATTCTCACACATACTCATATACAAGAGGTGATATAATAAATGTGATGTCTTTTGATGAACTTAGAAACACAAGTGTGAGAAAGTAGCTATTTTTGAGCGCCTCAAAAATACTGACATGTCTATGGTTCTATTTTTTTCTCCTGAAAACAGTAACATCATCTTCAGATCATTTGAAAGGCACAACTGAAAGCAAAACTTTTTACTGTTTTCATTTCAGGATTTGCATTCGGTGTGCCTCAGATTCATCCAGCTTTTATCCAAAGACCATATGGGTATGTTAAGCTGCAAAAATCCAATTTCCATTACTTTTTTTTTTTTTTGTAAAATAGAAAATGTCTGCTTATGTTCTTATGTTATCTGATTATTTTTGTAATTAATCATTGCCTTCAACTGTAATATCCTGAATAAGGACATGTGAGTGCTGATGTGTGCCTCTCTGCTTGGCGTTGACTGTGAAGGAAGTGAATATAAGCCGCTGCAGGACTTGACTTGATGTTGTCTATCTCTCTCTGATCTGACAGGCTCGGTAACAGTTAAAATAGCTGATGAAGGGACATGATGATTTGAGGAATAGCTGAGTCTGCACTGGGCAGAGCACTAAAGTGTTACCTGTAAACTCTGACATACACAAACGAACTGAAATGGTGACTAGATGCATGGAAGTCTTTTTTTTTCAGTTTTTATAGTACATAGTATTGTGTGTGCCTTGTTTTCAGTATGATGTGGTGTTCAGCTTAACTGTGTGCTCATTTCCACTTGCAGTGGGGGAGGTTGGGTGGGGGTGACGCAGGTTTTTTTGTGCAGATTTTGTGAGTTTATTTTGATAGGGAGCTGTAACTCTGTAATGTGGTGTTGATTCTTTCACACTTTAAATGACTGATTTGTGCTTTAGCTTGTGGTTTATTTTTCTATTCACTCCAGTTTCTAGTTAACATTGTTGATCATGTTTTGTTGTCAAAGGGGGGCTGATGAACACTCAAAGTGCTGATTTCAAAATCGATTCCCCTGCAACAAAACAAACACTGGCTTGCATGCCGGAGTTCTTTTCTGTTTCCTTACCCATGATGCTGTGTTTTTTTTTATTAACCCATTGCTTTCACTTTTGGCGTACATTTACAGGTACAGGACACTGAGCACTAACTTTACCAAGACCCCAAATTTCTTGCATTCTGAATTATTTGTTTCATCTCAACAGCTGTTATTAGAAATAAAATTCTAACATTTAGAGGCAGAGTGGTGAAATATAAGCTAAAGTTTTATCTCCACCGAAGTCAGGCTCCTCTTTAAGTCAGGCTTAAGTTTCATGACATACATTAGCCCAAATTGTTAAGACTCCATGGCATTTTTTTTAGCTTTTTATTGACAATAGATGAGGATTAATGAGCTTTACAATGATCTATGACACACGTCTTTTAAACAAAGACTGAAAAGTTCCCTAAACTATCGTCTGGAGACAGGGATCTGAGCTGCTTTCTTATGCAGCAGCTGGTGGCTACAATGATCTCCACAGCCTCTCAAATTCAGATGGAAAATAGGAGTCACTCGGCAGCCCTGTTAATAATGTATGGCATGGACAGGGCTGTGCGGCTGTGGACAACAGGTGGAGTGAGCCATGTGCCCCATGAAGCCTTTTGGTTATGTGCTAGGGATTACCCATGAGTCCTGGTGATTTACAAAGCACCTTTATTTAGCCCTTAACCACAAAACGTTCATCTCATCTCTTTCAATAGAGATGGCTTAAGTTAGCTGTACTCTTCTCGTGTCTGAGCTGTTGATTGATGAAAATAAGGTCCCTGCTCAAAGAAAGTTTACCGGCAGGCTTGCTCTTACCCTTTCAAGTTTTAAATTATTTATGTAATTAGAGTTATGTTTAAAGCAAGAACTGTGACATTTGCTGTGATCATGATCGATCCATTGTAAAGTCTCTGTATTTTCACAGAGAGGGATCCGACAGTCCCCTGTGATAACTTTTTGATCACTCAAGACCCCTCCTGTCTATTGATAAAGAAATAACAGCAGGAAAGTCACTGAGACAGTGGAGAGAGTGGAGTGGTCAGCCATTACAGTTGACGAGTGCCCTACCATGTGTTACTGAAGGAGATCAGCTTGTCCTTTGGAGATGACAAGGGGAGCAAAAATAGCATGCTTCCAGCCTCCCTTGTCAGTCAAGTTGGCGTGTATGTTTGTGTGGGGGTGTATGTCTTTAAGAGGGGGAGGGGTGCTTGTCTATGGACAGATATAACAGTTTCACACCTGCTCCTCAGTATATTTACTGAGGGTGACTTTAACACAAGTCTAAATTGGGGTCAAACTTACCAAGATACCCAGGGTTGTATTTATCCATTTCTATCTTGGTCTATATACAGAGTTGAGTTTTTTCCAAGGGTGTGCTCCTACTCCTGTTATTCCTTTTGAATATTTTGTTGATTTATTTTTTTACATAAATAAATCTACTTAACAGGAGTAGGCCTCAGCACGATTTAATGAACAAACAAAGCACCCACTTGATAAATTACTGTACGGTTGATTATCTGTATGCGCTGCATTGATTAGCTGCTCCATTTAAAATAAAAACTCTTAGTCTTTTGTTCCTTTTGTTTGTGTTTAAGGACAAATTAACATGTGTGGGCATGCCTGTATGTGTGGTGGTGTTGTGACTGGACATGGACAGAAAGTCCTCCTCTTTTCTTGATATGTGTGGTGTTGTGCGATTAGCTCGCATTTTGTCATATACTATTTACAGTGACACATTTTGGTGCAGAGCTGGGCTGTATCTTCTTTTAATGCCTCACTGTGTTTCAGATTCAGGTGCTTTCTGAATAGAAAAGCTGCGCTTGTGTTTCTTTGTGGTTTTGCTGCTTCCTAAACTTTTCACTTCTAGGTAGGGGTTTTCAGTTGTTAATGAATGGATTTGCTGTGTTCTGAGGACTGGATTGTTGTATTTGTGGCGCCTGATTTGCAGTTTTAGCTTTTGAAAGATTATGAGCTGTGGCTCGGCTGTGACCCTATGTGTTTTTGTGTCCTACAGAGTCCCTGCCCACTACGTCTATCCACAGGCCTTTGTCCAGCCCAGTGTGGTAATCCCTCATGTGCAACCTTCTGCCGCTACAGCAGCAACAGCTGCTGCTGCCACTTCCCCGTACCTTGACTATACTGGAGCAGCGTACGCCCAGTACTCTGCTGCTGCTACTGCTGCTGCAGCTGCTGCTGCATATGAGCAGTATCCATATGCTGCCTCACCAGCACCAACCAGCTACATGACCACAGCAGGGTACGGATACACCGTCCAGCAGCCACTGGCCACTGCTGCCACCCCAGGAGCTGCTGCTGCTGCTGCTGCCTTCAGCCAGTACCAACCTCAGCAGCTGCAGACAGACCGCATGCAGTAAAACCACTGAACTACCTTTAAGGAGGAAAGCAAGAAAGGTCACACTCGTACCATGAAGAGAGCAATTCAAGGCAATGGGAGACTGAAGAAGCTGAATGATGGATGTTGCTTCCAGGTTTTAACTTAGCAGTCCCTCTACCAAAGAGTCAGAAGAAAATCACCCAAAAATCTGGAGCATGAGCATTAAATGTAAACCTTATTCAAGTGAGATCAGTATTTTTTCACTGTGTTATACATAGAAATATTTAATATTTATTTAGCAGTAAAATATTTAATGTTAATTGAAGGAAACTCACTTAACTTCTTGTCAACCATTGCTGAATTTTGTATATATGTTGCTGTGGAGTTTGTTTAAAATTCCTTAGTACATTTATGTCTTATAATCCAGTTTCTTCCCCTCGACTTAGACAAAGGGAAACAAAATATTGGCATATACTTGAGAACAGCATGCTACACTTTCATGCTCATTTCAGTCTTTCAAATTTTGGAACAGTATTTTGTTTGGTAAAGCTATGCAGACACCGATAAAGAGGTCAGTGTTTTGTTTGGATTCTTCCTTTTTATAAGTGTTTGGAGTGAGATAGATTAGACACCATTGTGGTTGTATTTCTTTGTTAGTATGTAATTCAAATGCTGAAGTGACAGCTGAGAAGCACTCACCTTTCTTCCCCTTTACAATGCACCTCAAGTTAGCTTAGTAAAAGGGAAGAACCATCGTTGAATGTGAATCTCTCCTTCCCCTTTTCACAAATTGTCTCATAATGTGCCTTTTAAATTATGCTATTTATGTATTTATTATGGAGCCTTACAGAAAAACACCCTTTACTCTGTGTTCATGTTAGTATAGGCTTGCTGTACTACATGGACATGTGCTGCTGCATTATGATCGAGCATAGTAGGATGTCCAAGCTTGGCTGAACAAATCAAAACACTGTGCATAAAAAAAACAAGATGGGAATGGAAAGTAAGCAATAAGTCCATCAAGCCTCTTTTTTTCTAAAGATTAGAGTTTTTTTGTCTCAAATAGATTCTTAAGCCTTTAATAATACTTTTTTATACTTGACCAGTTTGATAAAGAAAGAAATGAAAAATGTTAACTTTTTAAAGTTTTTTTTTTCATTTGATGTCATTAGACAGCAAATGTTTACCAATGCGAGGTTGTTAGGTGTTACTCCTTGCACTTTGTAATGCATGTCTCAAAATAATGCAAACATTTATTATGTGAAATAAAAGTAAATTAAACTTCATTTCCTTCCTTGTGTAATGTTGGTTTTGCTTTTGATACATTGTGAACCCTTGCACTTGCACTTGTACTGTAAATGTGACCTTGTGTGTGTGTGTTTCTCTGTCCTCTGACACAACCTTGTTTAAGAGTAGCTGTCAGGTTTTCCCTTACCAGCAACCATCAATGACAAATGCAGTAAAATAATCTGTTCAACTATTTTTGACAGGTCTCCCAACAAAATTTACATTTACAGACCTAAAAATAGAATTATAAATAACGTCTTGGCTCCTCTGTGTCTGGTTGAGATCCAAAACTCAATTTCTTATTAGGAACACCTGTTAGCAAATCTCCACCACGGGCCCATCAACATGTTTACACGCATCTGTGAAACATGTGTTGTGACCTCTATGTAATGACAGAGGGGTCACGTGAAACCTGTGAGTTGAAGACCCCTTTCGAGGACCCCTCTAAGGTTTTCTACTGACACCTGCTGGCTGACATGGTTACCTCTTGTTATCATGCATTTTTTGGTTAGGGTAATGGTATTTCCAGAGCTGGCCCAAGCCTCAATGGGCCCCGAAGCAAAATTTGATTTTGGGGCCCTCTATTTCTGCCAATAATATTGATTGTTGATCACCCACACACCTTCACAAATCTCTTTGATTAACATTCCATAACATGCAAACATACCTTTATCTTGGAGCTTTTTCTCTTCTCTGCTCCTGAAGGATATGTCCATTTTGGCGACATTGTTTTGACCAACAACTACTACTACCAATTGTCTTGTCTCACATAATATGTCTCTAAAAATTATCTACTATTTACACAAGAGTTATAAAGTCTGATGGCTGTTGGTACAGAAGATCTTCTGAATCTTTCTGTCCTGCAGCGAAGAGAGAGGAACCGTCCACCACCATTAGCCCTTTGGTCCATCAAGGTGTTGTGAAGTGGGTGGTCCATCTTCTTTAGAAAAACATTAGAAGTTTATTATTATTCATTATAAGTTTTTACTTTTTTTAATTTTATTTTTTACAATAATGTATGTTTGTCATACAGAAAGCATCACTCATACATGCAAAAAATAAAAATATTACTTCTTTTCCCCCCATTGCTCTTGGGGGGGCCCTACTTTCCGCGGGGCCTTAAACAGGCGCTTCGTTTGCATATGCCTTGGGCAGGTGTTGTGCCTTAGAATGCACCCCTGCATCCCATCCACTCATTAGCTGCTTAAAGTGGAAGAAAATGATCTTGTATTTATAAAAAATACGAGTATTGGATCATGACAATATGTCAAATGGAGCAGCAAACTTTCGTTCTGTTATTATGTGTCTCAAAAATGCACATTTTCTACCCAAGTTGAGGTGTACTTGGGTCTGTAAACTGTACAGTAATCTGTCAAGGTAGAGAACATTATATTTTGGGGACAGCAAATATTCCAAATCAAAGGGCTATTGTTTTCGGCTTATCTGAATGACCTGAATGAAATCATTAAAGGCACACGCTTTTGAATCCATCCAACTTTCAGGAAAACTTGAATTATTTCGCCTTGTTGTGTACTTTCAACCGCGCTCCCGTCAGGGGGTGCATTCTACGGCAGGGGTGCATTCTATTGCACAACACCGGCTGTGGGTATTTCCTTTACTTTCCTCATGCTCTCGGCTTTCTTTCTTGGTGACTTTCACTTTCTGTTGAAGTGGTGGATTTCTAGAACATTCTTGGCCTCCTGAAAGTTCATCAGTCAAACCCTTTCATAATGCCTTCCCACCATGTCGAATTCCTTATCTCTTGTCTTGTGTAATATTCACGTCCAAAACTTATGAAGGAGCCGACAGGCATTTCCCGTCTGAAGTATTTAACATGAGACTAGCAGAATTATATACTTACGCGTTTTTGATGCAGACATTTTCTTAAAACATCAAAACTGTGATATATATAGAGATACTTGATGTGTTGAAATGTAACTTTCCAGTCTCTGCCACTCACTCGGTCCCCTGGCGCATGTTACGCGTCCTGGGGGCGGTGACGCAGAGTTAACGCAGACAGACAGTTTACTGGAAGTCAGAGGGAGAGCGAAAAAAATGACCCAAGCGGTTCCGAAGCTGCGATAAATCCACAGCGTACAGTTTCATTTCGGATCCAGTCGGGATTTACAGCACTAACTACAAGCAACGTAACAAGTAGGTTGAAAAGACTCCAGCTTTCCCTTCTCTTGAGATCTTTTGTTGCATCTCCGTTTTTCTAGTCCATCGTTATTGTTTGGTGACAAACATGGCTGTACGGTCCTGGACTGTATGAGCAGGCGAAAGTCATTTCAACCCGCTCTTCGTTACATTATAAGTTATTTCGGTTGTTTGCGTTAAGTAAACACGTTTAGTACCGATTAAATGGTCTAAATAACAGTGTCTTGGAGGAATGTGGGATTTGTGGCCTGAATGTTGTGTTCTAGTGGGCAACACGTCGTCGGGCATTTCCGGGAGATTTCGGAGGCACTGTCAAATTGCTGGTCACGGCCTCTAACCAGACATTTCTTTTCGACCTGATATTGGTTGCGCGTTTATTGCCCAGCACATAATGCATAGAAGAAGCTTTACTTCTGTGTTCGAGAGGTGTATATTTATTTATATAATATGTATACGCCGGAAGCCAGCATGGTCATGTGACCCTGTGACGTTTCAGCGTGTCTCTGTACGTTGTTTCAGGTGTTTATCTGGGGAAGCAAATAATAATTGTAATAATAATAAATGTATAGTAACATTTATTTATAAAGCACCTTACAACACCCGGAAAGATGAACAAAATGCGTTACACAGTCAAATACAGGAAAAGAAAATACATGACAAATGCCACAGGATATCATAACAATAAAAAGGTAAGAGAACACAGTCAGTCAATCGATCAATCAATCAATCAATCAATTTTACTTCTATAGCACATTTAAAAAGAACCACGGGGGTAGCCAAAGTGCTGTACATTGAGAGATAAAATAAGTAAAAAACAAGATAAAGCAGACAAGAATACATAAATGCACAAATAACTAAATAAATAAGCAGGCTCATGGCAAGTGCTATGGAGATAACAAATAAAATAACACTACAATGTGTTAAAAGCCATGGAGTCAAAGTGCGTTTCTAAAAGGGTTTTAAAACAGGAAGCGAGGAGGCCTGTCGAGGAGGAATTATCAAATGGCAAATGACACTAGACATTAAAAGCCTGTTTAGAAAGGTGAGTTTTAAGACGTGTTTTCAAGCGTGCCAGGTCATTGATAAAAAGTAGTTCAGGGGGTAGAGAGTTTCATAATTTCGGGGCCGTATTGAAAAGGCTCAATCCCCCCACTGTTAAAAATTTGTAAAAGGAACCTCCTACAGGGGTTGTTCTGAGGACCAGAGGGCTCTACAGTGTCGTCTAAGCTTTATACAGTCCGACAGATAGACTGTAGCAAGACCATGGATAGCTTTAAAAACAAACATTAAAAGTTTAAAAATGATCCTGAATTTAACCGGGAGCCAATAACAACACTCTGAAAATGGTAATGCATTTCTGTTAATCTATTTTCATTTGGATTATGATACAGAATTGCTTCCATATTTATCAGCCGTCAATCTCTTTAATTTTTCTTTCACTTTCGCTAACCTTTGATTTGAATGATTGTTTTATTGTGGGATTTTTCCATCCATTCTCTCGCAGTCCATTCGATCTCTATTCCCGACCTGAGATAGAGATGGCAACCGAGAAGACAGAGTACACTCCAGTACAGGGGGGACCCTCTGCACCATCCCTCCCCGGACAGCCAGCATTCCCTATCGGGTTTGACATGAATATGCCAGGCCCAAATATGTATGGAGGCCCTGCTGCTCCTGGTGGTCTACCATTCCCTCCACCAACTGCCTTTGGACCGGGTGATTCTGGTGTACCAGCTGGTCTGCCTTTTCCACCACCAACTGCCTTTGGACCTGGTGCTGCTGGAGCCTTTGGGATGCCAAGTGGTCCCGGATATAGTGACAGACCCTCTTCTTCACCGTATTCTCCTCCAGGCCCAGGCGGCCCTGGCAGCTACAGCGGTAAGTGTCTTTGATGTTGTTGTATTTTAAGTGAATTTACAATCATGATAGTAAATAACTCTTGTTTCTGCTGGTGCCATTGAAGATGGTATCTACCATCATGAGGAGGAACCACCACCCTTTCTTGAGAACCAAGATTTTGATTTTGGATTAGACAACAAAAGCATAAGAAGAGCCTTCATTCGAAAGGTAAGATGTTATATTTGAAGGAAGGGGAAACATCAGAATGGTTGGATGTGTAAGGATGTAGCCAGTGTATGATGATGTATGCAGCACTGTTAAAAAATTACGTGTTATGTGTTCTAAAACAAGAGCTTTAACTGTGCAAGAAATCCTAATGATTGGCTCAACCAAATGCATTTTTTTACACAGATTTTAAGTGAAATAGATTTTTACACATCTGCTCAAACGCAACCTTTTAGGTGGGCCTAATCGATAACTTTGATAAAATGTTACCACAGACATTATTCTGGTAAAGGTAAATGGAGCTGTACTTATAGGGCGCTTATTTAGTCTGTCAGATGAACCATAGCTTTGTTTTACCTCTCATCATATCCACCTGAGGCCAACAGAATTAAGTTAGTCCACTCCTATGCATTCATGCACTGTTGACTTTGTCAGAAAGAGTAATATAAAATTCGGTCTTGCCACTGAGGCATGAGACTGCAAGAGCTAAGATTAAACCGCCAACCTCCCAATTAAAAGAGAACCAACTGTACCAGTGAGCCACAGCGGCCCCTTGTTTCGAGAACAGCCCTCTGTGTCTCCTGCCTCACAGTCAACCCTTCTTCCCTGCAGGTGTTCTTGGTGTTAACCGCTCAGCTGATGGTGACATTTGCCTTTGTGGCCGTTTTCACCTTTGTGGAACCAGTCAAAGTCTTCGTCCAAGTCCACGTCTGGACCTACTTTGTGTCCTATGCGGTCTTCTTTGTTGCAGTTTGCGTCATCAGCTGCTGTGGTAGTGTTCGTCGACAACATCCTTGGAACCTGGTTGCATTAGTAAGCAAGCTCTTTTTCTTTGAAACAGGAAACAGAGGGGGGGGAGTTACAGCTGAGGAAGTTAAGTCTTATCTGATCTGGAACGTTGTCATAATTGTATAGACCGCCCAGTTTATTTATGATTTGTGTTACTCTTCCTGATTGAAAACCTGGATAAACAAAAGAATGTATACTGATATTGTAAACTGAAGAATAAGACTGGTTTCTTGCTGTAACATTTAGACTGTTGGTTTAGCGCTGCAATAATCGCATAATTTTACACAGATTGAATTCAGATTCAGCTTTATAAACCACTGTCACAGCTAAAAGAGTCGCCTTGTCTTTTCTATACCATGACTCTGCTCTTAGCTTCTGTGCAGCAGGCCTGATGTGTTTGTGTGTCTTGTTTTCAGTCCATCCTGACTCTAGCCATGTCCTACATGGTGGGAATGATTGCCAGCTTTCATGACACTGACAGTGTGATCATGGCAGTGGGCATCACAGCCGTTGTGTGCTTCACTGTGGTCATCTTCTCTATGCAGGTTAGTATCCGTCTGCTATGTATGTCCATCGTACTCTGATGTGTATAATACATCAATAACCTAAATAACACTCTGTGCCTCCTCCCACAGACCAAGTATGACTTCACTTCCTGTCACGGTGTGCTTTTCGTCTGCTTAATCGTCCTGATCCTCTTTGGCATCCTCTGCATCTTCATCCGTAACAGAATCCTTCACATCGTGTATGCTGGACTGGGTGCCCTCCTGTTCACCTGTGTAAGTCAGACAATCAGTTGTGTTATATAGGGTGATAATGACAGCAGTGAACAGTGTTTGGTGTTGTAATAAGCATATATGGGACTCAGTCATTGACATAAATTGGTGCTGAATGATTTTATTAGACACAATTGGGATGGTATTTTTTGGCAGTTTATCCCCGTTTCAATTTTACATAAATTACCCTGTAGGATTGGTCACATTTTAAAGACAAAAAAAAACTGTCCGATAATTGAAGGAGTACTTAGAGCTGAGTGAGTTTGTACATTTTAACAGAAGTATCCTTCTGTAAAGTTTGATATCTCTCAACAAATGACCTGTAATGTGTCTCTTGCCAATTTCCTTAGCACTCATTGTTATTTTATGGCTAAGGAGGATTTAAAGTTCGGATAATATCAATTTGCCTAAAATGCCTGGGAAGAAACCTGTGAAGTGCTTTGAAATAAGTCCACAGTGATTTAAAAAATATGAGTGTCCACAGACAGATTTCCTTCTTCTTGGAAGAAAATCACAAAACATGCTGCAAAAATGCTCAATTAAATAAATCTATCAAGGAAAGGGAGATGTTTTACTGCAGCGTCACACTTACAGCTGTCACTCATGGGTAGAGAACTGAAAGAGAAAAAGGTGATGTGAAACTGAAACACTTTTCTTTGATTCTCATGCATCAAGTTTATTTCCTCTTTTGTTATGAGATCTACTTCGGTTAATACGATGACCAGACTCATTTGGCACGTCTGTTGTGGCTATTTATGTACTTTGATGCTTTACTTGTGTCTTTCATACAATCGTTCTAGCCAGCAGATCAGACTGACTTAAACACAACCTTCAGTCCATAGGCATCGCTAACCTTCACTCAGTGGCTACAACAATAATTCACGCTGTTTCTATTGACGTTCATGTGAATTTAGGCACAGGACTTAGCTTGCCAGCCCCAATACGAAGTGGTGATTTATAGCTTGCTAAGTTTTCTTTACAGCCACAGATATAGAGCTGTTATGGCTCTGTTGCCCTTTGCATTAGAAATCAGAGAAAGTGAACCCTTCAATCCAATCTACTCCACACAAAATAAAACATTATAAATCGTGTTTTACCCCCTGCGTGCTCAAAAATGTATCATCTGTACATGGCACAAGTGAAGTCAGTCTCTCTTAATATTTGACGGGCCAACTCCTCAAACCAAGACCATGAAGAATGATGAAAACCTGATTTGGACTCTTTCAATTTAAAATTTGTGAGTTCAGACAAGATAACCGTTTAAACCATTGTTATTAATTTGTCTTTACAGTTCTTGGCAGTGGACACACAGCTGCTGCTTGGCAACAAGGAACTGGCTCTGAGCCCAGAGGAATATGTCTTTGCTGCTCTAAACCTGTACATGGATATCATCAACATCTTTCTCTACATTCTTGCTATCATTGGAAAAGCCCGGGGAAGTTAAAGAGGGGACCTCCAGATTTAACATTTGGTGGATTATTTTTCCCTTTTTGAGTACATGTCTAGAAGTGAGTTTCCATAATCCTTATTTCTATCTTGTAGTATACACTGACCATGTAGTTGAATATGTTTTGCTCTTCACTCTGTAAACGTTTTTTCTATGACACTATGAATAGTTGTCTGTGTTGTGTTTGGGGAGTTTATTAAAGTTTTATGAAGTGTATGGTTGTTGTACAAACCTTTCTGGTCCAGAATATGATGTGCTGTGTCACGAGGAATCTTTTTTAAAACATGATGAACTTAGTAGTCGTTTTAGTTTCATCACTTATTCTCTGAGGGCTTCTTGTCAATGTTTATTACTTCAGCAGATGAAGATCTACAAGGGCTTTAAACTACAGAAAAGCTTGTGAGTGGAGCTTGACTTGTGTCCTAAACTGTTGTTTACAAGTCCAAGATTAATGTTTCCGGGAGCCGGAAATGACGAGAAGAGCTCAGGAGTGCAGTAGATGAAACTCCAATAACTGCTAAAATTAGACATAGATAAATCTATCGCTATGACAACCAAACAAAACAAGAGCAGATGCAAACAAAGACAAGTGTATGAAACCCTTATGAAAAGATATTAAGTGTACCTTATGGGGAACTTTTGTTGAATGACCTTTTCAAGTTTAAGAGTAATCTTTAAGTCCTATCTTTGACTGTTTTTTCCTCAACATGATCTCTGTTTATGTTTAAAAACAGCAAGAAACTTTAAAAAGAAATCTGTTGTTTTGTTGTGATTTGCTTTGTTTCCATCACTACACAAAGTTTTGGTCATTTGCGGCTCAGCTGTGTTATTAGTTGCCTCAAAATGGACCTGGAGTGCACTGCAGCTGCCTTGCTGTCAAAAAACAAAGAACTAGAGCAGGAAAATGTCCAACTAAGGACAATGCTGGGTTCAAACAAAGAAAAGACCGACCCAAAAGCTGGGATCCAGAGCTTCAGGCACGATACTGCTGAAGAATTGCCAGGTACAGTAAGGTTGTTTTTTTTTTCAGTCACTAGATGGCAGCCAGGCTAAAGTTAAAGTTGTCATGTTACTGAAAGCAAGAGCAGTACTGACCTTCAAAGAGGGAGATATTCAAAAAGAATTGGCAATGTAATCAGATCAGTTTTGTAACTTTGTCTCTGACTCAGCAGTTTGTTTTTCACCGACTTCTTCAGTTGTCAAACATTTTTAATGCACTGTGTTTTTGTGTACATTTTATAGTTAATGTTAACTTGAGTAACATGATCAACAAATGTGAAGGCTTCATTGACACTTTTTGACACTGTCAGATTGATTTTAACATATGCGTAAAAAGATAGTTGAATTAAAAAATGCATTCTCCTGAGTAAAGTCAAAGTGATATATAATAAACACGGTAAAAACAAAAACAAATTAGTAATAAAAATATATTGCTGATAAGTTATGTCTGGTTAGAGTAAATGCAAAGAGGAGGATTTTAAATCACTGTAAGCTGTCTATTTGGCAGAGACACACCTCTCTGCCCTACGGATGACAAGATAAGAGCCGGCCTGTAATTGGACTGACAGATAACAACTGAAGAGCCTTCAGAATAATCCAAATGATCCTGTGACTCACAGTAGATACAAGTCTAGTGTTTGACTTTAGAGGAGGAGCTTTACTCACTTTTTAAATTTTTTCTTAATATTTAATTTGAGCATTTGTGATTTATTACCTCAGCTGTTTTTAACTATGTTCAGCAATTCTGAGCAGACTGTGACAAATTAGCTCTTTGTAAAAAATCACTCAGTTAAAACTCTGACTCTAGTGTGTGTCGTGCAAATCAAGTTCTGGTTGTGATCTGTGAAAAAGCTGTTGAAGTTACTGAGGTATGAGTAGAAAGGGACACATTTCTGTGTCTTTGAAACATCAACTCTGCTTGACATCAATAGAAAAGGATAACTGAATACATTTGCTCAACTTCAGATGGAGCACCATCCTGCTCTCTGTGGCAGAGCACCTTGGACGAGAGGAACTTCCAGAAAAATCTGCAGCCATCAAAAGCCAAACATGAACACCGAATCTCGTCCCCGGTTGACTTCAAGTCTTTCCTCCAAAACTCCATGTACACAGACGCAAGTGAGAAGGCGGAGTTTCAGAGCTGCCAGGCAGATGTTTCTCTGAATGACAAAGGTACATATATCAAAGTAAAGTTTAAGCAGTATGGATCCTGCTTCCTTTAAAGAATTTTTTTATCAAGTCATTATTTCATGGCAGATGAAGACAGACTGCTGGGGGAGATTGCCTTCCAGTTGGACAGGAGGATTCTCAAATATGTCTTCCAGGGCCACCGGAGGGTTTATGGTTTCACACTGCTCAACATAGCAGACAAGATCAGAGAGGTGATGAAGAGAAAAAAAGGCTGTGGCTTGAGGGAAATTTCTACTATTATAGTTCTAATAATTTAAGAAAGCAAAACAACCAATAATTTTTTTTTCCTATTGCAGGTCAGCACACATCCTCTGACAGGGAAGGTAGATGTGGGCTATCAGCTTCATCTCTCTCAGAGGCATGCTGAGCTCATGGAGAGGTTGAGTCAGCTCGGGTATAAAACAGCACTTCACCCTGTGTTCAACGAATTTATTGTCAACACCTATGGGCTCCTGACAGAGCGACCTAGTGCGCACAGCAGCTGGAATAATTTTGACTCTCTGTTTAAGGCTATTAAGACCAAAGCACCCAGCAAACTCCAAAAAGACTTGCTGCTTGTGCTTACCTGCCTCTGTGACATGGCACAAAGGGATGGAAAACCACTTCTTTGTGGGTAGACATGACTAACCCCCTTTAAATAAATAAATACAAAGCATAGTTGCATGTTATACGCTCTGATTTGTGTATCTATCAACTTTAGAGAAGCCATAGACACAATGCAGTTTGTCAAACTTGTACTGATTTCAAAAAGAAAACATGAAACAAGGGATGACTGTGGTTTCAGAGGAAGAATATCGATGATGTACAACAAAAGGTTAGAGGTGTCATGGCCTGAGGATCTCAAACGCCTGCTGTCATTAGAAGTTTGCTGTGGACCTCCCTGTTCTGTCATTTCAATGTTGAATAGTTCCAGCAGGTTAAAGAATCCTCTTCACCTCCTTTAGTAAACTACGTACTTATTTGTTCTGCTGTCAACATACTCCAGGAAATTCACTCTGGTCTTTAGCTTGCTCCACTGTCAGATAACTTAAAAAAAAAAAAAATTATATTAAGACTGTAAATCTACTAAATACAGACATATCATCTTCACTTAAATGCATCCATCTGTTAAAATAAATACATTTATTGAACATTTTTTATTATTATCCAACACGCTTTGCACTACATACCATTGAACTATTATCTTTAATCTTGTATATGTAATATTAAATAAGACCTTACATACTGTAATGTTCATGTTAATGTGGAGCAAAGTTTACCAAATTCCTTGTGTGTGTATGTGAACACATACCTGGCCAACAAATCTGATTCTGATAACAGGAAGATAAGAACATGTAGCTAAAACAGAAAGCAAAATAAAATATGTAGGCTTATTTTTCTTACAGCCTTTGATTTAAACATACAATTACTGTAAGAGTTGTATATATGACAATCAAAGGTCGACAATCCTGTTTACTGTAGTTTGTAGGACAGCTCTGATCACAAGCCCATAGTGATGTGTCGTTCACGAACGATTTGTTCAAAAGAACCGAATCTTTTAACTGAACGCACTGAACCGAATCACCTCCTGTAATTCGGTCGTTTCTCACATCAGTTGAGCTGAAGTGAGAAACGGTATTGCCAGTTGAGCAGCCGGCGAATGAGGGACCACGTGCACCGACACCTTAATCTTTTGGTGAACGAATCATGCATTAAACTACACTCTATGGAATCCTTTTTTTCCGGACAAAACGACCTTTTTTTTCACTGCTAAATTGCCACCACAACAACTTGCATACAATAGGACACAGCATGTAACAAGTAGTGCATTAAACCCGCAGCATCCTATCATTGCAGCGGTTTGCAAGGGAACTGTGAATGTTCAGTGTGAATTCTTCTAAACGTTCAGTAAACAAATCACTCACTGACCCCAACTTACCGTGCAGACCTGGTAAATAGCATACCATAGGACAGTACACTTAAAACATCATGACTAATAAACAAGTAAATTTTTTCAAACCTGTTTGTCAAAGCAACACAGCAAAACACTCTCGTCCTGGTCCCAGAAGCTATGAATTGAACTAAATCCTGAACTGTTCAGCTGTGTATCAGTTCAGGAGGTCGCAGGCTTCTCCTGCTAAATGATTCGGTGATTTAGTGAACGAATCTTTTGAACGAATCTTTTAAGTGAACTGATTCCAGTTATTCAGTACATCTAAAAGAACTACCATGCCCATCACTAGCTCACAAGCCCAACAGGTCGACTCAGGTTGTATTATGTACTAGGCAAGCCCGGCACCATGACAACGACACTGTGGGCGTGGTTTAATAATGGCATGAGCCGCCGAGAGCGGGGTGGTCATACGTTCAAGGGAGCCACTTCAATGAATCATCTTTGTTGTTTCTAGACGGGAAAATCTCCTATTACTATGAGGCAACCTACAAATAAGTGACGGAATTAATACATGGGTCTGTTACAAGTATGCGCTCATCAGACGGACTGTCCCAGTTTACGTGAAAAGGTAAGACGGTGTGGACTGCCACGTTAGCTGTGTGTTATGTGTGTAAGCTAGCTCGGACAGGTGAAAACTCACGGTTAGGATATATAAAATGTATAAGGCAGTGATTAAATGTAAGGTTTTGGCAGCCGTGTGGTATACCGATATGGGGATATGGGATATGAAAGTCTTTGATCGTTTAATGAGTAGAACTGTTAGCTTAGCATATCTGTCAACAGGCGACAATATCATGCTGACATCAGTCTAACCTACCTGTATGAGTGTCAGCTGATTTAGGGAGATGGCATGACTAGTTGAACATAGTCTATGAGATTTAATTCACACCTCTTTGTTTTGAAAGTGGTGTGGGGGGTCTGGAACTTCCCGGTTGTACTCTGTGAATGGCTGCTCCATGTGCACAAAACTCACTTTGAATCTTGCATACAGACAGTGCACTGATGTTAAAGGGCAAGTACACAGCAAAGTTTTCCTCTACTTATGTACAATTTAGCACCCTACGTTATGAATCACATGTCAATTTATATTAGGATTTATTTTATACTTTTTAAATAGCATTTGTAAGACTACTAAGTCGGTCTGTTGGCACTCACGGAAGTATAGTGATCATAATCAGGCTGTTTGTCTCTGGTCTTGTATCAACAGTGGTTGGTGGAGGAACACTGTGCGGTTTGCGACATGTTTGTCTCTGTGCCTCCTCAAAAGTCATCAGTATTGACTTGCTGTCAGTCCTCCTGATCCTCCTTCTTCTTGTAACCGTGCAGCAGAAATATCAGTTTAGCTGTCAGTTGCCTTCTGTTTTTTTTCACAACAGCATGCATGGACATGAATTCAATATGAAAATAAAAGCCAGTTATTCCTGATAACCTTCAGGGGAACTATTGATGCAGATTGTAAGACTAGAGCTATTTAATGACGTTTTGATTCATTTTTCTGTGTTTCAGTGTCTGTTGGAGCCTAGAGAGACTTTGCTGTGGAATGAGGCCGGACCAGTTCTAGACCAGTCTTGATATCTTTCTTCCTGATCACTGCATAGGAAAGAAGAACAAGAATGGCCCTGGAAGTGTCTCCGTTTCCGAACGAGTTTATTGCATGTCTTCATGCCGTAGGATGGGCTCTTATCCTGCCTTGTTTCTGGTTTCTTGATCAGCTCATTGCTGTTTGCAAGTCTACCACCTTGGAGCAAACCCAGCGACTGGAGCAGGAGTGTTACCTCCACCCCCTCAAGGTCGTCTTCGGATTCATTCTCTTCTTTATTCTGTTTCTTGCTACAGCCCCCTTTGCCTTCCTGGGATTTCTGCTCTGGGCACCACTACAGGCTGTCCGCAGACCCTTTTGCTACCACAGGGAGTTACCCTCCACAGCAGACAGCGAGACACACAGGGGCTTTGAGCTGGTTGGAAAAGCATCCTTCGGTTTTGCCACAGCCAACCTGTGTCTTTTGCCTGACAGTCTTGCTCGTTTCAACAACCTGGGGAATACCCAGAACAGAGCAGCAACCATTGGTCAGCGCATTGTGCAGGGTATATGCAGACCTCATATCCGTATTTTTGTTGACTCCCCCAGCAGTTGTGGTACTCTTAGCCCCTCAAACAGTATACTCCCCACAGTTAACCCATCTACATATGGGGCAACAGATAGACAGGCCCAGCCCCCTGCAGGTGACTATTCATACTCAACTGAAGGACATGATTCACTCCCAAAATCCAAGAGTAGTGACGGTGTGGTTTGTAAACCCTGTAATGATACACAAGAGCCCTTCGCTGAGCCACCCTCACCCCTTCACAATTCCAATCAGAATTCCAACCAGCAGGACAGGACAGGGCACCGGAGTGCTCCCCGAGCTCTGCTCTCTCAGGGTCTCCGCCAGCAGGGCAATCCACCGTGGGAAGTCTCATCTTTGTTTCCAGCTAACGTGGACATCCTGTGCCTGGAAGAGGTGTTTGATAAGAGGGCAGCGAAGAAGCTTACCGAAGCTTTGAAACCCGTGTTTGGACACATCCTGTATGACGTTGGTGTTTACGCCTGCCAGCCACCATGCAGCTGTTCCTCTTTCAAGTTCTTCAACAGTGGCTTGTTTGTGGCAAGCCGATTCCCTGTGATCGAGGCCCAGTACCACTGGTTTCCTAACAGCCTCGGAGAAGACGCACTGGCTGCTAAGGGGCTTCTTTCTACCAAGGTAGTTTGCTCAATGTCTTGTGTTGAGCCAATTCCAATTAAGACATGTCTTTTTTTTGTGTTGCACAATTTAATTAGACAGTTGTTACTTTTGTCATGTTGTAAAGAAAACGGAAATTGTATTTTTAATGTTTTTGTAATTTATAGGTGCTGATTGGGAAGAATCAGAAACGAAAGAGGGTAGTTGGTTATTTTAATTGCACACATCTTCATGCACCAGAAGGCAAGTCTCATTTTATGGGTCTTCTTGAATTAACTCAGAATTTGGTGGTTTTCCTTGACAAAAAAAGATTATTATGGTCTGTCAAGCTGATCTGTTTTTGTTTCTTATTATGAATCAGGTGAAGGAGAAGTCCGCTGTGAGCAGTTAAACATGGTTACAAAGTGGATCGGAGATTTTCAAGCAGCAAACAGACAACCTGATGAGGAGGTTGCTTTTGATGTGCTGTGTGGAGATTTCAACTTTGATAACTGCTCACCTGGTGAGTTTTTCTTTTGACACATAATGATTAAATAAATCATTACATTCAGCTAACCAAAAGTTCATTTTTTAACTTTAACCAATTTTTTTTGTCTGTCTAGACGACATCCTGGAACAGAATCATTGTTTGTTTGATGAATACAGGGACCCATGCAGGGCAGGGCCTGGAAAAGAGAAGCCCTGGGTCATAGGTGCATACTGTTTCTAAACATTTCACAACACCTGTGCTGTTGACTTATTCGAAAAATGCTGAAACTCATCTGGTAATTTTACCTGTTTACCTCTGAAGGTACTCTGCTGGAGCAGCCAACACTCTATGAGAATGACATAAATACCCCAGAAAGACTTCAAAGGTATACTGAGTCCAAACTTCTGGAGCCTCTGTGACACAGCATCACAGACACCTTACTTTTCTGACCAAAAAATATTACCCTTTACTGAAGCTGATGTTGAAATCCATTTTGTCTTCTTTGTGTAGAACTTTGGAGAGTGAAGATTTGAGAAAGCAGTACATTTCCCCTCCTGTACCTAAAAGTGGTCTTCCCTTGGTTTACCCTGAGGCTGGTCAGCCATGGATCGGACGTCGGATTGACTACGTCTTGTACCGGGAAAACTCCATCTCAAAGCACTGCAAAACAGTACGTGTCCTGTGCTGTGTCACTCTCTGTATCTCTCTCCTTCATGTGCTATATAAATAAACCTGGATTGGATTGGATTTATCTCTTTAAAGTTTTAAGTTTCTTTGAGATACATAGTAGACATTGATAAAGATAAAGATAAAGTAGACATTGTCAGGTTTTTCTACATGTGGTCTGAAAATACAAATAATTTTCATCAGAGCAGCGCAAAGCATCTCATACAGTCTCACATTCTTATTGTTTCCATACAGGAAATTGAAGAGGTGACCTTTATTACCCAGCTGGCTGGTCTTACAGACCACATTCCTGTGGGCTTGAGACTGAATGTAACCATGGACACCGACAGGGCTGACGAATGAGGGCTAAAATGAACACAAAATCTTAAAGGGAACAAAATGTGCAAAACTGTACAATGCTCTGACCAATTCTGCACAGTAAAGCTTTTCTATATATTTGATTTTATTATTTTGATAAATACCAATGAGACAATGCCTCAAATACAGTTTTATTCAGATTTTATAATGTTTACAATTTTATACATAGAGTTGTGTTTTTAACAGAGGTATTGATTTTTTAATACAATTTATATGTAGGATTTTTCATTGAAAACTGTTTTCCTACAGAAATAAATTTTAAAGAGTTGATTTTATCCCATGTCCCTTGTTTTTATTCTTGTCATCAATTTTATCATGCATTTATGCAAGTCTGACACAGTAACATTGCTAAAATCCTGTGCTACATAAACTTAATTGTCATGATCACGAAAACAATCAAGGTCTGGCTGTTCAAGACATTTTCTTTAAAAAGCATAATAAGCAAGTGTGAGCAGGTAAACCACATCTACTATTTTTAGGATTTCAAATGTATGTGACTTTTGGGAAATTGTGCAAAACTGATTATGGATCATTTTAAGGGTTTTTTAGGAGTATTTCCAGGCAAAAGCGACGTAAACGACTGGAAGATCTGCACAGAGCCGGCCCAAGGCATAAACGAACTAAGCACCTGCTTAGGGCCCCACAGCCAATAGAGGGCTCCCAAGAGCAATAAAAAAATAAATGAATATTTTTTATTTTTTGCATGTATGAGTGATGCTTTCTGTATAATCAAATATATATTATTGTAAAAATAAAATAAAGTAAAAACATTTTAGTTCTGCTGCTGATGTAGGCCTATGATTCTTACTGCCGATATTTCAAAGCTTCACTACCGTTATGTGTCTTCTGCTGTGCAATGTGCACTGAGCATCCAAAGCGCAGGCAGTGGTGAATCAAAACAATGTCGCAAAAAAGGACATATCCTTCAGGGGCAGAGAAAAGAAAGAAAAGAAGAGAAAAAGCTCCAAGATAAAGGTATGTTTGCATGTCATGGAATATTAATCAAAGAGATTTGTGAAGGTGTGTGAATGATCAACAGTCAATATTATTGGCAGAAATAGAGGGCCCCAAAATCAAATTTTTGCTTAGGGCCCCACTAAGGCTTTGGCCGGCTCTGGATCTGCAAACCTTACCCAGTTTTGCATGTTAACCTTGGATGGAAGATCGTTTCTGTTTGCGGTCTGTAGGGGGTACTCCTCATTCATTGTGGGCTCTGCAACAAACGAAGAAGGCTACCGACCAATCAGATAGCAAGGACGAAATCCGCTTCCTGTTTAGGTTTCACTCGTGGGTCTCCTGTGCAGTGATATTTCTAAAGTTAAGTTAAAATAATGAGTTTTTTCTGTCGCTCCAAGATACTGCTACCATCGGCATTCAGAATAAACACTTTACTGGAACACACCCGGTGTTTGAAAAGCTTCAGCTCGGCCTCTAGAGCTCTTTACAACAGTCAGTGTCAGTCTCGGCGTTTCACACCATGTTTGTCCTTCTGTCCGTTTTGGCATCATAGTCGACATTTCGATAAAAGACTGTATTCAGAGCTGTGCGGTGAAAACAGTATAAATAAGAGCAATAGTCTGGTGCAAGAGGAGTTAACCGAGACAGATAATGACTACAAAGACTCGAGACAAAGTAAGTAACTCTTACTTTAGCTGTTAAAGAGACGCTCGATTAATCGGTTAATCCGACGACAATTGTTCGATTAATTTCCAAGTTTTGTAAGGAAGATGTATGGTTTCATTTTTTTAAGCTGTGACATTTAATAAGTTGGCTCAGAAATGAAAAACAAAACTTACTATCCTAACTTGACAGAAATGAATGGATGTGTTTGCCTACCCTTCCAAAAACATGGTTAAAGAGATGAATTTTGCTGACCGCTTGCTTCTCTAGTTGTACCAACTTTAGTAACTACCGCAGGATAGCAACACACAGCGGTCTTAGGAGCCATAAACAAATCTCAACCAAAACACCATGAAATGATAAATGATCATTAATGTTCTTCCTTGAGCTGCGTCACCCTGCAGCCGTCCGTTACGGTGTGTTTGACCATAACTTAATTTTACGCCGCAATATCGCTTTAATTCTTGATCTTGTCTTCAGAAGTTTAGTGATGTACTTGATTTTACTACTATGAATATGATATTCTTTATTTTGCACAGTGGGTTTGTTTAGGGTGGGGTATTTCAAAACTATCTTGAGAATTGGTTGGACGTTTTTCATTGAAGTGCAAGTCTGACATTGAAAATCTAAATCAGTTAGGACACGTATCATTATTAAATGAATTCAGAAAAACACTAAATTGTCACATGGTTTACATATAAATATGGGTGATGCTTTTATGCACTGGGGGTCATGAGTATTACATGCTGTTGGATCCCCAAATTTTACTAGGGATTAATAAAGTATCTCTCCATGTCTCTATGTATCTATCTGTACATACATACGTCCATCCATCCATTACAAGTGAAACAATGCAGCAGGGCTACATAGCCACACTAAATTTTGCAAATTTTTTTGTCCTTTTTTTCAGGATCTCCTCAGTCTTTCACTCTTGACACGCTGGTGTCCCTGCTTCGTCAGGAAAATGCAGTGGACATCTGCGTAATTAAAGTACCAGAGCAGATCAAATACACCGACTATTTCATAGTTGTCAGCGGCATGTCACCAAGACACCTGCGTGCAATGGCACTTTATGCCATTAAAGTGGTAATTTGTTTGATCTTCCTGTTTTTAAATCATGAAATGGATAATGAAAGAATGCAAATTTAGACTAATGATGATTTTCTTGTAGTACAAGTTTCTAAAGAAAGAAGATGATCCACATGTCAAAATTGAAGGGAAGAATGCAGAGGATTGGATATGTATTGACTTTGGTATGTAAAAGTTTTAGACATCACAGTTTATCTCTGATGAAACAGTAACAACAAACTAACATTCTTAGTTGAGCAGCTGGTTTTCCCCAATTTTTACAGCTTCTTTCTGTTTTAGGGCCCATTGTTTGTCACTTCATGCTACCGGAGAGCAGAGAAGTATATGAGCTGGAAAAACTGTGGACTCTGCGCAACTATGACGAGCAGCTGAAAAGCATGCCAGCAGAAACACTTCCAGAGGACTACATCTATGATGCTGAAAAGACTTAGCTCTTTCTTGAACGCTTGGTGTTCAACTTTTGCTTTCCCTCTAAGGGAAAATAAATAATACATTTCTTAAGTACAGGGCCAGAAATTCAGAAATGTAGAAGATTGCATCCACGTATCAATCACGACACATATATTTTGGATTTGTAAAACACCATGATTCGAATCAGTTGGTATTTGACCATAAAGGAAACTGCATGTTGTGATGTATTTTTATGTTTAAAAAATAAATTATTTTCATATGAATTTGGTTATCTATGATTATACATATGTTTATATATAGTATGAAGGTGTTTCGACCCAGGCACATATTGAGACAAATTTAAGATGGTAGATAAAATACGGTGTTGGAGACTGTGCAGGATAAAGGAGTCCACCACTTAAAAATGACTGTGCTGAATCACTGGACCACTGCAGTGTATTTCTTGTGTCCCAGTGTCTTACAAATCCATGAGGGCTGGGCACTTAATGTGCATGACACAGATAAAACAGCTTTTAATCAATTAATAGCTTTTAAGCAATTAATCGATTGCATTTCTTATTAAAAAGTCAACCAAGCACTTTAAGTGTCAACCTATTCAAAATTTGAACCAAGTTGTTGCAGAGTGAGTATTTCAACCCATGTGCATTCAAATTGAATAACTGTGAGGTTTTTCATTTTCACTAAAAGCAGTCATGACTAAGGCTGGCTCTTCCCACTCACCCCTTTTTGTTAGATCACTGAAATCCTTGATGAATCATTTTGATTTAAGATACAACTGAAAATCACGTAAAGTGCTAAAACTAAGGGCACAGTAAAGCTAATTTCAACCACAAGTGCATTCACTTATCTCATTTAAATGTTTACATAGTCTGAGCAATGTGTTTGCAAAAGGCAAGTTTGGTGGACTTTTTTTTTTCCCTAAAGAAGTAATCATCACACAGGGTTATCTGGACAGACTGCTTCACTTAAGGCTTTCAGATAAATCAAACGAGCGAAAAGCTCCCTCCAGATTGGCAATCTGTTGGTCAAAGTGTTAGGTGTAAGAGAATTCACTTTGCACTTTGGTGTGCTTAAAGTTTGTTTTTTTGTGAATCTGTAACAGACATGGATGTTCTGCACTTGGCCAACTCAAATAGCTGCTCCAGTCTGCGGAGTCTTTGGTAGATACTTAACATTTAAGATACCATGCTACATTAGGGCATGAGTATATCTATTATCGTCATCAGTTTTATGGACTTGTAAGTCCAGCTGGATGAGAACATTAGTAAAATGTGAAAAAGCAATGAAGCAGGAAATGCCAACGTGAAGCCTTAATATGTCCTCTTTGTGATTGTGCTGTTTTTATTTGCTGGAAATGAAAAATGACTCACACCGATTTGTTTGAACAGCTTTATCTAAGAGGATAAGGGGCTTTTAACCCTTTAAAATGCAGCAATGTTGACTTAAAATAGCTGTTTATTCTAAAATATTTTAAAAAATTAATATTGGATCAACTATTAATACAACAGCACCATTTGTCCACAATATTGAAATAATTATTACATTTATGTAACGAGACCATAGTGGAATGTTAAATCCGGCTGTTTTCTGGATCTGGACTTTGGACTCTGTCACAAACTGTGTCAAACCAACTGCATCATAGTCGAATAACAAAATTATCCTCGAGGGGGGCAAGTGAAAGAAATTAGGTACGTATGTGTTTCACTCCAATGTGTGCAGGGTGGCTCATGTTCTCATTAGCCACTCAGCCATTTTACCCACTGAGGTGTAGCCTTTTAACGCTGATGGTGTTATTATTCTCTGTAATGTTAAGAAAATAGAGCTTCCTGAAACTGCCTCAGTGCAATAAGCTGTTAAGTATCACATTTGCAGGATCAAACTCGGGGAAAAGAAGAGAGTCTTTTAATTTCAATTTCAGTGAGTCCTGCAGGTGGGTCAGCACTTGGCTGCAGTCTTTGATTCTCCCTCAGTGGAGGATGTTTATGACAAGTATTACCTGTGAGCCTGTTGACATTATCAAGCATGGCACTTTAAGGACTCTGTGCTTTATACACCTGGCCCTCATTTTTCAGCATGTACTGGTGCATTATCAACCATTGTCAGTACAGCACATGAAGTATTTTAGTAATAAAGGTATATTTGGGCCTTTGTCAAGTAAAATACCAGTGGATATGAAAAAATCCAGTTAAGAAAGGTATTTAGCTGTGATAATGTGTCTTGAATCAGCTTTAAAGAGACAAGCATTTTACCAAACAAAATTTTATTCTCTATCTCCAGAATAGCAAATGACACTTTAATCTGTCTGTCGAAACTGTTTTCAGAATACATATATCATAATAAATATAGTATATGTTTTTGTTGAATGCATTTTAGTGTTGAAGTTTTTGGGTTGTGTGTACTTGACCTGCAAAAGCTTTGCTGTCACAGTGGAGTACAGTTCTTATCAGACTGTCAAAGGAAACAACGGCACCAATCTACTGTCAAATGTTAGAACAGAGTGCTCTTCAAAGAAAATAGATGCCATTAAAGTCATCTTACCATTCAGACGCTGAAAGCTTTTTGTGCCCTCTATCAACTGGGATTGAAAACGTGTAGGTTGGAGCAATTTACTACCCTGTCTTGTATGGTCTCGAGTCATTTGTAGCTACGCTTGTTGCTTTTGCACAAACCATTTGGACATTGTTTCAAGACAACCACGTTAGTAAGCAGCATTTCAGTCAAAGGACAAATGTTGTGCATGCATGTAGATAAGAAATCTGTGAAGCAAATAATCAAGGAAGCGAAATGAAAGGATTTGCATTCACAAAATTAATCAATGAATGTGATACTTGTGATGGCATTTATCCGTCATGCTTGTCTGGACAAGATAGGCTGGAATCAGCATTTAAGAGATTCAGTTGCCGAAATCTCTCCTGCTGTCATCATCTTGCAACAAGGTCGATAGCAGGGAAATTAACATGATTATTTGGCTAATGGTATAATGTTAGCAAGTAGAGAAAACCTTTCAATGATTTAGTGAATTCACTTCGGAGTCATTACCAGCATGAGAAGTCTCAATAAAACTGATGACGTGTAACCTTTAATGACTGTAGATGGACTGTTGTTTTCACATTAAGTTGAATTATTTTAGAAATCCCAAGATTGTGTCAGAAGAGGGCAAGTCTGTATAACAACAACAAAAAAAATTCAACTTATTCCATAAGATTTTTAAAAGACGGAAATATGTTGTACAGTTGTTTCATAGAAAAGGGTAGGAACTGTGTGTGTACATGTATATTTAAATTCATATGTAAAGGTCAGATAATGTGCTGCAAATTTGGTATATTGATGAAGTTTATGCATATTTTTGGAGTAATGTAATTCCACTCTTCAAAATGAGCTGTGAATACTGTAAAAACAAAATTATGTAATTAAAATGTAGGAATGATTAAATTACATATAAATTACTGCCATAAACTGGCACTGCTGTTAATCTAAATCAACTGAAAAACAAGTCCAACATAAAAAAATCAATCAAATAAATAACATTCACATGAATCAAAAGCTTACAGACCTTGCATGTTTTGGTCTTCTTATACTTTTTGTCCATTTGTTTCACCGCTGAGCCATTTAAGGATCACTAAACTAATGAGGCAGTAGAAATTTCTCAGGAGTGCCCTAAAGTGAATGAAACCCTCCTCCCTCCCCATCTGACACTCGCTGTATAAAACACAGCCAATGCTGGGAACTTGACAGTTGCACTGAACACAGTGAAAACCAACTACAGCGATATTTGGTTCAATTTTAATGTAAGTTTTCTTTTCATCTATCAATTGAAAGTCCTGTTTTTTAAATTTAACTGTTGGATTTGGCAGCTTTTGCAATAGTGTTTTAATCCAAAATGGAGCTCCTATTTCTGATTTTGCCTTTGTTACATCCTCGGGAAGCCTTTTTTCAGTACGCATTTTGACTAATAATTTTCCCCATGATCCAGGTTTTCCTCAAGCTCGGTGATGATGCTGAGCATTGTGGCTCTCTGCCTGCTGGCTTGTATTCACTCTGGCATAAACGCATATCCAGTCAAGCCTGCTGGTCCCCGGGAAGGTGCACCACCAGAGGAACTCGCCAAATATTATTCAGCACTAAGACACTACATCAATCTCATCACAAGACAGAGGTTAGTTCTTTTTATTTTGTAAATGATTGGGGATCAGGGCAAAATTTTGTGGCACATAAATGCTTGAATGTGTTGTTTCTCTTTTTATGAATAGGTACGGGAAAAGAGACACCCCGGGTACTGTGTTTTCAGATGAGTTGCTAAAGGAGAGCACAGAGAGTTTTCCAAGATCAAACTACGACGGGTAATTGTTTCAATCTACAGTGCTATGTTGCTTTTTTATGAAGCCTGTTTTTTTTTAATTTTGGTTTAATAACTTCAATTCATAAAATATAGTGCTGTTTAATGCATGAAGAAACATGAACATAAAGCTGCGCAAATTTGCTCTTAATCTTAGATCATGACAGGCATGCAATGATCTTCATCATCCAAGCAGGCTCTATTTAACCAGTAGTTTACTTATTTTACTTGACCTTTATTTAGCCAGGTTAGTCCCGTTAATATTAGAGATATCTTTTTCAAGGGAGACCTTCCCAAGACTGGCAGCAACACAAATACAGTGAAACCCAAATAAAAGGTCACTTCAGCTTAAACAAGAGCATACAGAGAGCCTGACACCCAGACTTTTAACAGGAAATTTGCATACATTCGAGCTAACTAAGTTATGCAGTTTAAAGTCAGTCTGTGGATTTTCCCAGGACTTTCGGAAAAATACACAATACAAAAATTCACTGTAATAAACTTCCTGGGGGTGATCATTTTATTTAAACACAAAAATGTTCCTTTAAAATGTGTATTTGTGGTGTACCACATTTTAATGTAACGCAAAGATGTCTCTGGTGTATTGCTTATTTAAGAGAGTGGTAACAAGAAAGCATCCTACATTGTTTCAATGTTTGCCAAAAAAAAAACACTTAAATTTGAGGTGTGACTTTCTTGTGTTGTAGGTATGATGGACTGCCACTGTGGTGATACTGCTGGAGATCTTGGTTCCAGGTCGACTTTTTCACAGCCTCGGCTATGTCTAATTCTAAGTTACATGAATTTGTACTGCATGGAATAAACATTTCTGTAATGCAAACAATTATGTCTGATGACAACATTTTTTTATAGGTATACTGTTTATCCATTATTATCCGTTACTGAATTTCCCTTCAGGGATCAATAAAGATCTTCTTCTTCTTCATTATCTAACTTTCTCAGTCTGTTCAGTATCATCCTTCACTTTGCAGCCTATCTTAGTAACCACACAGTACCTACACAGCATGTTAATCAGTGTCTTAACTCCATTCATGGTGATACAGTGCTCTCTACTGGTGAGCAGACAACAGAGAGAATTTTCAGGTGGGGTTTATTCAAAGCTTATGGTTCGTGTTTGTAACTAATTTTCCATCCAGCAATGAGTAAATAGAAAAATAGCTTAAAGTGGAGAACACCATAGTGTTGTATTGACTATGTGCACCTAAGTGAACCTGCAGCCAGACCGAAAAGATTACCTGTTTAATCCAGTCACCTGACCTGGATACATCAAACACAAATCCAGCAGCAGCACTACGAGTCTGATCAACTCTCTTGTAAAACTTGGTCCAAGTTACTTATTGTCTTTTACTGAGTGTACTTCAACCTGGTTTTCTACAAAGGAGGCAGTTGATATGTGGTGCAGATGAGATTATTCGTAGAGTAGGTATGGGATATTACTAATGTTATTTATAACAGCTGGAGAACCATCTCCTCCTTATGGGGTAAGTGTGTCCCCATAGTTTTATTCTTAATATGTTTTGTGTGTCTCTGTGGGTTTGTCTTCTGTGCAATAGTACAATTACTTAATGTGTGTTTATAGAGTGTGAAGACAGTGAACTTGCATTATTATAAAAAAATATATATATATATATATTTTTTTTTTTCATTCATACCACACACCTTTAAGAACCACAAATACCAAGTTTCAAGACATCAGACTGTAAACACATAAACTTGAGTTCAAAAACAGACCATGGATAGTATCTGTGTCTGAAAGGTCATTTCCTTTGGTTTCAAAGAAAAACTGCTCTCGGAGAAGCCATGAGAGCTGTCCTCAGTATTTTTCAGAGCAAATTTGGGTTACATTGGGTGGATGTGTAGTCCAGATCTGCGCTGAGATAGATGTAACTCTAAAACCGCTGGATCATATCATTAGCATAGCGCTGCCTGGACGGGGAAGCGAGGGGAAGGGGCGCAGCCAGGCTCCAAATGCTCTGAGAAGAAGTTACTCTTGTGTGAGTGATAGGCTAATTAGACATTTGTAAAAGGATGGCAAGACTTAAAGCGTGACTGGACGTGATTGTTCCATCAGGTAAAGAAGAATTCCTCTATTTTTTTCCAGACACTTCAGCAGCGGTCCCATCATGGGACCCTTTAGTTTGGCTGCTGTTTGAACAGCTAGCCTCAGCCTCAGCTAGCTAGTCCGAGCCACATTATATTACTGTAAGCTAATTGCTAATAACTTCGACGTGCAGCTGGCTCTGCCTCACGTCTTTTCCACGCAACAAGCGGCGTTTGCCATGTTAGGCATCTAAGTTATTTTTAAGTTTTGTCACCTTAGTTTGTCAGACTGACAGTCATAGTGACTGTGAGTGAAAGCACACGGTGGTATTTGCTAACAATAATTAGCATGGCTAACTTGCGTGCAAATGAAAACCGAGAAGTAGAAGCTAATACTTCTTTGGCACCGAGTGAGCAATAGTGGCATTAAAGCTAAAGATGGCTTCACATTCGTGTAGGTGCAATTGAACATACCCCAAATAACTTTCTTGAGTATTTTCGCTTTTAACGTTTATCAAAGCTAATGATAAACCAGTGGCTAGTGATCAATTTGGACACACGTGCCCAGTGCGCGTGTGCTCTGACAGCCGACCACAGCTGAAATGTTTCCCGTACACACATTTAGTTTATATACTCCCAACAAAGTTTGACCGACTGAGAGTTTGTGACTTATCCACCGCCATTGACACCTGGCTTTCCCTACCTACCCGGTATCTCCTCGTGTGTTTGATGGAAGAATTAGTAGGCGGTGTATCTGTCACTAAAAAGAGTTGATTCATGGATCAAGAATAGCCAATAAGAGTATCGCAAATGACTGAAATGGGGCGAATTTCTCTCGAAAAACAAAGACATTTTCATTTTTTACAGTTCTAATGAAGTTTGGTAGCCATTCCCATTCAAACTGCACTGTTATAAAACCAAACCTCATGTTATGAAGTTATCAAGGCGTCTTCCATCTTATTTCTAATGTAACGTGGACTGCAGTTACCAAGTGTCACATTTGATAGGGTTTTATTTATAGTATGTGTGGTAGAGGATATTTAGGGTGGTATGATTTTTAAATATAAGATCTCACACTAAGGTATGTGGTTACACTTTAGTGTTTGACAGACTCAGAAGATAATCAGATGACACTCACCACTTCAAAACTGGAATAAAAATAACTTCTCATAGAATATAAAGGTTTGTAACTTCATGCTATCATTTTCTATATGATCTCCACTAATGCGGCACTTCTTTACCAAAGTTTCTTATTACTTCTTTTAAAAAATGATTTAAAATTGTGGCCAAACAATGAATACTCAAATTTACCCCAACCCAACCCCTCATTCCCACCCCACGATCTAAATGCAACAGAAACAGTAGCATATTAAAATGCATAAACTTAAAGAAGGGTTTGATTTTGTGGAACTAGGAGTGTGCGCACTAAGGAAACGTCATTTTCAAACTCAAGATAAGGAAACACTGGAGGTTTAGGTTAAAATCTAAAAGTAGCATAGAATGAAATTTAAGAAATAAAAAATAAAATAAAAACAACAGTGATAGATACTAAAATAAGAGCACCAAAATAGCTCAATAAAAGACAATCATGTCATTAAAACTAGAAGAGATAAATGCTAAAACACTTAAACAGAGTTAGTGATATAAAAGTTAGTTAAAAGCAAGACTAAATAGGTAAGTTTTCAGTTTGCTTTTAAGCCAAAGGTGATATTGTTGGGCCGTGGTCATGTGATTGACTTGGCCTATCATAACAGTGGCTGCAATACAATGAACAGAAGATGTCTGGACAAAAAAAGGAGTGAGGTTGATAGAAGCATATCTATTTACATGAGCTGCTGTTATCATCATCTGGGACTGTTAAGAAAACTGTTTTTATAATTATTACGATTTTTCTTTTTCCTTCTCTGTTTAGTCCTGAGGTACCAGTGACTGTCCTGTGGTAGGACACGCTCTGTGTTGTCAAAGTGCTGCATTGATGATTTGAACAGTTTGTGGGTGAGTTTTTGCCTTTCTCATTACTTTCTTTCTCTGCACGATTTCCTGCGTTTTTCATGTCTTTGTTGACACTTGGTGGACTGAGAGCAGCGCTGTTCTCACCAACCTTGAACAGTTCACAGCTTAAACTTAAACAGAGCAGCCTACTCCAAGAAATACTTCTATTTGTCTACACACCCACCAAGGCATTTGTGGGACTGTTTTTGCCCAACTGTTTGGAAATCATGTTTGTACAGTGTCCCCACAGGCCTCCCTGTGTGCGGCTGGCACAACCTTTAGCTAGAATGATGGGAGACCAATCCTTTGTCTCTCAATGGCCCTCTTTGTCATCCCCTCATTTCATAAGAGCCCTCTGTCCTAACATGCATATAAAACCTCAAAACAAACGTTTTCTGTGCTCATTTGTGTCCCATACCCACAAACTGTCTCTGCATTTGTTGTGAGTAAATAACAGCTTGATAAATTTAATCAACTTTGCTTGCACAGTGTCCTAGCATACAGTGGCTCATAAACTGACACAAGCAGGTTTTCTGCCTCCTCCAGCACCTCCCGTTGCTCTGGATTTTGTAAGCGGGCAGTTGGGCAGCTTTTGACCGTGTTAAGAGAGTTGCACTGCCCTGAGCTGAGGAATATTAAACATGACTGTAGCCAATGCAAAGTCTGGCACAGGTAAGCTGTCAAAGATGAAGTCCTGATTAATTTTTGTTGCAGAAGCTGTTGCAGTAATGTCGCCAGTACTTCAACATTTTTATTGTTTCATTGAAATTTAAATGGTCTAGTTCCCTCTGCCCAGAAGTAGCTGTGTGGGTCTGTTTACCGCAGCGTGTTTTGGCTTCCATAATGAATGCATTATTTCTGTAAATCATCCCATTAGATCTCTACTTTGACATCTATTTCTCGGGAAAACAGACTAATAGGCTGTTTATTCCTCTGAAAAATAGAAAATCAAAGCATGATAATTACAGTAATTACAATTCTTTTGTTTTGAGCTGGCAGATTAATAAAACCGTGAGCTGTATTCATCAGAGTGTTTGGCTTCAGCTACTTAATGTTTGCTCTCAGCCTCTACGAACAAGATCTGTAAGGAGAACAATCCCCTAGTGCCCCAATGTGCTTGTTGCTGCTGCAATGGAAATAAGGGATGTTCTCTGTGAATTGGCCCATTGATTGACTTTCCCCTTGGTGCTCTTGCCTCGTAAGCTCTTGTTATAGTCACACTGTTTCATTGTTATTCAGGGTCAGACTTTGCTTTATTTATCACTAATACTTCTGCCTGCAATCACAAATCAATGATTCATTTATTCATAAGGAGAAACGAGAGTGATTTACATGACTGCTTTGCCCTTCAGCCATGCAGCAGGTACTGGACAACCTGAAAGACCTGCCTTCAGGCACAGGAGCCAAAGATATCGACCTCATCTTCCTCAGAGGCATCATGGAGAGCCCCATCGTCCGCTCCCTCGCCAAGGTAATGTCCTCATTAACCGTCCTCATTTTGGGCCAGTTTTGTGTAGTACACACTCAGTGGACACACATTCACACAGATATGCAGACATAGTGTTGCAATCTCATTAGCTGGTTATCGACCTCTAGCTGTAGTTGAAAGGAAGAGTGAATGAATGAGCCTGTGGAGCTGAAGGTGTAATAGGTGTCACATGCCACTTCTCTTCCAAGTGGACTGCTTGCTCTTCTCTGCTCACACCATGAGGTTCGACAGCATACTTCGACCAGTAAGCAGATGATGAAGATGTGTGTTTTTCTGTTGGACTGTGGATTAATTTAGGTAGATTTCTCTCTTTTAATGTGCCACCTTATTTTGTTAAGTCATTTTGCTGTGTGCTTGTTATTTGGACATGGAGGGTTCAGTCACTTGCATGACATGTTTCTTAAGCTAGTGTCTGGCTTAGTTGTCCTTCAAAGAAGAAAGACCCAAACACAATATTTGCTTTGTTCACAGTGGTACAGCATACCTATTGTAGTTTAATTTATTTTTTCCAAGAGTGTGTACATCCCTAAAACTCTTGTATTTGCTTAAGGTTGTCTCGACAGAAAACGTTTCCTTTGACTCTAATTTGATCAACCTTCATATAGTTTAAAGAACAAATGACTTACATAGCAGGAAGAACTACTAAACGCAGATTAAGGTCATAACATATCCGTGAATAGATGCATCAATAGAAAGGTGTCACAGAGGCAGACTCCTGACCTCATTTCCAGGAAGAAGGGCTCTGGGTTATTACTTTTTTTCTTGCTTAATGGCCCGGTGTGAAGTCTTCAAATAGGACAGCCTGAGTGATTCTCACATACTCGATTGTGTTGTAGAACTGTATTTTCCATTATAAAGATCACAACAAAAGGATATTTTAGGGCTGTCTTTCTCGATAATGTAACATACAGTTTGTGGAGCAACACAGCAATAGCTGAAACCATATAGTGTTACACAGAATGTAGGGGATTCACCATGACATGACTTCTTTTTCCGTTGTTATAAAACTAAGCTTGAATGTAACAGCAACACTTCACATAAGATTTTTCAGTGAACTTTAAGTCATAATGTCTGTGCTAGAATGAATTTCCTCTTATCTATTCACTTCTTTTTCATCAAAGTCAACTCTATGCTCAGTGTCGCTGGTTAAGGTGTGCTTTTAATGGTTTCTGAAGTGTCTTGATTGAACGAAATTCAACACTAAAGGCCAAAGCTATGAGGGAACAGGAGCTGGGAATTGAAATAAACATAGGATGCAGAGAGGCGGCTATAGAGAGAGTGTGAAGTACCACCATGTTGTGCTGGCCTCAGTCTCATACAAGTTAGGGTGCTGCATCAGGCTCATCTCTTTCAGTGTGTCTAACCAGATTTTGTAGACACGTGTTAGATGTCACAACTCTCAGTCATATTTTTTTTCCTTTGTCCAGACGTACATACATATTGGAGTGAATTTTATAAAACTGTTGTTCTGTAAATAGCTATTTGTGGTGTTCCTAATGAGACACTTGTTCTAGATGCGAAGCAAAAACACATAATAATTTGCTTTTACATCTCTCATACCAAATTCTCCCCTAAGATGAATAAAGTATTCTGATTCTGATGATAGCCAGACATATGATATTGTTGCACTGGAATTCTGCCAAGAGTCCTTTTTCACCGTAGTTCAGGGAGGTGATGTTTTTTCACAAACTTGAGAAGATTAAGTTTATTATCAGGGGCTTACAGCAAGAATTTCTTCATGTCTGGCGGCCTTTTATAACTCAGTGCTATGCACTGTTTACCATCTGATTTATAAGTGGAGGTGTATGCCCTGTCTTATATTGTCTGCAGTTTCTTTTGTCTGGTCCAACGTTAGTTTTTTTAAATAAATATTTTTCCCGTTTTCTGTTTTTATAACAGTTGTTATTCTAATTTAGATTCATATACACTGTTAATCAAAGTTTCTATTTTGTATGTTTGTATGTAATGTATACTGCCCTCCTGTGTTAAATAAAAAAAAATTGGTTAGAATATGAATTTTTAGATAAGTGCACTGTTTTACCTACCATCCACTGAAATCTTGTGGTTATACAGAAATTTGGACAAGTGGCCATTATTCAAAATCATGTCAATGACATGCACATACTGGACAACATTTGTAGTTTTATTGTTTCAGCCTTACACTTACAGCATGGGTTATCTGCTGTAAACACAGCAAGAGTCATAGGCTCAGAATTTACCAACCAAAGAAATCAATAGTGTAAGAGTTCAAACCCTCAATTCTACCTTGACCCAGACTTTTCCCATGTTAGTGCAAATAAAAATACAATTACAGCCTGATTAAAAGACATTTTAAACTTCTTCATGTCTGTGTCTGTGCAGGCTCATGAGCGTCTTGAAGATGTGAAGTTACAGGCTGTGCGAGATGATAATGTTCAGCTGGTCACAGAGATCCTGGATTCCCTCAACAACATGCCACAAAAGGATGCTGCCTCTGCAGAGCTCGCCAAAATCCTTCAGGAGCCTCACTTTAAGGTGTCTTAGACCATACCTCGAGTTGACACTGTTTGCTGAGAGGAACCCGAGCAAGGAGACCAAAGATTTGTTGAATAAATCATGTAGCTTTGTTCTACTCAGATGGGAATGGATGTCAGAGTTTTTTACTACATGCTTGCTTAATAATCCGAGAGGCGCAGGAGGTCAGGCAGCTCTTGTCGCCCTGTATATTCTCAACCACTTGCAAGCTGTGGCATGGGGGAAGGGGTGTATTTTGTTTGGCCAATAGCAGGCTGAGTTATGTGGGTAAAGTCAGGGAGAGAGTACTGTGTCCACTTGTGTTTCAGAAAATCTCCACATTTGCTGATGCCGTTTGTAGCCTGACCAATGCTAACTCTTTGTTGTAGCTGCAAGGGTAAGAACAACGCTGACTTATCTTTCAGTTTAGTTATCTGCCAGTGCAGCCATGAGGGTGTAGGAATGTGCAAGGACAAGGAACCAGCATTTTTACCTCTTTAAGTTGACAGTACGACAGTTTGTCTAAAAAATGTAAAAGTACTTTTTACCAGGTTTCTTGATTACAGTTTCTGTCAACCTTGATTTCTCCTATTTCTGTCTGCATTTCTCTCACCCAGGTTTCTTCTTTTTGTTTTTCCTCAGTCTTTGATAGAGGCTCATGATAAAGTCGCTGCAAAGTGCTATGAAATGCCTCACGCTGCGGTGAACAGTGATGCGTCTTTGAAGAGTTCTCTCATGCCAGCTGATGCTGTAAGGATGATTGGCATCCAGAAGAAGGCCGGGGAACCACTGGTGAGTCATTTCTATCAACTACAGTCTTGCAAAAGTAGGAGACTGCTTGGATAAAAGCACGACTTGTAAAACTATTGACGGCTGCAACCCTCCTCTGTTAGACCCAGTCTTTCGTGGTGACTCGATCTGAGTGTCATCTCGGACTCACACGCACATGCCGACCAACTTGTGAAAAAAAGCTCCTGTTTGATTTATGAAGTGCAGATGTGTTACTAAACAGGCATTTCTCTCTTTCAGGGGGTGACGTTCCGCGTGGAGCGTGGAGAGATGGTGATCGCGCGTATCCTGCACGGCAGCTCGATTGACAGGCAGGGAATGCTGCACACAGGGGACATAATCCGCGAGGTGAACGGTCGCGAGGTCGGTAGCAACCCCAGTGAACTCCAGGAGCTGCTGAGGGACTGCAGCGGGAGTGTCACTCTCAAGGTCCTACCAAGCTACAGAGACACACCAGCAACTCCACGGGTAAGGAGAACGAGGGTACTTCTACCTGCCAAACTTGTCATGATTAAACGTGTTTGAACTTGGATAAAATCTTAAGATCAGGATGAACATGAGGTGTTCTTGTCTAAGCTCCACTGTGCCATGTACATAAGGCTGTTTAGAGTCATACTGTACTAGTCAGGGATTGGCAGAGAGCTGCCTGACCTGGATGATCTCAGAATGCCAGGCTTCTGAAAATTGAGCTCAAGGAAGGACTATAAATAAAGCTCCACACACTATCTGGGACATACACCAATCTATTCACTGGAGCACCCCCTCTCCTTCTTACAGTAACAGACAGGCACACACAGCAGCTGACACTGAAGAGCAGTATGTAGGGTTATGTCAGATCTTGACCTTTGTGCTGGGGAGGATCCATGATCTCATTCAACTGTTTGATTTTCAGCTTGTTGGGTTTTGAAGTTGTGAAATCTGCGTGAAGGCAGTGAACAAAATCCACCTATTCCTCTGATACGTTTTGTGAATAAAATTTCAGCTGCTTGATTTGAAATAAAAGTTCGGCACTTAAAGAGATGTTTAAAAACCATCGAAATAAGAACCAAGTTTTCTTTTAGCTCTCTCTAACTTGAACCCTCTTCTCATCCTATATCACAGATTTATCTGAAGCCACACTTCAACTATAATCCAGCCACTGACAACTTGATCCCTTGTAAAGATGCGGGCCTGGCCTTTTCAAAGGGAGACATACTACATGTAGTTAACAAGGAGGACCCCAACTGGTGGCAGGTGAGCAAGTTTTATTCAGCAGCACAGAAGCCAAAAGCTGTTAGAGTGGGATAAAAAGATGGCAGGATTTTTGTGTTAGGAGTTTTTTATTTCAGGTTTATGTCAAATATTTTCTCCAGTTTTTCTAGCGCTTGTCTAATTTATTCTGATAGGCATGTAAAGTTGTCGGTGGAGCCGCAGGTCTCATCCCCAGCCAGTTTTTGGAGGAGAAGAGGAAAGCTTTTGTGAGAAAAGACTTGGATTCTTCTGGTACAGGTCAGTAAAAACTCGGCTCATTCTCACAACCACTCACGTTCAGTCAGAGAACCTTCCTGTAGCGACCCCTTGTGGTCATTTTATCTTTTTTTAATTTGTCACAGGGATGCTCTGTGGAACTCGAGCTGCAAAGAAAAAGAAGAAAAAAATGATGTACCTCACCTCTAAGAATGCAGGTGTGTATTCATGCTGGTCCACACTTGTAAGAGAGTCACCATCAAGTTCATGGTTTTCATTTAGCATGTGTTTCGCCCTGAACAGAGTTTGACCGTTACGAGCTGCAGATCTACGAGGAAGTAGCCAAGATGCCACCTTTTCAGAGGAAAACACTGATTTTGATTGGAGCCCAGGGAGTTGGGAGGCGGAGCCTAAAGAACAGACTTATTGTCGTGAACCCTCTACGATATGGAACCACTGTACCCTGTGAGTATTCGAGACAGTGTAGCTCCATTAAAACCACAGTGCAACTAATAGCACTGATTGTACTACCATCAAGACCACCTTGTGACATGAAACATTGTTCCTCATCCAGTCACCTCCCGCCCTCCGAGGGAAGAGGAGAGAGATGGACAAAACTACTGTTTTGTGACACGAGAAGTGATGGAGAAGGACATCAAGGAGAGTCGTTACTTGGAGCACGGCGAGTACGACGGGAACCTTTATGGTACCAACATTGACTCCATCCATGAAGTGGTGGACGCAGGTCGAACCTGCATACTGGACGTCAACCCTCAGGTCATTCAAAGGCACAATCTCTCATTATGTAGACGTTATTTCCACCCCTTAGATGTGGTTGTGATGTTTATTTCCTTTCCCAGGCTCTGAAAGTGTTGAAGACTGCTGAGTTTATGCCATTTGTGGTGTTTATTGCTGCACCTGAGCTGGACACTCTAAGAGCTATGCACAAAGCTGTGGTTGACGCTGGACTCACTACCAAACTACTCACAGTAAGTTTTTTGAGAGGATCCCCAGTTCTGATGGACCATTCAGTGGCCATTCCTGTTATCCTCATGAGCTCTCTCTTTGTCTGAAACAGGAGAACGACTTGAAGAAGACGGTTGATGAGAGTGCCAGGATCCGCAGGGCGTACAGCCACTACTTTGACCTCACTATAGTCAATGACAATCTGGACAAAGCCTTTGATACGCTGCAGGAAGCAGTGGAGCGGTTATTCATAGAGCCACAGTGGGTTCCAGTCAGCTGGGTCTACTGATACTTTACCCCCCCTACTGGACTAACAGGGCTGTCCAAGTCTCCAGGAGGACACCTGAAGGGAGGGTTCAACACTGTACTTTAAACACGGACAAAGTGTGGGACATCAGCCCTGTGTGAATTCGGGTCTTGCACAAATCTGCATCAAAAGCTGCATCAAAGCTGCGTCACCTTGATCTGAATTGTCAGATTCTTTTAAGCACACTATGCAACACACAGGAAGTGTACTTATTTATTGACGAGATGTTTTTTAAGGAATATGTTCTATTCATGTGAATTGGAAGAAAATACTGGTCTGTGACGGTTTGTTTTAGAGAAATGCAATTTTTGTCATGTCCCGTTTTAATTTTCAACCTGTTTGTGAGACAAAGTATATTTATTCTGCAAAGATGAGGAGGGCTTGCTCATTGAAAAGATCAATACCTCAGTGTCATGGTTTACAGTGGATATGCCTCCAGTAATTCACCATATGTTCTCAGTAATTTTACAAGCTGTCATTTCAAACTACAAACTCATTTATTCAGGATAGTTTTGAAAGACGTCATCTGTGTTTCCTTCGTCTTTGTAGTTCATCCACATTAATGGCCAGTTCCAGTTTGACATAGTACAAAAGTCAGAGTAACACCTTAGAGTTAACCCATTATTTCTGTGTCATTCAAGCACAACACATTACATTAATCACGTTGACATTAGAATCATGTGAGTATTTGATTGTTCAACCCATCGTGGTGCTTTGTGTTTATTGAAAGAAAGAAAGACTTTCCACAGAACTCTTGAACAGGGTACTGCATCTCAGTGAACCATCCCTTTTTGATGTGACTTAACTGAAACTTAATTGTTTTAGAAGGTTTATATTGACTAATAAAGATATATTTTACAAGATGTTAGAAAATAAGTATTTTCAAATGTCGAATAAACATGTGTTTTCTAACAATGATTTCCTCTGTTTAAATATGAACTTCAACATTTTACAAACTGTATCTTTTATTTTTGTACCATTCAGGCAAACATACAAAACAGATACAGATAAAAGTGCCGAGGTAAAACATTTTCTCTTGTTAGCACTTTTGTATCCAACTTTATCAAAATATAAAACCAGAAACTACTCGACTACAAAGGCTAAGATGTGACAACATGCTATCAAATTGCATTAAAAGGCCTACTTCAGTTTTTTTGCTATGAGGTTTGTTGTTGAAGGAAAAACATCAATTAATTTAAAGATTGTGGTTTTGTGTAAGTGTTGTACAAAATTAAAAAAAGTACTGATAAATGGATCTGACAGAGAAAAACAAAGACTGTCAGAGAAAAACGTATTAAGTCAGTGAAGGTAAACGGACGGTAACCCATAGCATGAGAATTAGGTTTCCCTCTAAGACTAACATTTGTTAAAGACAGTTTTAGTAAAATATTATAACACTGACAAATGCAATAATATAAAGTAAGGCTATCAAACAATCAATCAGTGGAATATTTGGTACATTTACTTCTTTGGCATTACCCCAAAAGAGTACCAGGGGCCATTCATTTGGAATGTTTATGCTGAACAATTAAAAGAAGTGTTAAAAAAATACTTTAAACATCAGTTCTGATGAAGTTGGTACACACTGACAGTAAATGCTGACATATTTTGGCATAAACAGAAGATTCTCAGATTCAAAATATGGATTGTTTAAAGAGCTTGTAGAGTGATACACTGTACAAAGCTGATCAATATACGGCTGTTTTAGATTATGATTTTCTCCAAATACCATGTCTTGACCTGATGAAACCTGTCACAAATGTCACTGGTCAGTGTTTGCCAATTGACTGACCTTCTTATCTTAAGGTGCTTCAGCAAAGGAACAGGACAACGTTTTCATTGTACAATAAAACAAAAACAAAGATTAAAATAGTCTTAAGTTTAACCTTCTTTGGCTAATGAGGCAAGACCTTTGATGGCAACGCACAAAGCCAGAGTATGGTGTCCTGGTTGTTGGTGTATTTCAGTCTTCACAGTGTCTCCCTCTCTCTTCAGGGACACTCCAGCAGAGGCAAATAGGTGTCTAGTCTTTTCATAGATGTCCTCTGTCAGTGCAGCCTGACCTGCACTGCTCAACTCTCCATTCCGTGACATGCAGGACACCTGAAACAAGTGTAACCGCAACATAAAGAGAGGTGATGCTTCAGAAGATTCATCAATTGTGTATATTTTTTTAAAATCATCTCAGGGACTCACCATTTCCTCCAGAATCTGTAACTCCGCGTGATTGGAGCACATCCCCAAGCTAGCATGATATTCATGAGGTATCTCTGAAAGACAAAAACCCAGATACCAAGATTTTCAGATACTGTGCACACACTCTTGACCTTGAGGTTTTTTTCTCAAAAGATTGAAAAATTCAAGCGATTCTCACTTAGATTAAGTTAAAATAGATGCTGTTTTACTTTCTTACCATCAATGGCGCTGATGACGAGGTGAAGAGCAGTCAGGACAGAGGTGGATTGGTTTTCCTGAGCGGCCCCCGCAGAGTTTTCCAAAAGGTCCAGAATTGCTTGAATGTTCTGTTTATCCGAGTCTGTGGCTGTACATTTATCCAGGGCAGGTCTTCCATCCTGACGCATCTGATCCAGCTGAGGCAGAGGAGGACATGTAGACATGAATGCTGATAAAAAGCACTTTATCTAACAACCTTACGTCTACTTTTGAGTCCATTTCCTGTCCATCTTACCACAAGCTGAAGTGAACTGACAGCTTCTTTGTGCTCCATAACTTTTGTGATGTTCTGGAGCAGAGAGGATCTCGTGGTGGGTGGAAGAGTAGAAAGGAGGTTGAAATGATCACTCAGCCGCTCCAGCTCTGCCAGTGGTAAAAAATCAAAAGGTACAAACTTTAGCGTTCAACTGACACAACTTTTGCCTGCAGCAGGTCACAGAAATTGTAGATCAAAGTGAAAATTCGTAAAAGTTTGACTAGATTAAAAAAAAACACACTCAGAAAAGTAAATCAGCCAAGCCACATTTTGGTTTAAAAATGATCATAATCAAGTTTTTTTTGCACTAGACCTAAGTTTTTTAAACATTATGAAATTGATGGGCTCTTCTGAACATCTTAGCTGATAAAACCATGATGCTGAGAGGAAAAGTTGAGGGGTAAAAAAGTAGTTCACCTTCTCTCAGGTTTGTATTCTCAGAAGAAGTCAAAGGAGCTCCTGAAACAGCCACCAGTTCTTCCCCTGTAAGGCCATCTACTTCAAAACCTCCGTCTGTGTCCGACATCAGACACAGCTCTGTGCATAAAAAAAGATATTTGATTGCAGTTTGTGTTTATTACTTTCAAATCAACAGAGAACTCCTGGGTTAATTCATCATTTTAGAAAATCATTCCTCACCAAAGTGTCCATCATGTTTGATCTCCAGTTCTATGAGGGCATAGGCGATGGGAGTAAGGATGGGAATCTCCATGGTAACATTACTGTCTTTGCTCAAGCTCCCATTCTCCTTCAATGAAACCTGCAAACATAAGATGATACTCAGTAATTACACAAGTCACATGTAGACACTTATACTCCACCATCTGATTTAAAAACTTGAAATGAGTTCAACATATTGATACTCTACTTTCTCCATGTACTGTGATAGTTCACAGCTGCTAAAAGAACTGAAACATTCTCAGAAAAGTCGCATAACTGGTGAGGAAACTGCAAATCATTGTGAGGGAAGTACAGCACAGGGAAATTGAGCAACATCATATTTGAGATTGTGCTTTTTCACTGAATATCAGTGCAGCTAGTTGAAGACAATCACAGCTCTGCTTGACAGAAGACCCCAGGTGTGACACTGTGTCTGAACTACAGTCCTGAGGCCTACAGTATTAAGTTACAGCAGTAACTAAATAACCAACAAGTCACTATTTTTGTCATAAGGTGGCTTTCATGCTCTACACCATAATTTGCTAAATACTTGATGTTAATTGGTCAGATCCCCATATAAGGATTCGATTTTGCGTATCCACCTGCTTACTGTACATTACCCCTTACTTAGAGCTCCTGTGAAGAACTTTTGGTGTGTGGATTTTGTTGCCCCTTGTGTACAAAGTTATTTTTTCTGATTTTGTTCTGATCGTACATCCTTTTCCTCTTTTTAAAGTCAAATGTATCACACATCAAGAGTCTTTAAAGACAGCTGTATCAGCAGCTTTTGGTTTATAAATTTACTCTGTCTACCACCTTCTACCACCAGATTCAGACATTAAAGATGACCCCGTAGACTTAGTTACTTCTTGTTAACAGTCTATTTTCATCGATTTTTCATTTTAGTCTGTTTAACTTTCAGTTAAAAAAAACACTGATAGGAGCTTCAATCATTTTGCTCTTCCAACTCAACTGGCTCTGCAACTCCACTGTCGCTGAGAAACATATGTTCACTTCATTTGCATCCTTGTTACTTTGTCTATGTCAACAATATAGATCAGCAGCTACTGTGTATCATTCAAATTTATCAGTTTTTTTCTTGCAGCCTCTAAAATAAACATCCGTTTACAGTTTCTTTAGTTGTCTGTGTGACTCAGAGTAGCCAGCTGGATTAATAGTCATGGGTTTTCAGCTGTATCAGTCATAAACAGCATTCAGAACATCTGCACACAGTGTTGAACATCATATCATGTACCTTGGGGCCTTTGGGCTTGCAAAGGGTTAATCCTCCTCCACACTGTCCCCCTTGCTGTACATCCTCTATCACCGAGCTGGGCTGGGTGGTTAAAATACGCTCCTTTACGATTCCAAATATCTGTCTGTGTTTCTCCATTGTCTGCTGGACCAGATCATGGGACATGTCCAAGAGCCTGGCGCAATGGAATCACAGAAATGTAAGTGAAATGTGTCATTGAACACTGGTGTGGATAATTAAAAACTACCTGAACCATAACATAAATAAAATGTTTATAGTGTTAATATTCAACCAAGTGTCCTGTCTTGTCTGCATCTTTATGGTTGGACAAAGATCACTCCAGCCTGTTGCAGATCTGTACATCAGGTGATGTTTACAGTTCATGGTTGTTTATTTCAACTCCATCAGAGGCGGGGAACCAACCTGCCTTTGGAGTCTCGCAGCAGTTTCTGAACATCCAATTCTTCTTTTCTCAAGCTGCCAAAAGATGACTGGAGTTTTGTCGAGTCTTCACCCTCCACATTAAAACTGGAGTAATCCGAAACATTTGCATCAATGGATCCATGAATTTTGTCTCCGTATGTCCCGTTGTATTTAATGAAGTCTGTCTCAATGACAACTGTCAAAAGCAGAGCATTTGTGTCAGTCACATATCACTTTATTTTATAGCACTTTTCATACACAACATGTAGCAAAAAAGTGCTTTACACAGAAAAAGGAATAAAAGAAAATAAAAGAAATATATACATATATATATATTTATGATCAGCTCTTACCTGGCGTTATGGGTGTGTCTCCTGTTAGGATATCATTGAGGTTAAAATCTGTGGGAATATATTTGGGCTTCTGCCAAATCCAGAAACTCTTGCGCTTCACCACAACAGTCAGGAGTTTAATGGTGTCATTCAGGCTCGACACCGGGATTAACAAACCTCCATTATCCACCTCCTCCACAAAGTTTCTGGTCGCTGTTGCAAACATGTCCCAGCACACCTGTGAGGGTCGTAAAACAGACAGGTAAGGAGACGACAAAGGAGGACTTGTTTTGTGTCGCGTTAGCTTATCCTCAGGGTAAATAGCTGCCTCTCCAAACGACACCACATATCTTTATTTAAACACGTCCTCTACAATACAGAATATCCTGCAAAACTGAGAAAATTAATCATATTGTGTGTGCAGACCCATGCACTCTTAAATGTGCTTTATCTGCAAGCTAGTTTCATCATCAGACTGTCAAGAAATCGGAAGTTGCTGTAATGTATAAAAGCAAAACAAAACCTCCAAACAATGTCTAAGACTTACCAGAAGTCCCTGTTTTGGCGATGAAACAAGCAAAAAAGTTTCTTTGTGCCCAGACTAAAGGAGAAGACAACACTTCCCTGACTGAAGACTGAAGCAGCTGCTGCTCTGCTCTCTCTCTACACGAGAACAAAACACAAACGCCCCGCCCTGCCACCTACAGGACACTGTCGGTACTGCAAATCATCATAACGTCATTAAATATAAATAATGATTATAATCTGAGCGATTTAAGCAGGCATAGATACTGTAAAAAAATACTGTAAATAAAATTATCGCTGGGGATGGTGTCGTCTGAAGTTCCAACAAACACAGAAGCAAAGACCTGTAACACATACTAGACATGACTCTTGAATTATTAGTGAAACAAAACAAAAAAGAAAGAAGAAGGCTTGTAGTTTTATAACAGCAGAGGACATGTTAAACTTAAACTAGAAGGGACAATAGCTTAAATGAAGCTTAAACTATTAATTCATTAATAGAGAGGATAGTTTATTTATAAATTGTCCTCTACTGCCACCATGAGGATAGACTCTAAAACAGCAGCAAAGCTGGTTTATCCAGCAGCTTTTCATGATCTACAGATCAACAAATTCATAACATATTTCAGGCGGGTGTCATTGTAAAACTTCATTTCAGCCTCTATCTGAGGTGCTTCATTTAAGCTATTGTCCCTTCTAGGACAATGGAGGCATAAGTCCTCCAGTGTGGGGCAAGTTTGTCACAGCCTTCTCCCACTGGATAATAGGGGAGAGTGGGGTAAGATGAGCCATCTTTCATATTTCGGATCACTACATCAAGGCAATCATAGTTTTGTCTCTAACTAGTGTATCTGCATATATTTCAAGATGTTGTGCATCCCTGCAAACCAACAGAATGAGTGTAAACATAACTGTCTTGGTAATATAGCATGCCAAAAAAAGTGGTCTCCCCCCGTGTATGGGGTAAGTTGACCATAGGAGCAGGGTAAGTTGAGCCAATACAACTGAATGAGTAGGCAGAATAAGGTGGTGGGGTGGTCAGCACTGATTTCCTGAAGTGATATTGTTCTGGGTTCAAATCTTGGGCCAGGGTTATTGTGTAATGCAGACATGCAATCCTCCCCTCATAATATAGCTTTGGCTATGGGTTTGTGGCACATTTTTAATGATGTAATGAAAATATCTGAAAAGCATTGCCAGGCAGGCCTGTGGCGTAACAGTCAGCACAACGTCTTCAGCTGAAAATCCTGGCCCCGGGGTTTCATTTTCTGACGCAGACATGAATCTCTTTTAACAGCGATTATAAGCTGTGCTTTTAATGCCTTGTTGATATTGTGTCATCAAAAGACCTTGAAAAAGTCAAACATAAGGCCTCAATGACCCAGCAATCAAACCAACCCTGATATAGAGGTTAAAGTCCTCGTCACTGCTGTGATTCACAACTATGACACTTTGCCATATGTCTGCCCTCGCCTTCTACTCGAAACATCTCTATCTTGCTGTCATTTCTATCATATTAGTATTGATTCCTCATTCAAACTTTGCATTACTATTTATTGATTAATTACATGACTTGTTCAGTTCAGCATCAAAGGTAAAGAGACATCATTTCTTTAAGTCATACCATCAAAGTTGAGCTTGCTAGCCAATTCATAATTCTTTCCACAAAGAAAAACAAACTGATATGTTGATATCAAAGTTAAGTCATGTCATGTTTTGTTCAAGAAGGGTCTATGGTTAGGTGGTTAAAGTCTTCTCATGAGAGCAGATGGGTGGAACGTCAGTCAGTAAAGAGGAGGAGGAGAAAAGCATTTCTAGAGAAGTGAAACCCAACAATGTGATGCATCGTGAACATTCATATCCGATCGAAGCAGTTCAGTTTGAACAGTAAATCAGAGACAGCGCACAGAGCTGGCATCACAGAAGGTAAAGTTCAACATTCCTGTTACTCTCTGTATTTTAATAGTACTCTTATTGTAAGTATTAGTTTTGAATAACTTCAACATGTTGACACTATTATGTTTAGTTGTGTTACTATTATGACATATTTTTTTGAATTTCTAGACTTTAATTTGTAGCCTCAGTCTGGCAATATCAAATCAGAAATCTGCAGAATAAGCTGCCGTTGTTAGTTAAATAATCACAACTGTGCAGAGTTTCTTCTAACTTCTCCTCTCCTCTAGATATGGCCACAGACAGAAGTTTCCCGTCTGAAGATCAGTTCCTGTGCGCCATCTGTCTTGATGTTTTTACTGACCCTGTTTCAATCCCATGTGGACACAACTTCTGCAAGGCCTGTATCAGCCAACACTGGAAAAATCAAGAGCTGTGCAAGTGTCCTCTGTGCAACGAGAAGTTCAGCAGAGGGCTCAAACTTTGTGTCAACACAGCTTTCAGGGAAGTTGTAGAGGACTTCAAGAAACAAAACTTACTCTCCAACAACCAGTCTGTGAAACCAGGGCAGGTGGCATGTGACTGCTGCCTTGGTAAAAAGTTGAAAGCCTGTAAAACTTGCTTGGTGTGTTTGACCTCATTTTGCGAGACACACCTCCAGCCACATCGGGAGGTGCCTGCCTTAAAGAGACATAAACTGACCAATCCTGTGCACGACCTCGAGAAAAAAATATGCAAGAAACACAACAAGATTCTGGAGCTTTTTTGCAGAAACGACCAGACACAGATTTGTGTCCTGTGTACAGATCATAGTACTCATGAGACAGTCCCTTTAAAGGAACCATATGTAGACAAGACAGTTCGGATGAAAAAGACAAATGTAGAAGTACAGGGAGCTAAACAGAGGAGTGGAAAGAAGGGCAAGAAGTCCAAAATACTGGCCACAAGGAAAGATGAAGATGAAGATGGAGTAATAAAAGCCGCTTATCGCTTCTTACCTGGAAACATGGGCATTTCTGAAGGAAGATACTGCTATGCAGTTGAGTGCCCAGGTGGGGACTTTGTGTTAGGAATAGTCAGAGAGTCCTTACTCAGGAAACATTTAAAACCTGACCCCAGAAATGGCAACTGGTTGATACTGCTGAGGGATGACTGTGACTGCTGTACGGCTCTACACAAAAACCCTTCTACCTTTAAATTGATGAGGAAACCAGAGAGAATTGGTGTGTTTGTGGACTACGACAAAAAACTGGTGACTTTCTTTGATGCAGACTCTGGGGTTGACTCTGGGGTTCCTTTCTTCTCTTTTTTAAACTGTGATTTCCGGGAGAGGGTCTTTCTGTTTTGTGGAAAGAGAGAAGGCTGGGTGGAGGGGATACGAAAAAGACTTCAGAACATTCAGCATCCTGAAATCTTATTCCTTCTTTTTGTACTTTTTATGGTCTTTGTCTCACAAACTCAAACTTAATCTGCACATCTGAAGTTGTAAGACCCTCAGTTCAACTTTGACATTTTTCCTCTGTAGGAGCTTTTTGATTTTTTTTTTATGTTGCATGTTAAGTCTGCATGTGAGTTTTTTTTTTCTTTCATTCTTTGATTCATTTAATTTGTTTGTTAGTGTGAATATAAAACAAAAAAAAAAAAAAACACATTTTGGTTCATTTCCATAAAATCAAATAAAGATATGTTATCACCTGCATGGTATGTATTTGCTGCTGTAGTTGCTGGTAGAATTAATTGCAGTATCTCTGTTGTGAGTGAGGACAGTGTCAGAGACTTTGAACCAACACACCACCACTAGAGGGAACAATTTACCTTATAAACAGAAACACAAAAAGACAGCAAATCATTGAACTAAAGAGAGTTTTTTTCATTTTATTTTTAGGATTTGTGCCCCATTCTTTCAAAATTAATTTCTTGCTAAATTTAAATAAACATGAATACTTTGACGCTTAAGTTTTAAGAGAACAAATGTGCAATTTCCATATCCTTTCAATTTTATAAATCCTAGTTAAAACAAAGGCATCATTCCCAGGAAAATTACATGGTTTGTCTTTTGCAAAGTGGATATTGATTACATGGATGCTGTATTCCAGTATTATTATTATTATTATTATTATTATTATTATTATTATTATTATTATTATTATTATTATTTTACCATGCCTCATTGAGACAAAAAAAATCTTTCTTTTTCAAAAGTGTCCTGTCCAAGATTTGCAGCAGTACACTTGGACAGAGGTGGAGATTCGACCACATAATAACCACATAACACGTCTTTTTAATCACACACTAGAAAGTCATCCTTCAAAGCATCTACAGCCGAATGCTTTTTCCTCTAATGCCTTCAATCTGCTTTTAAAGACATTCAGAGAGGCCTGCACCCTCAGGCTCATGTTTTCATGCTGGAGACTCCAAGCTGCATGTGCAGTGTACCTACTACCAACACTTTTAACCCATTTCAAGACTCACTCTGGGGACAGAAAGCAAGATTAAGTCATGTTTGGGTCAAGCAAGACAATTCATCAAAAAATGGTTTAGTTGTGTTAATGATTTTGAGGTAAAGATAACACAAAAGAGCAAGCCTTTCCAGAAGAGGACATGCGCTAATATGATATGACTTATTTCCTTGCTATTTCTGTCTTATAACTTACCTATAAGGAAGAAACTCTTATTAGCATGGACGACACATTTGTCCTATCACCGAGTAAAGGTATGTTTTATTAGTGTGGCACTGTAAGATCACTGTCACCACATCTCAGATAAAACACATCAACCAAACTCTACTAACAATTTTTAGAGGCAAAAAAAAGAGGCTGTAACAATTTTATTGATCTTTAAAGCCTCTTTCAATCAAGCAGCTTTGCTGGAAATGCATTGCAAAGATCTCAAACACATGCGCTGAGGAAATTTGTCATCTTAAAATGCCTGTACATGGAGGAACACTGAGAACAAAAAAGATAGTAGCTAAAGATATCTCAGGGAAATGAGAATAACTACTAGTCCAGACAAGTTGGGCAGATTACAGCCGATGAGGAATAAAAAAAAGTGCTTTTAGTTGCTGGTTTGATACATGCAGGATGCACCTACATGTCCATCATCACACATTTCCTCTGTAAAGCCATGCAAAGCCAAAGCTCAGGAAATGTTTTAATAATTGAAGTCAGGAACAGGTTTGAAAAAGGCAGTGATGAATCAAAAAGGGAATGCAGAGTACTAATGATGGGGTATTTTGATGCACTTCATGTATCTTCTTAATTAGTTTCTGACACTTTTAATGTCTGTTTATGAAGCATACAGGATATTTGCTTTACAGTAAATTCAGAAACACTTCGATCTTGTGTATAGAAAGAGCAAAATCAAATGCAGGTTACTTCTGGTCACTTGATGTTGTTGAAGAAGTCCAGCATATTGTGTGCAGCAGAGTTTCTAGAGATTTCACTCACTGTAGCCGTGAATTTGAAAGTTTCTTGACGCCCGACAAAAGGCAGCAAGTGTGTCGCCATAAAGATTCCGATACAGAGGAGCTGATTTTGGATCCGTTTAGAGCTGCTGTGTAAATCCCATCTGAGTCCCCATTCAACATCTTTTAAATCACACATTGTTTTTGTTGTTCAAAGATGAGTCTGTGTGTGGTTTTGGGCATGTGTTTAAAAAAAAAGGAGGAATGAAAGTTGCATCCCCCTCATTGAGTCTTTAATTTCTTGTTGTGGGTCCCGGATTCTCGCCTTCGTGTCTTGGAGGCATAACGCCTGGAAGAGAAAAGGGGTGAAATTAATTACTTTGCATATTTCAAATCTCTAGTGTCAAGAGTTACACTGAAGCACATCAACAGAGACATATTTAAAGCTAAATTAATCAAGTTCCTTTTGCATAAATCCTACCAATTCTACTGGATACAGATCCACTACCCAGATTCACTTTGTCTAATTTCATGTGTCTTGCAGTTTGTCATGCCTGGACTGTTCTTTGTAGAGATTTTGTGTGTCATGTATCGAGTGTGTGAGAGGGTTCCTACCTCCGCTGGTACAGATATAGGAAGAAGAAGAGCTCATCTCTGAAGCAGGATAGTTGATGAGAGGAGGAGAAAGATCCAGAGGAGGAGAAAAATGAGGCACAGGAACACAGATCTGAGATCAGTGTGTTAACTCCCTGGTGAAGAAGGAGGAGAGATAACAGTGAGCCGTAATTCACTGAAAAACAAACAAAAACTTTCAAGATAATAAACGATTTTCTGACAAAATTCATCATAAAACAGAAATAAGGCAGCTTTTTATTGCACCTAAAATAATATCCAAAGAATTAGCAACACTCACTCTGTACATCAACACCGTCCCCTGCAGGTGGTTTACAGACTTCAGCTGATCCAGAGAGATGAGAGGAAGAACGTTCAGTGAAAATGTAAGACAAAGACAGGTGGCAGAAAAGAGTTGATATAGTTATTTACACTCCAGTTACACTCCAGGATAATAACACTTAAATGGGTTCTGTTGTAACAGGAGAAGGTAATAGTCAGACCTTGTGGTTGATGAAAAGCTGTGGTGCCATAGACAAGAAGCCAAGGGCATATACTCCTGATGGAGGACAGGAAAATGCTCAAAACATCAGCTAAACTGAATTATTTAAATTACACGGATCATTCATGAACAGAAGGTTATACATCAGCTCACCTGTCACCAGGCTGTTGATCAACCAAGAATAGTAACTGTAAAATCAAATGAAATTTCATGTTAACCAAGAGCTGCCACTGAGTGTATGACAGAGCCTGTAATGTTTGTGCAGAAGCTGCTGAAACCTTGTGTACATTAATAGAAAAGAGCAGGTTATAAAACCAGAAAAGTATCACTTTTAATCAAGAAACAATGAAGCCTGTAATGTTACAATACGGCTTAAATATAAGGCATAACATTTATACTGGATGGCAAAGTGGAAAATGAAAAATAATAATAATCAGCTCACTTCTTTTGGCGCAAGTAGGCCAGAGAGAAAATAGCTCCACTGATACACAGAGGATAGACCAAGTAGGACAAGTATCTGGATGCCTAGAGAGGACATGCACAGAGAAATATTACATTTACATAAATAATAAATGAAATTATACATTTTAAAAGGCCAGAAGCAAAGAATGACAAAGAGAAAAAGATACTCATACCTGTGTATCATACTCCACTGTCTTTCTTTCTTCTTCATCCAGTTTATTCACCTGCACAGTAAAACATCACTATACTTAACATGAGCTCTAACAACAGGCCTTCTAAACACCTTTTTCATCTGTTAAATGATAGAAAGCTCGCTGACAGGTATAAAGATGATTAATAACATTGATTAATGCAAAAAAAACATAATAATAATAATAATAATAATAATAATAATAATAATAATAATAATAATAATAATAATAATAATAATAATACATGGAGATACAAGGTTTCTGCCTGAAAGCAACTTTGAGGCTGAATGTTGCCCTTACTCACGTGGAGTTTGGAGCCCCTCCATTGAAACTGGATTTTAAAGACTTTGAACACCTTCCAGACCTGACAGGATGAATGACCAGTCAGTTCAACTTAACTGTTATAATCTTTGTTTCATATTCTCTGTGTAACAACACTATTTACCTCCACACAAGCTCCCAGTCCAACTGGAAGCAGCACAAGTAGACTGGTCTCCTCGAGCAGATGGAGGAAAATCAGCAGAGTGCTCAGACTACGCCACTGGACTGGAGACAGAGAGGAGGAGAACAGCAGGACAGAGAGACCACCAAAAAGAGAATTACATTCAGGAAGAGTGAGTAAGTGAATTCTTCCTTTTTTCTACATCAGGTTGACAAAACAATTATTATAAATCTGTGAAATGTTACACTCTGCTCTAAGGCCAGCCAATACTCTTACAAAACAAAGCTTACTTAAATGTGATAATTTCTTACCTGATTTCCTGGACATACCAGCCATGCTCTTCTTCTTCCTCCACGAGCTGATGTCATTTTTAAGAGCCAGGAATTCACAGATGAGCTGCAGGCACCACACATGCATTAAACTTTGTAATATGCCCTCATAACCACAGACAATATTAAACTGCTGATAAAGAAGTGTATTTTAATTCAGTTGTATAATCTTACTTGTAGGGCTGTGATGAGTGCTGTCAACACTAACAGGTAAAGGTTGGAACCTGCCAGAGTTTCTTTAATTTCATCTATATTCTCCTCTGTGAAGCCTAGAGATGCACAAAGATGCAGCATTTAAGGGTTTTATTGCAGTTCGTGTTGTATGAAAACTTACAGCCTGAAATGTCTGTCATTTATGTCCACTTCTATCTATCATAAATGAATACCTTATCAACTTAGTGATCATATGTCCAGAGCTGTCCTCTGCAACGACTTTTTCAAATCTTTAGGCACATCCGTTTTCTCACTTACCGAACTGTCTCAGGGCATAAACCACATCTTGTAAATGTACCCAGAACCTGAAGCCCCTCAAAGAGATTCCCTCATAGGAAACAGTCAAAGGGAGCTGAACAGTGTCCCTGCTGATCACCTTTAAACATATAAGTTGACAGGAGACAAAAGAGACGTTTTCTCATTGATAACCCAAAAACTATCAGAAACCACTTAAGATGAGGATTCTGTATGTAACGTGTTTTTACCTTGAGGTCTCTGACCCTGAAGCTGAGCTCATTTATGAGCAGCAGAGGAAGGTAGATCATTTGTCGACCATCCTGAGAGCTACAGGGAGAGACAGGTACAGAGATTAGCAATACAGATTAATGCAATTTTACCCTTGTGTATTTGCCTGATCAATGAATGAAAAACAAAAATGCCTGCTAATTTTAGCCCCCTGACCTATGACAAGTTGCTTACAGTGGATATTTGTATAATTCTACAAGTTGTATTAAACTACTTTTTTTCCATCATGATCTTTTCCCCAGATTTTGTATTTAAAATGGCAAAAATTACAATTATGAGAATACAGCATGTTGAGTTTTCTCTCATACAGACTCTGAACATCAGAGCATCCAGATGAAAATCAGTGAGTCAGCAGCTCTCTGACTCTGACCTCCAAAGCTCCCCGTGACTTACACTCTCATGTAGCGCCGTACATCACTAGGAAGCCCCGCCTTGCTGAAGGTGAAGTCCTCTGACATAATCGTGATTGACAGGTGAGGCCTCCAGTGGGACACAGGATTCTCTGATCTGTGACTTGGTCTCTAACAGAGATGCAGGAAGGGCTTACTTGATGCTCATTTCATCTTTAAATTTTCCGTAACACACACTGTGATCGTGAAGGCACCAAATCACATCTTACCTTCTCTGTGTCTCTCTGTCCTTCTGTATGTGTTGGAGTGATGTAGGTGGTAAGCAGAGCAGCATAATGAACTTCTCTGCTGTCCTCCAGAGGTGAAACACCAGCTTTGTGAACATAGACGACTGCATACAATGTGCCATTAGCACAAGTCTCCTCTGGCAGAGAGACATTTATCTGTCTGAAGGGTTAGAAAAGATAAAGTCAGATAGTCAGCTTCAATTTATTCCCTCAACACAATGTAAACATATTTGAGTCTTTGAATTAATGCTGATATTTACACATGCCTACAAATAAAAATTCAAAAAACATTTTGGTGTTTTCAAACTCATGCACCGCTGAGATTAAGATTGTTGTTTTGTATTGTGTGTTGCTACTACAATTGAACTGGGTCTCGTGATACTGATGAACAAGATGGCTTGTCTAAAAAAAGGCTCTTAAATTTCATTTTTTTCATGTTTGGCAAAACCCACCTTTCAAAAGCAGCATACGGGTTGAAAGGATCTATTTTTACTGCAAGAGTGAGTTGGCTGTTGTCTGGCTCCAGGCAGGTGAAGACACTCATCTAGCATTAAAAAAAGGAAAAAAAACAGGAGAAGAGGATATGGAAACTGTTTTTTCCAATTTCATTATCTGGTACCAAATGAGATACCATGCTACTGCAGATAAAGAACTAAATGACACATGAGTATAACATAATATAGCCTAATTCACTAGCTTTATCATGCAAAAAAGATGAACACATTCAACTCTTTTTGGCAGTAGGGGAGACCGAGGCTTGTTGTCACACGGGTGAATTGTCACATTGCGATTATCTTTGCCACCAGAGGGCGCAACTAAAAAGTGGAATACCAGTTTTATTCCTTTACATGGTCAGGGGTCGTGTCCTGTTTGAGAAGAGAAGAGCACACTGTGAGCTGAGATGAGCGCCATTTAACCATTTTTCACAACCCAAAGTAAAAAAATTAACCTTATACATTTCAAAATAGGCTTCTTCCAGATAAAAATCCTAGTACGTGTGGACTTGTTAGAGGAGAGATTAAGGCATCCTGTCATACCTCAGTCATTGTTCTGTTTTAAACTAACTTTAAGCTAGAGCTAGAATTAGCAGACATGGTAGTTAGGGGCAACATGTCTCAGTCATTTTAGGGTTAGTTGTCACATTTTTAGAAGGGATTAAAATTAACGTAGAGAATCTGTTTATCAGCAGCTGTCATACAGAAATTTTGACTTTATTTTTACAAAGACATGATGCTGAGGGGAGTCAGGAAGGTGACCTGAGCTAATAAATCAATCTGGAGTACAATAAAGGACTTTATTGTCAACTACCATACCTTGGCTCAGTACTGCAAAACATTCACCCCAGCTGAAATACAGAGTCAGACAGCTCTCCAAACTCTAGAGCATGTTGCGTAATATTTTATATTAACTTTTGTTTAACGGCCATGTTCGGCGACTTTTTCAAGCTCAATGATAAACATTCTCTGAGCCTGACTTTAATTTTTACTTTCATGTAAAGAAAATGAGAACAACAATAATTTTGTCCTTGTTTCATTAACTGCAAAATCCACTGTGACATCTTACCCGATGGTGGGGCAACATGTCACATGTTCACACTCTCTATTCGATTGCTTATAACTCTGCACTGACACAAGATATGAAAATGACATGAATACAAAATATATACTTAGAGACTTTGGTCTTTTATCTGGTTCACATTTTGCTTATATATGATGTGTTGATTGCAAGAAATATACAAGAGTGTAAAAAGTGTAACAAGCCCCGGTCGCCCCTATTTGATATTCCCACGCTACACTATGTTTTGCTCTCAACTACTCCACCAGGCCAAGAAGTGCCTGAGTTGCATAGACTGGATGATTTGACTCCAGTTTAGCCATAATGATAGTTTATTAGTTATATAATAAACTAAGGCCTGTGAATAGGCTTACCTGTAGTCTTGGCCTTGAAACCAGGTAAGAGGCGATGCAGTGCTCTCCTCTGCTTCTATCGCACGGTTTCGTGTTGAGGAAGCCGTAAAGCAGCCACACCGTGTGGAGCATATAAACCACAAAGACCCCGAGCAGCAGTTTGGTGATAGAGCTCCTTTTAGCGCCGCTGTCCGCGGGTTTAGAACAACACGACGGGAACATGGCGAATATCTTTGGAATCAAAATAATAATAAATCAATAAATAATAAAGGAAATATCCAAAATGATGGACCGGTCTCGCTCAGAAACAGCTCTGGTTTCAGCTCTGTGCAATCCTCAAGCTTCCTCCCTGTCACAGCATCCTTCCGGTGGCTTTATCTGCATCCTAAGGGTGCTGATGCTGACAAATGCTCCGCGACTGCACCCGTCCCCTGCGCCCGTCTCCTGCACTCACACCTTTGCTGCGCGGGTCCAAATCTCGCGCAGCCTGAACGCACCATATCCTACGCACGTATACCGTGCTTTGCTCGGTAACCTGAGTGGAACAATTAAAGCGCCAGCAGATGGGTCACTATAGTAACGCCCATTACGCACATAGAGTTGGAGGTCATGTTTAGGATTATATCACTGAAGAAGAGTTTTCAATAAAACACACTCCAGTACAACCTCACCACCACAAGTCTTCAATTATAAAGTACAAAAATCCTGTCTGATCATGTCAACACAAACTGGAAACTTAGAAGCCCCCTAAATCTGTATTTAAAGTATAATTGTTGTATTGTTTATCCATTTGTCCTTCATGTTATTGTCGCCGGTTGCTGCAGATTTAGATGTTTCTTGATTTCACTCCTGAGTGACGCGCTTCTTCATAGACGATCTTCGAGAGTTGGTCGTTACCGCCGCGATCCTGAAGTCGCGACCCACTTTTATAGAATTCAAACAAAGCAGTTAAAAAAACCTTTAAAGACTCTAATCTTTAACATAAATCCACTTGTTTTATTGAGTAAACTACATTTCAAAGCACATGAAGGGGACGACATGAAGACGACAACTACTGAAGTTGCGTATACAGAAAACATCGAATATCTAAAAAATATCGCATTAAATATATACTTTTTTGACCAGCTGTTCGTGACCCTGTTTATGTCAACACAAACTGGAAACGTTGAAGCTCACTAAATCTTTATTTAGAGTACAGCTGTTAAATTGTTTACCCATTTGTTCTTAGTGTTATTGTCGCCGGTTTCTGCAGTTTTAGATGTTTCATTTCACTCCTGAGTGACGCGCTTCTTTAGAGACGATCTTCGAGAGTTGGTCGTTACCGCCGCGTTGCATTGTGGTCTGACTGACTCTTCGCTCGTACCCCTGTCCTACTGTATCGTTTCCTCCATGCTAACCTAAACAAGCGTGTAGTGGGACTGATACACAGTTCAGTGTGGTGGTTCAGGGAAGACTACAGCGAGTAACAGGTAACTGACCCGTGTTACTTGTAGCTCCTTGTTTTACTGCCATCATCACTAACTTATTCCTGTTATCCCTGCAGAACTGGACTGTTTCCTCTAGTAGTCTAACTGTCAAACGACTGGAGGAGGACCCTGTTGTGGTGTCAGGCTGTGGTGGGCTCCTATAATCCCTTGTGCCTTTTTCATATGGAGGAAACAGCTCGACGATCTGTCCCCCATCACCACCCTGTGCTGCTCCTGTTCGTTTTGTGATCTTGCTGCAGCTGTGGGACCTCAAACCCGAGTATGGCAGTCAGCATGAAGGCTGCATGTTGTGCTGGTGTGGAGAGGAAAGTACTCAAAGTGCTGCTGGCTAGTTACACAAACTGTACAAGGAGTTACCAGCCATATGTTGTGAACTTCAATGCAAAACGCCTCTTTAGCACCGCCGGTCCTCTTTTCTCAAGAATAGATGGGACAGCTGATCTCTGCAGTGCTGCTGCTAAAGTCCACCCACTGAAGAAGTTCACTGTGCCACTTGGGAATAGGAAACTGGAGCAGACCAGCCGAAGTTACAGTGATATTGGTTCACATGCACTTTACAGACCAACCCTGCCTTCCTCAAGATGTCAACCCAAAAGATCTCAGAGTGCTTTGGGGAGAAAGGAGAACCTGCTGCAAGTAGGTGCAACATGGCCTGGTAAGAATAAGAAACCATCAAGAGTCAAACTTTTTTGTTTCTGATCTTTTATATGTGGATTATCAAACAACATAAATTGATCCTAATAAATTTTTAATGGTTTTCAGATTAGAAATATTAATAGGACTTTTTTTTTTTTTTTTAGAAAATTGTTCATTAACTTTCAATGAAAGATAATGTGAAAAGAAAAAAATATATATATAATGAAAAGAAAAACTGAAAAACACAGGAGTACAAAACACAGCACATCAAAAAGTAAAACTAATTACATGGTCATAAGATGAGTATTGACTATACAGAATATAAAAGCAGTAGTAAGTAGTAGTAAAATAAATAGGTCGGTTAACAAGATCGTACTTTCGTTTGCACTGTGAGGCTTTGTACAACAGCCAGAGTCTATGGGCTCACATTTTAAAGGTAATTCAATACAGGGTTCCATGTTTTATCAAATGTATCCCCTCTATCTTCATTGTAGAATCTCAGTCTCTCTAAATGTAACGTATTTGACAATTCTCCCATTTGTAGGTTATAAGTAGGCACAGACAGAGCCGGCCCAAGCTTCAATGGGGCCCTAAGCAAAATTTGATTTTGGGGCCCTCTATTTCTGCCAATAATATTGATTGTTGATCATTCACACACCTACTACAGTATAAATTTAATGAGCTTGACATGTCTTTACACATTAAAGGGGGTGGCCCAGGTAAGAACATAAATAATACCAATGCAACCATACAACTAATACCAATGAATGACTGATGAATCATGTTCAGGGTGCCACATGTGGTTTTTAATTTAAAAATGTAACACATTCAGGATGCTCAGTGCACATTGCACAGCAGGAAGCGCATAACAGTAGCAGAGCTTTGACATCAGCAGTAAGAATCATGAGCTTTCATCATCAGCAGCACTAAAATGTTTTTTCTTTATTTTATTTTGTTTTCACAATAATATATATTTGTTCACACAGAAAGCAGCACTGATAGAAGCAAAAAATAAAAAATATAATTTTTTTGATTCCTCTTGGGGCCCCCCTTCTGGCTGCGGGGCCCTAAGCAGGCACTTAGTTCGCTTATGCCTTGGGCCGGCTCTGGGCACAGAGTCTGTTTTCCACACTCGTAGAATCAGCTTTTTAGCAATCGCCATCTCAATTTGAACTGCACTTGTTTCAGATTTACTGACAGAAAAAAGGACACTTGTGGCACCAAGAATGGCAACCAGAGGGTTGGGTGCCAGATTTTTACCAAAAGCCCTCGAAAAACACTGAAAAATACATTTCCTAAATAAATGAAGTTTACTACATGCCCAGAATCACCATCATGGTGATTGCATGTTGGTGGGACATCAGGGTAAAATTTATGTAGTTTTTCTTGCGAGTAATGGAGTCTGTAGACTGTCCCTGGAGTTAACTGAACAATTTCGTAGACATTCTTCCCAAATCCCATCTGTTATCTCCATATTCAACTCATCTGCCCATGTTTTTTTAATAAATTTCTGAATTCACTGGGGCTCCATCATGAAGCATTCCATAGAAAACAGAAATATTTATAGGATCCTAATTGTCGTCTATCATCAGAACTATGAAGAGAGACCAACTGGATTATTTGGGAAACAAATAAGTGTGAAGCAAACTACATTTTAGATTCTTCCAAGTCTTCCTCCAACTATCTTGAAAGAGTTCCAAGTGGTGCTGAGAAACTAATGGCTGCTCTTTCTTCACTCTGCGGTTCAACTCAACCCCAAACTAACTCAGCTGGGTTTAGGTCAGGTGATTGTGGAGGCCAGGTAATCTTACCCAGAACTCCAAATGTCTTCTCCTTTTTCAATTAGCCCTTTTACTGCCTGGCGGTGTGTTTGAGGTCAGTGTCCCGCTGAAAAACAAATGATGGTCACGCTATCTCAAGCCACTGCAGAATGTTGTTGTAGTCATGCTGGTTATAAGTGTGTCTTGAATTTGGAACGAATCACCAAAAGCAGCTCCAGCACAACACCCCTGCACCATGACAGCTCCACTGCTAAGCTTCACAGTGAGAGCTTCACATGTATAAACCGTTTGCTCATCTTCTCTGCATCTCACAAAAACATGACCAAAGTACTTTTTTAAAACCAGTTCTCTTCTTCTTGTTCTTCATCACTATTGGCCACTTCACCGCAACTTCACCATCATGGCCTGGTCTATGTAGTCTCCTCTGAACAGCTGATGTTGAGGCGTGTTTGGTACTTGAGTTCAGGGATGCATAATGTGAGCCCTAATCTGGGGTGCTGTTAATCTGCAGTTTCTGTGAATTGAGTTTATCTGTAAGAGAGGCAACTCTTTGTCTTCCTTTCCTGGGGGGTCCTCATGAGTTTGTATTTTCATAGCGTTTGATGGTTTTTGCAACTGCTTTTTGGGGATACATTTAAAGTTCTTGAAAGTTTCCTGGAGTAGGTGACTCTCATATCTTTAATGGACTGTTGTTCCTCTTCACTCATGGTGCACAGGACTGTGCACCATATTTCTGCACAACTGAGGGTTTCAAACACATGAAGAAGGAAGTAAATGCCCAAAATGAACTTTAGACATGGCACACCTCTTAATGAAAAAACTATTCCAGGTGAGGACCTCATGAAGCTGGTTTAGAGACTGTACACAGTGTGTAAAGCTGCAATCAGAGCAAAAGGTGGCTACTTGGAAGAAGATTCCAAAATATAAAACCTTTTCTGATTTGTGAAACATTTTTTGTTGACCAAAAAATCCAAAAAGTGTTCCAACATAATTTTTATGTCTTAATCTACATCTACAGATAAATCTAATCTACAACATTTGCCTTTTCTTTCAGCAGTATCTTTTGCCCGTTACAGAGTGACAGACGTCCCTGTGTCCAGTGTATCTCCTGCATTTGTAGTGGTAAGAGAAAAGTTAATAATAAATAAATACAATGAAATTAATCAGTAAAGTCAGATGTGCTATTATGGAAAAACTCAGACTGTTTGATACAGCACCTTATAAGTCAATTCTAACACAGATTTTCATTAATTGTTATGTATTCAGAGACTGTAGATTCAAAGTTTTGATATGCCAGTAAACAATTTTAAGTCTTAGAGGAATTTAAGCAGTTTCTTGTTTATTTTACAGATGAAGTTTGACCAAGAGGGAAATGTAACAACCTTTGGTAAGTACTGGAAATAAATTTTGTGTATCTATGAAGAATGCTGGGACTGCTTTTTGATGCCTCTTTTGTCCTTTAATATGACCACTATCACAGTTTATGTCCTTCTCAAATGCATAACACACTTCAATCCTAAATATCACAAATATTTCATCAGTGTCATTATTAATTACTTATGTACATGAAATACAGGAATTTAAGATGTTCCTCACTTTCTCAGCTTCTCATGATCATTTTTTTGTCATTATAGAGAAGAAGAAAACTGAGCTGTGTCAGGAACTTAGTCTGCAGGCCAGAGACCTTCGCTTTCAGCACAGCACAAGCCTGACTGCAAGAAACAACTGCATCATCATCAGGATGGAGGTATAGTAGAAGATTCTGTGGTCGATTAGACAATACTACTATGAGACAAAGCTACATCAAATTCAATCTGGCTGTTGATTAGGAAACATTTTGTGCCCATAACTGATAGTAACCACTTTCCTGGTCTTCATCATTAATAACTCATATTTTGATGCAAAATTAACAAAAGGTTTTCAGAACAAAGGAGAACTTAGTGCATTGCAGCTGACTCAGATGACATTGAAGTCATGGGAAATATGCGATATCAGACACCTGACAAGCTGCTTGTTCTTCACGTTTAAGATGGTGGAGGACATTCTTTAGTATCCCACACAACAGCTGTCTGTTCTCCAGAGTGCATTCTTCTGAAGGTGTAATAGAAACTGCAGTGGTCTACACGACTCCTCATTTTACATAAAGGTGCTCCTGGTTCAAGTGAGTCAGGCCGAGTGTGCGTCTGTGTCAAGATCAGGTAGCCACAGTCTGGTTCACACCTGGTTGTAAACAAGATTGAACAGTTCATTTAATTATACTACTACGGATGGATCAATAGATAGAAGGTGGTGTGTCAGGAAAAATCAGAAGTAAGTGGATTTCTTACGTGTCCTTCTTTGGTCCTGTTCCAAACGCCAGACACTCCACACAGTCGGCATGCCTCTCACATTGGCCTTCACAAAAGGGGCAGTCCTCACAGGTCGGACCTGCATATGGTGTGCTACATACACATGCTCCACACTGGCAGTCTCCTTTACCGTTGCACACTATCTGGTTAGTTGCCATACAGGGAACACTATTCATGGTGCAGCTGCAGTCGTCACCAGTCCAGTCAAGATCACAAAGGCAGACCCCACACTCACACTCCCCACGACCTCCACATAATCTGTTAGATTAGAAGTTTCAGTATTTCATTTTCATTCTTGCAGTTAAATAAAATTCAGTGTAAAGGAAATTCATGATGGTATAACAATTTTACCTGCCGTTGAACCTCGGACACTCAAAGTTGCTGCACTGACAATATCGTCCGCTGTAGATTTCTGCTGGGTTTGCTCGCTTCTGGCATTCACAGAATCCATCCACACATTCACCCCTACCGCTGCACACAGGGGCGTTTGGGCCTGAGCGGCAGGAGTCCTCATTTGTGGGAAACATTGAATCAACCTGACAATGTTGTCCAATGAAAGGCTCATTGCACTCACACTGGCCATACACACGGGTCCCACGACCTCCACAGTAAGGACTGCTTTCCTCACGGATGCCTGTGAAATTACACTGACCTGAGGAAAAAAAGTTCTCTCTTACTTTTACAGTACTAAATAAATGAAGTCTGGGGCTCATTTAATCCTAATGACCAATTTTGTTTCATTTGTGTAACTTAGCTGATTGTATGTTGACTGGAGCAAGTTTCTGAATTTGTACTCACACTCTAAAGAGATCTCTAACTTCACAGATAGTGAAAAGCCTCTGGGTGTGATGTGGACAGACCAGGGTCCAGTCAGGTTCTGCTTCTGGTTTGAGTCATCACTCCCAGTGGGACAGTGGGTCGCCTCAACACTTACCTAGAGAAATATGAATCATTTGTAAAACATTTTCTATTCTCAAAGAGTAAAAATACGTTGCTCCAGAATGTTACGTTTAACCTCTACGACTAGTGGGTTTCCAATTATAGAAGTCTTGAATGTGATGTTCACTCCCTCTGGCACAGGGCTTGTGTCAAAGCTCAGCTCTGTGATTGGCTCATCTGTTGGCATGGTGATGGTGACAGGAAAGGACTGGCTTACACCTGGTCTTAAGCTAAGCGAGAGCTCCTGTGGCTGCAGAAACAAAGCGTTGGCATTTGCTGGTCCGGTCCTACAGAAGTTCAGAAGTTTCAAGCAAAAAGATCAATATCATGAGAGTCATTTCAGTCTTGACAGCGTACTGTATTTTTTAATATAGAACTTAAAGCTCCTGTGAGAGATTTTAGCTGGTTGTGAAACTATTTTTCTATATAGTAATTATTGATTGCCTCTGCTAGCGTCAGATGAAGTGAGAGGTGTCTACAGCGCAGATTCTCAGTGAGTGACACATTTGACTGATTTTTGTTGCACACATACACAAAAAAATAACACAGACATAACCCTGCACCAAAGTCACTGCAAAGCTTAAGCATCTCCCAGAAGCTTTAAAACCTGAATATTACCAGCTTTCATTCTTGACAACCTCCAACCGGCTCTGAGGATCGTAGATAGCATGACAGCCTGATCTGTGCAGGCCTTGGGGGGTGTGGCAGCGGATGTTTGATTCAGGAGCAATGCACCAAGCACACTCAGGGCCGGACTGGAGGCATTTGTCACAGTTTGAGGCAGATTTGAGACACCTTTTCCCTTTGTCACCACTGCCAGAAGACACAAGCAGCAGGAGCAGGCAGAAACAGAGCTGCTTCACAGCCATCCTGCTGGGAGATTGAAAATTTGGTTGATAAAAATAAACAATATAGTTGTGAGTGTATGTGATAAATAGATTTCAAGTTAATTTACTCATATTTTACTGGCTTTCTTTTGTTGTACTTTTTTTTTTACATGTACTGTCCCTAATTTGGTCTGATTATGGTTATTGTCAACAGTGTGATAAGTAACAACAGGGGTAAAATAAAGCTAACTCTTTAACGTTATTGGAGTGCTTTATATTAGAGCTGCAGGCTGACTGTCACTCCTGTTTATCATGTGTGTGCAATTTTATAACATGCTCGGATTTTGTGTTGAGATTTTGTAACTTTTTGTGGAACAGAAAGTTGCAAACATGACTACAATAAACGCAGTAGAAACTATATTTCCATCTAAAACAGGAAAAACTACTCCAACAAACTGTCAACAAACAACTGAAATGAAGCTTTGCTCTTAGTCACCCAGCCAAATACACTCATTATTTCCTAATTAAACATAGTTATTTACATTTCTCCAGCTCCTAACTAGATTATGTCCTAAATGAACTAAAACACAAGAGCAGAGCAGTGCTAGTACTTTACCCGTCATATATAAATCCCTCTGTACTGCGGCTGCTTCCTGGAATTAATCTGCCTCTGCACGCTGTGACACTCTGACAGGCTTTAGTTATTTGTCAGCTATGAACCAGTGTGCTTAATCTGATCACTGGCCCTGATTGGTGCTCAGGTTTTTGGTGGCTGACTGCAGCTTAAACAAGGAAAGACACCAGGGGAGGGTGATTTCACAAAAGAGCTTTTTTTGATACGATCTGTCACTGCAAATATTGACAGATCAGAGTCAACTAGTGGGACTGCTGCCAGTTGAATGCACTTTGAGGCAGAGCAGTTCACAACAACATATGTTAGGGATCAGCTGTTGGTAGATGGGCCATCATTTGCATGTACACGTTTATTTATCTCCCTTTATCTTTCTCCTTTCTCCACAGACTTTGAAAGCCATAATTACCCCGCAGTCCCTCTTGGTGTTGGATTTTCGTGGTCTTGGATTGGAGCGTTGGTTGGTACTGGAGCTGGCCCCTCAGCTAGCATCACAGACACACTCTCTGCCCTTTGAGTTCAGAGCTCTAGAAGCCATACTGCAGCATAAGGTGAGGCCGGTCACAGACATGCTGTTTGTGTATCAGTGTATTTAAGCATGTTCTCACTGAGATAAGACCTGCCTGTAAATTAAGGTCACACAGACTGATAGGGCTCTGTGCTGGAATAAGATTAAGGGTGATTGTGTATTTATGTGTCTCCATATGTGTCCACAGGTAAACATGCTGCAAGCACAGTTGAATGATGTCGAACCAGTCATGTTGGACACCTTGGAATCGCTAGTGGATCCAAAAATACTTTCTGCTGACAGGAGTAAACTACACATACTGCTGCAGAACAGCAAGAGGTAACAGTGACACTGGTGTACAGAACTGCACATGCTCCTTTTTAAGCATGATGATAGGCTTCAGTGTATTATTTATAAAAAAAACTGGATCAGCAAATCTGGATGAAACTAACTCCCTCTTTTATGTAAGCTTCTGCAGAGCTTCATTATTCACATTTTGTTTCTGAACATTTTCTGCCTGTTGAGGTTGTCTTTCTCAATTTTCATCTGGTCTCTTTTTTTGATAGTTTATCAGAGCTGGAGACAGACATAAAAGTTTTTAAGGATTCCTTGCTGAAGATTTTGGATGAAGACGAGATCATTGAAGAGCTGTGTCTCACCAAGTGGACTGACCCAAGAGTTTTGTATGTTACACATGCACTCACAAGCATTTCAAGGCAGTTAGAGCAGAAAAAGCAAGAATGATATCTCTGTATCCCTTTCAGACATGGTTCTTTCCCCCCTCAGAACAAGTAAAGTTCTTTTTTGTACTTTTTCTGTAGTTTTTTCTTGCTGTAGAAAAAGGTTGTAGCATCTCTTACCCAATGCTAAGTATCTTACATATTCAGTCTCTTCTGTTACATGACGAAGTTACTAGTTACAGACATTCACTACTAATTCTATGCCTGTCAGCTGAAAGTAAGGCTGTTTTCAGGGGCAGATTATTTCTTATCAGCTAGAGAAATAGTTATCTGTTATCTGCTGGAGAAATAGTTCAGCAGGGGCACTACCCTGACTGGGGTGGGGCCAGGAAGTAGGTAGGTGGTGGACTGAGCAAACACTCACAGGATCTTCAACAAATCTTGATGTGTACTTTCTCACGTCATTTTTATTGTCTTTCCTGTTCCTCTAGCGAAGAGAGCAGTTTGGGTATTGACCACGCTGAGGAGATGGAACTGTTATTGGAGAATTATTACATGCAGGTGACTGTACCCTACGCTTTGATTTGAGACGATGTGTCACTTTTCTTTCTAAACACAAAACATTTTGACCAATCAATCTCTTGCTGTGATCTACTTGAAACAGGCTGAAGAGCTGGGGAACAAGACCAGAGAGCTGAAAGGGTTGATCGATGACTCTGAGAGCGTTATCTTTATCAATTTGGACAGGTACAATCACACACACATATGACTGTGACCATTTGGACAGAAGCTAACTCTTTAGACCTTGAAGGCAGATTAATGAAAAAAAAATAAACAAGTCTTTCCTCTAAGCTGACCATATAAAGAAAGGCTTGTGCTTTAAGATAAGATATTCCTTCATTAGTCCCACAGGGGGAAATTCCTTTGGGTTTACTTGTGACAAAAGGACTGTTGGTGTTTCATGCACTGTCTGTTTGTTTCCAGCCACCGTAATGTGATGATGCGCCTGAATCTGCAGCTGACCATGGGTTCCTTCTCTCTTACATTATTTGGTCTGATAGGAGTGGCTTTTGGCATGAATTTGACATCATGCTTTGAGGAGGTGAGATTGCTCCCTGTTTGAAGAGTTATGTCTAGTTTCTTAGTTGTTCATAGTTTTTCATATATGAGGATTGCTTTGCTTTTTACCTGATGTGTCCATAGCCCTCACTGTTTTGTTCCAGAAAGTCAGCTAAACTTAACTTTCACTGAATGTGTAAAATGTTACTTATGGATGTTTATCATTTTTAGTGTTTTACATATATATTGTGTACCAATAAGAAGAAGGCAAATTTTAACATAGATGCATAGACCAGGGTTCTTTGGACATGTACTACTGGAGTAGGGGGTCTGCTGATAAATGAGGGATGAAGTATTTAGCAGTGTTCAGGGGTTGAACTGGCTTATTCCACACTTTGGTCTCTGCTGGGACTTGAACTGGCAAGGACTTTGGTTTCCTAGCTTAGTCCATACAGACTCAGCCCCTGCCATCCCCAAAAAAGGTGATCAGTTTATGTTTTTTTATGTGCTTTCTTGTTGGTTCTATCACCAGGACCCTCGTGTCTTTTGGCTGGTGACAGGCTTCATGTTCTTGGGTAGTGGGTTGATATGGAGACGACTGCTGTCGTTCCTTGGACGCCACTTGGAACCCTCTGTACCACCACTGGTAATTCTCACATACACAGTTTTATATTGATATCTTACTGTTTTAGTTAACCATCGATAGTTTAATACAACAATGTATCTCTGAGTATTTCAGTTTGTACAATATTAGCACTAGTTATTGTAGAAATAAGTCTTCCCTCTCTGTTTGTGCCTGCACTGAGGCTTCCACTCATACTGCTTGGTGAGTGAGAGTCCTAACCCTAAGATTTTATTTTGAGTACACTTTCTACTTTTTATGTTACAGATCCCTCCAGTTTGGAAGAGAAATATGAAAGTATCAGACATCAAAACAGGAGTCAGATGATGTTAATGATAATAATGATGATGATAATGATGAACTACCTCCACTCTACAAGCATCCTACAGACTCATCAGTTGTAAAGGTGATTACTCCTCTACCATGGAACTCGTGAAAAAGGCTGGAAATGTTCATTTTACTGAAAACACCTCATAGTTCATTGTCACCTCCTCTCCTCAGCAGAGGTCAGGACTGCATTCAAACATGATATGTGGCATTTGTGCCACTGTTATTGTAGTTCTTTTACTGTATTTGAGTTTTTCCAGATGCTCATGTAGTCATGACGAGTGGGCACATAATAATCCTTTGCCATTTCTGGTTTGAGTGGGTGAAGGTGTGGGCAGTTTGCAAAACTGGAACTAAAACCCAACTCACATGATTACTACTTTACATGCAGTAGTGTGTTCAGTCATTTCATAGTAAAAAAATAGTGAAAGATTCAATCTAATTTAAGCAAATGTAAAACCAAATAAACGTGTGAAGTCTATTGTAAAGTATAATAAAGTGTATTTATTTTATGTTTACTATGTAAAGAGGAATTCACTTTTTGTTAAGCTGAGTGGTTACATGTCTGTTACAAAAAAAGATCATTTTACCAGATTCCTTAAAAAACAAATTAAAACAGGAATGTAACAGACTTTATCTGGAAGTCTGATTGAAATGAAATTGAAGAAAACAAAATTTGGAGAGTTCTTCTTAACAAAACCTGATCTGATTTTTGTTTTTTTTTTAAATTGTGTCTTACTCGTTTAATTTTCTAAAATGTACACAAGTTCAAGATTCACAATACATTAAAAACTTTACAAATTTATGTGGATTTTTTTCATTTCTTTTGTTCCATGAAACCTGACACATTCCACAAGCATCTTTGAATCCAACAAAACTTTGGACATCACTAACACTTCTTTGCAAACGAAGCTCCTGTCTTCCTTGGTCCTAAAAATGAAGTCACTCTGCTGCCACAGTACCACATTACCACACTAAAAAGTTGCATGATAGTAAATATCTCATGATGTGAACTGAGGGAGTTGTGATTTAATACCAAGTTAGTATGACTGTAGCATAGATAAAGACATATATCAGCAGGATATAAGGATACATTTAGATCACTCATGTATCTGGCATAATGTAGACTTTTGGGAGAAGAGATTCATTTAGCTGGGAACTAATATTTAAGAAATACAATGGCAACACATACAGTATGTCCAGGTCACTCTTAAATCTTTCTTTTCAACAACCCCACAAGTTGAGACTGAAATTTGACCTGTGATTTCTGTTTTTTTCTCCTCCATCGATTAACTAGCTGGTTTGGTCTGTAAAATGCCTGGACATGTCTCTCCCTGTTTTCCAAAGCCTAAAATAACTTTCTTAAATGTTTGGTACCCAAGCCTGTATATTCAGTGTTAAGATCAAAAGGAGCACCAAATGTTAACATTTCTATGGAGGTAGAACATATCTCCTTTTTTTCACAAATTACTCAAGTCTGGATAAAAGAGGTGATTGATAACATAGTTCACAACTTATCAGCATAATATCACAGCTGTGGGTAGATTTTCTTGAGGCTTAATGAGATGTAAACAAAGAAACACACCAGAGTGTGCATTAACAGGAACTTCATTTAAATTTGTTTGAAATGAAAACGTCAAAAGTTGAAATATTTTCATTATTTTGTCAGTCTTGGGTCATATGCTGCTGTTGTAACCACTTTGTCAGCTAGAGGGAGTCATATCTTCAGTTTTGAATTCAGTTCATCTGCTAGTTCATCCCTTCGGTGGAAGCATACATTATCAGTCCCTTTACCCTCAGGTATGATGTGTTTAAATGATACATTATGCAATGTCAAAGAGGTCATATGATCTGCTTTAACATATCATAAGGCTGGAATCCATATTGCTTTATTTAGAGAGGCAAATTCCTCCTTTGTGGTATGGCCTGGTTAGTGTAACTGTTTTTTAATCCAGTCATCAAAAAAAAAGGGATCAGCTCCAACATTTTGAGAGAAGTTATTACTTTAAAGTAGTAATTGTTATAGTATGGTAAGTGTTTACTACAGTGGCCGAGAACCGCCACTGCTGTAAATGTCATGTGGTCAGGCCATGTAGCGCCTGAGTAGATATGAAGTTGGACTGAAGCTAACACTACACCGGCATCCTCCAGATCAACTTCATATCCACTCAAGCACTGCATGGCCTGACCACATTGAAAAGCACAAAAAGCGAAATTAAGCAATGATCTTTCCACTTACTTCTTTGTTCGTCTTTTTGCCGTCGTCTTCTGTGCCAAGATTGTAAAACACTGGCGCATTATCTTTATTGGTCCCTGGCAGCTCACTTCCGTTGTGGCTTTTTTTTTTATTTGCATCCTTTTATTTTCACAGTAAGTAACTTTTCTTTGTTTTCTTTCATCTGTAACTTTCGTTGTGACGGTTCTCAGCCACTGTAGTAAACACTTCCCATACTATAACACTTACTACTGTAAAGTACTGACTGCAAGTGAAAAAAAACAAACTTCAATCCTCTCTCAAAATGCTGGAGCTGTTACCAAAAGATATATTTCTCCAGATTCCTTAAAAAAATAATAATAAAAATAAAAACAGGAAAGTAACAGACTTTATCTGGAAGTCTGGTATGATAGTCAGATTGAAAGGAAATTGAAGAAAACAAAATTTGGAGAGGTCTTCTTAATAAGTCTGGTCTTTTTTAATTGCATCCTTTTATTTTCGCAGTAATTAAATTTTTTTTTTCCCCATCCTTTTATTTTTACAGTAAATAACTCTCTTTTGCGTCATTAACTTTTTATTTTTGCATTCTTTTTTATTTACAGCAGTGGCGATTCTCGGCCGCCATAGTTTACTCACCATCCTGCAGGAATAGGCAGCTCTTGCCCTTAGCAGTCAAACAGTTGACCTTCCTCTTTACTTTCCTCCTTTCAGAAGATATTCGATTGAATAAACATTGGTAATCTAATCTAAGTCTAAATATAAAAAGTCTAAATACGCTAATTTACAGTTTCTGAATACGTTTGTCCCTGTTCTTACATGGTCGACATTCCTAAAAAAGTAGTGGTGGGTGTGTTTCCGCCCTCGGCAGGACCCCCTTCTTTGAGAAACGTCACGCCGTGTTGACGTCACGACACAGCCACGCTGCACAGCCAGACCAAACAACTTTTCCCGAGTGGAGCAGATCACAACGCGTTCAGCTGCCGCTCACTTAAGTACTGAGATTCCCCGAAGACGCCGATTTACACGATCGAAAACGTGACGAGGAAACAGCAGGAAAAACGAATTCTGCTTTAAACTCTACTCTGACATTTTTTTTCTCTCTCGACTCAGAGTTTTTTTGTCCATCTATTTCTCTTTTTTTGGAGCTGAGATGTGGAATCTGAGGCTGTTGTTCCTCGTCGGACTGACGACAGGGTTCATTGGTGAAACAGTAAGTAGTTTTTACTTTTTTATTTTGATTTATTACAAATTACTAAACAATAGTAGTTTAATTGTAGCTAAATTTTGCGGACTCTTTTCCGTTGACTTTATATTTTTTTCGTCTAACGAAGTGAAGGGTCATATCAGCCGTTGAGAGACGTTAGGTGAACGTTTTTATTTTGTTCCGTTGTCTCTATTGTTACTAAAGCAACGCAACGTGTTTTTAATGTGTAACGTTAAAGCTGTTAAGATATTTTATGCTGAATACATTTTCTTTGACTGGTCAATCCGGACGTTATGCTTTTAGTATGTGTCCTAAACAGTAACCCAGAAGAGAAGTGTTGTTTTTAGGCACGGTAACCTTCAGTGAACGACAGTATTCAACGTTACAGTAACTATAAGGACTATTGTAAGGACTAATACAGGGATTACCGATATTCCACCGTAGGCTTTATCCAAGCCGAGTTCAGGCGTCCAGTTGCTATCAAGTTCACGCTGGGCCAAAGTCTGTTCAGCCCCTAAAGCTCAGAGGAGCGTTGACGTTTTAAACCCAAACCTCCAGATCTGACCTGAATTTCTCATCCTCACAGTCAGATCTTGGGAAACTTCTAAATTTCATCTTCTCAGAATTAGATGTCATGTGAATCAATTAGGCAGATTAACTGAAAAAAAAAAAAAAACCCAAGAATGAGAAAGGCATCCTGCCTAAACTGACAAGTTAGAGAGGTGAATCTCTCACAGTGCTATCTCCTCTGAGGGTCTGCTTTAAAAGCTGGGAAACACCTGGAAATGACAGGCTCAAGTGGAGCTCTCCTCTGTGCATTTTCACATGGGCCAGAATATCCTGCTCGCATGATTTGTAGACTGTAAAAGTCTCAAATGAGAGCCAGAAAACTTGTCCACATCCCAAGAACTGCATGAGGTCTTTGATTGATGGACTGTATATTTTGACTGTGAGGGAGTTGAAACTTGAGAGTTTTTCTCCTGAGAGGTTTTGATGGCCCTGATCCTGAAAGAGACATGAGAGGTATTAGATACACTTTGGTGTTAGTTCCTTCTTTCCTTCAAAGTGTCATAATATGGGAACTGAGTTGATAAAGTATTCTTTCATTGTTAGATTTGCATTTGTATTTCTGCTTTAACCTACCTGTTTTTAACACACACACGCACTGTAACTGTTTTCTTTTGCTTCATGCCACTAATACACACACTTAAGTCTTAATTTGCTGGGCGTGATGGATCCTAGTGTGTATTCAAACTGTCGCTCTTGCTGAATGTGGCTGTAGAATTACTGGTTAGCTAGTAAGTGACATTACTCAAATCTAAACTATGAATGTTGAAACCGGCTTTTCGCCCCCGTGACAGATTGCGAGTCGGTAGTTGTGTCATTTTCTGGATGGATGACTCACAGTGAGTCCCACCAGGCTAGCTCAGACAAGCTGAGAGCTGCGTGGGATACATGCAGTTTTTCATCCTACCAAAGTAGGCAAAAGGAAGAGTGTCACACCTGCCCTCATTATTATCGATTATAAAATTTCACAGTGAAACAGATAATTAGAAGACATATCACACTGAGAATTACTGGTTTACTTTGAAAACAGGCATGTAACTGCTGGTATTGTGGAGATACATTGATATGCTTTTTGCTTCTTGTGCTATCAGTTTTACAGTATTAGTCACATCCTACCAATTATGTATAAAAGTCTGTCCACATCCTGTTAGTGTGACAGTCTTTGATTGGCTGGCTGGGTTGGACATAAAGAACTAAACCTAAATTGTTAAAAACTGATCTAGATATTTTTTTTTTAAATCAATGCCAAGTACCAGTGATGTTGTGGTTAGATTTTGTTGATAAGCTTTTGTACCTCTTTTTGCCCCATCACCTAACTCTGTATATTTTCACGATCTTATCTTATGTGATACTCCTCTCAGTGAGGAGACACGCTATCTTCTTTTTGCATGATATAAGTTGTGCAATTCTGAGTCCAGGTGTTTGAAAACTTGTACAAAATAGTCGAATTTGGCTCCAGTTTCAGTGAAATTGTTGTATTTGAATTTGTGGTAAGTTTTGGACTCATAGCCTTGGTTAAACGCACCCCTCTTTAAACACAACGCTGTGTGCTGCTGCTGCAGCTATCAACATGGTGATGACAGGCCTGCTTTGTACTTGTGGATGTTACACAACCCCGCTCTGAGCCCATCTACCCTGTGTTATCGCTTACTTTCATCTCATTGTGAAACAGCTTACATTATTAACTGTTAATCTAATGTAAACAAAAAGTAGGGTTGTATATCAATATACTGATTTAAGTATTTAATAACACATTCCCAAACACACTCATAAATCATCAATAATGCACGCCAGTTGTGTTTTATCATTATGACCTGGCCGTTCCCAGAAAACTGTCCTCATGCCAACAACTCCAGATGGTTATATACAGCCTGTGTGTGTATATTTGTGTATGTGTGTGAGCTATGTACATACAGAATGTATGTTTTCCAGATGTGTGTAACCTCTGAGTGACTTACTCATGTCTTTCGGTAATCCCTAAAACAGAGCTTCTTCCTTGCAAGGGGGTGTTGGTCAGAACAGAGGTGGCAGTTTTTTTAACCTTGTGTATTATTTTGTGTAATACACTGCCTGTACTTGTTTATATTAGACATTATTGATCAAAAAAAGAGCCTCAAACATTTGCAAACTTTCATATTTTGAGATTTACCTTTTCCTAATTTATCAACGAATCAATCACTGATCAAAACTGCTATTTTTGTGTCAAGCTCATGTCACAGTTGGATTTAGCAGTTAGTTGGACTATGACGTGTGAAACTCTGGTCATTTTTGTACTGTGTTTTTAAAAAAAGCAACACAACATATGACTTTTCAAAACAATTCATTGGTCATGTTTTTTTATAACAGAGGAAACTCCCTCAGCCTCCTCCAATTCACTCACATCTGATGAAAAATGGGAAACTGTGTCACTTTAACAATCTCATTGGAGACTCGTATTAAAAAAGGCAAAAACAAACTGAATAAAGCGAGATAAATAATGTGTTAATTGATGATAAATTTACAAAACACTACACTGGAAAAGGGCTTAAATTAAGATACCCACATGGGTATGCACTTAAAATGACCTCTATCAAATGTGTAACACTGAGATTTCTTGAATTGTAGCAACTAATACATTTGTTTTCAAAACTAATATTTTGTCAGATATTGTGGAAATAAGTTTGATCAGGAATTCTTGTTTGTCTTTTGTTTCTCATGGAGCCCACTTCACTCAGAAACTATTCCTGCTGTCCTGAAGTTTCAGTTTCTCACATATGAAGACTGGTCTCATGTAATATACACGTTTATTTAACAGCCCTGTTTATTGATAATGATGACACCCTCAAGACGATCTCACTGTCAATGTTTGTGATGAAGTACTTGAAGTTGGCTGGTGTGTTTGTGAGTCCAGCAGTTCAGCAGACCCCTAAAAAGGGGAATCCTACCATTGTATGTAGGTACACTGCATCATATAATCAGTGCAAGCTCCTCTCAGAGACAACAAAAAGTTGTGTCCTCCAGCAGTAAATTCGCACCAGTTCAATCCTTAAACTCAGTAGCGGTCCATCACATTTGTGTGCCCGCAGTAGTCCTAGTCCCCGTGTCCATGTGCTGTCTGTTTTGAAAGACGGCACAGCATCTGCTTTTGTAATCCCTGGTTGAAGACAACAAGAATGTGAGTTGGCCCTCTCTGCTATTTTAGCTAGCACTGGCATTTGGAGAGTGTTGACTTTTAAAAACAAGGATGTTAATGATTTTCTGTTTGGCTTGTCTCACCACATTATGTGAGCACATATGATGTATCTGACAATGGTTTTGTCTTGTTATATCCCTGCCTGGATTAAAAAAATATGATCTACAGTTATTAAATAATTGAGTAGATTTTGTAATCACATCTTGGTGGTGGGCTTGCAGAAAGATATTCATAGAATTAATGGTTTGGTTAGTCTTTGTCTTCTGTTGATATTTTGTCCCACTGGAGACCACAAATATACAACCATCCATGCTTCAGGAATCGGTTCATGTTTTTACTTAGTTCAAGTGTCAGTATAAATGAGGCAGTACAACTCCTCACAAGTTTCCTTCCATGTCCTCAGCACCTGTTTTATGAGAAACTGAGTACTGTCCTTGTCTCTTTCCTTTCTTTCTTCAGGCTCCCCTCTTTCTCCCTCTCTCAGCACCTGTGTTAGTGGAAGCATAGTATACATACCAGACATACTTCAGGTCTCAATGGGCCATATTCATCCATGTCTCTGTGTGTATGTGTGTCTCTCTCTCTTGTTGTCTTGTTATCAACATCTGCTGAGTTATTTGTCTTTTTTTGGTTCTCAGACTCATAATCTGGTTGCTGTCTTTGATTCATGTGTTTTTCTTGGTCTGTCTTGTTTATGGGCTTTCCCAAGTTTGCTCAGCTTGTTGTATTCAGCTCAGACACAGAGGCTGTCTTACTGCAACAAGCTGCTGAATAACGTCATCTATTTAAGTACCTCTTTTCTTTGGCTTAAGCGTAGTTTCCAAGCCTTAGATGATGAGATTAGCAGGGTTTCGCTTGACTTCAAAGTCTTCTTAGTCGTGTTTAGGTTAGAAGAAGGTTTCCTTAAGCTTCAGTCTTATAAATGCAACGGTATATTTTCCCCTGTGTGTGTCATCTGGTCTTTGAAGCTGCTTTTTCTCTCCCCCTCAAGCACAGATCATTGCTCTATAGCTCTGTGAAGCATCACAAATTACTGCCACAACTCATGAAATGAACAAAAAACTGGCCTCCGTCTACTGTACACGACTGCAAATCTACTCTGACACCAACAGAAATCAGTGCACACTCTGGCATATTTCGCCTGCATAGGTCACTGGTTGTGTGAGATATTGTCTTACTAACTGTAGAGGCGTCCACATGTTTTCAATTAGTGGTAGGAATTCTGTACGTATGGATGAAGGAGTTCTCTGTGTCTTCTGTCTCGTCTTTCTGTCTTTTATGAGTACTACACACCCTGCAGCTTTACTTATGATAACACCTTTTTTTTTTCTCTTGCTTTCTCAGCTCTTTGTTTCCTCCCAGTCACCCATCTCTGCAGCGGACGACTTGTACATAGAGGGACTATCATCAGGTGACCTCCCCATAGACGATGAAGATGGAGATGAAGATGATTCTGGCTCTGGATCCGGAGACTACGGTAAGGAAACCTCTGCTTTTGTTTAATTATTATTGTATAGTCTTAGTTTATTCATTTAGGAAGGAAAATGGAGAGTTACACTGTGATTATCATCTTAGAATTGCACAGTGCCCACACGTCTATGTGATAGCTGGATGTAGGAGCGTAAATTAAAACGTAGGATATATTTACAGAAGTGCTACATTCTGGAACTTAATTGTTAGATTATCACACCTCATGGTCTGAAATCACATCTCCAGTTTATTAGTTTCACCAGTGAGTGACGTAAGCTTTGTAGACCCAGGACTCTCACACTCAGACACAGAAGCTCACTCATTGCCAGATGTTTGTCCGGTGGGGATTTGGAGTGAACTGGTGGAGTTTTTATGGGAGGAACACAGATGTCAAATATTTCTTCTTGATTGCTGACTCATCTTTCTATCCACAGTGAGTAATGTGTTGGAACAACAATGTGGGCAAAAGATTAAAACAGGGTTGGGTGAATCCCCATGAGTTATAACTCTCAACCGACTGGGTCAGTTAAAGTCCTGATAGCTAGTGTTAACATTTCATCACTGTCCCACATAAAACTCAAAACTCCAAGACAGAAACTTTTCCTGCGATGAGACAAACTGACTTGCTTTTGCTCTGTCAGTTCATTTTCCACACATCGAGTTATATGATGGTTTGTTTAATTTCCTCTAACCATAGAGTACTACCTCATCCTTAAACTTCCTGTGAGAATCACTTGGTTTATGAAGCCTTTGACAAAAACAATACCTCTTATCACTTTGCTGGTTTTATGCTGTAAATATGTGATTTAAAATTAGTAGCACAACAGTCCTATCTCTTTTTCAGCCCATGTACCATTGTTAATGCCAGAGATACAAACTTGTGCACATTACAGGGGAAACTTATCGACTAAGTGTCAATTTATTTTGTTCTCTTCCAGGTTTTGGTGACCTGGCGGATAAAGAAGAGCAACTCAAGAGGTTCCTTAACCTCTCCAGCACCACAGTCTCAAAAGAAACTGTTCCAGTTCAACCACAGCCAACAGCAGGGCCTCCTCCAAGCCCACAGCCCACAACAGTAGACAGCCAGGATCCTCTCACCACAGTGGAAGAGACCAAGCCCACACCATCCAACCCACCTGATGAGGACAGCAGTGATGAGAAGGTACAATTTGGTTTTCTTTTCTACAAATCCTCATTGTGAAAGTAGAATAAAGAAGCGTGTATTATTCAATATGTTCAAAAAAAGTACTAAAAATGTAACTACTCCACATGTTCCTCCAGGTTGCAGGTGTTGGCACAACAGCAGGTGTGTCCACTGGGAACACCAGTCCCAGCTCTGCCAGCACACCTCTCAGTGACACTACTTCAACCAAAGTTGGCATGGACGCCAGTGTGACAACTGATGCAGAGGACAACAGTGTTGATGTGTCAGCACCCAAAGGCAGTGAAGATGAGGTCCAGACCACAGAGGGTGACAATGAAATTGTGGCAAAAGATGGCAAAGGCAGTCGGATATATGAGATGGACACTCCTGAAGAGGTGACTTCAGAGAACCTGTGGGAGAGGACAGAAGTTCTGGCAGGTATGATTAACGCTCAATTAAGCTTCACTTGTTTTTTTTTTTTGTTCATGCATGTCTTATTCAGCAGGTTCAAGTCACTGAAATTTATAGCAACTGCAGTCAAAAATGGAAAAGATATATAGAAATGATAATAAAACCAACCTCATTGCCTGGAAGCAAGTCTTTCGTTTTTATGAATTGTGTTGACGATTGTTTTTAGGTTTATTATTATAAAGTGAGGTACCCAGTCATAAAAATATAAAAACTCTTTACTTATTTCTCCTCTAGCGGTGATTGCATGTGGAGTGGTCGGATTCCTCTGTGCTGTTTTCCTCCTCCTCCTCCTGGGCTACCGGATGAAAAAGAAGGACGAAGGCAGCTATGAACTAGGAGACGTCAAACACTCCTCAACGACCTATCACAAAGCACCTACCAAGGAGTTCTATGCCTGAACTGACTAACAGAGACTTTAAAGGGGGGGATTTTTTTTCTCCTCCCAATCAGAACTTCGATTAGGTGTAAACACACCTGAAGACAATTCCTCTCCATGGAGTTTGAAGTCTAGCATGTCTGTTCTTCTGCAGTGCCCCTTCCTGAGTTTTTGTCATCTTTCCAGCCTCGATATAGTGACCATTGTTTGTGTGAAAGAGGTCATAGGTGATAAATGAGCCAGTTCAATCACATTCTCATCGCTCCACTCTGACTAAGGTGGTGAACGCTAAATACCCATTCTAAATCTGAAGAAAGGAATTTTTTTTTTTCAATTACTTACAACTTTTTGGTCTACAAAAGAATTCATCTTTAAGTATTGATAACACTGTGCCTTTACACTCACTAAACTTCTCAATGCTGATCCACACTGAGCTGGACTTTGTTCAGTATTACAGACAAATTACTTGTCCCATACAGCAGAGTGTCAGCCTGAACCATTGCAGTTCAGCTCAAAAGCATAGAGAAAGTTCAGTGTATATTTAATAGCCTTAATGCATTTTTGAATAGACACGGTACCAAATATGAGATTAATGTTACAAAGAGCCTTCAAATTTGTTCTTTTCTTTAAGGGTAAATTTGCTCTCTTTGTTAACATTGTGACATTTCATTTTCTGTATACTTGCTTTGCTAAATTGAAGATTGTTTGGTTCCAAGGATGTTTTTTATATGTTGTGCAGTATTGATATGAGAGGCTTTGTTACTCTGCAGGTACATATTTTTTGTTGTTCTCTCATAGATATTTGTTCAAATATAAATGTGCTTTATTTGTCTTTTTCAAAGTTATTTTTAGTAGTATTTTCAATATGTTGTGTTTTTTAAGAGATTATATCTCATTAAGCCATTTTAATAAGAACTTTTTTGTCTTTTCATTGAATTCATACAAGAGTTAAGTCTTGAAGCTTACCTCTGTCTTGCATACACAATATTTCAGGACTTTTTTTATGGGACAGGGTTGCTAAGGTAGAGCCAAGGCTAATAACTATAATTCTGAAACCGTAGAAGTAACCAACATTTTCTGAGGACTGCCAGAGCACATTCCTGTCTCACTGTCAACTGTATACAGCTAAAACAGCTGGTTTGCATTTAAAGGGACAGTGGCAGTATGTAGTGTTTTTACAGTATCAGTATAGAGTCAGGATGCATTCTCACAGCAGGGCTGGAGAGTTGCACACAGTTATAGAAGTAACTTTAAATCTCAGCTGTTATAAACAGTTTGAAAGACTGGGGTGTAACAACATAGTCACACATTCACTTTAGTTTGTTGCGATACTCTTGAGTAACATGTCAGGTTTTGAACATATGTTTCCTCCTTTTTGTTCTTTACCTCAGCCAGCCAGCGAGCAGGGACTTCTCTCTAGATTTAGTGAGGATTCAGGAGGCAGTTAGCAGCGACAACGGGGTAGTGTTCCCATATGAGACAACATTGATTTTACACCCTGTAAATTATGTTTCAGATGATGTGCTGAGGAAAAGCCCTTCGTAAAATCTCAGCTACCTCCTCCACATCATGTGTCATAGACCAAAACTTTTTCACTTCAGCCTCGACTTGACCAGGGGGAGACTAGTTGTGTTGAAGCAGCTGTATTTGTGGCCTCTAAAGATAATGAAGAGGTCAGCTCCAGATGAGGGGTCAGTGATTGAAACATGCAGAGAGATGGAGGACTAAGTGCTGAAACTGTGACCACCTATTCTCACAACCTCATGAAAGTACATTTGTTTCAGGTTGTTTTGTTTCTGCTGCTTGGAATATGCCAACTTTGACTCAGTTGTCACAACACAAACATTAAACTGCTTAATGCAAACAGGATGATAAATATCAAAATGGTGTGTGACACTGTATTTGTCTTCTGTCCCTGACTTGAGGCTTTTAACAGTCTTGACATGATATAGGTTTCTTCCAATAGCTGAAAAGACTATTTAATGGAGTTGTTAGTGTAAATGCTAACTACCTATTCTCTATGGCTGGAATAAACAAAGTTCTTACCACCGATCCACTGTGATTTACTTGATAACATGAACATTTTGGCTGTTCTTGAATGCTCAGTGCCTCAAAACACATTGTATACATTACCGGTGCTTCTGCAGCACTAGTCTCATGCTTTAATAGTTAAGGACTTGACTCATTTTTTCATCCACACCAATAAAACATTCAGGGGGTCTCTGATAATTCCTAAGAGGTATACGACAGCTGGTTAGCACTTGCTACCAATCCAACAGAGGATGACACAAAATAAGCGATCTGTTGTGGGATCACTGTTGGTTTCCACAGTATGCTGATGATATAATTTATATGTATTAATTTATGCTTGTTCAGAATAAAATCCAGGTTATCAAAACAGCAATGAAGTGGGATTGTACAGTATTTACAAATGGATGAAGCATCTTTGTTATTGTTACTGTTTATGTTTTTAATATTTATGGTTATAGATTATTCTACAGGTGTGGTTCAGTTCATTTTCAATTTCATCATTTGCTGTCTTGGAATTTTTAAAGTAGTACTATGTAATCCTTATAAAAACTTACTCACCTCTACTTTTATTTGTTTAGAAGTTGACTTTGAATTGACTGAAGCCCTGTTTTAATAAATACACACCTGCACAATGGCACAATGATGGGGACCAACCAAAATAAACAAGAGGGAAATGGTGACAAAGAGACCAAAGATGGCCAAACAGTACAATACAACTGTGTTAATGAAATAGTGTATCTCACAGGGTTCACTACTGAATAAAAAGGTGGCTTTAATGCATTTCTAAAACATTGTTTGTCTTTCTTTTTTTTTTTTTTTTGGGGGGGGGGGTTACATAGGCTCTAACTCAGGGTGCTTCTTCCTTCTGGGATATGCTCATACCTATGTGCTACTCAGCCATATTTTTACAGACACATATTTTCAAAACCTCTGTAGTCAAAGACATATTCATAAAGAAATTAAATCGAAGACCAGGCTCCTGATTTCTAAGTCACTTGACTTGACAGTCATAGTTGGTAATGAAGACTAAGAGAAGTGTTAAATTTCTGTACTTTGCAAGGTCAGTTGCAGGTAAAAGCACTCCATTGTAGATTTTTGTACCTCTTGTTTGCACAGTCGCACAGGAAAACATTTCCTCCAAGCCTCAACCATCCAGCTTCTTCAAACCACTGTGTTAAGTCAAGCCAGCAGTGTAAAGAAGGAGCCAAATGGTCAGTTGTTTTCCAAAAACTGCTAACGCAGACACAAACGGCAAAGGCAACAGTGGAAGGAGGGTCTAGTGAAAGACAAGGGCATCCTGTGTCCTAAAACAATTTACAAAATGCAAGGGCCCTATCACCTAGCATGCAGAGGTCAAACTCTGTCATAAACCTTTGTATTTTTCTAAATCCTGAAATACTTTAAAATAATGTTAAAGATATGTAAAATAATCTTGGCTTCTTCACAGGGTGGGAGATTGGTTTGGAAGCCGATGACTGCAGTAGAACGTGGACTTATGGCAGAGCAGGATGGGAAATGAAACCTCAGAATGGGACGTGGGCAGAGAAATTATGTGTTTTCTATGATGAGAGCATAACATATTTCCAGCACTGGACAACTGTCTAAGAACTACAGTTATAGGCAAGGTCATATGTAAAAGTTGGAAGGAGCAACAGCATACAAAACAAAGACTTACTGTAGAATTTTGAAGAAACGAATCTTTAGTAGAAAGTATATCTTTGCAATTTAGTATTCAGTGAGGAAAGTATCTAACTGGGCTGTTTCTTGAGAATATCAAAGTGCAATTTTGTCATTTTATCTAGCATGGACTAAAGTGCTTTATTCATTTATTTATACAAACACTGGCTTTGTAAACAGAATTACCAGGAGGATCAGTGGGGTTGTATGTCAAAGATTGTTATAAGAAAGTTACTGATACCATGCAGCTAGGGAGGATGTCAACAGAGCCGACCCGAGCCTCAATGGGGCCCCAAGCAAAATTTGATTTTAGGGCCCTCTTTTTCTGCCAATAATATTGATTGTTGATCACCCACACCCCTACACAAATCTCTTTGATTAACATTCCATGACATGCAAGCATACCTTTATCTTTGTGTTTTTTCTCTTCCTCCTCTGTTTTTTTTCTGCTCCTGAAGGACATGTCCTTTTTTTGCGACATTTGTTTGACCTACAACTACCTGCACTTTGGATGCTCAGTGCACATTGCACAGCAGAAGGCACATAGCAGTAGTGGAGCTTTAACATATCGGCAGTAAGAATCATAGGCTTACATCAGCAGCAGCACTAAAATGTTTTTACTTTATTTTATTTTATTTTATTTCAATATTAATATATGTTTGGTCATACAGAAAGCATCACTCATACATGCAAAAAAAAAAAAATCTTAATTGCTCTTGGGGGGCCCTAGTGGCTTTTCTTCTCTTTTCTTATATTTTATTTTGGAGTCTGAAGTCGTCGCTCGAAACCGGTGCTTTTGACCTTTTATTGTGAAAATCCAGACCGGACATGAAATACCGGGCACGCTGAAATCACGAGCGCGGAAGCAGTGTTCGGTGTGTTTACTTTCAGTGTTGTGCCTCGAGACTACTAAACTCAAATCTGTGTGAGGTCTTTCTGCAACAACAAACCGAACCAAGTGGGACTGAGGGGTTTGTGTTTGTGTTACTTTTTAGTTCTTTGTAGTTTTGTGTTAATTGTTGATACAGAAGATGTTTAGTTACTCTGTTTAGTTATAAACATCGGATAGTCAATAAATAGAAAGCACGTATCACAGCTACTTTTGGTGCTCTAGGGTTAAGAGTGTTAATGCAATAATAACTGATATTGTCAGAATAAGCTGGCTGAACTGTTTGATCAGTGATGCACACCTAAGACCCTCAAATATTTCCTTTGGCTGTCACTTTCAAACAGTCCCGTGGAGCTCTTATCAGTGATCACACTTGTTTTTTATTTGCAGATGGCTCAGGAAAGTGGACTGTACCCCCTCCTCTTCTTCTTCCTCTTGTTTCTGTCATCTCTGTGTGACTGTCATCTACATCCAGAGGCAGTGAACAGGGCTGTATCCAATCAGACTGGAAGGAGAGGTAAAGACAAACCCTCTAACCACTTCACACTGAGAGATGGATGGTTTTAATTTATCCTTAGTTGTACAAAATGTTTTGAACTTAAACTAAATGTTTATGAATTACAAATCACATTGGCTGAAGTAGTCTGTTCTGCTTTCCTATGCATGGTATTTTAAGGACAGGTCTTTGTTAAAGCCTGGAATTTACAAATTCAACTTTAGTTTTATGGCACTTTTCAGACAAAAAAATGCAGTTCAAAGTGCCTCACAGAGACTAAAAACAACAATTAACATCAATAAAACCCGAACCTCCCACCCACACACCCACCCATGGATCCCTCCACTCACAAAGACACACACCCACCCTAACTCACCCATGCACACACACACACAAGCACACACAGTGTGAGAATTTAAGATGTATTGTTGAAGAGTCATGGCCTGACACTGTAACATTAAGTGAGGAAAGAGCTACCTTTGGGAAACACTGGAGATAAAAGATAAAAAACAGAAGATAAAAAATAAAATTGTAAAGAGAAAGAATAAAACCTGATGAACTAAAACAAGAAAATAATATTAAATGAACAGATAAGTAAGAGCTCTACCATGTAAAAGGGGGAAAATAAGTAAAAACCTCCAAGACAGGAATTAAGAAAAAGACTAAGAACAGAGATGATTAATAAAATAGGCAATAAGAACTTTGATTAAAACGAACATTTGCAATAAGAGAAATATAAAAAGGCAATTAGTGAAAAGCCTGGTTAAAAAGGTGAGTCTTGAGCCTCTTCTTGATGATGGGCAAATTTACAACATAGTGGCCATCAGTCCATCTGCATGTCTACTGAAGTGGCAAAGACACTATTGTACCTGCTGAGCCATTGCAGGGATGGCATATTGTTGACCAAGTGAGACTTTTAACCTCATATTTTGTTTGCTTTTGTTTGTTTCTATGTTAATGCAGAGTCACACATAGTTGAAGAGATAGCAGGCTATGCTGATGTGGCCAAAAAGATTATTGACCTGGCTGTGTCTGGTGCCGCTCAGAACCGCTCCTACACACGACTGGCTGACTTCACTGACACCATAGGAAACCGTGTCAGTGGCTCACAGAACTTGGACATGGCTATAAAGTACATGTATAATGCTATGACACAGGATGGGTTGGATGTACATCTCGGTGAGTATACCTTAATATTGGGATGTTATAGCAAGATATCATCAAGGTGCAGTGAGTATCATTAAAAAAAAGATCAGTTGACAAATGATGATTTCGGGGATGGCTTGTCTTTTGGTTACTGTGACAGTTGTGTTTTGTCTCATTATTTTCTTTTCTAGAGCCAGTAAAAATCCCACACTGGGTGAGAGGGAAGGAGAGTGCAGAAATGATTGCACCCAGGGCTAAAAATCTGGCTATACTGGGACTTGGCAGCAGTGTAGGGACACCACCTGAAGGTATTAGCCAGTGTCTACAGGATAAAGCCATTTAAAGCCTTTCGTTAAACTTTCTCTTACTCTTTGTTGTCTCATTCTTATCTCTTCAGGTATTGAAGCAGAGGTGTTGGTGGTTAAATCTTTTGAAGAACTGAAGCGCAGAGCCAGTGAGGCTGTGGGGAGGATTGTTGTCTTTAACCAGCCATTTGTCAGCTATGGGGAGACGGTGGCTTACCGTGAATATGGAGCCTCTGAGGCAGCCAAAGTAGGAGCTGTGGCAACACTAATTCGATCTGTTACTCCATTCTCTATTAACAGGTATTCATCCATAAGAAAAACTTACAGTATTTCTGCTGATGCTGATTGAGGCTCTATAAGGCAGGGATTTGGCTCTCATCTTCAAAAACAGGTCAACAGATGGTATTAGAAGTTATTTAGAAGACTCGTGTCTTTTTCTTTGCTGCTCCAGTCCTCACACAGGTTGGCAGGATTACCAAGATGGAGTGAAGCACATCCCCACAGCCTGTATTACTATAGAGGATGCTGAGCTGATGTGGCGAATGGCACAGAGGGGACTGAAGATTGTGGTCAGACTCACAATGGGAGCTAAGACTCTGCCAGATGCCGACTCCTTCAACACAGTGGCAGAGATCAAAGGCTGGCAGCACCCTGAGCAGGTTGGACTCACACTCCTATTTCATACACCATCTGTCTGACCTATTTGGGTGTGTTCCTTATCATGTTAGAGTTGTTTTGTAGTGTTTAGGTGTTTGTATGGGCCTTGCAAAAGTAATTGAGAGTGGCAAAGATGTGAAATTTATTTTAGAATAAAAGATTCTTTATTTTTTGCCCCCCTTAAAGTTTTTGCTCGGTCCTTTTCTTAATTTTGTTCAGTAAAAAAAGTACCATAGCCTCCTTTTGCTGACTACGCATATTCCCACCTCTGTTGGGTCTGCTTTTAGTTTGCTACGCTTTGGAAATGCTCTGATAAGCCATTCATGTAAATAGGTTTCACATGGAAACACTTTTTTGTCCAGCTGTTAGTGCTGTTTCTTAATACGTTTGTTTTTTCTGATTAAGTCCCAAAAACTAAGATATTCATCCATGTCGAAACCCCTAAACTCCCAATTCTTTGGTGCATTTTCACTTCACATGAAAGAGACTTAATCATCTTGATTTGTTTTAGAAGGACCTCATGTTCTCTGGACAAGGTAGTTAGTTCTGTATTCTCCAGAATAGGACATCCAGTTTAAAGGAACACAAACCCCGTATTCACCATTACACTTGAAGAATATGAATTTGTGGGCTCTCAGCTTGAAGCCTATTGCTGCGAGGAGTCAACATGTTATCTGACTCAGCTTGAAGATATTCAAAAGTGCTTTGAAAGTGTGCCCATAAGGAGCCAGACATGTCTAGCAGGTGGAACCTGATAAACAGATATAGTGCTGCTGCACAGATCTCTGCATGCATGCAAGTGTATTCAAAGGACACAGTGTAAAAAATACTTAATACACTTGAGGCTACTCACAAAGAAACTCTTCACAGACACTCTTTGGAGGTTTGTTTGATTGTTTGATCAGAGTAGTTTTGACCATCTGAACAAAGGTGAGTGGGGCTCTTCCTTGTCACAGGAAGGGTCCCAGGTGGGGTTAAAGTAGCATATCATGAATAGAGCAGAGTATGTACATGCTATTTGCATGTAGCTGTGAAGAGGGGTGGTAAATCTGTGGGTAACAGAACTGCAGAACAGCAAAAAAAAAACAATGTGGGGGAAGCTACTTGTCAGGCGTTTTTGTGTAACACACACTGGAGGCCTGTGTGTGAAAGTTCTGGTGTCATTTGTGAAACATGGTGTGTACTCTACACACAGGTGGAGGTTATCTGGCATGGGTGTTTTTTTATTATTCCAAGGAAGTGTGTATATTCAATTCAGGGCTCCTGTACACAATGTAAGCTCCGACTAGAGGTGTTTTGTTGGCAGTTGGAGGTAGATGGGTGTGCACTTGGTATTTCCCAGTGTGAGTATGAGCTGCATGAAAGTTTTCTCTCCCTCACACGCCACAAAACTTGCCAGTACAAGGCCTGCTAATTTAGTTCTACATCCTAACATTGTAGTCTATGACGGCTGAACTCACACCATATACTGTATCTCAGCACATACCAGCTTGTGTGATTACAGTTAACTTTCTTCATCTTCTTCACAAACTGCAGCCTCTCTGACTTCATTTGTGGGCTAACTGGAAAATCAGTCAGAAGACTTGGATTAGATGAACACTGCTGATGTAATCTGTTACTGTTCTGATCTGGGAACTAACCAAAGCATAGTCCCTCATTATAGAAAAGGGAAATGAAACACATGGCATAAGTGACATCATATCTGGCTCTGGGACTCTGTGGTCCAGCTGGTGGTAGCAGCGCTTGTGGTTGCAGTGTTTGTGTATGTGCGCACTTATTCACAGAGAGATGTCCCTTTGAGCTGAAGTGGGTCATTTCTACAGTTTAGCCTTTCAGGGCCATCTGAGGGTAATGAGAACTTTTTCCACCCACTCGTCTTCTAAATCCTCCACATCTTTTCATGATAACTTGCACTTTTCGAACCTAAAATGTCTTGACGTGTCAACCGTCGGACTATAATTACACAAGTCGTGATGCTAGACTGTAATCGAGATGAGGGCTGGTTGTAAATTTTTGTTTGTAGCATCTTTACCACATGCGAGTGATCCACATCTGAACATCTCTTTCATATCTTCTGATGTGTCATGATTTTGAGGAATTGCAGTACACTTATTTGTTCTCTCTTTAACACGCTGTAAAAAGCAGCCAAAAACAAACCACTGGCAAAACTAGAGTGCCATGACTCCTGGGATCACTGTCATGCTCACACAGGCAAAGGGTCTCTCTTTAAAGACCCTTACATTATCAATACAAATGTAAAAATACAACAGAAAGGTCATCCTCATTGGGCTTAGACATGTATGATTGTCCTGGGGTTTCAGCACTACTTACACTATCTGTGTTTTCCTGAGGAATTTCCAACTTGGAGACCGAGCTATTAAATACCTAATTGTGTTCTGTAGCCAGGTGTGCACCCTTCCCTGGCAGAGAACAAGAGGAAGGCCGTCCTGACACGCAAAAGTACTTAAGTGAATCATTGTGCCTACAGCAACTAATCTGTGTGTCATTTTGCCTCTGTTCAAGTGTGTATGATTTTACTTATAATACTGGCATAGTCAGCTATTAAGAGATTAGATTATTGTTAGTTTTATTTAATAAAGACCTCCAAAAGTGGATACAAGCATCTAGGCCCTTACAGCAATGCTAACCTGCTTCTTTTAGGATATTCAATCTAGTATACTTGTATTCTCAGACTCAAAAACAAATGGAACTTATTTTGCTGAAGCTGAGCAGGAATTTGGTTTCAAATCAAAGTCTTAGTCTAATTCATGTATTTTTAGGGCACCATTACTTCAGTCTGAACCTGAATTGTGGTGGACTGAACTGTGACAGCCTGACAGCTATACTACTGGCCTAACTAAAAGCAGTATAAGCATTTGTGTTGCATAAGATTTAAATGGTACGTGTAGCATCAGGGTCAGTGTTTATATCAGACAGGCTCAGGTCAGAAAATGTTTCATAACCTGCAACATCAAACCAGAGAGAGTTACACTGATGGGAATACCATCCTGTAAAATTCCCAAAATGCTGCAGTTGCTCTGAACTTCATGTTTTTGTCTTTGTTTTCCTGTTTTTCTTTTTCAATGAGTCGGCCTGTGTCCTCGCTGATAGAAAGTGTTTTTTTTTTTAACTAGAGTTCAATTTGAGTGACATCTTGTGTTTAGAATGTGTTTGACTGTAATACAAAGACAGGAAATGGATCAGATAATGCTTTTTTATCCTCATGTCTTGCAATTATAAAAATGGTGAGTGTCTCAGCACTCTCACTTTGGTCTCTCGTCTCCATATTTATACCTGCCCGTATACCTGTTCAATCTCTTAGGTTGTCTTACTGAGCGGTCATTTGGACAGCTGGGATGTTGGCCAAGGTGCCATGGATGACGGAGGTGGAGCCATCATTTCCTGGGAGGCTCTTTCCCTCATTAAGGAGTTGGGTATGACAGAGACAGATGTATAGAAAAGCACATAAACAGTATGGTGACACCTTTGTATCTCTGGAGAAAGAAGCATATAAAGTTTATAGATGGCAGAAAGCTTACACAGCTTCAACGCAAATTTACAGTCAAGTAGATGATTAACTTTTTTTTTCAAAGCATGTTTGTTCTCCTTAATCAGCACAATTTCCTCTTTAAACAAGTGAACAGGTAGAAACGGTAGAACTGTAACAGCTGGTAGAACAATATCCAAAACCAAGTGTTGTAAATCATCGTGACTTGGATTCATTTTTGGTTTCACTCTTTATACATCTGCCTGGCCATTGAACTCTAGTGAGCAGCTAGAAAACACCATGAAGAGAGAGCAGACTATCGAGTCCTAAATTTAAAGTCAAATACTGTAACAAAACAATTCCTTGGACTGTAAACTTTGATTTCCTACAACTGTGTGAGGAGGAAAGGAAACACTCAGGAGCAGGAAACCGGCTGGGATACACAGTTTGGTCTTTTATGAAAAAACAAAACAGTGCCATTGAATGAATGAGTCCATAGTTGTACAGGTTTGGCTCTCCACGAGTGCAAGATTCAGTGATGGAAGGCCACTATATGTGTGCATATACTGTATATTCGTCTATATACTCTGTCCTATCCTCTGTATATACGTTTAACTCTGTTGCTTTGTGTGTTCAGCGAAGTCTTGGTCTGTTTACAGGTTTGCGCCCACGGAGGACCCTGCGTGCAGTGCTGTGGTCAGCTGAGGAGCAGGGCGGTGTCGGGGCACAGCAGTACTATGATCTCCACAAGGTACTTGCTGCTGTCACTTCAGTGCTACATAGAGAACATACACATACTTGAGGACAGCATATTTCCTTATGTAATAAAGAGCAGGAAAACAGCAGTCCTCTGATTTATAACCCACAATAAAGAACAAAAAGGTTTGGTGCAGTAAACCTGAAAAGAAGGTTTTTTTTACTGAGTACAGAGCATTTAAATAGACTGTTTAGTTCCTCCATCTCATGTCATTAGAGTTAAAAATGCCTCAGTTGCTGTTAAAAACATCCAATACCAATCCAGTAGGTTTATATGGAGATTTTTAAGTTGCTTACTATTTTATTTGAATTGGCTTTAGTAGTTTTAGGTGCTTTGTTATATGTCCATGCTCTCCGCCGATATCTCTTTGTCTTTCTCACCACTTTTTTCTTTTTCCTCTCTCTGCTCAGGTGAACATGTCCAACTTTGACATAGTCATGGAATCTGACATGGGGACCTTTGCTCCTGTGGCACTGCAGTTTGCAGGGAGTGATGCAGCCCGAAAGGTGGGATGAAAAGCTAAACTTCAGCCGGTCTTTAATCTCCTTTTTCTCTCTATTTCACACACCACATATTTTCAGAGAGTGTCTCCTCAAAGGTTCCTCCAAAGCAACTAATTACCCTGTTATTTAACTGGAAACTCAAATCCCCACTAGTCTGCAGATACGAAAACCCTCAGAAAACAGTCACAGTTAAACAACATGGCTAAACACGGGATCAGAATCTGCAGGTAAACACTGTTCAATCGGTTTGCGAAGATGCACCATTCATCTTCAGTCTTCATCCCTGTGCTGGTAACACATTGCTCCAGTTAAGTGGTTGTACACCAGTATGAGCATACACACCCTGAGTTAAAATACTGCCAAACTCTAAGATGCTTTCTGTCTTCAGTGGATGGATGTGTCTGGGTTGTAAAGCATCATGCACTGAAGCTTCAACCCTGTCTAGCTATGGTACACCTTAGGCACAGTAAATATTGTATTATGGACCTACAGCAATAAAGACATTAAAGATTCATTGAACCAGTGAGTTACCTTGGTGCTGACTAAATTTAACTGTTTAGTCAGCGAAATTACTTCAACATCCCCTCTTCTTAGATCTGAACTGGGAATCAATCTGACGACCAGTGTGATGAGGACTGTAGCCTCTGTACATGGGGTGTCTGCTCTACCAACTGAGCTAAACCAGTGCCCAAGATCTTAAATCTTTCATTCAGATCTTTACTTAAATTGTCATTTGAGTTGAGGGTATTCTGACCTGTGTGTCAAATCACAGATTAAAATAAACCTCTACCACAAAAACCACCGAAGTAAGCTCAGAAAACCAACCCTGAACCACAGACATGCTGGGTCTTCTGTATGAATGTGGCTGTGGTGTCTCACTACAATGGTCCTGCAACATTTAGTATGGTAAAGATAAGATAAGATGTTTCTTGAATAGTCCCATAGGGGGAAATTCCAAATTTAAAGCAGCATAGTACAGACGTACAGAGAGAAAATAAAGGATAATGAAACTTAAAGTTAAGAAAAAAGCAAAAGAAAAAGATGTTCATAAGTACATGAATAGGCAATAATTTAGATGATGTTGAACTTATTGTCCAAAAGCGCTGACTGTGATAAACAGATGCACTAACTCTGTAACTGTATCAACAGGTTATGGAGGAAGTGGTCAAACTCTTGGCTCCCATCAACACCACCAAACTGGAGACACACGGAGAAGGGACAGACATCTCACCTTGGCTGCAGGCTGGTGTACCGGGTCAGAATTTATCTATTTCGCTGTATTGTTGAAACTTACAGCTAATGTTATTATAGAGAAAAATCATTGAATAAAACTTACTGATTGTGGACAATAAGGAAGTATGCTAAACCTGATTAAACCCCTACAGGATCTTAGTATATCATAAAGCCATAAACAGTCACTCCAGAAAGTGCTGTGTAAACAGTTTCACATCCTCATGGTGAGCTATGGACAGAATATAGTATGATGTAGGCAAGTAGAAGGGAGTTTCAGAATTAGAATTTCTTTGTAAAGATGAGTAAAGTTGTGAGAAAGTAACTCCTGCATGAATCTTAGGCTTGATGTGGTTAAATGTGGACTGAACCTTTCATATAACAAACCACACACAACAGAACCAGAGTGATTTTATTTGTATGCTGTTTGTTCCTTTAATAGAGTATTATTGTTGTTTTGATAAATTATGACTCAATCACACCAATCAGTCTGATGCTGATGGATCCTAACACTCTGCTGCACTTAGTGGAAGTTATGGCCCCTGATTTCAGATTTTCTTTTTCAAATCAAGTCATGTGGATTTAAAAACAAAAACAAAACGGGTGGGCATATGATGAGTTTTTATCAAATCTCAGCAAACTGAACAAGCGCACTTGATCTAGCAGGCTGATTGGAGAGTCGCAGCTTAATCCTGAATCTCTGTGCACCCGTCAGTTACAGAGGATGGCAGGCTCTATTATAAAAGACTCCCACCATTAAACTAAATTTCAGCTTCTTCCCTCTGGACATAAGTTGAAAAGTACCAGCCTGTGAAACCAAGCGATTAAAAAAATGGCTTTGTCACAGCAGCCATTAGGGAGATCAATGAGTCATGGTAAAACAGCAATGATGGTCTAGATAAAAACTTTGCACGACTTATCGACTTTTTCTAAATCTTTTTATTTTGCTTTTTTAAATCTTTTTTTTTCTCTCTTGGGACGTTTAAACTTGCTTTAATTTACCACATTTTTATTGGTTGATAGTTTTATTTCTATTCTGTTTTTATTCTTCTGTGCTTTTACTGATAGCCTATTTTATCTTGTTCTATATTGATTAACTGAGGGTTACCCTTAAGCACTGAGCACTTTTGTTTGTCACGTTTTGTCCTGTGCTGTGTGTTTGTTGATGTGTAAACAGCTGACTAAATCGACCTACAGGTACCAACAAAGTAACCTTGAACCTTTTTAAAAAATAATTTCCAAAAATTAGTCCTCTCTGGGACCTGGAGAGCGAAATAAGTTTGCAAACATGTAATAGAGGTTATTCTGATTCTGCAGTATAAATCTTGTAAATAACTGTAATTCACAGAGTTGAAAGACTTTTTGTGCACCTAATTGTCAAAAAAGTCTTTCCAGTATCTATTGAACATCTGCCAGCCAGTGTTATTGACCTTTTTCCTGGTTTTGGTTGAGGTTATGTGGTCCAGACATATTGTCTTTATCTCTCTCGTTTGTTGGAACTGAAATTGCTTTAAACTCAGAAAAATGTTCTGATACAACTTTAAAAAGACGAACTGAAAACAAAATGAACAGCAAAAAAAGAAAAATAACCCTTGAGTCAAAAGTTCCTTGGAGAAATGTGGTTTCTAAAAAAATAGAAGTGGGTTCAGTGGAAAGAGGAAATTATTTTGCCTATTGGAGAAAGTGAGAAAAAGTGTGATAATCCATTCACTCAAAAGTTACAAAACCTACAAAAGTCACCCAAAGTCAAATCTTTCACATCTCTTTCCTGTAAGGCTTTGCAGTGATTTGTTTAACACACTGCAGCCAGAAATAGTGCACTTTTGTTTGGTAGCTAAGACTCTTTTAGTTCCCTTTGTTATCACCTCTTCCATCCTGCAGCTACCCGTTAAATCCCTGTGACAAGTAGGGGTGGGAATCACTAGTGGCCCCACAATACGATATTATCACGATACTTGGCCCACGATACGATATTATCACGATACTTGGCCCACGATATGATATTATCACGATACTTGGACCACAATACGATATTATCACGATATTTGGACCACGATATGATATTATCACGATACTTGGACCATGATACAATATTATTGCTATTTTTAACGATTTGCAATACACTGAGTATTGTGATACAATATATTGTGATTTATACAATTTTTTCAACTGTTTAGCTAATTTAGCATTTGGCTTTCTTTGATGTTTGCCTTATTTGTGCTGTATTTTGTTTTCATGTTGCACATCTTGCAAACTTTATATATATTTGTTGTACTAACTTTCTCCTGCTCTATGATGTCACTTCTGCCAACCTCACAGGACAAACAGTTAATTTTATTTTTCCATTATCATAGATTTGACTCCGTATTAGCAATTAATTTGAAAAACCGATACTTGGTAAATAAGAGAATACGATATATTACCAGACAAAATATCACGATACTATGCTGTATCGATTTTTTTCTCCCACCCCTCGTGACAAGGAAGTACCTTTTCTTCTTCTCTCATCCAGGTGCCAGCCTCCATGTTGCTGACAGTCGATACTTTTGGTTCCACCATAGCGAAGGAGATACCATGACCGTCCAGGACCCCCGAGACATGGACCTCTGCTCAGCTCTGTGGGCCGTGGTTGCCTATGTGGTGGCAGACCTTCAGGACATGCTGCCAAGGTAGCTAAGTAGCATACAGGAAGTAAAGCTTCTCAATAAACTTGAGATCAAGTAGATTTGTACAGGAAATTGATATTAACAAATGAAATGTCTGTAGACGAACACCTGAATGTGAGAGAGGATCAAAAGATAGTTTGAATAACTTCTTAACAATTATAAATCAGTTTTAGTTAAATAACATTCAACCTAGGATTTTAAATGTTTTATATGAGGTTCTTGTTCTCTGAATAAAGTTCTCATACTTTTATTTTGGATGAATTGAAATGTAGTTAAAACTGTTTCATTTAAAAAAAAAAAAAATGTTTTAAAGACCGGATGGAATCACATGATGTAGCCCAGGGTTTTTGCCCTGACTCTTTTAAATGTCATGCAAATCCAAACATAATAGATCCTTTTGTTATAGTTTTTCAGCGGGGAGGGACTCAGATTGCTCATGTGACGGGAGGGACTGCATCTTTTTTCAATCATGTTTAAATGCTGGTTTACTGAATGATATGAGACCAAGAGAATGGGAACTGTTAACTTTCTCAGGTACTGTGCTCGTCTTAATGCTTTTATACAATCTTCAGAAAGAGGATGAGGATTTGTTACTTTCTGCTGCTATTGAGACAAAACCCTCATCTTTAAAATGTTTGTTTTAATGAGCTTTAAATCTGTTTTTATAAGGTTACAGTACAGTTCTTAATTGTTAGTCTTGCCTGTGTTCTGCCAAACATTTGTTGAACACTTGTTTCCTGCCACCACAGAATGAGGATACACTTTTATCCTGAGAAGTTATCCAGATGATTTAATAAAAACAATAAAGCAAAAAGGATTGCATTAGACAGTTTCCCTGTCTCTTATTTCATCATTTAAAAAAATAAAGACATGAACAAGCAGGAGTATATCTGAGTTATTTCTGAGAGAAAAAGAGATCAATGGAGAGACAAACTGACGCACAGAGAGTTTGGGTCTCTCTTTGCTCATGAATTAAAAACAAGATGGCTGAGAACTAAAAAATAAAGATATTCACAGGAGGTCAAGATGTAAGATGTAAGAGATAGACTAACTTTGTTTTCACTGAGATGAGATTGATAAATGGTTTCTCTTTCAGCCAAATGTCTATTTTGAACTCAACCTTTGATTTTGACCACACACTCAACATTTCAGGGAAGTTTAGTGCCAGTGTTTTTATGACTGTTTGAATATTGTAATAGGTCTGAATTTAAACTCTTAGACGGTCCATAAATGTAAAGGTATTTTACATTTTTATGAAATGTAAAACTCCAATCTCAGAAAAGCCAGGACTCTGTAAAATGCTGTTAAACACAAATTTTGATGGTTTGCAAATCATTTAAGCCCCAAATCGAATGGAAATTGGTACGAAGACAGCATATCAACTGTTAACACTGTAACATTGAACAGATTTTATAAAAAATAAATGCTTATTTTAACGGTGATGCCAGTGATACGTTTCAAACCAGTTTAAACAGGAACAACAAAAAAACAAAATGTCTCCAATCTAATAAGATCAATTCATCACAGGTTAGAACTGTGACTGGGTAAAAGGGTGGTCCTCTTTGCAGGGCGAGTTTCAGAAGTAATGCTGGAAAGAGGTTCACCGCTCTGTGAGCAAACAGTTCAACCATTTCAGAATAATGTTCCTCAAAGTATAATCACAAAGAATTTTCAGATTTAGTAATCAACATAAAATTGAGTCATTAAAAGATTCAGAGAAGAAGGAAAAACTTTCAAAAGGAACAAAGTAAAAACCAGTACTGGATGGCCCTGATCTTTGGGCCCTCTGTATTAAATACAGTCATAAGTCTGTGGTGGAAATCACAGCATGGGCTCAAAATCACTTCCAGAAACCACTGTTCAGCGCTGCATCCACAAATGCAAGTTAAAACTTTACCGTACAAAGGAAGAACCATATGAACATGATTTAGAAACTCCGGCAATGTCTCTTTAAGACGATCTGAGGCAAAGTAGAAAATTGTCCTGTGGTCTGACTTTTCAAATCTGGCATTATTTGACTCTGTCTTTTGCTCTCAAGAGGAGAGGATTTGGCTGACAACTCTTGCCTTATTAATGAGAGAGTAAGTTGAGAAAGTTTGGAGCTGTTCATAAACCCATTTCCAAAAAGAACCATGTCTTTTACTGGGAAAGTTTGTTTTTTCAGTCTGTTGTTTCTGTGGTATAAAAACATGTTTGATTCCTGTTTACAGACTGTTGTATGGAAACCCTCTTCACTGTTGCAACAAAATGAATACAGCATTAGTCACAACACAAAAATGTCACTGCCATTAGCTCTTCTGCTTTAATAGGTCTAAATGCAGCGGATGATGTCATTTTTATGACGTATGAGAAGAGGAAGATGAGAACAGATGATGACTATGATACAAACGTAATCCTAAGAATATAAAAAGAGGAACGAAGAAGAGGGAAGTATGTCAGGGGGAAAAGGTGAACACTCCCAAGAGGAAGTAAAGAGAATTATTAATCTACAGACAACATATATCCCACACAGCCGAGACCCCAGAGACCTGATAAGTCAGCACTCCTGAGATGTGGAGTCAATGTTAGTCACGGAGCTTGTGCAGATACGGTCGTTTGGAAACAGATGTGTGTGAGCTGGTGGCCTCTTGTCTATTATGCTCTTCCTCTTCATGGGCCAGTCACTCTGATTCACACTCAGACTGTTTGGATAGCTCAGAAACACAGTCTGTCTGTGGATGTTTAACACTCACTGATTCACACTTTTGAACTCCTGATACGGCCAGCGGGTGACCACGTCTCCACCAACATCAGACACAAATCTGACTAACAAGGCTGTATAAAATCACACCTAAAAATAAGTTTAACTTGATGGTTTCTAGATTTCCTGATAATGATTTAAAGACCCCTTAGATGCCACTCTAAAGCTGCTGTGATTGGTGTCTGTTTTGGCGCCCCCTGTGGACAAAGTAATACCTCTTATTTTCGCTCTGTCCGTGTGAAAGTCCTTTTCTTCTCTGATGAAAACTCTTGATGTTGTCTTTTTAAAGTAAAATGTATCACTCACTAAATTTGCCACTTCTTGGGTTTGCTGCTCTGGTACCTACCCTCTAACAGTACTTTCATGTGTCAAAGTTCACAACTGAGAAATTTTGAGCTTTATTTCTGATGGTCTTGTTTGATTTTAAAGGTCAAAAAGAGGCATCATTATCAGTTTTAGGCTATTTATCAACTGGCTAAATCTCCTCACAGTGATTTAAAGAAAGGTGTTGATTTTTTTTCCTGTTAAGCTGATTAAGAATGAGATCCAGTCTGCTCAGTTTGAAGTTTTTCTCATGAACAGGTAAATAAACTGAAACAATCTGTGGACCACCTACTCAGGGCTTACCGTTGTTTCATCTCATTTTTTTTTTTTCCCAGTGGAGGCCACCCACTGAGTTTTTAAGTAAAGATCATCACCTTGTGGACAACTGTCAGCACAGCACCTTGATGTATTACCTTCCTGTATTTTTATTGATCTGCTGAAAGGGAGCAGACTCTTTTGAACCTAACAAAGGTTAATGGAGGACCAACACTGTGATAATACAACAAAGATTAATTTATTCCTCACGCAGCATTCTTTCATAGATTCAAGACAAAAGCAGAACCGTCAAGTCTGGTTCAAAAGAAAAGTTTTTTATTTGAATTAAAATTATTATTTTAGTTAAACACTTTACAAGCAAGCAAGTTGAACTGACACAAAGAAGTTGAGTGAGAAATACTTGTAAAGTTAACAAGTAAAGCACATCACTCTGGGAAGTTAGAGCCACAATAATCTGTTCTTGACAGAGGCTGAGTTCATGTTGCCACAGGCCTTCTGGAGTTGAAGACCTTGATCCCATTTTGCATTGAGGATCGAGCGTGTTTCGTTAGCAGTGCTCCAGTGGTCTGTTTCTCTCCACACAGGTCCCTGTGAGTGAAGACGTATGATTTCACATCAAACAGCTTCAAAAGTGACGGTCAAACTAAAATCCTGCTCCATCAAAACATGATATTTAGGATGAATGGATGACACCTACTGTATGTACGGGGTGATGTCTTCTTCTGTCCATTTCTCTCTGAGCGAGAAGAGGTGGTTGAAGCGCTCCAGTGTGTCCTCGGAGAGATCCTCCACCTGCAGCAGGCTGATAGTCTCTGGACGGGAAGTTCGGTCCACCAAGGCCATACTCTGTAGATTCACAGAGCAGCTAAAACTTAAACCAGTCTCTTAAGACAAGTAGCAGGAAGTTTTAGCCTCATTTAGATGCCAAATAACGGCACACAGTCATAGTGTGGAATGGAGCTGGCTAAGATGTGAACAAGTTCTTGGATCTTGGTAGATGTAATGGCATTATGGTGGTTTGCTGCATTCTGTGGTGTAGAGGATTTACTACAATGTCCCGCAAGAATCTAACTTTTTAAAACAGGCTGGTCTTGGGGATCCCCACTGTATGTCGTTTAATGAAATCTTCAGGCCAATTTTTATTTTACTTTTCCTCTGCATCAATCATTAATAAAGTATGTCATTTGACAATCAGAAACATGATAAATGTGTCTGTCTGGTAACTTTTTCTGATCTTAATAATATTGTTAGACTTGGACTGAAATTAAATCATGTTGGAATCTGACGTCTGAAATACATAACAGATAATAAAAGAAAGATTACTTTAGCTCTTGTTTCCATTTTTTGCACCTTCTGCTCAGCATGTTTACCTTCAGCTGGTCCAATCTTGTGCTCATGCCGTCTGGAACGCTCTGCTGCCACACTTCCTGAAACTCTCGCAGGTTGAACTTGACGGCGTTCTGCAGCAACAGCAGCGCAATGGCCCGACATACTTTATCCTCGTATAATGAATAAAAAACTTGATCTGTTCAGAGGAAGGAAGGTACAAGATTAAGGTACAGTTTGGATTTGCAATGTTCATAATTCAACAAACAGTCTATGAAAGAAAACTCTTAAGGTTTGTTTTACTTCACCATTTTCAGTGTAGCGTTTTCCATAGCAGTTTAAGCAGTGCTCGATCATCTCTCTGTAAAGAAAGAAGAGGACCTCTTAGACTCACCACTCCCTTAAACATATCCTCAGCAGCAGGCTCAAAAGATGTTACTCTACGTCATACTGCTGTGTTGCATTAGCATGACAAACACAAAAAAGACTTACTTGGGTTCTAGTGGACCTAACTCTTCCAGACTGGTTTCAAGGGGAACCTTGTTGAAGGACCAGGACTCCGAATCCACCAGTTGGGTGACGTGACCGAGCAGTTTCATCTCGTAGTCAAACTCCAGCATGCGCCAGTAGCCTGGAAGACCAAAAAGAAATCCCCTCTCTGAACAGTGGTACATATCTGTTTTTTCAATAAAACACTCAGTGCTCGATCTTTGTGTATTTACTCTCAAAGACACGCTAACCGGACAATAGTTTTTGACACACACATTTTAAGACTGCTGAAAATTGTAGATGTTTACCATCTAGCTGACAGGCATTGATCGTCTCTAGGTGGGTTTTTATCTCTTCTTCACTAGCCTGGATCCTCTCCAACAGATCCTGCATTGTGTACTAGTAACAAGAGAAAACAAAACACCAGTTACATCCAAAAGAGAAGAACATTAAAACATTATCCAACAGTCATCTAATTTAGTTCCCCGCAAATATGTGATTGTAAATTCCCTTTTTTGATTGAGTAGAGGACATGCTCAGCACATAATAACTGACATGGATGCATTTTACTCTTCACCAAATGCTGATACAGACAATAGGTGCAGCACAAACACTTCAAATTAGTCAATAATAATAATAAAAACAAGACAGAAACATAACATCCTTTAAGGGGTTATAGAAATGTACTCACCCTGTTTTCTGTATCCTCCTCCTGTCCCCCCAGTGCAGGTCCTTTGTAAGTATTTTCCATTAACAGCCTCTTCAGTTTCTTCAGCTTAGGTCGGTGTTTACGTAGTTCCCAGTAGCTGTTACAGAAACCCCAGATCTGAAACAAAGACAGGACATTGTTAGTGTCTTTGATTCATGAGAGGTCACATTTGCAAGTGTATCTAATTTCCTACCTGAGTATGCGCCAGATGAGTACTGTCCTGACTGTTGGTTAGCTGGTCAGCTGTTTTACATCCTGGTACCATCAGCAGCAGGTTGGATGTGTCGGCTATTTTTAGATCATAGGTCTTGTCACCGCTACAGAGAACTGCACGCTCTTCCTTATCCCCGCGAATCACTAGACTGCACAGAGACAAAAGAAAATGTGACATCAATTTTGTAAAAAAGGGGAAAGTGGGGTAAGTTGAGCCACCCCCTGTTGCTTGGAAATGGTAAAAGAAATTGATCATGTGACCAAATATTTAGGAGATGGGCATCAATTCATGGAGTCTGTGAAGGTTAGAAGCACATGGGTGAAGGGGTTAGACATTTATTTACAAAAAAACATTGTTAACTCTTGAAAGTGGATTTAGTCTGTCATAAGTTTTGTTAGAATTGTGTTCAGACCAAAAAAGATAATTTTAAATTAGTTTTATACATCAATCTGTGAGCTACAACATGAGGTCAAAAACTCTCCCTTTTCATTTAAGTGTGTTTACATTTGTCCACATCAGGCATCTTGTGATGCAATATCACAGATCTGTTTGAGTTACTGACCTCGTCCATTTTTGTTGACAAGAATAAAGGGGGACCTGCTGTCACACAAACATTAATTTTGAGCTTTGATTCACCCATCAAGTGGCATGATCTTAATTTATACGCTATAGAATAATTATAAAGTCAGTTTTTCAGTGTGTCTTACTATCATTTAAGAAGTTCACATATGGAGTGTTTTGTTTGTTATGACAGCAACTGACACTTAATTTGCCTCATTTGTGACGAACAACATGAGCAATAGCAACAAGACTGACGGATTAAATATTGTCCTATTTAATGCCTGGAACTGGGATGATGGGGTTGGTGTCAACCTTTAGCTTATAAACGATCAGCCCTTAAAATGATCCATATCAAATATTTACAGCAAGCAAAACATTTGTTAAAGGAAACAGGGTGAGACTATCTTAGTCAGAAAACAGTTTAAACACGTGAAAACAAACACAGACCACTTTGTCCAAAGAAGGTGAGACTACAAATCAACACGCATTCAGCAGATGTGACCCTGGTGTATTGTCTTAGCATAATTCATCCAATTCTTCAATAATAAACAGTTTCGTACCTTTGGCCAGCCTCAATGTGTTTACAAAGTGTTTCGTCCAGCTCCACCAGGCAGTAGTCTGCGGATGAGACATTTTCTCCAAAAGTCAGACAGTGGATAGTTTTCTGCAGATCCTCCTCCTTCAGTTTGGCGATCTGCAGGGTGGCCTGAACCTCCTCCAAAGTTCTCATCCTGTGTCTAAATGTGGTTTTGATATAATTTATTTACAAAAAGAAACTCCTCCGACTCTTTACTTCAACACTATCCCAAATTTACCCGCGCTCTTTTGTCATGACGGAAATGACGTTGCTTGCCTTGTTTTTCTTCTTCTTGTTTTACGGCGGATAGCAACCTACGTTAGAGGTTCATTACCGCCACCTACCGTGCAGGAGTGTAAGCCACGGGTCCCTACTCCCATCGGAAAATAAAATCATCTGTACTTGAAACTAAATTTTGTTCATCATTTCTGTTTGCTTTAAAAAACTCAAACACTGCTGCATACGATCCTTTTCCCGGACTATCTGTTGGATGTTTTCCAATTAAATGCATAGTTTTGTTTTTAATCCAGTGTGACCTAGTCTCAATCTTGACATAACTGTTTATTTCCTGATAGACTTTCCTATAATTTCCATACTACCGACTTTTTGCTCAATTCCATAAAGATTTATTTCTTTATTACCTATTTTGCCATTCACTCATGATTCTGCTCTTTATTAATGCCTTTGCTTCTCACTTACTAAAATGTATTTTTCATGATTCTGTTGTGTTTCAGTGCTTGTGTCGCTAGAAAATCTGCCATTTCGCGTCGCCTTTTTGAGTTACGACCATAGACTGTATATAGAAGTATAATACAGTAATATATGTATAATATAGTGTAGTATTGTATATACAGTCTATGGTTACGACGTTAAGTAAAACCGGGTAGGAACTATTTCGCTGTGAAGTTACAATAATTGGGTCTGAGCTCTTGTTTCAGCCGAGACTGTTTGACAGACGGACCCCAATTCACGCTTGCTTGTTGAGGGTCAAATGTGTGAGGATGTGCTGGTAATTTCGTCAACATGTCAAGTTTCTCTAGATCCGCCCAGGTAAATAAATGCATTATAAATCAAGTATTTTTGTTTCAATCAAACAGGCTGGCTGGTAAACGAGATTTTATTGAAGTGCAGCGGCTCTCTGTCACAAAATAGCGCACGCTAGCGTTGCTCCAAAGCTAGCCACTCTGTGTTTGACATGATTTAGGTTCTATTTTACGTATTAAAATGGTTAACTGGTTAAATGACTGCTAGGCCACCTTTTGTCGTTTCATGGATTCTTTTGTTAAAAGTATAATTCGCCTGAAATTGTGTGTAGTATCGCTTTATATCGTTACATCTCACCGGACTGTTCACTGAGATCAGAATAATCGGATCATCTCTGCTGTTTGTTTAAGCAGCTCAGAGGACATTTCATATGACCACTTCACCTTTTTCTTATTCTTATTCTTGACTGTTCAGATTATAGTGGATTGAGCTGTACTGGAGTGCATCACAGTGAAAGGTGTTCCTAATATTATGCTCCTCTCATGCTTGTTAATGATATGGTCTAAATATTAGGAACAATTTTCAGTATAACTCTCCACTCGTCCACTTACAGCTTATATGTCTTCAGTGATAAATAAAGATACCATGATTTCATGTCTGGTCACTCCAACAAAAACTGAAAATGTAGAAGCTTCTTGAAAGTAGAGTTTATGATAGGGCTGTTGTATTGGACTGGTTTACCCAGGTGTTCATAATGTTATGGTTGATCTGTGTATTTTAAAGTGTAGTTAAGCATGAATGCTCTTGTGCTTGTTGGCTGAATTTAGCCAATTTGTTTACTTTTTTCACTGTCTTGTAGACGTGGAAAGATCTGTTGATAAAGTAGTCATCCTCTTTCAAAAGGGGGGTGTATTCTTTTTTAGAATAAATATCCGTCTTACTGGTTACTCACTTTTTCAGCAGTCTACACTTTACTTTCCTTTTTAGGATAATAACACCCTTATGAAAATGCAACACATCCCAAAACTCACTGACTTGTGTCACAACAAGAACAACAACAACAATAATAATAATAAAAATAATAAAGGTATTATTCAACTTTTGCATTGCTAAACTAGCCATGATTGCTGCTGTGCTGTCAAAAGCAGAATGAATCAAACTGAATCTCAATATTGCACTTTATTCTCAAGTTACTCCTCTATACATTGTTTCAACTTTAGTAAGTAATAAAAGCAATCAGATAAACCTACACTCTCTTGTTATTGGGCTTGTAAGAAAATCTGAGAACAACAGCCTGGAATTTAAAAAGCAACATCATTTTCATAACTAATTGTTACACTGAAGACACATAACCCATAGGAAACAGTGTAAAACTGAATTGAGATTGGAAACAAAGTCATGACAGAATAATAAAAAAAAAGAAAACTTATTTTTTGACTATTGTAACCTTGGTGATAACCCATATAGATCAACTTTGGTTAGTTGCCGTACCATGTATGAAAAAGAAATTAGTATAATAATGGTTAAGACACGAGGAACAATTACCTGGGGTGGTATTTTACCCAAACAAAATGTAAAATAGATCAGTACTTATTTAGTGTGATCTGTTTTTGACTGGATTAAAAAAAAGAAATAAGAAATCACAAGTCTGAGACCAAATCACTTCCCAACCCTGGTGTAATTACACATTTTTGAACCCTAAAACTACGGCTGCTGATCAGGAGTGATTTTGTTATTTCATGGTCTTCTAGTGACATTTCACAATGTCTCTTTTGTTTTCCAAAGTACCAGAACAGTGATGGCTTCATTTAAGTCAGTTTATTTAAAACTTTGTGTACTCTTGATCCTTAATTTCAGCAATGGGCGACCTTCGCTCGATCCTGGTTCCTGATTGACGCTCGGATGCAGCCTCCAGGGAGGATTGCGACTATGTGTGCTGTCAGACTACAGGGGAAACACAAGCCTATCTACCACGCACTGAGTGAGTTAATGCCTAACCCGACACAGAAAACACAGAAATAGTCAGAAACAATGTTAACATTCATCTTTGTAGTAGCATAGAACAACCACACGATGGCACAAGAGGATAAAATGAATATATCTGCTTTCCCCTTGGTCGTATGTTATATAGAGATGCTCTCACATCACTCTGGTTCAAAGTTTAGTTCATAGCTCTTGTTATCATTGTTGTACCATATGTGTGTGTGATTGTTCTTTCTACTTAAATAAAGGTTTTATTATTAAATGAACTCAGCTGTAAGTCTGCTGACAAACCTCTCGAACTTTTGCAGGTGACATTGGTGACCATGTTGTAGTAATAAACACCCGACACATAGCGTTCTCTGGAAATAAATGGGAGCAGAAGGTTTACTCATCACACTCGGGGTAAGTCCAGATAGTTTCAAAGGATGCTTTCATTTCCTCAGCTTTTTCTGTTCTACTTTGTTCTTCAGGGCCTTAAAACCAACTTAGTTTTATATCTTTTGTCACTTTTTGACTTAAAGAGATGTATTGACCTCTTTGTGTGTTTTAGTGGGCCACTGCTATTATACAGTTTGAATAACACAAGGCCCTTAAGTTAGCTTGTCTGTTTTTTCAAAGGTTTCCTGGTGGATTCAAACAAGTCACAGCCGCCCAGCTGCACCAAAAAGACCCAAAAGCTGTAAGTGTTGCCCCTCTTTATACATGTTTCACATTTTTATTAATAAGGTGTATTAAAATTTCAGATATGCCACCACCACATAATTCACATTGTGGGATTTTTACGACACTTCCTCTACAATTTAACCCACATTTGTGGAGATTAGCCTAATTCCTGTGTCAGGTGTTGTGACATTTATCCCTTCTTTCACATGTGCTGCTCCTGCATATTAATGTGAAGAGCAGGGTGCAGGGATTAACCAGCAGTGGATTTGTGCCGGGGTGAAGCTCAGTTTAAGGATAATTCCTGTCATTGTGTTCATGTTTCATATTCATGGGCTCAGGGACTCTTCATAATGTTAAACACTGGGCTGTGGAGGTAATGTTCAGAACTGCACCTGACCTACATTCCAAACTTTAAAAGACATTTGCACCAAACATCTGTTTCACGAAGTAGGCAGTGTGAAATGTGCTTTTGAAGACTAGACTTAGCATGTCAAAATACGTCTTTGTCGACTAGTTTAAATTACAAAAATAAATTCAAGCTGGACAGTTTGAATGCACTTAAAAATCTAGACAACAACATATCTGCCCAATTCTTCGAATAGGTAAACAATGTCTACTGTGGTTACATTCAGTTTTATTTCTGATGCCTCACAGTGGACTTGAGCATGTGCTGCTTTTTTACTTGTTCTGATAAAAGCAAAGTTTCAGAGTTTGTTTTTTATTCCACTTTTTTTAATCCCAGCTAATGATACAGTGTTATGGCAGAAGTATGTTCAGCAAGCAGAGTCTTCGGTTGTTCAGAATAACCACAGTAAAGCTCTTCAGTGTACAAACTTCCTGACATTTTCTTGTCAGGTACAATAAAAGTAGGTGGATTAACAGAACAGGTTTTCTCTCTGTAGTTTACAAATCCCAGAAAAACATGCACTCTGCTGTTGGCTCTTTGTCAACGCAGGCTTTAATCCAGCCCCGACTACAGACGTGTGTCCTGATGGTGGTTTAGAAAAATGAGGTCTGAGGGTTGGCGAGCGACAAGGGACAAATGGAATTGAACAGATGACTGATTTGTCAGCACTGCCTCTGTCCAACATTACTGTCCAACATTTCCGTCCAATATCTCGGTCCAGTAAAGCTCTCCAAGTCTTAATTCACTTTAGTGTAACAAGCTTCATGTCGAGAAACATGATTTTTGGGGAGTGTAGCGAAATCCGAAAAAGTCTACAAGATGCTATATAAGCACTTTTTCATTTACAAGCTACAGCAAGCAGATTGTATGTCAACCTTTCTCCATGTGTTTGTTCTCACCAGATTGTGAAGTTAGCTGTTTATGGCATGCTGCCCCGGAATCTGCTACGGCGTACCATGATGCAGCGATTACACATCTTTCCTGACGATGTAAGTCCGGTTTCTTGTCCAGCTTTACACATTAGTATGTTCATAGATAAAGAAATCATGCTGAGGAAGAGACTGGGAAAGAGGGCATACTAAAGCGAAGGATTAAGTAATAAGATTTCACATGAAAGTAAAGAAGGAGTTAATGTGATTGTCATATTATTAAGGCCATTTTTATATTAGAGAATGATCACTCCGCAAGTTTCCTGAGATAGTTTGTGTTATATTTAAAGAGCCTATACTTGAACTGTTTAGTATCTTTCAGTTTCAGTAAGGAGTCCTGCCCAAATATTATTTGGATGTAATTTGATCCATGAAAGAGATCATTGATTCCAAGAGAGTGAGACACAGGCAGAATACCAGGTCTCTGTGTTTGTGCTTGTTATAAACGGGGCGCTGGGTTTCAGTATTGAGAAGAAGGGAAAGGCCGTTAACTCTGCTTTCATTTTGGATCTGACATGATACCCACCTTCAGAGTTGATGCTGCACAGCGTTCATCCCTCATTAAAAGCAGATATGCTCCACAGTCCTTGTAAATGTCTGCAGCCCTCGCTGCATTACAAAACAGTGTTTTTGAAGCCTTGCTGTTTTTTCATCATCATTTTAATCTTTTGGTCTCAACTTTATTCCCCCAGCTCAAATGAATCTGGAGGCACACACCGTTGTGTAGTGAATATTAATAAGAACGACTGTCAACACCAGAGTTACGGACCCCAAACACCCCTCAATCTCCGAAGAGACAATCTGAGCTGCTTTTTTTTCTGGCCTTCTTTTAATATCGCTCCCTTGCAGTTTATTTTCTCATATTTGTGTCTTCCCTTCGCCTTGGATTTGTTCTGCTTCCTTTTTTGAAAATATTCTGTCCACACCTAAACAGGAGCTGCCAGACGACATTCGTGCCAACCTGACAGAGGAGCTGCCTCAGCCCAGAGAAATCCCCAGGAAGCTGAGCGAGTACACGCAGGAGGAGATTGACGCCTTCCCCAGACTGTGGACGCCGTATGTACAAACACATGCAGTCTGCTCTCAAGTACACACACCACCATCCATACTCACAGTGCTCATATAGGAGTCTCTAAATTTAAAGGCTGACAAAAGGCGAGTTTTAATTATTTATAACACTCATAGATGGGCCTCTGCTAAAAACGAATGAAGCTGTCTATCGTGTCAACAGTAAAACCTCACTTTCTGGCTTTAATGCCGGATTAAATCAACACCATCATCATTAGAAAATTGAATGGATGAGAGTGTATTTAAGAGAGTTGTAACAGCTCAGCACTGTGTGAACAGATAGACCCTTATATGATCATTGTACCCCGTCTGGGAGGAATCTATCCCACCTAGTGTTGCACATAAATACCACCACCCCTGACCACTGCTGTCAAAGCACTTTTGAAGTCGTGTTTCTGTTGGCGTCGCTCAGGCACCTCAAAATGACTAAATGAACGTAGCGAAAATATACATAAACTCAGACACCACTCAGCACTTTTTTTTCTTCACTCCATTGAACTAAATGGAAAATCACATATTTGAATGTTTATGGTAATGTTCAGCTCAACTTCTCCTTTTAAATTGATTTTTTAATAACCTAGCAAACTTGCTAAAAAGTTTCCTCTTAGAAATTATCAGCTCAGGTTTTTTTTTTTAACCTTTTAGAGTCTTTGCGCCACACCCAGTCATATTCATTCCACTTGTACTGATGAACAACAGCCAGAAGGGGGCGATAGTGGTTTGCGTACTGTCTCATTTTTTTCTATTCCTCTCATTCTGGTTCTGGTAAGGACTTAGAAGACATCCTTTGTTTGTTGTAATATTGTGTTAATATGTGTTAAAACACTCATAAAAAGGACAGTGAATGTATCTTATATATGAAGAGATTCAAGAGCCGCACAGGCTTGAAGTTTGCGGCAGATGGTGGGAGAAGAAAACGGTGCTGGAGTTGACTGTAGAGGAGAAGCACAGTGGGTGTTGTGTCACTGACTGTTGACCAGCAGAGTGCAGTCATATGTTAATGAGGACGTGGGATTAAACGCTCGCATATTGCTGCTCCTCTCTTACTCTCCGCCTCCTCTACTCCTCTCAGTGGGCAGTGTGCTGATTTGCAACAGCTCTATGTTATTTCATGTTCATATTTCATGTGCAACATTTCATGCCTGAATGGATCCAGACTAGTTTTTTTTCCTTTTCCGACCAATTTGACTTATTACTTCTCCATCACATGTAGAGCCGAATTAAACGCAACATGTGTCATCTAAACTACAAACACACATGAGCGAACGGTTAAATGATAGTTTGAGTTTCCGTGAAAAGCTCCTGGAGGTGGTGGCTCAGTATAATATTCCCAGTATAGCCATGAAGTGACTGAGTGGATGTGGCAGGTGTGTTTTGATTGGTCAGATAGATTGGAGTCACGCTTTATAAGCACAGTTCATTCATTCATTACTTGAATATTGTGCTCCAAGAAAACAACATCCTACGGACACAACAGTATAGCCGGCTATATCCAGTTCATACTGTGTAGTTGTGTGTCAGCACTTGCATTGTGTTGCAAAGGAGCAAAACTGTGCATATAAATATTGAAATGTCTCGCACTTGTGTATAGAGGGTCAGTTGTTTTCCGACGCTCCTCGACTGTTTGGGACATTCAAGGTTTCTCTGCGGGGTGCAACAGAGCATCTGCTATTTGGCATAATCATATTCATGGGTTTTTGAGTAAAGTATTTTTCGGCTGGAGATTAGACTGACATCGTGACCTGCTGTTTGCTGTCATGATGGCGTTGTCCTGTTGCATTTCCCTGGTCTCACCTGCAGTAAACAACATCCCGACGGGTTAAGTGAGAGCACACTGAGTCCCACCTGCTCAGCACCACCCTCAGTGTCCATCAATCTATCTAGCCGTGTGTCTGCTAGCTGTTTATCCAGGTTAGGGTTGCTCACATTTATCCGCAGGAGCAGTAGCCAAGCCAACCGGACATCTTTATTTTGACTTTTGGTGATCTCACATGGTACCAGGAGGATCATCATTCCTGCAATCAGTTTACTCCCCTTTAGGATGTGACCGATATGGCTCTCCATTAAACCACAAGACTAAGATGCTTTGTTTTGTAAGTAAAACAAAAAAAAGTTGATGTTCTTAAGCCAGAAGACTTCTCTAACCCAGTGATCATTGTGCATTGTGCACTCTAAGCTGTATAACTCACACTTCAAAATATTGGAGTACTCAGTCCAACCATGAATTAAACACTGCAGTTCCTACAATATTGAAGTGGCAAGTCACCTATATAGAACAAAACAACACTTTTTTTGTGCCAATTAGAGGCATCGAACCATGCAGGTAGTGTTAGTTTAGGCTTTGCGATAACTTGAAACATCCTCGTCAACACGGAGGTCTAAATCCACCGATTTAAAAGTATTTTCTGTTCAACTACCCAGAAAATGTCCAAACCCGGCTGTAGACTGTTCTGACTGGAACCAAACTCTGCTAAGGAAACAAGCGACATGAAAAAACAAAAACACAGCTTTTGAAGTTTTTTTGATACAATTTTGAAAAGCTGTTTAGCACCAGAAAAATATCAATTTACTTTTCACTTAAGACGGCGAAACAAATCAAAGTCTGCAAAAAGCCTGGACAGAAACAAGAAAATCTCCACAACCAGTTTTCACATGATGCAAATGAGTGACTGCTCAGAAACAGTGATCTACTACCTCCATGAAACAGTTTCAGCGACACTGATGTGGTAAATATTTACTCTGGTCATTTAAAAGCAGTTCAAACACTCACTCCGCATAATTAATGTGAAAATCAAAGAGCCTGTGACACTGAATTTAGACTCAGGGCCGCGAGCCAACAGGTTTTTTATTCACTCTGTCAGCGTGTCTGCGGGTGCGGACCTTGTTCAGGCATGTGTAGAGTGTCTGTGTTACATTCAGCATTGCTGTCAGAGTGTTTGTGCGCTCGGTGATGAATGAGCCACTTCTTATTGTTTACTGGTCCAATATCCACAGCCAATCAGTGCGTGTGCTCAGGCCTGTCGCTGTGCGGTCGTCAAGGTCAAAATAATCCCGGTCTACTTAAGAGATGGGCCCCAGACTAGTTAATATTCACCCTGGCTCTCACTGATTTTACCGACCAAATATATATTAATACATATATATGTGTGTGTGTGTGAGACTGGCTGAGGCTGTCCTGGGCGACTCAATCGTTGCCCTTTATTAAACATATAGTTAATACTCTCTGAAAACCATGGAGCAGAGGCAAAAGATTATTGGATATGTGCTCCGCCTCCTTCCTTCTCACTCACACACACACACACACACACGCACACACTGCTCAGGGTGCTCAAACAGAAAATCAACAACCTAAACATACTGCTGTAGTTGATAGCAGAGCTATTACAATTGATAACATTTTTGTATTTCATATCAGAGCCAATACAGAGCCCATGATAAAATCAGTCTGCTGCAATCTCTGCCTCAAATTAAAGTGGAAGAAAAAAACACACACACACACAGAAAGAGGATGCTGTGTCTGGTCTCAGTTTGTAAAGAAACAGGGGAAACAGATAAGATCTTTCTGGTTGCTCATCTGTCACTTTCTCTCCATGTTTTTCCCCCTCCTAATCGTTTCTTTTCCAGACTCTTCTGCTTCCTCATACTAATGTGTTGTCTTGTGCTCGTTCCACAGGCCCGAAGACTTCAGGATGAAATGAAATCCAGCCAGCTCAACGCAACCGAAGCTCAAAAGGTTTTTTTCTGTTGGCGCCAGGTATGCAGCCAAAGCCACATAGTCCTGTTGAAGTGCTGCTTTACAAAATAAAGAGAAAATCAGAGACCTTCAGAAGGATTTACAGAGAATCTGGTTTTCTTTTTTGGGGGAAAATTTTAGATCAATCAGATTTTACCAAAACATTACAAAGTTAAAACCAAGCAACAAAAACACTGAACTCACCATTAGAAAACGTGCTCTCCTGCCTGCCATGTTACCTCTGGAAGGAGACTTGAATTGTTAAGTTGCAGTTTAGGAAATCTGTCTTTTTTTTCTGGAGTGCACAATTTAAAAAATCAGGATCTGTGAAAACTGATTTCTGTAAAGTGTAAAATACGTGAATACTTCAGCTGTTCTGCTGAGAATGGTCAGATTGAAGTCTGCAATAAAAGTGAAACAAATGAGCTACAACATGTTTTTATTGTCTCGTTACAGATTTATTGTTTATAAAAGCAAAACAAAATTCAAAATAAATAAGTTCATACTATACTTAAAGGTGTGATGGAGACGTTTTCTCTTAAGTGTTCACGTCCAACTGTCTACAAAAAAAAAGAAACGGGGCCAGCTCACAACTTGTGAATCCTTAAGTTCTTGTTTTTACTGACTGCAGTAAAGTTCACACTTTTGGGTCAGTCCTCACTGGATTCGCTGAAGGGCAACTGACTTTTGAATAATTACTGGATCCAGGTCTTGTTCCATTAAAAGGGCAGAGGTAAAAGGAGCTTCCACAGTGAGCTGGCCCGACTTTGCATAAAAACAAACAGAGCAAAATGAAACACAAGAAAACAAACCTCTCCCATCTTTCTTGGAACACAGTTATTGCAATGACTGCTGAAGGTTTTTGGATTAAAATGATAACATAACAAAAGTAGACAGTGAATTCTGTTCTGATTTGAAGTAAACAGAAATCTGTGTGTGTGTAAAGTTGGTTTAGGGGAGATTTATTCAACAACATTTGGTAAAAAGAGGCAAACTTAACAGTAACATACACGATTCAGTCATCTTTGTAAAAAGCTTCTTGTACATATGCCGACGACTTATCCTTGATTTAGAAATGTAAAACAATGGAGCAGGTCACATCAAACCAAAACAAGATGCACGTGTCCAGTTACTCAGTGGTTGGCTCAAAGGAGACATGCAGCTTCACGATGAAACAAAGGTTCAGTCCTGACATCAGCTTTGAGACAGGAACAAACAGGTTTTACCTTTACGTTACGTTTCCACTGGACGATGCTAACATGGATCAGGCACTTCTTAGACCCCCCCTTCAACAGAGATATTGTACAAGAGTCCACAGAGCTATTTACATCTTTGCACCTGATGGGTGAAACCATCAGATACGCAGGGAGGGGGAGATCTCACCACAGTTTCAGAATGAGGGGGGTCCATATGTTTGTGCATGTCAGTGTCTGATTTGCTTCCATGTGTGTGCGTGTGTGTGTATGTGTGTTTATGTGTGTGTGTGCGCGCACGCAATGCTCAAGCACTTCAGGTGAGTCCGTCCTTCCTCTAACGTTTTCCCTCCTCGCTCTCCTCCATGACAACAACGTCACGTGGAAACCTCCTGGAGACGCCCGGTGACCTCAGCTCTGTATCCTCAGAGTGGGCGGGGTTCGAGTGGTACCCGTAGGCCTGTCTGGAGGGCGGCTGGGGGCGGTACTGTTGGGGGTAGCCACGGTAATAAGGGTCTTGCTCCTCCTCCTCTTCATCCTCCTCCTCCTCCTCTTCGCCTCCTTGGTCGTTGTTGTACGCCACTAGCGCAGGGTTGTACGGCTGACTGTAGGGCGGGTAGGACTGGTAGCCACCATGAGGAAGGGGTTGGACTGGGGTGGTGGGAATATTTAGGGTCAGTTTAAGAGAAGGTTTGTGGATCATTGCAGCAAACATCGAACCACCACCACCTCCAAGGCTGAGCGTGGAGCTACATTAAGGCTTGTTTATTTTAAAGGACGTTTTTGCCTTTTGATTTGATAGAAGAGCCGAGAGAGATGGAAGAAAACAGGAGCAGAGAGCGGGGATGGTGGGCAGCAGCTGGCAGAGGACCACAGTTAAACCCAGCGAAGTTTTAGCCCCTCTGTATGAGACATATGCCCTACCAACTGAGCTAAACCCGGAGCGCTGTTAAGGCTTAATTTTGAGGATTGCAGCACCCTAAAAATCTCACCACCGCAGCAGTAAAAAAGACATGCTATTAAAAGGCTACAAAACAAGCAGATTAGTTATAGGAGAAGCCTTAACAGTGTCAAAGAAGTTGTACAATTACAAGGTACTTTGTAAAATTAAAGCTGTTTCCATTCTGCTTCACCCATTTCTGTTTTAATTTCCCCAGAAATAAAAATATAACTCAGAATAAAACAAAGGGATAAATTCTGACTCTCCTGCACATTGTACATTGCATAGGATGTACAGATCCAGGTATAGTTCAGAGTATGGAGAGCAGCCAATCAGCATCAAAGCATTTCATCACAATTTAGCTGATTCATCAGGCTCTGAAAGACGAGATTAGCTTAGAGGAGAAATGAGCTGCAGCAGCGAAGCTTTGTATGCAGGAGTGACTGTGAGACAGATGGAAATGGGATCAGTAGTGATGATCGTCATCACAGCAGCGTTATTGGGGTTTTGTTTGGTCTTGTGGGAAAGAGAAGCTAATCCATTTTTGTCCCTGTGACTGTCAGTTGATGAAAACAGACAGATTAGCATTCAATTCATTGCTGTCAAGTTTGCTGAGAGTGGAAGTAAATCCAGTTTGTGTTCATTATAGAGAATCATAGAGACTGGAAATCAGGTTGGAAATGTTTCTTAAAACGGCAACAGATCAAAACAGAGGGCACTAAGTGGACTTAAAACACAGGGTTTATTAGGGAGGCTCCTTGTTTTTAACTTTTGATTGGGTGACTAAATATTTCCAGACTCTGGGTATTTTAATTTTACAGAAGGAGTCTTTCTTGTTGCAAGTGTAATTGGAAGAAGAAAGTGGAGAAACAAATAAAAATGTTGCTGCAGGGATCAGAGGTTAGGAGTAGCTATCCTGCCCCTAAAAAAAGGAGGCTTTAAAGAATAAATTATCAAATTTCTCAGTATACAGTCTTATGTACAGGGCACAGAGGAGGAGGAGGAGGAGGAGGACGGTTGGAGAATAGTCTTCAGTAATCATGCCCATAGTCCTGTTGAACTTGAATTAGAAAGAGACAGGAGGGAGGAGGAGGAGAAAAAGTCAAAAACAAGACGTTACCTTTTATCAGGAGGAAAAACCCAACAGCACCAAAGAGGTCAACCTCTCAAACCGTGCTGACAAAACAACCAGCAGCTGTTTGTGTTCAGAGGTGGGAACATTAGTGTCGGAATCTGCTGCTCTCTTCAAGAGGAAGAAACACACCCTGACTTTTCAAATTAAAACTTAAATGTTTCGAAGGAGAGAAATGCGTCAGATCTCTATTTCTCTTTCTGAGTAAAAGAAAGCGCAAATAAAGATTTCTGACACAGAAAACTTATGCACACAGAGTTTACCAAGAAAAACATGCACAGTGGGTTAACTGAAACAATGACGTATCTAGTCTGACTCCTTTAGTCTTACTTTGAACAAACATAAAACTGTTTCTCTTTCCAACTCAAATACACAAACCTGATGAGAATCCTGAAGCACTGACAGCAAAACAGTGGCTTGGATTTTCAGATATTTGCATGATTTCAGATATTTGAATAAGGAGGATCAACAAACATTCATGACGCTATAGTAAACAGCTACACAGCTCAGAACAGGGGGAGTCAGCTTGCTTGTAAATCTCTCTTTTGTTTCATACAAACATAAAACTGCAAAAGTGATCTTTAGTGATCAGCTGGACTTCCCCTGGCCTAGAGTCAAACCTGAGGCTGTCTCACATGTACAGGGCTCAGCATAAATGAGTACACCCCTTCAGAGTTTACCTTTAGTTTCCTTTCAAAATCAACATTTTCTACATCAGACTTTACAACAAAATATTCCCCCAAATGTAGGCCATTGACTGCACACAAGATTTTTCAAGTTACATACAAAAAGTATTTTCTTCAATTTAAAATTGGGATACACCCCAATCAAAGTTCAGGTATCTAAGCTAAAACTTATTTACTATATAACCCTTTTTTCATCTTATGGTAAATAAAACATAATAATGTTAAACTCAGCTTTGTCAAAAATTTGGAAATTGTACTTTTGCTCATTTAGATATTGAGTAATACATTACATTTAATAGGGGGTGTACTGACTCATGCTGGGCACTGTATGTTGATATTAAGCTGCTTCTGTAGATTAGGACTATAAAAATGAGCTAAATACTGATTCAGTCAATTCATAAAAAGCAAGATTGAAAATATCAAAATACTGAGAAAATAAAGAATATAACTGTAGACATTATTTTGATCCATTTGCATACACTTATAAAGATGCTTTATTCTGGAGTTAGCCTGGCTCTGCTTGTTAACCCTCCAGAGTGTCTTAAAGAGATGGTTTGTAGGAAGAGCTCAGACGAGTCCATCACCGACTGCAGTGGGGTGACACAGCTCAAGGAAGAACATGTATGATCATTTCGCGTCTGCTGTGCAAAATGATCAATATGATTATTACTTCACGGAAATGGTGAACTAATGATCATAAATGTTCTTCCTTGAGTTGCGTCACCCCGCTGTAGTCGGTGATGGACTCGTCCGAGCTCTCCTCACAAACAAGCGGCTGCTAGAAGAGAGGAGGTGAGTTGTGTTTAGTCTCTTTGCTAAAGAAATTATGCAAAGTTAAAAAGATGTTTGGTGGCTAGTACTGTGGCTTGGACCCTTTATGTACTGTTGATGAAGTTAGGTGCTGTTCTGAGCATTATTTGTGGCTTTTTAGTTGAGGTGTGTGTGTGGATCCATACTCCACTGTGTATTGCTATCGTGCGGTCGTTACTAAAGTTGGTCTAACTTAAGAAGCAAGCAGTCGGCAACATTCATCTCTCGAGGGGGTGTCTAACTCGCTGTTAATGTGTGTTTGACCATAACTTAATTTTATGCCGGAATATCCCTTTAATAATGTCCCTCTTGAGCGGCCGGGTAGACCAGCACGGTTCAGAACAACAGGACTCTTCTTAGCGATGACATTTTGACTGGAATCTTTTTCATATGACATCAACCTGATTCGATGGATGACGTGATGTCTGAAACTTCAGCTACGCTTTTATTAAGACCACTCATGTGAAGAGTTCGATCTGTGACGTCCACGCTGAGAGGACGAGCATGTGAACCCTTGAAGGTTGTCACCAGCGCGGGTTTTCCAACATGCCAAGTTTGTGTGTTTGTCTGAGAATGTGTGTAGCAGCGTGTTTTATTGCATCTAAATACAGACAAATAGCTTCGGTCAGTGACACAGTTGACTTCTTTATCCATCAGTGAGGACACGCATGTAAAAACTTGACAGTGGAACAACCATAAAAGCCAGATTACTCTCCAATTCTCTGAGAGCTTTATGAGAACAATAACTATCTCAGAGCTGGCTGTCACTGCGAAAACTATATTTCAGAGTCTGATACAAATAAAAGATGGTTTACAAGATGGAAAGACTGGGCAGGGTGAGACTCTATAAACTCGGAGTGCCACTAAATAAGCAAAACTACAAAATAAAACAAATGTGCCTTTAATAGGAACATGGATGGCTCCGTTAAACAAAGGGCAGGATAGGAAGAAAAACTTTTTCTCAAAACTAACAGCACTGAATCTTTTTGTGAAGTCTGATTTTGTGTGTGTTTTGATTACTTTAGGGGAAGTATTATAGTCAAAATGTTTTTTTTTTTAATTGCCACATCCTGACCAACAGTGTTCATGTGTATTTTTGGGACAAATGTGTACATCTACTCAACCTCAAAGGCCTTTTTGTTCATTACTGTTTGTTGGGTGTTTAAGAAGGACAGATTAGGGACGAAAAAGAGGCTCTCCTTGTTTACTAAAAGTGGTTTCCAGAGCAGCACAGCCTCTTCACGCTTTAAATTTAACATTCATAGTCGGTTTTTCCTCCCTTTCATAAATTCAACCATCCTGCATGGTGCATCTGTAACTTTTGAAACAAAAGTTTAGATCTAAATCATGCGTCACTGCTTCTATGACTGAATTGTACAACTCAGTTTTCACATGTGTGTTTGTCCATCCTGATTGCAGCAACTACCAGCTAGAGGTCTAAATCTAGTTACATGTGATATATCATTAACAGTACTTTACTTTTAGTGCCGTAATTTTAACTTATAACTAGTTTTAAATCTAAAAGAAGTTTAAGCGCTGGGGAAAATAAAGTTTCATCAGCGTTTAGAAAAAGGTTAAATGATGTTTACCTCCAACGTTGTACCCAAGACAGGAATTCTGGTCACAGTATCCTGGTGAACCTGCTGGTCCTGCACTACCTGGATTACCCGGCCGCCCAGATGTTCCCGGGTTACCAGGCCGACCAGGAGGACCTTGGCTACCTGTCCGTCCTTCCCCAGGCAGACCTGAAGATGGGGGGAAAGATATGGGTGAAAGAAAAGGACACCAAGTCAGTCATCGATAAACGTTTAGTAAACAGGACTCTGGTGATCTGACACCTGATCAGAGGGGAGGGGAGAAATAAAGTGAAGAAAGAAGTGCCTTTAGGGGTCCATGCTGTCACTGTGCTGACACTATCCCCTCTAAACCGCTCTGTGCTGCTGTGACAACATGCAGAAGCAAAGACATGACTGCCATTTCCAGATGATGGTGACTGCCCTGGGGGCAGGAGCAAGAATAACACAGTGTGTGCTGAAATTTAGCCAAAGGCTTTTATTTTCTGTTTACACAAGAGAAACCGCTCCATCAGGACTCACTTCAGCAGCCGGCAGAAATATGAAATCAATATTTTGAGGGGAGTTCCGTTT